TTTTTTTTTTTTTTTTTTTTTTTTTTTTTTTTTTTTTTTTTCGTTTTTATTATTCTTTTTTTTTCTTTTCTTTTTTTTTTTTACTGGTTAACAGAAAACCATAATAATGAACAATCAACAGCATTGATTCATTAACTAGAGATGGTCAAATTATATGATTAAACCAGTATTCAGCTAATATTCAATTATTATTCATTTATTAGTAATTTCCAATTTCCAATTTCCAATTTCCAATTTCCAATTTCCAATTTCTAATTTCTAATTGCCAACTTTTTATTCTCGATTCTCAATCAGTGATCGAAATTTAGTAATACCATTATAAAACTGATTCAAAAGCATGATTTAGGATTTCACTATATCCAGTTTTATTAGTTTCATTACTTTTTTTTTCTCAACAAATTTAAGACATCAAAATAACGGATATACATTAAATTGAATTAAATAAAAGCTTATGATTTGACAAAAAATCTGTTTTATGTTTTTATCAAATTTTTTTTTTCAATTAAATCACTGGTACTAAAAGATTCAAAGAATTGTTTCTGGAGACTTGGTTTCTTTTTTTTCTTTTTTTTTTTGATTAGAGAAAATAGAAGAAAAAAACCTGATCTAAAATCAAGCTTGTTGGAAGTTTTTACTTAATTTGCAGTTTGTTTAACAAGGTCGTTTTTAATTCTTTTGATTGAATTGATTAGTGAGCTACAATAGTTATCGATCAATTGAGTTGAGATATAGCGATGATACTTGCTATCACTATTATTATCACTATCGTCATTGAATTGAATTGAACTATATAATTTTTTATCTACATTGTAATGAAAAGTATTGAACAAAAAAAATATTGGGGTAAAGCTTTTAAACCCGGATTAAATGAGACAGACTTCGCTTTTTTATTACAGTTTTTTTTTTCTTTTTTTTGTTTAAGAAATCAAGTGTCCCGATCACAAAGGATTTATTTTTTACTTTTTTACTTTTTTACTTTTTTTTTAGCTGCTTATTAGATTGTTGTTTCTTTTTGTCTTGTTTTTTTAAACTCCGCGCGGACAAAATTGCGCTCAAAACCTAAAACAGGAGAGAAATAAGGAAATACCAAATATCTTTTAAAAGTTTATTGGGCAATTTCAGTTGAATTTTTCATACGAGAAGAATGAATGAAAAAATAAAGAAAAAAAAGTAAATGAAATAAATAAGTGAAATTATGAACAAGTTTTGTGGACTAAATGAAGAATGACAAGAAGGGAGACGAAAACAAATAAAGCAATTTCAAATTCTTTTTCTTTCTGGTTTTTGATTCATTGCAATTGCCATAAATAGATGTAGCTATTTGAGTTGAAATTGCAAAGAAATTCAATTCAATTAAGTGTTAGAGTGTTGCACAGATAATTACACAATTTTATTATATTTTATTTTATTGTATTTTGGTATATTATTGTCAAATATCAGGTTGAATAGTTTTTAGTCTAGGGAATTCTTAAAATTTCTGTTCACGCATTCAATTACCAATTGCGCTCAATTAATGATACAAGAGCAAAAAAATCAGACTGATAGTACATAAGATTCACAAGGTTATCCAACCTAACCAACGAGATAGTGTATGAAGAAAAAAAAATATGTGAAATCCTTTTTCATTACGGAAATATCAATTTATGGTTTTGTTAAGATAAAGTAAGAAGAAATCAGAAAGCACCATAAAAAGAAAAACAGTCACAACAAATTCAAGTTCAACAAGTTGGATAACTTTAAAAAACTGAAAGTGAAATGATAAAAGTAGGTTGCCAGTGATAAAATTGTAATGAAATACTATGGAATACCAAAGAGCCTTTGCATCAAGACAAATAAAAGAGCAACCCTAGTGGCTAGTGGTTTTGGAGAAAAAAAACAACAATAGCTGTGATACAAATAGGTGCTTTGCAAACAGCAAAAAAACAGCTCTCAATAGCTGTTTGGAAGGTGCTCACTCGAGTATATAATAGAAGAGCACACATAGACCTGCGCTAGTGGGAGTGGCTCTTATCGACATCCCGGTAGAAGCGCCGTTCCTGAATAGGCAAATGAGAGCAGTACATCATACTGCAGGATGTGTGTGTATATGCACATCATCCTGTTAACGGTGACCATATGCGTTATTGTCGCTGTCAGCGAAGGCAAGTCGCGGTCTAACGCATAAAAACGCATGTCTTGCGTAAAACAGTTAGAGTTCGCGGCAAGAATGCTCTGTAAATGAGCTGCAAATCGTTTTTTGTGCACCAGAACTATTGACTGTTATCGCGGGATGCCAGAGCTGGTGATAGAACAACAGGATAGAGCAATATATTCAAAACAGCTCTACCAGGTAGTTATTCTATTGAAGTGTTGAGCAGCAATTGGTTTGCAAAACATAGAAAATACAATTTTTTACAGATGTAATACTTTTTTGTAATTGTAGAGCAAGTATCGATCTTTATGACCAAGGAGCTATCGATAAAGTTTCCAATTACCTGTTAACTCTCAACTAGTAAACTGGTTAAAAGTCTTTAGAAAACATTTTAAAACCATTTCACAGATAGTTTAAAAACCAAATTTAAATCAATTGAAAACATCATAAAACAATTTTATTAGTTTGATAACTTTTATCTTATGATTTTTTATCCTCATTTTTCTTAGAGTATTTTTTTATTATGTTTTGTTTTGTTTTTAATTTAAATTTTATTTTATTCTTTAATATATACATTAATTGAAAGATATTATAAATTTATAATAACGAGATAATATAATATAATTATAAGTCCATTTTTTTTTTTCTTTTTTTTTTCTTTTGTAATTTTATAGATAATATGGTATCATTTATTAATTCGTTAATCAGTTTATTGATTTATAGATTTATGAATTGAATTCAAATTGATTGGTATTTTAGTTCATTCTCTTTTTTTAATTGCAAAATTCCAATTGAGGTGATTTATAGATTTAAACTTATTTTCTTTTTCAGGCACCAAATTTGACGACATATCAGCCTATTGATGTTACTGATACTACTTTAATACAAAAATACTACATATTGTTATATTATCATAATGCCAAACTACTTTTTATTGGTAATTCAGTGCTAATCAGATTGAAATCCAAAAAATTGAATAAGAGTTGAGTAAAAAATGAGCAGGAATTATGGATAAGATCTTTAAATAAGAATTGTATAAAAGAAAAGGAAAAAATAAAATTTTGCCTCAAAAAACGATATCAACAACAGTAAATAACTAAGGGCATTGAAATGGGTACCAATTTTTGCAATCCACAATATATATCTAGTAAGAATAAGGATAAGGATAAGGATAAGAATAAGAATACAAATTCAGGACTATGTTTTTATTAATTTATTGGTTTGGTTATAACATATTTTTGGGTGTTTATCCTTGATCTTTATCCCTTATCCTGCTTATCGTGATTTGTAAATATTAACCATAAATTGTAATTTTTAAATTACAATTTAGAGGTTTTTAGTATTCCTAATCATTTTAATACTTTTAAAAGTTCAATTGAGCTTTATTATAAATTTTATTTTGTTTATAATTTACAATAATTTACAATAATTTACTAATTGCTGTTGTATTATTATTTAGTAATATTTAGTATCGGCTAAAGTATTATAGCGTTGACTGATTACATAATCGGTTAGTTAATAAGTAAGTTAAATAAATTAGTTAGTCATTTATTATTCCTAATATACTCAATATACTTAATCTAATAACAAAGGCAGTTGAAATTGAAAGGAAATGAACTGAAATGAAATCGCAATTAAATTGCAGTTAAATTGCAGTTAAATTTAATATTAAATTGCAATTAAATTAGGAATTAATCTAAAATTAATAAACTGTATAGTATATCGGTTATGATTTAGATTGAATTCATTAGATCAGTGATGTAATTGATTACCAAAATTGTCCATTTTTTAATGTTTTATTTTGTTATATTTTGATGTGTTTTATTCTCTTTTCCTGTTATTAATTATTATTAGTTTTTACTAATAATTTCTAATCAATTGATAAAAAACAGTTTCCCTGCACTGTTAAATAAAGTGCTACTTATCTTTACAAAAAATTGAACAAAGTCATTAATTCAAGAAATTTAAATTATTCACTTTTTTCTAATTATAATCTGAATCATGAATTTAATTACAATTATAGTCATGGGTGTCTGTATGAACAGTTATTGGCAATAATCTTCTATAACCAAGGTCCATTCAAGTTTTTGCTACCACACTATTACTTAGCACTAGCTATCCACAGACAATTGAGCCATAAACGACGAACTGTATTCAAACTGAACAGTTGCAAGTATGATTACAAAAATGATCACAATTACAATTAACTGCGATCAATTGCAATCCACTATAATTACAATTACATAATTCGAAAACAAAGCAAAAACGATTTTTTAAAAATAAAACACTGGTCATAGATCACAATCAGTCTCAGTGAACCATAAACCATAACAACTGTCATTCAATTCGTTTCCACTACCTTCTCTCTTGCTTTTGATCGCAATACAAATCCGAAATCCCTTTAGTTGCCAATTAACTCATCATCGGACAATGTTCTGTATATCTAAAAAATAAAAGCAATTTTGGATATCCAGCTTCTGGAGGCTCATCACTGCCACACACACCCAAATGGAAGCTTAGGGGAAACCACAAGAAGCCAAAGAAAGCCAAAGAAAGCCAAAGAAAGCCAAAGAAAGCCAAAGGAAAGTCTTAATGGAAACCCACTCCTCAACATTCCAACAGCCTCAAAAGCACTTTGGTTTGCTGCCTGTGCTGTCTGCGCTGCCTCCCCCTTCTCCCCCTTCTCGCCCCTTCTCACTCCTCGTGATCGCTCTCGTGATCCTTCCATAACCAGACTCTCCCACACTGGTGGCTCGTAACATGCACACACACGCTTTTTCACGCACAGCAACATTGCGCCCACGCCGCTGGCGTGTTCCCGCTCTGGAAAAAGATAAATAAAAACACAGATCAACAAAATCCAAAAAAACTGTTTTGTTTGGCTACTTCAACTTGCCTCTACCTCAGTGCAACAATACATCGTTTTTGATCCGTAGCACTTTTTCGTCTCTCATATAAAGCCTGCCTGTTCTTATGGACCATTATTCCTAGTATTTCACCAGTAGAATTATGCTTCAGGGAATTATCAACTCTTCCGGTTTAAATCAATTGCAAGAATCAAAAGAAGACGAAAATTGGGATGAAGCTTTCAGCGATATTGATACTGCTTTAGGCTCCTCTGTTTTCTCTGCAAAGTCCTCCAGCTCCAACACAACTAACACTTTTGTCTCCTCATCCTTCACCGACGACCTTAATAACGACGACACAATTAAAAAATTGCAATTAGAAGACTTAAAACAATCAAATCACAAGATCAACAGGTTGTTGACAACAAAAAAATTTTCAAAAATTTTCCCAAAATTCGGTTATCCCTCAAATTTATCAAACAATGGCTCACAAATCAGTAATTTTAGTTTCAAACAAAATCAAACCACTAAAAACAAAACACAAAATTTTACTAATCCTAATATCGACAATTACAATGATATCGAAAATGACAATGACAACGAAAATGATAATAAAACAATTACCAACAGCGACAAATCAAAATTCATCGATGGTTTTGATGAGACTGATCTAATCGACGATTTTACAATAAAGAAAACGAAATTTTCAAATATCACCAAATCAAGTGAAGATTTACTCAACATCAACATCAACAACAACGATACCACTAACACCACTAATAACGATCAATTTGAAAGTGATATAGAAGATGGGATAGAATTTCCTGACCAGCTTGTTCTTAACAATACAATTAGAGTCAACAGCCTGAGTCAGCAACCCGATTTTTTAAACATAAATACCTTAAATGGAAACATTCAAAACACTAACAACGCCAATCATAGCAATTATAATAAATATAACGATTATAACAGCAACAATTATAAAGATTTCAGCAACAACAACAATGAGATTCAATTTTTCAAAAAATCTTCAAATATACAATACGATGACTCCATCCATTTATCCCCTTCAAACTCAACTGCTTCTCTCAACACTAGCAACTCCTCATCCACTTTATCCACATCGACTTATTCAGAATCTGAATTAGATTCTGCTGATTATATTACTGGAATAGAACTAGATATAAATAACCAAAATTTGAATTTTAATGATCTATTAAAAAAGAGACTTCAAAGAGCTAAAATTCAGGCAGAACTAGAAGAAAGAGAATATTATAAAAAATACTCAAATTTAAATAAAAATTTCACCTCTGTTAAAAAAAATTTAAGATTTCTATCTCAAAATTTAAATACTAATATTACTAATAATATCACTACTACTGCTACCAATAATAGTGATAATAATAATTACAGTCATAGCCATGATCATAGCCATGATCACAACCATAGCCATAACCATAAGAATAATAATTTCAACTCAAACTACTATAATCTTGGCTCAGAATACTCTGCTGAAGAATTCGAAACTGTTATCGATAGCGATGAAAATTTGACTGATGGCTTTGAAGATTTTGATATCTTTGATATCAATAACCATAAAATTAATAACAACGTAGTTTTTAAAAACTCTCAAGGCGATAGAATAAAATTAAATTCTCCAACTAAATTGAATTATCAAAATAATTTCAAAAATTCAAAAACTAATTTAATCTCAAATAATAATAATAATAATAATAATAATAATAATAATAATAATAATAATAATAATAATAATAATACTAGCAATACTAATAAAACAATTAGATCAACAAAATCAAATTTAAATTTAAAACAAAATCCAGATGTACCCTCTAACAAACTGTCCTTCTATAAACATCAACTGAACTCGGATATTGATGTCTCCAGAGCTCAAAGAAAATTAAACGAATTTAATTTTAACAACTTTGAGAAATCCCAACAACAAAATCAAATTCAAAAATCCCAACCAAAACTTAGGACTAAAAAATCCATGCCTTCCTTAAAAACTAATTACAATAACATTTCAAATTATGATGATCCATCTCAAAGATCTATAAACTATCTAAAAAGATCAAATGGTGGTTTTCTAATTAATAATAATTTGATGATAAATAATCTCAATTATGATTCTAATGACGAAACATTCAAAAATATCAAAATTGATATTTCTTCACCAATCAAAAATACTAGAAAATTTAAGAAAAAAATCTTGAAGAAGCCCAAAAAAAATAAAAATTTCGGAAATGGGCATGAATTGGACAAATTTGAAGATTTAACTGTTAATCCATATGATGAAGATCAGTTTTTAGTCACATTCAATTCTGGTGATAATAATCTCACTTTGAGACCAAATTTATTTAAGCAATCAAATGAAGCCAAATTATTAGAATTGAAAAAATATATGGAGATAGATGAAGAACTTCCAACAAAATATAAAAAACATAAAAAAAAACAAAAACATCGATCAAAAAAACATAGCAATATCTCATCATCGTCGTCGTCTTCTTCATATTCTCAATTGAAAAATCAAGCATCATTTAATAACCTTAAAGGTGAAACCTTGAAACCTATTAAAAGAAACAAAAGTCCCAATAAAAGCCCAAACAAGAATCCCTGTTTAATAAAACCATTGAATGTCCCAACTCAACAAAGAGTAATTATTGGTTTTAATGGAACCAAAATGAGATATAATCCAATTGAATTTAAATGGGAAGGAAATAAAGTCGAATTGAAGCGATTTGATACAATTAATATAAAACATCCAGCATTAATTACCTTTTTAAATAAGGGGAATAATAATTATTATAATAATAGTCAAAGAACGATAACCGATATTAATCTAAGTACTATGAATAAGAAAAAGATGGATTCAATTGAAGGACTTCAAATAGAAGGCAATATGTATTTTGATTCCGATAGATTATGCTGGATCAATTTAAACAGACAAGAAGATTTTCAAAATGATCCATTTAAAAATATTAACGATTTGGCAATCGATGGCAATTATGAAGAAGAAGATTATGATGATGTATTTGATGATGATGAGATTAATAGTAGTTTTGAAAGCATGCCCTCGAGATCTCAAACGCCAATTTCGATAAGTTTGGGAGCAAACAATGAAATTAGAATCAGAACCCCACAAAATTCAAAGTGTCGAATTTCTAGTGTATCGGGACCAGAATTCAATTTGTTGTCATCCCAAAAATCCAAAAACAACAAGCTAACCTCTCCAAGTGCCAAATATTTGAAATATACCTCTAACAATCAATTCAGAAATTTATTATTCTGTGATACAAATGAAGATATTAACAACCATAATATCAATAATTTAAAGAATACATTGATTCCAAATCTAGGAGCTAGAATGGGACAAAGAAATACTATTAACAATATCAATACTAGTACCAATACCAATAATAGAAATCTAAACCTAACTGAGAATGAATTTGAAATAGGCGATTCCATGATCAAAAGATTTTACCATGAAGAAGCCAAATGGCAAAAAAAAGTTAAAAACTGGTTCTCACCCAGTGAAGAAAATAACAAAGATCATTTGTACGAAATCCGATTAATGGTTATGGGCCGTAACAATACCACCAATGAACAGTCAACTTAATTTTTTTAGATGATAGAAGCTTTAACAAGTTAAATACCCCCAAATAGAAACCGGCAAAAAAGAAAAACAGCATTTTTGAATGTCACAGCTCAATTCCAAAATGGTAATAATAGCAGAATCAAACTACTAATTAAAGTAGCAAAACTTTTTTTCCCGATAGCTATCTTCAATTTTGTCTCTCCTGCTTGCGCTGTTGCTGCTGCAACACCTTCCCACCATTCTTTATATACTATATCCAACCATATACCCTAGCATATCAGCAACATTCTTCTCTTCTTTTCTTCTTCTTCTGTAGCTTTTGCTGCGTCAGAGCCAGTGCTGTGGGTCTTCTGCAGCCTTTTGATCCGTTGCACTGGTTCTATTTTTTTTTAAAGTGTCTGAAAATTTCATCGAGTGAGTAATCACCTTCATTTAATTAGCTACCTAACAGATTTTCGTTTCTCTTGAATTGTATATAAACAGCCCAGGAGAAGACTTTTTTTTGTGTTATATTTCATAATTGGAACCATCGCATTATACTATACCAGCTGTATCGCTGCTCAACTGCAATTAACTCGTGCTCTCAAACTTGTAGCAAACATGTCTTCAAACACTGATAACAAACCAGCAGAACTCAAATTGTGGGGAGGTCGTTTTACTGGTGCTACTGACCCTTTGATGGACCTCTATAATGCCTCTTTGCCATACGATAAGAAAATGTATGACGCTGACTTGGAAGGTACAAGAGTATACACAATGGGATTGAACAAAATTGGGTTAATCACTGACGATGAACTAGTCAAAATCCATGAAGGTTTAGAAAAAATCAAAAATGAGTGGGCCTCCAATACATTTGTTGAAAAATTTGGCGATGAGGATATCCACACAGCTAATGAAAGAAGATTGGGTGAGATCATTGGTAAAGAGATCTCTGGTAAAGTTCATACAGGTAGAAGTAGAAACGATCAAGTTGCTACTGATATGAGAATTTATGTTCGTGAATATTTATTAAAACTTAAAGAATATCTCAAGACATTTATTTTAACATTAATTAAAAGATCTGAAAATGAAATTGATGTTTTAATGCCAGGTTATACACATTTACAAAAAGCTCAACCAATTAGATGGTCTCATTGGATTAGCAACTATGCGACATATTTCGTTGAGGATTTAAAAAGATTAACCCAAATCATTGAAAGATTGAATTCTTCTCCATTGGGTGCAGGTGCATTGGCTGGTCATCCATATGGAATTGATAGAGAGTTTTTAGCTGAAAATTTAGGATTTAATTCTGTTATTGGTAATTCATTGACAGCAGTCTCAGATAGAGATTTTGTTGTTGAAACCATGTTTTGGAGTTCTTTATTTATGAATCATATTTCAAGATTCAGCGAGGATTTAATCATCTACTCGACGGGGGAATTTAATTTTATTAAATTATCTGATGCATATTCTACTGGATCATCATTGATGCCTCAAAAGAAGAATCCTGACTCTTTAGAATTATTAAGAGGTAAATCTGGTAGAGTTTTCGGGTCATTAGCAGGTTTCTTGATGACTATGAAATCAACACCATCTACATATGATAAAGATATGCAAGAGGATAAAGAACCATTATTTGATTGTTTATTAACCACGGAACATTCAATTTTGATTGCTAATGGAGTCATTTCGACATTAAAAGTTAATGAAGAAAAAATGTTTGAGGCATTAACAATGGATATGTTAGCTACTGATTTAGCAGATTATTTGGTTAGAAAGGGAGTTCCATTTAGAGAAACCCATCATATTTCAGGAGAATGTGTTCGAAAAGCTGAAGAAACAAAAAAAGAGTTGAATACATTAACCATTGAGGAGTTCAAAGGAATTGATGGCAGATTTGAAGAAGATGTACTACAGGTATTTAATTTTGAGCAATCAGTTGAAAAAAGAGTTAGCACTGGTGGCACTGCAAAATCTGCTATTTTGAAACAATTGAAGAATTTAAAAAAACAATTAGAGTTATAATCTATTGTAAACTATTAATTGATGACATATAATAATGCTGTGAAATAACTATGTACTAACTGTGTAATAGATATGTAATAATAAAATGGAATAAATATGAGATAAATATAAAATAAGCTAGTTATAGTTTTTCCAAAATTTTTCATTTGATTTTATATCATCAATTGAAGCAGTTTTTACAATTGTTTCATTGTCTGAGTCTAAATCCAAGTAGTAAATTTTATCCAACTTTAAAGAATTTTGAATATAATTTAATAGTTTATGATAATTTAAACCAACTTGCGCAATTGAATGAGAATCGTCACTAAAACAAAATCTCGAGTCGCCATACTTTTTAATTGCTAGAGATATTTCCAAGTTTGGATAGGGGGTTAGCCAACCTTTTCTTAAAGCAGCACTATTTAATTCAATTAATCCACCATACTCTTTGATAAATTTAATATTTCTAATGATCAATGACCAAATCTTGGGCCAATTGTTTTCAATTGAAAAGTTTTCAGATTTTGGTCCTTCATTAGCAGGAGAAAACAAGTAAATTAAATCAAAATGACCAACTATATTTGGTTTACATATTTGCAATAATTGATATTGCAAGTTGAAGTAGCTTTTGAATAATTCGTAGGTTGAATTATTGCATGATTTTTTAGCTAGATCCCAATATTCTTGGTTGAAATCAATTGGAATTTTGTTAACAAAATGGATTGAACCAACAGTCATATTGAACTTTTCATTTTTCGTGAAGATTTCATTGGATAGATTGAAATGGTTTTCATCGATGCCCTCTATCTCAAAACCAACCAATATTTTTGTCTTTATTGTGTCATCAGAGTTAATTTTTTGCTGTAAAGCAACAGAATGGTTGTAGTAGTTCTGAAATATCTCGTTCAATCTGGAAACATCGTAGTTCAACTCGATTTCCTCAGGATAGATGTTCTCGTCGTAGAGCCTAGGCATATGCTCGGTTAAACAAAAGATGTCAAAATCCCTGGCAATGGCAGCCTGGATCATCTCATCCAAAGTGTTTGTGGCATGGGCAACATACTGGCCACTATGGGAATGGTGGGAATGCATCGTCAGCAAAGATAATTCAGCAGCAGTTGAAGAGCCAATATAATCACCAAACCAGAAAGAACCATTGGCCCACCAGCAAAGATAAGCACTGCCCAAAGGAGAAATTCCCAGCACTGTGGAAACCACCACTCAAACAGATACAATGCACTAGCACACCAGAATGCGTTGAACAACACTAGTACACGCTCACACACCGCAGAACGCATTAATTCGCGTCTCACGTGCCCAGGCACAGATATAGGACACATAATTTGTTGCTTTTGTAGAAGATGTGGTTTTTTGTCCAGCTTTGATAGTTGTAAAGCTTCTTCTGCTGCCATTGGTGTTGTTTTCAGTGTTTTCAGTATCTTCAGCTGTTTCTACTGTGTCTTCTTTGTCTTTTCCAGGTCCAGAGGCTTTTCCACCCTCACCGATTGTCTTTTGTTGCTGATATTCCCACAGCTCGTCATATCTCTCGTCCAGAAACTGCTCCAACTTGCCAACTACTCACAATCGTCTTTTTTCTCTGCCAGTGAGTTACCAACTCAATTAGCTGTTACTTTTAAATTCTGTTCACCGGATTGCAGTTGTTTCAGGCTGCTGAAGTCTCCCTTTTGGTTTGTTTCAATTTGAGGATTTGGACTGCGTTTAGATCTAGGTTTCGATTTGCAATTTCAGACAAAAGAAATTTCTTTCAACTTTCACTTCACCAAAAGGCGAAAAAAAGGGAAAAAGAAAACTCCTTTACGGTTTAAAAATAGATATTTTACTTTTACCTAATATTTGCATTATTTTTAAGTCTCACAGCTTCTTTTAACAAACTAATAATTAATTTTGTAATTAATACCTAGTATCTATCTTATCTACTTAAAACTCCATATCACTTCTTCACATTTATAAAAAAAGATATCTCTCATTATTCCTTTAAAATGGGTTTCTTCGATGCAGTTAGGGACAACTTCCAAGAATTCGTTTTCAGTTTGACAACTAATGATCGTTACGCTTCTTCAAATTCTCCTTATGTCTCATCTTCAAATCAAAACTCGTTGAACCGTCACAATACCTCCTACACTTCTTCTCCATTAAACTCATCCAACAATAACAATGACTTGAATAATTTCAACGGTAATAACAACAATAACAACAATAATAACCTAAACAGATCTCAACAAAACTTCATGGCTAACAATAACCAATCAACTGCTTCAGTAAACTCAAATAATGTAATCTATACTCCAGGTTTACGATCAAGAACAATAATCGGTGAGGTTCCACTAAATGACTTTGTTAATGGCTTGCCCCCTGCTCCTCCAATCCAAGAAATCTGGGAAAGATTAGAAAATTTTTTTGATGAAAATTATGTAGAATTATACGATAATTTATCTGATCCTGCCACCGCTGCTGATTTGAATGAATTGGAAAACGACTTAAATTGCACTCTACCTTTGGATATTAGAGAAAGTTGGCAAATTCATGACGGTCAAGAAAGACCAGGTAAGCCTACAGGTGTGATAATGGGGTTGACTCTATTAGATATCGAATCAATTGTAGAAGAATATGGTGTTTGGCAAACTGCTGCAAAAAGAATCAACCATCAAAAATATTTATATGATCAAAAAGTACGCAATTATAAACAATATTTAGCTCAAGAAAGACAAAAAGATCTTGAATTAAAAGAAAAAGAAAAAGAGAAAGAAAAAGAGAAAGAAAAACAAAAACAAAAACAAAAAGAAAATGAAAATGAAAAGGAAAAGGAAAAGGATGCCTCTCAAATCAACACTCTTAAAAACTCTTTAAATTCTCCAAGTTCTGCAAGTATAAATAGTCAAGCTACATATACTCAAAAACAACAAAAGAAAACAAGAATAATAGCTCCTCCAAAACCTGGTATCAACTTTGTCGCTCATCAACATTCAATACCTGAAGGTTCAATTCAACCAACTTATGTTCATCCTGGCTGGATTCCACTAGCAAAAGATTTTTCTGGTAATAATATCGCTGTTGATTTAGCTCCTGGTCCAAAGGGCAAATGGGGTCAAATCATTGTCTTTGGTCACGATTTTGACACAAAATTCGTCATCTCTTCTTCTTGGTCCGACTTCTTAAATAAAGTGGTTACTGAATATGAAAATGATGAGTATCTTCTTGATGAACGCGACGGAGAAAGCGAAATTTGGTATAAAACAAAAGACGGCCGTATTCTAAGTTATCTCGACGCTCTTAAAAATAAGGCTTTAGCTCCTTACAGGAGACAACAACAACAACAACAACAACAAAAGGGTTTTAGAAGACCTCATTTTCCACAACAACAAAGACAATTTTCAAATAATTTAAGACCAAATCAATTTAATCACAGTAATTCAAACCTATTAAATAACGCTAAAAGTTATGTCAATAATTCAACTACTTCATTAACAAACCATCAGATTACTGTACCTACAAATCCAGTCACAACTCAAACCAACACATCTCATACTGATTTGCCTAAAGAAACTTTAATCTCTCCATCTTTGAACTCAGGCTCAGCAGAAAATGCTAGTAGTACTACCAATCTATTAAACAAAAATCCTTCAGAAAAGGATGTTGTTGATTTAACTAAAGATGATGATGATGATTTTAAACAAATTGATAATGATTCCTTAAAGGAAATTGTTCTTTAATAAACTTAATAGTAATAAAAAATAAAAATTAGAAAACAAAATAAAAAAAAAACATAAAAACATAGTTTCTAAATATTTTCCAAATTCTATCAACTGTTAAAATTAATTATGTTTTCCTTTTTCACTTATTGTTTTTTTTAATATACCTTTATTTTTTTATTTTGAACTTTGTTTTTTTCAAATCTATATCTATTAAAGTTATTTCATTTATTCTATTCCTTCTATCTATTTATTAAATTGTTTTTGTCAATTTCATCATTTTTTTATTTTATTTTTATCTATTTTACTTATTTTCTTTATAGAAATATTATTTGTATTTAGAATTAATTTTCAATTTTAGAAAGCAGTATATTAAAAATTATAATAATTTTTCTCCAATTATTGATTTCATGTATTAGTATCTACACTTTTTCAGTATTATTAATATATAGATAGAATTAATAAATATAAAGGAAAACAAATTTAGCAGGTTTTACAATTAGGATAATGCATTAATATATTGATTTGCTAAATCAGCATGGTAATTTGATTTTCCAGAATTTAACTTTTGGTAAAAAAATTTATGGTCAGAATCGTCAACAACTGGGAAATTTAATTTATTAAGCAAATTCTTAATTGTGGTTAAATCATTTTGCTCTTGATTTTTTCTCTGAACCTCTGTTTGATTTTGAATATTAGAGCTATCATTGTGGTAATTAATTTCAATAAGAAAGCCTCTAAAGTTACCGTGAGAAAAACAATTTGCAGTTCGAATCTTGAATATTGATTTCATTGAACAATTTTGAAGGCTGTTAGGATTGTCATCAATGGTTGTTAAATAGTATGAATTACCACCTTTTCCTACTATAGTTTGTCTTAAAGCCCAATTTGAAGATAATCTATTTGTAATAATCGAATCTATTGAATCAGTTCCACCATTGGAACAACCTAAAAGTGTCAAATTTTGATTAACTTCGTCTGAGTCTATTTGAGAACCGCCATCTGTATATTGACTAATACCTTGATTGTCATTCTTTTCGGCATGAAAATCGCTTTCAAAAGACGTCTGGTTTGGATTAGAATTTGAATATGGTAAATTTTGAGAATTATAATGATTAAAAACCATAAAAGTCTTATTTATAACAGTGATTATTTTATTGTTTAGATATGAAAGGTTTAGTGTAAACATAATTTTATTCTTCTGTTGATTTAAATAAATCTGAAAATCCTGATTACTGTTTGAATTGGCGGCAGAATCTTGTAACAATTGAATAAAGATTGGATTTATTTTAAATATTTTAAATTCAAAATTCCAAGATCCCAAAATAGTTGGAATTTCATTAGAAATCAAATCATGAAAAGTTGATATTGATGTCAAAGTGGCATTTTTCACAATTAATACGCTAAAAGGACAGCAAAAAGGTCAATGAAGAAGAAACTCAGCGGTTAGTGACTTTAAAAATTATTTAAAAGCATGCATTAATAGAGAATAAAACTTACGCAGTGATCATTTTGGCAACAGTTTGTTGAAAGAGAGCAAACCTCATTTGGTGAAGAAAGTCACTATTATATCAGCGCCTAAAAAAGGAAAAAATAAGATCCATGGAGCTGGCCCTGAAAAAAAAAAACGCACTCTAATCAGTGATGAATAGTAGTTATAAAACAATAATTTATAAAAAAAATATTAAAATTGAAGTTATAAATTGAAACTAAAGAAAAACAAGAAAAAAAAAACAGAATTCCTAGAAAACAAAACATATTACCCAGAAACGTCAAACAAATATATCGAAAAGTAGAAAGAAAATAAAAAAAAAGAATGAAATTAAAAGTTACAAAAAACTGAAAAAGCACTTGAATACAATAAAAGGCCATCATTTAATCATATCCGTTTTATGTTAAAACAAATAACAACTGATCTTAAATGTTTCGCTAAACCGTTTTTGTTTTTATTATGTATAATACATGTTAAAATCTTAATTATAGTAATAAAATATCCCTTTTTTGGAATTTACCCATAAAATATTGCCGATGATTGCTCCAAGTTTTAAATTAAAAAAAAAATAACAAAAAAAAAAAAGCTAATATAATGGATTTTATACAATTATTCTTTTTTTCAAATTTTAGACACAAATTTCAACTATCTGATCTCAGAGCCGAATCTTTTAATTTTTCATTGCCTTCCGAAGCACCAAAACCTTCAGCCTTACAGCCATTGCAATACCATGAAGCATTAGGAAGATGATCAATGTTAATATTTAGACAGCTAACATGAAACCATCCACCATGTGGACATTCTGTATTGTCACAGGCAATCATTTCACCATAAGCAAACTGTTGACAAATACAATAAGTTTGCTCTTCTTCATGATATGTATTTCCATCGTTATCATCCAGAGGAATCAAACCAGGGTTTTTATTCTTTACGTTTGAACCTGAAGTGGAATTGTCATTTTTTGATTTTTTGTCTTTGGTATTTCGAATGTTTTCACTTTTTAAGGAGCTCTTACTAGATGAAGTATTTTTTCTATTGGAACTATTTGATGGGGTTGAAGATCTTTTTGATCTTGAGTTACCTGAAGATATGTTACTAGTTATACTATTATTAGAATTTGAATTAGTATTACCATTAGCATTAGAGTTGTTATTGTTTTTAGAGTTACTGCCGCGACTGTTACCTAAAGCCGAATTCTGATTTATTTGGTTGGTTTTTTTTGAATTTTTATTTGTTTTTTTTTTTGCTGAAGTGGAGGAAGGAGTTCCTTGTCGTGATAACGATAGCAAATCATTATTTTGTTTATCGGCTTTTGAAGATAAATTTGTTCTTCTTTTTTTGGTGACCGAGTTGCCTGAATTTATGCTTTCCCTTTTTTTCGAAGTTGATCTTGAATTACTGTTGAAATTATTTGCGATAATGTTTGAAGTGTCAATATTAACATTTGAAGTGTTCATTATATAATCATCATTGTGAGGATCGTTATAATTTTTATGTTGTGATTGGGATTGTTGAGCAGCTTGCTGAGCAGCCTTTCTGGCAGCTATTGCTTCTCTCCTTGATTCACTTTTTTGAGACTGAGCAGATTTGGTCTCGTTAGTTAGATTTAAATCAGCAATTATGGCAGGATGATTTAATGGACCGATCCTGATACTCTCGGGAATTTCGTTATTGATAATATTTTCGAAATCTTGATTTATTTTTTCAATATTTTTAACAACACAATCAGCTGCAACAGACGCGACATGCATTTTTTCTTCTAAGGATGGCAAGATTTCACCTAATAAAAAATGAATAGCATCGACACTTTTCCATCTTTTGTGCAAATGTCTTTCCTCTAAAATCCGTTGATCATTTGCGTTTCTCCTGAAAAAGTTGGGGTTGTTTGATAGCGACAAAGTCTTTGGCAAATTTATCAATCCATTAATGTGTTGATTTAATAAAGGTTGAGAGGTTATGCATTTTGCGTCGATCTCGCTCATTAGAGTGAAGTATTTGATCAAATCCTTTGGAAACGCATCAATAGCATCGCCAATTTCGTTCAAAGCAGGACAGCTATTTTCTTTGTGTAAACTATCTTGAAAAGTGACATTGTGGTTTAAATTGGGATTCAAAGAGGGATTTAAATTGAGATTTGAATTGGAATTCATAAAATTGAGATTTCTCTTCGACGACTTGCTCATTTTCTATATTGTATAACACGATCCTGCAGCTATTGTGGTGATTTTGGTGAGTTCGATGCCTGGTGGTTTTAATGGTTTTGCACTACTTGGTGACATTAATAAAGCCTGAAATGGAAAAAGCTGATTTAAACGCAGGCGTTACCCGACCCAGAAATAAAAAAAAGTAAAGCCAGTGGTGTGGATGCGTTTAGACGCGTTTAAACGCGTGACACCAGAGAGATGGGACTGAAACAGCAGAAACAGCATTATTGAACAAGAGTTGAGCAGAAAATAGACAGGAAATATAGAAAACTGAAGAAAAAACACTAAACAAAACTGGATTATTAGAAAGAAAATACTAGGAGGATTTATAAACTAAAAAAACTAGGCAAAGGAGAGAAGATCATACACAAAACAAGTCAGTTGCAACAAAAGAAAAAGTATAAGTTGAAGTGAGAATAACAAGACAAGACAAAACAAAACATAATAATATAGTTTAAACAAAAAAATAACAACAAAATGATTATCCTCTGAATAAGAATAAAGCAAAATACAGATGAAGTGAAGTTATTTATTTATGCAATTTCAAAAAAAAAACTTTATATTTTTCATTAGCTTAAAACTTTTAACTGTTAACAGAATCAAACGTTATCTATTTTTTGGTATTAGTAGATTCAATATACATAGAAGATTTAGGGGTAGACAAAACAGAAATACTGTCTCTCGCAGGAGAATTAAGCGAAATGGGACTTGATAAGTCCCCATTCATTAGAGATGTTGTGCTTTGATTCTTTTTTACAAAAATTTTTCTTTTTGGAGGAGAGAAATCTCTTAATGATGCGACTGTTGTATTCTTGAAATTATCTTTAGAAATTAACGGTATTGTATGAAGATTTGCTGAAGGTATTGCTGAGTTGGCTACTATGGTCGTAGTGCTTTTCGCAGTCATTGACATTGTCCTTTTCTGCTCATTCAATAATTTGTGTTGTTTAGAGGCCATCTTGGACTGAGGATCTAATACAAAGGCATATTTATGCGGAGCATTGTTTGAAGCACTTCCATTTAAGTATGCTTTTGTAAAATCTAAAGTAGAAGAGCATTCATCAAATGATAAAGTCCTTTTGGGATTAGAATTTATCAAGGGACCTGGACTTAAAATAAAAAAACCAGTCCCATTTGTACCATTAGTGTTAACCGCTGAAGTAACACCCATGGTCTTTGGAGATAGTGTGGTGAATGTGTTAAATCCCGATTTGTTATTCAAGGAACTTTTGGATTTTCTTAATTTTCTAGGAGACAATGTGTTTTTATTTTTGAATTCTGTAGTTATTGGACTTTTGTGATCACTAACTACTTTTACATTAGTTGATCTAGTTAAAGTTCCACAGCTAACTGCTCTGCTTAAGGGGTTACTTGCTCCTTTTTGAGAATGATAATGGGATGTATACAATTTAGGTTTTTCAACTTTTATTGGTGATCCAGCTTTCGATCTTTGTTTTGCAACATTTAATTTTGGTGGTTTCAATTCGTCTAAATCTTTTGTATTAATAGTAAGATTTTTGTGATTATGAGAAGATCCATTTCTCTTTTTAACAACAATCGCTTTTCCAAGCCTTGTTGAATTAATAGATGAGTCAAAACTATCGCTTTCATCCACCTCGGTTTTAATTTTTTTTTCTTCATTAATGTCATCAGCATTACTAAAATCAATAAAAGAATCCATGGTGTCTAAGTTAAATTGATGATCTTCTCCACTATTATCATTAGAGTTATTATCATTAGAATTATTATCATTAGAGTTATTATCGTTGGAATTGTTATCATTATTTAACTCCATTTCAAAATCAAAAATGTCCTTTGAAGGAGTAGAATTTTTGGATACATCCTGTAAAACTTCATCTTCTTGATCTACCTTTTTATCCTCATTATCGCTACTTCCACTGTTACTTCCAAAATTGTTTTTCAATAACGAAGGGTTCACATTCAAAGGAGTTGAGTACTTCAAAGAGTTTGAAATTGAAGCGGCAGTTGTCGGATTAGAACTTGGAGTAAGATAAGTTAATGTTGACGCTGATAAATTTGAAGGAGATGACAAATAAATAGAGCTTGGATCGATGTTCAAGTTAAAGTTATCAAGATTATTATTGAAAACAAAATTCACTGGTTCAAATTGATCTCCATCAAAATCCCCCAACCCAAGAAAAGAGTCCAAAGTCTGAGGAAAAGAATCCTTCAAGCCATTTGAATCGCCTATTTCATTTAAATTGTCACCATTAATCATATTAATATTAAAACCATTCCATAATTCACTTTCAGATTGCTTAGAAGGTGCGAAATTATTATTCTTTTCATCATTTCCATCGATTTTAATAAAAGAATTTAAAAGCTGATCGTCTTCTACTATTGTGTCATCACCTGCCGCACCATTTTGAACAGTGGGTATTTTTTCATTGGTATCTTGTTTTTCAGGAATATCTGATAAAGTCTTTTGATGGATTGATTGACCATTATTTTCTTTTTTTATAACAGAATTAGCCTTTGGATTGCTTTCAAGTTCGGTTTTTGACTCTGTGGGATTTTCTTCGGAACTAAGATTTGATTTAATAGTGGAAGAAACTTTGGACTTTACTTTGGATTTAGGTTTAGGTTTAGATTTTGATTTTGATTTTGATTTTGGTTTGAAAATGGAGCTTTGATTTTCTGATTTAGAATCCAAAGTTAGAGTGGAATCAGATAAAGGAGACTTTTGTTTACGATTTGAAGATGTCTGCGGAGTTGAAACCTTTAATAAAGAGCTTGTAGAAACAACCAGATTATTTCTTTGGAATGGAGTACTTGGAGTTGCTGGAGTAGAACCGCCCAAAGTTAGTTGATTATGAAACTGGTTATTCATTGAAGAAACAGGTGATGGAACAAACCGATTTAAATTTGGAGAAGATTGGTTTGAAGCTGCAATTGGAGGTGGAGGTGGAGGCATATTTGTGAAGGCATTTAAAGAATGCTGTTGATGAAACTGCTGAGCTTGAAATGACTGAACCGGAAGTTGTGTATGTTGCACTTGTATCTGGGGTTGTTGAAGAGGTTGTAGAATTTGCAGAGGTTGAAGAGGTTGCTGTGGAGAAATTTGTTGCTGCTGTTGTTGTTGCTGCTGTTGTTGCTGTTGCTGTTGTTGCTGTTGTTGTTGCTGTTGTTGTTGTTGTTGCTGTTGTTTTTGTTGTTGCTGTTGTTGTTCTTGTTGCTGTTGTTGTTCTTGTTGCTGTTGTTGTTCTTGTTCAGCTGATGGAGAAGCTTGAAATTGTTGATTCTGTTGATTCTGTTGGGCTTGTTGTTGAGTAGCTAATAATTGAAGTTGTTGATACTTTTGAACCTGTAATTGTTTTTGTAATTGTAGCTGAAATTGATAATTGAGTTGTTGCTGTTGTTGCTGCTGTAGGAATTGAAACTGTTTTTGTTTTTGCTCTTGAATTGATTCGTTTGAGTTATTTTGTTGAATTTGTTGTTGCATGTTGATTCTTTGTAGTTGTTGGTGTTGCAAATTGAATTCTTGTTGTTTTTGTTGTTCTCCTATTAGGAGTAGTCTTTGGTTAATTAGTTGGATTGAATTTTGAGGCGAATTTTTCATTTGAATTAGTTTTAGTTGATTTTGAATTAGCTGTTGAGTTGTAGCATTATTTGGATGCTGGATGATATATTGCTGGGCCTGAGCAATCTGAGCAGCTTGAATTTGAGCTTGAGCTTGAGATTGGGATTGGGATTGAGCCTGAGCCTGAGTTTGGGATTGGGGTTGAGCTTGAGAATTGATTTGAGGTTGCGGACTTATTTGAGGTTGGGGTTGGGCTTCGACCCGCGGTTGTACTGGTTGAGATTGAGATTGAGATTGAGGTTGAGGTTGGGGTTGGGGTTGGGGTTGTGATTGAGCTTGGGCCTGCGCCTGCGCCTGTGCTTGAGCTTGAGCTTGAGCTTGAGCTTGAGCTTGGATTAACTGCTGTTGCTGTTGAAATAAAAAGGATAAATTTTGTTGCGGTACAAATTGATTTGGTTGGATTCCCAAACCAGATAGCTGAGCAGAAATCATTAATTGAGGATGAGGAGGTTGGGCTTGAGGAATCAAGACATTTTGAGGGATGGGAGTTGGTTGTATATGGAGTTGGTTATTATTTCTATCGTGCAATAATTGCTGGTTCTGGGGAGAGTTTTTGTCCTGTTGGAGTTGTGGGGTGGTTTGTTGCAAGGATTGTTCTTGTTCTTGTTGGTGGGGGTGAAATTGGTCAGGCAGGTTTTGGGATTGGTGTTCCTGCAGCTGTTGTTGATTTTGAGGAAGAGTCTGGGAGTGTAGTTGAACTTGGGGAGGAGGAAGAGGGTTTTGTATAAATTGTTGAGGCTGTAGAGAGTTTTGGTGTAGGATTATATTTTGATTTGGGTTAGCAAAAATGGCAATGTTAGGAACGATTTGTTGTAGTTGCACTTGTGAGTTCTGGGCTTTAGCGTTCTGTGCTTGAGCTTGAACCTGTGCTTGAGCTTGAGCTTGAGCTTGTGCTTGTGCTTGTTGAACTTGAGCCTGTTGCGCCTGTTGTACTTGAGATTGTTGCTGCTGCTGGTTAAAGTTTAATAATTGCTGAGACAGATTTAATTGACCAAACTGGTTTAGTTGGTTTAATTGATTTAGATGGGCGAACTGGTTGAATTGGTTTATTTGGTTAAATTGATTTAATTGGTTTAGCTGGTTTAGCTGGTTTAGCTGGTTTATTTGGTTGAATTGGGATATTTGGTTGATTTGATTTAATTGGTTTAGTTGGTTATTTTCAAAATTGAATGACATTTTAGGGTGAAAATTGGAGATTAAAAGCAAGAGCAATAGAAATAGTAAGGGGGTGAGGATGATGTTGAAACGAGTGAATTAAAGATGATTAATGAATTGGAATCGATAAGGATTAATAAGAAAAGGCGGTTGAAAAGAATTTAAGAAAATAGCTAATTTGTATTAGTTTTGTTTAATTAAATTTAATTTAGTTTAATTTAGTTTAATTTAATTTAATTTAATTTAATTTAGTTTAATTTAATTTAATTTAATTTAGTTTTATTGATATTGATATTGATCTTTACAATACTATTTTATATTCAAATAATTAAGAGATCAAAAGGAAACCGAATGAAATGAAACAAATGAGGTATTTGAAGATTTTTATTTATTTTGATTTTGGTTTTGATTTTGATTTAAAATTGATAAAAGGGTATACTAATATGAGCGAGGAGGAAATAAATATAAAATATTGGGAGAAGTGAGTGATGTGAGTGAGTGTGTGTGAGTGAGTGTGTGTGTGTGTGAGTAAATGAGTAAAAGGATTTTGATCTAGAGTGATACGAATTAATGAGAATTAAAATAAGATTATATTCATTAAATTAAGAGAGTTTTTCTTTTAGGAAAAACGAGTAACATTCAGGTAACAAGTGGGAGGGAAAAGTCGATAAACAGGATAAAGTAGCGAGGTGATATTGAAATGATATTGAGGTGGTGTTAATGTGATACGAATAGTGTAGTAATAGTGCAGTAATAGGATAACAATAGTATATTGATACAAGATTTTTGTGGTGTGGGTATAATGATCTTGCAGTGATGTTGGGATTTTAAAATTTGTTTCTTGAGACAAAAAGAAAATAAAAGAAGAGAAAGTTAGCTGAAAGATTTGAAAGAAAACGAAAGAGAGAGATCTTTGTTGGAAACGAATGACGGAGTAAAAAAACACAATAGAAACACTGCAGTGGAAAAAGACAGCAATAAAGAAGCACTGGAGGAAGGAATCTGTGAGAACAAGAAGATGACGAGACGATGGCAATATATCTGGTGATAGCCTGTGTTTGTTATATACTGCAAAGAGGCTGTTGAGTATTATCTTGAAACTGGAGCTATGGTTCTGATACTGCTGAGAGGCACAACAAGATTGGAGGGAGGAGCGATGGGTTGTTGGTACACGTAGGAGAAGAGCAGACGTTGTTCGTGCTGAAGTTGCTGGAGGAGCGTGGAAACAGCGATGGTGCTCTGGACGAAATTGCTTCTAATGGAAGATCTTTCTGGCTTCTCTGATCGTTGTTTGCACCTTCAACAACAGAATGAAAAACGTATATGAGGGACGTTTATTAATAGATTCATCGCCGGCGCAGAAAGGACCGCGGGCTCGTGCTGTTGCCCGGCCTGCGCCCGCTCTCCAGTCCAGCAGCGCGAGCCCACGTGCGTCTGCGTCTCCCGTGCACCTGTCCACGGTTGCCCGGCCGGGAAACCCCAACATCTGCACCAAGGCTGCGTCCGCGCGCGGGGTCTGCTGACTTAGCGGTGTCTCTGAAACAAGCCCCGCTGGCTTTTCGCGGGCCCAACTGTGTTCCACCAGCGTCGGTTTTTCTGCTGATTCTTTTGGTCCCAAATTACTCAGAATCCACTTCTCGCCATCCAGCACCATGTCTTGTACTGGCTATTTGTTTCCAATGCGTTCCAACCACAACATCGCATCCAGTCCATTTTCCCCAATTTTCAATTGAATTGCACCTTTACCAACACACCACTAGAATAGCGAAATGCAACAAACAGGTACACCTGAAGTCTGTTCATAAATTTAGCATGCAAGAATAGTATAGTATTCGGCTGTTTATATAGAAATTGATTCATAGCGTTAATGTGCAATAATAGCAAAAATATGCCAAAGGAATAGTAAAAATATAGGAATAATATAGCGATAATATAGCAATAATACAATAAAAAAAATGACACAAATATACCCAAAAATGGCAGAGACTTTTTTCCCTCGGCTTTCAATACACGAATATTTAGCCCATAACCATCTTTATACTAATAATATCATTGTTTATCTCAGAATGTCAAAGAAATTTTGGAATTGTTTTGTAATCTTTTCAAGCTCTGGTGAGAATGGATTTTCAGCTCTTGCATCGATAGTGATGTGCTCAATAACACCTCCATTAAGCTTCTCAATTCATCCCGAAAATTTGGCCAACTTTCATAATTTTATTGTTAAATAACTTCACATTTAGCTTTCTTGAAATGAAAATATTATCAATGGTTTCAATTTCATTATTATTTAGCCAAAGAATTTTGAGTCTTTGTAATGCATCTAAATTCTCAATTATCCTGATTTTATTACTTCTTAAATCCAAATGTTTCAATTTGGTCAATTTATCAACTCCTCAGATTTTCGAAATCACATTTTGTCCTATATTCAAATTAACCAAATTTCTCAATTTCTCAAGATTCTCAATCCCATTCACCTTGTTGTTCATCAAATCCAACGAGGTCAACTGTTTCAAATGGCTTAGATTCTCAATTTTGTTCATTTTATTGTTTGACATCAGCAACTTCTTCAAATTCTTCAACTCATCCAACTTTTCAATCCTAGTAATTTCACAATTCACCATATAAAGTTCCACAAGATTAATTAACTGCTTCAAATTTTCAATTCTTAAAACCCTGTTTCCAGATACCGATAGACGCTTTAAATTGTTCAACTTGTCCAAATTCTCAAGCCTGGTGATTTGATTTTCCCCAATCATCAACTCTTCTAGATTTCTCAATTTATCCAATTTATCCAACTTGAAGATTTTATTGCGATCCAACCGAACTGTTTTCAAATTCACCAATTCATCCAAATTTTCAATTCTAATCGTTTTATTATTTTGTAATCCACATTTTCGTAAACTCCTACTCAAATTTTCAATCTTATAAATCATATTATAATCTAATTTAAGAATCTTTACATTATTATTCAAGTCTTCAATTTTAAAAATTTAGTTTTGCGAAGCATCAAACCTTTTTAGCTTTTCTAGCTTTTCGATTTTTTCAATCTTCCCAATCAAATTCAGACGCAAATTTAACACCTCCAACTTTCTCAATTCATTAAACTCAACTGGAATCTTAAAAATCCGATTTGCATGAAGATCCAAAACCTTAAGATTTCTCAACTTTGAAATTGATGAATCAATCGAGTTGATTCCACAAGAACTGATTGTAAAATTTTCTAATCTACTCAATCCATCCAACTTTTCAATAACTGTCAATTTAGAATTGTGTGATAATATCAATTTTTCCAAATTATTTAACCCGTTCAATTTTTCAATCTTCCTTAATCCGTTGTGTGACAAATTCAACCATTTAAGGTTAATTAAACGTCCCAAGTTTTCAATCTTGCTCAATTCATTGTTTGATAAATCCAACACTTGCAAACTAACCAGCCCATCCAACTTTTCAATCTTCTTTATCATATTTTCACTCAAATTCAACTGTTTCAAATTACCAAAATACTTTAAATTATCAATTTTCTTAATCGCATTACGCTTGAAACTTAAAACCTCTAACTCGCTTAGTTTTGGTTTTTTCAATAAATCCAACTTATTCAAATTCTTAATATCAACTGAAAGATGTATTCTCTTTAATTGCCGAGGATCCCGGATAAACCGATTCAAAATAATCTTTAAATTTTTAACCATAATCTTGCTACACAGCTTGGCGTCTTCCGACAATATCGACATGTGAAACTCAACCGGATTGGCAATACTAATGCTTTCAACATTTTCAAAATAAACATCCTCCGCTAATAATCGGTCAATGAATGATTGGCATTTCTCACCAATTACCCTTCGATCTGTGTCTCTGATCAAATAGTAATCAACCGTAAAATCAATCATGAGTCTTTTATTGAATTTTTTCAAGCAATCTTTAAATAAAAGAAAATTATCCTGGATTAAAAGAATCCAGTTTTTTTTGATCTTTCGGAGCAAAAAGCAATTCATAAATTTCATCTGAATGAATGTCAAATAGAAAAAGTTTCAATGTTCGAAAGTCTCCTGCAACACAAGTTGGAGATGCCATGATTGTCTGAGAGTGTGAGCAACCAAACAATGTCCAATGGCAAATCCTCAACAACCAACAGGAAGAGATCAGGATGAAATAACGCAAATTCCATTAGAATAAGCGTGTTTTTTTGGTGAGATATGATACCTATGTTTTCCAATTAAACAATATATTAATTGGTTTTTTCTCCTTTCAATCAATTGTTGTAGTTCAACCGATTGATGTAGAAAATACCCTTTTATATCTTCTAGGAACTTATATATATATTGGTCAGCAGAGTCCAGATTTGTGGATTATTGACTTTCCTAATTGGTGTTTTCGAGATTCCTTGGTATTCTACTCTTGAAAAATATAAAGAGAGGCGATTTTATCGATTGCCACCCCCCTTGTTTATAAGTATCCAACACACGCTGAGTCAGTGCTGGGTCAGCCGGAACTATGGCTTATTCCGTGCTCAGCCTTTTTGATAGCTGGAAACTGCATTTTGTAGAATTTCACTCCAACATCAGATGAAGTAGACGAGGTTGCTCACAATAGTTGATTCTGCTTCTATTGTATTGTTCAACTGCCCCAATTGGTGTTTCAGGCTGTTTTATTGATTCAGATGTTTTCTCTCTATTCTCGCTCTTTGATTTTCTAACTGGTGGTTTGCATTGACATCAACTGTCTATTTGGTTTTATCAAAGACTGAAGCAATAAGAAACATGAATTTCGCTAAAGCTGCTGCTGTTGCTGCTACTCCTAACAATAGAGACGTCCATAGCAGTGTCTATCAAAATGGCGATCATAAGGACAATAAGATCAATACTAGCAGTACTAGCAATATTACTGGTAATAGTAATCACAAGAAACGGAATGCCATGAATTTGAACATTAATATAAACATAAACTTTGTTTACTTTGACTCGTTAGATTCAAAGATTATACAATATTATTATAACATATCTAAAATATCTTACTATATTAAAGATATATCTTCAGTTCTTCAACTGATTGTTCAGAACAGGCTCGATAACAATAATATAACCATTTTATTACATTATATCTTGTCTTTTTCTGGCTTCACTTTTAATATTGATAATCTCTTATTTAATGATTTTTTGTCAATATTGACCCCTAAAGATAATAACTATATTAATAATAATAATAATAATAATAATAATAATAATAATAATAATGGTAGTAATATTAGTGATAATAACGACAATAATAGTACCACGTTAGCATCATTTGATTTTAAAGGTTTATCCCGGTTTTATTCTCTTCCATTTATAAATCATAATATAAATCACATACAAACCCTATTAAATGAATTTAATTTTCTATTAATTAAAGCAAAGAGCTTATATATAAAAAACTTAAATTTAGCTTTAAATAGAAGAACTATATTAAGAAATTTAAACAAAAATTTCAATAATGACAATATTCTCAATAACATTAATAACAATAACCAGAATAATAACACTAAAAATGAAATTTTTGATAAAAATTTGATTATAGATTTGCTACTACCAATTTTTCAAATTGACACTTTGAATTCTTTTATTGTATATAATAATATTAAAAATAATAATGATTATTTTATTATAAATTATCAAAAATTTAATAATTTAATAGTCATTTTGAAAAAATCTTTAAAAATAATTCAATTTCAAATTATCAAATTTCAATCAAACCAAATTAATAATTATAATTCTCTAAAACTTTTTAAAAACTATGATTATTTAATTCACAGAATTTTTACTATAAATTTAAAATTAATTGATTATTATATTATATTCAAGAACATTCATACTATTTTATTAAAATTTAATAATAATAATAATAATAATAATAATAATAATAATAATAATAATAATAATAGTATTTTGATTAAAAGAATGATAAATGATTTTAATAAATATTTGAATAAGGAAAACGAATTGTTTCTAATCAACTCTTTTATTAATAATTATTTAAAAATTGACTCAATTATTGAATTTTCTGTTGAAATTATCAATAATTTGATTGACTTATTAATGAATTCTTGGAACATTATTTTGACAGCTTTTAATAAATTAAAACTCATAAATAAGCTATTGAATAAATCGATAAATATCAATATTATTAGTGATACTGATTATAAAATTATTCCTAATATTAATCTTAATGATACCAGCTTTAATATTACTGAAAATAATTTAAATAAAAAAACGTCAATAAATTCAATTAGATCCAATGGTTCACCAATCAATATTTCTAGAAGTTCAAGTTTATTATCGAAACCGCGACATATATCAACTTATGAAGATGGTCTATTAATAAATTCATTTAATAATTTAGAAATTAGAAACGAATTGAAAAAATCCGATTCAATGCAATTATTAGGAAATATTATAAATAATAAGAATAATAATGAAGAACAAAAGTATATAGCATTAGCTGGAGCATCATTTGCGATTAATAATAAAGTAAATCGAGGTAATAAGACGATTAAAAAATCTAATTCAATGTCGAACCATATGAACCACTTAGTAGGATTAAATGAAAAAAATAAAAAGGATAATGAAAGTCATGATGTGAATTCAATTAAAGATGGTATTCTGAATACTCAAAATGTTTTAAATATTGATAAAAGCATTGAAAAAAACAAGGAAAAAAATAAAATTGAAATTAAAAAAGTTCGATTTATTGGAGTGCCGAAATATACTGTTAATGAAGATATTGGACATAAAAGATTGAAGATAACACCATTAGATAGTAAGGTGAAGAAATATAAAAAAAAAACTAGTAAATTGAATAGAGAAGAGGGCCGAGTTTTCCATGAAATTGTTAGGGGAGGATGGAATGAAGATAAGATGAATTTTATTCAATCCAATTTGGAAAAGTGAGATTTTTTTTTATGCTAAATTATTTAACAAGTTATTAATGTTATTTAAGTTATTTTCATTTTCTAATTGAATGTTATTTAAAATTCTTTCAAACTTTAATTTTTCATGATCATTGTTTAGAATATCTGAATTTAGTAATAATTTGAACGATTTAGTGTCTATGTAAATGTTTCGTGGATTATTTTTCAACATTAAATTGTTTTCAATGTTATTATTATTGTTTTCAAATTGGATCGATAAATCATTTAATTGGTTATAAAAATTTATAGATTCTGATTTTAGGAAAATTATTGAATCAATTAATGGAGATAGAGATCTTAAATTTTTCAGATTAGTTTTGTTATGATTTCCATTATTGTTATTGTTGAATAGGATTAAATTTTTATAAAATTTCAAAGATTTTAATATTTTTTTACCTCTTGATAAATAGGATAAAAAGATTTTTCTAATTTTCAATTGAATTAGCAAATGATTTTCAAGGATATTAATTTTTTCAATTAAATCTAAGTAGTCTGATTTATTTATTGATATATTCTTTTTATTAAATGATTTAAGAGATTTGTGATGATTTAGAATAAGATAGTTATTGTCGATTAAGTTTGAATCGATATTGAATATATTTCTTAAGGTGTATAATTCAAAGATATCAAAGCTTTTATCTATTGAAGATTCTAGAAGGGTTTCTAATTTTGCGGTACCGATATCTATTTCATCTTGGATTTGAGATTTCAATTGAGATTTGAAATTTTTAGAAGAGTTGGTGCTATTTGAATTGTTTTTTAAATTGTTATCAAATTCGGTTAGGTTAAATTTCAGGGAGGATTGAATTAAATAGTTTGATATGGCATCGACACATTTTGCCATGAGTTCATTGACAGCATTGAATATATCATCTATAACGGAAATTGGAGGAAACCCGAAATGTTCAGTTAGTAATTCAATTGTTCTTTGATCAAGAGCAGACATTTGGAAGCAAGTTAGTAGAGTAAGATAGAGTGAGATAGAGTAAGATAGAGAGAGATAGATGTATAGAAACAAGAGCTAAAAGTTAAAAAACATAAATTAAGCAATAAAAATAAGCCGAAAGATATAAAATATAGGATTGTTGTGTTAAGTTATATAGCTATATTCATTATAGTCAAATGTAGTTATTAGTTTGATGTATTAAATTAATTAGTTTGTTTATGTTTACCAAATTGACTCAAATCAAAAACAAACAAAGTTTATTTTTGTAAACATACATGTGATCTATTATGCATGAAGGTGATATATACCGCGTTATTATGTAATTTGTTGATTTTCCGAATAGAGCCGTTGGGGTGGATATCTTTATATGTTTATTTACAAGAATTGAATATGGATAAGGGAGGAGAATTTAAAAGATTATCTAAAGATTCTTTCAAATGGCCTTGTATCATTAAAGCAAGATTCCCAGACCTCGTCAATGACTTTTTCAGCTCGTTGTTTGTTTTCACATTGAGGATTACTAGTGAGAGAAAGAATGGCTCTTCTTTTTACACACTCCTGGTGGCCCTTTTTAAAATTTTTCATTGCACCTTTAAAGAATTGGTTAGCAAATCTGCATTCACCACTAAGAGAGCTCGCTCTTATTTCTGAGCAAGCATGGTGACGAAGGTTGAACCAATCGACTTTAAATTTCAAGTTATCGTAAGCATGAACTAATTCGTGGGTCATTATATCTTCCAATTGCCATTTACTGTAGATTCTATTTTGACAGATTAGTACACCTAGTTCTGAGTTGAAACCACCACCTTTAAATTCATTGCAGTGTTCGCAGATTATATTGTTTTCATTAATGTAGGGAGTGTTGGGGTTGGGAGATATGTCTTTGATTTGCTGTAGCATGAATTTAACGCTGGGGGAGTATTGTAGCATCCAATCTCGATATTCGTAGCATGCTTCACAATCTCTTTTTTGTTTTCTATCTTGGGCATCTTTTTCATATTGAAGTTTATCTTGGTCAGATAAACTGATTCCAGTTTTGTATTGCACAGTTCTTCTCCACCAGTCGAAAGCCTTTGATTCACTGATATTGTTTGTATTTTTGTCTATACTTTGTGTATTTTGTATATCATCTGACGCCATTTTTTTTAGTATTTTTAATTTTCTATTTCTATTTCTATTTCTATTTCTTCAAGTGAAATTTCTTTATTTGTAACGATAGTGGATAAGTATGGATAGAAATCCAGATTAGGCCTATAGACGGGTAACTGAAAAGTTTTTCAGTAGCAAAATCATAATTGGTAATTACAATATATCATAATATGGATGATATCATAAGCGTCATTATCATAGACATACTACTGACTGAAGAAGCTGAGTAAAGTGGATCGATTAAAGATGAAAAGTAACATATGGATAGCAGCTGCAGACAATGAAATTGAGCAGGTTTTACAGTATTTGAATAGCGGACAATATACAGCCAATTCTAAAGACGAAAATGGGTACACACCAATCCACGCTTCAGTGAGTTATAATAATATAGAGTTGTTACGGTTGTTGATCAACAAGTATAATGGAGATATAAACATCCAGGATAACGACGGCGATACACCATTGCACCATGTGGAGGAGTTGTCTATGGCGAAAGTTGTGGTTGAAGAGTTTCATGCCAATTTGGGGACCAAAAACAACGAAGGACTCAGTCCAGTCGAGTACATTGAAAACGAGATGGAATATCCAGAGATCGTGGACTATTTGAGGTCCTTGGGTGACCAGAGCCAGCAGGGCAGCAGCCCGGGCTCCAGCGAAATGGCAGCCAGCGAGCAGCAGTTGGTGAACGAAATGGCCAGCCAGGTTCGGTACTCGTTTGAGCACATGGAGGACGCCAACATGTCCAGCGAACAGCGACAGCAGTTGGAGGCCATTTTGCTGAGCGAACACCCTGAGGAGCAGCTCCGGCAGCACATCCAGGGCCTTGTGCATCGCCAGCGCCACAACAGCCACAAGAAGCAGAAGTAGCGCGCGACAGCCCAAAGCGCCCTCATTCTGCGCCCGATTGTCCGCCGAACAGCCCTGTTTCGATCCGTCGGTGCTTCCAAGATTTTGTCTTGAGGCTATTTATATCTTGTTGTTCCCACGCTCTTGGTTCTGGATCTTGCGTCGGACTGTTGCACCTTCTTCTTCTCCTGCCCCAGTTGCTCCCTTTTCTGCTCTTTTTTCTTCGCCACGCTCTGCGCCAGCCCTATATATATCCACTTTCCCCTGTCTTTTCCTGTCTTTCACCTCTCCTATTTCCTCTCTTCTAACCAATAATGAGCAGCTTCAGAGGCGACGACTTGGTGGTAAGTACCTTTTTTTGAGTCCTCTGCTTCCAACACCTCGACCATTGCCAGCACTACTAACACTCTTTTTCATTGCCTTTTTTTCTGGCTCTTTCCGGTTTTTTTTCATCGCAGGTATTTACCACTCCCCAGGATTTGCATAGATCAAAATCAAGCGAGAATTTGATTGAACCAAAGCCTTTGCAGCAAAACAAAACCAATGGCAAAACCCATAGAAAACCCATATCTGATGCTTCTTGTCTAGACACAATGCAAAATGCCAACCAGTACAAATTGGCCCTACAAAATGGTGGTCCATTGCCAATTCCTGATTATGAAAAAAATCAAAAACATACAAGTTTAAGGAGAAAAACCCCTTCTCCAAATTCAACTGGCAACAATTATAATCTCAACCAAAATCAAAATCAAAACCAAAGATCTTATCCCAATCAACAACCTACAAACTACCAACAACCTACAAACTACCAACAACCACAACCCACAAACTATCAACAACAGCCTGCTAATTATCAACAACAACAACAACCGACAAATTACCAACCTATATTTCCTGCTCGAAATCTTACCGGAGGCCCGGCTCCAAATTATCCTCAAAATCAACAATACCAACAATATCAACAACAGTACCAACAGCAACCTCAATATCCCATGTCTCCACAAAGTATCAATCATAGACACTCTGTTCAATATACAAGCGTAAACCAAATGCCTATGATCCCAACTCTTACGGGCCCAATGCCTCAACAACCACCACCACCACAGCAACAGCAACAACAACAACCACCTGCTCCTCGTAAATTCATCAGTGAAGACCAACAAGTGTATGTCATCTTCAACAGAATTGACTCTGATAGAGATGGTGCTATATCCTTTGAGGAATTAAGAAACTCAATTAAAAACGATGATAATTCAATTTTCTCCGCTTCCTCAATTAAAACTCTAGTCAAATACTGTCTACCCGATAGATCAAAAAATTTAAAAATATCAAATCTAAACACTTTCTACATCGATTTCACCGACTTCAAAATCATCTATAAACATGTCCTCAAATGGAAACAAGTCTTTCAAAACCAAGATGAAAACCAAAGCTCAACAATTGAATTTGCTGAATTTGCAAAGGGTCTATCTCAACTAGGCTTTGAATTGCCTTCCGAATTAACTAAATTTGTCTTCACCAAATACTCTACCTCAAATGAAATGAAATTCGACGCCTTCATTGAAAGTGTCTTGGTCATAATCGCAATAACTAAAATATTTGAAAGATACGACTCTCAAAAGAGAGGTGTAGCTGAAATTCCTTATTTCGATTTCATGAAAGATGTCTTTGAAGTATTAGAAAATTACTAATTATCATTAAATTTACCATCCAAACTTATTAAAAACATTATCAGAATTTTAATAAATAATGCTGTCTATTCATTTATAATCTATTTAACTTTATTGACCTGATCAAATCTCTTTATATTTTTTTATTTATCATTCTATTTCTTTTTTGTCTTGATTTCTTGATTATTTTTGTTTTGTTTTGTTTTGTTTTGTTTTTGTTTTTGTTTTGTGGGTTAACGCTGTTCATTGACTCATTTTCTTTTTACCTAATCTACTTAATTTCAGTTTATCTTTTTGTTTGTTTACTTTATTTTATTTTATTACATTTGTATTTTTATATACTCCAATTGTTTGTCCAAAATGTTTTAATTAGAAATATTGGTATTTTCTTTAACTCAATCAAAATATAATCTCTTCAGTTTCTAATCCACAAATCTTACATTTTCTCCTTATCATATTTTCCTCATATTTCTCATCATCTCCATTACCACCAAATGCTTGAGACCAATCATGCTGATGCTCACTTGCTCCCTCTCTCGCCTTGAATCTTCTCGTAAACTCTTCTGCTCGAGTTCGTTTTCGAATCTCCAACAACTTTTTCTCAAACTCTTTACTCTTTTTAATATTTTTAACCTCTTCTCTTCTTACCCATTCCTTATCCAACCCGTCTTCGCCTCCCCATTTTTTAAATGCAAATTCTTCCACTTGATACCTCAAATACAACTTCATTTTATTATACTTGTAATGTGGATTGTCCTTCTCCTTTCTCGGCAAAATATCAACATCATTCAACTCGGATTCAGTTAAAAAGTAATCTTGTTTACACTCGGTTTTGGTTAGCAACGAATATCTATCGGGATTTTTTTTCTTGCAGTTTTTACAAACTTTACACTTGTATATTTTCAAGAATTCTTCATCAATTAAAATAGATGAGCAATCTTCGCATTTGGGCGCTGAATCAATATCAATAGGAAATTTTGGCAACTCATTATTATCATTTTTATTTAGAAATGTGATATTTTGATTTTCTTTGGTCCATTCTTCTAAAGTCTTTTTCCCATTATCCAATTCACTTTTATCGATTATAAACCCTCCGTTTGTATCCTTTATCTCAGATAAATCATATTGAATATAATCTTTTCTATTAATCCGAAATTTATTTGCAAAATATTTTTCTTTATCAAATCTTTTGGACTTTGAGTTTGAGTTTGAGTTTGAGCTTGAGCTCAAGTTCGAATTTGACTTTGAATTTGAATTTGAATTTGAATTAGATACACCAAATGATTGGTTATTGTAACCTCTAGGTTTCTTATTTGCCAGTTGTTCTCCCAAGCTTGAAATAGTTGCTCCATCCTTTCGTTTCAATCTATCCAATCTTTCCTGTATTTTTCTTCGATTTTCAGACTATTTAATCATTCCTCGTTAGTTTAATGAAAACATCAGTACAAAATTTTGCAACAACTTACAATAATCTCCTGATTAGAAGGCATTATGGGCAATACAAATATTAATTAACTATAAATCTATTTAAAAGTTGATATTAAAATGGAAAATGGAAAATGAAAGAAAAAAATAAGCTTAAAAATACTGTGCAATCATGTGAAAACAAGTCTAATACCAAATCAAAAAGAATAGCAAATGTTAGTAATCAAAACTTCAGAATACAAATGTTTATGAAAAAAAACAAAAAACCAACGCATGCTGATTATATCAAGACAATTGAATGTCTCTTGATCAGTAGAAAGCTGTTTACATGATTTGAAAAACCAATGTGGAACTAGGCGTTGTCCCTGATTACTTCAACTTCAAACGCAAATTATATCATCATTCAAAAATAGCATGAAATCAGTAAAAGAAAAAACAAACAAACATACCATATACACAGTCTAAGCCCATTAGCCAAAGAAGGCTCTGTTGATACGCCTTTGGTGTTTCGAAACGTTGGAAAAGCTCAGACAGTGGAAAGAAAGCAACTTTTATACCACCTCAAACGACTTTCCGCAGGGTAACAGCGTGCTTCTGATGAGGGTTCTGGCGCCTGTTTTGTAAGCAGAGCAAAGTCAGAAGAGCCTTTATTACACAACAGACAAGATATATACTAAAAACGAGGGCGTCTTTTTCTCCCAGTGAACTTGGAGTCCTTGGACACTTTTTTTCCTCTTTTTATCATCAAGTCCTTCTTTCTCTTGATAAACTCTCTTGTGCTTTCTAGTTCTTTTCGTTGTTTGACACTCAATTTCTTTTTGACCACAGGAGCATCCATCATCACTCCTTCTAAATTGACTGCTTTCTCTGATACACCAGCTGTAAGAACAAGATAGTATTTTTTATTTTTCTTGCTGTCTGGATTGTCAATAACTAAACCACCACTAAACCCAGCTACTCTTGCACTATGCTGGATCAAGTCAATTTGTTTGTCATTTTTGGGATAGAATTGTGCAACAAATTTCCCACCTCTTTTGAGACTTGAGAATAGAGAATTAAAAAATCGCATCAATCTTTTTTTGGGATCTGCATTGGATGTGTCTGCATTACACAACCATTGAATTGCTGAAATTGATATTGCAGCATCAAAGGTTCCTGCTCGAAATGGGACTCCATCTCCTATATCACTTAGTAACAAGTCTCCATCAACCTCTCTATTGAGAGCTGTTATTAACATGTTTGGTGAAATATCCATTCCTATCCAGTTATAGCCTTCTTCTGTCAATATTTCTCCAGATAACCCAGATCCACATCCAATATCAAGTATAAATTCAGCTGTCGATGACAAATTTAGCAATTCCAATGATCGAAGCGTCATTTCGGCCTGGATTTGTTGAATACGAGTATTGGATGTATATTTCTGTGATTCCACTTCATTATAAAATACTTCTGGTGGTGCTATTTCTTCAGGTCTCGACATTGTAATATGGTTTTATTATATTTTAATTCCAATCTTCAATCTCCAATTTATAAGTTTTCTTTTCTGTTAATTATCAGCTTTGGAGATAAACAATTATTAGGCTATTTTGATTTGTTTCAATTGATGGAAAACTTTTTTTTTGAAATTTTTTTGATGATGGAAAAGCCAGGAGTTTGGATATCTGCTTTTACATGCATAATACTGTATTCCATACATTTAGTTTCCTCAACTAACAAAATCCAATTATTTGGATGTTAGAGGTTATGTTTATATAACTATAAAATAGTATTTGTTGAATTAAAAGTAAAGCAATATTTATTTACAAAATAATGAATATGTAATTGTGTTTATATTTAGCGATGCTTGGCTCTTAAAGATTTCATATGGGCTTCCAAATCAGGAACATCTAGTCTGGTACCTCTAATATAATAATGTCTAGATCTCTTATTACGTTTCTCTGGTTTACTAACCACATCAATTCTTTCAACTAGTGGAGAGAATACTTTAACTCTCAATTCAACACCTAGTTTAGTGATTTTATTTCTCAATAATAAACTTGAATCCAAACCTCTTTTAGTAACTGATAAAATATAGCCGAAAAATGGTGGATTTGAAGATGAATTTTTAAATGTGACTTTAACTATATCACCACTTCTTAATAATTCACTAGAACTTTTCATTAATAACTTTCTTCTCCATCCCGTTGGATCGTACGTATCATATTTGGTATTTTTCCAATCTTCTAATAAAACACTTGTATTATATTTGACTTGGTGTGGGAGCGGTTTATAAACAGGAATTATCTTTCTTTTATTTCTTAAAATTTGATAACCAGCCTTTTGAATGTATGAATTCACAAATTTAAAAGAAGCTAGATTATTAGGTTTCAAAGATGAAACACCAATTTTGGATAGCAACATCTTGATGGTTTATTTTTCTATTGTTTTCTTAATCTTTATATTCTGAGACTGATTAATCATGTCGAATGAAAAAAATATCGTTTTCAAAAAAGTCATGTGACTATTTAATACACTTTAATTGGGGAAATTATAACACAAAGGAGATTGGAAACAATTTTAATAACAAATCAAAGAAAAACAACATATAAGTGATTTTCAAAATGAATGAGTTAAACCAAATGATTGCAGAATATGAAAACTTTTTTAAAGAAATAAAATTAAGAAAAAATCGAAAAGAAATCCCAATGATTGAATCCAATATTGTCTTTATTGATTCGGTTAATTCAAATACAAAAAACAACTTTAAAAACAATACCGAAAACAAAAAAAATGACGCCGTTGAATATCTCAATATAAAAACGTTTGAAAATAATGAATATAATGTGTTTTTTAATAGTAGTGGATGGTATGCCAAACAAGTGTCGCCCATTACAATGTATCTTGACAGAAAATACGAAACATTTGAAGCGTTGTTTATGAATTTGTCAAAAAAATTCGCAGAAACATGGCATAAAGAATTGAGTAAAAAGTTATTGGCTTTACCGAATTTTTGAAAAGCTGGATGACGATAAAAAAGACTTATACTTATCTAAATTATACAGCTAAATAAAAATTAACCAAAAAACATGAATTTTAACAAATATAAGCAAATAAAACATAGCGCCGCCTGGTTTCGATCCAGGGACATCAGGGTTATGAGCCCTGCGCGCTTCCGCTGCGCCACGGCGCTAATTCGATGATATATGAATTGTTATAATTGTTAATAGAAATAAATTTAGAAAAATTGTAAAAAGTTTAAAATTAAAATTAAATATAATTACGTCCCGCATTTGTTAGCATTTCAACGTTAGACCACTCTTAGCATTTATCAAGCCGGAACTTGCTTCATTGGGACATGTTCGGAATTGATTTGGAAAGGGAAGTGGAGGATCTTGCCCAGAACATCTGATTCAGCGCTACGACGAAACGACTATAAACGAAATTTGTTAGCACTGGGAACGAGCGCAACGGATGCGCTCTGTTTAACATTGGCCATTTTTTCATATCACCCCATCTTCGACAAACACAGAGAGAAACTGGTAAAATTGCTTTCAACAAAAATTAAATATATATTTACAATTTTTTTCACCTTTTTATTTTTATTATATTGCATTTATATTTTTTGTTTGAAATATCATCGAGCGTTTTGAATTCTTTATCACAAATATCTTGACAAAAAAGTGATTAGGTTTTTGCTCTAATTTTGCTTTTCTTTGCTAATATTCTTTTTTTTTTAGCTTTAGTTACACTGCTTTCGTTGATAATAATTCGCTTATAAATCAACCTATCAACCATGGACATAGTGTTAGAAGGATTTGATTATTATATTTTCGATAAATTTTACGCCTCTCTTTTCCCCATTTCATTGAATGGCCATTTACCAACTTCGATTTCTAAAAATCTCAAGTTGGGAAATTATTCTTCAACATTAAATGATTACATTCAACTACAAAAACAATCTAGCTTAAATGATGATAATGAGCATCTAATTAAATTGACCAAAGAATATATCACTGAAAAGGATATATACGGTTATTTTGCTAAATTTTTTCCAGAAAATGAAGATATGTATCTTTCAATTTTCAGTAGAAATCATCTATTTAGAGAATTCTTAAGTTTGATGATAGTGATGACTATATTTGGTTGGATTCTCTATTTAACTTGTGCAACTTTTTCCTATAGATATGTGTTTGATAAGGAAATCTTTAACCATCCAAGATATCTTAAAAATCAAATGTCTCTTGAAATAAAACAGGCAGTTTCTGCGATTCCCATCATGGTTCTTTGCACTGTTCCTTGGTTTATGCTTGATATTAATGGATATTCAAATTTATATCTAAACGTCAATGAAACTTCTGGTGCTTGGCCTTATGGTTGGAAAGCCATCTTCTTTGAATACTTCACTTTTATTATGTTTACAGATTGCGGAATTTACTTAATTCACAGATGGTTGCACTGGCCAAAAGTTTATAAAATGTTCCATAAACCACACCATAAATGGATCGTCACAACTCCCTTTGCTTCTCATGCTTTCAACCCATTTGATGGTTATTTTCAATCTGTTCCTTATCATATTTATCCTGCTTTATTTCCCTTGAATAAAGTCTCATATTTGATTTTGTTCACCTTTGTTAATTTTTGGACCGTAATGATTCATGATGGTGAATACTTAACTAATGACCCAGTTGTCAATGGTGCTGCTTGTCATACTGTCCACCATTTATATTTCAACTATAATTATGGTCAATTCACAACCTTGTGGGATAGATTAGGCGGTTCCTATAGAAAACCTGAAAGAGAATTATTTGATAAATCAAAAAAAAAAGAAAAACAAACTTGGGAAAAACAAATAGAAAAAATGGAAAAAATTAGAAACACTGTTGAAGGAAAAAATGATGACAGAGTTTACGGTACTGAAAATTTCTTATTGAAGAAAAAAAAATGATTTCGTAAAACAAATTAAAAAACCCTTCTTTGAATTATTTCAACAAATCAACAAAATTTTCCCTAAAATCAAATTTTCCAATTTTTACACAAATTGAACGATTTTTGTACGATAAAAACATTTCCACCTCTGAACATTATGTTGATTTTAACTATTAACATTGCCCTTATTCTAATAAAATTGATATTCTTTGTATGATGTTAACATGATAAATATTCCAAAGCTTTACGCAATTATTTATTATTCCTTTTGTTATCATTTATTTTTATTTTATTTTTATTTCTATTTTTTTGCCAATCTTATTTTGTTTTATATTTCAAATTTCACTTTTACTATTAACCATACTTGTTTTATACACAAAGATATTTTTTTTTTGTTGCTTTCATAATATTTTTAATTTTTAGTTCTCTATGCCCTTTTTTATTTTGTGAGTTTTTTTTTTTTTTTTTCTTTTGGCAATTTAAACAATTGATGTTGGATTTTTAATGTTCATTACTTTAGTACATATATATATAAACTTAACTTATAGATATATGTGATTATGATTATAAATATATCAATAAACTAAATGTTAACACGGTTTTATTTCTATTTTCTTATATTAATAGTATATTTCCTGATACTCACATTTTTTCAAAACAGGGAAATACTCAACATAGTTCATTTTTCTTTTTACGTCATCAAATAGTTTTCCCACATTAATAACTTTTGTGCCCATATAATTGATATCAAAGAAATCAATACTTGAATCCAAAAGTATTAAAGTATTGGGTGATGGAATTAAAGTTAATAGTTGATCAAACTTTGAATTTATCGGCACGATATCAGAACCAAAAGGTACTAAATGAGATTGGTTAATTATAGTTTTGACTAATTTATTTGAATTTAATTTAAATGAACTTGTCTTTGAAATCTGGTCAATTTTTTTTTTAGTCAAGTTATCTAGAATTGATTCACCTCTCTTTTGCTGATTTAGCAATGACTTATCAACGTTTTGATTCTCAAGCTCTTTATCAGAGTCAATTTCTAAGACAATTTGATTTTCATTGTTAGTATAGATATCAGTATCAATGTCGATTCCATTTTCATTTTCATTTTCATTTTCATTTTCATTTTGTTGATCTAAATCACCTTGAAATTCAATTTCATTCCTTTTAATTCTTTCATAAATATCATCTCTAAAAACTACCAACTCTTGACTTAAATAGTATATTTTAAAAGGATTTGTCACTAATTGAAAATTTTTAATCAATCTTTTCAATCTACTAAAAAAAATATCAGGTAATTTATTTAATGGAAATAATAAAGATTTTGAGCCCTGAGATACTAGTGAATTGAAAGGATCATTTTCGCCAGGAACAAAAATAAAATGAACATTTGAACAAATCAAGGGATATTTTGATAATAGTAAAGCTAAAGAATCAAAAAACGATTTATAATTTGTTGAAGACGCAGTGCTTGATTCATTAAAAGAGGTTAATTCAAAAGAATTTAAAATAAAAGAGCCGGAAAATACTATTGATAATGGTAGGTTGTTTAAATCATTTGAAATTTTTTCAAATAATTTATTTAAAACTAAATAGTAATTAGGATTGTCTAAGAAACAATTTGAGCCTAATATGATAATTTTATGTAAAGGGTTATTCAGATTGATGTTATTATTAATGGTATTAATAGGTAAAGAGAATGAGTTTTCATATTTTTGTCTTAGAGAATGTTCAAAATCATAAATTTTTTCTAGTAAATTTAGATTTATTCTTGGTAATTCATTGTAAATAATTGAATTATTTAGATTTCTACCACCGGCACTATTATTATTGTTATTATTGCTGCTGATGATTTTATTTGGCCTTGTAATAATTTTAATAAAATTGTTATTGTTATTATTGTTGTTATCATCATCATCATCATCATCATTATTATTATTATTATTATCAAAAAAATCCAAATAGTTATTATTGTAAATGTTATTGAAATCTATGTTACCAAAGTTGTTTAATGTCAGTGATCTCTTTTCTGGCAAGGGATGATAAATTAATTTAACGAGAAAATTTGAAATACCGCCAAAATTCAAGTATGTTCCTTTACATAACAAGTAACAACCTAGAAAGTAAAAGGAATTATTAATTGAGTTACAAGATCTGAAATCCAATTGAATCAAGCCAGATGAATCGTTTAATTGGTAGTTTCCAAATTGATTTTTATTCAAAAGACCAAAGATTAAAAAGGATTCACCATGTCTACCTAGAAGATTTTTTATTAGAGAAATTTTTTTAATGTTATCAATATTATTGTGGTGAGTATTTTCGGTGTCGTCAATGTTATTTGAGTAATATAAAGAAGAAAAAGAATTAAAGTCTACTATGTAATTGTCATTTCTCAATAGTCTTTCGTAAATTAAATGATAACGATTTAAGTTTTTTGATAGGATATCGTCTATTGAAGGTAGCTTGAAAGAAAGCAAAGAATCATTAATTGTATTGTTTTTATTGCTTATGGGCTGATTTTTAGCCTTATTATCTAAAAAAAAGGGACTGTAAATTAGTTGAAACTGTTTTCTTAAATTGTTGTATTTGTAGATATATTGACTATTGGTATCTAGCACTTTGTAAAAATTTTGCCATTTGATTTTAAAACTTTTCTCCAATTCATTTGATTGTGTGACGATTTGAGTATCACCAGGAGCGTCCTCACTATCAATGACGCGTGATTCGTCGTTGATATTGATTTGAGAGACGTTGTTCTGCAAATCGACAAAAGTGTCTGATCTCAAGCTGTCACTTGAGAGAATGTTGGTTTTCGCGTTATGGCTCGACTCTTGTGCTTTTTGCTTATTGATCTCGCTGATAACAATCTTTAAGTTTTCACCATCAATGAATAAATTTGTGTTTGATTGGAACTTGATCTTCCAGTACTTTGCAACATCCTCGATAAATGCCAACGATTTGGGAGATTTCCAGTTGGAACCATAGGTCCTGCCGATGTAGTCAGTCAAGACTTGCAAAGCAGAGGACTTGATGTGCAAGCCATAGGTCTTGGACAAGATTCTGTAGGCAAAGGGTCGCACACTAGACGTGCTGAGCCTGACAGGAAGCGCAATGGGATCCAAGTTCTGGCTGTGAGACGAGCTTGAGGAGGCCATTTTCTACCTCCATTTTCCACCTCCAGCCCACACCATCCAGCTCTGATTATATCGTGCACCCAAAGCGGAAAGCGCTGACGTAAGCAGATCGCGTGATGTTTTGTTGTTTCTGTTTCGACCGGACTATTCCGACCTTACTTACAATCACGTGCAATTTGCGAGAGTTTGAATACAGCAAATCATGGTTTCTTTCGTGGAAGGAAAGAAATGGAGTATTTTGTCCAAAGAGAGCAGGATTTAGGGCGTTTTGCTTTGGATGCAAGATTCCGAATCGCTGTGCTGGATCTTTTTGGATCTTTTTGGAGAGGTTGATCTGATGTGGTAACTTTAAAAGTGCTCTAACAAAAGTATCTCCGCGGGCCGAAGAATCCTTTTTTGTGGGCGCTTATCGCTGTTTGCTGAAGGAGAATATATAAGGTCCATATTCTTCCCTTCTCTTTGAGTGTAGCAATCTTTCGACGCAATTGAGCTCAAATTATTCTCCTTGACTCGATACACTCTTTCTGCTTGGATTTCTTTCGATTCCACTTGATTCTAATCAATTCTATTCGACTTCTTTCACATCATGACTGCCGACCAATCTGACGATCCAAAGATCTTATCCACCACCAATCACCAATTTCCCAACAAGCCTGAGAAAACCCTTTGTGTTTTCTGTGGTTCCAGAGATGGCTCGTCTCCTTTGTTTATGGAGGAAACCGAGAATCTAGCAATCAAATTGGCTAGTCTAAACTATGGAGTCATCTACGGTGGAGGCGATTTGGGTCTTATGGGTCAAGTTGCTAGAACTGTCATCAACCACAAAGGGTACGTCCATGGGGTGATTCCTCATCCATTGTTCGAAAGAGAAAGACACAGCTCCACCCTTAGTGGCCAATACGGGAAAACCACTGTTGTTCAGGACATGCACACGAGAAAGAGACTCATGGGCAAGGAAGCTGACGGTTTCATTGCTTTGCCTGGTGGTTATGGTACTCTTGAAGAGTTGATGGAAATCGTTACCTGGTCTCAATTGGGAATCCACTCAAAGCCTATTATTGTTTTTAATATCGATGGTTTTTATGATGGACTTAAAGTCTTTTTAAAATCTTGTGTAGGTACAGGTTTTGTTGGTCTTGGTCAAAGTCAAATTTTAGTTTTCGCTAATACTGTTGACGAGGTTATCGAAAAATTCCAAAATTATAAAGCTCCAGATGGAAGATTGGATCTTAATTGGGATATTCAATAATTGAAATAATTACAATCACTATAACCATAATATATATATTATCTGAATATCTGTATTATCAATCAATTGATTATCAACCTAGCTAATTTATCTGTCTTATTTTCTTATTCTCCTATTCATTACTTTTTTCTATAATTTCAATTTCCATATTACCACATTGTCATGTTTCATTTCCTATTTTATTCTTATTCCATTTTCCTTCTTAAAATTTCTTTTTTTTTTATTTTTCTTTTTTTATTTCTTTTTTTTTGTAAATTATATTATAATATTTTATCAATTTATGAATTAAAATTAAAATTAAAATTAAAAATTAAATTTTTTTTAATAAATATTATATTATTATTATATTATTACATTCTTACATTCTTACATTAGTATATCACACTATATTATAATTCGTTATCATTAAAATTTATTCTATCTCTATAATAAACTCTGCATTAAACCATAGTTTAATCGGCATTTAAATTACGCTTATGTTTATTCAAATTTGATATTGGTATGGATAAAAGCGCTGATAATGATTGTTTGTGATAATTATTATTAGTCATATTATTATTATTATTATTATCAAGATTATTACTATTACTATTATTTCCCTGTTGCTGTGTAATTGGTGGGGGCATCAAAAGATCATTGTTATTGTGATAAATTTCATAATCGTATTCGTCTCCATTAATATTTTCATGTATACTATCACCAGTCAAGTTAAAATTAAGTAAACTTCTTGTTAGTTTTATTGACTTCTGTGGCGATCTCCTTGATAATGGGCTCTTTGATCGACTCTTTAAACTAGAATTTGAATTAATTTTGGATAAGTTTCTACCCCCATTAAAATTTCCATTATTATTTAAATTATTACTAGTATTTCCATTGTGTGATGAAAAAAATGATCCAATCGAATTAGAATGATTTCTAAAATTTGAAACAATTGATGATGATCTGGATCTTGTATTAATGTTAGTATTGAGATTGCTATTAAGATTGTTACTAAAATTATTATTAAGATTATTATTATTATTGTTACTATTACCATTTATTCCATTAAGATTTGAATTAGACCTAAACCTAGTTAGCTTTTTAGGCAAATTAAACCCAGCATGATTGTGGTTATGATTATTATTGCTATGATGATCATCATTTAACGGTGATACAGGTCTTTTACTCAAAACTGATGTTATCGATTTTAGTGATAACGGCGAAGTTGTGCTGTTTGGTTCATTGGCAAATGGTTTTGACGGAGCTTTGGGAGTCGTAGGAACTATATTTAGAAATTGATCAGGTATTGAAGGTTTACTTGATAATAAAGACGATGTATCATCGAGCAGATGATTTCTGTGATCAAAACTGTTATAATCGTTTAACTGTTGTTCTTGATATTCAAGGATCGGTTCGGAGTTTGTTTTGAGTTGATGCTGCTGCTGTTGCTGCTTGTTTTTTGATGAAGTTATTATCGGCAATGGTGGCAAAGAGTTTGTGTGGGTCTTCAGGTTAAATGTAGTTTTTGGTGATGTGAATGCTGAATTGAACGAAAAATTATTATTAGGAGTTTGAGGTAGCTTTTTAATGGGAGATATTGAATGAATAGAATTAACAGATTTGCTGCTATAAGGATGAAAACTAGCAGATGAAATTAAACTTGGAGTATAGCTTGTAGTTATTATTGAGGTGCGATTGCTATTTGTGAAATTTTTTGAACTATTATTACTTGTGAACATAATGTTATTAATGCTATTAGAGTTGGTATTTGAATTTGAACTTGCATTGATATTGGCATTAGCATTATCATTAGCATTATCATTAGCATTGCTATTGCTATTGTTGTTGTTATTGTTATTGTTATTAAGATTATTTCTATTTGAAGCCTTTTTAAAACTATTATCAATTTTCTGTAATTGAATGTCGCCATTTTTAATTGACCTTTCTAGATCATTAAAAAACATTTTAATGTCATTTGAAGGGGCCAACTGAACAGGCAACCAGTCGTCGACGTTTTTCATATCAAAGTCAGACCCATATAGAAGCAAACTTTTAATGCAGTTTATATTTCCATATCTTGTTGCTAGATGCAAAGCAGTGTTGCCATTGATGTCCAAAGCATTAATGTTTGCACCCAAATCCAACAACAAATCCAAACATTCTACTGCCCCAACTCTGCTAGCAAAGTGTAGTGGAGTTTCGAAATCTTTGTTTTTGAAATTCAAATATTTTGATTTAAACTTTGGATTTTGCTGGAGCAATAGGTGCAAAGTCTGATGGTAATTGTTTAGTATAGCCAAATGAACGCAGGTATTGTCCTTGAAAGTTACATGTATTTCATCCTTATCATGACCCAAAGATATCAAGAACAAACAGATAAGATACTGACCATGGAAGGAAGCATAGTGCAATGAAGACCATCCATTTGATGAATCGATATTTTCTAGTAGCTCAGGGTATCTTCGTAGCAATCTTTTGACGATAATCAACTTGCCATTGATTATGGAATTTCTTAATCTTATTCTTGGGTCTATCATATTGAAAAGGAAAACCAGACTGCAGATGACATAGCAGACCTGTTACAAAGTGCTTTAAGAGACTGATATAAGTAAAGTGAAGAGTTGGAAGTGTTGTTTTATTGTTGATGAAGCTAATCATATACAAAATAAGGGACAGTTAAGGGAAGCCAGGAGAGTTTCCACGGTTCGGATAAGGTTTTGTTGCATTTTACGGCAGTTCAGAGATAGCGAACAGAAAAGAGGTGTTTGGTGAGATCTGGAGGCAGAAGCAGCAGAAGCAGCAGAGGCAGCAGCTTCGGTTTCAATCCACACGCAGAAGAGCAAGAGCTTTACGCGATTGGGCTGGCTCCAGCTGTCACTGCTTCAAGCTGGATGAGACATAGCAAGAGGAACAGGAACTCAGTTGCTCGATTCTGACCTCCTGGTTGAAATGATTCCACATTTATGTGGACAAAGCAGTCTTCGAAATCACTGCAATAGCATCAATGGTTGCGCTGATTGAAGCGAAATGAGCTAAAGCAAAGAGAATACTAGCTCCAGGGGACAAATTGACTTGCGAGCATCCTCATACATCAACACTAAAAGAAAAGCGCTTTCATTTTAGATAGTGGTCAAATTCCCTCCAAAGAAGAGCAATGAATAAATACTTTCACTGATTTTCTTTTCTATTGATTACTTTTTTTAAAACAATTTGCATAGTCTACAACATAATTGGAACAGGCTCAGTATTTAGTCTATCGAGAGTAACCGGAGCTTCCGCCTATCAGCAACAGATTTTATTGATTCTATGCATTAGAAACACCTTGGTCAATGCTCAATTGTTATAATCAGACTCTAAATGTCTATGAAATAACATAAAAAGTGCTTAAAATACGTTGCAAGCAGTGGAAAACCGTTAAAACTACAACATGACTTTTAACGGATATACTATGAACCAGCAATTATAGTTGCTTTCCTGATGAGCTGTATATATATAGGTTGATATCCGAAGATTTGAATGTTCAATTGACAACTTTGGTGCTTTCCACTTGATACACTGATACTTGGTGAACATTGAACATTGAACATTGAACATTGAACATTAAATATCGAACATTGACTAGCGTGAGAAAATGAGCGAATACGAATTCACAACTGTTCCTGTCAAACGTCTTGGAGACTCTGGACTCAAGATATCCAATGTGGTTGTTGGCTGCATGGGGTTTGGGTCGAAGCAATGGTTTGACTGGGTAGAGGACGACGAGGAGAAGATCTTTGGGATCTTAAAGAAGTGCTACGACCATGGGATCAGGACATTTGATACAGCAGACTGCTACTCCAACGGCAGGTCTGAGGAGATTTTGGGCAGGTTTATCAAGAAGTACAATATCAAGAGAGACAGAATTGTGATCTTGTCCAAGGGCTTTTTGTACGTCAACGATGAGGACATGGGCTGCAACTTCGGCAACTACCACAAGTATCCTCAGATCGACTCGATCAACTCCAAGGGCTTGTCGAGAAAACACATATTGGATGCTGCTGAGGCCTCTGCAAAGAGATTGGGCACATACATGGACGTGTACCAGATCCACCGATACGACCCAGAGACAACACCAAGGGAGATTATGAAGGCGCTCAACGACGTTGTGGAAAAGGGCTACGCCAGATATATTGGAGCGTCGTCGATGAAGGCATACCAGTTCATTGAACTCCAGTTTGTTGCTGAGCAGAACAATTGGCACAAGTTCATATCGATGCAGAACTACAACAACTTGTTGTACCGAGAGGAGGAAAGAGAGATGATTCCATTCTGCCAATCGCATGGTGTGGGCATTATTCCATGGTCGTCCAACGCCAGAGGTATGCTCACTCGTCCCTACGATCCCAATCGCAAGACGTCGAGACAGGAGTCTGAGGCAGCAATCATGGAGTTGTTGTTTGGGAACATGAAGCCTGAGAGCGACATCGAGATCATCAATCGAGTTGAGAAGTTGGCCAAGAAGAAGAAAGTGTCGATGGCATCAATTTCAATTGCCTGGTGTGTTGCAAAGGACTACTCGCCCATTGTTGGGCTCAGCTCGGAGAGAAGAGTGGACGATCTTGTTGTTGGAGCCAATTTGATATTGTCTGATGAGGAGGTTCAATATCTCGAGGAGCCCTATCAAGCCAAGGATTTCATCATCTTATGATTGCATTTCATATTGATTGCATTTTATATCGATTGTGCTTCATGTGCTCCATACTGATTGTGCTTCATGTGCTCCATACTGATTGTGCTTCATATTAATTGCTACCTGTTTATTTTGATATTCTACAATTTTTGCAAATGTTTATATATATCTAATAATATTAATCTATTTTGAATTAATCTAATAAAGCAATTCAAGCTAACTTGTTTATATTTGTAATTCCTGGTCCATTTTTTAATAGAATGTCGCAAATGTTATTTTGACAGCAATGGGCACTAAGCTGCAAATTTTCAACTGTTGAACTGCCGATATGGGGTGTTATTGTACAATCCCATCTTTTTAATAATTTGGGATGAATATTTGGTTCATTCTCAAAAACATCTAAAGCAGCATAACTGATTTTTCCATTTTCTAAAGCTTCAACTAAGTCATTTTCGTTAATTATTTGGCCTCTGGAAATGTTAACAATTTTAACACCATCTTTACATAGGCCAATGGTTTCTTTTCTTAGTAAATGCTTAGTCTCTTTGGTTAATGGAAGACAAAATATTAAAATATCCGAAACCTTAGCTATATCTTCAAATGATTGATGATAAGTCAATGGAAAGTGAAAATTTAAATGCTCTTCTTTGGTGAGTTCAGTTGTTTTTGTATAATGAATTTTCATTCCAACCAGATTTAGTTTATATGCTAGGAATTTCCCAATAGCTCCCAATCCAACAATCCCAGCAATTCTGTTTTCCAATGAATAGACTCTTTTGCCTCCAATATAATCACCTAATGAAAAAAAGGGAGGTGTGCTAGCTAAGTTTGGCTTTAAAACAGGCATACCAGTTTCATTGTCAAACGAATCAGATTCTAGTTCTTTTCTAGACAAGAATGCGTTTCCAGCTGCATTCAAAGAGGTTCTAAAGTTATTCTCAACAATTGAGGTGAATCGAAAGGCTGATATTGTGGAATATAATGCTAAATCGGCAACTTGATCAGCAGCCAAAGATGGAGTATTACAGAAAATTATTCCTTTTTTAGTTAGATAGTCGATATCATAATGATCATATCCATTGGAAGATGTGGCAATGACTTTCAATGTAGAAGGAAAATGATCAATAAAGTCTCTATCTATTTTTAAAATTCCATTCATGGACTATTATTTTGTTGAATAGGAGATATGAATTAGTAATCGCTAACTCAAAGTACCAATAAAAGCAATACGATTTTCATCAATTCACTTGAGGACTTACCATAATTCCACCATTTCCACCAGGTGCAAACCAAAATGCACTAACATCGCTATATTTTGTTTTCAAGTCTTTTATAAATTGCTCTTTTGTAAAAAAAGTGTAAAACTATTTGAAGAATCAATGTCATTATTATGTTAGTGGAGATATATTAAAATGCTAGTGGCATGAACAAAAAACTCGTAAGGAAAATAGCTTACAAGAACTGTAAAAGACTGGCTGAACAGATTAAATTCCTTGTCATCAATAAATAGATCATTTATTGCCAAAACTTTCAATTTTTCTGGTTCCATTATGAGAGAAAGCTGATTGTGATAAATTTTGATAACAAATTTCAATATGCAAACTTAAATAATCACTGGGTGGAAAACGAAAAACGGAAAATTCATTGGTGTTGATTTATTATCTTCATCAAATGCTTCAAACAGCCAGAATTAACTGAGGCTAATGTAATATTTCCACTGTTAGCTGTATAATACGGTTATCATGGCTTTCCAAAGCAGTGCTGGTATGTTTTTTAAACTGCAACAACTCAATAATCCATTTGATGTAGAACATATTAACTGAAAAATCCATATAATTTTTGTTCAGTCTAAGGTTTTTGCTTTTATCAAAACTTAGAATTTAATTAAAATTAAACTTACTAAAATGTTATAGAGGAAGATAGATGGAAAATTGATAAAAGAGAATATATTTGTTTTATATCAGATATATATAAACATTTGCAAAAATTGTAGAATATCAAAATAAACAGGTAGCAATTAATATGAAGCACAATCAGTATGGAGCACATGAAGCACAATCAGTATGGAGCACATGAAGCACAATCGATATAAAATGCAATCAATATGAAATGCAATCATAAGATGATGAAATCCTTGGCTTGATAGGGCTCCTCGAGATATTGAACCTCCTCATCAGACAATATCAAATTGGCTCCAACAACAAGATCGTCCACTCTTCTCTCCGAGCTGAGCCCAACAATGGGCGAGTAGTCCTTTGCAACACACCAGGCAATTGAAATTGATGCCATCGACACTTTCTTCTTCTTGGCCAACTTCTCAACTCGATTGATGATCTCGATGTCGCTCTCAGGCTTCATGTTCCCAAACAACAACTCCATGATTGCTGCCTCAGACTCCTGTCTCGACGTCTTGCGATTGGGATCGTAGGGACGAGTGAGCATACCTCTGGCGTTGGACGACCATGGAATAATGCCCACACCATGCGATTGGCAGAATGGAATCATCTCTCTTTCCTCCTCTCGGTACAACAAGTTGTTGTAGTTCTGCATCGATATGAACTTGTGCCAATTGTTCTGCTCAGCAACAAACTGGAGTTCAATGAACTGGTATGCCTTCATCGACGACGCTCCAATATATCTGGCGTAGCCCTTTTCCACAACGTCGTTGAGCGCCTTCATAATCTCCCTTGGTGTTGTCTCTGGGTCGTATCGGTGGATCTGGTACACGTCCATGTATGTGCCCAATCTCTTTGCAGAGGCCTCAGCAGCATCCAATATGTGTTTTCTCGACAAGCCCTTGGAGTTGATCGAGTCGATCTGAGGATACTTGTGGTAGTTGCCGAAGTTGCAGCCCATGTCCTCATCGTTGACGTACAAAAAGCCCTTGGACAAGATCACAATTCTGTCTCTCTTGATATTGTACTTCTTGATAAACCTGCCCAAAATCTCCTCAGACCTGCCGTTGGAGTAGCAGTCTGCTGTATCAAATGTCCTGATCCCATGGTCGTAGCACTTCTTTAAGATCCCAAAGATCTTCTCCTCGTCGTCCTCTACCCAGTCAAACCATTGCTTCGACCCAAACCCCATGCAGCCAACAACCACATTGGATATCTTGAGTCCAGAGTCTCCAAGACGTTTGACAGGAACAGTTGTGAATTCGTATTCGCTCATTTTCTCACGCTAGTCAATGTTCGATATTTAATGTTCAATGTTCAATGTTCAATGTTCAATGTTCACCAAGTATCAGTGTATCAAGTGGAAAGCACCAGAGTTGTCAATTGAACAGTTGAGTGATGAATAATCAAGTAGTTAAGTAACGGATTGCTTTGGTAACCAATTGAGCAATTTAACTGTCAGTAACCGAGAAATCTTTGGCATTAGGCAGCAAGAATCGGGGCAACTGCCGCTGTTTATATACCCTGAGTGTTTCCACTATACCACTGCTTCTTGCTGGTTTTAACGGCTTTCCACTGCTAGCAACGGCTTTTGATCCACCCGTTACCCGGCTCGCTTCTTATCGCTCGCCACGGATCAAAAATCATATCTACCGTGGTTGTGGGTCTATGCACAAATACGCGGTACACTGAAATAGTACTGTGATACGCATTAACACAACCGTGTTTCTGGAACTGTCGTATTGGCTTTTGCGGTACGAGCATTGCGAGATGAGCGAGATCGAGAGATCTGATGTGAGAGATCGAGAGGGTATAAAAGAATCGAGATATGGGTAAATTTCAACCATGAAACCTTTCTTTGTTTTATTTTGAACGCTTGTTAATTTTGTTTTATACTCTTGGTTTTTGTCGGCTTTTGTTGTGTTTTTTATTCTTTAGTTTTTTATTCTTTAGTTTTTCATTCTTTAGTTTTTTTTTCATATTCGATTTTTATGCTTCTGTTTGAAAAATGCGTTTATTATTTCTTATTCCTATAATCTGCACAGCAATTTATTCTCTATCAAACTCGCTATTTCACTCTTGGTTACCAAACCACTATATCTTTGATCCAAAAGAATTGCAAGAAATCTCTCAATTAGTCATCGACAGAAATTTGAATAACAGCACCAACGATTTGTTGACCGATTTAGCTCACGAATTACAGTTGAAATATGGCAAAAATCTAATCAACAGTTTTAATTACGATGAATGGGTGTTCAATAATGCCGGCGGTGCAATGGGGACCATGTTTATTTTGCATGCTTCTATCTCTGAATATTTGATCTTTTTTGGCACTTCAATTGGAACTGAAGGCCACACTGGTGTTCATTTTGCTGATGACTATTTCACGATTTTAAGAGGTCAACAAAGAGCCTCTTTCTCAAATTCCTTGTACCCTGAGGTTTTCAAGCCTGGAGACCAACACCATTTGCCAAAAGGTCATGTTAAACAATACACTATGCCTGGTGAGTCCTGGGCCTTGGAATTAGCTCAAGGTTGGATTCCATCAATGCTTCCTTTTGGTTTTGTTGATGTGTTATCCTCGACTTTAGATTTTCATAATTTTGGCAAAACAGTTTATTTAACTGCACTTAATATGGGTGTTAATTTGATCAATGGGAAATTTTAATTTAAAGTTTTTATTTTCTATTTTTTTTTTGAATGCATATATTCTTTTTGATTGCTTTTTTTGACTAGTGACTATAATTATGAATATTATTATGAATATTATAAATATGTCTATATAATTATAACTCATACATATATTCAATCTTTTATAATAAGTTTACCGCGAATATAATACAAATATCTTTAGGACTCCATTTCTTTTTCAGTCTAATTAGAATTTCAATCTTCAATTTATTTATAATCCCAGAATTCTCATATTAAAGAAAACTAAAACAAAATAAGAAACAACACAAAAACACAAACACCAAAATAAACAAGTGAAATAACAAAATAATATATAACAAAACAGTATAAAGGGAAAAATTAAAGTCAAGTAAAAATATGTTATATAGATATATTTTAATATTGTGATTCTTTGATTTTTTTTATTCAAACGGTAAAATTCATTTTTTTAATATATTCAGGCAATTTACTGATTATGTTTTCTTCAATCAAATCATCTCTACCTGATACAACTTTTAAAATCAACTCATTTAAGTCAGTTGAACCCAAAATATCAACATGTTCTGCTGTTTTGGCTCCTCCTCTGATATCATATTTATCGGGTTGATGCAAGATTTCAACAATTTTCACTTTACTGTTACCGGGATTATAAATAGAATTTTCTTCTTTCCATTTATGACACATTGTGTGAGTCAAAATCGATACTGTTCCATCACCATCACTAAAGATAACCGCGTTTTCTGCGTTAGACTCCATGGTTAAATTCAATGTGGACAGAGTTTTCAGTAGTTCTTCTTTGTAGGTATATGCTCTTTCAGTTGGATTACCAACACCATAAAAGCAATAAACCTTCATATTTGGAGCATATGGCAAAGGTGCTTCCAAGGGATTACTCCATTTTGAAAAATCTTTATTATTTAGTAATAATTGTTTTTTATTTGATTCGATTCCAAAGGAGTAATGCTCTAAAGTTCTTCTATGAAACCACTCGGGAGATTGATCTAATAATAAATCAATACTTTCTTCCATTGTTAAATTTTTGTCAGAGAATTTACCGACTTGTTTTTGGAAACCAATAAATTTACCAAAACTGTCATCATTTGAGGTTCTATTACCAAATTCGTCATCTGGAGCACTATATAAATTTCCCCAAATTGTGTTGCCACCTTTGGGAATCATTGAGGCAATACCACCAAAAGACCTTAATAATTTTAATCTTTCCTTTCTCGAAAAAAACTTTTCTAAACCATAAACAGCCAAGGCATTTAGCTGAACAGTATCTTTCATTTCACCAGACAACAAGGCTACAATTGCCTTCGGGGTCCCCAAGACGGAACCAGATATATCAATATAAGAAGAAATGTGATCATTGCACCAGTTGGAACCACCATTACCAAAATGAGGACCAGAAGCCTCAACCCATTTCATAAAATAGTATATGACTTGAGAACCCATAGAGTGACCAATTAAAACAGATTTATGGCCATTGGTCTTCATTTGATATTCGATTTGGTGTTTTAATTTTGAAAAATAACCGTCTCTTCTTTCTAAATCCAAGTAGGATAATCTCCAATCGTAGGCAGCATTGATCATGTTATTTGGGTTATAGCCAATAGCAGCTAAATTATTTAGGATTTTGCCCCAAATCCAATAGCCCGCAACGAAATAATCAGTTGCTTCAAACCCTTGAGCAGCTCTAATTTTGTAAAAGGGAGGGTCTAGCCCAGTTTGTTGATCTAGCATTATGTGTTGTAACCAACAAGCTTTATCTAAAAACATTGTTTTCAACATATAAAAGGAGCCCCATAGTCTTTTTCTAAAATGGTTTTGTGATGGACATTCAGGAGTGCCTTCAAGTCCCCAGGATTCCAAACCGGTACTTATAACACCAGGAACCATAATGACGGGATTTCTACTTGTTAGGTTGTGCAAGCTTTTCATGTATTTTCCAATTGCAAAGTCTAATGTTGCGTCAATTGCATGATCTTTTTTGGATTCAGGTTGAGCTTGGATATCTTGCATAATGCTAGAGATCGGGGTTGGAAAGTTATCTTTAAGGTCATCAAAAAATTCCAGAAACGAGTTTTGAAAAGAATCAAAATTCTTCAATTCGAAATTTTTAATATCAAAATCTTTTAGCTTATCGCCAATCTCGGATAACTCTACACCAGATTGTTTGGCACCAAAATATAAAGCCAATAACATACCAAAGAAGGCACCGGCAACAAATACCAAATTGAACAATTTTAAATTAGAATTGGTTTGGTCATCGCCTGTCTTAACGACTTTCGTCTTGCGGTGATGCTGTTTGATCTCAACCTCATCAACTGTAAGTTTATTGGAATGGTCAGTCGATAGCTGAAGCGTGGTTAATTGGTCAGCAGAGTGAATCTCTTCGGATTGAGAAGCCTTAGGGGAGTCTTGAATCATCGTCAACAGAGTAGATAATAGAAATAAACATACCAAGAGCAGAAGAAGAAAAGAAGAGAGGCAAAGAGAAGTAAAGAAACAAAGAAAAGAAGCAAAGAAGAAAAGAAGCGAAGATCCGGCAGCACAAATCTGATGCTGGTCTAAAATAAGCTTCCGCGTTATCCAGTACAATGGTTCAGGGATTCGAGCCGCTTACTCAGCGCTGACTCAGTAACGGCAATTCCTGCCCGTTCTCGGCCCGAGACAGCGATGACTCAGCGGTTCCTCGATATTTTCGCATCTCAACGAGTGCTGTTTCTGCTTCTCACCAGTGAAGAAGTACAAAATGGCTGAACAGATTGCAAGAGAGGCCCATTTGGCGTCAACTGTTCTCAAGACCCTTTCAGACGAAGAAAGAAGCAACGCATTACATGAGATCTACGATGGTTTATTGCAGGCAAAAGAGGACATCTTGAAGGCCAATTTGCTCGATTTGCAGCTAGCCACTGAGCAAAACTTGTCTCCAAGTTTGATCAAACGTTTGGATTTGTCCAAGTCTGACAAATTTGACTCCATGTTGCAGGGCATCAAGGACGTCGCTGCTTTGTCTAATCCAATTGGCAAGATCAACTTGGCCACGCAATTAGACGAAGGCTTGAATTTATACAGAGTTACATGCCCAGTGGGTGTCTTGTTAATCATCTTTGAATCAAGACCTGAGGTCATTGCAAATATCACTGCATTGGCTATCAAGTCTGGTAATGCTGCTATCCTTAAAGGTGGAAAAGAATCCCTTAACACCTTCAAAATTTTGGCGAAAATTGTTAATACAGTTTTATCGAATAAAACCAAAGTTCCAAAAAATTCCATTCAATTAATCTCTTCAAGATCCCAAGTTTCTGATTTGTTGGATCAAGATAAATATATCGATTTAGTCATTCCAAGAGGCTCGAACGATTTGGTTCGTTATATTAAATCAAATACCAAAATTCCTGTTTTAGGTCATGCTGATGGGATTTGCTCTATATATATCGACCAGTATGCTGATGTGGAGAAATCTGTGAAAATTGTTGTGGATGCCAAAATTAATTATCCTGCTGGTTGCAATGCTGTCGAGTCTGTCTTAATTCATAAGGATTTATTAAATTCCCAATTAATTCCTTTAGCAAATGCTTTAATTGAAAATAAAGTCACTCTTCACGTAACTCCTGAAATCAAATCATTTTTAATTCAAAACAACACAGACTTGAACTACATCAAAGACGCTAATATTGACGAAGATTTCAGCAAAGAATTTTTAAGCTTGGACATTGCTATCAAATCAATAGATTCATTAGAAGACGCTATTTACCATATCAACACTCACTCGTCAAAACATACTGATGCGATCATAACTGAAAATGAATCTGCTGCTAATAAATTCCTTGGTGGCATTGATTCTGCTGGGGTTTATTGGAATTGTTCAACTAGGTTTGCTGATGGTTTTAGATATGGTTTTGGAACTGAAGTCGGCATCTCAACCAATAAAATTCATGCAAGGGGTCCTGTTGGTTTAGAGGGCTTGGTTTGTTACCAATACCAATTAAGAGGTAATGGTCATATAGTCAGTGACTACATTGGTTCTGGTGGTAAAAAGCTGTTTGTCCATAAACAATTGGACCTTGATTTTATTTGATTTTATCTCACTCTAGCTGATTTGTTCATTTCTAATTTTATTTGGCTGCCAAAAATTTCAAGTTGTTAAGAATAAAAAACTAATGTTATAACTAATAAGACTCTTACTAAAACACTCAGTTGTAGTTATTATATAATTGATTTTGCTACAATAGAGATCAAGTGTGGGCACACTCAATGTTTGACTGTCAAACTGCATCCCATCAGCTATTTTCTACCAAGGTCTGTAAGAAGGAAAAATCTCGAGTATTTTTAAATTAGTCTTAAGAAATAATGATGAAGATTTAGAAAGCATTTGAATGAGATAATTTAAATCCAAGTTATCTTAAAGAAATAATTAAAATTATCAACCAAGTAATATTAACAGATTTTAACCCAAGATTGTGTAATTCAGACTAAAACCAAATACAATTAATTAAAGTGGACAGAGAAGTTAATATTTCAACTACGTGATACAACAGTGTTGAGCAATTGAATTTTCTAGAAAACTATAATAGTAAAAGAACGTACAAAACTGTCAAAATAGTATATACTGAATCATAAATTAAATTACAAAGGTTGTATAAGAAATGTCACATTTATTTTTGCTCCATCTCCTGAAGTGTGGAAATATTTCAATTTAAAAAATTACAATGAAAATCATATTTATAAAATAATTATAAAAGGTCAAAAATTATTTCAAGGTGAGGTTAAATTGTTAAAATTGCAAGAGAGTACTTTAAAATACAATCATCCTGTCGATATGTCGATGATTGAGAAAATAGAATCAGTTACTTTGCCAGTTATTTAGCATTAGCAAGTATATTTTTAATCAGCTTTAAGCAGATCCAATCAGCCTCTTTATCGACTATCCAGTCTGGATTGTACTTAGTTGTAAATGCTCCAAAATCTAGCATTTTAATTTTATCTTTATTATTAATCGATATATTACTTGGTTTCAAATCACCATGAAAATAATTATTTGCATGTAAATATCTAATGGCATCTTCGATTTGTTCTATTATTTGTTGGTTTATTTTATTTAAACGTTTTCCTTCAAAATATTCCAATCCAATTGCAATTACTCTTTCATTTTCATCTAAAATTAAACCCTTCATTCCAATTATATTTTTATGTTTGACTTTACTTAAAATGTCTATTTCTCTTTCAAAGCACCCCAATTAACCCAATTCGTTTTAAATATTTACACACGATATAATTGTTTGACACTTTTGCTAAGGTTATATCTCTTTCTAATTCTTTGATTTTGGTTATATCATTTTCATGATATCTTATTATATTTTTACCAAAAGCATCTTTCATGTACTCAAACAATTCTATCCGTTTATTTTCTTTATAATCCGTTTTCTCTATTCCTTCATTGCTTATCAGTAAACTATCATTATCAATATTAAATAAAACCTCAATCAATTTTCGATTTTCATTTTTCTCAAACCATAATTGAATATTAAATATTTTTGTATTTTCAAAAGTACTGCATCAATCAAGAATTTTTTAATGAGACATTGGAATGATTTTATTTATTACAGTTCAAGTAATTGATGATCTTCTGTAATTGTTAGAATTCATATAAACTGTTTATGAATACAGTGTTATGAATGATTGTATATTTCTTGATGGCTTATTATTTATATATTATGTAAATAGTTTATAAGAGAAATGTTCAGTATTTATATCGTGTTAAGAAATAGAATCATATGGTACTTCCATGAGTTAGTTTTTTACTTCGAATTCGAATTGCGATTTCCCATATTTTAGACCACAAATCAATCCGTCAACCCCAAAATGAAAAGATGGAAAACAATTGAAAAATTTTATCTCAGCAAATTGATTTTGGAAATTCAGACTAATAAAAAAAAAACCAATGAAATATTTATCTCAAAAGCTTAAATTACATGCTTTATGGTTAGTGAAAAGCTCTATTATTGACTCTTAAATATGTCAACGCATCCCAATGTATCAATCAGCCACGGAACAATAAGTGCCACATTTATCCTCGGTTTTTATATTCATGCATAGTGATGCAGGTACAAGTTAAGGCAAATGTCCTTTGATATTTTTGTGTGGTGTAGATTGCATGCATTTTATCTTATCCTTCAACCTTTATTTCTCTATTCTTCGATGGTATCCCGCTGCTTAATAGTTCATTCTATTTATATAGCAAGAATTTTATATATATTTGGATTATATTTTAGTATTGTTTTTTATGTTTCTATTTGCTGGTCTGTTTCATACTGTTTTTTTTTGCTAGTTGTTCTTGCGTCTGCTATTTTCCATTTTGATCACCTCTTTTCATTTCCGTAATCAAATTGAATTTGAATATTCAGATTTACATTTGATTTATATAGGTGATTAACACGATGTTCATGGTTTTAGTGAGGCTACTGAACTAAATGATTGACTATGAGATCAAATTTTTGTGGTGCAGGATTATAATTTCTCATTTTAAGAAATCACTAATTATATTCTCTCGACAACATCGTTTAAAAGTATAATTTGGTTAACACTCAAAATTTTTGGAACATTATTTTTGTTTCTTTCAACATTTATTATATCTAAGATGTTAGTATTCCCTTGTCCTGCCATGAGAGGTGTTATATGGAATTAAGAACAACAAAGTCCTCAATTCAACAGCCAAGGATAAATGTGTCGCTCATTACTACACATTATATATATTATATACACTTCTTGTTCGGTGAGAAGAGTCCTGATTCTATAGTATTCAAATAGTATATTGTTTTCTGATTATATTTTCTTTATATCTAGCTTTTTGATATTTCATAAAAAAATTTTAAAACTTCAAGCTTTCATTTTAATTTTAATTTGATTCCAGTTATTGCTTAGTATAGATATATCGGTGTTTCTATTATTATTATTGTCATTGCTGTCATTTTTGTGTAATATTTAAATCGAATTCAATTCCATCTTGTCCATTCTTAGCTCATTTGTTTATTGTTTAATATACTTTAATAGCTTTCTGGATCTCTGAAGGGGAAGGGCAAAACGGAAATGGATCCGTGCTGTTGGATCGAGGTTTTTCAGCTTTTTCAAAAGAAATTGAAGTTTGAAAAGATGGTGACAAATATTTTTTTGTGTATTAATAAAAAAGAGGTATATCAAATATAATGTGGTACAAAATAATATAAGCAAAAAAAAAATTGTTGTATGGTGTTTTGTAACTAGTATTTGCATTGCTAATGCTGATCTTGCAATTGTTTTATTTGAAGAAAATTTTTTTCATATGATTGTAAATCTCGTTTATTTGTGTCTTGAGATTTCTAAAATTGCTGTTGTCTATATTGCCAATATTCCTCTTGAAGCAATTCCATTTCAAGAAAATGCTGCTCTTCAAATGATTGAACCTCTTGGTCTGAACTTGACAACAAACTCTGTTGATAATTGTGATTGTTTATTCCAAGAACTTTCAAGCGAAATTCAATGCATTTACTATGGTCACAAGCATGTTTACAAAAGCCCATTGGATTGGAGACACAAACACAGTCATCAATAGCGCTGGAAAATAAAGATGAGGTAGAGGAACAGTCTGTGTTATTAGCTTTATATCCAGTAGAACCGTTTACATTGATGAGTAAACTGAAATCTGTATCATTAGATTTTAAATCTGATCCTGATTTGTTACCTAAATAATGTTCGGGAAAGTTTCTTGGAACATGATCATTGTTATAATTATCATAATTGTTATAGTTATTACCATGACTATTATCATCGCTATTATACTTGTCATTAAACAATTGATATAGTTTATTATTATTTGATGATTCCATAATCAAAAATGAGTAACTGAATGGTTATTAATAGTTAATAATTTATAAATAATTAACGAGAATTTCTCAAACTTGTATCTGTAAATAAATTATGATGAATGGATAAAACAAAATTAAATGAGCCTGAAAAACAAATTAAAAATTTCAACCCTTTATATATTAAGTAGATCAAGTGTGTGCCTGACCATAATTTATATGATTGCTTTATTTTATTACATGCATGCTTTTTTGAGAGATTTTTGTTTTATTGTTGTATATCTGCACTACCACTTTGTTATTAGAAATTATTATTGCTAAATCGTAATTATTATTCAAGATTATTGCAAGAACCCAAAATTGCCTTATCTCCATTTGCCAATGATCAGCTAGTCTTACTACACCTATTTTCTCCGTTTTCATCTCCAGTGCGGTTTGAGCAAATTAGGAAATTCTCTCACTCTTCTCCAATGTGTGTAAATCCAGGAATGCATCTGTGTATATTACATCACATTATATCTATTATCTAAAAGCGGATGCACAACATTACCAAAATGTTTTGAAATTCAATAATAAACCTTTTAGAGATATCTTCGAAACTCAATCACAGAGTAAAAAGTTATTTTGTTTTCCTTTTCAGCAAAATAATTTATTACTCTGAGCTAAACAATTCAACATTGAACATGAGTTCCATAGCTGATTTTATTATGATAAAATTTTTTGCATGCAAAGCATTACTAGAACTAATCTTTGATTGACAAGATGTTTGATAATTCTTGACATCCCATTTCAATCCTATAGTTTCTTCGATAGTGATTGGTTGGAATACAGGCAAAAGCCCACAATTTGTTCCTAGAATAGATTTTTCTTTCTGCTCATTGAAACCTTTGAATTGATAATCGTCTTTAAGATAGTTTGACACTTTGATATAAGTTGTCCCTTTCGGTATCAAAGCCATAATGTCCAGATTGTTAACTAAGATTATATCATTACAGTTTAGATGTTGGGAATATACTTGAGAAATTGTTTGCAATGTTTGATCAAACCGACCACCAATACCACCTAACATTACAGTTTTCATTTTTCTCAGAATTTTCAATTTTTTATTCGCTTTATGAATCTCACCAACTGCTTTCTGAGTGAATTCAACCAACCCACCAACCTCATCAAATTGTTGAAAGAACTCAGCATCGTTTTTGTCTGTAATAATCTTGTGGAAAAATAACTCGCAAATATGGATAGCTTTCAATATATCTGGTGCCCAGCCAGTATCCTGCTTGATGACGATAATGCCTCTATTTTGATAATAGATTTTGATATCATCACGAATGGAGTCCAAATCACCAATGATAAAATCCGGCAAATAGTCATCAACTGCAACAGAACATTTGACAAGATAATCGTGCAATCTGTTAGCACCACCATCAGCACAAACATGTAGACTGCTTGAGTTCCATAACACCTCGAAAACCTCAAATGCAAGATCCACTTGTTGATTCAAGAGAATCCAGTAATTGCTATCATTTGCTTCATGTTTGCTGGGACTAAAAACACCAACCAAGTCCACGACGTGAATGCCCTGCTGCTCGTGGTCCCTAGGCAAATACACCTCCATTAACGAATCTGGGTTCTCAACAACCTTCTCAAGCCCATCCATCAGTTTCTGTATCTTGTTTACTGTTGCTTCCTCTTCTCTTCTCTTCTCTTCTCTTCCTTTTCTTCTTATTTTTCGCGCAACTCCAATGGTGTGGCGCCTCCTGAATTGTTACCAAAAAGGGACAAGATCTGTTTTTCTGTTTGTTTTTGTTTTGCAGAGCTTTTTAGGCTTTCGTGGATAATAAAAGAAAATTTTTCTTGTTTGGTTCTTTAAAATATGGAAACATCATGAGCAAATATAAAAGAAAGACCACTTTGGACGAGATCCTTTCTTCTTTTGATAGCCAATATTCTCAAAGTGACAATCAGGCTGATTTTGTCCTGAATCATCAGTTCAAATCATCAACTTCTTTAAATTCAACTAGCATACCTACTGACAATGATGGAGACCATGAGATGTTTAACATAAATGATCAAAATGATGTCAATCAAATCATAAATCTAGTCAACGATATAAGGAACAATTCTTCTTCATACAATCTTAATAATTTTGATATTAAAAATAGTTCTAATTCTAGTTTCAATTTTGGTCAAAAACTAGACTTGAATCAGTTCAGTGTTGGATTAGAATCTAAACATGCTCCTGATCAGTTGGAATTTATAAATGAGTTGCATTTGGAGATTAAACCATTGACTAGACTTCAATCCGTGTTAATTGTTGATACCAATTTCATGTTGTCTCATTTGAATGTGTTGGAAAATTTAGTGAAATTGTCTAGAAAATACCACCATGTCTTAATAATTCCTATAACTGCTATAAGAGAACTCGATGGTTTGAAAAATTCCTCAAAATACTCTAAATCTTTATCAACAGGAAAGGGCAAAACTGTTGGTCAATTGGCAAGGTTGGCCAGTGATTGGTTATTTAAAAAAATTGCTAATAATAATCCCTATATTAAATGTCAAAGTTCATCTCAAATTATAACAAAGGGATTAACTAAAGACGATTCAATTTGGGATTGCTGTTTATATTTTAAACAAATTTTAAAAAAATTGGTTGTATTATTGTCAAATGATAAAATATTGTGTTTAAAAGCACTAAAGGATCGTATTTTAACTGTCAGCTTTGTTCAAGATATAAATGCTGAAAGTATTGCTAAAAGGATTTATTTGGAAAACATCAATACTCCCCATGATAATATCAATATTAATATTGATACTAGTACTGATACCCATACTCTTGATGATATCCGCCCTGTTAATGATACTCATACTTTTAATGATAATAATTTAAGAGACTCCAAATATTTCAATGAAAATGAAAATAAATCTGATGATGAAATTGATTCGTTTTATAATGATAAATACAAAGAAAATTCATTCTCATATAATCTGGAATCAAATGAAAAAATAATCCCAAAAAACCCTTATAAATCGATACCATCATTTAATGAATGCTCAGTGAAGATTTATAATGATATATTTACTTTGATTAGATCTCATTTATTTAAAGAATTTAATTCAAATGAATTTAAAGAAATTTTATCAAGTAATAATTTAAAAAGCTTATATATTTCGATTAAAGATTACAAAGATATTATCATTTGCCTTAGTAATTTTTGGAATGAATTTTTTAAAAAATTTTTCAAATTTATTGATAGTGATAATATAATTAATGTTGAAGAGATACTAACTAATAATGATCAAATTTATAATCAAATTAGAATGAAATTAACCAATTTGCCTATAAATCAAAATGATTTAACTGATTTTATTAAATTTTGGAGTTTAATACTTGATGGATTATATTTTTTTTCATCAAAGAAAAATATTGATTCCTTAGAGATATTAAAAAATTACTGGAACGAAATTGTTCAAGATTAATATAAAGATTTATTTATGCTTTCTATATTTAAAAAAAAGGGAGGAAAACTATTACTAGAGATAATTTAAAAAAAAAAATAAACAAAATAACAATAATAGGAATTGTAAGTTAAAATGTGATAGTTAAAATGATAAATGATAAATGATAAATGATAGTAATGAGAAAAAAATTAGAAATGAATTAAAGGATATAAATAATCTCTGCCAAACCACAAAATAGAAGTGAAAATAAACTAATATAGAATGGTAAGTATTTACAGAAAACCAAAGTAAAGGGAATAATAATACCAACAATAATAATTTCAATAAAAAATTGAAAACAACAAAAATCAAATATCAAGCAATTGATAAAAATTAACAAATAGCTTTAAAATCAGATCTATAAGAAATTAATATGAAGAAAATTAACGATATCAATGGAAACAAAAACAAAAGAGAAAATAAAAGAGAAAAAGAAAATGATAAGAAAAAAATATGAAAAAAAAAATCATAGCTTTCATTATAATCATATTCATTAATATTCAATTTAATTTTATTTTAAAACAAAATAAAATTAAAAAGTAAGATTTTCCTTTCAAGAATTCAAAAAAAAAGATCATCCATACCTAGCAGATTTTATTTCGCCCGAATATGGAATATTTGCTCTTCTTTTTCTGGCTAGTATAGTTTGAGCTCTTTTAATTGGTTGAGGTAAGAGTTGAGTATTATTTTTATCTTCATTGGTTTTTTTATCGTCATCTGAGAAATGCTGATTTTTTACACCATTCGGTATTGGTAATTTTTCAGTTGTAGTATAATTATCATATTCATTTTTTAGTTTAAAATCGTGACGATTTTTATTTTTTTTAATTGATGGATTTAATGAATTGTTTTTGTTGATTTTATTTGTATTGGCGTTATTATTTTTAGCAATATTGAAATTCAAAGATGAGTGATTTTCAATTGTATCAGGATCAGTATCAGTATCAGTACTTGTACTTGGACTTGAATTTGCATTTGATTTTATGTTTGCAATTACATTTTCAATTGAGCTTGAGTTTGGATTTTGGATTTTAAGAAATTCATCAATTTGATTAGTAAATTTTTGATTAGCGAGTTTTTGTTTTCTTTTTATTATTGGATTGATAAATTTTTTCTTCTTTGTTTTTTTAACTGGAGAAGGAAATTGAAAGGATTGTTTTTTTCTTGGGCTATCGATGTCATATTCTGAGAAGGATAGAGATAGGTTATCGATAGGACTAAGTTTGATGTTTTTGGTTGAAGTGATTGGGGTGGGTAGCCTTTTGGGTTTGATTGAGTCTGTATTAATAGTATTATTAGTATTATTAGTGCTGAGAGTGCTATCATTAGTATTGTGAGTATTATCATCATTATGGTGATGATTCTGATTCTGATTTGGATTTGGATTGTGATTTGGATTGTGATTTGGATCAGAACTTAGGGGATCAATTTTTCTTCTCTTTTTTGGGGACAAAATTTGTTTATATTTTTGAAGAGAGTAATCAGGGTTTGTAAGAATATTACAATTTCTAGGCAATTCAGAATAACTTGGTAGTTTTGGTAGATTAGGTAGTTTTTGTAAATTTGGAAGGTTAATGTTTTTGATATTTTTGAATTGGGAAGATAAGTTGTCGTTGAAGGGATCATCCAAGGTGTCTTCATCAGAGTCAGTTGAGTAGTTATCATTTAAAGGGTCGCTTGGGATATTGGGAAAGCTGTTAATGTTAGTGTCTGATTTGGAGTTGTTTTTGTTAGTATCTGATTTAATGTTATTTTGAGAGATTGGATTATTGTTCTCGGTAACGTTGTTGCTGTTGTTGTTGTTGTTGTTGCTGTTGTTGTTGTTGTTGTTGCTGTTTTTGTTTTTGTTTTTGTTATTGTTGTTGTTGTTGTTGTTGTTGTTGTTGTTTTGATTAATATTTTTGATATTGTTGATGTTGTTATTGGGATTGATATCAAAGTTCGTGTGATTACCAAGTTGGAGGTTCATGCTTAGATTGAGATCCATAAAGTTTGAGTCTTTGTATTTTGATAATTTGCAATCTTCGTTGTACAAACCTGAGAAGTTCCACAAGTCGTAAGTAGAGGCAGTTTCTTTTATTATGTCCCAAATGTAGGGAGTATTGTTGAGGTTTGAGGTTGAATTTGAATCGTTAGTTGTGTTAGTGGTGGAGTTAGTGTTGGTGCTGTATTGGTTAGTGTAGTTTTTGAAATCGTTGTATAGAATGGTGCTACACCAGAGATTGTAGTCAAATTTATTTAGGTTGAGAGACCAGTTTTGTAGTTTTGATTGGCCATTTAGTTCTAGAACAATGTCATTTAGGAACTGGATGGTGTTATCCTTTTGTTTTAGCTGGTTGACGAGAGAGAAGATTTGCATTTTGAGAATGTTTATGATGGAAAAGTTGTTGAACTGAAAGACTCTTAGGAACTCTATTGAGTCGATGTTGGATAGGATTTTGCAGTCAAAGTTCCATCTGAAGTCTGGTTCAGACTTTGGTTTTAGAATCAAGCTGATTTCGTTGGGAATCTTGTTCAAGTTGCTGTCATTTATTATTAGGAACTCTGAGTGGTAGTAGGAGTTTTGGTTTTTGTTTAGTAGGGAGTTTTTTAGTAGGTTGACGATGACATAGATGTCGTTGTTACTGGAGATGGGAAAGCCAATTTGTTTTGCCTTTTGGGTTAGTTGCTCATTGGTAAGAGTTTCGGCCCAAACGCTTCGTAAATCAGTCAAGAAGATGGAGTAATCGACGTAATCTTCAGTGGAAAAGCCAAAGAGGTATGGGGTACCATAGTCCATGTTGAGAACACCCCAGTCTGTAGGAAATCTCATTTTGAAATGGAGAAAAAAAGGAAAGAGAAAAGAAAGAGCAGTGGGAGATAAGAGAGGGAGAAATTAAACCGAAGAGAGATAAGGGATAAAATGGAGGAGAGGGAAAGACAAAGGACGAGATAAAACAAAGGGTATTTTCGATGAGGATGTGGGGGCAAGATGGTATCGATGGTGCTGGCAGAGACGATAGAGACAGAAATGGCGACAGAGACAGAGATGAGATAGATAAAGATATCGACGATATTAATAGTGAAGATATGAGTATTTGTTTTTGTTTATTGTTATCCCCTGAGAAAAAACAAAGGTTTCGTGAGGTGGGAGGGTTGGGGAATAAATAATGCGAAATAATAGAGGCGAGATTTGGTGTTGTTTACGACACGTCGTTTATTTGTGTGTTTCTTGTTTGGCGTTGTTTACCACAAGAGCAGGAATTTGAAGGAATGGAGGGAAGAAGAGCTCCATTTTATACCTCAGGCACTGGCCCTCGCGCTGCCTTCTTGCTGCTCGCTGCTCTGCTTTCTGCTGCTCCAGCTCTGCCCAGCTCTGCTCATCCAGCTGGAGCCTCTCTGAAGCAGCCTCTGAAGCTCTTTGATGCCCTCTAAAGCTTGCTCTGAAGCTCCCTCCACGCTCCTCGCTCTCTGAGAAAAAACGATACATCGCGAAAACTCACTCGCCGCTGCCGCCGCCGCTGCAACACATGCATGGACCAGCGCTCAAAGACGTTCATCTGCAGCAGAAACACCATCTGTGTGTTTCGACTCTGTTTCAGCCGCAGTCGCCACCGCGGTAACACGTGTTGGCTCACGTGGCGCCTTTATTTTTAACTTGCCGTGTGGTTTTTGCTGTGTTTCAACGCTTGACATTTTTTGTCGCAGAGCTTACAATAATGCCGGAGCAGAACTTTTGACAAACTGCTTATAATAGACCTGTTTACTGCTCATCAACACCTCTGTTTAGTTGGTTTTCTCTTGTTTTGCTGTTACATCTGTTTGATCTGTTTAATCTGCTGTTTCAATGTCTCAACCTACCACAATCTCTGACGTTTCCATCGACGACCAGATATCCTCAAATGTCTCCTCCACCAACCCTAAAATCCAGCGCACCATTCTACGTTTTCAGCAAAAGATCGCCTCCAAAAACTACTACGAGGCCCATCAAACCATTCGCTCCATCACAAATCGTTTCCTTAAGGCAGCCCAATTCAACCACTCAATCGACCTCCTTTATTACTCTATTTTGATTCTTATCAAGCACAACCAGATCAGTTCCGCTTCCGACTTGATCTTCTTCTTGATTGAAATATTGAACTCAAACGCCATCTCTTTGACCAATAATGACGACTTGATCGACAAAATCTTGATCATTATCAAATTCCTACCTTCAAACGAAATATCCTTCAAAAAGATTTCAAACGAATTTGTCCTATACTCGATCAACAACTCCTCCTACACTTTTGGCAATCCAAATTTCCACGATTTAATTTCAATCAAGCTAATTGACCAATTCAATTCAATTCTCACCAACAACAACGACGGCGACGCCACTGCTCAAGATAATCATTCTCAAATTATTGATTTACTAAACCAAATCCAAAATAACCATCTTCCCTTTGGCACAACCAAGTCTTTCAACCATTACAAACTAATCATTAAAAATCTACTAATCAACAATTCCTCCTCCTCTTCATTAAACCCCCTTCTTCTACAATCCATAATCTTGAAACCAATCTTCTCTTACCTCTTAATTCAAAATATCAAAGCCTCTATCGATTTTCTCTCTTTTATAATCAACTTGTTAACCGATTCTTCTCTTTTTATCTCAAGTTCTCAATTAATTGATCTTCCTGATACTAACATTGCCAACAAAAATTCAGTCAATTTCAAATTGGTCTATTTCAATGACTTCAAATTACTAAACATCCTACAACTACTAATCCTATCAATTCAATTGCACCAAAAAGATATCTTCATATCTCTTAAAAATTCCTTCATCAACCAATTATCTCTCCAATCTTCAACCAATACTGACATTGATAAAGATAACCTAATCAACATCTTAAACTCCTTGGCTCTCATTTACTTTAATATCAAACAAGAGAATCAATCAAACTTTCTACAACAAATGATGTCCGGTTTCTTTAATAATCAACCCACTACTACTACTAGTACTATTACTACTACTACTAGTACTGTCGCTAATAATCAACCATCGATTTAATTAACTTATATACTTTATATACAATCTTATAATCAATTTCCTTGCACTTTCAGTTTCAGTTTCATTTTCGCTCTCACTTTCCCGTTTTCTTAATTATTATCGGCGCTTTCATGATGGAAATCCATATATATATCAGGCTTAAATGGCCAAACACTCACCGCATTGACCAACTTCACAATCTCATCCTTTGTCAACTCTTTAGATGGTTTATTCAAAAATCCTTTTATATCATCCTTACTTTCAAACCACTCTATAGCTCCAGGATAAATAAATCCAGCATTGGTTCGAACTGTGGCGCTGGGCGTTGAGAAAATCTTCTTGGTTAAAAACTCCCAGATCTCAATATCAAAATCAAAGTCCTTTCGGGTTATCTCAATCAATGCTATATCCTCATCTCGAGTAAAATCTTTAAGATCCAACTGATAATAATCTGCGTCCAGATCCTCGCCATCAAATTTCGTAGATGAGGCAATCACCTTTAAATTTGTAAACGTTTCAAAAATCATAGACATCCTTCGCAGATTCCCAGGTTTGGGTATCACTTTATTCAAAAGCTTAAATGGAATCCAAAACATCATTCGAACATCCCCATATCGTTGCAACCAATTCTTGTTCGCCATGCAAAATGCCCATTGAAACAATAATGCTTCAATCGTCTTCAACGTAAGATTTCCCGTAATCAAAAATGAATCATGAACCTTACTGTAATCTTGTTTCTCAATGGTTAAAGCCTTATCCAAATTTGTCAATGCAATAAAAGATGCCCAACTATATGGATCTGCTGAATATGTTTCGTATGTTGCCAATCCCTGAGATCTTCGATCTAGAGCTATTTTATCAATATTCTTCAATATGTTCTTTTGGGTTGACATTATAACATATTTCTGGGGCGTCAAAAAATTAAATAGCGCCGACGAATATATTGGACACCCAGAATACATATCCAATACGCTCATTCTCTCGGGACGATTAGGATACGAATCCTTTAAAAATGACAATTTCTCTTGTAATAAATCATCAATAACTGATTGATCCTTTGCACAATTGAATCCCGAAATGTTCTTCCATTTCAAGGAGGGATACGCGTCAACTCTTATAGGCTTGAACGCTGCTAGTCCGGTCTTCAATAACGACATGTCTTCATCTACTCAAATCTTCAATAGTCTTTATTCTTGTTATCACCTACTATATGTCCACTTTCTTAATGATTACCTCTTGAAAAATTTGAATATCCTTCAAAAAAAATATAACAAACCGCCCTCATCCGCAGCCACGCGGATATCCGTAACCACGGTAATTAACCGGTACTTCCGTGCTTTACTGTGGTAACACCGCGGAAACACCGCGGAACGGCGCTTTTCCGTTTACATTTTCGAGGTTTTCAGATTCTGCTGCTTCTGCTTCCATTTTTGTGAGAATTCCAACGACACACCAAATACTCCATTGAATAATGGCCATATAACAGCTTAGGGTATATATACAGCTTTCTCCTTTGGTTCCACTGTTGCTCCTTTTCTTGTTCCTTCTGCAACCATCTTTTTCCCCCCTTCGGCCCTTTTTGCTACTCCTAACTTCTCAAGAAGTTGCCATCTCAGAACTATTATTAACAGTATTCATATTATTCGTAGGATTAACAATATCAATATATTCAATATGGCTACTGTTAATCAGAATCATAATGAGAATACTGCTGCTATCGATGACACGATCATGGATAATAAAAACCTACACAACAGCTTCATTATAGATGCTAAAAGTGATTCGCTATATACCAACTCCTTTGATAACAATCTCTACAATTTTAACAACTACAACAATAAAATCATTTTTAAAAATAGCCATAAAAGATCCTTATCCCTACCGAGTTTCCTATTAATAAATAATAACGAAAAGGTTAAAAGAAAGAAAAAATTACTAATGTTTAAAGATGATCTTGACTTGACTCATAATAGTGATAAAATTAAAATTAAAATTAAAATAAAAAATAAAAATAAAAATAACAATAAAAATAAAATGGATATAAATTTCAAATTAAAACTAAAAAGAAGAAACTCAACTTTAAAGAGAAAATCTTCAATTATTTGGAAAAATATTAAAAACAACATTCTAACTCATCATAGTAATGATCATAATGATCATAATGATCATAATAATCATAATAATCGCAATAACCATAATAACCATAATAACCATAATAATGATCATGATAATCATATCAATCATAGCCATAGCCATAATCATAATCATAATCATAATCATAATCATAATCATAGTGGTAATCATAGAAACAATAAAAAAAATAGACATAGCATTAATAATATAAACAATAAAAACAACATAACAAAATCATCCTATATCAATCACTATTCTACTTTTAGTTATGATTTTGATTATTCCTCTAATTACAAATACCCTGCATCAACGTATACTCATAATACCAATAATAATAAAGAAAGCTTAGATTATTCTTACTATGATTTTGGTTCATACTCTTTTTCAAACATTAATAAGATAAACAATTCCATGAACAATTCATTAATAAGTTTACCTTTAAATTCGCAGAATAATTTAATTTCAAACAAAAATTCAAAAATAAATTTAAATGATTTAGAGAAAGAAATCATTAAAAATAATTCAAATTACTATCAATATTTTAATCAAAATTTAGAAAATTATTCTGACTTGAATAATTTAAAATCAATGAAATCAATAGAATCAATGAAAAGTGACATATCAACTAAATCAACTAAATCTATAAAAAGTAAAAGTAAAAGTAAAGAAAGTGAAAAAAATATCAACAATCTTAACAATAATAGTAGTAAAAATAATAGTATAAATAACTTGACTGAAAAATTATCAAATACAAGTTTAAATGATGATAAAAAAAATATTCATTCAAAAATTAATATATTAAATGTTCCGCATTTATTATCAATTGTATTATCCTTTTTATCAAAGGATATTGCTAATTTAATCATAAATGAAAATAACAATAAAAATAATTGTATGGATAATATTGATATTATAAATACAAAAAATTTAATTAATAATAGCATAAATAATTTATATAATTGTTTATTTGTTAATAAATTATGGTATAAAATAACAAAATTGTACTTGTATGAAAATTTAATTTTCACCTCAAATTTAAAATTTAATAAATTCTTAAATTTATTAACAAATAATAATAATAATAATAATAATAATAATAATAATAATAATAATAATAATAATAATAATAATAATAATAATAATAATAATAATCAAATTGATTTTATACAGAATACTAAACTAATTTCATTTAATAAATTAAATTCAATTAACCAATCAGATTTAAATTTTATTGCTGATAATTTTAAATTTGAAAATTTAAATTTTTTAGAAATCTTTATTTGTTCAAATATTTATCCACCAAAAAACTTTTTTTTTGAATCAAATCATTTAAAAACATTAAATTTATCAGGTTCAAATTCTAAATTGTTAAATGATAAATTTTTTAAATCAATTTTAATTAACTTGAAAAATTTAGAATTATTAGATTTAAGAGCATGTAATTTTTTCACAGACAATACTCTTATTGAGATATCCAAAAATTGTTTAAATTTGAAATTTATTAATATTGGAAGATATAAAAATTGCGATAAAATTACTGATATTGGAATTTCATCAATAATTAAAAACTTGAAAAATTTAAAAATCTTGGGATGTTCAGGTTGTTATATAACAGATGAAACAATCTGGAATTTAGTTAAATATTTAAATAATAAAATCGAGAAATTGTCAATCAATAATTGCAAGAGGTTAACAAATGATTCAATACCAAAAATTTTGGAGGATTTTAAATATTTACCAAATTTAAAAGTATTGGAAATCCGGAATAATTTAAATTTTACTAGTTTTGAATCAATAATCAAATTGAAAAATTTTAAGATTCAGAATAGTAAACCGATTTTAATTGAATGTTGTGAAGTTTTAGAAAAACGGATTTTAGCTCAGCAATTAGAACTTGATTTGAATAACTCTAGAGACAATGAACAAAATTTTAATGATTTAACAATAGGTAATTATAATGAACATGGAGTTCAAGTTGTACTAAATTAAACTTCAATTCTTTTATTCCCTCATTTTTTCCTTTTAATGTTTTAATTTTAGTTGATTAGTTTTAAGGTAAACCAAAAATAATCCAAGATAATATAATTGAAATCAATTATATTATAAATCAAATTAAAGTAAACTTTAATAAATTTTCTTATAGATTTTTTTATAATTTTTTTTTTCTTTTAAAAAAAAATAAATAAATAAAAGTTATGTAATTTATCATATCGAGGTAAATTGTAGAATGATTGATATAAATACAGATATAAATGATAATAAAATAGAAAAAATAAGTGAATTAAGATTATGTTATTAATAAGTAATCAATCTTTCTAATGAGTCGTTAGTTAAATGAACATTTAAATTATTTAAAACAGACAATTTTTTGTAATTTTCATAGGTTTTATAAGTTTTCTTATTTTTTAATAGTAAAGAATTTAAATTTTCATTAATTTGGTTTAATTTTTTGTAATTATTAATGAATTGAGTATTTAGGGCCTTATCCTCAATTTTGATAAGATTGAAGGAATATAATTCAGGAATTGGGTAATTTAAAATAGGATCATTAATTAGTGTGTTATTTTCCATTGTTAGTATTACTTTATTATTATTATTATTATTATTGTTATTATTATTGTTATTGTTATTGTTATTGTTATTGTTATTGTTATTGTTATTGTTATTGTTATTGTTGTTTGGGTTATTAATATTGGGAGTATTTGAAGATAATGGAGTGTTTGTATTGGTATTTGAACTTGAGTTTGGATTTGAACTTGAGTGAGTGTGTGAAGATACTCTATGATTATATGGGATATTATGGTGAGTATTTGAGCTGTATTTTTTGCTATATTTTGGGCCATTGTAGGTATCCTTTTTGTAGTTATCGTTTTTATATTTTTCAGTTTCATAGCTGTTGTAGCTGTTGTAATCATTGTAATCGTTGTAGTTGTTGTAGTTGTTATATTTGTTGTAGCTGTTGTTGTAACCGTTGTAGCTTTTGGAGGCATTGTGATATGTGTTTTGTTTGTAAATTGGAGCAGGATTCTTGCTCCTTGTGTTTATAGGTTTATTGTTGTTCTGTTGTAAAGTGGAAACTTCTTTGCTATTGCCTTGGTTTTCAGGTTTTATGGATTTGGTATCGTTGGTCTGGGGGCGATCATTGTGATTGTCGTTATCGTTTTCGTTCTCTTTGTAGTGTGCATCGTTCCTCTCGTTGGGATCAGTGTTGTTGATCTGTTTATCGTCTTCGTAAGCAGCGTCACCATTTTTGGGATCATTCTCCTGTTCCTGAGCATCTCTTGACTTTGATCTGGAGTAGTCTCTTGGACCTGGGTAGGGTCGTCGATAGTCTTTCTGGCTGTAGTCTCGCTGGTGGTACTCTCTGGGATAATCCCTCTGGTGGTACTCTCTCTTGTAGTCCCTCAGATAGTAGTCCCTCAGACTGTATGGTCGTGAATCAGCTTTGGTGTCGTTGTATCGAGGATAGTTGCTCTGGTACTCAGAGCTGCCTTCGTAGCCATGGCTGGCGTAAAACCCTCTGTAGTTAGATGATCCCCTGGATCTGTAGCTGCCTCTGCTTCCTCTGCTTCCTCTGTAGCCTCCTCTGTGCATTTGAATTGTGTTGAAAGCTGTGTTTGCTCTTTTCTTTTTTCTTTATAGTTATTTCTTTATTATAAATTTATTTTTTATTTTTATTTTTATTGAATTTTATTTCCGTTTTGGATCCACCCTCGGCCCGGATCTCTGATCACGTCATTTTCGACCAACAAAGTAGCAAAAGCAGCAAAAGAAGAAGAAACAGCAGAAACAGCAGAAGAAACAGAAGGAGGAAAGGAAGAAGAAGGAAAGGAAGAAGAAGAAAAGACACTGCTTTTTCTGCCTCTGTCGAAGAAAGCCTCTGTTTAAAACCACAGCTTCTGTTGTTTTTTCTCTCGGCGTTTTCCGGGCGCGTTTTGTTTTTTGTTTCTTCTTCCTCTTCTTCCTCTTCTTCCTCTTCCTTTCCTTCTTCTGTTTCTTCATCTTCAACTGCTCACCAACACCAATGTCCATCGACACACATCCAATTGGGCCCCTACTTGAGGCCACTAATCACCTCGAGCTGCTGGAACTGCTACACCACATTGAGCTGCCACTTGAACCTGCTCTTTCTCAAACCAATGACAACAATGGTAATAGCAAGAAGAACTTGTCCATAATCGATGTAGCATGGTCCAAAGTCGATATCAAGAACCAAGGTTATATCAAAAGCGACGAATTCTTAAATTTAATCGATATCTTGGAGATCACAATGAAACTAAACAAGAATTCTCTACTAGATTCAAACTCAAGAAATTTGGCCCAATTGTTTATCGACAACAATAGCAACGTCAATATAAACAAAGACGAGTTCCTAATGTTATTTGATGAATTGTGCGATAACCCAATTATAAATACTATAATCAACAACATAGACAATGAATTTGAAAATGAAAATAATAATGAAAATGAAAATAATAATAATGACAATGACAATGACAATGAAATAAATAGAATATCAAATTCCTCCTTATCTTCTTCCTCTTCCTCTTCTTCAAATAAATACCAAAAGGAAATAAAATACAGAGACCATCTAATTCAATCTTTAGAAAACGATCAAAAGAAATTACTAGACCTAATCAAATCAAAAAACTTATCCTACTCTTTATTAAAAAATGAAAATACAAGCAACATAAATCATTTAAACTATTTAGAGAAAAACTTCAATGCCTGTTCAATAAATTTAAAATACTTGAAAAATGATTCACTCAATGATATAAACTTGATAAACAATCTAAAAAAGGAAAACGACTATTATTCAAATGAAATCAAATTACTAAATAATAAACTATACTCTTTATCAACTCAGTTTGACTCTTTAAAATCTTTATATTTAAATAACAAGAGTCACTCTCTTCACTCACAAATTTCCCAAATGTCTTCTTCATCTTCTTTATCTTCTTCATCTTCAGCATCTTCAGCATCTTCACTGTCATATTCTTCTCTTTATTTGAACCATTCCAAAAAACTATCTCAAATGAATTCTACTCCAAATTTATCTTCAAACATTAGCATAGATAATAACAAAAATAATAATCATAATAAACATGATAATAAAAAAACTAACAGCATCGCTAATACATCTATGCAAATATTAAATCCTTCTTTATCTTCTTTATCTTCTTTATCTTCTTCCTCTTCTTCCTTACAACCTTCTAAAAAAAGACAAAGAAAAATCAGAAATACTAACGATTTTTTAGATCATATAATATCCCCAACTATTTCTTCAGCTTTAAAGATTTCTCCAATCAATTTATCCTCAAAAAACTTAATCAATTTTAAATCAACTCCAATCCTAAGATCAAATTCAAGATATTCGATTTCTAGATTCTCAAATTCAAGATCAACATCAAGATCTTCAAGAAAAAATCCTTCAATTTCACCAACCCTCTCGCCATCTCTTTCAATTCAAAACTCAAAACTAAAATTAGACTTTCATTTTACTTCAAAGGATAAGTCCCTTTTATTCAACCACCTTAATAACTCCACTAATTCACTAAACTCAACCAACTCAACCAATTCAATTTCTCCCTTCCAATCTCCTTTGAAAAAACACTCAAACCCAATTTTAAATAAAAAAAGCTTTTATACTCTTTCCAATTTAAACTTTGATAATCTATTTGACATAGATGAAAATGATAACATCAATAGAAGCAATAACAATGATAATAATGATAATAATAATAATAAAAATAAAAGCAATAAAACTGAACATGGTAATAAAAATATTAATAAAAAACAATCATTTGAAACAGATTTCTCAGAAAATTTAAATAACTTAACTTATTCACCGATTTCTTTAGATCTTTCAACCGTAGATTATAACTCTTCAAATTCAAATTTATCAACTCCTTTAAAGCATAGAAGAGATAGCATTCGAAGAAAGAGTCTCTCAAAGAAGAAATTTTCTTTACAAGATGAACTATCAGAATATTATAAAAACAATAGTACTTTAAGTACTGATAATGATGATGATTATAAAGATAATGATAATAGTATTGATAATATTATTGACAGTGATAACGATAATGATAATGATAATGATAATAGTAAATTAAAACAAAAAAAAAAATATATATTACCAACTCCTCCTTCTTCTTCTAAAAAGAAAACAAATAATTCAAATGAGTTAATATCTGAGATCAAAAGAATTAATGAGAATTTTATTGAAAATGACTCTTTTATTAATTCTAATTCTAATTCTAATTCTAATTCTAATTCTAATTCTAATTCTAACAACAACAGTCAAACCAAGATTAATACTGATAATGATAATGAAACTAATAGTGAGAAATCAGATAATCGTAATGATGATGATGATCGAGATTTTGTTGATTTCGTGGAAAATGAAATGAATGATATTATTGATAATGATAATTTTGAATATTTTGAAGATCATGATCAGGATGATTCTCTGCTTATCCTGGATGATATTGAAGAAGAATTAACATTACCATCAATAATTTCCGAACAAACATTTTTAGATGATTTGGATAATGATGATTTTATTCATATTGATGACTTCATTCGTCTCGGTGATGTTGAAGAGGTCAATGAGGAAAACTATTTAAACCAAAATAACACTAAAAATCAACATATTGATATAATAACATCAAAGGCAAGTCGAAAGTTATCCGTAAATTTTGAAAAATCTGAGATCAAAGACCTTAAAATTGAGAGCATTAAGCAGAAAAGTGATCAAAAAAATTCCAAAATTAAGATGGAAATTACTGATAAAGATATCAATATCAGTGTTAATAAAAACAAAAAAAATCATCTTTTTTTAATAAATTTATCAAAAAAGTTGAAGAAAATTTATTCAGCAAAATATGTGCTTTCAATATTGGTATTATTTCTATTATTGCATTTTTCTATAAATTTTATTCCAATTTTAATTCATGATAATCATTTTGGCTCATATGCTTTCAAAATAGGGAAATCAAATCAATTTTTCAGTTAGTTTATATTTATTTACAACAACCAAATTTTGAAGAAGACAATAAGGGATGTTCCATGTTGTGGAATGGTAATAAGTTTTGGAATTACTTTTGGAAAACAATAATTTGAACGTTTTTGCTTTAAAAAAGTGATTGTTATGAGTTTGCAGTTGCAATTAATTTGAGGGTGATCAGTAATCGAATCTATAAGTGACGCTAAATTTTGTTATTGTGGCTCGATATTTATTTATATCTTTTTTACTTGAATTTATTGGAGAGACATATGTTTTGAGGGCGATATGTGCTGAAAATAATCTAATCAAGTATGTAATATTTTATTTTTTTTTGAAATTTCTGAAAAACAGATTGAAAATTCGTTGATTTAGATGGAGAATAATTTCAGATTATTTGCAAGTATTTTTAATGAACTTTTCTTGTTTTAGTTTTTGATTTAATTAGTTTTATTTTAGTTTTATTTTAGTTATTTTAGTTTTATTTTTGTTGTTATTTTTGTTGAGTTTTGCTTCTTTTATTCTATTTTTTTCTTGTGTTGCATTATATTATACTAAGATTTTGTTACTGCTAACAGTTTTCAAAAATAGATATGACAGCATTATAAAGCGATTGTAGAAACGAGCTAATATGAACTGTTTGCTTTGGCTTTTTTTCAACCACCAAAGCTTCGAAATTTCCTTATTGGGACGAGTCTATCAAGCAGAGTAAAGTAGATGTTTTGCACTAGAAACATCAGTTTACTTGCACAAATTCCTGTTAGGTGCTTGCCGATTGTTCACTACAAACTTTGGAAACTTTCTTGTCCTGTTGGCCAACTTGCTTTGGCTACAAAGCTTGAAATGGGGAAGTGGTTGTTGGTCTTGGGCGTGAAAACACTGGATAGGACGTTTCCGCTGAGAGATTATTGTTCAAAGTCTGTTTACCAGTGAAAATTGTTTTGTTTATCGCTGAGCAACATCAAGGGTTTGTTTTGTTGGGAGTGTAGCCCTTCCACACTTCTTCCAGCGATAGCAGCTCCTGCCTGAGATATTTTTTTCGCTTGTATTACTTCTGGATAGCTCTGGCGTTTTCAAAGAGCCATTTCCCCATGTTCACTTCAGCTTTCGCGATTCCAAATTTGAGGTATTTTCGAGCTTTTGTTTGACAAATGTGTGCAATCTTGTGCTTTTTTTGCTATAAAGGTCATGTTTAAAAGCAGAAATTATCTTCAGCACCTCGATGTTATATACAATATCGCAGTGTGGGCCTATGTTCATGGTAACTTTTCCGCTGTATCCTGGCCTCTGATTGGTTGGTCTCGGGTGTGTAGTGCTTTTGATCCAGAATCACAAAAGGGCCTCAGTGAGTCTCACTTTGCTCAGACAGAGAGTGGGAAACAGCGACAGTTGAAGCAAACACAGGCCATCTCGTCAGATTCCCCCCAGGGCCTTCTACACAAACAGTAGAAGGGCTGTTGGTCTTTCTCCAGCTTTGGCCATGTTGGCGAGCACAGTGCAAACTAAGTTAAATCTCTCGTTACTCAATGCGACCATCCAGAATTGTATATAAGTCAGCCAGGATGACAGTTTTACGTTCATTTTCCACATCGCCAGTTTACACATAGCAACCAGTAAATAGACATCACAGACAGCTCTGCAAAATGGAAAAAAAAGACCAACATGATAAGGTATTAACTCTGCAAGTTGATACCGACTCTGATAATCACAGCGATTTGGAATCGCAAAACTCTGAACAAACATATATCCACGAACACAACAACGACATTGCCCATCTAGACTTGCAATTGAAGAAAACATTGACCAGAAACATCCATGACACGACCGTTACTGTTGGTGAGGCTGATTTGAATGAGTTTCCTGAAGGTGGTCGAGGTTGGCTAGTTATCCTTGGGTGCACTTGTATTTCAATCATGACCTACGGTATGATCAATGCCTATGGTGTATTTCAGACCTATTATGCAACCACATTGTTTCCAACTCACAGCTCGTTGGTATTGTCCTTGATAGGTTCTGTCCAAACAACATTAGTTTATATGATCGCTCCATTTTCGGTTCCTTTAACTTTCGCTTTATCTGCAAGAGTTTCCTGTGCACTTGGTGGCTCATTGATGATAATATCCTTTTTTTTGTTGCCTCGATGCACTCAGTACTACCAAGTATTTCTTTGTCAAGGTGTTTGTTACGGTTTAGGTGGTGGAATAATGTTTCCTCCAACCTTACAGTCTCCATATGAATGGTTCAAAACTAAAAGAGCCCTAGCTAATGCTTGCTCAGTATTCGGTACTTGTGTTGGTGGTATAATCTGGCCCATTTTATTCAAACATATGGAAAAGAAAAATGGTTTTGCTTGGACATGTAGAACAATTGGTTTTCTTTATATTCCCTTGGTAGTGGCTGTTTGTTCTCTACTACAACAACCTTTAGATGAAAAATTCACTAAAAACATGTCTGACAAACAGTTCTTATCGCTCTCCCGATTTTCAATTGATAATATTAAACACATCAATAAAAGCTATAGCAAACTAATGAAAGAATGGATAATTGTTCTGAAAAATTGGAGACTCAACTTGTTATTATTTTCAAATGCTTTAGGTATGCTAGGTTCTTACTGTGGTATCTTTTTCTTGGACTATTTTGCAGTCAAGTTAAATCCAACTTCAACAGTCTCGGAATATATCGTTGTATTATACAATGCATTTGGAGGTCCAGGTAGATTAATTTCATGCATTCTAGCTGATAGATTTGGTAGACTTAACATCTTACTAGTCTTTTTATTTTTCTGCTTTGTTTTTCCTTTGATCTTATGGATGCCTTCAATTCCTGCACAAAACTTGACAGTATTTGCTGTTTTCACCTCAGCTTGGGGTGTTGCATTGGCTGGTTTCTTTGCAATTTTTCCCGTGAGTATGGGTCAATTGTTTGGTATTAATGGTTCAGAAGCAAGAGTTGGTCTATTTTTATTAACATCAGGTCCAGGTCCTCTAATTGGAACAATGATTGCAAGTAGTTTCATACCAACTGGAAGTCATAATGATCTTAAAATTATCAATAGCTTTTATGGATTGAGTGGATTCTGCGGCGGTATAATGTTTCTTTCTTTCTTAACTTGCTTATGGTTAAGACTTTCAGTGTCAACAAAGTTTATGGCCTATGTTTGAAAAGCCAATGCCATAAAAACAATATTTTTATCATTTTTATTTTATTATTAATTATATTATATATTTCCCATTTCAAACTTCCAGTATTTTTTTTCTTTTTTTTCTTTTTTTTTTCTCTTTTGCTCGTTTTTATGTTATAACATTTTTTTGGTTCCTCTTAATATTAATTTAATCGGTGTTTCTTTTTCTACCATTATTTTTTATCAATAAAAAGGGTTTATAAAACAATAATTCTTATTAAAAAAAATTTAGTATGGTTTGAATTGTATATACATGAATTTAATAAAAGTTGTATTTATTTTTAATTTAAATTTCATCAATTTGCTTTTATCATTTATATAATATTTTTATTGATTTTCTCAGATTTTGTTGCATATTCACTCATAAGATTGAAAAGACATCATTCCATTGGCACTAATAGATAATTAAAAAAAAAAAAAAAAAGGTTAGTATAATAATTCTTGAAAATTATAAAGTTTTGAATTTGAATCATCATATACATACTTTGAATGTCTTGAGAAATAATCAAAATCAATGCTTATAGCGTTGGCTAGTAATACAGCTCTTTGATCCAAAGACAATTTCTCATTTGAAACATTTGGATACTGATCTTCAGGCAAACCAGAAAATGAGATTGGATCCATTCGTAAGATATAAACACCAGTATCAGTGAATAGCTCTCTACCTAAACCGACCCAATTTCTATCGACTGAACCGATAATTTGATTTTTCTCATTTTTTATTGGAAAATCAAAGGATAAAATCCTGGCATCTATTTCACCAAATTGATTGAACGATTCTCCAACAGAATCCTCGGATAAAAATAGGTTATAACGTCTTCTCCAAGGATGCCAGCTTTGAATGGTTTCACCAATTATCATACCATCTTGATCGTTTTTGCAATATGGATTTTGTATATTTGGTAGAATTGCCTTTATGTGAGAGTTTATAAAAGAAAAGGGTCTCTGTATTGTCAATAAAAGATTATCCTGTAGGTCGAAAACATCAACAGAAAATGGTCTGTGAAGACGATATATTTGACGCATTACAGCTTTTAGGATACCCAAGTCTCTTTCTTGCATGTATGCTAGAGGATTACCATTGACATCCATTACAACATATTTATTTGGTTGTTCAAGGCCTAAAAAGACATTCATCATTTCGATTTTTCTCTCAATTACTAGAGTTGGTTGAGAGAGCAAAGTGGCAATTGGATCAGAGTGTTTGATGGTAGCGCTTTTGCCCTCAGGAACAAACACTTCAGGCTGCTTTGGAATGGTGTAAGATTGGTTCTCATAGGATTTGTTATTATGGGGGTTAATGATTCTTACTCGTGGAGCTTCTCTTGAAGGTGCTCTTCTAATTCTTCTAAAAGGTGGAGGAGGAGGAGCTCTAGAAGAGTAGAATCTCTTTGGGGTTGAGATTAGAGACTTCATGGGAGTTGAAGGAAGTAAAGACTTTTCAGACTTTAATAGCTGTTTGAACATTTCTAGTTGTTTTAAAGAGGAGATGGGGGACAATGGCTAGCTATTGTATGGTATTATATATTATGCTGTACTATATTCGATTAAATTAGAGATGAGAAAAGAAATGGAGAAGGAAATAAGATTTTATATGAAGCGGATTTAAGGTGAGTAGAGATTAGCTATCTAAAAGCGAGTATAAATTAAATATATATATAGAATAAAGTGAATTAGTGAGAAAGAGAAATAGAAAAATAGATAAATGGAGGAACAGGGGAATATTGAATATAAAAATCTATGGCAAATAATAAATAGCAAATTACATGAAATTACAGGAATTGATTATTTTTTTGATTTGATTTGATTTGATTTGATTTGATTTGATTTGATTTGATTTGATTTGGTTGAGTTTGATTGTAATTATTGTTCACATCTCTCCAATAATTCAGGTAGTTTTTGCATAGATTCAGAGCCATAAACAATTTGATAAGTTGCTTCGAACAAGGGAAAATCAGCAGTCATATTTTTGTTTTCCAACAACTCATGAACTTCCTTTGCAGTGATGATACCTTGGGCAGATTGGCCATTTAACAAATCCTTTTCAGAGTCCCAGGCACTTTTACCAGTTTCAGCCATGTATTTACCAATTTTGACATTTCTACCACCAGAACAAGTTGTAATTAAATCAGCTACACCAGCGCTTTCTTCAGTGAATGTCTTTTCATTGCAATTGGGGAAAAAGGTTTTACCGAAATTGACAGTTTCCATCAAGCCAATTCTCATGATAGCAGCCTTTGCATTATCACCCCAGCCCAAACCTTCTACAAAGCCTGCAGCTAAGGCAACGATATTTTTCAAAGCACCAGCTAGAGAAACACCAGCAATATCATCAATAACCCTGACATGGAAGTAAGGTCTGTGGAATAGCTTTTTTAAGGTCAATTGGTTGATGTCCTTCGTGGGACCTCTATAATCGTTTGGCAAGTTATATGCGACAGTTGTCTCAGACCATTTGTGTCTAGCTATTTCTGGAGCTAGATTAGCACCACTCAAAGCACCACAATGAATACCCAAGTGATCAGTGATGTAGTCAGATAGCAATTGACAACCATCTGGATTAACGTTTAAACCTTTTAAACAAGATATGGCTCTGGCAGTTGGTTTAATGTGGCCCTTTAGGTTTGAGCAGATTCTTTTCAAGAATTGGTGGGGAATATTGAATACAATTAGATCTGAGTCTTTTACAGCAACTGCAATATCAGGCTGAGCAATTAAGTTTTCGGGCAATTTGATATCAGGTAAATATTTGACGTTTTCGTGTTTTGTATTGATGATTTCAGTCAAGTTTTTGCCATTGATTTTTTCTTCATAGACCCACATGTTAACATTTCTTTGGAAAAGATTAGGAGTTAAAGCAGTGTTTTCGGCAATGATTTTGGCAATTGTTGTGCCCCAGTTACCTGATCCAATGACAGTCACTTTGAATGGTTTATCAGGAGAAATTGAGGGTGAAGACGAGGAAGATGGAGATGATGGAGATGAGGTCGATAAGTGACTAGCAACTTGTTGCAAACGAGAAGCAGCTGTTTTGTGAAAGGACATTTTTATTGTGATGATAGAGTGATTAGTGTTGATGCAATTGGTAGTGTTGACAGAATTGGCAGTGTTGAGAATAGAATTGTGAATATTGCTATTGTTATTGCAAAGAAGAGTATGAATTTTTCTTGAAGAAAAGACAAAGTTGGTGATATTCCTCTTATAATTCAGGGAAAGCATACAAAGGACAAAAAAAGAAAAGAGAAAAGGAAACAACAATGTTTAAATAAAGAGAAAAAGATAGCTCTCAACATCAAAAGGACAAAAAGATGCAGGTCATTGAAAAATTTGAAGCAAAACAAAAAATTTGATTGTGAAAACGGCTTTTTCGAGACTCCGCACCGGTTTTCCGAACAGATGCCGCAGCCGGAAAAAGATGGTCCAAGCCTACGGCTGGAGACTGTCTCTTCAATACCCGCTGAGCACGCAGATTGCATTCTGATTACACACTTTTCTTTTGACAGCAGCCAATTGTGTTTGGTGATACCATTACTCATAGCGATCATCATATAGCAATCGTCTGTGCTAACGGTCCGAGTACGCAGTCGGTGTTCGAGATCTTCGGACGCTTCGAGCGGGCTGATAAGAACGAAATTAGTCACGCACAGCCCACCAATCAAATCGCGCATCGGAAGCGTGACGCACCAGCCACGCATTAACAGGTGAACTCTTATTGAGCTGTGCGTAAATGTGCATGTGCATTGCAAAATCTGTCTTTTGCACGTGAATATTTTAACTCTATTGAGATAAAACATTTCACGGAAAGACGTGTTTCTTCTTGCCGCATCCGGTTATGACTCAAAAGACCGATCGCAAATTGCACGCGTCTTTGTGTGTTTTTGTGCAGAGAAGGTGTGCACTTATAGTTTGGAATCCCGAGCTTTCTCCGCGCACAATTATCTCCGCGAAATCTTTGACACGTGCTGATAGCGAGATTTGTGGAAAGACAAAAAGAAAAATAAGCTTTTGATTTCAACCAACAATAAACAATTACTCAAATTGCAATCACAATTATAATCATCTATCAACAGTCATAATTTCGATCTTAATCTCGACCTTAATCTTGATTTTAGTTTCTGTATTAATCTCAATCTTAATCTCAATCTCAACAACCATTAGCTGCTTGTCTGCCGGTGCTACTCATCGAATCCAACACCTCAAATTGTCCACCCATGTTGATATGAATTTCTTACTCTCATCTTTCTCTGTATAGACTATGGAATTGTTCGATTATTTAAATGAATCTGATGATTCAGAACCTTTAAAGAAAAAGATCAGTGAATATGGGCTAGCTGCCATCAGCAGCAATTTAGACCAGCCCAATATCCTTTACAACCACGACATATACAATGACACAAACAATATCATAACAAATAACATCAATGGTATCACCAACGATATGAATATTAACAACACCATAGTCTCAAAAAATACACAGGTTATTAAAGATAACTACGATCTAATTAATAATAACAAATCAACTTTCTACTCGAATTCAAACTCGAACTCAAACATGAATAACGATATAATGGATAATGAGTATCTAATAAATAATCACACAAATATAACAAAATCAACAACTATAACAAATTCCAACTACAATCATAATAATAACAACAATCATAACAACAATAACAACAACAACAATAATAATAGCAATAGTAATAATAATAGCAATAGTAATAATAATATCAATAGTAATAATAATATCAATAACATTAATAATAATGCCATTATAAATTCTCTGCAGAGCTCAAGTAAAAACATCCTCAAAAATAATGACTTTAACAATAACCTAAACAAATCTTTCAATCAACCAAATAGTAGTTATAACGAAAATTTTTATACTCCAAATTCAAATCCAATCTCCAATACAAATGTATTACCAAACTCTCAATTTAAATCAAGCTTTACTTCAAATTTTAATTCAAATATTTATTCAAATTTTAAAGATGAAAATATATTATACAACAACAACAACAACAACAACAACAACAGTAACAACAATAAAACTATCAATAATAAAATACAGAATTATGATAAATCTCAAGATAACGATATACTAATGACCCCAATAAACAACATTAAACCTCATATCATCTATAATGATAATAACCAATTTGATAATTCAATCGATAACAATATCAATAATAATAATATTAATATTAATAATAATATTAATATTAATAAAAATACCAATAATATCAATAAAAATCTTAACATCAATATTATTAAAAATAATAAAAACATCAACGCTAAAATTAGCACTAACATTTTACTGGCAAAACTATCACAAACTCCTCCTTTAAATCAAATAAAATCTGTCAACTTCAAAACTTTTTCAAATCAAAAACTAAAAGAAAGAGGTCCGATTTCACACTTAAAAACTCCTTTAAGATCCAATTTAAAATCTTCTTTACGATCTAATCTAAAATCTTCAAGCTCAATTCTAAATCCAATTAAAATTTCCCTTTCAAAATCTCAATCTCAATCTCAATCTCAATCTCAATCTCAAATTCAATCTCAAATTCAATCACAAACAGATCCTCAACTTCAACCCCAACCACAAGTACATCTTCAACCCCAACTAGAACCTCAACCTCAATCTCAACCACAATTTTCAATTTCAAATCTTCAACAACAAGTCCACAATCAACTAAACTCTTCTTTGAGAGATACAATTGAAGTCAATAACAACTCTTATGAAATTATTGGAAAAATCGGTAAAGGAGGTTCATCAGTAGTCTATAAAGTCAAATCTCAAACAAAAAAAATTTATGCTATAAAAAAAGTATTCTTTGATCAAGTCGATGAAACTGTCGTTAAAGGTTTTAAAGGTGAAATCGACTTGTTATTAAAATTAAGAAATCAAAATAGAGTTGTAAAATTAATCGACTACTATTTGGATAAAGCTAATTTATACGTTGTAATGGAGTGTGGTGAAATAGATTTAGCAAATGTTTTATCTCAAAGGTCCTATGATCCTTTAGATGTTGAATTTGTCAGATTTCACTCAAAGGAAGTCCTAAAATGTGTTGAAGCTGTTCATCTGGCAGGAATCGTTCACTCGGATTTAAAACCTGCAAATTTTTTATTTGTCAAAGGTAAACTAAAAATTATAGATTTTGGTATAGCTAATGCTGTTCCTGACTATACCGTAAACATCTACAGAGATAACCAAATAGGCACTTTAAACTATATGGCACCTGAAGCCTTACTTGATGATAAAGTCTCTTCATCCACTCATAGCTCAACTTGGAAAGTTGGTAAGCCTTCAGATATCTGGTCCTGTGGTTGCATAATTTATCAAATGATTTATGGGAAACCACCTTACGCTCATCTTACTGGCAGCAAAAGAGTGCTTGCTATCATTAATCCTGATGTTAAAATATCCTTTCCTGAAAAGGGACTTGGTGATGTTGCTGTTCCTAGAACTGCAATAGCAACAATAAAAGCTTGCTTTCATAGAAACCCTCAAGATCGTTGGACTGCTATTCAATTATTAGATGGACCTTTTATAAAACCTACTGTTATAAATAAAGAGTTTGTTAAAGGTTTACTTAACAGTGCATTGGTTTATGGAGCCAAAAACAATAATATTAAAAAAGAAACCGTAGATATGTTGGCCGATGATGTTTGGGGAAAAATCCCAGAATTTAATTTTTAAAAATAAAAGGAAATATTCATGTCAATCTTTTTTTAATTCATACTATTTTTGTGTTTATTCATATTTTTGTTTATCACTTTTCATTAACTCATTATACTGGTATGGTATTGTAAATTATAAAGTTTTTATTTCTTGATGCTTATTATTGGTTATTTTTTTTATCTTTTTCCTATTTTCCATTGTTTATTTCTCTTTGTTTTTGATTATTATTTTTGTTCTTGTTTTTGGTTAATTTTTCATTTCTATCAAAACAGTTTTTCTTTCTTAAAATTTCTACTATATTTATTATTACGATAGTTTTTTTTGCAGACATTTTATTTCTCAGCAAAAATAAATAGCATAAACCATTTACCACACTCTTTTTTTTGAAAACATTTTTTAATTTTGTTTTTCAGCAACTACATTTCAATTTTTCAAAAATAAAACATAAACATATATATATGTATGTATTAATTTACATATTCAAGTAACTTGATAAAAAAAAAGGGCTTTAGCAACATAATATTTTGGTGATTCTAAATATACATATATATATGTATACATAAAAATATGAACTTAATCATAGCAATAGCTATGATTAATAACTATAACTATAACTATCTAGGACCAAATTTGGTTTGTAAAATCCTTGGGCCTTGCTCTTCCCATTCTTGTTTTGTTAACCACATATGTTCTTTGTCTTGCATAATTTGAGCTAAAACAGCACCACCAATAAAGACCATATGTTTTCTTCTTGGAGGATCTTCGATCCTTAGTTTAAATTTGGATAATCTTTCAGCATTTCCATTCAATACTCTAGTGAACCATAATTGTTTCAATTCTTTTTCTATTCTTGAAGGCAATCCAGGGTACATACTTGAACCACCAGAGAGAACAATAGATTTATATAAAGTGCTTCTAATATCAACGTCACAGGATTGTATAGTGTTGAATAGAGCTTCACCAATACCTTGTTGTTCAACACCAATTAAATTTGGTTGGAAGAGACATTCCGGAGCCTCAAATCTTTCAGAACCAATTTTGATTACTCTGCCATCAGGTAACTCATAGTTTTCAACTAAAACCGTTGTATCTTGAGCTAGTTTAGTATCAAAATCTAGATCATAAGAAATATAACATAATTTTTCTTTTATTTGTCTAATGGTTTCAAAATCAGCTGTTCTGTTGAATGCATAACCTCTTCTTAGTAATAGATTTATCAAGTTTTTAGTTACATCTCTACCTGCTATGTCTATTCTTTTTGTTTGATGAGTTAAGACTACAGAATCATAAACAGGGACAATATGAGTTACACCATCACCAGAGTCTACTACAACACCAGAGGATAGACCTTGAGCATATAAGGCTAATACAGCTTGGATTGCCACGTAGACCCCAGAAAATTGATAATTTTCCAACATTATTTCACACATTCTTTCTCTATTTCTTAAAGGATTCATAGGAGGTTCAGTTAAGAGGACTTTTTTACCATGTGGATCAATTTGCATCTTTTCATAAAAGGAATAATCCCAAAGATGCTGCATATCTTCCCAATTTTTTATGATACCATTTTCCATTGGATAAGAGATTTGTAAAATTGAACGAATCTTTTGAGCTTCATAACCACACATTATATCTTTTAAGTTTATATCTTTTAAATCTTGTAATAGAGCCAAAGAAGAGTTTGATTCTTCGGCTCTAAGAATTGGTCTTCCAACAATTGAAGGAAAAGTATGTTCAGGAAAATTGGTTCCGGAATAACCAATTTTAACGAAACCAGTACCTTGATCGAGAACTATGATAAAGAGCAAAAAAAAAAATAGAAAATGTCAGTAATTTCGATCTTTAATTGAAGTATTTCATTTTTATATTCGCTGTGATTTTCACTATCAATCTAAATCTCATCTCGATATTGCAAAAAAAAAAAGACATTTTCTGTTCTTTCAATTAGTACTGGAAATCCCAAATCACTGTCTAAATGATCCACTGATGACACAATGAGAGTAATACTGCTGGTGTAAAACACTTACCAATTGGTATTTCAGACATTACAAAGTGATTATGTGCAAGATTGAATAATAAAACCAAACAATAGGCAATTTAGAAACCAAAAACACAGCAATGATGCAGTTGATACCAACTGTTTTGGACATTTCATCATAAAGAGCTGGAAATCTGAAATATAATCAAAGTTTAAACGTGCCCCTAATTACGCCAAACCGGAAGTGCTGTGGGTCACATGTAGCAATACGGGATTGCCCTGTTTGTTTTGTGATTAGGTCAGTGCTGACAAAGACATCCGTTCAAACTGTTTGAGTCATCCGTTGCTTGGCTCCGTTGGGCTGGTTCCGTTCGCGAGTTTTGTGTATCCGTACGGCTGGTTGTGTCCGTCGGGATGCTTCCGTTGGCACCTGAACAGACTAAACTTGTTGGTGCCCACCTTCTTGTGTTCTAGCTGGATGAGCTGCTTCTGGTGCTTCTGGTGTTTCCAGTGCTTTGTTGTTGGATCTACCTGTGTTTTCTGCTGACAATGGCCATTTCAAAGCGACAGGATGGCAGGAGGTCAGAAGCTGGTGTTTATGCTAACCTGAAGACGGGTATATAAAGGCTAATTTTGGATCGCACTTAATCTGTTGCTTGTTTTGTCTTTAGATTCACTTTGATTATCAGAAATTGACTAGATTTCAATGAAAACATCTCTTTTTGGGTTGAATTTATTGAATAACTCAAAACTATTTTCAAAGAGATTTCGTTCATCTATTCTTCGATTTGGAAATCTCAACAAATACTCTTCAAAATCCTTTCTACTCAACTCAACCAATTTTAAACCCTCGCTTCATAAATCAATTTCCTCATTCAACCAGTACAATTTAATAAAAAGACAAATGATGTCTACTTTAAATGCTCCAAAATCGTTCAGATTGCCTGAAGTCATTGAAAACCATCGTCCAACTTCTTCTCCAGAGTTTGACCCTTCAACTAATTCAAATTACTTGAATTTTAATGTATTTGAAACTAGTTTGGATATAGCAATCTTATTTGACCAAAAAATCGTTAAAGGTGATGTAACCTATATATTATCTTCAAACACAAGTGCTGCCAATCAAATTATTCTTGACACTTCTTTTTTGAAAATCAATGGTGTTTCAATTAACAACCAGGATTTAGGTTCCAACGATTATTTTCTTAAGCAGAGATCTGAACCATTAGGCTCTCCATTAATTATAAATAACATTGATAAAGCAAATTTCATTGAAGATAACGAAATCACTTTAAAGATCTCTTTTGAAACCACCAAGGACTGCACTGCTTTACAATTTTTAGATTCAAAGAACACCGATGGCAAAGACTACCCCTACTTGTTCTCTCAATCTGAAGCTATTCATTCAAGATCAATTTTCCCTTGTTTTGATACTCCTTCAATCAAAACCCCATACAAGATCAAAGTCACCTCTCCATTACCAACTTTAACCTCAGCATTGGTTGATAATACAATTCATGAAACAGAGAAAACAGAAAACACTTATTATTTCTATCAGCCAATTCCAATTCCTGCCTATCTTTTCGCCATTGTTAGTGGTAACGTTGTTGGCAAAAAAATTGGCGAAAGATCAACCATATACTCTGAGCCAATTAAAATCGATGAATGCGCTAACGAATTCAAAGATAACATTATGGAAAATTTTATCAGAACGATTGAACAAATCGTCTTTGACTATAAATGGACGAATTACGATTTTGTGATTTGTCCAATTGCATTTCCATATGGAGGAATGGAAAACCCTCAATTAACATTAGCCAATTCAACCATTATTTCTGGTGATGGTGAAAATATCGATGTCATTGCTCATGAATTGGCTCATTCATATTCAGGTAATTTAGTAACAAACTGCTCTTGGGAACATTTTTGGTTAAATGAAGGTTGGACTGTTTATCTCGAAAGAAGAATTATTGGTGCAATTCATGGTGAGGCCTCCAGACATTTTAGTGCTATTATTGGCTGGAGTGATTTGGAAACCTCAATCAAAGCAATGGAAAACAAAAACCAATTGCATTTTTCAAAATTAATTCAAAATTTGAAAAACAATAAAGATCCAGATGATGCTTTTAGTACTGTTCCTTATGAAAAGGGTTTTAATTTGTTATTTTATTTAGAAAACTTACTAGGTGGTGTTGAAAATTTTGATCCATTTATCAAATATTATTTTAATAAGTTTAATGAAAAATCATTAGACACCTACCAATTTATTGATACATTATATGAATTTTTCAACACAAAGAAATATCATGACTTGTTAAATTCAATTGACTGGGAAACTTGGTTATATAAAGAAGGTTTACCTCCAAAACCCAAATTTGATACATCGTTAGTCAACAAATGTTACGATTTATCAGACAAATGGATTAAATTTATTTTAGATAATAACAAAACCAACAAAATTTTAAAATTTGATGATTTTTATAAAAAATTTAATATTAATGATGTTGAAGAATTTTCGTCAAATCAAAATGTTGTCTTTTTGGATACTTTAACTGGATTTAATGAAAAAATTGATAAATTTCAATGGTCGAATACTTTAAATGGGCAAATAGCATTGAAAGCAATGAAAAAAATTTATAGTAACTATGAAAAATCAGGTAATGCAGAAGTTATATTTAGATGGTATAGATTGTTATTAACAGGTAGAATCAAAGAAGATTATCAGACTTTTGCAGATTGGTTAGGAACCGTTGGTAGGATGAAATTCGTTAGACCAGGATATATTTTATTAAAAGAATGTGATGAACAATTAGCAATTGAAACCTTTGAAAAATTTAAAAATAATTATCATCCAATTTGTGTTGCACTCGTTAAAAAGGATTTAGGTATTTAAGATAGTGATATCATGGCTCATGACTATAATAAGACAAAATTAATTGCATATAATTTTTTTTACTTTTTTTATGGTTGACGATATTTTAAACAATTATGATGAAACTATTATATTTATTTAAATTACATTAAAATAATTCAATAAATATATACAATATACAATATATGATATACAACATATGATATACAACATATAATATACAACATAATGATAATATGCGAGTAATTACAAGTTAAAAGTATTGTGTATTTCACTATATGGTATATAAATTATGGAACACGCATACCCCTTTGAACTGCAGGTATTTTATTTATACTATTTAACCAATTATTTAAATGAGGATAACTTTGCAAGTCGATATTTATACAAAAGCATTCGTAAATCCAGGGAAAATGAATTAAATCAGCTACTGATAAATGGTCCCCAACCAAATAGCCCGAGCTATTTTTAATTAATTGATTTTCTAAAATTTGATAATAATTTTTAATTTCTTTATCATAATCTTCTAAAATTTGATCATATTGTTTAGTGTTTGGCATTTTATCAGGGGGTAAGTAAAATTTAAAGTGGCAAATCTGACCTTGAATTGGACCAATGTTAGCCATTTGAAAAAAAATCCACTGTAACATTTTATTATAATTTTTTGAACCGTATTCAAAAGTGAATTTATTTGTTTTATCAAATTTGTCAACTAAAAACAACATGATAGAAGCGCTTTCCATTATTGAGAATTTTTTGCCCTTTGAATTAGCATAACTTAACACCGGAATTCTGCCATTGGGATTTAGTTTGATAAACCAGTCTTCTTTTTGCTCCTTTTGAGACAAGCTTATTGATCTGACATGGTATTTTATTTTTAGTAGTTCAAGTAAAATGGAAACCTTTTGACCATTGGGAGTAGGGGCAGTGTATAGCTTGATGTATGGCGCATTTAACTCAGAAAAAATTGGATCAGGATCACCTTCATCAACTAAGACCATTTTGGATAATGGAACTGGTGAAGTATAGTTGCTTGAAAGGTTTTCTGGTGGTTAGATATAATAAAAAGATAATGATCGAACCCAGATGCGTGGATTGTACGTGAATATGCTGGGTTTGCCTGGTCTGGCATAGATATGCATGATTTGCTCAATTTAGTTGGGTCTCAAAACAACAGAGGACATAAAAGTGAGGATTTTGTTTTGCAGTGTTCTATTTATATTTTTGGCATAGCAAAATAGAAAAAGGGAAAGTCAGAAAGAAAAAAAAGCCCCAGAGAACCATGACTCACTGTTTTCTAATAGCCTGGTATCTAAAATGCTAATAAAGTTCTAACAGTCGAACTTCTATGTTTCACAAATCTTAAACCCAATCGATGAAACAATTATCAAAATAGTATAAGCTAAAGTATTGTTGGAGTTGAGCTATCATCATTTATTTCCTATTTAAAGACATCAGGATAGAGTGAGATAGGTGGAAATAGATAAATTATTAAAAAAAGATTTAGAAAATACTGAAGAAGGATTTTTGCATTTTGTTTAACATTGACCAAAAGAAGAAAAGATTAAAAAATCAAAAGATTTGTAGTTCAATGCCTTTAATCAAAAATCCATAGAAAGAAAGTAAAAGACTCATGATTCCAATTAAGAGAACTTTGTTTTAGTGGAAAGTAAGCTGATACCCCCAAAAAAAACATAAATTGATATGGATCTTTTTGCGCTGAATACGATAGAGTAGAGATTTCAAATATGGTTGAAAAAGCTGTATCGTCATTTGCTCGTGGTTATGTGCATCCCCAAATGCTAAATGCTAATCTAAAATTTGGAGAGACTGGAGCAATGCTAAAAGATGAGTTGGCAGCAAAAATAACAGAATTGAAGTTTTTTGCTGCTCAGAAATTTTGTTGTGTGTGGACTGTTTTCGGGTAACATTCAAAGCGTGCTCTGCCTTGTTAGAGGGGTGTTCTGATAGAAGGGGTTGAAGCGTTATCTGGTGCATTATCTGAGGACATATTCTGGACTGGTGTCAAAAGAAACGCTATTTGGTGAAGCTGAGACTGGGGTATCTCCTTCACGAGATGATGCTAAGGAGGGATGTAGCAATGGTGTAAGTGATACAGTATTGCGTATTTATTTCCATAATATCATGCTGAATATTCAGAAAGTCGTTGGCTTGAGAATTCTAATTTTATTTATCTATTCATATAGTTATATATTCATTTAAAGAGTTTGTTATTTCGGTGTTTTTGAGTTTTTAGAAAAATCGATTTATTGTCTTGAATTCTTATTCTTAAATTGGATAGTTTTTAGATTGTATGTATTTATTTATCTAGTTAGTTAGTTTTGATAGATTTAAAAAACATTAATTTATTGTTTTTATTTTTATTTTTAGTATTTTTTTTGATAGATAAAAAAACCCTTGAATAATAATCAGTGATGATAATGATCGATATTGGCTAATTCGATAGAAGACTGAATAGCAGATAATAAATTATTAAATAATTGTAGAAGGCAAGCTTTTAAGGTTAATCAAATAACAAATTATAATTTGATTAGATCGAGGAATAAAGTTTGAAAAGCTTAATTTTAAAGAGTCAAAAACCTGTAATCGCACTAAAAGACTAAAAGAATTTAATTTTGTGGAAACCCATAGCTTTTTTAGGTGCAAATATTGATAAACACCTTGTTTATCAACTTGAAAATAGTAAATGAATGCAATTTCAAGTTTTCAAATAATATAATTAACAGACTCAATTTAATTTAATTTAATTTAATTTGGTTACTGAAAAACATAATGTTATTAGGAAATTTTAGTTGAGTGAATAAATGGAATTGATAAAATATATTCAGTAATCAATATATTTTCAGTCAATCAAAATTTAATAAATTATTCATATGTTACAATATCTTATATTCTATTTGTTCTGTATATAGAGATATGATATTACTAAAACTCAATTATAAGTTGATGCCATTTTGTATAATTTACAGTTAATTGATTTGTGATTTTACATGTTGAACTCATGAGATTTTTTATATACTATTATTTAAAATATTATTTAGAATGTTATTTAAATTACTGATAGATAATAAAGGATAATGATTATAGTTATTATACATAATACAATTGAACAATGTAGCTGAGATTATTGTTATTAGGTTTGTTATCAAATGACATAAGTTATTACAATTTAATATTAAGCTATCTGAGTAGGATAAATAATGCTTTTTTTGTTTCTTTTTCTTCGAATATATTCAATTTAGTATATCAAATGGATACTATAGCGTGTAGTAGCCATATAATGATAAAAATTAGGAAGTCTACACAATTTTCCAAATATTATACTCTTGCCTTTAATTAAAGTATGGAAATTTAGGCTAGAAACAAGAATTTAACAGTTTTATTTTAGATTGAAATTAAATGTATACTGAACTATTTCTTTTGATTTTTGATTTTTGATTTTTGATTTCAGGAACAAACTTGAAAAAGCTATGGACTTCCCAGTCCCAGCTGGTGGTGCTGCCACTGCTGTTCCAGGGACTACAAGTGAAATGTTGATATGCTTCCAGTTATTAATGATTGGTCTTTCTTACATTGATCTTTTTTTCTCGTATTTTCTGCTGAATGTAAGAAAATAAACAGAGCAGTACACACCGTAGATAAATTCAGTTAGCGAAGGAAAAACCAAATGACATAGGATGGGGTGACAACCCCAATAATAATTTTCTTTTTTGAAGAAGTGCAACCTCAGACATTAATCACAGATCTTTCGAGCGACATTTTTCTAGAAACTGGTCTGTTCAGTGATTTGTGTACCATTATCAGCGTATCAACGGTTGATTTTAGGCCACTGGAAACAAAAGAAGGCAAGAAAAGCCAGTAAAGCCTTCTCCAAGAGAGTCCCTCTACTGGTGTTGTTGCCCAAGAGAGCGCTTCTCAACGAGAACTCTCAAAGAGAGTGCTTCTCAACGAGCTCTGTGCTGCTCCCGCCGGGTTATCTGCCTGCAGTGCTCAGCCTATCAGAAGAAGCGCACTGTGCCGCCGCCCGCACACGCAGGGGTGGGCAGCCAACAAACGCAGGCCTAAAACACCTAAAAGACCGCAGACGCGTGACTGCAGCATGAATCTCGCCTGCGAGACAGGATCCCGATACAACAGGCCTCCGTTGGCGTCGATCTCTCTGGTAAACCACTATTGGAGGGCTCTGAGCACAACTGAAAAACAGATAGTAGATATCGATTAGCTTTAGTTATTCCTTTACTGAAAATTACGATTGGCAATGGAGCATTTCATATCTTATAATAAACTATTTCACTGTTCTACGGTTGTATTACTGTACTACTATCTCATCATACTATGGACGCAGTCTAGTTGTTCCAATTTATATAAATAAAAGAATTTTTCCAGCTCTTGTTAGTTCGAGTTTGAATGTCTTAAGTATTTATTCTTTTATTGGTTGTTTAACAATCTCAATTATTTCTGTTTACGAAAAAGAAAAGAGTATCGAGATATTAGAAAAGAAAAGAATACTGAAAGAATAGTGAAGTTGTTTCTTTTCCATTAATTTTTCATCTTTATTCAAAAGAAATATTCAAAAAAAATATCCAAAAACAAAATCCAAAAACAAAATCCAAAAACAAACATGAATTCAAAAGAAGGTTACGGTATTGAAGTGAAAAACGAATCTAGTTCGATCCACGATGAACCAGCAAGTGGTGAAGTCACTGAGGTGGCCTATGATTATCACAAAAGTCATACAAAGCGTAGATTGGAATCCAGACATGTCCAATTAATTGCTATCGGTGGTTCTATTGGTTCAGCACTTTTTATCAGTATTGGTATAGCATTGGTTAGAGGTGGACCAGGATCCTTATTTCTATCGTTTTTCCTCTGGAGTGCTGTGTTTCTTTTAGTTATTGCAAGTTGTGGTGAAATGGTGAGTTATTTGCCGGTTGATTCTCCATTTATCACTATAGCTGGTAGAGTTATTGATCCAGCATTCGAAGCCGCAGTTGGTTACAATTTCTACATTATGGAAGCCATCTATATTCCCTATGAAATTACAGCAGTTAATGGTATGATTCACTTTTGGAGAAATGATTATTCGCCTGCGATAACGTTTTGCATTCAAATTGTCATGTATACAGTCTTAAATGTGTTTGCGGTTCAATGGTATGGTGAATCCGAATTTTGGCTATCATTGGGTAAATTGTTATTAGCTGTTGGGCTATTATGTTTTAGTTTTATCGCAATGGTGGGTGGTAATCCACAGAGAGATGCGTTTGGCTTCAGATATTGGAGAGACCCTGGAGCATTTGCAGAGTATCTTGCTACTGGAACACTTGGTAGATTTGAAGGGTTTTTAGCTGGTGCCATGTTTATTGCTGTTTTCACTATTGTTGGAGCAGAGTATATTTCAATGATTGCAGGAGAAACCATCAATCCAAGAAAAGTGATGCCTAGAGCCTTTAAAACATTCTTCTACCGTCTTGTTTTCTTTTATATTGGAGGTGCCATCAGTGTTGGTGTCTTGGTTCCATATAATGATGCCAATTTACTTTATAAAATGAGCACTACGTCTGGAGGTGATGCTACAGTCTCGCCCTATGTTGTTGCAATGGAAAACTTGGGTATTACTGTTTTGCCCCATATTGTCAATGCATTGTGTTTAACATCAGCATTTTCCGCAGGTAACTCTTATTTATATTGTTCTTCCAGATGCTTATATGGGTTGGCACTTAAGGGATATGCTCCCAAATGGTTTGCCATTTGCAATAAACAAGGTGTTCCAATCTATGGTGTTGCATTGGGTGTTGGATTCTCATTACTTTCTTTGCTTCAATTAGGTAGCGGTACTGCCACAGTCTTTAATTGGTTGGTTTCACTATGTAGTGGTGCACAGGTTTTGAATTTCAGTTTCATGTGTGTAACTTATTTGGGATTCTACAGAGCATGCAAAGCCCAAGGCATTGATAGAAACTCGTTTACATATAAAGGATGGGGTCAGCCTTACACTGCTATGGTTGGATTGTTTTTCACTTTTGTCATGGTCATCTTGTTGGGATACACTAATTTCTTGCCCGGAATGTGGAGCATTGAGAATTTCCTTTATGATTACTTGATGCTTTTCATCTCCATTTTTGTCTTTTGCATGTGGAAGTTGGTGTTCAAGACCAAGTTTGTCAAACCAGAAGAAGCCGATTTGGTGAGTGGGTTACGTGAAATCGAAGAGCACGAAATAAAGTACTACCAGGAACTTGAGACCAGGAACAAGAAAGATCTTAATATGGTCCAGAGAGTACTCGACTGGATCTTCGGCTAAACAGGGCCTGTGCAGTTTATAGTCTTTTTGTTTTATTTTTATATATTTAGAGCCCTTTATACAACCATTGATATCAGCATCAGCAGTAGGGAAGTACCACTAGTACGGAAGTACCACCAACACGGAACATCATACACATATACGTCACATTCTGCAGCCTTCTGCACATATCGCGACTTCCGACCAGTGCGTGCATGTCACGTGTAGTAGTGGCGAAAATGCGGTGGCTCCAGGCCTTTGTTTCCTGTGCTGCCATTTTTGCTAACATCGCTGCTGCCTGAGCGAAAGAGCCTTCTCCCAGCGTTCTCTGCTTGTCCTTTGACTGCTGTTTTGTTCACGAAACTGCCACCGCTCCCCTGTCTTTGCCACCGAGAACCACCCAGACTGTTCTGCTTGCTTTCTCTCTGCTGCGTTCTGAGAACCTCGAAGCTCATTTACTGCAATTTCACTTTTTGTCTGTCTGCTTTTTGCCCAAAGGGTCCTTTGATTTGTTACTGCTTTATTCTGCCTTTCTCTGTTTACCAGGCCCTGCGCTTTTTCTGCTGCAAATTGTCCTTATCATTGAATATTTCACTGCTTTTCACCTTCGACACTTGCAAAATGACTTCCTCGACCACTGCTACCAACATAAATAACACCATCAGTAGTGTAAACAACAACAATAGCAGCAACAACAATAACACCACCACCACCACCACCAACAACAACAACAACATTAGGTTGCTTCAAAATAACTCTCAGCTTAATTCGCAAATCACGAACCAAATCAACAGCCAAAACTATTTGCAATCTATAAAATCAAATCTTGACTTGAATAATAATCTAAACAATAGTATCAATCCCAATAACACCATACCTACTTACACTTATCCACAATCTATATCCGAAGTTCAATCTTTACTACTAACCTATCAAAAACTATACAAGAAAAAAATCAACAAAAACGATCTTAATTTAAATGATTTAAACAATTTGAATAGCCTAAACAACAATGATAATAATAATAATTATCCCACTCTCAACAATAACATAAATAACATAAATAACAGTAAATCACTAGAATTGCAATTAAATGCATTAGAAGATATATTCAAATCAATCTCAAATGATTACGATGACCATCTATCAAAACTAAATCAAATCAACAGTTATAAACTCAAAAATATCAATAATAATACCAATAATAATACCAATAATAATACCAATAACACCAATAATGGCAATAAAATCAAAAATCATGACTTGAATTTATTAAAAGATCAATTGGTTTCCTTCCAATTACTATCCTATGACTTAGATTTACCCTTAAACATTCAAATTAATCTATCTAATAACGCCAATAACACCAATAACAACATCACCAATAACAAAAAAAATAATCAAGATATAAACTTAAAGGAAATCATAATAAATGACTCAATCATAAAAGATTACGAAGAAAAAGCAAAAATCATTGGAAACATCAAAAAAAGTTCTCATTTTATAAACAACATAACTGGTTTTGATAAACTAGGCAACAACTCCACTGAAATTAAGATTGAAAAACAAATCCTAAATAGAATAGATACTCTAGAAAATCTTCCTTCAAACTTAGCTACTTTGAACTTCAACGACCTATTATTATCTGATTTAAACAACCTAGACCACACTCCCCCAAACATAGATCTCTTGAAAAAAAATGCTCTTATAGAACTAAACTCCTTAAAATTACTACAAAAACAAAAAAAAATCAGAAAAAATCTTATACATCAAGTATCAAACAAAGATCGTTTAGTTCACATTACTTCTTCTCACTTTTACAATCCTTCTCCAAATCTAACTTTACTAGCTTCCTCCATTTTTAGAAACGCTTTCATTAGAAACAAAATCTTAACTCCTCAAACCTCAAGATTAGCTGAACAACTAGAAGAACAACAAAGAAGAGAAAAACAACAATTGGAATACACTCTAAAATTGAAAAAAATTAAAAAAATACTAATTAACATTGACTCAATATTAATTAAAAAATCAAAAAAAGAACCAAAAAGATTACTACTAATAAAAAACCTAAACCACTACCATACCCAAATAGAAAAAGACGAAACTAAAAAACTTGAAAAGAACGCAAAGGATAGATTAAAAGCCTTAAAAGCAAATGATGAAGAAGCTTATATAAAATTACTAGATCAAACAAAAGATAAGAGAATCACTCACTTACTAAGACAAACAAACTCCTTTTTAGAATCTTTATCTCAAGCTGTCAAAGTCCAACAAAATGATTCAAAATTAAAAAACATTCTCTACTCAAATAACGAATCTCAAACAAACCAGGATGAATCAGTCGACGATGATAACGAAAATCAAGAAAAAAGTGATTATTACCAAGTCGCTCATAGAATTAAAGAAACAATCCTTAAACAACCTTCAATCTTAGTTGGTGGAACTCTTAAAGAATATCAAGTGAAGGGTTTAGAATGGATGGTTTCACTATATAATAATAATCTTAATGGTATATTGGCTGATGAAATGGGTCTTGGTAAAACTATTCAATCAATTTCTTTAATAACTTATTTAATTCAATACAAAAAACAATATGGACCATATCTAGTTCTAGTGCCTCTATCAACTATAACAAATTGGACATTAGAATTCGAAAAATGGGCTCCATCAGTCAAAAAAATAATTTATAAAGGTACTCCACCCCAAAGAAAATTATTACAACACAGAATTAGACAAAACGATTTCCAAGTATTACTAACAACATACGAATATGTTATTAAGGACAAGGCTCTTTTATCAAGATATAATTGGATTCATATGATAATCGACGAAGGTCATAGAATGAAAAACGCAAATTCCAAATTATCTTACACATTAAGTCATTTTTATAAGACTAAAAATAGACTAATCTTAACAGGAACTCCATTGCAAAATAATTTACCAGAATTATGGGCTTTATTAAATTTTGTCTTGCCAAAAATTTTCAAATCTGTTAAAACATTTGATGAGTGGTTTAATACCCCATTTGCTAATGCTGGATCACAAGATAAAATGGAATTAACTGAAGAAGAAACATTATTAATTATCAAAAGATTGCATAAAGTTTTAAGACCCTTCCTATTAAGAAGATTGAAAAAAGATGTTGAAAAGGATTTACCAGATAAAGTTGAAAGGGTTGTTAAATGTAAATTATCAGCATTACAAAAGAGTCTTTACCAACAAATGTTGAAATATAATGCACTAATCATTGGAGATGATAATAAGGGAAATCATAAATCTGGAATCAAAGGATTAAATAATAAAGTGATGCAATTAAGGAAAATATGTAATCATCCATTTGTATTTGAAGATGTTGAAAATGTTATCAATCCAAGTAAAGTTAATAATGATTTATTATGGAGAACTTCAGGAAAATTTGAGTTATTGGATAGAATCTTGCCCAAATTAAAAGTCACAAATCATAAAGTTTTAATTTTTTTTCAAATGACACAAGTCATGGATATAATGGAAGATTATTTAAGATTAAGAAATTTGAAATATCTTCGATTAGATGGTGGAACTAAAGCGGATGATAGACAAGATATGTTAAAAACATTTAATAGACCTGATTCACAATATTTTGCATTTTTATTATCAACGAGAGCTGGTGGATTAGGATTAAATCTACAAAGTGCAGATACAGTTATAATTTTTGACACAGATTGGAATCCTCATCAAGATTTACAAGCACAAGATCGTGCGCATAGGATTGGACAAAAAAATGAAGTCCGAATCTTAAGGTTAATATCTAATGATTCAGTTGAAGAAGTTATATTAGAAAGAGCACATAAAAAATTAGATATCGATGGAAAAGTTATTCAAGCTGGTAAATTTGATAATAAATCAACAGCGGAAGAACAAGAAGCGTTTTTAAGGAGATTATTAGAAGATGAAGAAAGGAAAAAGAAAAATGGGGAAGATGAAGACGAAGATTTAGATGATGATGAATTGAACGGAATCTTGGCTAGAACTGAGAATGAAAAGGTTGTATTTAATGATATTGATATTGAAAGAATAGCATTAGCTAAAAGAGAGGCTAGAGAGCGTAACAATGGTGCAGTTATTCCAAGATTAATGACAGATGACGAATTACCTGAAGTATTTAGCGAGAAGTTTATTGCTGTTCAATTGAAACCCAAGAATGAAGCAATTGGTAGAACAAGAGAAAGAAAAAAAGTTATTTATGATGACGGATTAACTGAAGCGCAATGGTTGGATGCTATGGATAGTGGAGATAGAGATAGTGTTGATGAGATTATTCTTAGAAAACGACAAGCATTGGAAAGAAGACGAAATAAGAGAATTATTAAAGTAGGGGAATTGGAAAATCTAGAGAAGGAGAAAAAGGAGGAAATTGAAGAAATTGAAGAAATTGAAGAAGCAAAGAAAAAAGTTGTTGGTAAAAGGAGTAGAACTAGAGGAATAAAAACCCGAGGATCACCAGGGATAAATGGATTTAAAAAGGATACAAGTCTGGAAAATGATCATCATAATGATGAAGAAAAAGAAGAAGACTATGAAAACGAAAACGAGAATGATAATTATGAGCGTGATAGTAGTAAAAATGAATATGAAGAAGATATGGATTTTGAAGATGAAGGCAAAGATGAAAATAAGAGAAATAATAATGGTGGAATGAAAGTTCGAATTGGAAGAGGAAGTCGAAAAAGAAGAAAAGTCACCATTAGAAATGGAGCTAGTAATGGCCGAATCAAAGAAAGAGAAAAAGAAAAAGAAACAGATGATAATGATGTAAATAGTAACGATAATGGAATTGGTGATGAATTTATCGATAAGGCATTGAAGTTGATTACAGAAATCAAAAAGTTAAGAGATGAAAAGGACAATCATTTAAGATGCGAGCTTTTCTTAAGATTGCCTTCCAAGGAGATGTATGGGGATTATTACCAGATTATCAAGAAGCCAATTAGTTTGAACGAGTTAATTTTGAATTTAAAGAACAAAATATACGTATCATTTGATGATTTTCTAACAGATCTAAGACAAATGTTTAGCAATGCACAGATTTACAATGAACAGGATTCATGGGTTTATTTAGATGCAGAAAAGATGAAGGAGTATGTTGAAAAAAGAGTGGAAGAGATGTGAGAGAAAGACATCTTCTCATTTCGTATTCCACATCATTTTGTTTATTGTGTTGGTAATTTATTAGCTAATTGCTGTACTTTTGTTCAATTGTCCAATTTGACTGATCACAAAAGCTCTTTATTGTTTTACCTCATATATTATATGTATATTAAATATTTTTAACAGCACAAGAAGCACAAGAAGCACAAGCCACACGCACTTTCTTTGACGAACAGACGCTGAGGAAACAAACACATTTCATGATAACGAACAGAGCTCGGCATCTGCCACGTGTGCGTAATAATGTGCGTGACAATGTGCGTGAAAACGCAGTGAACTGCGTGATGACCTCGTGATGTGCACAGTGATGCCGTGACGTCTCCGTAATGACCATGTGATCCTGCTCCGTCTGCGAAACGCACGCACAGCACACGCCCGAAACGGCAAAAGTAAACAAAACGAGTTCCGGTGTTTTTGTCCATCGCTTTTTATTTTTTAGTGGTTATTTGAGTTTTGATTTTTTGATTTTTATTTTCCAGATTTGATGTTTCTGTTTGATTTGTGACTTTGATTATATCTGTAATTTATCTGTTCTCTGGTTTTTTACTCCATTCTGCCCTATTCCTCTCTTGTTGTTGGACTGTTACTGCTGGTGTTTGTTTATTGATAATTTCTGCTGCTAATTACTAGACTGTTCATTCGCTCAGGTCACTTTTTTTCTTTTAGTTTTGTCTATTATTTTTCTGATAATTTGATAATTGTGAATATTCGCAGATTTATCAGTTTTTATATCTCTCTCTTGTTTCTTGTCTGTTCTTCAATTTCACTTAAATTTTTACAATTATCTTTCAACAATTATTCTGCTCAACAATAAGATCAAAATTGTCAATCTTACTTGTTCTTTGGTAGCTCATTATCTCTCCAATTTGCTATTCTCACCATTCATTCCTTTATAATGGAGGATAAGACTCATGATTATAATAAATTTATTTTAAACAAAAACAAATCATCCATAAATGATTTATTCAATAATAGCGTCAGCAACAATTTCAACCATGAAAATATAACAGCATTAAATTACAACAAAGTTATTATTAACAACAATAGTATCACAAACAATATCTCAAACAATATCTCAAACAATGCTATTCACAATATTAATGCAAATGGTATCAACAACAATTTCATCAAACCAAAGCCCTCAAAACTCGATTTAATTGATAACTCTGAATTAACCTCATTTCCTTTAGTTCCTCCTCCTGCTTCCTCCTTAACCCCAAATTCAGTAGATAACAGTTATCAAAACATATCAATTACAAATACTTTTCATTGCAATTATAATTATGCTAACAGTAGCGATACTAATCTTAATACCGATAATAATCATAATAATAGTAATGGTAATGGTAATAATTTCAAAAACAAAATTATAAACAATTCCTTTTCAGTCTTTATTTCCTCGATTAATCTAAATTTCCCAAATTTTAATTACAATGCAAATTACCACGATAATACTAATAATTTCATAAATAATAACAACACTAATAACAATACCAATAACGGTAATAACTACTATATCAACAACTATATCAACAACTACAACTATAACGATAGTGATCAATATGTAAGCTCTATCCTAAACTTTAACGATACTCCTATCATTCAAGATAGTAACAATGTTAAAATTATTATTCCAATTGATGATCCGATTATCTTAGTTGAAGATTATTTCGATCCAAACATCAATGATTATCAAAATATTGATGCCGACAATCAAATATCAAACAATGATATCTTAAATCATTTAAATTTGAAAAAACTAGTCTTAAACTTACCTCTAAAATTTAATGACATCATCGCCAATAATAATCATAATAATCATAATAATCATAACAACTTGCTCAACTTGGTTCTCTCCCTAAAAGATAATATATCATTAAATAAACCTTCAGATTTAAATCAAAATTTACACATTCCCTCAAATAACCTCGAATTAAACTCAATAATTACTCCTTCTTTATCAACTTCAACCACAATAGAATCTTTAAATACTTCTTTTCAATCTAATTACTCCTCTGTTGAAAATTCAATTTCCTTTTCATCTTCTTCAAATTTAAAATCAAATCAATTAAAATCAATCACTAACATCCCTTCAATTTCAACTTCAACTTCAAATTCAAATTCACTCTCAAATCCACTCTCAAATTCAAATATGAATTCCCTCAAATACTGTCTATTATGTGATAAACCCTTATATGATTTGTCATCTCAACTACCTTCTTCCTCGAATTATAACAAATTTATTTGTGAAAATTGTATCGAAATTTATAATCTATTGCAATTTTATTTAAATCAATTTAATTCAAATAATGATTTTTTCTTAGATAATTTATCACCAACAGAATTAAATTTATTTAAATACTTATTTCCAAATTTATTTCCCAAAGAGGACACAAATGAAATTGAAAACAACAATGCAATCATAAATAATAATGATAATAATGATCATGATTCTTTTACTGATTTCAATTTAAATGATTCTTTCCAAACTTTAAAACTAACAGATCTTTCAAATCCACCAAATGCAGAATCCGATAATATTAACGATACTAATAATACTATTAGTATTAATAACAATAACAATCCTGAACGTAACTATCCAACATATTCTTTACCTAAAAAAAGATTTAAAAAGAATCTCAAGAGATTTAATCATAATTATCAAAATTCTCAAGATTTTGATTATTCAACTCTTTCAATTGATCAAGATTATTCAAAAACTTTACCAACTTTTTCAAATGATTTAATTTCTCAATTGAAAAATTTATCTCAAGATAATGCCACTTACAATACTCTCACCACTAATCCCAATAAAAGTAAAAAGAGTAACAAACCAACCAATCATAATAGCTTTTTACGTTTGAGAAATAGTCACCATACTTTGATCCATGCAAATAGCGATTGGTATTTAAACGTCAAAAAGAAATTGAGATGGAGATGGAGAGTCAAAGGTCTTTTACCTCAGTTTGATTTTTTAATAAAAAACAATAATTCAAGAAACGAATTTTATCGCTAATAATCATAATTATAATAATTATAAAATTATCTTCAATTCTTGATCTAAGTGATTTTTCATCTTTGAACTCTCATTCCTTCACTTTAATTTATTTTTAAACTGTTTTGATACCATTTCAAATTTACTATATCCCCTTTACTGTCCAACTTCTTATTTAAAACCCTTTCTTTGTTTTATGCTTGCCACATAACACATAAAAACACCTTCAACTTTACCAACTTCATTTAAACTAGTGATTACTATTTATTATTTAATTTTTTCAATTTTGCATTTCTTTTAACAATCCATTAATTTAGTTTTTATTTTTAGTTTTTTTTCCTTAACTTCTGGTTTTTTTCCTGTTCATAACTGTTTTTGTTTTTGTTATTGTTTTTTTTTATTTCATATTCTTTTACAATCCTAATAATTCCAATTTAAATTTTTATTATTATCTTTTTACAAGTTTTTTTTTTGTTAATTTTTTTCAACTTTTTTTTATACAATTCTCTTTATAAATCATAATCTTGTACTATTTTTTTAAATTTAGATATTTTATTGTTTTAACTTTCACCCTTTCATCATTCAAAAATTTACCTTTTAATAAATTTTCTTTTTTTTTTCTTCCAATAGTGTATTAATATTAATAAGATTTTTAAAAAAGATATTAAATTAATTAATTATATGCAAAATACTAGAAACAGAATTATAACCCACACAAAACAAATATAAAATTCAAAAGATTTAAAAAACAAAAAAAAGAAAGAGAAATTTAAATTAAGATAGTATCAAATAAAAAAAAAAATTATTAAAAAATAAACTATTATGAAAAAGTCAAAAGAAAAAAAAAATGAAGTATACTATAGAAAAGCAATCAACTGCTCATAAAGTCATTTAAATCATTTAAATTCAAGTCAGCAGAACCTCCATAAGCAGCACTGCTAGTTGTTATACTAGGCCCACCACCAAGAAAATCTAACATCATATGCATTGCACCACCACGATATTCTTCGACATCTTCAGGTAAAACAGTGCTTACTCCTTCCAAAAACCACACCTTGTTTTTCATTTCTGCAGTAAATCCACGCAATAGACTATAATAACTTCTCATTATTCTCATTGCAGCTTCATTACCAGTCATTAACAAAGCCAAGAATGTTTTGTCCAATAGAGCAGGAAACGCAAAAACTCTCAAAATAAAATCGCTTTTATATCTCTCATTATGAAGCTTATCTAAATATGCTAATGTTATCAAGTATGGGGAAGTATATTCAACTGGATACAAATCTGCAATTGTCTCATCAAAGCATTGTAAATCTAGATATGCTGCATGGTCTACTGATCGTGAAGAGTTGTTATAAGATTGAGGGTTGTTGATTATATCACCTAGATCACTCAAATCAATAGAGATGAACTTGTGAAACCTAGATGACTTATTCAAGGGCCATACTGCTGTTAAAATTGTTGCTGCTCCCTTTACATGATAAATCCAGGCACTTGGAGGTAACGATTTTAAAGAAGTTGAGGTTGGTAATGAGGCGTTAGCTAATGCGTCCATAATCAAAATCAAGGCAGAAGCAACCAAGGCATCAGTGTTATCTAAAGATATTTTCAAGACAGCTTCTCTTAATAATCTCAACGCTTCACCACGATGTCTCGTAACACATTCATCTAATCCGATTTCAGTTCGTGATAAATGAGTAGCAGAAAATGCTAATATCGAGTGCATCAAAAATGGATACTGAAATGCTAACTCGGGAATGTATTCTGACCATAGCTTTTCTTCTGAAATTCCTGCAGCAGTTATAGTTGGCCAAACTTTTGTTGAATAGTGGTACATCAATTTTAGGTCTTGGATATTCAAATTTGCGGCTAGACTACTCATTGTTTGAGAAGAACCACTGTCGGAAGCTGAATCATCTTCGATTGCTGATTGGTTTGTAGTTGGTGATCTGAGGCTCAAAGAATTCAGTTGATAGTTGCTATCGATGTGACAGCTATTGCCATTATTATTATTATTAACACTAGAATTTGAATTTGAATTATTAATACTGTAGCTTTGGGAATTATTGTAGCCATAATTTGGTTGATTTAAATTGTTTTGAAAACTTTGGTCTTGTTGAGAAATCGAGCTATGAGTCGGAGAGGTAAGATGACTCATGTATTGTGAAGAAGTAACTGGCAGTTGATTTTGTTGAGAATGAAAATTACTTTGGTTATTGTTGTAGGAATCTAAATTATTTCCATAATTGAGATTCTTTGAATGTTCCATTATAAACTGTTGGGGATTTGGAGTGGTAAGATTGATGGAAGATTGTGCTGACAAAGGAGTAGAAGAAATACTTTCATTTCTTGATTGCTGATTTTTTTGAGATAAATCTGGAATCTGAATTCTGTTTTGATTCTGTTGAAAGTGAAGAGGGAACTTTGGTTTATCATCCCTTGGAAAAAGTATGTTTTTTGAAGAGGGAAGAGACACCAATGAACTAATATTGCTCAAAGTTTTCAAATCTATATGTTTGGCTATAGATGGCAAATGTTCTGCAATTGACAGTGAGCTTTCAGGATTGTTCTGCAACAGAACGTTTTGATTTTGTAATTGTGTATCAGATAGAGATTGAGATTGAGACTGAGATTGAGATTGAGATAAATTTGTGGCTAGTTGTCCCTGCAAACTAATAGGACTTCTATTTAATATACAATTGGCTAGGGAATTATTAGTGTTTTGATTTATAGCAAATAATAGTTGTTTTTCCTGTTGATTTTGATTATTCAACAGTGATGAATCACTATTATTGATAGTTTTTTTTTGACTATCATTGTTTTGCAAAGATTTAGAGGGTTCATTTATTGTTGGAAGTGAAATAGGAGTTGCTTCTGGGGTAGGTTGGGAAAAGATTTGGTTGGAACTAGAATTGGAACTAGAATTGGAACTAGAATTGGAACTAGAATTGGAACTAGAGGTGGGAGCAGGAGTAGTATTGGAATTAAGATTAGGAGTTGAGATTGAAACTGAACTTGCACTAGAACTATTTTGAAAATTTAAATTTGATAATGAGCTCAAAGCTGAAAGTAACGGATTTGAACTATTATTATTGTTATTGTTATTGTTGTTGTTGTTGTTCTTGGTGTTAATGTTCGTTAAAGTTGATACAAGATTTGTTGTGAGTAACTCAAGAATGTTTGGATTTATTTGAGATATCAAACTTGAAACAGAATTTAAATTAAGGCTATTGCCACTAGCATTAGTATTAGAATTGGGAGTATTATTTATTTGATGTGAATATAATTGAGATAAACTTGATAATAAATTATTTGCATTATTGTTATCACTGTTATTATTGTTCAAAAGATTAGCAAGAATGCTATTATTACTATTGTTGTTTTGATTATTTAGACCTGCTATTTTTGATATTATTTGAGCTATATTGTTATTTGAATCATTTAAGTTTGAACTTTTTGATAAATTAGATAAGTTAGGCAAGTTAGATAGACTAGATAAATTTATTGAAGAAGGAAAATGATCATCATCTTTTGGCAAATCTAAACCCAAAGCCAAAGCACTATATGTGCAATCAATGCCCATATGTTGACATTTTAAACAGGTTGGTTTATTTTCGTCGCATTTAACTCTTCTTCTTTTGCATGTATTGCAACCTTTTCTTGATTTATTGTGGTATCTTCTCTTACCAGTAGAAGACTTTGATATTTTTTTAGCTGAAATGTTAGAGGATAAATTCATTGACAATAAAGAATTCGATTCGGGCGATAAGGATAATGAGGGTGTTCTTGAATTGTTCAAGCCATTTGATACACCATTTGAAAGTGAAAGTTTGCCAGATTTGATGTGATTCAAGTTGTTACTGGTAACATTAGAAATTGATTCGGTGACTGATTTTGGTAAATTAGAGAAATCCAAAGTAGGTGTTGTTATATTGATTTGATTGTTATTATGGATGGCATTGGGTTTAGTAGTGGTTGCAGTCATATCTGCGTGTTCTTTTGAAACTGAGATTGGAAGCTTTGGGTCTGATCTGTTGAAACCAAAATTTTCACTGTTGGTATCGATGCTGCTTTTGAAATTATCGATGCTGCTGTTGGTGCTGTTGTTTGTCATTTAATAGTGGTTTGATCCGAAGACATATGTTTCAGCCAGAAAAGAGTGTGATGGAGGTATTTGAGATAGAAAAGCTGGAGAAAACAGCAGACAAGCAGTGCTGGGAGCGTGAAGCGACGATAAATAATAATAATTAATAGAAGAGTGTCAAAATACACTACTGATGTGGATTAAAGCCAAATAGGCAAAAAAAGATTATATCTGCTTGGGCAGACTCGTTCGCTTCGTATCCTTCGCGAACTCGTACCCGGTACAGAAAAAAGCGTCGCACACGCACAAACAGACAAAGGCGCGTGTGCACAGCTATTTATTACGTAAGCGTACTCATATGTGGTATGCTGCAAGTTATGCATTTACGTGTGTGTACCTGTTGAATGTGCATTGAACCCTCTTTCCTGGTCTAAGTGGGCACAAACATCAGGTTGGGAGTTATGTTTGAGATTGTGTTTTTTGTTGTGTCGAATCTGTTTTCTTGTTTATAGCAACACAGTGCTGATGAAGGGATGGTGTAGCAACTCGCTCACTGTTGGTGGTCTTCTGGAGTCTACCGAAAAGACCTGGTTTAAGAAATCGCTTGCATCATTTGTGATTGCATTTTCTGGCAATGTCGGACACTGTTTATTCTCGCCAATTTGAAAGATTGCTTCTTCAATTGTGAAATTGGGAAAGGGATGTTGGGCTGTGAACATTTCAACCATCAAACACCCAATAGACCAAATATCTGTCTTTTCACTAAAACTGTATTCCGTAATTACTTCGGGTGCCATCCAGTAAACAGATGGCCCTAGGACTTCACTGATGTCTGCAATATCGCTTTTCCTATACTTGTACTGGCTGTAACAAATTTTCTTTGAAAATCCAAAATCAGAGATTTTGATACATCCTTTGTTATCAATTAAAACATTAGAGCCCTTTATATCCTTATGTATAATGTTGTTTGAATGTAAATATGATATTCCAGTTAATATTTGCTTGATGAAATTTCTTATTAATGGTTCTTCCAATTTCCCATAGTTCATTAATAATGAGGAAATAGATCCTCCGGGTATGTACTCTGAAAATATATTAAGGTAATTTCCAACCTCATTGCTAATATAGTTAAAATCATAATTATATGTCGAACCTAGATAGCATACAATATTTTCATGGTTCAAATGTTTCAATAAATTGATTTCGTTTTCCAAATTCTTGGCTATAACTTTTTCGTTTGTAATTCTACTTTCATTATCAATTTCAGTTTCGTTATTAATTTCAATCTCATCTCCAAGTTGAAGAATTTTGGAAATATTAACTTCTTTAACTGCCATCAATTCTCCGGTGAATGAATTTAAGCCCAAATAAACCACTCCGATACTTCCATTTCCAATTATAGCACCTTTAATCCATTTTTCATTTTCCAAATTTGCATTATGTTCTATATTTCCCAATAATGTTAGATCATCTAGTATAGTTTCTTCTTTCAAGTATACTTGATCTAAATCGTTTTTGTTATCGTTATCGTTATCGTAATCGGTGATAAAATTGTTATTAATACTGTGGCTCTGCATAGTGTTCCATCTTTCGATTATACTATAAAATTCATCAAAATCTTCTTCGTCTGATGAGTAGTTTAAATTTTCAAAATCAGTAGAGACTCTCAGCAAGGGAGAATTTTGAAAAGGAGTTGAAACGGATAATTGGGTTACCACAGGAGATTTCATGTTGGTTTGCCTTGATCTTGATCTTGATTTTGATCTTGATCTAGAAATTTGTCTTACTTTTGGTTGAGATTTAAAATTGTTTATATCAAGGTTATTGTTCTTGTATGAATCGCCTATTATTCTTGATGATCTCAAGCCAATTAAACTATTATTGCTGATATGTTTATTGTTATTAGTATTAGTATTAGTATTGAGACTATTATGAAAATTGTGGGAATTACGGTAATTATAATTACTATTGAAAGTTAATATGGAAGATCTGATATCATCACTGATATTTAAGTTTGGAAAGTTACTGTCAGAAAAGGTCGTTAATCTTGAGATTGCTTTTGATAATTCAGCTGAGTTTTTGATTGTTTCCATCAAGTCATTTGAATTTGCATTTGGAAAATATTCAGCTAAATTGGTTGAGATTAGTTCACTTGGTGGTCTTTGACCATAGACAGTTTTTAAAGGGCGATTCAATTTTATAGAATCGTTCGTGTTGGGATTTTTGTTGATGCTGATATTGGCGTTAAGATTTGTATTGGTGATAGTATTGGCGATAGTGTTATTGGTATCAATAAATTTGTCAGTATTAAAGTTTTTGTTCTTTAAAATTGATTTTGGTCGAGTTGAATTTGAGTTTGAATTTGAGTTTGAAATTAAATTTTCAGATATGTTTTTCAAGTTATTCAAGGGCTTTTTATATAGGCGATGAGAGATGTTGATTGATGTTTCGTTTGGATAATGATCTCTTAGAGTTAGAATCAAGCGATCTTTTTCAAAAGAAGTTAGCGAAAAGCAAATTTGAATCAAGTCGTAATCATTAATGATTCTATCGATGATCCTTTTATCGTTTAAATAGTAGATGTTGTAATCGTTGGGGATGCCAGATAAATTGAATTTTTTCAACGCTTTTGATTTAATGGAGTCAGAATTTGAGCAGCCTTCTATATTAATCTTTTTTGTTGAGCCATCACTGATGATGAAGGTTACGATATTTTTTTGAATCAAGTTTGTCAAAGAGGTTGGGGTAGCTAAAGATATTGGGGTAATTGGATTTAAATTTGATGGAAATATGTTTAGTTTCTTATCATTATTATCAAGAGTATTATTATTAGTAATAGTGGTGGTGGTGGTGGTAGTGGTAGTAGTAGTGGAGTTTGGGTATAAGTAGTTTTGAATGAAATCATTAAAACTTGAAGAATTTAATAAATATTCTGATTTCAAATTGTCAATTGAGATTTGGAATCTGATAATATCGCCAACTTTTTTAATGCCTAGTTCTTTTAGCAATTGATAATCTAGAGAAGTTATTAAATCTATTGTTATATCATTTTCTTTGAATAGTCTGTAGTATTCTTTTAGGTTTATTTTTTCTAGCCATTTGAAGATTTGATCTGTATTTGAAGTTACCGAGCTGTTGAATAGAATGAATATATCGTTTAGTTAGAGATTAGTATACATGAGGATTTAAAACGACAAGATATTAGAGATGGAAAACAAAAGGCAATAAAATAAAATAAAATAGAATACAAAAATGGCGACATACTTTAAAGTTTCTAAAGAAATTTTGGTGATCAGAGTATTTGTCAAATCCATTGATATTAAATTGATAAAGTGAAACTGGATAATTGGTTAAGGACTGTTTGAGGATAGGTGAATAGATGAGTAGATAAATAGAAGAATAGAAGAATGGATAGATAGACAGATAGATACAAATGATGTGGAGCAGACCAGTATGATATGGATATAAATAATGAAATTCTTTTTTGGAAAAAGAAATGTAATTACATTTACAATAAAAGCAGAAAGAAAAAAGCAGATTAATTTTGGTGTTTATTTGATATTCATTTATTTGTGGAAAGCAGACTACATTTTTAACCAAGATGAAAACCAGGTGAAAACAGCAGCGAAAAAGAACATGAAGGGGACTGTTGCAGAGTTAGTTAGGTTAGTCAGTGATAAAGATCTTAGGTTGGGAAGTGAAAGGTTTTTAAATGCGAGTAATGTGAATTCTAATTGAATTCTGATTGAATTTGCCATAAGAACGAAGCGAGTTGTGTGGGATTTGAGTAGATTCCACGAAAGGGAGAAGGTTTCAACAGCTGATACCTCAGCTGTTGAAGCTGTTGAAGCTGTTGAAGCTATTGTTGAAGAATTCGGGTTATTCTCAGATGGAATACCAACCTGATTTACTGTGAAAGAGCATTCAGAAAGCTTTTTGTGCGTATCAGATACCACTAATCATGATCAAATGGTTAAATATTATTCAACTGTTACGCTCCGTTGGAATTGACAGAGCAACCCGTGCAATGGGGAGCAGATCCGTGGTGACGCAGGTAAATGCGCATGGCCACACGCAAAACACCCGCAGAACTGGAACAATGCATGCCGGTGTCAACACAAGATCACATATCCAGCAAATGGACTACAGGGGAAGGAGAGAAGGAATATATTTATTGTTTATTGCTGGCGAAGAGAGTAAAGAGCTGGTGTAGCAAGAGAGCTGCTGGTGCTGTTGCAGCATCAGAGCTTGTGGTTCTTGTTCAATTCCTGGATATCGAGGGGAGTCAAGCGTAGGTAGGGCTTGATGGCCCTGAACTTGGGGAAGAGCTTTTTGGCCTCGTCGTTGTTGAGCGAGTTGTGGACGATAACGTCGTCGCCAGGAATCCAGTTGATGGGAGTGGCTATCTTGTAGTTGTCGCAGGCTTGCAAAGAGTCGACGCACCTGAGAACCTCAGCAGTGTTTCTTCCAGTGGAGGCAGGATAGGTCATTATGAGTCGGATAGTTTTTTTGGGGTCGATGATGAAGACGCTTCTGATGGTCAACTGCAAGCCCTTGTCGTCGACATTGGTCGAGTCTTGAAAGTCAATCATGTCGTACTTGTGCGAGATTTCTCGTTTGGGATCAGAAACAATGGGAAAGCTCAAGAACGACCCAGTTATTTCGTTGATATCCTCTATCCATGCCTTATGCATTTTGGTATCGTTAACAGATAACCCAATTAGCTTGACGTTTCTCTTGGTGAACTCTGGTTCTAGTTTTGCAAAGGCACCTAATTCTGTAGTGCAAACCGGGGTGAAATCGTCAGGGTGCGAGAATAAAATGCACCACGAATCACCAACATACTCATAGAAATTGATCTTTCCATTCGAGCTGTCGCTTTCAAAATTGGGAGCAATTGATCCTAAACGTAACGTAGAGTCGCTTGGTTTGTTCGTGGCCATGGTTGAGATGAGACGAGAAAACTGGAGTATAAAGTCTATAAAAGCAGGATGAGAATGTTGTTGTGAATGGTATTGTGAATATTATTATGAATTTGAATATGAATATGAATATGAATATGAATATGAATATGAATATGAATATGAATATTATTATGAATATTATTTGTGTTACTCTTACAATACTGTTGGAAAAGCAGCAATGTCTCGTTCTAAGCAGAAGAAATGAGTAATAAAACAATAACCATAAAAAGACTCATTATCTCGTCGTAACCTTTTTGATAACTCCAATTTGAAGGGAAATGAAATCGTTTTTTGGGTTTTTTTTCATAGGCCGCGGATCCCAAACGGAAACATGTGGCGCGCTTGGCCCTTTCAAAGTGGCGTCTGTTGCTTTGTATGGCGCAAATCTTAATCTATCTATAAAAAAGATCATAAAAACACTACTCACGCTCTACAACTCTTCGACAAACCTATTCATAGCTTGTGTTTGATGTTTTTATTCGCCAAATTGATAAACTGCCTCTGGGGAACTCCTGTCAACCATTTCTTGTACCCTTGAATCACCTCTTTGGAATTCGCACTATTATAATAGAGCCTTATATTTGAATTGATCAATTTTTTGATGTCTTTAATTGAATCACCATTCAAAAACTTAACGGAATCACTCAACTCGTTTAAAATCAACTCGTTGAATTTCTCTGTCGATTTATTAACCTCCACCTGATCCTTCTTATTATAATCATCCATATTATAGCATTTATTAACAAACCCGCAACTAACCAAGTCTTTATTGTAAATCGGCTTTGATAATAACAACGCTTCGTTCGTCCTTGATAAGCCCAATCGTAATAACAATGAATACGAAGTCGATCCCTCAGTTACCAATCCAATTTTCGTGAATGGATACAATAAAAACGTATCGTCATTCTTCGAGTAGATTATATCGGAAAGTGCAACCATTGCTGCACTTAGCCCAATCGCAGGTCCATTAAGACATGCTACTATAATCTTTCCGTGGTTTATAAAACAGTCTGTCAAGTAAGAGTTTCTTGGAATAAAATCATTAAACCAAAAGCGATCGTTTTGCCTTTCAATCTCTTTTTCATCGTTTTTTTTATCGTTAATAAGTTCATGGTATTTTTTAATAAATTTGTAATCAGCGCCACTAGAAAAATATCGACCTGAGGAATTGATCAAAGTTATTACAGTGCTAGGATCCTTATTGCTTTTTTCCATCAACTTAGCCAAGTAAGTGTAATCATCACCACCTAGTGCATTTAACTTATCTGGTTGGTTTAATGTAATTATGGATATCTTTCCTTTAACCTGGTAAAGGATTCTATTTGATAGTGAATTGTTTTGCCCCATTCCCATTAAATAAACCGGCTATGTAATGTAATAGAACGAAATGTCGCTCAACTATTTCGCACAGCAATTAAATGGATATTTATACCGCTCTTCGCTCACATCATCATCTTATGAAGAATCACTCTTGATAGCAATGATAAAGTTCTTCTCCATCTTTTGAAACTTTTTTTTTTTTTTTGTTTTATTTTATTTTGCATCTGAAAGAAAAAGATCCACAGGGGTGGAACCAGGTTTGCTCCAGGCATACGGATGTATGCACAGAATGCCTCAGACAGCAGTTACTGCTTTAGGATGAACCCTCCTTTCTCTTTTTTCCGAATATAAAGCAAGTGTTTTTTGTTTTTTTGATGAGCTGGTGATTTCTTGAAAGAATCTTTTTTTTTTCTTTGCCAATCTTTTATTGTAAAGAACGTGTCAATGGAAAGGGTTTGAATGAAATTATAGAATGGGTTAGATTCAATTGGAATCACTTTATTTTAGCTTTACCTGGTGATCCATTGAGATTACATAGGGCCTAATTGAAAAGAATACAATCGAACAAGTTGATTTTGTTTGATTCTCTTTTTTTATTATCAGAGATCCGTATGACTGCTATCATTTTAAATTCTATTTAATACAATATAATCGGTCATTAAAAGGAGTATTTTAGTGGCTGATTGTGATTATCATCCAGCATCTGAACGATACCTAAAGTTAAAATTCCACTTTATTCTGAATAGAGTAAAAAAAAAAAGAAAAAAAGAAAATTGAGGGTTTTCACGAACTTTTTTGAATTCGATTCAGCCATTATTTGGAATAAAAAAATAGCTTGTCGAAAAAAAAAAAAAATACAGAAGGAGATTGATATTTTAATTGGAGAAAGGTCATCGTTTAATGAACGCAGAAGATGTTTTATTATAAGATTGGATATTATAATGAACGATCGATTTCAAAAAGAGTAAACAGTTATTCAGTGCTTGATCGTCTGTTTGGGTTCTTTTATAGACGATGATTTTCTGTCGATTAAATAATGAGTTTCCAAATATAGTTGTGAATATGCCTTTTAAAGAAGATAATTTCATGAGATTAATAGGGGAAAAGTTTCATGAAAGTGGTTGAATTGAATTCAAAAAAAGAAAAGCTCAATGGAAAATTAACTTGACTTTAAAAAGCATATGTATACAAACGGAGAGAGAGAGGGAGAGAGAAAGGAAATAGTCATTTTAGGTTATGTTTTTTTGAAAGTAATATTTTGCTTCCTAAAATGATAAAAAGAAAAGGAAAAGGAAAAAAAGAAAGACAAGAAATAGATAAAAAAAAAGTAAAAATATTATTTATGATAGAGTTATAAATTACAAAAAGATAATGAAAAGGAAGAATTATAAAGAAATGAGACTTATTTTGATTAGATATTCCGTGATTGTTTAAGTGGATTAACATTCTATAAACCAATTCAGTTTAATTGGTTTAGTTTGATTATATATAAAGATGGGCTTTCTTGAATGGGAAAGATCAATACAATTTCTTTGTTAATTTTATTTAAAAAGACAATTGTATGTCAGATTTATAAATGAATGAACAAAATTAATTGAATTGAATTGAATTTAAAAAGAGATTTTAAACCAGGAAATTGATTTATTCCGAAAGATTGGTCAATACATTTAATTACAACTATTTATTTTATTATTTTTTTATTTTTTTTAAGATAAGTATTGGAATAATTTTAGTGGATGAATGAAATTGGATGAATAGGGATACTAACAAATTGAGAAATTGATTACCGAATTTCAGGGAAAAAGAAGCGGATTTCATTTTAGGATTAAAAAGAAGAGAGAAAACAAAAGAGAAAGAGAAAATGACGATTGGAATGAAATTTGATAGCAAATAATAGAAGGAGAGATTTTCCATTTTCACCTGAAGCAAAAGAAAATCATTTTTTCAAAATAAAACGAACAAACTTTAACTGGACTGATAGTGGATAAATGTGGTAATAAACTGAGTTAAAATGGGGATTTCCATGGAAATTGCAGAGAGAAATGTCAAGTTATAAATAAAAGTCTGAGAGGACAGGCAAAGGCAGGAAATAAAGGGAAATGGTGAAGTAAAACACAGACTTCGTTACGCTCAGCAGAGGAAGCTTTCGGCTCTCGCAATGTTTCTCCGGCCTGGAGAACGGCACACGACGCGTGTCGAAAACCGCGGGCGCTCAAGTACGGGCGCACCGCTGTTGTGGTGCGCTGGTTTTGGGCGGTTGCGCAGCGCTGGCGCAACCTGTTTCGTCGCCAAGCGAAGTGCAAGAAGCAGGAGAAGCAGAGGCAGGACGGGACGGAGAGAAAGAGGAAGGAAAGGAAGAGGAAGAAGAGGAAGAGGAAGAAGAGGAAGCACAAACAGCAGCTTCTTCTTCCCTCCTCTCTCCCTCCTCAGCGTCTCTCTCAGCTGTGTTTACGCTGGTGCCTACACGAATCTGCTGCTTTCTTCTCTGGCTTCCTCTGCTCGTCTGCTTTGATCCAAATCGCATCCCCTTTGAATCCAGATTGCTTCCATTTCGATCCAGCTGTTTCTTGCAAAAAGCAACAGATCGAACAAGTAGCTCTTCACTCCAGGCAAATCTGCTTGCTAATCTCCAACTCCTCCATCGACAGCTGCTCCAACGCCTTCTCTTGCACCATCTCTTCTGGGCTGGGTTTCCTGATTCTCCATTTAATGGAACTATAGCTGCCCTTTCTACTCTGTCTGCTTCGATTCCACCTCCATTCCTCTTCCAACGCTCCAGCAACATAATACCAGATAATCTGATACCATCTGATACAGTCTTACAGTCTTACAGTCTTGCAATCTTATACAATCTTATACAATCTTATACAATCTTATACAATCTTATACAATCTTATACAATCTTATACTATAACGTCCTCTCACCACTCCAGTAGCATTCAACCATATTCAGATTCTTTTTGTCAAGCATAATTCATTTCCATTTGTTTTTATCCATTTCACTTGTTTTTGAAAAAAAAAATTAATATTTTTTCCTAATATTTCTAAATGAAATTTTAAGTCATTTTAGTCCATTTTTTACTTCATTTTTTTTTTTATTTGTTTCATTTTATTTTACTCATTTTCACTTTAATTCAATTTATTTAATTGTCCAATTAACCAATTAATTAATTAACCAATTAATTAACCAATTAATTAATTAATTAACTAAATAAACAACATAAAAAAAGAAGAAAAAAGAAAAGACAGAGAAAAATAATTAAATAAAAAAATAAAAAAATAAAAAAATAAAAAAATAAAAAAATAAAGAAATAATTAAATAAAGATTTCAAAATTCAAAAATTCAAAATCAAAATTCAAAAAAAGGTTATTACTACTCTATTCTACTCTACTCTACTCTACCCATATCATATCATATCATATCCCACTTTACTCTTTCCACTCTCTACTATATTATACTAAACTATCTCATTTATTCGTCTTGTCCACTTTTACACTTTGTCAATAAAGAACAAAACTTTAAACCCAATTTAGAAACTTCATCCACTTACTTTCTATTCATTCTACCAAGTCAATCTCACATATATATATATATATATATATATATAAGCCTATATATATCCTCCAAAAACGATATGACAGATAAACATACCATCCCAATAAACGACGATGATGATGACGATGATATGGATATCGAAATTGACTCAAATTCCCTGCACAAAAATTCCTCTCCCAATCCTCAATCTCCCCAAATCCAACAGAAAAATATCAAAAAACACAATTTCTTCTTCTCATCGGCCTCAAACCAAATTTCAGCCTCAATTCCAAAAATTAAAGACAACGACAACGACAACGACAACAACAACAATAACAACAATAACAACAACACTCCAACCGATATTGAAATCGAAATGGACTCAAACACATCCCATGACAAACAGACAAAACAAAAAAAGAAAAAAAAAAGAAAATCAATCTTCAGAAACTCCTCCTCTTCTTCCTCTTCCTCTCCTATTTCAAACAAAATCCAAATTTCTTCCTCTTCTCTCTCAAATTCTCCAAACTCTTCACCAACCAATTGCCTCACTAATGACGACGATCAGAAAAAGAAATCTAGAAATATCTTTTCAAGAAAAATAAAATCAAAAAAAATCGATAAAAAGATTAAATTGAATTTTAATCCATCCGTAAATTCAACAACAAGTGGGAGTCCCCTATCTAATTCCAACTCAAACTCCAATTCCAATTCCAACTCCAACTCAAATAAACTTCAAAAGAATTCACCACTCTCTGAAGACCAAAAAAAACATAATGAAAAACATAATGACTTTGACACTTCTATAACTCTTCCCAATATTGATCTACACAACATCGAAAAATATAGCCACTATTCCGAAGATACTATAATTAAATTCATAAACCTAAACGCTGAAAGAGAAAGAACTAAACAAGAAAAATTTAAAGCAAAGACTGCAAAACTACTAAAAGAAGTCCTAAACATTGCAATCTCAAATAACATCCCATCCTCTTCAATCCCAATCATCTTCTCAAATTTAGTACCATCATCCCCAGTAAAATCTCCTTTGAAATCTTCTCCTCTACAAAAAAATGTATCCTTTTCTCCCAACCTTACAAATATTCATCCCACAACAATACAGCTTCCAACACAACAGCAACAGAAACTGCAACTAAAAATTCAGGAACAGCAGCAACAGCAGCAACAACAGCAGCAGCTTCAACTTCCACCTCCTTTATTTCCTCAAGTGCAACCACAATCACAACCTCAGCAATTTTCACAACCCCAGCAATTTTCACAGCCTCAACAGCAGCTATCTCTGCAATTGAAAACTACTACCACTTCTTCTTCATCTTCCTCATCTTTTAATGCAAGTATTCAAGCTGGTATTCAAAAATTCAAAAACCAATTGAAAGTAAGGTCAAGACCTAAAAATAAAAGTCTTTCTTCTCTCCCATCTCTGTCTTCTATGGCCTCTTCAATGCAATCATTTTCAAACAAGCCACCAAGATCTTCCACCTCAGTTTTCAAAGTTGAACTACCTCAACAAATAAAATATGAATTCCACCACTGGAAAAATCCTGATGACAAACAAAAAAAGAAAAAAGCCTCTGATAAACACAAATCTTCTCAGTCTACATCTTCCAATGTTACTCTTCAACAAACTGCCTCTTCATCTGCAGAAACTTCTCAGGCACCTTCAGCCTCAAATCCTCTATTTGCTGTACCAGCTTCTAAATCGGTTAGCACTTTTAGAAAATTTTCCCATTTAAGAAAACATTCAACCTCTGTGACTTCTGAAATTTCACCTTCTTCTTCAAAATTCCAAAGAAAACTACCTACTTCTTCAACCTTTTCAGTTATACCTTATGATCCTTCAAAGGAATATGACTCTGGATCTAAAGGCAAAAAAACTCCGATTCCTTCTCCCAAAACTGAAAGCAGAAAGTCTCATTCAAATGTTTCCGAAATTTCAACTCCATCATTATTATCACCAAGCACCGTTACTCCAAGCCATCCAAATCCCACAAATGTTCAGCATCTTCCAATGTCTCCTTTGAAAACACCACTGCAGGTAGACCAACCGCAAATTCCTTCGCCATATAGCTCGAATTTATTGAGTTTTAGACCTATTCCGCTGAGAACACAGCATATTCAGCATATTCAGCAAATACAACAGTCATTTTCACAACAACGTCAAAGCCAGTCAGAGTTCTTATTCCCTTCCCAACCAGCACAGTCTCAAATCCAGCAGCAACAGCAAATTCCTCAATTTTCACTTCACTCTCGGTCAAATTCTCAAAATTTTCCATCATTTAATGTAAGGGCCCAAAATCTACCCCCAAGTTATCAACAAACACCACCACCACCACCACCACCACAGCAGCAGCAATCACAACAGGTTCGTCTTCAAGCACCATATAATACAGGCGCTACACCATATGGGCAGTCTCAAAAATATTACCAAGGCAGTCCTCTTCAATTTGAGCACAATGCACATTTAAGTTATGGGAGTTTTTTAGATTCTCAATCTCAACCTCAACCTCAACCTCAACCTCAACCTCAATCTCAATCTCAATCTCAGATTCCAATTCAACGAACAAGTTCTCAAACTTCTAATTTACAAACATCTCAGAATCGTCGACAAGATGTGGGATCACAGCAACCTTCAGTGAGCCCTTCAAAAAAACAACCATCAAAAAGTGATATTAAATACATGTTAACTGAAGAGCCAAAAGATAAAAACTGATTGATAAGATTTTATAGGTTTCGATCATTAATCATAAATTATAAACTATGAGAGTTTTATAAGTTATTTTGCATAAATCATATCCTTTTTTTTGATTAAATTTTTTTTCTTTTTTTTTTTATTATATTATCCAAAATTGAAGTAAAAGAGGAATAAAAAAAATTTTCACATTGGGAAAATAATATATTGGTTTTATAGAAATTTTAGTTTAAAATATTATTGTTTTTTTTATTCATTTTAATAATTAAGTGGGAATTCTCAAAGGAAGAGTGGTTTTGATTTAATAATTTATTTTATTTAATTTATTTCAATATATAAAAAGAAGAAAAAAACTATCATTTTCTGTGTTTCTTTTCATTTAGTATTATTATTTTCAATATTTGAAAACTTTATTTTTTTATTTTTTTATTTTTTTATTTTCTTACTTTTAATCTGATTCATTTAATGTTGCTTTAGTATTGAATATTTCATCCTTTTTATTGATTTTTATTATTCTATGAGATTATTTCATTTGAATTTTTTCTGCCATTTTCATATCATTTTTCTGCCATTTTCATATCATTTTGGATCATTTTCTAACATTTTTTGACATTTTTTGACATTTATTCATCATTTTCTATTATTATAATTTTATTTTATTTTATTTTATTTTATTTTATTTTATTTTATTTTATTTTATTTTATTTTATTTTATTATATTTTATTATATTTTATTTTTTTGGTGTATAAGTATTAGTATAGGTATATTGTTTTGAAGTAAATTGACATAAATTAGAATAATCATTGCTTTAATTTTTTTTTCTTTACATTTAGGTTTAAGATCTGTTTTTCATATCTAGAGTGCGGTTAACAATAAAAAAAATAAGAGAAATGTAAAACCACAATTCTGGTTTGAAGACAATAAATGCATAAGAATAGTTGAAACTCTTAGGAGGACATATGAAAAACTAGTTTGAAGAAAATTGGATATTGATTTTCAAGCAAAGGGGACATTTACATTTTCTCTAAGATGAAGTTTATGTAAAACGAAAAATGAAAATTGGAAAATGAGAAGTTTGAAAAATTGCAAACTTTAAGATAAAATAACCAAAGAAAAGTCAAAAAAACTCATTCAAAAACAGTCAAAAACAGTCAAAAACAGTCAAAAACCAGTAGAAAACCAGTAGAAAATCAGTCAGAAAATCAGTCAAAAAAGGACAATAAGAAAACGGTTAGAGTCTTTGTTTCTAAAGTTAGTATGCCAGGCTGGGTAATTGTCAATTTTTTCTATTATATGACCTGCCCTATTTCGATACATTCAATGAACGAGTAGAAAATAGAGCTCAATTGAATTTCCAATTGTAGAGCAATTATGATCGGATTGCTCATGCTGCTAATCCATGGGATAGAGTTTGATAAGCCTAAAACCTCCAACAAAAAAGTGGATATAAATGGAATCAAACAAGTGCTCTTTCAATGGAGGTATTCTCATATTAAGAAAGATCAGTCACTAAAAACCGCTAAGAGTTACTAAAGTGCGATTTTTTTGAGTCAGAACAGCTAATTTCCAGCTGTGGCGCAACGTCTGAATCGGCTCAAAAAGCAGCCCATTTGGGAAGAAACAGGACCGTCCCGATCAAGCAATCATATTGAGCAAAAGCAGCGCCGCTGACTAAGCGCGGAGAGCGGACTGCCCTTCCGTCCCACTAAACTCCAGGCGAAAAAAAGCGGTGAAGCGAGCCGCGTGGAACAATACGGTGGGCGCCGGTGGGGCATTTTTGGTTTCTTTTTCAGCGCTATTTGTACGCTTTCTTTCCGTGCTTCCTTTTTCAAGTTGTTCTGGGTTTTCTGGTTTTGCTGCTCCAGCTGCGAATTTCTGTCTGCTTTCACTTTGTGGATCTGTTCTCACCAACAGGGCGACCGATGGGCGACAGGTGCAAAGCAGAGCCTAGACCTAATGGCGCAGCACGGGATCGCTGAAAACAGCCAATCACATGGCAGCGTGTTCTATAAATAAGCACGTTCAATGGCGAGAACCTCTCACAATAGCCTCTCACAATGGTTCGCGACCCAGCTGGTTTAGGAGAGGAGACCTTTGATCTTACAAAGCCAGGATCTCCTGGTGATGAAATGCGGTTACCAGAAAACACTCAGCAGAGCAACAGTGTAGGAGGATGTTCCCAGAAAAACTGTCCAGATGATAATAAGGATAGTAAAGACGGTTCTTTGAAGTGGACTGCGCTTTATTGTATGATTTTTTGCGAGTGATGGGTAAGGTGTTGTGTGATAATAACATGCCATGGGTCGAGCTGCAGAGCAGAATGATGCTGAGGGAAATGGTTCGTAAAATGAGTAATAAGAGCGCGCATTAATTACATGCCGAAGCGTGAAGAAAAGAAAGAAAAGAGTGGCGCATAGTAATTTTCACCTTGTTTGTTTACACTTTGAAAATTTTTTTGGTTTGTCTTTTGCAAGAGAAATGTTGCAACTTAGACCAGTAGCACATACAACCAACAGAGCTTAGTAGCAGAGCTTAACAGCATAGCCTAGTTGGTTCTACACCAGTAAATTGTATCAAATCAAATGCCATTAGGCCATGGGAGGCCATAAACCTCAGTGCTGTGTGCCGGATTGGGAACTCCAGAATTCTCCTTCTTCTGTATAAATATCTCGCATTTCTCTCGTTTTTGCTTCTCTGTCTATTTTTTTATCTACAAATTGTCTTGCCTTCTAACTACTAGAATACAGTTCTTTTACTATATCACTAAATCAGTCTATTAATTATCCAATTAATCTTTGTCTTTTGACCTTATACCTCTTTACTTTCGCACAATAATTCACAATGCAATTCAAACAAATCTTAGTTGCCTCCTTAGCCGCTGTTGCTTCGGTCAGAGCCTTAAACTCTTCCAACACCACAAATGACACTGTTCCAGCAGATTCTGGTGCTTCTGGCGTTAAACCAGCCCTCTTAGGTGCTGTTGCCGTTGCTGGTGTAGCTTTATTATTATAAGTTCATTAATACATTCAAATTATCAATATAATACTTCTTAATATTTTCAATATTAAGAAAACAAAATTAGTTATAATTTAATAAGTTTGTATCATACGGGTTTTTTTAATAATTTTCTTGCTACCTTTTTTCAGTCATAATACTTTTATTCTTTTCATTTTCATCGTTCCTTCTCTTTAAATCTCCTTTTTTTGGTTTGGCCTTCCAATAATTTTAAAACTTAATCTTTAATTTTTTATAACATTTATAGAATGGTTTTCTTCTAATTTCTTACAATTTTTTTCAGTTCTTTACCTCAATATAAATTTTGAGCTTTTTCCTTTCAATAACTGTAGCTTCTACTTTATTGCAATTGCAACAAATCATTTAGTCTAGAAATTTTATTATTTTGTTTAAAAGTCAATCATTCACATTTCTTATCTATTACTAATCTAATTTGAAACAAAATTGTTGTACTACCCGATTAAAATCCAAAACAAAGTAATTAACTTCCCATACTTTTTATCCTTTTGATGTAAAAATTTTTTGATTTTTTTTTAGAGTTTGCTCTATAAATAGTTTAATAATAATTCTAGTTTTTTCCATCTTTTTGGGCAGTTTCTTTTTTCCTGTCTCCAGATAAGACAGTGCTGCTGTTAGAGCCCTATTATAAACAGCAGCCCAAAACACCTCACGGCACCTCACGATACCTTATCGTCTCAGTTCCCACCACGATTACTATTTCACGGTCTTTCATTGGCTGATTCTGGCCGTTGATATGTCAAACTTCACTGTCTTAATAAATTCAAAATGTACTCCCATGTATATATATTAGTATTTATACATATTAATTTTTTATATAATCGTAAATATTTATATTAGCTAATATCATTATCTCATTTATATACTCATCCTTAATCGTCTTGTTCATCTAAAGTCTTGAAATACCATGTTGGTGTGTCCTTTGGAAATTCAATCCCTAATTCCAATAATTTCTTAAATGCATTTGCAAAATCTTTAAACAATAAATTTTCATTTTTTGAATAAATCTCACTGATTTTCTTAAAGTTTGGATCAAATATCAATGCCATATCCGTTGGCAACATCATTAATGAATGTGTCTTGGAATCCTCAAATTGCGTATTTCCATCATAATGTTGTTTGATCTCCCATCTTTCATTCAAAATCAACTTGAAAAACTCATTGGTAACCATGTTGGGCGAAAAGGTCCATGGCCCTGTAAATCCTGAATTCTCCTTATGACATCTACCAATAGCATGTCCGACTCCAATCAATGCAACCATTTCTTCATCATTAAACCCCATTCTATTAAACACTGCTCGAACATGTTCGGCACCTTGCGTAGCATTTGGTAATCTGCCATGAGGTGGTTGGTTCTTTGGTGGTAAATCTTTTCTACCTGCTCTCCATCCAATTTTGGGTCCATTCATCTCTTGAATTGCAACTATTCCCGCAAGGGTATATAAATCGCCCGTTGAGATAAATGGATTATCTTGTTTGATCTTATTCAAAAAACTTCGAGCATGAACCAATCCATTGTTTCCAGCATCTTTAGCTTCATATTTATGACGCATTGTACCCCCATATGATCCTCCTTTAGTACCTGAATAATCATCTTTATCGTAAGATCCAGATAAATGCCAGGCTAATCGAACTAATACTGGTCCATATCCAATACCTCCATCCCATTCATCTTCTTCTTGTATTTTCGTGGCAATTTGATTATATATCTTTTGATAATCATTAAATGTATGTGTGGTTTCAGTAGCAAGCCAGTTTGAAATAATTGGTGAACTTGCTGCTCCAAATCCAAAAAATCCTGCTTTAAATAAATTACTACTGCCATTATTACTATTATTACTATTATTATTATTACTATAGTTGTTATTGAATTTATATTGATAAGAACGTTTTTCATTCTCATTATATGCAACTGCAAAAACAGCAGTTGCAGCTAGTCCGGCAAATGAATATACATATTTCTTTGAACTAGACTTGAATGGTGATAAAAATAAAGGATTAAGTGTTGCCATAATTATATTAATCAACTACTCGGATAAAATAATAAAATAATAAAATAATTAAAAAACAAGCGAGATTGTAAAAGAAACAAAAATTAAGAAAATAATCAATTTAAACGGATCTTCCTACACTTATATAATTTTCTTTATCCCCCCCCTTAGTGAATGAATAACAATAATAATAATAATAATCATTAGCTGAGTTTAAGAAAAAATGTTGTTGACTAGAAAATACTCGGGGAATTTACTTGTCCAATGTTCTTTTTTCTTTCAGATTATTAATTACGTCCAAACTACAAACTTTACAATGTCCAAACTTTTGAAATCGATCATTTACATGTAATAGAATAAAAAAACATAGCGGTAAACGATCTAAATGTAACCATATTGACTGTATTGGTATATGAGGTTATTATCCTAAACAGGTGCTCCACAGACATGGCGTTCGAGTTTGAAAAAGATGACAAATAGAAATATGCCGTGTTTTCATTGGCTGGCGAATAAAGGAAATATTGGCCATGGCTCGATTCTCAAAAGAGGAGTCTTTCTATCGCTCAAAACATTGTTTATTAGGGCTTAATAATGAAATTGCATATGTAACAACTTGGAAATCAGTGCAATTGAACCGAGTTATTCTTATTAATCACAACGATCTGAAAACCGCAAAATAGTAAAAATCCAAGGTAAACAACAGCAGTAGTCCATAATGTTTTAGCGACTCTATTGAAATGAAAAATGGATGAAAGCAAAAAAATAAAAGTTAAAGCATCAGTTAGTATTTCAACCATTCTCCAAATACACTGGAAAAAAAACAACCATAATAGTAGTACTAATACTAATACTACTGCTAATAACAATAATAATAATGCTTACTCTTTTCCATTCTCAGGATCAGATGTTGAACCCATCATTGATTCATGGCCGGTATAGAACAAATAACCCAATACTGTCAATATAACAATACCAAAAGCAGATACAACTGTGCAAAAGTAAGCTTTAAATGGCTTGAATAACAACAAAATTCACTAGTGTTAGTAACAGTTCGTAGCATTTGGGTGAATCTTAACTTCAATGGATACCAATTGTTTCAGTCATTTCAGCGACTTCAATTTCAATTGACATCAAATACACACAGAAACAACTGGCTTCATGTTCGATTTATTTTTATTGGGGCTATCTTATTATCTCTTGATTCCTTATCCTATCAGTGACGATGTCTGCGACGGTAAACAATCCCCAGCTGTTGCTTCAGCTGTTAATTTGAAGCAGCAAAAACAAAGTCAGGTGGGTGCAGATCCAGCGATGTGGATTGTGAACCATGCTGTATAAGTGCATCCCCTGCATGGTTTGCATTTAATGCATGCGCATGCGTTTGCTTCTTTTGCTGACAGATTTTTCAGGGACATAAAGGATGTGTCAAAATTTTACATGTCGAAGCTGTGCCAGGAGAAATATGCTGCTCAGTTCTGATACTGTTATTTGTAGATTAGTGGGGCACATTTTTTTTTTTTTTGTAATTGACAGAACTGCCAATTTGCTCATTGAATTTTCCCATGGAGACAACTGATTACCTTTGGGTTCTTGTCCCTTTAATAAACTGATAATCTTAGCCTTCTATCAACTGAGAAATAACTTGTGATTCGTCATATTCATCATTCTAGTTAATCTTGCTAAATCTATCTATTAAATATCTATTTTGGACATGAAAACCACTGGGGCATTAAAAATTCTGACTATTTTTATTTGTACCGTTTCAAAAAAAACTGATTCGCATTATAAGTGCATTATTCATTTAACTACAGAAAAATTGCAATATAATAATAAAAATCTACCCAATTTACTTAACTTAAGTTATTTTATCACTATTCTTTAAAATAATCGATCTTATCATACTATATTGTATTATACTCAAAGTCTTTCAGATTCAAATAGTAGATTTCACTATTCATGTTTCTACTATCCTAGTATAATATATCACTTGTAATATAACCTCTACTGTATATAAATTATCTTTCCATCTCTTTTTATTTTCATACTAAAACCTATACAAATATAAAAAAACAATACCTAATATCAAACTGCAAATAAAGAATCACATATAAAAGATCCAGCCAGTCTTTCCTGTACCATAATCAAATGTCTCTCAGCATACTAAATCATTCTTCAACTTCTATATCGTACTTATTACCTATAATTAAGAGTGTGCCATTCTATGCATCCTCTCTTTTAAAAAATATAAAAGAAACTCCAACTAAACTCAATTACAATCTCAATTCAAGCAATTACTATCTCAATGACAGAAGTAATAGGCCAGATATCAAGACCCAAAAACACTTTTACCATAATTTAAACAAATTTTCAATTAAAAACAACCCTTTTCATCATCAGAACTATTTTTCATCTTCTTCACCTATCTCTTTTAAAAGATTTTATTCAACCAATCCTATAAATTTTAGCATTGTTGAAGATCCACCACCAGACCCAAGAATCAAGAAAATTATCAATGACATATCAAAGCCTGATGTTGACAATCGATCTTACAGAATCATTCAACTTAAAAATGGTCTTGAGGTTTTATTGATTCATGACGAAACTACTCAAAAATCTTCCGCCTCTATAAGTGTTAAAGCTGGTAGGTTTCAAGATCCACCCAATTTGCCTGGTTTAGCTCATTTGTGTGAACATGTCTTGTTTATGACTAGTTATAACAATAGTGAAGATCCTGCGTCTAATACTCCTTCAAATGTGAAATTCACAAGTAGTGTTGAAAATGAATTTGAGACTTTTATCGATGACAATCTTGGTACATCAAATGCTTTTACTTCTGATGAAGAAACAAATTATCATTATGATATCCTAAATGAGAACTTTGAATTATCCTTGAAAAAATTCTCAACTTATTTTAATAATATTAACAACAATGATATAAACAATCAATTAATCAACAAAAGTGTAATTGAAAGAGAAATTCAGAGTGTTGATAGTGAATTTGCTAAAATCACTAAAAACGATTCCTGGAAAATAAGACAAGTTGAAAAAAAAATTTCAAATAAGAATCATCCTTATCATAATTTCTCAAATGGTAATATCAAGACTTTACACGAGATTCCATTGTTAAATAACATAAACATTAAAGAATGCGCTTTGAATTTTTATAAAAATTACTACATTCCAAAATTAATGAAATTGACTATATTAAGCAATCAATCTCTAGATTATGTACAGAATTTGGTTTTAGAAAATTTTAGTTCATTGAAAAACATTTCCAATCAACTTCCTTTTTATGATTATAATAACGAACATCCAATTACAAAGGATGAATTAGGGACTATAATTAAAATCAAACCAGTTATGGATACTCAAGAAATAAGAATTTGTTTTCCAATATTAGATCAAAGACCATTTTATCAATCAAATCCTTCACTGTATTATATTCATTTAATTTCTCACGAATGTAATGGTTCATTAATTTCCTTTTTAAAAAATGAGAGTTTGGCTTCTTCATTAAGCGTTGAATTAACACACATATCAGATAACGATGATTCATTTAAAATCATAATTCAATTGACCAATGAAGGATTTAAAAAATATGATGAAGTTGTTGGATATGTTTTTAATTATATTGAATTGTTAAAAAAAACTCAACCTCAAAGGTGGATTTACAATGAATTGAAAATAATGGAATATGGTAGATTCAAATGCAGACAAAAGATATCTGAAATTGAGACCACATCATCTTTAGCAAGTTTATTACAGGATAATTTTATTTTAAGAAAGGATATTTTAGGGTCGTGTTTGTTGAAAAGATTTCGGGAAAATGAAATTAAAGAATTTGGAAATAAGTTTCTTAATATTCGAAATTTTAGATGTTTGTTGGTTAGTAAGAATAATTCGCATCATCTTTATAGAAAGGAGCCATATTTAAATACCAGATATTCAGTTGAGAAACTAAGTAAAAGCTTTTCTAGAAAGGTTATTAGAATGATAAGAAAAAATGGAAGTTGTTTTTCATTGCCATTACCAAATCGATTTTTGCCACAAGAATTTAAGAGGTTACCAGATAAAGAATTGCTTCATTATAAATATGATGAAAATATTCGAAAGGCTATTGTAGCTTCAAGTTCATCATTTTCAACAAATTTACAAACGAAAAATGAGCAAATGAACAATCTAAGTGATAATAATAATAGTAATAATCAAACTGAAGTTAGTGAGGAAACTCAAAGATTAATTGATGAGCAAGACGAAATGGAATATTTGAACAATTATAAACCACCAATATTGTTTGAGAGTAGTGAGTTTGGACGTACATGGCTAAAGCAGAATAATAGTGTTCCTAAAGGGTATGTTGGATTATTGATTCGAAATCCATCGTCACATAATTCGCCTATCAATTCGATCAAATGCAATATTTTTATCAAGTATATTAATGAGCTTTGTGAGGTATTACGGTATGAAGCCAATTTATCTGGGTTGTATTTTAATTTTGAACCCAGTTACAACGGATTTTATTTACAGATTAATGGATATAATGAGAAATTGATAAATTTATTGGAGAGCATTATAAAATTGGTTAAGATTGAAAATAGTTTGAATAATTATATTAGTATGAGTGAAAAGGAGTTTAATAGACACAAGAGTAATTTAGAAAGGATATACAAGAATTTCAAGTTGACTGAGCCATTTAATCAGATTGATATTTATTCATCGTGTCTTTTGAATGAGAATTCGTGGAATATTGATGAGAAATTGCGATCATTAGATCAATTGATGTTTAATAATTTTAAGAATTATAATCCATTTGAACAGTTTTCGTTTGAGTGTTTTATTTATGGGAATTTTTCCATCAAGGATTGTAATACAATTAATAAATTGATAAAGAAGAATCTCTGTGAAAATAATCAATCATTAACATCTAGTGAGAAAATATTGGGAAGATCGTTGATATTGTATCAGGGAGATAATTATAATCTCCGATTGATTAATAGAGAATTATCATCATCGTGTATTGATTGTTATATTCAATGTGGGATTAAAGAAGACAAGACGTCAAGGGTTTTGTTGTATATATTGAGTGATATTATGGATGATTTGATGTTTAATGAGCTAAGAACAAGAGAGCAATTGGGGTATATAATGACAGTGGGCTTGAGATCAACTAGGACTACAATTGGGTTGAGGTTGTTAATTCAGAGTGAATTGCCTACAGAGTTTTTGGAGTCGAGAATCGACAAGTTTTTGATTACGATCGTTGAGAATTATTTGAGGAATTTGACTAGGGATGAGTTTCAAAGTTTGATTAACAAGATTTCAAATGATTTATTGATCAAGTTTCAAAACATGAGAGAGGAGTATTATTTTTATTGGAATCATATCAAGTCTGGGTATTTTGATTTTATCAATTTAATTGATTATTTGAAGATTTTGAAAAATTTAACGAGAAAGGACTTGTTGTATTTTTATCTTTATTACATTTCACCAAAGAGTTCGATTCGAGCCAAGTTGACAGTTCATTTGCATAACTGCGATAGTTCTAAAAAGGAGGACAACATTAAGAATTACAAAAAAATCATTAAGTCTGCGATAAAGAATTCTTTGTTATTGAAAGATATAATAATTTCCAATGATAGATTGAGCGAGATAATTGATAAGCATATCAATGAGAAAGACGATTACAAAGAGAGCTACAAAGATAATGATGGCAATACAAGTAATGGGAAGGAAAGCCAGGTGCCATCGAGGATACTTAATATGAATGATAAGGTGTACAGTATTTTGTCAGACTTACGATATTCATTTGCATCGTCGAAACTAGGACAAGAGCAGAGTAAAGGAAAGGCTACGGACGTTGTGAGTGATATTACACCAACAGTCATCTCTAAATTGGACCAGTCATATCTTGATCTCTATCCCAGTGGAGAGACAATCCGAGACATCAGCGATTTCAAGTCGAGGTTGCTAATTTCGCGAGCACCATTGCCCTTGATGGAGTTGGACAACTTAAAGGTGGAAAACATTGTGGACGAGCACAAGAAAACGAGGTCTGATGCTTACAGAGAGAGAAAAGCACATGAGAGGGATGGCCAGCGAGATGAGGACGACTTTGTGGCGAAAAAGGAGCTCACCATCACCAAAAACAACGATTTGGCAGTGTTGGTGTGAGGCGAAAGCACCAAACTCCCTCTGTGAAGACGCATTATAAGAGCGTCCCAAAAGAGAAAAAGACCTAATAAAAGTCGTGTTACCCGCCCTGGGCCGAAGCACAAAAACAGCAAAACGGTTTTTTTTTCTCATTTTGCCACAACCACCAATAATGATAATAATAACACAGATCGAAACCTGCTCGTAGGCTGCCACCAGTTCCATGTGTGCTCTCTGGGGCTTGCTGGGCTGGTAATCAATGTGGTGGCCAGGCTGGGTTTGATCGAGAGCAAGTTCTTCTTTTTTCCCATGATAAAAAAGTTGGATGGCAGCTTTAAAACCATTGCTTTCTAGGCTCCAGCGCTGCGTCGTTGTTGAGCCCATGAAAAAGTGATGACCTAAAGTCTGCCACAGTTTCCTGGAGTTGAGTGTTTTCTGCTGAATGTGTTTTGCAGCTCTGGCTTGTTGTCGCTTCAGAGCTGCCTCCAGCTCGACTCTTTGCGACATGGGGCTGGGACAGATTCGACAGCGAGAAGTGCCAGGTCAGCCTGTTTAATTGCCAGTACAAGTTCAATTGCACTCCCAAACGTTTTGGATCTAGCTTAGGTGTTTCTTTTTCACAAAGCAAACACCAGCTCGCCTTCTCCTGCTTTTTGATTCAATTGGATCGAATTTCCATTGCTGATGTTTTTTTTGGAGATTCAAATCTACAAAACGGACATAGCGAACAGGTGACGAACACCGCTCTTTCTCTGCGAAGATCTGAGCACGCATCTCGTTCGATTGCTATTTTCTGTTTGCTAGCAAGAAAGGCCTCATGGCGAACAGTTTCAGTGTGTTCGCAAACAGGATCTTCCTCTGGTTTTGTTTGCTTCTTTCAGGTTCGGACCAATAAGTATCGAAAGTATCGAATCAACACAGTGCTGCCAATGATACAAGTAGTTCTGTTGAGAAACAAGTGATTATGGACTAGCTCTGGCGATTAGCAACGATTTAGCAAGTATTCCCTCAATGACTGACAACTGCTTGAGCCCTTTGAGGTCTCGCAAATAACTCAATTGCTCCAACAAAAAGAAATCTTGCTCCAGGTCGATTACAAGTTCAGTTGTAATTCAACTCTTATTTTTAATACTAAACATCACCACCAATACGCATCTTCATTCAATTAAATCACAATAACAAGAAGTGCTCCCATACTTATTCTTGATTATTTTGGGGAATAGCAATTATCAATTGAGTTTCAAACCATGAAACATGGTGATATAAGGTGCTTTCCAAAGCAAAACAAAAATAGCCCAGTATCACACTAATTGAATCAATTGAATTGCAAAAATTTAATATAAAAAGATCTCAACTCCTCATTATTTCTCCTTCTTTTTTTTTTTCTCTATCTCATCATCTTAGAATTTCTTATACTTACAATATCTGAAATACTATTACTTTGATTATCTTAGTCTAACTCAACTCAACCCAACTCAATTCAACCCACCTTATCTCAAAATGTCTGGTATCATGAACAAAATCCAAAACAAATTAAGTGACAAAAACGATCACACTCATGAAACTCATGACACACATCATGACACACTTCACGACTCAACCCACACCACCAAACCATCTAAGTACGACCAACAATTCTCTACTACTGACAAGTACGATGCAACCACTGGTTTCAATGGTTCCACCACCCAACCATCCCACAACAAAAAAGATTGGAACAATCCTTCAACTAACGCCGGTTCTTCTGGTGTAGGTGTTTTGGGTAACCAAGGCTTAAACACTGGTTCCAATCACAAATACGATCCAACCAACAAAGTCCACCAATCTCAACGTACAAATGATATTCCCACCCAATATGGTGCTGGTTCAACTAACATCCAACCTGATGTTTTAGGTGGCCAAAATGACCAATACAACAACAATCTCTTAGGCCAAAAGAACGCACGTACCTCAAACCAAGATGCTTATGGTCAACCTCAAGGAAGAACCACCAGATCCCAAAAAGCCAACTACCAAAAGGATCTTGATGATGTTCAAAGACACATGTAAGCTTGCTTCCATTGCCTAGGATAATTGCTATTCCCTTTCTCTTTCTCTTTCTTCCCTTTATAACTTATGATTTCTATTTATGATACTCTTTCTTACTTTTCAATACAAGTATAACGAATTTTCTCGATATCTTTCAACAGCACCCAAAATGTAGCTTTCTTCCAGCCTATCAGCGTCCTCACCGCCCAACTCTAAAGCGATAGCTCAAAAGCAATCGCTGAGCCCTCAGTAAACCTTTCCAACTGGTTATAATCTACAAACTTCTCAGAGAGTAATTGCATTTCCAAAATGTCGTCCTTTTGCTCAGATCTATCCTCTTTCTTCAAGATCACAGATAACAATTCAATCAATTCTCTACTCTTCTTGATTTTCTTAGCTGGAACCTGGAAATTAACAACTCTTACTTTGTCCTTTCTATCTTTGGTCCTAGATTTAACCATCTTCCCAAGTGTCAACTACAAAAACTATCAATCAAAAGATAAAGACTGCTGGGCTGTTGTTACTGGGGCTTCCGATGGCATTGGAAAGGAATTCGCTTTACAATTGGCCAAAAAGGGCTTCAACATTCTATTAGCCTCAAGAACTGAATCAAAATTAGCTCAGCTATCAACCGATATTCAAAATAATTTTCAAGTTCATACAAAAATTCTAACCTACGATGCCTCAAACATCGACCAATATATCAACTCCATTAGCCAATCAATTAACGGTATCCCAATTACTATCTTGATCAACAATGTTGGTCAATCTCATTCAATTCCTGTCCCATTTGAGGAAATCGATGAAACTGAATTGAACAGCATCATTAATATCAACTGTGTTTCCACTTTAAAATTCACAAAAATCGTTCAAGATAATATCAAAAGAACAATTCAATCAAAAAAAGCTAAAAAGGGTTTAATCCTAACAATGGGCTCATTTTCTGGCTTACTTCCAACTCCATACCTCTCTGTTTATTCGGGTTCAAAGGCCTTTTTACAAAATTGGTCAAATTCTTTATCAGCAGAATTAGCAGGCTATAACATTGACGTCTCATGTTTACTTTCTTATCTAGTTACTTCAAAAATGTCCAAAATCAGAAGGAGTTCCTTCATGATTCCAACACCAAAAAAATTTGTTTCGGCATCTTTAAATAACTGGAATAAAAGATGTGGTGCTCAAGAAAGATATATGACTTCAACACCTTTTTGGTCTCATGCTTTAATGCATTGGTCTATTGAAAATACTGTTGGAGTTTATAGCAAAATTGCAAACAAACTCAATTATAATATGCATAAAGATATCAGAAGAAGAGCTTTACGAAAGAAAGCAAGATTAGCTTCTGGTGAAGAAAAACCAAAGACCAACTAAATATATATATATGATCAATAATATCTATACTTTAATATTGATAAATATATACATGATGAAAATAAGTTTATTGGAAATCGATTTATTAAAACAAGACCAATATATAAATGTATATATTCGAATAATAATCAAAAGTTTAAGAATTTGTAAAAATGAGTGAGTGAGTGGATATAATAAATGAGTGGCATTTTAGTTGATAGTAAAAAAGGTAACAAGTGTAATGGGTGGTAATCTTCAAGTTGCAAAAAAAAAAAAAAGATAAACAAGAGTATATATAAAAAAGGTATTTAAGATCATTTGAAATCATCAACTATAGGCAGTAGTACCTATTGGTAAAGAGTGTTGCATTTGGATATTTCTTGGTTCATTATCTTCCATAAAGTAAGGATGAATCAAAGCTCTTTTGGCACTAATTCTACCAACTGGATCGTAGTACAATAATTTTTCTAACAAATTGATGCCATCATTATCTAAAGTTGGTAAAGCAGTTTTTAGGTCTCTTTTTGACCATTTTGGAAAAGTTGGTTTAAAGTCAGGCAAGCGATAAATATCTGGCCAAATATCTTCAGTTGGTGTACCCAATAATCTGAAAATACAAAAGATTTGATCAATCTCAGAGTCTCCAGGGAATAAAGGTTTTCTATTGACCATTTCAGCAAAGATTGCCCCAATTGACCACATATCAACACCAGTTGAATATTGTTTTGCGCCTAGTAAGATTTCAGGAGCTCTATACCAAAGAGTAACAACTTCATGAGTGTAGCCTCTTAATGGAACACCAAAAGCTCTGGCTAACCCAAAATCACCAAGTTTTAAATTACCTTCTTTGTCGATAAGTAAATTTTGAGGTTTTAAATCACGATGGAGAATTCTGTGGGAATGGCAGTAGCATATACCTTTGATTAATTGCATCATGAATCTTTTGACCATCCCTGAGCCTAGGCCAGAATCTGAAGGAATGCTTTCCATATATTTTTTCAAGTCTAAATCAAGAAACTCAAAGACTAGATATAATTTATGAGAATCGGAGTGAACGATATCGTAAAGTCTAACAATGTTGTCATCTTTCAATTCTTTTAATAGAGAGATTTCTCTTATAGCAGTTGATGGAACACCTTCGTCTTCAGATTCCAAACGAATTTTTTTCAAAGCAACAATTCTGTTATTATGTTTTGTGTCCAAGGCCTTGTAAACGACACCGTAGGTACCTAAAGGAAATCAAGAGAAAGAAAGAACAAAAAAAAAAAATAATGAGAGAGATTATGTTAGTTAGTTATTTGTAATGTGATGAATTAACATACGTTGTAATAAGTGATATGTGATGGATTTGCTGATGGTTTGTGTAAAAATTAAAGAGGCATACCTTCACCAACTTTTTCAAGTCTTTGATAATCAGATAACTCAGGCATTTTAGTGAGATTAATGAGTAATTATGATGAATTATTTGAATAGATTAGTGAAACAAGAGTGGATTATTGGATTACTAAATGATTGTTGATGATAAAAGAGCTTTATATAGAAAAAGTGCAAAGGAGTATAGTAAGTTGTGAAAAGAAAACCCAAAAGTAGTATAAAGCTGTGGATATAATAGAATATATAGTAAAAAAACAACCGAGATATTAAGAATGAAATGGTAATTGACTAACTCAGTTATTTGGTTAAAGAGAAAGAATGTTTAGTTAAATAGAATGAATTAAAAAAGAAGTTGTTATAATTCCCATCAAAATAATTATTTTTTAAATATCAAATAGTGAAAGAAAAGAAAAAAAAATTTGGATAAACGTAAACATCACTATCCAAAAAAAAAGAGTGCAAATTTGCATTTTTTACAAATGTTATAATTTCAAAGATTTACAAGAGAACATATTTAAGAAGAAAAGCAACAACAAAACAAACAAAAAAACTTTGAAATTGTTTTGAAACTGTTTTGAAATTTTGTTGAAATTGTAATTTAAAAAGGTTCTGGGAACACTTCAACTTGCTCTAAAGATGGGTCAAAAATTCTTTGAAAAGAATGAAGAAGACATCAAAATGATGTAAAACTCCCCGAAGAATGAAGTATTTCCGTTAGATAAGAAACATAAAGCCATTTTAAACTTATTTATAATGAAAATGGCAAGTCTGTTGGAATTCTGAAGATTATGTGGGTCTCTCCCAAAGTTTCACAGTATCATCGTTGAATTCAGACCTTAAAACCAAAAACCTTTAAAACTACTGCTTTGGGGATAAGTGTTATGGCAATGAACAAGCAAGGGAGATAAAGTAAACAGGAGAGGAATGAATCGAAGCTGAATTTGCAGGTTGTGAATGTCAAACCGAGCTATACACTAGACCATTTCATGACATTGGACCTCATTTGAGATTCAAACACAGTCGCACAGCGCCAGCAGCGAGAAACAGCACCAGGTCAACTCCAGTAGCTCTGTTTGTGGCCTTTCCAGGCTCTGTTTCTTGCACCAACAGCATCATCCAGCACCAACTCCACCAGCTCCACTAACTCCAACACTCCTTCAACACCAAAACCACCAGAGTATATCTCTGTTCCAAAGAGGCTATTCGTGGAGCAGCAACAGCACCGCCTTTCACCTCCCTCGAGTGTGCTGTGGCTTATGCTTACCCGGCCTTTTTTGTAATAAAAAGCTTTGTAGGAAAATGCTTCTTTTGCTTCTTCTGCTTCTTCTGCTTCTTGTAGTGATTGATTTGTGGTGACTGCTGTGGGTGCGATTTGTGGTGCAGCTGTTTTGTTTTCTGTTTCCAATATGCTTTCAAGAATCGGTCTTACAACCTCCAATCGAGGATTGCGTTTGTTTTCTTCACACTCAAAGACTTTGGCTTCTATTCCAAAGACTTCAACCAAGATACAAAAGAACCTCAACAGTAATAGTGTCCAAGAAAGTGGCATAAATTGGGATGAGTTCTTGACTTTGAGAAAACAACAAAGAGGTCTTAATTTTACCTCTTCAATTGCTACAGCCGTCTTAGGTTCTGCCTTATCCTTTGCATACATTGCTCAAATTGAAATTGATCCCACTCAAATGATCTTTGGTTTTGACCCTCTAGTTATCTTTACAATTGGTTTTTCAAGTTGCACAGGTTTATGTTATCTCCTCGGTCCAACTTTAGGCTCGATTGTTTTTAAAATGAAGAATAAAAAAATCTTGAATGAGTTCAATAAGAAAAATAAAACTTTTTTAAATCATATTATTAATAATCGAGTCGATGCTTCAAGACAAAGTTTTGCCAATCCTGTTCCTGACTATTATGGAGAAAAGATCTATAGTTTAAAAGACTACCGTCAATGGTTAAGAGATTGCAATACTTATAAAAGAAAAGCTAAAGAGTTTGTTTAAATAAGCAAATAAATGACCAAGTAAAAGATAAAGATAAAGATAAAGAAAAAATCTCTTTTCTTACTTTTATATTAATATTAATATTATTCTCAAAATTCCTAAAACTTTTTTTAAGTAAATCCAAATTCATTCCTATTTACCTTGATTTTATTACATTATTGATTACCATTATTTTTCTGTTTTTTTGTTTCTTTTCGTTTTGGTTTTTTTAAATATTATTTATTTATTTATTTATTTATTTATTTATTTATTTATTTATTAATCTACTTGTGTATATACTTCAATTACGCTTGTAATTAAATCCATCCTATCGTATAGTTTCATATTTACTCATGTTTTTTTTTTGGTTTTTTTTTAATAATAATAATAATTTATTAAAATGATATTTTTAATGATATTCGATAAAAATAAATGAGTTATATGAATTGTATTAAAACCACTAAAATAAAGTAAAAAGACAGAAAAGGAAATAACTAAAAAAATGAAATAATAAAATTTTATATTAATTTACCTCTATTGAGAAGAACATTGAACTCCTTCACCCTGTGGATAATCATCTTCATCCTCGTATCCGCCTCTTCTCTTTTCATGTTTCAATGGATCGACCTCTGTTAAGATAACATCTTTGATATTAGCATTCTTTGGGAAAGTCACTTTCTTTCTTGGTGGTAATATACTTTCTAATAATTTCAATTTATCATCATCTGCAAAATTATCATTGGGGAAGTCAATTTCAAATTTGACAAATAAATGTCCAAAGCTGCCTGGATGATTCTTTATTGGCATACCTTGCTCTTCAATGACTTTTAGTGCACCAGGTTTAATAACTTCGCCAGGCAAAATATTAACTTTTATCCAGCCGTTATGTAAATCTTTAATAGCAACTTGACCACCAGCTAAAGCGGTTAATAAATCAACAGTGCAGTTATAAAACAAATTAGAGTCCTTTCTTGTAAATCTTTCGTGTTTTTTCTCATCAATCACAAAGATAACATCACCGGGAATGATGTTTGGACCTTGGTCACCTTCACCTTGAAATACAACTGTTTCACCAGCTTTCATACCTGGTTTGATTACAACTTCCAAGATTTTTCTTTCGCTGTCAACTTTTTTACCCTTACAATGAGCACATCTATTTCTTGGGTCAATAGTTTCACCTTCACCATAACAAGCATCACAAGGGGCTTGAATTCTTTGAATGATTGGACCCATTTGTTTTGTCACGAATTTGTAACCAGAACCATGACAGCTTGTACATGTCTTAACTGATCCTGCTTTACCACCAATACCCTTACAGGATTTACAGATGATAGTTTTGTTTAAAGCCAATTTGGAGGTTTTACCATTGTATAGTTCTTCTAAAGTACAAGAGATGTTATATTTGATATCTTTACTTCTTTGAGGACCAGAAGGTTTGGATGGGCCACCAGCGCCACCAGGAAACATCCCACCAAAGAATTGAGAGAATATGTCATCACCCATACCTCCCATTCCACCTGGACCCATCGATGGACCATCAGAGCCATATTGATCGTAGGCATCTCTTTTAGAGTCGTCAGATAGAACTTCGTAAGCACTTGTAATATCTTTGAATTGTTCAGCAGCTTCAGGAGAAGGGTTTTTATCAGGGTGACAACTCAAAGCCTTTCTTCTATAAGCCTTTTTGATTTCATTTGCAGTGGCATTTGGAGAAACACCTAATAGATCGTAGAGTTTAGTTTCTTTAACCATTTTAAAAAAAATAATGATATTTCTATTGGTTGATAATAGTAAGAAGAAATAATAAAATGAAAAAGTGAAAAATTATTTCGGTGTAGTAGAGTAACCTAAAAATTTGATATTGACACTGACACTGATGCTGATAATGGCAACGATAACGACAACAATAATAAGTTTCCTTTAGAAGTAAATATTGCTGTTATGAGAATGGAGTATTAGAGTGAGATATTATTGTAATAAAATAACAAAATTATTTAATAATTAAAACCAGTTTGAAAATAAACAAAAAAGAAAAAATTGATCTATAGTATAAATAAACAGAACTGAAAAATTTCTTTTGACAGAGAATATAAAATGAGCCAAAGAGACTTTGAATATTTAGTGATTAATATTTGGTTGGTGATTGAGAAAATATTTTACAAATTAAAAACTAGTAAATTAGTAAACCAGGAGAGTAACAAACCAGTTATTGAGAAGGTAAACCAAATTATTAATATAGGACAGAAACCGTAGATATATCAATAAATAAAATTGGAAAATTAATATCTGGAAAATAAAATTTGGCAATATTTCTATTTCTGATTAGATAAAAAATTTTTTTGGTCTCTCTGAAAATTTCACCAAAAATTTTTTTTATCTCCGGTTCCAACGAAAATCACACTGAAAACTGAACTGAAATGCCCAAAATTTCTGGATTGAGAAATACATTTGCGAAAACAAGCAGCAGAGGCACTGTATCACAAATAAAGGGTGTTTTGCTAGAACTTTCCATCGAATTTCCATTGATTTTCCTCAGCTTTTCTGAGCCCTTCTGGGACTTTCCCAACGGGCGGCGGCGGCTGGCAACGGACAAGATCCGCCGGATCACGGGACGCTCGCAAGCACACAACGGTGGAATGACGTGTGCATGCATTGCACCCGCAACAGTGGAGCGATGCTGCTTTTGCTTCTTAGGTTCTTTTGAATTTGTGTTCTTTCTGGGAGTTCAACACCTTGAAGATGGGAAACAACATGAACTTCTTCAGGAGGATGAACTCCATGATGCTGCGAGGCACCCACCCCATTGCAAACCTCAAGATGCTGGAAAACTTGCCTCTGTAGGTGTTCAACTGGTATGTGTTTTTCTCAATGTCGTTGCACACCCTTCTTGCATATTCCTCAGCACTCAAGGGCTGGTTATTCTTTGCCATGGTCTTTCTACCTTCAATCGACTCGATTCCCTCTTTGAAATTGAACATAGAGTCCTCTGGAAGTGGTCTTTTATCATCAATATTCGACAACACTCCCCCAGTGACAACGTTCAACACTCTCACCCCCAATCCTTTCATTTCTATGTGTAAAATGGCTGCGTACTGGTGGATTGCTGCTTTGCTTGCCCCATAGACCGATCCCCAGGGAAATGGTGTGATTCCTGCTAGTGACCCAGTGAAAATAATTATTCCCTTTTTTTGGATGATTAGTTTGGAAAATTCTCTTGTAATTCGAATTGGAGCCAATACATTTACTTCAAAACATTGTTTAGCAGCTTCGTCACTAACCTCAAACGATGGGAATGTGCATGACTGTCCAGCGTTATTGTACAAGATATCTAGTCCAACATTGTCGTTATTGTTATCTTGCTCTCCCTTAACTTCCTTTTCAACTATTTCTTTCATTTTTAAGACATCCTCTTGTTTTGTGACATCGCAACTGATAGTTCGAATCCCAAGTTCTTCTAGTTCTTTCATTGCTTCCAATCTCCTAGCGCAGGCAAATACCTTGTACCCTCTTTTATTCAATTCTTTTGAAACCGCAAACCCAATTCCTGATGATGCACCAGTAATTAAGGCTGTTTTCTGTCCATTGTTCCCACTCATTATTGTATTTCTGAATATAATAAAACTAGCCTTCTTAATACTATTTCAACCAAAAATTGTTATCTTTATAAATCAACACCTATCAATAATATATCTTGAGGTTACCATTACCATTCAAAATTCATTTATCTTTACTGGATGCACAACAAAAAACCAGATCACATGATTTTGATCTCTAACTATAAACCAATATACTTGTATACAAGTATATCTTTATCGTATTTATTTTTGTTAGTTGTCAATAATGGTATTGACCTTTACAATCATGACTATATATGATGTATTTTATAAAAAGAGCAATATAAACGGTAGAGTAAGAGCTGCAATCAAACTAACACCTAATACACCACTAATAGAGATTAGCCCCATAAGTAAGATGGAATGCATAAAAATTGACAAAGTGCAAATCATTAACCTTTGAATACTAATATTTTTTAAAGTCGTCTTTTTTTTAATTAACAATTTAATTGACTTTATCCATCCTACTTCTTGTTTTTTTTTCCATAAGTTTTGTAAATCATTGATCAATATTCCAAGAAATGTATTACTAATTAATTTATTAATCGCGTAAATCATTTGATCTATTCTTTCTTTAACTGAATCGTTTAAATTTAATCTATCGTAATGTTGTTTGAACTCCTCTCTATATTTGATCCGATTTCTTTGAGATGCAGCGTTATTATGATCATTTAATACAGTGCTTGAATAATTGACTGCATTAAATACTGTGGCATAAGACATATCAAAAAGGGATCAGCACAATGTAATAGCAATGACTTTAAAAATAGAAGGAAATTAACAAAATACTAATATAATGATATAATGATATAATGATGATTCAGTATTAAATATCAAGCAACATCAAAACTATAATAAATGAATGCATATAAATTGTTAATGATTGATTCTTATGGAAAAGAAAAATAATATTAAAAAAATAAAAGCAGATTTGAATTGATCTTGTTCTTCATCTTTTAACTATTTTTTTTTTAAAAAAAAATTTGTTTCAATGTCGCAAAACCATCAAAAACAGCTCTTTTATCTTGGTTCAATCAACGTCTTCTCTCGCTCTCCATTCCAGTTCCTTGGATCAAATGCAGATAATCGCACAGTTGTTGTGATTGATGAATGATAATACATAGTCCTATAACTTTAATACTCTCATCCAAAACGTAAATCAGTTTTTGTTTTGGATTGTTTATTTGTTTTCTTTCAAATAATAGGATGGTGTTTGGTTAGAAATTACTATCAATTACTGTCCATATAAGCACAAAATTTTCAATAAAAACCTTGTTCTTGATTTCTTTTCTGACTATCATAAAGTTTGTGCAATTAACAAATACTTCAACCGAAACTCTTCGTTAAATCTGCTTAAACACCTACAATTCTAGTTTTTAAATAGTTGAAAATTATTAATTTTACTTTTTGTAAAACCACTTAAGTCTTTCTAACTTCAAATGTGTTTTGAAGATATGCGGCTGAGTCTACTAATGTATCTAACACATTAAATTGTGATTCCAGTTAGTTTATGGTAATAATGAAGCATTGAATAAAATGATTCAAAAGTAACAAATAAAACCAATCAATATAAATGCAACCGAATATACCCAGAATATAACAAATAGAAAATCATTAGCTTAATAACTGCATTTACTTTCCCAATCTACAAAATATTCTCTGCGATATCCATCTTTATTATAACTATTCAATATATCACCTACAATGCCATTCAATAATAAAAAATTAATCCAACTGTTCAACTTATTCATCAATTCAATAAATAGAGCCTCAATGGATGAATTAAAAAAAGAATTGAGCTTAGGTCTCAAAAGAAGTCAAATGAAAATTGACAAACTTAAGCTTAAACTCCAAGATATCCAATCAAAACGTTTATGCTTTCAATCTCCTCCAAATAAATTATATTCTTGCTTTAAAAGATTTTTTAAAGAGTTATCTTGATTTTAAAGGTAATTTTAAAACTCAAATATTATATTATATAATCACTAAAATCAATAGATTTCAAAACATTTTAAATTTATTATGTAGACCAATTACTGCACAAAACTATTCAATGAATTTATATAATCTGAGAAATAGATATTTTTTTTTTTTATAAATAAAATCAAAAAATGGTCTATCAAAATATGTTTGTTTTTTAAATTACAAATGGTTTCAAATTTGAAAACACTTGAAAAGTTACTATATGCCATGACTCACAAGTATTGGTTTTATTGAAGTAAATTGAAATACTTTTGAGAAGTTCGATATTTTCACTGATGATACAAGTTTTAACCTAATGCCTTAAACTTTCCATCAAAATTATGAAATAGATACCCAATACAATATTCATTAGATCAATTTTGAATCAACATTCAAGCTTTATCTATCTATTGTATGTTGTAGTGTATTGTATTGTAGCAAAATCGAAGAACGATCCGTGTTTCGAAAATAGTGTGTTCGGTATTTACAATTTCAGAATGTTAATCAACTAAAGGTGCTGAATACGCTTTAGTTATTTGAATAAAGAAATGATTAGGCGATTTAATAGTTACAGATTTGCTAAAGTTCTGGTTAAAAAATTAAATTATGGATTTAGTTTAACAAGACAATTTTCTTTAACTAGTGGAGTTGGAAGTTTGTTTTCCAAACATTATATGCGAAGCATAATTTGCCCCAATATCTCAAGTGTTTATTGTGGAAATACAATTGAAAATAAATTGAATCATAAATTGAAGTTTGAACCAAAAAGTTTGGTATTGGCAACAACACCAAATAACTGTAACGAAATGATTGATATTGTTGATAAGATTCAAAAACAATTTAATGATTTGAGTGTTTTTTTGGTTACAGTTGATTCAATTGGAAACAAATTTAAAATTCGAAATGGGATCAGTGAGCTATGGTTAGAAGAGGATATCGAGATTGAGAAATCTGAGTTATTGCATTCTGGGATCCCAACTGATGTTGATAGTGGAGTTATTGAGGAAATTAATTACAACAGAAATGAGATTAAGTGGAAAAGTATTGAAAATTATTATAAGATTGAGATTCCAATACTAATGAATGAGAAAAGTAGATTTGTTAAAAATTTAAATATTCAATCATACTTATCAAATACGTTATTCAATAATGGAGAGATTGTCACAATGTTTTATATGTTATCACCTAAAAAGATTGAACAAGTTGAAGAGAAACAGAAAAACAATTCAAATAAATTTTTATCATATTTGAGTATAAAATTGCCGGTATTAAGACCTAAGGCTATAAACAACAAATTGATTTATCATTTCAAGTTGTTAGAGGAAATTCCAATTAATTACAGAATGGTCATAACCAATTGCAAAAATAATTTGTTAAAGGAGATAAACAATGAGGCTGCATCATTGTTCTTACAAAATAACGAAACCATTAAAAAAATACAAACTAAAGAGTTTAGAATTTTTGCAACAGTGGTCAGAAAAAATAACAAAATAGGTGAAGAAAACAATTTGAAAGTCTTTGATGAAAGATATGAAGTGATTGCTGGAGGAGGTGAATGGGGAGATAAAGCGAATATATTGGTTTTATCACCAGAAGCAGAGCTAGAAGAAGGAGACGAGTTAAAATTCTGGATGTTAGACCCTAAACGAATTGAAGAGTACGAAAAAGAGCGAGAAAGTGGTAGTTTGAAAGTGCATGAGGGTGTGAATTTGGAGTGTGCTATTCAAGAAACTTCATACTTTGATGAGGAAGACAGCACAAACAGCACAGGAAGCAGCGTTTTGGAGAACCACTTCGGACTCGGAAGTGAAAAAGGGTTTAAAATCAACGGATCGAAGCTCGATTCGGACGGAGAGTTGGTGTGCGTCGCAATTTGAAACGCATTTCCAGACGCATCAGAAAAATTTCAAAAGCAAAAAAAAAAATTAATTTTTTTTTTGCTTGTTTTTAAACTGTAAATAGAGAAAAGAATTACCTGAATATAGATTACTACTACATAGTGTAATTGGATTATACATATTCTTAGAAATACTGGATTTGTTATTTGGACTAACGCAATAGAAATGGAAGTTGGAAGACCATCACAGAGAAGTCAATCCTCTCGTAAAACCAAGAGAAGTTGGAGAAAGAATATTGATATTGATGATATCGAGAGAGATTTGGAAGAAAAGAGAGAAGCGATTAGAAAATATGGGATTGAAGATATTGAGAAATTACCATCAAGCGAATTATTTGAAATAGATACAGTCGGATCAAGCGATATATTAAGGAAGAAGAAAATTGAGATTAAAACATTAAAAGCCGATGAAATTTTGAACAAACGATCTAAATTACCTACGTTGGTTCATCCAAAGAAGATTAATAATAAAATACAGGGAGTTGATAAAAAAGAAGCGTTCAAATTGATGAAGCTAGCTGGTAAAGTACAAGGTGTTACTAGGACGCAAGCCATATTAGAAGAAGTGCATAGCAAGAAAAAGAATGGTAAGAGAAATAATAAACTTGATTTGTACGATGCATGGAATGATAGTGAAAAGACTGTGAAAAAAAGTAAGATGATTAATGATATCTACAAAGAAAATAGAAGTTTGACAAGTTATACGAAGGCGAAGGTTATACCAGAGACGTTAAAAAAAGCACCTATTCAAATCAGAGAAATTGAGGATATTCCAATGGGAGGTAAATCATATAATCCTTCTTTGGAAGATTGGAAATCATTGATTATTAAAGAATATGAAAAGGAAAAGTTTATTGAAGACCGAAAATTGCAAATTGAAAGCAAGAATCATCGAATTCAAAAATTGATACTAGAAATTGAAAAAAAGGAAAAAGAAGATGATGAAGTGGATAGTGATGACGATGTTGATGAAAAAGAGGAGGATAACAATGGATTGGGATTGTCGTTGAATAAACCAGTAGTGAGAAAACAGAAAACCAAAGCCAAAAGAAACAAAGAAAAGAAACATCAAGAAAGAATACAATTGGAAAACGAAGTGAAGTTATTGAAAAAACAAATAACTGAATTGCAAGATTTGAATGTGATTAAGAAGAAGGTGGAGAAGGAATCTGCTGAAAAAGAAAAGTTGTTAAACACCAAAAAAATCGAAAAAAACAGCAAGATTCAAAAGAGAAAATTAGGCACCAAATACAACCCAATAAATCCCCAGCTCGAGGTGAAACTATCAGATGAACTCACTGATTCACTACGAAAGTTGAGGCCAGAGGGAAACCTCTTCTACGACCAAATGAGAATAATGCAAAGCAAAGGAAAGGTCGAGGCCAGAGTGCCTGTTGTGAAGAAGAGAAGGTATGCCCAGAAGGTGACTGAGAAGTGGACCTTCAAGGACTTCAAGTAGTTGCTTGCTGGTGCTAGTGTATTTATATTTGTACTAAATGCCTTTCTTGATACTCTACGTGTAGTTTTAACATCAGACTGTTCTTTTAACGTTTCTTAATGCCTTTTACACTCTTACACTCTTACTCTCTTATATATTGTGCTCCACCAAGCTATATTAAGCCTTGAAGCCTGGATCTAGGTGCTCTTCGAACGGGGCTCAAAAAGCTTCCATCATAAAAGGAAAAGCATAAAAAGAAAACAAGTGGTATTTAAATCCAGCTCATTTCCACTCACCAAACTTCGCCATCACCTTTAACACAAACCAGTTGCTAACTTCAGTCTTGTGTTATACCATTTAGATATATACAGTCTCAGACCACAAATAACAGTGCACAAATTTCAAGCTACTAAGCTTCTAAAAACTACAAGTCGCAAATTGTTGCTGAAAGATGAACCAAATATCTCAATTTCCCTTTGCCAACTTCCAAGATCGTTTGAATGTTGAGAACATCAGATCCAACATCACCACAGTGGGATCCAAGCTTCAATCATTGAAGTCTCCCCAGGAATTTTTTGATTTCAGAAGAATATCCAAACCTGAAAACTTTGGAGAGATTCAAAGCAGAGTGTCATATAATTTGAGCTATTTTTCAGCTAATTATCTTTCAATCATTGGTTTATTGAGTATTTATGCATTAGTTACAAATTTATTACTATTATTCGTGTTAGTGTTCTTTATTGGAGGCGTTTATGGTATCAATAGATTACCTGATGGAGAAATTAGATCGCCTTTTGGTACATTGAATTCTAGTCAATTATACACTGGGCTATTTATGATTTCGATTCCTTTGGGTTTCTTAGCTAGTCCAATTTCCACAATGATGTGGTTAATTGGTGCTTCAGGTGTTACAGTCTTGGGACATGCTTCATTAATGGATAAGCCAATTGAAACTGCTTTTGAGTCTGTTTAAGCCATTAAGCAATATTTCAAAGTGATATCGATCGAAAAAAAAAAGAAAAAAAAAGAAAAAAAAAGAAAAAAATAAAACACCAAAGAAAATGCTAACCAAAGATTGAAATATTGAACAGAGATACAATCTTTTTCACTTTTTTTCTAATCTATAGCCTTAATTCTTTTCATTCGCCTACCCTTTTCTACATTATTTAATTCATTTTTATATTAATCCTTATTTTACATTTTACATTTTTAATTTTGAGTTTTATTTTGTATATTTGTATAATTTATATTTCCTTCTGTCTTCTATTCCATTCTTTTATTATATAAATTTATTCACAGGTAGTAATTTTTGAATTCTGTACCTTAGCAGTTACAAATTAAAGATAAATAGTTTTTAAACAAAATTAATATTTATCATTTAAAAAAAAAAGAGAAAGAAATAAAAATAAGACTATAAATTTGAATTTATCACCAATTGGTCATTCAATCAATATCAACTGTTTAATCGATTGTTAGTAACAGAAATTAAGAGCCAAACAAAAACGATATCCTTTCTCATCTTGTCTCATTTAATACTATAATATGGTTTCAGCGAGATTCCCACAATGTTATTTAGTCATTATTATGATAATTCCTATACTATCTAACTTTAAAAATTGTAATTCATCATTTAAATATTAAATAAAGACAAATAAGAGTGCTCTAGTAACAATAAACATACATTTATAACTTGATACAAACTAATCAATACTACTAATAGGTAAAGATACAAGTTGAATAGTAAAACAGAGGAAAAAGAGACAGTTATTCACGAGAAGGAGAGTATTTATAGGAAATTATGCAGATGACCTATAAAAAATTAGGGCTCTTTCGCTATGAGAGAAAAATCACCAAATCACTAACAATAACTTTAAGATAGCATAATCTTAAATTCACCAACTAGTTTCTCTACAAGTTGCAAAAAAATGAAAACTACAAATAAACAGTATCCGTCATGAATAAAATACAAGGAGATTGTTATTTTCGAGAAATTATGATTAAAAATTAGACAATTAAATAAATTCTATTAAACACAAATAATAAAGTAATTATGAAATTTCATATTGTAAAATATTTTAAGAAAATTGTAGTTCTACAATATAATAATGTTATAATTGAATATCAGTTATTAACTGACAATATTTTTTTTTCTTTCTTTTTGAGTTCAATAAATTATAAAATTAAAGCAACATAATAAATTATAATAATGCAAATTTACTTAAAGACCTAATTTAGTTCTTCTCCAACTTCTTCTTTTAGAGTTGTATCTAATGGTGTTATTAGTTTTCATTCTGAACCATTGAGGAATTTGACGGTTTTGCTTTTGAGCTTTACCTAATTTTTGCTTAATTTTGAAAGATTTATGAGACTGTAAATAGAATTAATAGTTAGTAAAAATGATCCTGGAAAATAGCAGCAGAATTCACAATATCACTGAAGTCTGCTGGAATCCCAACAGCACCTACGCCATCGCAGAAACATAATTACGTACAGGCATCTTGAGTGGTAGCTAACGTTATCTCTGTTGAAACTGGTTCTTCGATACACAATATCAATATGAGGTTCTTCTTCAAACTACTTCTGTTGCCGTGAAGAAACTGCTTTTCTGCAGTTGCCCGGCTCTCGGTTCCGCTTGAGCCCGCTAGCAAAGACTCATAGTTAAGGCCGGAAGAAAAAGCACTGCCGAAAGTGCGAGCCCTGAGTCTTATTGTTGTGACTGCTTTCCCAAAGGAAATCACACGTGAGCACCGCTGGATTTTTTCAGTGGAAGCGAAGAGGAAGGAAAAGAGCCTTCAAGCGTAGTTGGGGAAGAAGAAGAGATCACCACATTCAATATCGAGGTACCACAGTAAAGAATCAATCAGTAAGTTGATACAATGTGTCTTTGCAGACTAATTTATTGTGCCCTCTATTGTTTTGTTTGATGCAATGATCCACCAAGTGAATGAAACAATACCGGGCTGATAGATGTCATTTTTCATGTTCCAATTTATTATCTGATTTCAAATATTGAGTGTCTAACATTTCTATTTTTTTTTCTTACCAGAAATAATATCAATTCAAAATGACCAGAACTTCAGTCTTAGCCGATGCTTTAAACGCCATCAACAATGCTTCCAAAGCTGGTAAACGTCAAGTCATCATTAGACCATCCTCGAAAGTTATTATCAAATTCTTAACTGTTATGCAAAAGCACGGTTACATTAATGAGTTTGAATACATTGATGATCACAGATCAGGTAAAATTGTCATTCAATTAAATGGTAGATTGAACAAATGTGGTGTTATTTCTCCAAGATTTAACGTTAGAATCGCTGATATTGAAAAATGGACCGACAATTTATTACCAGCTAGACAATTTGGTTTTGTTATTTTAACCACTTCTGCTGGTATCATGGATCACGAAGAAGCTAGAAGAAAGCATGTTTCAGGAAAAATCCTAGGTTTTGTTTACTAAATTATATTAATTTACTTCTCAATCGTTTGATAATTCAATTTTATCAATTAATTTATGATTTAAAATTTTAAGATTGACCAAATTAATTGATTTTTTTAGTTATCATGATTATATAGTTTATTGTATTTCTAGAACTTTACTGAATTAATATAAAAGCTACATCTGTAATATATTTCTTATCTCATTTCTCACCAAGTCATAACTTCTGGATTAATAGCCCTGATCTAAAACATGTGCGCAGCTGTCTCTGCTAAATCTAAACAAGATCTGTGACTGTGTTTTCTGTCACAGACTGATAATTACGCGTAGAACCATCGCTCTAAACTATTACATTTAAGGATCTCCGTGCTAAAATAGTAAATCCGTTGCTTCCTAATTCAAAATCCGCACTGAAACCGCATTGAAATCCGTCTTTGATTATATTGTAAAAAAATTTAATGTGCACAGCTTCTGTTTGACTAAAAACTACCACTTATATTAACATTTTGTTATTTTGATATTTTAATATTTTACAAAATACCATAATAGTCAAAATGGCTCCAAAAAATGGTATGTCTTAATTATCATTATTTCACTCTATCCTGTTTCCTGCTCTATTATTATATTAGATTTTAATTATCTTAAAGATTGATCAATGAAATTTATGGAATTATTACAATCACCAAAATTCGGTATTCAATGAAAAATTTGATTAAAAATATAGAAATAAAATTGAATAATAAAATTATAATCAGACATATTAATCAATCTATACACAAATTGTTATCAATTATATTTGTTATACTTTTGAGTTATTAAAATATAGCAATCTCAAAATAAAATTGAAAAAAATACACTTGAGTCTCTATTGTTTTGAAATAATCAATTCAATGTTTGTTGAATCATCAAATAATATATTTAATATTTTTATAAATAAATTCTTAGAGAAATTTCATGTTTTTAAGTTCGATTTTCACAAATTCAAGATAATATTGAGTCATTGTTTAAAAGATTTATCACTACAAATACAACGAAATTTTTCAGGTTTAATTATATTAAACCACATTCAAAATTATTCAATTTGACTAAATTTTAGAATTTTCAAATTATGTTTTGCTTTTTTTTTTAATTTTATTCTTGATAATTTTAGTAAATTATGTGCAAATAATACAGAGAAAAATAAAAAATAATTGTAATTAAAAAATCTAGAAAATTATGATTCACTTTATTTATTTATGTCTAAAATCATTCTTGTCATAATCATTCTTGGGATTTTTAAGTTTATTCAGAATAGCAGTGAAAATATCGATAGAGATGATATGAATTAAATCCGACTTTTCTGTTATTAATTTTTCTTTAATTTGAATATTATACTAATGCATCAATTATTTATTTTTATTAGATAATGTTACTTTAGGTCCACAAGCCAGAGACGGCTCCCAAGTTTTTGGTGTTGCTCGTATTTTCGCTTCATTCAACGATACTTTTGTTCATGTAACTGATTTATCAGGTAGAGAAACCATTGCTCGTGTCACTGGTGGTATGAAAGTTAAGGCTGACAGAGATGAATCTACTCCATATGCTGCCATGTTGGCTGCCCAAGATGTTGCTGCCAAATGTAAAGAAGTTGGTATCACTGCTGTTCACATTAAATTAAGAGGTACCGGTGGTACTAGATCCAAGACTCCAGGCCCAGGTGGATCAGCTGCTTTAAGAGCATTAGCTAGATCAGGTTTAAGAATTGGTAGAATTGAAGATGTTACCCCAATTCCATCAGATTCTACTAGAAAGAAGGGTGGTAGACGTGGTAGAAGAAGATAATCTACTCGTTTATTTTCTTTTGTTCCACTATCGTATATTAAATTTATTTGTTTATTAGGAAAATTATATTGTTTAATATAAATTCATTAATGTCATAAATTTTTATCCATAAGAGTAATACATTAAGAAAAGCGATAAGTAATAAATAATAAATAATAAAATTAAGAAGGATAACGGATAATCAAATTGTATAATAGAAATATAATAAATTAAATTAAATCATATTAAATCACATTAAATCACATTAAATTGAATGAAAAATTAGATTGATTTTTTATCATTTTTAACTTTTGTGAAAAAATCTCGAACTTCTTTTTCAGTTACAATTTTACCTTCCTGTGCAAAAGGTCTAAGAAACGATCTCAATTTTTCTTTGATGTCTTCATAAGCTTGGATTCCTTCTATTGCTTTTTCTCTTGGTAAAGTATTTAAAGCCTTTGTACCTAATTCGAAGATAGAAGATCGATCATCATCATCGCCATTATCAGTGTGATTATCATTATCATTATCATTTTCTGAATCTTCAGGCGGAGGCTGATAAATTGGGTCATCTTCATATAAAAAGGAGTATTCAATTAAGAAGTTTTTCAAATCAGTTGAAATTTTATTGGGAGAATCATCATTTAATAAAAATTTTAATTTCTGCCTGAAATTTTTTTTCAAACAGATTGAGTATGGGTAAATTTTAGGATCAATTTTTCTTTTTTTCATGCTTGGTTGTGAATCTGTTTTAGTATTAGTATTAGTATTAGTATTAATATTAGCATTTGTAATATTTAGCGAATTTAATTTTTGTAGTCTATCTTCAATTGAGTTTGATTGAATATAGTAAATTTTATCCAAGACAATATTATCATGGTCGATTAATTCATCAAAAATCTTTTGAAAAGATTGAACACATTTCCAGCATATAAGATGATCGAATGAGTCGATATCTGGGAAGCCAGGTAGAGTATTGATATCATCATCAGAATCAGATATATTGATTACATCTGAGTCGTCTTTATCATCAGTTTTCTTTGGTGGTTTTGTTTTTTGAATTGAGCCTTGTTTAAAACCCATTAAACAGTCATTGTGATACCAATCTTCATCGCATGCAATACCGAAATAACATTGAAGCATTACACTTGTTTCCTCGAAAGGATTGTATAACTGATTGCAGGAACAAAACTTCCCTTCAAAATTTTGGTTATAGATGTTGGTGGAAGAAGGGATGTCTTCACCTAGTAAAATTGGATTTTCATTGGGACTTTGAGTTGAATTTTCAGCCAACGAAGACAATTTGGTTGACTTTGCAGATTTATCACGCAAGGTGCAAGGACCATTCAAGCTCATTCGCCTGGTACCACAATCACAGACAAAACTTCGTTTGTCAAAGAGCTCAACCAAATCATGCGAGGAGTGACATTGGATTGAACAAGAGTAGCAAATGCCTGCCGGGTTGTTGTTCCTTTTGAAACAGGTTATACAGGCAAAAATAGATTGTCTTATGGGACCCAAATTAAAAGTGCAGACGTTGGGATCGAAGGGCATCAACTCCTTAGCTTCTCTTTCCAATCTCAACTGGTTATTAATATAATCGATAGCTGTAATGGTGCGTGGATCTCCCTCACAACAGTGAGGGCCATGTTGGGCGGAAGCAGACATGACTAGGGAAGCTGCAGAGGAACCAATTGCGGCGTTGTGTGAGGTATATTTGGAATCTTGGTGGATCTGGTACTGTCGACTGGGGTTGTTGATGTAATGCTGGTGTTGGTCGATGTTTGAGATATTATCTAACATCGAAGGCTCTGCTGCTCTCAGCCAACTTCGCGTCCCGGCGCAGTGGTCTGGGCCAGATTGGGAAGGAGGATATAATCAGCTCCTCCAAAGCGCTGGGTCAGCACTCACCATCCAGAGGAACAGCCTTCCATACAACTCACTTTTGTTTCTAGAAGCCTGCCTTGTTCTCTCTTATTGTTCTCGAAGCTTGGTGCTCGATATAAATACAGCCCAGTATGCTTCTATTGTTCATCTTTGTTTTCCATTATCTCCATCACTCCCAGTCTTCCATTCTCTTGCTTTTCGCTTGTCTTCTCTCCTGCTGCTATCGCCTCTAAGCCTTTTTCATCCTCACCAATGTCTTGTCAAAACAGAAACTCAAATTCAAGAAACTTTGAAAACTTTGTCCTATTCGACAACCCTTTGCAAATCTTGGACAACATGGACGTTGTCGAGAAAAACATGAGCAATCCAGCTTTTGAACAAATCCAAACCACCACAGACATTAACTACACTCATTTTGTCACCTACAAAGCTCAACAATACTACATGAATAACAGCAATTCTTATTCTCAACACTTATAATCTAATCCCAGAATTTTGGGTCTCAAACATTGATCCATATCTCATTGCCTTTACTGCTATTTCTCATTTTCTCTTGTTTTATTTTTGTTTTTTTTGCTACTTTTTTCAAAAAAAACATGCTCCTTCACTGTTGGCTTTGCCGGTTATTAGAACAACTTTATCTCATGTTCAATTTAAATGTGGTGAATGGCACAAAAAACTATCCCTGGTTTTCTGGGGTTCTTTTTCTTTCTGTTTTTATGTTATTCAAAGCTTTCTTTTTTAATTATTGCTGCTTTTCTCTTTAATTAATTGTATTATCCATTTTTATATGTTTTTTTATTTAATATTTCATAACCCATAATTTATAATTCATAATACCAAAATCTATTTTCTATTTACTATTTTCTATTTTAGAATTTAGAATTTACATCTCCTTTCTTACTTTTTACATTTCAAATTTTATATTTAAAATTTTCTAATATACATTCGCTTCAACTATTCATCAGATATCGAACGAATTGCCAATCTATTAATCCTAAACTCTATATCAGAAGTTTCCATAAATTGGTTCATCATAAACTTTAATTAAATCACTTGTATCACCTGAATCGCCCATTTCTTTTGCCTTTTCATTGCTGAAAAATGGAACTATAACTTTTATAAACAAACCTTCAATCAATCCATTAATTAAATCCTTCAAATCGTCCCCGGTTTGTTTAAAATCAGGATATGAATTGACTTCTAATAACATAACATTAAACTCTTCGTCAATTAAAAAATCTAATCCGAAAAATTCAAAGGCGTTTAAAATCGGTTGAAAATTTAATCGATTCACATTCAATGCTGCCCTAAATAACTCTTCAACTATATTTAAAATTTGATTAAAAATTTTATCCTTTTTTTCTTTGCTTAATTCTAAATCATCCATTTTCCAAAATTCCTCAACCAATTTATCGCTATTATCATTATCATTATCATTACCTTCACCACTCCCAATACTATCAACAATACCGTTTTGAAAACAGGTATTGGTCAAATGCGAAGACAAATCGCTATCATCTACATCAAACGGTTTCGATGAAAATAACATCAACATTCTTCTATAAACATATATTTTAAGTGCTCCTTGACATAAAACATAAGTTCGAATATGAAATTTTCTATTATTATACGACTTTAGTAACAATGGAAGAGTTAGATACCTCTGAACAACAAAATGACGCAATTGAGAGGTTATCACTCCATTATTATCACTTTCTTCATCATCCTCATCCTCATCTTCATCCTCGTCTTCTTCAAATGAATTAAATATCTCTTGTAATTCATTAATAGTCTTAAAAATTCGAATACCTTGCCCTTTATCGCTCATACTAGGTTTCAATATCCATGTCTTTAATCCTAAATTAATCTCATCCCTCAATTCGTATGAATCATCCAATGCTTCATCTAAAAATTCAGCGTAATCAATCTCCAAATTATATGTTTCTGGTATTGCTTTCTTCAAAATTGAATCGGGATTCTTGACAATGTAAGAGTGTGTCGTGAGATTTAAATAGTTTTTTCTAATTAAAGCCTTTCTATAAATATATGAGCAAATCAAATACCTCTTATTTTCCAATATCTGATCAAAATCCAACAACTCATAATCTCCATAATGAAAAATCTTGCTATCTCTATTATTTTTCAAAATTGTCATGTCTGAAGTAACTTGAATATTGGGCAAATATTTGGCTATGGCATCGCTAAACACTGACCACAAGTAGTCAGTTTTATCCAATGAAAGCAAGATATGCTCCACTCCAGCATCTTTTGTTCTTTCTTTTTTAGTCATTTTTGATTCTGTCCAATTCTAAAAGCATATCGACTTAAAAATTTTCAAAATCACAAAAATTTTAAACTCCATAACAACGGATTAATACCAAATCATGCAACCTTTGCATATATCGGAACTATCGCAATTATACTCAAATAATGAGCTTAACGAATAATGCAGAAATCCTTTTGTTAATCTCTCTGGCCGAGTGGATTAAGGTGCATAGTAATTGCGTCCGATGTGTTTGATGTTTGGTGTTTGGTTCGATCTCTGAGCTGGCACTTTTCCACTGCCATCTATTCAAAGAGAACTTTCTTAGGCTCAATTCCAAACTTCCTAGCAATTCATGGCTAGTGATTAGAGAATTATCTATACAATTAATACAAATAACCTAAATTCGTAGCTCATATCTCTTTTCTATTGCTACCAATTTATATACTATCAATTCTCAATTACCAAGGGCTACATCAGATAACCTGTTCAGCATCCAGTGATTCTTTTGTATATTTTTCTGTAGTAGCGTTCATATTTTCTCTGAAAGTGATCTGAAATGTTATTTAAATAAATAAATGTTCGAGAAACTGAAAAATCTTATCATCCTCTCTACTTTCCGACTTAATAATAAAACATTTTATAGTCAAACTAATCACGAACTCACACATGATTCTGAAATAGGAAATATCCACTGTTTTTCTGATTTAAAAAAATGGTTCAGCAAAATAATAGGTTCTCTATTTATTGGAACCATGAATCTTAATCATTCCAATGATGAAAATGTTAATAAAGACACAATCACATATCGTTGTTTTTTCTATTAACTGGAAAAGAAATAAGAAACTATCAATGGAAATTGAAAAAAAGGAAATAATTAATGAAGGATGGTATGAAACCTATTTTATTTTTTTAAAACATTACAATTTTAATAATTTTATTTTAAAAAACATTAATTAAAGCTATAAATTCTTATAAAAAACTGTGGAATATATTTAATGTGCATAGATTTTATTCAAGATAAAATCAAAATTATCAAAAAAAATGAATATGGAAAATAATTATAATAAAGAAAAAAAAGTATAAAATAAAAAAATCAACTAAGGGATGAGAAAAAAAATAAAAAAAACCAAAACATCAATGAATAATAAAAAATTAATCTGCATTTATTTCAAAATGCTCTTTTCATAATAGCAATAATAATGATAATAATAATAATAATAATAATAATAAAATTGATATTTTCAAACTTCAAATTTTTTTGGATCAAGATTCTTTTGATATTCCTTTGCTGATTCATGAGGACTTTTCCAGCCATCTGGCTGAGCATCTTTAACAAAATGCGCAAATGGATAAGTATCCAATGTTTTTATTGGTGTATCTTCTTTGATTATTCCCAAATCAATTTGTCTTTGAATCAATGAATCCAAATATGGCGCAGCATGATCTCTGAAACTTTCAAAGTTTTTATATTTAATAATATCTTCTGGACCTTCAAAGATTATTTTTTTAATTAATGATGGAATTAATGGTTCATCTTTAACTTCTTCGATACCATAGTAGACTGGATGATTAGTGAAAATAATTGCTTTTGATCTTGGTAATCTTCTCAAAGTTTGTCTTTCTACCCTGAAATTAAATTCAGTTGGTGGGATATCTGAATCAATTTTTTCATCTGCTTTTAATGCATAAACATTACTACACATTAATTTTCTATCCCAAGTCATATACCAAGATGCTCTTTCAACCAATTCTGATGGTTGCATTCTCTCAAACCATCTTTCCATTGATCTCTTTAACTTTGTTTCATAGTATGGCACATCACTATGAATTTGATCAATATGTTTACCAATTTTATCTTTAATAGCAAATGAACCACCTGGGAATGGAACCGCACCTGCAACCATATAATGTCTACCGTCATCTCTTTTAAGAACAATATAGAAATCTTCCTTTGCCATTTTGGATACATAAACCAATGGGTGTTCCTTTAATGGGAAAGTTGTATCCAAGGTTTCACCAGTTAATTCATTTTTAATAATTTTATTTGAACCGTCAACTTTAGTGAATAATAAAGGGTATCTTTTAACCATATGGTCTCTAACAATTTCCATTAATTCAACACAAGCATCCCAACTTTCTGGTAACCAACCAATATTTTGATCACCATATTCATGATAAATTCTTTCTTTTTCTTGAATGTAATGCCAATAGAATTTGTCCATATCTAACCAGTGATTAACATCTAATTTAAAAATTGACATTGTTTGATGGTATGGCCATCTAAATGGTCTCCATGGTCTATCATCATAACTTTTGACTTGTTCTGGGGTTATCATTAATGGGGTTGGTTCAGGTATTGGTTCATCTTCAGCTGCATAGTAACCCTTTTTTTCGGAACCTTTTTTAGAATCAACCGCGGCCTTTTTTCTCTGGCTTGATGAATAATATTGTCTAATAGCTAATGCAACAGATAAGATTACCACAGGTGGTAAAGTATATTCCAAGTAACCCATTATGAAGAATTATGAGTTGAAATTATAAATGATAATAAAAGATATCAAAAAGATCTGTATTTTTTTTTTCAATTATATCTATAAATTTATATATAATCGATTAATTGATTAATTAATTAATTGGCTTATAAGTATAAAAATATTAACAAAATTTGTGTTAATAATAATAATAATAATAATAACAAGAGGAATTAATTGAATTGAGTTGGAGTGATGATAATGATATTGACCACACATTAAAGAAGAGAAATTATGTGAAATATATATACTGGTGGTAAGGTGAATTGATTTGGTACTATAGGTATTTTATTATCGTGTAATATAAATCGACTTACTCTTATTAAAGCTATCACAATCTTTTAATGTTAAAGTTGAAATCACTCGCAGATTCTGACCAAGTTTGGAAATTTAGGACTGATAACAAGATGAAATCAAACATTACACCGAATCAAAAAAGAATCTATCAAGCCAAAAAAGTCATAACTTTAAAGGAGTCTAATTTTAAAACGAGGAAGTATTTCTTTTTATTTCTTTGTTAAAATAATATTAAAGAAGTTGCCTGAAGATTATTGGTTAAATTGGATTGTGGTTTTAGTGGGTTAGATAAAAATCCAATCTTTTTCTTACTTGGATTTCTAATTACATCTTCATTAGTTTTTGTTTTTTTAGTAAATTGGAGTAAATTAATGTTGGTTGGTTATTGTAATTCCATTAGATTTAAGGAAATAGTAACATTACATAAGAAGTACAGTAATATGGGTGTTCCCCAGGTTGGTTTCATTGATTGCTTTGAGATGAGTTTATTGGTAGCCTAAAGACAGATATAGAAAGTTGAAAGGATAAGATAACCGGATTGAGTAAGAGACGAAAGGTTGCTATCAAAATTTTGAAGGTGTTTATTAGAGAAAATCAAATCAAGTCAAGTATATCTAATCAAGTGATTATTTTAACCAATCCTTTATAAATTAAGATAATAATAATAATAATAATAATAAAAATCATCTTATATTCAATAGTTTAAATTTATTTATATATAAAAACCCCCAGATTTCGATTACCTATTAACATTATAGGAAATTAATGAGGTAAAACTAACGCTCTGTGTATGAATTGTTGATTTTTCGGAATATACAATAAAAAAGGGTTTCAAAAATTGGAATAACTTAAAAGAGCTATCAAAGAGTTTTAGTGTGATACTCAAAATGAAGCATTATTATATTATTATATTATATTATTATAATATTATAATATCAAAAAATTCCAATGAAAACACCATGGCCTATAAGGCTGAAAATTAGCATTTTAAACTCAGTATCAGATAAGCAAAATGTAAATAAAAGAGCGAAATGAAGTGATTTCAGTTTGAAAGTGATTGGAAACGAAATATATTGCTATTCTCTATAGGTTCTTTTGGCAAGACTACAATAAGAGGCGAGTTTGGGAGATTACAATCTCTTACAATAGTAAAAAGTTGTTCAATACTCGGTAAGGAGTTATCATCATGTTTTGGTCTGATTGCTCCAGCTAGTATCGCTATCAATTCGTTAAAACTGATCTAATCTTGATCAAGTTGTAGGGTGAAATAATCTGTTATTGGCATTAATTCACCACAATAATACGAGATCGTAATGAGTTAATGAAAGAAAAGAAGAAGAAGAAGGAAAAGAGGAATCTGCTTCCTTTTAAACTCTCTTCCTTGAGCGCGGAGCCCGGAAAAAAAAAGCCGACAAAAAAAAAATTAGGGCTTTCACGTGCTCTTTTATTGAAATACTTATGTAATAACACGTGGTGATTATATAATCTCATGAATTTCAAACAAGGAGAGTTTCGATGAGGTGTCAAGCTCAGATCGTTATCATTTTTGACGGAAGAAATAACTGTATCGACATCAATGACGATTGATTTCCAGGACCCAATTACGATCATGAAGTTAGGTGGAGCTATTGTATTACTATTTATTAGTGTTTTGTACATTTCAAATAGTCTCTTCGTTAGCGCTGAAGAGCCTCTCAGTGAGTCAGATCTTGAATTCACCAACAAGGTTTATTTTGATATCAAGCAGAAGGATAAAGACTTGGGTAGAATTGTTATTGGATTATATGGCAAGGTTGTGCCAAAGACTGCTGAGAATTTCAGACAATTGTGTATTTCAGATGATCCCAAGTTTGGTTATAAGAACAGCATCTTCCATAGAGTCATCAAGAAATTTATGATTCAAGGTGGTGATTTTGTTAATGGAAATGGAACGGGAGGAAAATCAATCTATGGAGCTAAATTCAAGGACGAGAATTTCAAATTAAAGCACACTGAACCTGGTTTGTTATCAATGGCTAATGCTGGAAAAAACACCAATGGCTCTCAGTTTTTCATTACCACCGTTGTTACCAGTTGGTTAGATGGCAGGCATGTTGTATTTGGTAAGGTCATTGAGGGAATGGATGTCGTAAAGAAGATCGAGCAGACCAACACCGACTTCAGGGACAGACCAAAAAGTCCCATTGTGATTGCTGACTGTGGCGAGATTGCGATAGAAGTTGTTGAAGAACCAGCTGGAGAATCAGCAGAAACACCAGCAGAAACACCAGTTGGAGAGAAAGCAGTGAAGGACGAACTCTAAGCCTGCGCCGACATGTATTCCTAGGTCTACGCATGTGTTCTAAAAATAGCACGTCAGCTGACCGTGCCATCGGGCTGTTTTCTTTTTCCGGCGGGTGTTTTTCTACTGCAAATCCAAATCGCAGGCCATTTTGGGCGACAGAACATCACTGAAATTTTTATAATACAAAATATATAATCTTCCTATAATTGGTGTTTATCCTTTTCTTATTTTTTTCTTTTAATTTATTGTTTCCAATTTATTATTTTGTTATTTTATTTTTTTACTTTTGTTTCATTTTTGTTATTTTGTAAGATTAATTACAGGTCTTATATCACCCATTCCTTTGCCGCAAAATAACTTATTAAATTGGGAGCTGAGTTGCGTTCATCCTCCTTCATTTTGGTTTATATCCAATTACTTTCAATTACTTCCAGTTGTTTCCAACTAGTTTCAGTTATATCCAATTGTTTCCTTTTATTTCCTGCTATCTCCATTGGTTTTTCTCCCAATTAAAAATATCTCATTCTTTCGGTATTTCAGTTGGTATAGTTACTCTTTAAAGGATTGTTTTGTTGCCGTTTTATCGCCACAACATTCTAGTTTTTTGGTCAGTTCTGAATTAATAAATTGCACGATTTTATCGATTTTATCGCTTTCTTACATTAACAAATAAATAAATTCATTCAAAATGGCTGTGTTTGGTGGAAAGAGTCCAAAGAAAAACAACAGAGCTTCAACCAATAGCATTAAATTGACTAAAGCCGATAAAGATCTATTCAAAAACAGAAACTCAAGAGCTCAAGATATGATGAATGCTATTAACGAAGACCAACCATTTCAACAAGCTAGTGATCAATTCGACCAAGGTAAAGATAATGGAGACTCTATGGGCAACTTCTCCAAGAGTAATGGTATTAATGATGTTTTCGGTAATCCCATCACTGTAGTTGATATGTCAAATCCAACAAGGTCAAGAGATGAAAGACCATTAGATACAATTCGATCCTTTGAATTTTCAATTAGTGGTGATAGTGTTTATAGAGAACAATTAGAGACTGCGAGATATGGGTTTAGACCAAGACCTGAGTTTCCTTTACTAAAGGGCAATCCATATGCTAACACTGCAAATACTTCAGATTCAATTTATGTTCCTGCTTATAAACCTCCTCCAACTACTGCACCAGCTCAAAAAAAGAAGAGAGGCTTCTTTGGTAAAAAGAAGAAATGAAGCATCTGCTGAACATATTGAACACTCAAAACAGACTAAAGCAATTGCTAAGTCATTTTAGAAAGCATTTTCACTTTGATTCTTTCATTTTATGATTTCTAATTCTTTAATATTTGTATTTTTCTTCTTTCTTTCAAATCAGTTTTATTTTCTCCATTTGAAAAGGTTTTATTATTATTACTATCATTACTATTATCATACTTTTTTGTTATCGTTTCATTTCTCTAATTAACTTATTGAAAATACTATAATCGGGCTACTAATTGTTATCATGGTATATCTTATTATTATTATTTTTCTTCTTTCTTCTTCCCCTTCTTCTCCTTCTTCTTGACTGTCTATATGATTATTTTTTTTCTTTGTTTAACCTTTTTTTGTTTTTGTTTTTCATTTTTTTTCATTTTTTTTTAACTCCCAAAACAGAGTTTCATAATTATTTCACTAAATTCTCAATACCAGAAAAACTACAATTTCAAATTATTGTCTTGCAAGTAAATGACTGATATTTCCTGACTCCTTTTTTGCTGTTTTTGTTGTCTTTTTTTATTCTTTTTTGTTGTTTTTTTAACTCATATATTTTTATACTAAAGATTCTAACTCTATACCAAAAATTGATCTGTCATATATCATCTGTCAAATTACAAGCTACACATACTACTTCTAGTACTCTTATTGCCTCTAAGGCCTCTACTATTTATACTATTAATAATATTATTAAGGCTATTTATTACTAATTCTATTTGCATCTGGACTGTTTCAACAAAAGCTCCTCATATATGGATCTCCAATGATGCAATATCAAAGACATAAGAATGCTACAAATCTATACAAACTAAGCCAGCCAGCTGGAATACTCCACCAGTGCAATCTATCGAGGTTAAATTGGAATTTCCTCTGTATCTCTCCAACGCTTTTGAGCTTTTGATTGTCTCTGCCTTCAGATATTGGCTGGTCACATTCTAGCAGGTGCTGCTTCTTTCCAATGCGGGCGGAACCTCCTCCAAGCATTGCTCCAGCTCGCTGCTCCCGAATGACAACAGATAATTTGCTCTGGAGCAGCTTTCTCACGTGCTCTGACATGCCTGGGTGGAGATCGTGTTTCAATTTGGAAGCTCTTATTTGGCGCGGCTCTTGCCCGATCTTAAAGCCCTAAGAAAACAACTTTGGTAAAGGGTACTCAAATGGATTTTTCCAAAAATTATAAAGCCTGCTATACTTTAGAGTTATTTTATTGGATGTGTTGTTCGGCTTGCGTTCGTTTTCAGAGTCTGGTTACCCGCACTGGCTTTCTTATCTGGCCGTGGTAACCCATTTCCGATGCTTTTCGCTCCTCGATTCTGCCCCACCACCACATTATTCGGTAAGGTGAATCCAGATTACATCTTTCAGTTTATATTACCAGTATGGTCAATAATATCTATATCATTATCGAATGCTGGAACTGGACTTTGATTCTCTTCCATGATTACTGTCTAGTGCCTCAATAATCAGCCAATCTGGCTTTCTTTTTGCTTCGTTTCTAAAGCTTTTTCTCTTTGAGGACATACTTCCATACTCACTGAATGATTATGTCTTCAAAATCTTATCTGAATATCCTTTTTATGACATGCTTCAAAAAGCAAGTAATCAAACCAATATGTCCTCAAGTTAGAGCACATCTATGCATTTTATTTTTTCTAAACTATATGCTTTTTAATACTTTACCAGCAAATTTTCCTAATTTTAATGTAATTATAAACTGATACTGATTAAAATTATTCCAATAATTCAATACTTTATTCTTTTAATTAATACCCCAATTATTTATTTTTTTTAGCAATTTTAACAGGATCTTTGTCAGCCAAAATCGTCCTAGAATTTTATTTTGTTGTTTTGTTACTTTATTTTCAATAACCGAAAGGCTTTGAAATGTTTTTTTCGTAAGTTCTTGTTCGTATTTTAAAAAGATATTCTCAAATTGTATACTGTAAAGCATTCCAAAGATTTAATTCAAACGATTAAGGTTTTTATTTTGAAAGCTGGTTTATCCTAACCTAAGAGCTATTAATGACTTTTTAATCCTATTTTATTATAATTTCTCTATCATTTTACCATCATTTCATTATCACTATTATAATCATTACTATAATCATTATTATTACTTGTTCTTTATTATAACTATTATTGTTAGTTTTTCTTTATCATAAAAATAATTTAATAAAGCCATCGTTTTTTTTCTTGTTTTTTTTATTTTTTTTATTTGGCTTTTTGGATCAAGACTTTTCGTATTGTATGAAATTGACTGCCTAAGACTGTTGGCTGTTTCATAAAAAAACAGTTTTCTGTTAAATAAAAAATAAAATAAAAGAAAAGAAAAGAAAGGCACATTGAATAAAAAATATTCAAGAAATCACCTTTGTTATTCAGCATGATTCAGTTACATCAACTATTTGATGTATTAATTTCATGTTTTTTATTATCATTCAACTCCGGAATCTTTTGACATGCTTATAATAGTTAATCAACTGAAACTTCAATTGTTTTATCCCTTAGTATCTTTAACAATCTTTAAAAATATTCTGCGCTAATTTAACTTAGCTGTGTAACCATTACCATAATATTTTTTCTTAGTCAGATTACTAGTATTATTTTCCCTACCCACTAAAAGTATACATCAATTGAGACTAATTGATAAAACCCAGTAATGCTATCCAATTAGCTCAATCAATAACAAATATATTAATCAGACTACTTTTTACTAGCTGACATTTATTTCGTTTGATTTTTCTTTCTCTTAAGCAGCTTGTGGAATTACTAGCTTGAATTTGTAGTTAGTACATGATAATGTGTTGTTAAAACTATTTAAAATTTTTTAATTTTTTAATTTTTTAATTTTTTAATTTTTTAATTTTTTAATTATTTTTTTCAATTTTTTTCAATTTTTTTGATTTTTTTGATTCATTTGATTTGACTTAGTTTATTTAATGTATTTGGATTATTTGGTTTACTATAATTGACATCATTTCAGGATTTACTTCAAGTTGAATAATTACTGAGGGATTGTACCTCAAAGTACTAAAGTAATTATAGTTGTATTGTTTCTTTTATGTTAGATCTAATCCAAATCGCAATAAAGCCAAAAAAAAAAAAAGAAAACGTAACATGATAGTGTAGGAGTGTCGAATGGAAGTAAGAATAAGTTGGATATTTCTTTTTACTTTTTTATTTTTTTTAATTTTTTTTTTGTTTTCTTTGTTTTCTTTTCAGTTCTTGCTTGTAAAATGTGTCTTTTGTATAAATGAAATTTGGATAAATTTTGGTAAAACTGATTTAATCATCGGTTAAAGAGGATTGTAGCAATTGAATAGGAAATAAAATTGTGAGTTAAAAGTCAAAAAAAGGTAAAAGTCCAATAAGCAAAGAAAAAAAGCTAACCAAAAAGTAAAGATTAAAAAAGAATTGAAAGAAATAAAGGAATTAAAAAAGAATTGAAATTCTCTTAGATAACCAAGATTTCAGATACAGTAAAGTAATAGAGAAGTACTATTGATTGAGTGTGAGATGAAAATATGGTACAAACAAATCCAAAGCAATAAAGACATTTAGATACTGGTGGATACATTTTGACTTTATTCTATTTTCTGGCTAATAATTTTATTAAATAATTAATTTCAACTGAAGATCATTTTTATTTTGTTTTTTGTTTGTTAATTTTGATAATTATTTATCAATTCCATGGGCTGAGATAAGAAAAGTGAGTGATAAAGATCTGTGGTAAATTATAAAAGAATAGACAAAAACAAAAGAAGATAAATGATAAAAAGAAAAGAAAAGAAAAGATAGAAAGAGATAAAAACGAGAATAAAAAAAAGAGTAAAAAAGAGAATATGAAATAGAATACAAAGTAGAATACAAAATAGAATATGAAATGATCAAAAAAGTTGTTTAAATTAGAGATTAAAATGCAGATTATGTATTAATTTATGTACTAATTGTTAGCAAATTCATCGAGCGTTGATAACAAAAGTTTCTTGCAATTTTTTAATTTTAATAACTCTTTTAATTTTTATAATTCTTTTAGCAATTTATTATCAAGATAATAATCAAATACTCAAAATTTTTGTACATTTTATGTTCAAAATTTTTAACTAGAACGAAAGTAACATGAGGCTGTTGAAAGCATTGCAACGCAGTATGGAGTAATAGAGGGTAACAGAAGTAGTAAAAAGTGATAAAGAGCAGTAGAAAGCGATATTTTTATAAAAGAAAAAGAAGAAGAGGAAGAAGGAGATGATGATGATTATATGAACTCGATATGAATATTGACTGAAGGAGGAAGATTTAGAAATAGATAAAATAAGAAATCAAGCAAATATAAAAATCTCAGAAACAGGTTGAGAAAATTGGAAAGCAAGAATTCAATGAAATGAATAAATAATAAGCAGACCTTTGATTATATTTAGAAATGAAATTGAAATTGAAAATAATAAACTGGAAATTATAAATTATAAATTGTAAATTGTAAATTATAAATCGCAAGCTGCGAACTAATTAGAGACAAGTTGAAGGAGAATGTGAGAAATAGAATTAAGAAGTGAATATATGACTAGAATGAATAAATTGGAATTGGAAATACATATTAGTATTCCTGAATCGAGTAAATTTGTTTGGGAATACATGCTAGAGTGGAGCAAGCAGACGAATGAGAAATGGAATTAGTGAAGACAAGTTTTGCAACCTTTAAAGATTAATTGGTAGATGAATTAAAGTGGGTTTTACCAATATTATCTACGTACCAATGGAGCATATGGTTGAGATTGTGGCTATCATCTGAGCTTCAAACATAATAGAGACTGTGACCAGAGATGGTGAACAGTGATGGTGAGCAGTGGATGTGTCTTGAAATTAGGAATTTGGAGCAAGGAGGAAAATCGAGTCAAAAAGGAATCGGAGATCATTTTTTGATGTGAGTAAAACAAAGTTTGCATCAACATTTTCAGATCAAGAACTGGTTTAAACGACTATTCCTCCTTTTTGGAGATTTGGGCCAAATCAAACAAAAAGGCAGATGGGAGTCGTGGGCCCAGCGCATTAGTAATGACTGGAACACTAGATTCAGCTCTATTTGCAAAGACAGTGGGTGTTTCAATGAAATTCCTCGAGCTGCGTTCCTTTTGCTAGTGTCTCAAAGTTGTTCGCGAGCCAGGAATAACGTTGCAAACAATGGCCTGTGAGGACTGGTTGCTGAGTAGCACCAGTCGCGCCCGCAATCCTGTCGTTGCAGCCCCTGCTCCTGTGCTGTTTCTGCTGCCGGTGCTGTTTCTGGTGCTTTTGGTGCCAGTGCTGCTCTACAGGCCGGTACTGCTCTACAGACAGCTGCTGCTGCGGCACATCCGACCATATTACGAAAACCGGGAAGACCGTACAAACATTGTATTTCCGGAAGAGGATGTTGCAAACGGCACTGGCGCGTCTGCCTCTTGAGCCACTGCGACACGCGTGCATGTACACCTGCATGTACACACCCTCGGCGGCTGTGTCGAAGCGTAGCCGGGCGAGTTGCCGGTTGGCTGTCGCAACCCTCGATGGGGGTCTTTCGGGTCCCTGGGCTCGGTCGGGAAAGATTGGCGAAGAGCGGACATATTCCTCAGCAACAAAGAGACAAAAAGAGAAACAATGCACTGTGGGGACTCTTTTATACCTTTAATACCTCTTGTACCTTTTACACCTTTTATATCTGCTTATATCTGCTGCCTCTATTAACTGTGAGACTCTTAGAGACTCTCTTAAAAACTGCTCTCAGCTGGATTATCACCGCTGAGCCTTTGGCTGTATCTTGGTTATCCCAGCTCAAACATTACAGTCATCTCATGCTTCCTGGTTGGCAAGAGGTGCTGGTCACCTTCTGTACCTAATATCAACCACCAAATGCTACCAGATATTGTCAGATATTGCCAGATATTACCATATATTGCTCCCTGTCTGTTTATCCAGCCTGTTGACAATACAACCATGTTATTTTAGGAACACAAGCACTCAATTAACTACACTTTTTAAACCATTATTCTGTAATTCTGCAGTTTTTCCATTCTGTAACCATGTAATTGTTCAATTGTATTTTCCTGGCTGAACTTTTCGTCAGAATCAGGCAAAAAACTCTGCTTTTCTTCGTCCCATCTCTTACGATTCCATTCTAATACCATCATATGTTCATTTCAATGAATTTAGCTCCTCCAATTATTGTGTTTTCGTCTTCACTATCTCACATCCCTAGTCTCGATTAATTAACTCCAATACCAAAAAAATTTTGCTCACCAAATAACAACTCCATTATCTCAACCCAGCTACCAGCCATTAACTTTGTAGCAACCATAACTTATTCTGATAATTTTACAGAATGTTAATCCTAATACAAACACTTTTGAATAGTCAAATATCGACAATCTCTGTTTAGTTTCAACTCAATTTGTTCTCAATCATTCTGATATCCCAATATCTATCTTTCAGTATCTCGATATCCCAATTTTATCAGTTGTTTTCTCATAAAACACAAATGCAAAAGGCAAAAAGCAATAGCAATTTCAAAAAAGCAAAATCTCTTCCAAACCCACTAACTTGACTAACTTTACTAGCCCAATGCTTTCCAAAGAATAACGCATTTATTCAAACCATATTCTTACTTGCCTAACTTTCTTCAAGTAGCTTTAACGTTTAGATTAGAATTTATTTTTGATTCAATATCAATACTCTGTCTCACATTCCTAATTCTTAACCAAGGTTAAAATACTATTTAGCAGCATTTCATGCTTTTTAATCCGCTTTCAACAAAAAACACAGCAAAAAAAATTATAAAAATCAAAAATCAAGAGAAAGAGACAAAAAAAAACAAAAAACAACAAAAAACAGATAAATCCTAAACCTTTCAATATCTAATTATGAATATCTAATTATGAATAATATCTAATTATCACTGCTACGAATACAGCTATCTACAAACACTCAAACACTCAAACACTTTTATCACAAATTTAGCTCATTTCAACAAATTTCATCTGGTGGGTTCCAATCGTTGTCTTTCCTTGGTTTCTTCAACTCTTTCCCATAAATTCAAACCTTTTTTTGCATTTCACTTTTATTTTTTAATATTTTTAATACTTTTAATATTTTCATTATTTTCATTATTTTTTTCTCATGTTTTTCATTCAATTGTTGTCTTTTCCTTTTCTTTCCTTGCTCCCACTTAAACTGGGAATTCTTTGGTATTTGGGATTATTTCTTATTGTTTCAACGAGTAAATATTAAATTTCAATAAATTTCAATCTGTTTCCAATTTTTGCAAACTACAATTTTCTTCAATTACAACTTTCTTCAATTACTTTAAATCGTTCAAAGTTAGAAACTCAAATCTTCTGCTTTGATACCTTATTATCAATTAAGTTTATCCTCTACAAACTGATTTACTACTTTCTTTATTTCTTTATTTCTTTATTTATTTCTTTCTTTCTTTCTTTCCAAAATCTTCTGCTTTCTTTCTGCTCTTTTCTTTTCCAACCCAGATCTCTTACCTTGTAGTGCAACTGTATTATCACCCTTTTAAACTTTTTCGTTGGCCATATTCATTTATTTACTTCTTTTAATTGCAATATCTTAATATCTTGGAATATCTTGTTGGTATTTTTCCATTTCTTTCATTTCTCTCTCTCTCATTTATTTATAAAATTCTGTTAAACAAGCTTGGAAACAGTCTATTTTACCTCATTCGTTCTTTCGATACCTCTTTTTCTGTTCACTTTCAAACTTGTACTTATACATATATATATCTTTGTTTCCCAATCTTTTTCAATCTTCTTTCTCTTTTTTTTTCTCTTTAATGACTCGAGTAATTTAAGTAATTTATTTCTTTATTTTATTTTATTTTATTTCATTTTATTTTAATTAACAATATTCATCTTCAAATTCAAATTCAAATTCAAATTCACATTAACGTTCATATTCATATTCAGCAAACTCTTTTCTTCTTATTATTATACTATATCACATCACATCATTTCATTTCATTATATCTGGATTAATTACAAAGATAATTCTTCACTCATTCAACCACATTTCTCCATTTACTTACACACTCATAGCAACATTTTACAATGTCCAATAGCAATAAATCCAGCATCTCCTTCATATTATCTGAAGATATGCCTTCCTCTCCATCTCCATCCATCTCCTCTCTTTCCTCCTCTCCTTCTTCTCCTTCATCTTCCATTTCTTTGCCAAACCAGTCTTTCAACAAATCATCTACTCAAGAAACTGTCTCTTTAAAAATCATTCAACAACCTCTCCATGCCAAAGTCTCCCCTAAACCAAATACCACCACCAACAGCTACTCAATCACAACTCTATCTGAACATAGACCTATCCACCCTCCCCCAGTTTTGCAATTAAGCTTCAACAACACTTCCAACCCAAACACAAAAAAAAAATTCAGTAACAACACCCATTTATTGCCCTTCAACGACCAGGCTGAATCTGAATTCCACCAAACTGCTGAAGTTATTTCGCTACTAAACAACAATGGCGTTATGCCCCACTGGGCCCATTTACCAACCTATTTTGTCAGCACACAATTGGTCGACATCGAAGATGGTAAGCATTATAACGATTATAAAAACGCCTTAAAAAACCAGGATATCAAAATTAATAACGATGACTTTTTCGGTTCCTCTGTTTGCTCTGGTATGAGAATAAACATTCCTTCCATGAACTCATCCTCCTCCCCCTCCTCCAACATAATAGATACCATCCCAAATTATAAAAGAGTCAACAAATCAAACAACTATGTCACTTGCTTTGCCTTTGGTGATATCTCGGTTAGAAAAACTGGTAACTTTGTCTTACTTTTTTCTTTATTCCAGTTTCTCGATAACAAAGTCACCTTCATTGACAAAACTCTCAGCCAACCATTTACTGTTTACACTCAAAAAAACTTTCCTGGCTCTTTGACCTCAACTCCACTAACAAGATTCTTATATAAACATGGTGCAAGAATTAGACAAAGAAAACGTCAAGCCAATAGAAACATGAAAAACCTCACTCTCAACAAAAAAAGATGCCACTTTGAAATGGACAACTATTCAGTTGACAACAATTGCAACTTCAACAAAAGAATTACCTATGATCAAAACTATATCGCCCCCTATAACTACCACCACCAACAACAACTGGATAACAACTATGGAAACATCACTCCTCTTGACTTTGAAAGACGATCCATTTCATACAACCAATACAACACCATCCCATCTTATTCTAATAACAACAACCATCACAATAACACCATTGTTAACTCTCAACAGACTGATCCATGCCCTCTTTCTCCCTACTACAATCCAAACCACCACTACCACCAGCAACAGCAGCAGTCTATTTCTCATATCCCTCAGCACCAACACACACCCAAATCTTATTTTGATTATGTCAATCAGAATCAACATATCAACCCAAGAAGAAATGTCTCTGAACCACAAATCAGAAACAATTCTGTTGCCTACCATTACGACAACAACTATCCTCAACAAATCGACTATAGATCTCCATCATATGGAACCTATCCCACAGCTGATGTTTCTCCAATCACTAATAACTTCGACACCTCTTCAAGCTCTGGAGGTAGTCCCATAAGTTATGCCTCAAATACTTTGCCAAAAAATTTCAAAAACATCAAACTTCCTAGTATCTCTGAACTTAGCAGAAAAGTGCCACAAATCAACAACCACTCAAGTAACGATCGTTCTATCTGTTTACCACCTATTAAATATTCAAATGCTCCCATTCTTTTTCATTTTTTTCATTTTTTTCCTCTTTTTTTTTTTTTTGAGTATGGCTTTCCTTTTATTACTAATTTATTTCTCTGATTTCCTCAAATTTTTTTTTCATTAATGATTTCAATTTTTTATTGTTTTACTTCAATATTTTGCATTATTATATGAATCTATGGTATATATTAATCCACATTCTAGATTATAAACACAAAGTAAAAATGCACTTGTAAAAAAAAGTAAGAAAGTACAAAAGTACGGTCTAGTAATCATACAGAAGAAAATTATACAATAATTTATGAAATTGCTATTCATAATATTGAAATAAATAATTTATATTACATTATACAATAAAAATATATAAAGAACCACTTATAAATGATAAACTGTAAAAAAAAAAAAGAAAAAAAAAACTAAATTAAAATTATTAAATAGTGAAGTTCATATTCAAAAAACTTCTAACTAAAGAAACTTGAAGTTAAGAAACTAAAAAAGAAAAAAAGCATTAAAATTTTCCTATGGATGATTAATTAAATGACAACAAGTAACCCAACTGGAATGATAAAGCAGAAATTATTCAAGAAAAAAAATCAGAAATTAAAAATCAAATCAAATCAAATCAAATCAAAATCAAAATCAAAACATAAATAATAACAGAAAAAATTAAAACAAAGGAATGAAAGAATAGTAAATATTAGGAGGAAGACTTAAAAAAAAAATGTGTTCTTACTTAATATTTTGAAATTCCATTTTCATCATCAAAGATTTTTTTCAAATCTTGAAATGATTTAATATTATTACACGTTTCCAAAATGACTTGAGATAGTTTATTGATTATATCTTCGATTGATGTTGAGTCTAAGTTTGAATGAACATTGATTTTTAAATCGGGAGTCATTTTAATGACTTCGTGTCTTAAAATTCTTGGTGAAGCATAGACTAAGATGTGGTGATCATATAATAATTTATTAACAATTTTAACGATTAAAAAGTTTTCAATATTATAATAGTCATAAGGAGACAATTCTGCTTGAATTTCTTTTAAAGTGTGGTGTTTTTTGAAAGTTGGATTTGAGTAGTAATCGATTCTCTCAGATTTAATGGCAGCAGCATTTGAGCCAGATTTGTCGTTTAGCTTGTTTGGTTCGTTGAATTCGTTTAGTTCATCTAATTGTTCATTTATCAGTTTAGCATATTTATTGTTTTCATTGATATAAAAATTGGGTAATTTTAAGATTTTTTTGTAATCGCTGTTGAAAACCAAGTGAATGACAGGACTTTCTTTTGTTGAGACAATTTTGAAAAAATTCAAGATATTTGAATTGTTGGATAAAGCATTGTGAAAAAGTTGACAATTTGCTTGCAATTTGGATACAATGGATTTCTTTAGACCATTAGAATTGATTTGATCGCGATAGGATTTTGAGATAACTTCCATTGAGCAAGAAGTGGTTCTAGCTAAATATGGGGGCAAAGCTGCACTAAAACAGTAAGCACTTGAGGCGATTCTTTGATAAAAGACCATTGGCTTTTCACCAATACAAAACCCACCAGCAGATGCAAAAGAATTTGCCATTGAACCCGTAGTAATTTCTACATTTTTTCTATCAACGTTGAAATGTTCGCAAAGACCCTTTCCGGATTTACCCAAGACACCAATAGAAAAACTTTCATCGATAAATAATCTGAATTTGTAATCGTTTTTAATTTGGACTAATTTTGGTAAATCAGGAAAGTCACCAGTGTTTGCAAATAAACCTTCAGTTATGATGAATTTTCTTGGAATTGGGTTTTTCTGATTAGCGAGATCGTCCTTTAAGTCTTCAAGGATTTGAACCAAGTGATTTAAGTCATTATGATTGAACCAAATAGCTTTGCATCTTGAAATGATAACCGCTTTTTGAATTGATAAGTTTACACCTGAATCTACTAAACAATAGTCGCCTCTTTTAAGGAAAACTGGGATAATACTTTCAGCAGTACAAAAGTCTTGACCGTAAATTATGGCCTTTTCAGCACCAAAATAGTCAGCCAAATCATTTTCCAATCTAACATGAATATCTTGAGTACCATAGAACCCTGGAGGACCACAAGCACCAACACCACGACTTCTAATGACCTTAGCGGCTTCTGATTTGAGATATGGGTTGTTATTCAAATTCAAGAAATCGTTTGAAGCCAAGTTAATTACGTTTTCGAGGTTATCAGAAATAGAGATTTTGCCCTTAAATTCTTGCTTATTATCAGCGTATTTGATGTCATTATTGTGAGGAGAATTGGATAAATAAGGGTTTTCCAATAAATTGATTTTATTTGAAATTCGGCCATCTACAATTGGAATATTTTTCAAAAGATAGGCTTCGCTTGGAGTTAAATCATCAACCAAGGGTTCTGGAACCCATTCATTACACAAGTCGTCAATTTCCCTTTTGGATAAATGTAGGTTATTTTTTTGTTTTTCTATTGAATATTTTGGAGAAATAAAGTATCTCAACGCAAACAAGACTAGGAAAATTTCCAAAATGGATCTGAATGGATCATTTTGGTAGGAGGATTTGATGTACCTGATCAAAATAACACCACCAGGCAAAGACTCAATTAGCTTGAGTAGTTTTTGGAAAATTTCAAAGGAATAAAACAATATATCGTTGGTCCATTCTGGCAAAATAATAGAATGAGAGGTGACGACGGTGGAATTCATTAACCAAGAGAACGACAGAGAAGACAAGAGACAGGCTTAGTACTAGAAGATCAGCGAGAAAGAACGAGAAACAATAAGAGGCAGTAGGACACAGTCGAGAAGAAGAAGCAGCAGCAGCAGAGAAAGCAGCGAATCGACACCTAGAGATAGAGCTCAATTCTCGCGAGCCTCTGAATGGAGTCTCTGGTGTGACTGGAGCACGTGCAACAGCGCTGGCACATTCTTGGGAGTGAGCGGAAGGAACAGAAGGAGCAGAAGCCGAGCCGATGCGGAGCTTAGTCAGCTGCAAGTGAGCGCTTACGTGATCTACTCACGTGTGCTGGCGGGCTTGTCGAGAGCCACTGTGCTGGTGCTGATTGGCTGGATGGAGCAAGCAATGAAGCTGGAGTTGCTGGGAAGCAAGGTTGGAGAGATTCAGAGAATTACTAAGTATACTGAGTTTATTAGGATTAAGATTAAGTATTAAGTAATTAGGTGATTAAGAAGTTGAAATATCAACAGGAATAAATAAGATATCAAGGGACAAAAACAACAAAAAAACAATATTCAAAACAAACAACAAAAGTTAACAATTAAAAAAAAAAAACTGGTTTAAAAAAATTAGTTCAATACCAAATCAATATCATCCATAGAATAAAACAAAACAAATGAATAAAAAAAGGGATTAGTTCAGTAAAAAATAAGTCAATAGAAGGAGAAAGAATAAAAATAACGAGAGAAACAAGCAGGCAAGCAAACATTCAAGTATGTTGATTATTCAACGAACGAGTTCAATCAAACTAGATTAAAAGATTTCTTTGAATTTAGCTAAGATTGATTTTCTTTTGTTTTTTTTATCTGGAACTTCTTCGGTTTTCTTTTCTTCAGCTGGTTCTTCAGCTTTGTCAGCTTCCTTTGTAGCTTCCTTAGGTGTTTCTTTTGGAGTTTCTTCAACCACAGATGGTTCTAGTTTTGGTTCTGGTTTGGTTTCAACTTCAGCATCAACTTTTTTGGTTTCTACTTGAGCGGGTTCTTCGATTGAAGCATCTTTAGTTGGTTCTTCTTTCTTTGGAGTTTCTTTAGTTTTAGCTTTGTCTTCAAAGATGTGTTTGAAATTTCCTAAGAAACTCTTTCTTTTTTCTTCCTTCTTGGGTTCTCCGTCTTTGACCAGTTCTTCAACTTTTGGAGCTTCTTGAGTTTTGGCTGATTCATCAACAGCTGCTGGAGCAACAACAGCTGGAGTCACAACAGCTGGAGCAACTTCAGGAGCAACTTCCGGTTCTTCTTTAACTGGGACATCTTTTTTAACTTCAACAGGTTTTTCTTTCTTTTCTTGATGTTTAGCGAATTCAGATTTGATCTTTTCAAAGACACTCTTTCTTCTTTCTGGTTTAGCAGCTGGTTCAGTTTTAATAACTTCATCGCTGGAATTGGCAGAAGAAGGTTCAGCAGCTGGCTTAACGTCTTTCTTCTCTTCTTTTTTTGGTTCTTCATCAGCGACAGCAACTGGTGTTAATTCTGGAACAGGTTCGGCTGGGTCAGCTGGTTTTGTTTCAGGAGATTTGATAACTTTTTCCTTTAATTTACCAAAATAGCTCTTTCTTTTTTCAGCTTTAACGGGTTCTTCAGTAGCTTTTGAAGGTTCGTCGGTGCTGTCTTTCTTTGAGGATTCAGGGGTTTCAACAACAGCAGCGGCAGGTTCAACAGGCTCAGAAGACTCAACTGGTTTGGCTGGATCAACTGATTTTGATTCAACAACTTTTTTTTCTTTCTTTTCTGGGGTATGTTTAGCAATTTCAGCCTTTAATTTGGTGAAGACACCCTTTTTATGTTCTGGTTCAGTTGGTTTGGCTGGTTCATCTGCCACTGGTTTAGGTTCTTCAGTAAGTGGAGCAACAACTGGTTCTTCGGGTTTTTTCTCTTCAACAGATTTGTCAAGAGGTTTTTCTTCAGCTGGTTTTTCAACTGCGGCTACTTCTTTCTTTTCTGGAGTGTGCTTAGCGACTTCAGCTTTGAATTTAGATAAGAATTTCTTTGATTTATCCTTGACGGATTCTTTAGGTTCTTCTGGTTTGTGTTCTTCTTCAACCTTTGGTTCGGGAACGACTTTTGGTTCTTCAGCGGATTTTGGAGTTTCTTCAGCAGCAACAGGTAAAGCTGGTTCTTCAGCAGCAACAGGAGCAACAACGATGGGTTCTTTCTTGTGTGGTTTTAATTTTTCTACAAAAGTTGATAATTTCTTTGATTTAGGAGAAGATTCAGTTGGATTAGTAGATGGTGTGGTAGTGTTAATTTCTTCAGATGGAGGAGTCACAGGCTCAGTGGAAGCAACAGGTTCTTTGTCCTTGACGATTTTTTTTTTGATCAGGACAAATTTCTTTTTCAAGTTTTCTTCAGTTTTAGAGACAACAGATTGTTTTTTTGGTTCTTCAACAGGAGCAGGAGGAACGACTGCTGGTTCAGCCTCTTCCTTTACGGGCTCAACAGCAACGGGCTTTGATTCTTCTGGTTTTGGTTCTTCAACTTTTGGAGCGACTTTTTCTACAGGTTCGACTTTTGGCTCTTCAACCTTTGGCTCTTCTGGTTTGGTTTCTTCAACTTTTGGGGATTCCTTTATTTCAGGTTCGTTTAAAGTTTTTGGATCTAAAGTAGAAAATTCAGAAAAAGCTTTGATCTCGTGTGGGTTTTCGGGAACAAAGATTCCTGGTTCAGCTAAAGTTGTTTGTTGGCCTTCAGAAGATGGCAAAACAGTGGCTTTGAAGTCAGAAGATTGTGGTTCCTTTGGAGGAACAATTGGAGTTGGATCAACAGCGGGTGCTGATTCTTTTGGAGTTTCGGTGGACATTATTGTGTATGGTTATGAATGGTTACTAATAGCTATTGAAGAGTGGTTGGTGAAGACTGTTGAAAAGAGTATTGAGGGTGCTGTTGATAATAGTGACAGTATTGTTAAGGGACAGAATTCGAGTGTTTATAAATGGATCAAGATAAGACAAAAGGCAAAGAGAATAGGTAGAGACTAGGACAGACTAAAAAAAAAGAGAGATAAGACTAGGATTAATAATCAGAGATCAGAAATAAGAGGATAAGAATAAGGAGCTTTGATCTGGGGATGAGAGATCTTGGATATAATAAAAAAGAAACGATACCACAATGAAGTTCAGTTTTTGAGGAAGAAAACAGGAAAAGGAAAAGAAAGGAAAAGGCGCAATATATTTGGTTATTTAAAGGGACAAGAGTGAGGATTTGGAGAGTATGGATTTGATTCTGGGTGGTGTCTCGTTCTGAGCGGTTCTGCGCAGTTCTGAGCTTGTGTTGAGAGTGTGTTTGTGAGGATGCACTAAACTGGCTGTGAATGATCACAGCAGAATGTGCACCTCTCGCGCTATTCGCCGCCGCTATTTATAGCTTACGTTGCGTCGGGCTGCAGCCGTGACACCGTCTGCGTCCTCCACAGACCGCGTCTGGTTACCCGGCGCCGAACGGATAGGGCTCCGGTCAGGGCTGTATAAGGTTCGAGATGACGCGCTGCCGGAGAAGCAGAGGAAGCAGAGGAAGCACCACTACCACCACCACCATGGTCGACTTCCACCATCCCTTCACGCCCTACGCCATCCAGCTCCAGTTGATGGACACCATCTACGAGACGCTCTCCAACGACGATCTCAAGGTGGGTCTATTTGAGAGCCCCACAGGCACAGGCAAGACGCTTTCGATAATTGCCTCGACTTTGACGTATTTGAGGAACTATCACAACAGCCATTTATTGAATGTGAGCAGCAGAAGTGGCGCTGGCAACGGTGATGATGATGATGATGATGAACCGGATTGGGTGAACCAAAACTATTACAAAAACCTAATTGATGACAAATTGGAGGTTTTGCAAGAGTACGAAGACAATCTCGACAATCTAAAGGAAAAGTTACACCAGCACTCAATTTCTTCGCAGATGTTGATTTCGAACGATGATCTGAACCGCAACTCTAAAAAACGAAGAAAAATCCAGAAAATCAATATCGAAATTGATGATGACGATTTGGAGTATTTACCAAGCAATCAGCTATCCAATGAAGGTAAAACGTACGGTTATGACAAAGACGCCAGTTTGGAAAATAAAAACAACTCAATTTCAATTGAAATTCAAAATTTGTTATCAAAATTATCCAGTAAAAATAACCATGATAACCTTAACCATGATAACCTTAATAATGACAATGATAATGATAAAATTAAGCCAATCTTGGATTACGATCAAAAAACGAAGATTTTTTTCTCTTCAAGAACTCATTCTCAATTATCTCAATTCATATCTCAATTGAATTTATATCTCCATAACACTTATAACAATAAAGATGATAAAGATGATAAAGATAATAAAGATAATAACAACCACTTGGCTTTAAATTTACTTGATAATTCCTTCAATTTAAATAACTACCATCTAAAATATCTACCAATCGGTTCAAGATTGCATTTATGCATAAATGACAACATCAAAAGCTTGAATAACATATCTTTAATCAACGACGCATGTCTCGACCTCCAGAATATCCCCTCCGACAAATCAATTGATAAAAAGAAGAATAAACTAAAGAGTACTCTAAAGAACTGCTCGTACTATGAAAACTCAAAAGATCAAAATTTAGTCATCAAATTCAGAGATCTAATCTTCAGCGATATTAACGACATCACTCAACTAAACTCATTGGGCAAACACTTGAACGTTTGTCCCTTTTATTCAATTAAAAACGAATCAAATTCAATTGTAGATTTAATCTCTCTACCCTATCAATTGCTACTAATTAAAAACAAACACGTCAATGCCAATTTGAATCTCAAAAATTCAATCATAATCATAGATGAAGCTCATAATTTGATTGATACAATCATCAATTTAAATTCAATCACAGTCTCCTTGAGCAATATCATATTGATCAAAAACTCATTGAATTTATATTTGAAAAAATTCATTAAAAAACTAAACTCGTACAATCGAGTCAATCTAATCAAATTGATTAAGTTTCTAACCATTTTGTACAACTTTATCAACAATAAAAAGAACGATCCAGGTTTTAAGATCAAACCAGGACTAGAAATTAACATTTTAGATATCTTTAATGAAAAATCCACCGGCGATTTACTCAATATTTATAAACTAGAAAATTACTTGAATAAATCCAAAATCGCTTACAAGATTCAGAAATATATCAACAATGTAACGGGTGAAAGAAACAATACACCGCTACTATTCGATCTAATTGAATTTCTAAAGGTTTTATCCAATCCATCAAAGGAAGGCAAAATCTATTTCGATTTCATCAGCAAAAGTAAAACCGAAAAGGATATAACTATAAACTACATGCTATTAGATCCAATTGAAACATTCAAGGATATTGTATTGAACTGTAAGAAATTGATACTAATTGGAGGTACAATGGAACCAATGAGTGACTATGTCAAGTATTTGTTTCCATATTTAGACGAGAAAAAACAAATCAAAAAATTTAGTTGTGGACATATTGTCGATAGAGATAATTTAAATGTTTTTGTGGTTAATAGTAATAATAATAATATGAAATATGATTTTTCATTTTTAAGCAGAAATAATGTTAATATGTTAATTGGGCTATTGAAAAGTATAATTCATATTACTAAAAGCATACCAGACGGTATCGTTATGTTTTTTCCTAGCTATAAATACATGGATCAAGTAATTGGCATTTGGAAAGCTAAGGAAAGGAAGTCATGGGACAAATTGAATGAGATGAAAAAGATTTTTTATGAATCAAGCGATAGTAGTGATATAAATAAAGTTTTAAATGATTATTCTGATCATATTTTAAATAGTGATAATAATAACAATAATAATGGTGGATTATTATTTTCAGTTGTTGGTGGGAAAATGTCAGAAGGAATAAACTTTTCCGATTCACTAGCTAGAGGAATTCTAATGATTGGATTGCCATTTCCGAATTTGTTCAGTGGGAAGTTAATCAGCAGAAGAAAATATATTGAAGACACAGTTTTGAAGAATGGGGGTGATATGAAAAAAGCAAGAGAGGAATCGATGAATTTTTATGAGAATATCTGTATGAGAGCAGTTAATCAAAGTGTTGGTAGATCAATTCGCCATATAAAAGATTATTCAAGTATATATTTGATTGACCATAGATACAACCAGGAAAAAATCCAGGGAAAGCTAAGCAAGTGGATTCGAGACAGGATCATAACTACGAAAAATGAAGATGAAATCGTTACGCTAACTAGGGAATTTTTCAATAAGAAAAGATAAATAATAACAAGAGATAGAACCCAAGACAACGAGCATAAGGTTTAGTAACTCAAGACTGCGGAATTGAGGCAGGGTGGTAAAGAATGCACAAAACAAGATCTGGTAGTTTTGCACAATAAAAGAAATCGTCCCCAAATTTATTTTTTTCCAAATTTTTTTTGTTTTGTTAAAAAAAACGCTAAAAAAACGCCAAAAAAACCCAGGGCGCAGGGTCTGAAAGCCAGCATGTCCCCGCTGCATCGAGCTCATCTTCATTAGCTCAGTCGGTAGAGCGTTCGGCTTTTAGGGATTCTTTTAGTTTCGCGAGAAACCGAAATGTCCAGGGTTCGAGCCCCTGATGAGGAGCTCTTTTTTGCTTGTTGAAACCCCGTTTGTCTCAGATTAGTAATACAAACCTCTGGCCGCGCAAACGAAGGTCAAGGTGCAAGGTCTACCGCACTGCTGGGTCTGGAAAGGGTATTTAAAAGCGGGAGGGGATGACGTATTTGCTTTTTCTTTTCTTTTTTGTTCATTCGTTAATCGCAGAACAGATATAATCTCTTTCACGTCGCTGCTTTGACCACCTCCAGCTCTGTCGCCTTGCCCTTTACTGTCATATTCAACAAGTAAGTGCTTTCTCTCGTCATCGTTGCAATTGCTTTTTGGCAGCGTTTTTGATGCGACCTCTCTCATGAACTCGAAGACTAACCTTCCTCCATCGTCCACAGTGTCGACACTTACAACAACAATATCGCAGGACTCTTCCTCCAGCTCGCTCAGTCGAATCAACAAAAAGAGATCTATTGACTATGAGCCCAATCCCTTTGAGCAGTCCTTTGCTCAGACAAAAATCTCCGATGATACATCTTCCTCAAAAAACCCTTCGGCTTCTTTCAACAGTCTGTCGAACCCAAACAACTTAGGTCATAATAGCAATACCAACATCAATAGCAATAACAACAGCAGTAATTTCAATAGTAATATTGCTAGCAGTGCTAGTAGCAGTAGTAGTAGTGGAAGTAACAACCTATCTATCACTGCTAAAAAACCCAATATTCCTTCGTCCGCTGGTATTTTTACTCCTGGTGGATCAAGAACGTTACCACCTTTGATACCAACTTCTCCAAATTCAAATTCTCTTCATGCTCCAAACTTCTTTACTCCAGGTTCTTGGAATTTTTTCAACTCGAATAACCCTAACAACCCCAATAGTGCCAATAACAATAACAACGCCAGTAATAACAACACCAGTAATAACAACAACAACAATAACAATAACAATAACAATAACACCAATAATTCTATAAATAATACAAACAAAAACAACATGTCAATGTCCCCCGGTTTCAATTTGAATCTAAATGCAACAATGTCCAGCTCTAATCTCTTTTTTAGAACTAAAAGTTCCAGTGCTTTGACTCCCAATGAAAGTGGCATAAGATCTGGCTTAACACCAGGCTTATCATCAAGTAACTTACTCAACATTCCAGGTTTCAATACCCCAAGCATATTAACTCCAGGTCTTTCTTCTATTTTTGGCATACCCTCATCAAATATAAATGACAATAGCACCACTACTGCTACTAATAATAACAATACTAATCCCAATAATAATTCTAATAATAGCTCAAACAATACCTTGAATACTATTCATGAATCTGCAATTCTTGAAAATGACGGTATCATTAATACGGAGTTTGATAACAATAATAATAATAATAATAATAATATCAAACCAAACAACGACACCAACGACAATATTCTCAATAATAATGATTCCGATAACAATAAAAACACAAAGTCTGATATTAACAGCAGTTTTATTGATCCTCCATCCATCTCAACTCAAAATACAGACTCAACTCTAGAACTCAGCTCTGCCTCCAATCATAATTTCTCTTCAAATGACACAAATCTTATTGAAAACAACAACATAAAAAATTCAATCAATAATAACCAAAATGATAAAAGCAATGATATTGGTAATATTGCTATTAAAAGATCTCAGTCGGATTTAAATAATGACGATATAGAACTAACTCAAATCACTAATTCTCCTAAAAAGAGAAAATTATCTATTTCAAACCCATCATATACTCCTTCTTTTGATTCACCAAATTTGAAAAGGGAATTCAAATCTTTAATCTCTTTGGACAATAATAATAATAACAATAACAATAACAATAATAACGATAGCAATAGCAATAGCAATAGCAATAACAATAATAATAATAGTAATAGTAATAATAATAATATCCCTGATAAAATGCAAAAATCAAATACTCAAAAAGTTCCATCTACTCCTCAAAATAATTCCTTTTCTTCTCGAGATATTTCAATTTCTAAAACTAATAGTAACAAAAATCACAATACTGAAATCAACCTTGATAACAACTCTCCAACTCAAAGCTCAAATATAAAGAATTCAAAATTTTCAAGTTCAAATTCAAATTCAAACTCAAGTGCAAGTTCTACTTCAAGTTCAAATTCTAATTCAAACTCACATTCACGCTCTAATTCTAATTTGAACTCAAATTCTTCAAATGGCTCCAACTCTTCAAATAAAAAAAAGAAAAAGGATTCAAACCTAACCGAAGAAGAAAAACGTAAAAATTTCCTTGAAAGAAATAGAGTAGCTGCTTCAAAATGTAGACAAAGAAAAAAACAAATGATGATTCAATTACAAAATGATTTAACTTTCTATCGAGATAATTACACAAATCTTAAAAATGAAAACGATCAACTAAAGGAACAATTATTAAGTTTAAAAAACTTCTTTTACAATAATAAAGACTCAGAGCCTTTTATTAACGCTATTGGGGGCTACGAAACTTTTATCCAACTAGTTAATCTTGTTGATTTTAACCCCTTAAATCAAAACATGATGAATGCAAATCAAATGCCTTCTGTGCAAAAAATGCTGCCTCAATTAATGAGAAATTTACAGTCAAATAATCAAAGATTACCTTTCCTAATTCCTGCTAGCCTTCCTTCCCTACAAAACCCTGCTGCGGTTGCTCTACAGGCCTTGGGTCCTGTTCAAGCTGTTCCTAATGTTCAGAATGTCCAGAATGTTCAAAATTTAATGCAACAACAGCAAGATCCTTCTCAATTATTAAACAACCAATAGTTTAATCTATTTTAAATTCAATTTTAATAGCTAAACCAGCCATTGTTTTTTATCGGTTACGAGTTGCAATATTATCAATTGATTTTTTAGATGTTTTTTGGATTTTGAAGTTTAAATTTTTTTGATTTTTCTTTTTCTCGGTTTAGATAATAATTATTTTTTTTTCAATTATTATTCATATTGTGGTTCTGATGCAACAAGAGTGGTCTTTCTTTATTTTTTTCTTCAATATGATATACCTTCCTATTTATCATTTTTTTCTTAATTTTGACTTCATTGTTGTTTTTTTCTAGTTTTTACTCTTTTTGTTTGTTGTACTATAGGCCAACAAAATTTTTATATATTCAGGTCTTTCATTACTGATCTACTCAGTTTTTCATATTTTTTTTGCTTTTTGTTAAATGCTTTTTCTTTCTCTTTTACCAAATGATATATATCCTATACAATGTGTTTTCTATAAAATACTCTACATAATAATGGTTTTTATTTAACTACTCTTCATCTCAAAACCCGCCGCTTTTCTAAGAAATTTGTAGCTTTTGAAACTGGAGCTTTAGATCTCTTTTCCTTAGCTCTTCAAAAGAGATATAACTATTGCACTTTTTAGAGATGATAATTGCAAATTCGCTAGCAACCAGTCTCCTAAAGAGATCTTCTTTACTGTTGCACATTGCAAGTCATCACAAGTTCAGTAGATCACTTAAATTCGATGTTTCCTTTGGATTAATAAGCAGGACATTAACCACTTTGCCTGATCCTCCTCCATCGTTTGGTTACTGCAACATTTCTCCCATAAAATCATTAATTGAGGTCTCTGGTCCTGATGCCTCAAAGTTTCTCAATGGTTTAGTTACTTCAAGGGTTTTGCCCAAGTTTATCAAGAAAAACGTCACTACCATCACAGAAAAGGATGCTCTTGAAGAATCAAATCAGAATTTGAATATCGATACAACAAAAAATTGGGGCATTATAAATGATGATTCGCTATTGAACGAATTTAAAAACGAACTTGGTTACAAGAGAACTGGGCTCTTTTCAATGTTTTTAAACTCAAAAGGACGAGTCTTCACTGATTGTTTTATCTACCCAAAAATTACTGATATATCGCAAGACAAAAGCTTTACTGAAAGCAATCCAACTTATTTTGTTGAAATAGATAAAAAAATATCTTTTCAATTGTTTACAATGCTAAAACTTCACAAATTGTCTTCAAAAATCTCGTTGAAGTTACATTCATCTCTAGATAATCAACAAAAGGATGATTCACTCAAAATTTGGTATCTTTACAATGATAATCCTGTTTTTAAGGAAAATTTATACTGTGACAAGCTAAATTATTTGCAAAATAATAATGAGTTTAAATCTCCTACTATCTCTCTCAAAAAATTGATAGAATTCTTCAATCAAAACAAGATTTTTAAAAGTGATTATCCCTTAAAAATTCATGGGTTGGCGGTTGATGACAGAGCTCCAGAATTTGGTGTTAAAGTCATTACTGACAGTAAAATAAATCTTTTGAATCACATAAACTCTGAATGGTTGGTTCTCGATGATAAGATCCCAATTCCTGAAGTCTCAACTGACAGTCTCATGATAAGAAGGCTTCTTAATGGTATCCCCGAATCATCTTTCGAATTAAAACCTAACCAGCTCTTGCCTTTAGAATGCAATCTAGAGTTAATGAATGGAGTTTCGTTTAACAAAGGATGTTATATTGGTCAAGAATTGACTGTTAGAACTTATCATACTGGTGTGATAAGAAAAAGAATTGTTCCAGTTCTATTATCTTTAAGTGATAATATGAATGGTTTGTCGTACTCTCCAAATGATCCAGTTTGTGATATTATTGGAAATAACTGCTCTTTACTAAGAGATACAGAAATTTTGGTCGAAGAAATTAAACAGGAGAATGAATCAGAAACACCTGGTAATCAATCTAGTCAACAATATGGGTTTTCACCTTTTGAAAATTCAACAGTTAAACCAAAAAGACGAAGAAAATCTCCTGCCGGAACTATTCTAGCCGTTAAAGGTAACATTGGATTAGCTATGATAAAGCTTGATGAATTCAGTTCTCCAAATAAAAATTTTTACATAACGCCCATCTCAATAGAAGATAAACTTGAGCAAAAGGTTTACATAAAAGCATTTGTTCCTGAATGGTGGCCAATAGAGGAAGAAAGCTAGACATATATAAACAAAATTTTCAAGAACAAATTATTTGGAAGATTGTATTTTTTTTTTTTTGTACATTTCTGGTTACTGGATTATAAAAATATGTATATATACATTGTAGATAGAATGGAGATAATCGTTATAAAATTCATTTTCACAAAAAAAAAAGAGCATTAATTTATTAACATTAGATGTATGCAGAAGAATATATAAATCTAAAATAGTCAAAAAAGGGTTTCACAATGGGGATAAATAAAAAAGAAGTACAATTTATTTAATCAACGGTATGAACATCAATTCCACCTAATGCCTGCCCAACCTTTAATTTTTGTTCAACTTCAAGATTAAACTTGAAGGTGTTTGGTGCTTCGAATACTAGAACAATAGTACTTCCAAGTTTGAAGCCACCCATTTCAGCACCTTTTTTGATTGGATAGCCATGAAATATTGAACTTGCTTTAGCATAGGTTGCTTCGTAACAAGTATTTTTACGAACTCTAGTTTTCCTTGAATTTTTCGAAGAAGTAGATGCAGTCGAAGAGGCAGAAGAATCCGAAGAGCCAGTTGAAAAATAGAGCAAATCGTCAGTAGAGTCCAAGTTGCTAATGCTTGAGTAAACTTGGTTTTCATATTTTTCATTTGTGGTTAGATCTTTGTCAAAGTTGATTTTAATACTGCCAACATTTGTTGCACCAACAGGAGTCATACTAAAAAAGCCGTATTTCCAATAACCCAACATACTGACTCTTTCATTTAAAACAAATAAGTTTTGCAAAGTTTTTTGAAAATAAGGGGCAACAGAATATAATTCACCAATAAAATGACGTCTCAATTTAACCACCCAGTTAACAGGGGAATGGAATCTATGGTAATCCCCAGGAGCAAGATATATTACAGCAAAAAATAGGTTATTGGTTGATTTTTGAATATTCTTTTCTGATTCTTTTGTTAGCTTATTCGCAATATTTAGAGCAGATTTAGTTGGCTTCATTAACGTTGCATCACCTTCACTTTCATAATCTGTTTCACCTTCAACCAAGTGATAAACATTCAGACCTTCTCCACCTATCAAATCATCCATTGTGTAGGAAATTCCGTTTAATTCAGTAAACTCTTCATGTCTTTGAATAACATGAGCATCTGGGTCATATTCGATTTCGTGAGAGGGAGCAGCTAGTCTTGTATCATTATCGCTTCCTAATAAGGATTTCAAAGAATAAGTCATTCCCTTGACTTGTTCAATTTGGCCATCATTAGAAATAATTCCAAAATTTAAGACTTTACCATCACAGGGACTAACTATATCAACAAGCTGATCAATTTGTCGCGCATCAGGCTTTAATTCTCTATAAAAGAATTCAGACAAATTTTTAAAATTTTTCAAATCCGTTTCTTTAATTTCATCCAAATTAACATCAAAAAGATAGCTATAAAATTTATAAGAAGACTCTCTCATCCATATAGGTAAATCGATGCTATTAAATTTTCCCCACAATCTTGAGATTCCATTTAATGGCAAAGTTTTATAGCAGAAAAATGTCCAGGAATTAGATGGTTTAACGTGGGATTGGTCATCTTCATGAGATAAACCATCTTTTTCTTGCTCCTTTTTTTCGCTAGACCTATAGTGATATCTTGCCATTACACCAAGAATGATAAGAGTGATTGAGGTAAAAGTCCACCATTTTATGAAATGATCTCTATTGAAGCCATCTTTGGCATAATAAGAAGTTGACGAAAAGAATCTGTTATAATTGTTTTTATTGATACCAATGTATTTGAAGTTTTTCTTAACAGATTTTAACGAAGATAGTCTTGGTCTTTTCAAATTTCTTAAGTTTTTAAAGGATTTAAGATTACCAAGACCATTTGAATAGTAATAAGATAATTTTCTCTTTGATCTTGGAATTCTAGGAAATGAATAAAAGTATTTATTTGGGTTAATTGAGAACAATTTTGAATTATAACCAGTTTTGTTTGGCCCAAGTTTGGGGTTTGAGAAAGTTGACATTGAACGAGGAAAGTTGTACGAAAATCTCAAGTTGATTGGGTTCATGTTTTTAATTCCTTTGATTCCCCTGATGTTTTTGATACCCTTTAAACCTTTGATATTTTTAATGTTTTTGATGTTTTTGATGTTTTTGATGTTTTTGATGTTTTTGATGTTTTTGAGGCCATTAAGACCTTTAATACCTTTGATCTGGTTGATATTAATATGTCTCATTGTCGGAATTAGATGGAAACTCGTTGGGTATAGAATACAACAAAGCCAACGCGAATTAACGAGCACTATGAGAATATATTCAGTAAATATTAAGAAACGAAAGTTGAGTTAACCAGTGTCTGTGCATCAACTATATATATACTCGAGCTGAGTTAAAACTGAGAATTTATTCTCTGTTCAGCAGTGTTGTCTTGACTATTAAACACCTGGACCAATAAGCGTCGCGACTAGCACCCCTTTGCAAAACAAACAATACAAGTGCAAATTCTTTCTTTTTCAGCAGCAGAAACTCAAGTGTTTGTACGATGCTCGCTTCTCTGCTCCAGTGAGGTTGTGCAAAATAACTGATCTGACGAGTGTTCTAAAATCGCATAGAAACCATCTGGTGAAATTTGTTGGAAACTGAAAATTTTAAACCCTTTTCGTAACAACTGCGTTTCGGCTGTTTGCACGCACAAAGACGGTGCATGTGATTGAGCTTCAGTACCACCAGGGTGGTAGCAGCAGAGGAAGTCGGTTCGAGCCTCCTCAAAGGTGCTTTTTCTCTTTCTTTTTTGTTTCCTCTGCTTCTCTTAACTCTGCATTTGCAACGTCTTGGAGATGGACCAGAGCTCGATTTTTAAGTGGTCGATGAACTTGGAACTGAGATAGTATGAATTCCCCTCGTCCAACGTCTTGTCTGCAAATGCAAAGAGCAACCTGATGTTCCATAGGTCCTCGATTGTGATGGGTGCTTTGACTGTCTCTTCCACCTCAATCAATGTGTCGACTATGCTGGACTTGAATATTTCGTGGGACAATTCCTCTATCTCGTCATAATTCATCTCGTCGACGTTTGGCTCATTTACAGCCCTCTGTCCATAGCTAGAGAAGATTTCTAAGTAGTTGTCAAGGCTGTTCGAAATGCTCAAATCATTATTGTTGAAATTCTCGAGCTTCAATTTATTTACTGCATTTCCATTCTCAACCTCTTTTAGCTTTTCTAATATTTCTTCAAAAGAACTTTTGATTGTAAAGTACTGCTTTTTAGGATAAACATAAACTGTCAAATTTTTCTTAAAATTATCCGAAATTTCAATGTTCTTATGAAAATCCAAGTTGATCCTGAAAAAGTTTTTGTTGAGAGCTGAAATCGCACTAATTCTATTCAATCTCGGCAATAGACATGGCGTTCTTTTTATCACTTTTCTACCATTATTCAATTGAATTTGAACATTGATTTGAATAGGCTTCATGGTTTCAATATTTCTTACAACCAAGCAATTGGGCTTCACTGATAAAACCCAAAAATGCCTTAAAGCTTGCAAATGAAGTTCATTTTCAAAATTAAAGTTTTTTCCTGGAAAAACTGGGTATAGCGATATCAATAAAGATGCAACTGCTAGATTTGAGTCATCAATTGCAAACTGGCCACCTCCGAGAAATAGAAATCCCATTGCAATATTAGTAGCCATATAATTTCCATACGTCATTTCCTTTTTAACATTATTAAATGCAACTCGTAATCGTTTGAATATATCTAAATCTCCTGAGCCTGCCATTATTAACGATAGCGATATAAGTAATATATTTTGAATGTCAAAAACACTTTGCTTGGTAAAATTTTCATCAAAACTATCGGTTTCAGTATTTAAAAGATTCATAATGAAATCTAAAAAATACAAAACAGTATTTTTGGCCTCTTCATCTAATGATGAAGCATATCTTAATCCGGTTGAAAAACAACATCCTCCAATTATATATAAATATGTCAAATAATCCGAGTTCAATGTGTCCATTCTATAAATGGCATATTTCTTCAATAGACAATTTGGTATTTGTGAATTAACCCATTTTATTGATCTTCCAATATCTCCCCACATTATTATATTTTTACAAATAACCCTGAGCAACAAAACATCTGGCCTCATATAATCTAGAAGTTGTTCGGTTTTAGGTAATTTCAATTTTTTGGCAATAGTTTTATTCATAGATTTGATATAAATTAATGATAACGCAATTAGTGCTCCAGAGGCGGCTTGATCGATAGATCTATACGTTTCAATGTCCTTTTGAGAAGTGCACATAAAAAGCAATCTTTCCAGCATATTGACTCCTGGGAGATTGTCTTCCTTTCCAAGATTCACCAATCCTAATCCAATTCCAGCTCCTAATCTGTATGCCTCATTTACAATCTCTTCTTCTGCTATTACAATAATTCCATCAACTTGTGATAACAAAATTTCAGTCATTCTTCTATGTTGGGTTTCTAAATAGAGAAAACCAATTCCAACCAACCCCGCTGTTTGAACCGGAAGTGCAACATTTAAATCATTTGAACCTTGTGGAAGCAATGCAACAACATGAACAGACAATACCTTTGTTAGTTTTATATCCATACTTCCTCTATTGCTTACAGCCATACCTAATAATAAACCAATACTTGTATAAATATGTTTGGGGCCTAAATAATTAAATATATGCCATTCTTCAAGTTTTTTAAGATGTCCTTGAAGACCCAAAGCTAATAAAAACCCTCCATGCTGAGAATTTAAAATCGGAGGTTTATTAAAAACAATCCAGCTTCCTGAAATATTTTTGAATTCTTTGGAAATCATAATTCCAGCAGATGCTCCATTGTGAAAATAGCCCCATTGGATTAAATCAGATTCAATTAAATCCTTTTCCAAATTAATCTTAGTATCGCTTGGAAATACTGAAACATTTAGATTTAATTTTGGAATTGGAAATTTTTCTGTCATTAGTGGCATACGACTAGATAGAAATAAAGCAGACCTTCCTAATGAGACAGTTAATGTTCTCAATGCAACTTTCAACGCCAATTCTTTTTGAACTCGATACATATCATATTCTACTATCTCTTGATTGGAATTTATGGCAAGAGTTTGAATTTTTGATGATTGCAATAATTTAGTTACTTCATAAAATCTTCTGTCATCTGAAAAGATTAATTTGGTAATATTTATTCTATCTGCCTCTAGTTCACCATCCCATGCATTCAAGGGTTCCACATTGACTATACTTTGAACTATTGACTGAACATCCTTAGAAATAATATTTGTGTTTGAATTGGAATTAATAATTCCATTTGCGTTTGAATTTATCCCTTTGTAAAAATTATAGCCAGTTGAGAGTGCCTTATTTGTTGGCACTGATAATTTTTTCAAATCTTTTCTTCCAATTAAATCTAATATTGGACCATTCCAATCAACTGGGGTGTTTTCTTGACAAAATGCAATTGCTTCCTTTAGTGGAATTGAGATTCCCAATGGGTATGTTTCTAGATCAATAGTTTTAATACCATACTCAGCCATACTCAAGACAATATCACTTGGTTCACACTCTGGTGAAATAATTAGCTCAAATAATCTTAAAACATGATATGTTCTTGGGGTGATAATTTTATCAACTTCATCATTTTCTTCTGTAAGTTGAGAAAATGTAACATAGGGAACAATTTCATTAGTGAAGATGCTGCATAAAGATTCTAATAAATTTGGCGGAGATTCTAAAAAATTCAATACTTGATTATTCCATTTAAATAAATTTTCATCTAAAATATTTGAATTTTTACTATTAATATAATAATTAACCCAGTTTTTAGACCAACCCATCCATAAAGTTAATTGCGCTAATAATAAACCCAAATCATCCACTTGCTCTATTGCCATTGAATCTAATTTTAAATCCTCTCTTATAAGATGTAAAGCCAAAATAATTTTTGATGAATCATCATTAAGGCATAAAATTGGATTTGGATTTGATTCATTTAATAATATTGCTTTTTCTAAATTAATAGAAATAATATTTTTTTTGTAGTTATTATTAATAAAATCATTTTCATTCAAGTATGCCCGAGGATTCTTTGGTAACAAAATAGAAATGAGGGCAATCACAAAAGCAATCCAATCTGAATGATTAACATCTAGGGATAAAGCAGCCAAATATTGTAGCCAAAGGTATTCATAAGTATAAGTTCCAATTAAGAAATCAAAAGATTTTAAACATTTTTTAACTAGATCGTTTTGTGGATTTAAGATTACATTTAAAATGTGATGATTGCCAGAACTATCTACTAAAGCAATATTTGAGTTATAAGTATCAGATAAAGAGACTATGGGTGGATATATTTTGAATAAATTGATTTGATAGGATACTAGGTTCAAAAAAGGATTTATGAAACATAGATTTGACTGATCTTTTAATATGACCAAGTAACCAGTATGACCAGATTTATTTGATAAAGGAATTGAGTCTATACAATTAAACAAATACGAATTGATTAAGACGGGAATATTAACTGAATTTGTTGAAGATCTAAAGATTAATGCTTCACAATTATTTGAGTTTAGATTTAAAATTATTAAAGATTCTTGATTTAAGAAATTTAGGCTGAAAATTTTTAGATTATTTATATTATCTTTAAAATGTATTTTTTCTAGTTTAGTTAGAATTATATCTTTTCTAAAAGACTGGAATTTTTGTGATAAATTTGAAAATTGTAAAGTAGAATTTATATGTGAGTCATTATTAGTGATTGAGTCTAATATTGAATTTGAAGAAGATAAAGAAAAGGATTGGTTTTTAATAGAAGAATAAGAAGAATTAAGATTAATAATTTCAAGATCATTTATTAGATCAATATTTGATAGTGATATATCATGGGCTATGTTTGCTGTTGAAGACAATGGTGTTGGGTTTAAAGCCATTCGATCAATTGATTGTAGTTCAGAATGAGAAGTCGATCTTTGTTTATTTGAGTCACTGTTTGATAAAGCAGCCGAGTTTGAGGGTTTGGGTAATAAGTCATCATTATTTAGATTCACAAAGGAGGTGTTAATGTTATTGATATTATTTATGTTATCATTATCATTTGAAGAAGAGTTATTGTTATTATCTTTGTTAATAAAATTTGAGGATCTTCTATTTGAGGATCTTCTTTTTGATAAAGATAGTTTACTGGAATTTAGAGTATTGGTATTAGAATTAAGATTATTATTTGAAGAAGTAGCTGAATTTAAATTATTAGCAGTGGAATGATTATTATTATTGTTATTATTGTTGTTGTTGTTGTTATTATTTCTTGTTAGGTAACGAATGTGATAAATTGTTATAACATTTGAAAAGTTGTTAAAGGTTGCAGATAAAGTACATTTGATATTTTGAGGAAACCAGATCAATTGATCATTTTTGGATATGGAAGATGTTGAAGAGGATACTACAGAGCCCAATTCAAGGATTGGATCGACTAAAGTGAAAAAAATCGGGAATTTAGGATTAACATCATTATTCTTATCATTATTGTTATTACTATCGTTATTATTGTTATTATTATCATTGTTATGATTATTACTGTTAAACTGATTTAAATCTCTTTGTAAAATCAAGCCTGAACAACATTTGAAAGATTTTTTTATTTTAAAGGGAAAAGGAAAAATATACGTAGATCCATCATTGAAATAAATGGCAGCCTTTTTAGGAAATATAACAACTAGAGCATTTTTTGAATCTTCAATATTACTATTATTATTGTCATTACCAATATCATTGGCATTAAAACCATTAGAGCTACTATGATTGATAGCAGAAGCATCATCGTCGAAAGAAACCTTTTTAGGTCGCTTTCGAAGTTTGTACTTTTTATAGAAATCTGGAGATTTGAAATTTTCAAAATAAACAAAATGAGCATCTAATATGTGATTGTCGTCATCGTTGTAGTTGGTGCTATCATGGAGAGAATTCAAATGAAAGCCTTTGTGGTCTTCACCGTCGTCATCGTCTTCATCACTGTAAACCAATTTTCTGGACAAAATGCCACCTTTGAGCCAAAAGATCATCTTCTTGGAGATCAACAAAACCTCGTTGTTGGAGGGCAAGCTGATGCGAAAAAAGGGATATTTCAAGTCATTCCTGGGCAAGTTGTTCAAGGAGTTGTCAAACTTGACGTTGATTGCCAATAGCGAAGGAGAAGCCATGAACTGAAGGCAATTGAGGAGGAGGAGGCAGCAGAAGAAGCAGAAGCAGCAGAGATCTAACCGCCAGACTTATATCTGCTGAGAGCCCTAACCCCTTTGAAGCCCTATTTTACAGCACCCGCGCTGGTGGATTTAAATACACGCCGGGTAAGCACACACTTGCAGTGCCCTGCAGCTTCCTCAACTCTCTCTTTTTCGCGCCGACGCGCTGTTCTCGCGCCGACATGCAGCCCTAGGGCTCGCTCTGGAATTCATTGCTTCTTGAATCGCTCCTCTAGCTTCTAAACAGCTCCTGCTTCCTCTGCTTCCTCTGCTTCTTTTGCTGCTTCTGCTTTTGCTTCTTCTGCTTCTTGTGTGTTCTGATTCTCTGCTCCAGAAGCCTCTTTGCCCTTTTTCTCTTGCTCTGCCTTGTGTCTGTATACTCTGACTTTTCCAGTCTCTCCCACCGCTACCATATATGTTCAGCATGTCCTTTTTCCAATCAATAAGAGGTTTCACATCTCGTACTTCGAAGAAGAACAAGAATCCTCAATCTCCCCAAGCTTCTAATATAAATTTTAATGCCTCCAGCTTGAACAACATCAACAACCCAAATAACAATCTTATATCCTCCAATACTTTTTCTTCTGTTAATTCATCTTCGCTAAACAATGCAAGAGGCCAGCCAACAAGAAACAACAATTTTCCAATTTCTTCAAATGCTTCAATGCTAACTAGCAACTCTTCCAACAATAACTCTTCCTACAATAACATATCCACAACTCAAACATCTAATTCTCAGTACTCCAATTCAAATCAAAACATCCCTCCCAATAACAATAATCAAAATTCAACTCAACTTGTCAACTTGCTCAATAACAATAATGGCGGCTCCTTTGCCATTAATAACTGTATGACTAATGGTGTTATCGACCTTAATGATCCACCATTATTTTTATGCGATCCATTTCTTAGAAGTGCTGTTGTTAAGGGTTCTTTCAAGACCATTGTTCAACTACCAAAGTATGTTGAGTATAAAGAATGGTTAGCATTGAACGTCTTTGAGCTATTCACAAATTTAAACCAATTTTGCGATATTATCATCGATTTATTACAACCTGATATAATCAATTCAACTCCAAATAACAATGTCCAAGTTGTCACCTTTTATCACGTTGATCCTTTCACAAACCAAAGTGTGAATTTACCATCAAAGAAATACATGGAATTTGCTCTTAATGTTATTAACGAAAAAATCAATGATCAGTCTGTCTTTCCAACAAAAAATGCTATCCCCTTTGCTACAAGTTTTATGAAAGATTGTAAAAAATGCTTATCTGAAATGCTAAAAATATTCGGTCATATTTATTTCAACCATTTCGACAAAATCATCCATCTATCTCTCGAAGCACATTTTAATTCTTTTTTTTCTCATTTTATAAGTTTTATCAATGAATTTGACTTGGTTGATAAACATGAATTAGTACTCTTAAATCCTCTTATAAAGTCTTTAGAAAAACAAGGAAAGATTTCCTATCCAAATCCTGGTGATCTTGAGTTTTATCAATCTCAACAAGCAAATTAATCCAGAACTATAAATATACCACATATTAATTATTATTATTATCACTATCACTATTTCCACAGTTTTTTTTTCCTTTATTTTTTTTTTTTCAAATTTTGTTTATCCTTCGTTAATTGTTATCGTTTTTTCCCCCTTGATATTATATATGAATATAAATGTATAGTATATAATTATAAAAATATGTTTACTTTTTTTACATTAAACACACTTTTCAATATAAATTTAGTTATAGTACAGATTTTCAACTTACATAATATTTAATATTTATTATTTAATATTCAAAATTAATTATAAAAACACACCGAAAAAAAGAAATAAATAGATAAATAAGTATAAATTAATAAACATTCAGAAAATTATTATTTGAAATTTTGAACCAAAAAATATAAAATAATGTATAAAAACCAATTATAGTAAATGCGAGTAAAATTTTCACTAAGTCAAAAAGTATAAATAAAAAATAAAAGAAATAACCAAAACAATTCATTCAAAATTGAGTTTAAACGCTTTGAAATTAATATTAATGAGCCATTATAGAAGGATATAATTTTTTAGGCAGGCTGACTTTAAGTTGAGTATTATTTAAAGTTTCTTTATTATTGCTGTTATTATTTTTATTATTATCAAGGTCATTTAACGCCTCTTTAATCAATACACGAATATAATTAATTATATTTCGGTGTCTTTCTAATGTTTCTTTATCGTTGTTTTCAACTTTACGGCCAATATTCAAACTGGAGAATATTTCAGAAAGCTTATCATCATTTTCATTTCCATTTTGATTTTGATTTTCCTGTTCCTTTTTAGTTCTCATGTTGATTGAATCGATTTCACTGGATTTTTGATTAACACCAATATTATAACGTCTAGCATTATTGCTTTCAAAATCAAACCTGGCTGAAATTTGAGGAGAACCATAATGATTAATATTAGCAGGCATTGTTGGATACAAAGAAGATCCACTAATGGAACCATTAGAGTGGTTCTCATTAACAATATTAGATATTGAATGTGAGTGGGGTCTATTAATATTGCTACCGAAATTATTAGCATTATTGTTATTATTATTGTTGTTGTTATTGCTATTATTATGGCTATTAGGATTAGGAATGTTACTTGAGGGATTTGAAAAGTTTGAAGATTGATTATTAGGTGAATAATGATCCAAAGAGTTTGTCAATTGATTGAAAAATTTGTCGGCTTCAAGTAACTCTTGAGGTTTAACTGAGTTATTATTAATTGGCGGTAAAGAGATGTCGTTATTATTCCTGAAAGAGGATTGCAATGAATCCAATTTGTTGCCAATTGAGTTATTATAGCGAGGTAAAATTTTTGAGCGCTTAATATCTTCATAAAAATCCGATATTAGGGAGTTAATTTTACGTTTTTTGGATAAAATTTCGGTGTCAAAAGAGTTTGAAGAGTTGTTTGGAATTGAGGAGGAAATGTAGGAGGAATCCAATGGTTGTGGATGTAGTGGGGAATGATAATCATCATTTGGTGGTAGGATGACATCATAGTTTGAATAATAACTATTATTGTTGTTGTTGGTATTGGTGTTGTTGTTGTTGTTATTGGTATTGATGGAATTGAAATTATTTGGTTGATTATTTGATTGATAGTTAAAGTCGTTATAAGAAGGGTGATAAGAGTTATTTGGATTATAATCGTTGGGGTAATTTAAGGATGAGTAAGGATGGTGAGAGTTTTGATTTTGGTTCATAAAATTGAAGTTAAGTAGGTTATTTGAGGGGTTGATGGAGTTTAGGTTATTCAAGTTACTTAGGTTGTTTAAATTGTTCAAGTTAGTTAAATTATTTAGACCGTTGATTGAGGTGGTGATTGGGTTGTTGTTGTTGGTTGATAGAGAGGATAAAGGATTTTGGTTTAGATTTAAATTCAAGTTTAGGTTTTGATTTAGAGAGTTGATATTTCCAGCATCATCGGCGTGAGTTTTGATATGTTTTTTCAAATCCTGAGGTCTTTTGAATCTTTTAGTGCAAACTTGACAGGAGTAAGGTTTTAAAGGAACGTGAACTCTTAGATGGGAGGTTATATGGTCTCTTTTAACAGTTTGGACCTTACAGTTTTCCCAGTTACAGTTAAGAGATAGGTTTCTGTTGCATTTTCTGCCAACATGGAGATCACACAAATGTGAATATAACTGTTCAGGAGTATCGAATATTAGTTTGCAGTCGCCCCATTTGCAAGGCAATGGGCCTTTAATTTCATCATCTTTAATTTTTTTAATGTATTTTTTTGACCTCAAGCTTTGGGTTTGGGTTTGATTTTGATTTTGATTTGAAAGTAATTGTTGTTGAGTGAGAGCGGACCGTTGCTGATTCTGTTGTTGGATTTGAAGTTGGGCTTGAACTTGTTGTAATTGTTGTAAAGCAAAAGCGTTTAAATGAGAGGGATGTGGATGAGATTGAGGATGGGAGGGATGAGGAGGAGGAGGAGGAGGAATTTGATGAGCGTTGTAATGAGTGTTTGAGTGAGGATGGGGAGGAGGATAGGATGATCTATGGTTGTAGTGGAAGTTGTTGTTGTTATTGTTGAATTGGTTTTGATGCTGGTTTTGGTTTAAATTTAAGCCAGCAATGTTGTTTAGAGCGTTCATGTTCATTGATAAAGGATTCGAGCGGTAGTTGTAGTTTGAGTTATAATTTGAGTAATAGGAGGGTCTTAAAGGGAAGGAAGAGTTTGAAGAGTTGTTGTTGTTGTTGTTGTTGTTGTTATTATTATTATTATTATTATTATTATTATTATTATTATTATTATTATTATTATTATTTGGGATGTTGTTATTGTTGGAAAGGTCAAAGGGTGAGTAAGAGGATAGATTATTTGAAGTTGAAGAGGATAGTTTTTGGTTTGGAGAGATGGAAGCTGAGTTTGGGTTGGAGTTAGAATTGGAGTTAGATGAAGAAGGCTCATTATAAGTGACAGATAAATTTGAGAATGGATCAATAGGATTTGAAGAGTCATCATTAATGTTACCTTTAGAAGTGTTGTTATGATTATTATTTGAATTGGTATTTGCATTGATACGAGTATTTGTATTATTGTTATTGTTATTTATATTGTTATTGTTGTTGTTATTGTTATTGTTATTGTTATTGTTTTTATTGATATTGATTTTATTATCAGATTGAGACAAGTCATTTGAGCTGACTGAAGAAGGGGAAGATATGTTTGACAAATCTGATTTTGATTTTGAAAGGGAGTTTGAGATTGACAAATTGTTTGGAGATAGAGAAGCAGGAGATGACGAGTCGGATGAGTTGGATAGGGTGGAAGATCTGGAGATGTTCAAATTGGTGGTATTGGCGATTTTGTTATCTGAATTCAAGATCTCATTCTTGTTGTTTGAGATCTTGGGCAGGATGACAGGAAGATCGTTATTATTGGTATTGTTTCTGGTTCTACTGGTGCTGTTGTCAGCGTCGTTGATGGACAAAGCGTAGTTGTCCATCAGTGTAGGGGAGAGAGACATGGCAGAGGAGCGAGAAGAGGGAGAAGAAACAGAGGAGGAAACAGAAGCAGTGGATTCAATGATCAAGTTGGAGGCGTCTTTGGGAAGAGAGGAAGAGCGGTAGGAGAGATAGTCTAGATGGTTAACCTTAGAGATATCGAGATCAGGCAAAACAGACATACGCAGAAGAGAAGGAAAAATAAGGGTCCTCTGGAAATAATAAGTGAGGAAGAGAAGAGATAGACATAGGAAGGATATTTATATGACGAGAGCAGCACCTGTTCGCTCCACGCCAAGCCCAAAAGAAAGACTCAGAAGGAGACAGCCCTGCTTACGTCAGCGAAACCCTGACGTAAGCACACGCGACATGGCTTAGTCAGGGTTGCGTCAGCCTTGGCCTTCGTCACCGTGCGCGGACGCGGCAAGCTGTTTGGGTTGCACGGTGGGCCTGGAAAGCGCAGTTCTATATATAGCAGTGCGCGTGATTGATCGTTCCGCAAGGTCTGGGCTTAGAAGTGCCGACGGTGGTGGGGCGACGATGATGACGAAGAGCGGCCGAACGAGAGCGCTTGAAGCACCTGAAATTGCTGTTCCTTCTCCTGCAGCATTTCAGAGCTCAACACAGCCCAATACAATTCTCTTACTCAGACACAGCAATTCCACCTTCCGCTCCCATCGGCTACATTCTATCCTTCACACCCACCATCCCATCTTGCAGTTACCTTTGAATTGCTCTCAAATTACTTCCGAATCACAGGCGAACTCTCCAAACACACACCAAATTCTCCCAGAGAAAATTACTTGTTTGGCCTGTTTTCTCAAGTTTCAGAATTCTAACCCAATAACACTGACAATAAACAGCTCTGCACCCAGGTTTATATTCAATTTAAAATTCCATCCTTCATTCACTCCCATACTTTTTGCTCCTCCAATATCAGTCTCTTTCATCTCTTAAATATTTCCAATCCAATCACTGTGTTTCTTCCATTTTTGCTTCCACAGAATCTCTTCATTATTATCCATATTTAAGCTCAAAACTTATATCCAATCCTCAGCACTCAATCCTTATTTCTCAATACTTAGTAATTATTTAATAATAGATTAAGAATAATTTGGAAAAAACTAGAAACTAGAAATATATAACTTTTACTATCCTATTGTTTTTGTATTATATTCACTCGCTTTCTCAAAATATCCACTATCACATTAATTATAGTTATAATTACACTAATTATATCATCAACATTTTCTAATGATTTCAATATCATAGTCAAAAAAAAAAATAATAAAAAACACATTTCTAATTTCTAATTTACAATTTACAATTTACAATTTACATATACAATTTACATTATACATTCGATCTTAAATTTATCTCCCATTTATCTATATTAATTTCAATCATCCATATCATATTTATATCATATCATATCATATCATTCTTATATTTATTTCATTTTATTTCATTTCAATTTTTTTTATCTGATTTTATCTCATTCACCTCACTCTTTAATATCATTTTATAATATCATAATTGGGTTTTTTCTGTTTGGTTTCTTTTTCTCATCAATTTCATTCTCACATCTCATATTTATTCCATATTAATCTAATCTAATCTAGTTTAACTTAATTTAATTTAATTTAATTTAATTTAATTTAATTTAATATAATGTCCACTCTAATAATAATAATAATAATTTTCTTCTCCTTTTTAATAAACTTGTCTTACTCAATAGATTTATGTAACTCTTTAAACTCGGCTCAATCCCAAGTCTCAGTATCAATCTACCAATCCAATGGTCTATGTCAAAACCACTGTTCAGATCTAAACTATGCCTATGCTATTCTCCTAAATAAAAACTGCTGGTGCTCAAATCTAACTCCTGATCCTGATGATGATGTTTCAACCAGTGAGTGTAACGATTCTTGTCCCGGCTATCCAGATGATAGTTGTGGTAGTGTTAGCGACTCTTATTACGCTTACATCCAAATATCCTCTCCATCTGGTACTTATTATGCTGAATCTTCGACAAAGACCTCTCAGGATTCAACTCAATCTTCCAATAATGATGACGAAGATAATAATAGTAACGACGACAATGATCAAAAAACAACTGCCGTGGTAACCCAAACAGTATCCGTCAAAATAACAACAACTTCAAAATCAACTGAAAAATCAACTGTTCTAACAACATTAACAATAGAACCTTCAACAACCATTCAAGAAAATACAATAATTCTAACCTCAGTAGTACTAGTAACTCCATCTTCAGATTCAGATTCAGATTCAGATTTAAACGCCAACTCAGACACCAACTCAAATACTCAATCGGTCACCTCTCCTTCGGCTCAATCAACATTAACCTCAGTTTTATACTCGATATCAATACGAGACGGATCTTCAGTCACCATTGTAGTCTCATCCATAATAACACTACAAAACTCAAACTCAAACTCAATTACAAATACAAACACAAACACAATTTCTCAAACCGCTACTGACAATTTAGACACATCAACCAATTCCTTCGTTAATAACGACCTATCTGAAACGTCTGACTCCAGTGACAACTCTACCGACGTTAATGATAACTCTAATGACAATGACAATGACAATGACAATGACAATGACAATGAAGATACTACAAACTATGGCAACATCTACACTAAATCAAATTCTTTCTGGGACTCTCCAGGTAAAATAGCCGCCGTCTTTGTTTCCGTTGGCCTATTCTTTCTAGTTCTGATTGCCCTCATCGTCTTTTTCCTCCTAAGAAGAAAATTCAAAAATGACAAAAACATCTCGCCCTATCAAAATGGTGATTCTGACGATAACGGTTCAATAACAAAAGTAACTGCAACTCCAATACTAATGGACAAAAACTCTCACAAATTCACAAGAAGTGATGGCGAGACTCTAGTGCCACTTGTCGACCAAAGACTAGATCCTGATGCCTTAATGATGAGTCTTGACGCTGGTTCCAAAAAATCCTTTGGTGATGAAAAAGATTACTCCCGTAAATTTCTAAGAGTAACGAATCCTGATTTATAGCCCATAATCTTAATAAATGATTTTTTTTCTCTTTTTTCCTCTTTTTTTTCTCTTTTATTCATTGATATTTATATCAACAGTTCAAATATTAAGTTTCCATCAATAGGGATGCAAACACAGAAAAATGTATGCCATCCAAGTACTATTATACTGGATTTTTAAAGACTAAAATCAACAAATATCCATCATTGAATCAACTCAATTTGTGTCAAACAATAATTAATCATTCAATTATCGCCCTGTCAGTTGATCGTCAATTGAACTGGTAATATCTTTACAATAGAAAATTCAAATTGAAATTGAATAACCTGTGGGCCGACAAGTATTTAGATATTCAAATGTGAATATTCATTTAATTGAAAAAATAAATCAGGTTTGTTGGTTCAAATAAGGATTTCAATATTCAATTCAGCAAGAAAAAATTCAATCAAACCATTTATAAAATCCTCAATATCAGTAATTAAATTATCTATTTGAATTGATTACACTTAATTGAAGCTGATCAAAATCAACTGATACTCAATTTCAGTTATTCATTTGAAGTTAGAGTATAAACTCTGGGAAATTGGAACAAAAACTAAATAAAACAATAAATACAATCTGGATGAAATCTGGATGAAATCAATCAAAAAGACATCAACCACCATCAACCACACACATCCCAGTTCTCGTCAAATCCACCATTATATATATTCCCTTGCTGCTGAATATATCACTGAAAATGGTCGTCTTTGAGAAATACCTGAGAAGCGGCTGTTTTGGGAAGAGCTGCTCTAGCATGCGCTGTGATTGGCCAGACTCAAAGACTTCCACCAAGGTGGGGTCAATTCTGTTGCGTTGCACTCGCGCTAAGCAAAACCACACCTCTTCTATAGGGATCAGCTACTCCAGCTTTTCTGGTGAAAAACAGATTTCTGCACCCGAGTTTGTGTTCGCTCCTGTGTTCGCCAACACTCTACTTCCGTGCAATAAAAGCGACGGATTGGTCATCCGCTCTATTTCCTGATTTCGGTATTTGCTTCCTCTCCATCATCTGCTGTTCGCTATACCCCAATACTGCTGACGAAAACAAAAACAGATCACACCTTCGCCAGAAAAACAAGGCTGTCTGCTTAGATATATAAACAAAAAAAGATCTATTTGGAACCAGTTGATAACTAGTTGATAATCTGCTGCAAGTCCTCTGGAAATCTGGCCTCTGCCTCCAGGTCTGTCTCTATGAAAACTATCTCACACTTCCTGTACGATCCACTACTACCGCGTTCGTCTGGCCATCCGTGACGCGCATTTCCTTTTTGATTGTTTTCAAACTCGGACAAACTTCCTCAACCCGCTTTCCTGAATCATCCTAAGGTAATACAACCCTTCAGCAAAAACACTCAACTAAAAGCTCGCTAACTGTGGTTATTTTCTCTAGTTTCCAATTCTATTCCCATTTCAATTAGATAACATGCAGCATATCCATTATATGACTTTCAATTGGAAACAGAAAACGCACTTGAACTCCACTGCAATCATGTCCCAGTCACTTTTCTCTTCAAAATTGTTTTCATGCCCTGGGCCTTGATATGTAGAAAATCGGCTCGGCTCTTGAAGTTAAATGGCGAGCTTTTCGAACAACCAACAGAACGAAAGCAAAAAAAAAATAGAAAAAAAACTGAAAAAAATAATTATTGAAAGTGTTTTATGTTGGAGAATTATCTGTCTTTTCTACCAAAACAATTTGCCCTCTTTTTCACTGTTTTCGAGTAAAGCAATACAACCCCTCAGTATCAGTACTTAATTATATTTTTATTATATTTTTTATTATATATTTTATTATATGCCCATTCAGATTTAAACTTCGAGTCCATTTAAGACAGGTAAATCGGTTTTTTCACTTATACAAAAATTCTTAAAAAAAAAAATAAAAGAAATTACAATCCATTTTTGAATTTAAATTTAATTTCATTATATATTAATTGGTTTTCTTCGTTATTTCTATTTTAATTATATTTCTCTTTCTTTTTCTTTATCTCCAGAATCAAATTCCTCGAGTAAAGTTAAAATTAATTTTTGCTTCAGATCAAATTTATATTCCAAAGAAACATTCCAATATCTGATTTTCAATTCATTTTTTCAATTCATTTTTAATTCAATTAGTCCTAATTTATAATTTATTTCCATAATGCAAGCTTTAAACTTAAGAACAACCACTAGATCTGGTTTATCCTCATCTTTGAGAAAAATCAATCCATTTTTATCTGCAAACTTATTTTTGAGATCAATTTCTACCCCAGCTTTCGCCAATATTAAACAATTGCCACCAGACCCATTATTCGGTATCTCTGCTCGTTCAAAAGCTGATAAAAGATCTCCAAAGGTCGATTTGGTCTTGGGTGCTTACAGAGACAACGAAGGTAAACCATGGATCTTGCCTTCTGTCAAAGTCGCCGAAGAATTAGTCAAGGCTGATCCTTCTTATAATCACGAATATTTAGCCATCGATGGTTTCAAGACTTTAACTGTTGCTGCTTCTAAAGTCGCTTTAGGTGCAGAATCTTCTGTCTTTTCAGAAAATAGAATTGTTTCTTCTCAAACTTTATCAGGAACCGGTGCCTTGCATCTTGCTGGTGTCTTTTTAAGCAAATTTTACACTGGAAACATCTCTTCTGTTAACGCCGATACCACAATCAGCTCAGAAAACAGATCTAAATTTTATGTATCAAAACCAACTTGGGCTAATCACATCCAGATTTTTGACAGTCAAGGTTTTGATGTTAAAACTTACAGATACTGGAATGATGCTTCAAAGACTTTAGACTTTGAAGGTTACTTGGAAGATATCAACAATGCTCCAAGTGGTTCTATTTTCTTATTGCACTCTTGTGCCCACAACCCAACTGGTTTAGACCCAACCCCTGAACAATGGATCGAGATTCTTAACACCATCAAATCAAAGAAACACTTAGCTATCTTCGATACTGCCTACCAAGGCTTTGCCTCCGGTGATTTAACCAAAGACGCCTGGGCTTTAAGAAAGGGTGTAGAAATATTGGATACCCCAATTGTCATCTGTCAATCCTTTGCTAAGAACACTGGTATGTACGGTGAAAGAGTTGGTGCTCTTCATGTTGTCTTACCTGAAACTAATGAGCCTTTACTCTCTGCTATTGCTTCTCAATTGAAAAAAATCACAAGATCTGAATTGTCAAACCCACCAGCCTATGGTGCTAAAATTGTTGCTCAAATCTTGTCTTCCCCAGAATTATCCGAACAATGGAACAAGGATTTAGTTACCATGTCTGGTAGAATCAACAAAATGAGAGCTCTTCTAAGAGAAAACCTTGAAAAATTAAACACCCCAGGTACTTGGAACCATATAACTGATCAAATCGGTATGTTCTCATTTACTGGTTTAAAAAAAGAACATGTTGAAAGATTGGCTGAAAAACATGCCATCTACTTAGTTGGTTCTGGCAGAATTTCTGTTGCTGGTCTTAACGAAAATAATGTTGAATACGTTGCTAAAGCCATTGATGAAACTATTAGACATTTTGAATCCAAATAATGAATTAATGATTTTTTTATAGATTTTTTAACATTTTTAACCTAAGCTAATAAACTACTGATTTTCCTTTTCTCACCAACCCAAGTAACTAATAAGTAAAATTAAAAAAAAAAAAAAGAAAACTATCTTTCATTTAAATTAGATAACTATTTGCAGATTACTTATTGATAAACAATAAACTGTTTCAAATTCTCAAATTTACTCGCTTAAAACAAACTCTTTTAGCCTTTCATCAATTATCTTTTCATCTTTTTCCTGCAAAACATCAGCTTCTTGTAAAACTTTCTTGGTATTTTCAACAATCTTTTGCCAATCAATCTTACTGACTTGGTTGCTAAAAACCACTGTATCTAACCAACTTTTCGCATCTTCTTCTGAATAATCTAAATTTTGGTAGATATAATTAGCCGATCCTCCTTGATTTTTAACAAAATATGAGATTCCTTCTTGGATCGAACTCAAAAATTTATCGACATCTTCTTTGGATTCTCTTAAAAGAGAACTGCTCGATACAATGACCCAAGATGGCCATGGGGTATAAATCTCACCAATTTTCTTGATTTCTTTTAGATCATAGTATTTCTTTGTAGTAAAATATTCCCACATAAATGCATCACTATTACCTAATTCCTTTGAATTGTTATCAGGTAATTTCAAGTTAACTGAATCTCTTAAATTTTTAAAATTATGGCAGATTGGATATGAGTCGAAATATGGTTTGGAAAACTTTCTCTGTAACGCTAATACAAAGGACATAACATAGGAACCAGATCCAATTCTCGAAACAGAAACTCTTTTGCCATTCAAGTCATCTGGGGAAGTAATATCATCTCTGTCAACCCCAGATGAAATTGACCAACAGAGTGGTGAATCAACATATGTGCCAACTATAGAATACTCTTTATCTCCGTCACAGATTCCACGAATAAAGGCTTCTGTTAGTCCAATGGCGATATCAATCGATCCATCTTTGAGAGATTGAATAAGATGGCCTGAACCAGATGGATAGGAAATTAGCTCAACTGATAAACTATTCTTTGCAAAATAACCATTGGCTTTGGCAAAATAAATTGGAGTAGAAAAGTGCTCTGGAATATATCCGATCTTAAGGGTCTTCGAAGTCATATCTCAAAAACCACCTCGTATTAACTTACTACTGCAATCAACTATAATAGATCAATACAAATATAATCCCAAGTCTGTTCAACAGTTTGAATTGCACCTCGAAGGTTGGAGAAAGTTTATCACAGCAATTCCGCTAACGTTCTATTTGCTGGATTAGAATTTGATGTCTCAAGTTTTTTCCTCCATGAAGCATTATCCAGATGGATACTGGGCATAGTTGGGGGCACATTTAAGATCCAGAAGAGCCCTGGCTGTTACAACGATAAACAGATCAAGAAAAGCTGGATCAACAACAATTAAAAATAAAATTCATTTTTATTTCCCTATCGTTTATCCCAAAGGCATTCTGGATTTAGGTTTACTTGAGAGAGAAGGTGTTGAAATATGAGACTTTGCTTTTATAGAAAATAGACACTATTTCTCTATTCCCCCAGAAATTATTGGAATGCTGTTTCACAAAACAGAAGATTCCTCAAAGAAGACAAGAGGAAGTGAAGCGAAATAACCGATTCATTGCCATTCTGTTCAGCTCCAATAGTGGAATAACAGACATACGAGCGAGGATATGATAAATCTTGTAATGTATAATGTTGCTTAAGCTTTATCAAATGCCAAAAGTTTCTTTCTTGATTATTTTCTGCTGCTATCAATTAATAAGACAATGGTTTCTTTGAAATTCTCATAGGGAATTGGCATAAGTTATTACCATGGTTTGTGTTGGGTCAAATTCCTTTATTATATTAAGTTTTGGCTGGTTTATTTTTGTTAAACCAGTGCAACTTATCCCTATAAGTTTTTTCAAGAGATAACAAGTAATCAACCAAGAATCAACCAAATAACGGGGATTCTATTGATTTTTACTGTCTTATATATAAATAGCTTCAGATAATGATTGATCAGACAGCTTCTAATCAGCTCAGAGGAAGCCTCCCTACCACCCTTTTATCAATTCCAAAGAATCATGACAATTGCTAATAAATTAGTTGATAACTATTATGTGCCTCAGTTCAATAACCAAATCACCATAAAATCAAAGATATCAAATATCTTGATTATTACAAAGATTTATGATCTCGAGCCAATTCTAGACACCAAAACTTTAGTCAAATATCTCCTACTGCTTAAAGAATACGGAATCAATATTTATATTCAAGATAAGCTAAAGATGATTAAGGAGTTTGGATATAATGAGATTTTAGAATATAAGGAAACACTAAAGTCTAAATCAGGTCTAAAGTTTTGGAATTCCGAATCATTTACTTTCAAGCCAGACTTGTTTGACTTAGTTATTACAATGGGTGGTGATGGTACTGTTTTGTTTGCCAGCTTATTGTTTCAATCTTACATGCCACCAGTCTTAAGTTTTGGGCTAGGCTCTTTAGGATTTTTAACAGATTATCAGTTTGAAAACCATCAAGAAATTCTAGGAAATATGATAAAGAATGGATTTCATTGTTCTGTTAGAAGACGATTTCAATGTACCGTCATGAGATCTGATCAAAGCAGAATCAAAAATGAAAATGAAAATGAAAATATAAACGCAAATAAAAACGCAAATAAAAACGACAAAACATTAGCAAATGGAAAGCAAGCGATGATATCCCTCGCTAACATCAGAGATTTGTCTGAAGAAATTGCAAGGAATAGCAATAATACAGATTATATTGAGGATTCTTATAACTTTCATGAAACTCACAAAGTCTTGGAAACATACATCATCTTCAATGATATTGTATTTGATAGAGGTCCAAATTCGACTATGACTTCAATAGATTTATATGGTGATTTTGAACCATTAACAACAATTGAAGCTGATGGCTGTGTCATTGCTACACCATCAGGATCTACTGCTTATTCGCTATCTGCTGGAGGGTCATTAGTTCATCCAGAGATCCCAGGGGTTTTAATTTCACCAATTTGTCCTCATACTTTGTCACTCAGACCATTAATTATCCCCGAAACCATAACTTTGAGAGTTGGAGTCCCATATAACTCAAGAAGTACGGTTTGGTGTTCCTTTGATGGGAAAAATCGAATTGAATTGAAAAATGGGGATTTTGTTACCATTACTCCAAGTAGATACCCTTTAAGTTTTGTGAAGAACAATACTTCAAAGTTATTATGGTTTAAAAGATTAAGTGATACATTGAATTGGAATGAAAGAAAAAAACAAAAGCCAATGACCAAAATTGCAATGTGACTTGATGTATAATGAATTGTGGTAAATGACAACAACAATGATAATGATAATGATAGTGATAATGATAATAATGATGATAATAATGATGATAATGATGATGACAATGATAATGACAATGATAATGACAATGCTAATGATAATGATAGCGACAATGGTTTTTTAAGTTTTTTTTTAGGTAATGGTTTTGGATTTCTTTTATTTGGTGTACTTGAGCCGATCTTGAGCCACTTTTGGGTTCAGATTGAATATTTTTTTTATCTTTGTTTTTTTGTCTTTTGGGTTGTTTTTTTTTTCTGTTTTCTTTCTTTTTGGTTTTTGTTTTAGATATGTAGAATAAATATAGTCAGTAGTAGAAATATGATGATATATGAATATAATTGCAAATTATTTAAGATTTTATTAAGTTGAGTTTTTATGCCGATTTGAAAAACTGAAAAGCTGAAATTTAGAATTTTACAAATTTGAAGTGGGACTATAAAAACGTCAACGATCGCTATTAGAGTGAAATTTATTTGATCATAAAACAATACTTATTTTGGAATCCTCAAGCAAAATGTCATCAAAGAGAGATATTTGTGAATCAATTAACTTGGTTCATTGCAATAGCTCAGAACTTTATATTCCTGAGGTGTTTGATAACTCGTACTCGACCAAGAATGGAGAAGAGGATTCATTGTCGATTTCGTTTAATTTAAAAGAGAGCATCAACTGTATAGATTGGTACAAGGATATAATTGCCTTAGGATCTGATCAGAACCTAGTAATATTATCATCAATAAATGAATTTAGCAATAAAAATACTGTTAAGGAGGAAAATAATCTTAGCTATCTTTCAAATACTCTATCAACTGATTTTCAACGAAAAAATATCCGAATAGTTAAATTGTTTAAAAATAATGAATTGTTTGAAGATTCAATAAAGTCAATTGATTTGATTCGAATTACATCAAAACTTGTTTTAGTTGGGTCATTTAATAGTGGGGTATTAGTATTGATTAATCATTCGAATTATTTTTCATTCAAGAATAATGCTATTATTGGTAATGGTAATGGCAATGGTAATGACAATGAGAAAAGCTTCAATGATGTTGGAAATAGTACATTTGAAAATGAAAATTTAGAATTTTTAAGAATTGATACCAATAAGAAAAACATTATTAACTTTGATATTAACGATGAGGGAATAATATCAGTTATAACTGATGATAAACTCGTTTCAATCTATGATTATAAGATATCAATAAAAGAGCCAATAAGAATATTCAAGTTAACGAACAATGGGATAAAAGTTAAATTCATGAAGAATAATAGATCAATATTGGTTTTGGAAGATAAAAATATAATTCGAATTTTGAATTATATTGATTTGAACGTATCACAATCAAACAATCAAAATAATCAAAACAAGAAACGGTTAATTAAAAAAAATTATCAAACAATATTTATTAATAATTCATTCAATTTAAATGAAAATAATGAAATATTAGAAGTGTTTGAAAATAGTGATGAGAGCAATGACGAAGAAAATATTTTGGTGTTGTTTAAAAATGGAATTTATAAGATATTCAGCATATTGTATAATGAGCATATTAATGTACCAATAAAAGTCGGTAGGTTAGAAGGGTTTTTAGACAAGGGAGGATTTGATAAATTTGATAGTGATTATGATAATTTTACAAGCAAATTGGTGAGTTCAAGTTTATCAAATGACAAGAATAGACTATTGATTGGCAAGTTAGGTAAAAAAAACTGTATATTTTATGATTTAAGAGAGAATGAAATCGAATCAGCTTCATTATCATTATCATTGCTGAGTAAAAATGGTAAAAATACTATTAATAGCAGCAACAATAATTTTCTCTTTAATAAAGTGGAAAATAACCAACATATGAGACAATTAAGAATGAATTTGCCCAGCTATGAAATTAACTGTGGGTCAATAAACCATAAAGGAATTGTTGGATTTATTTCAGGTTATAAATTGATTTTATCCAAGCCCTTTGAATCAAACAGTTATTTTTAAATTGAAAGAGAAATGATTTATTAAAGATATAGTTATTTATTATTTTTATCGATGATGAAAAAAAGTCATGTCCGAGCAGATCAAAGGTATGCCCAGTCAAATATAGACACCAACTGAATCAGCTAGATAAATAGCACCAAAACCAAACGATAGACTTGCAATGACCGAGTATATTATATAATAAAAATTTGATTTGTTTGATAATTTATTCGTAAATACACATAAGATTATAAAAAACACTGAGATCAAAAGCGCGATGATAGACAAAATAGGCTGGCTTTCTAGAGGAACCAATTCCTGATAACTGGCAGCATCAGCCCATTCTTGGGTCAATTGAGAGTACAGATCCATGGCAATTACAGCTGAGCTTATGGGAGTTCTGTGATTAAATGGAAGTTCTGTGACTATATAACAGCTCTTCAGAACAATTCTTCCATCTCACGACTTTTCAGTTTGTGAAGTTGGAACTTTGACAGCACAGAAACCACGTGGCCTGTTGCAGACAGCCGTGGTTCGAATCGCTCAGGGGAGAAGTTTCAGCGAGGAAGATTGTAGCTGCCTGTGCTGTTTCTCCTGGAAGCAGACACAACATATCTATAAAGACATATGTACAAAAAAGATGAAATGAAGAGCAAAATCAAGAAATGCAAACAGACACAATTCAAGGAAAGCGTCAGTGACAGAGCTATATGTTACCAGAAAAACAAACTAATAATACTTATTTTCGTTTATTTGGTTCTTGTCAAAACAGAATTGGTGATGAATTCTAAAGCATATCGACTTTCTGATTCTGGAAGTTTTTTCAAATTCTCCAATGCAAGGTTTCTATATTTTTCAGCTAGTTGTTTGGACTTTTCAATTCCATTGTGTCTCATAACCGACTCAATAGCTCTTTCAATATCGCCTGGCTGATTAAATTTCCTTGCAATCAATTTGCCCAATGCTGGTTCTTCTTGCCATGCATACAATACTGGAGCAGTAGCTAATCCTAATTTCAAATCTGCACCTGCAGGTTTACCCAATTGATCGGCAGCAATTGTATAATCCAAGACATCATCGACAATTTGAAAACATAATCCCAAGTTTCTACCAAATTCATAACAATGATCGATCAACTTTTCATTAACACCGGATAACACAGCAGAGGCTCTGCAAGATTTAGACATTAACGAGGCAGTTTTGAGATATGATTTATGTAAGTAATATTCAAATGCTGCTAGGATATTATCTCTGTGATCAAGATTTAAATTTTCATTTGGAATTTGAACTCCATGATTTTGGAGTTTTACAGGTACTTTGTCATATTTTTGTGGAGGTAAATATTTACCACTATCCAACATATTTTCATTTTTATTTAGCACAGTATTCTTCAATTGCATGAATTCACCTTCAACCAAATTGGCAATTGCTGTTGAAATTAATTCAATTACTTCCGGATTACGTATTCTTGCTAAAGCAACAGAGGCTCTAGCTAGGAGAAAATCACCTGCTAAAACTGCCATTTTATTTGAAAATGCATAATTGCCTGAGGGTCTACCTCTTCTCGAGTCTGAAAAGTCAATAACATCATCATGTAATAAAGACGCTGTGTGAATTAATTCGATAATCTCTGCTAATCTTCTTTGCTTGGGCAAAATACCCAAGTTACTTGATTGATCAATATTAGGCAATTGATTCAATGGTTTAGATAATGGATCTAAAATCAACTTTGGATTCATCCCATGTAAAATATTTAATGGAGATAATGATGTATTAACATCCCCCTTTGTGATTGTTAAAATCGATGAATTTGTACCCTTGTATGAGGGCTGATCATAACTATCCATATAATCCGGATTCAATCTTGTTCTTTCGCTCTCATCAATAACACTCAAGCATCTTGAAATCAATAAAACAATCAAAGGACGCAACTTCTTACCATCACTCTCAAAATAATACGCAGCAACTTTATTCAAAGTGGAATGTCCTGAACCAATTAAACTTGCAATATTTTTAGCTAAATGTGACATTTCATGTGAAACAATTGACAATGGATCATTCAATCTAACAGTTGGCTCAATTAGCTTCTCACCTGCTGCAATGGCAGCCTTGAAGGCTGATGATGAATTGACCTTGCTTGAAGTCGAAAATTTTGCATTATATTGATGAGCTTTGCCATCAAATACATTTATTTTATTGTGATATCTAGTGCAGAGTTTAAAACATTTTGATAAATTGGATGAATTATTAGCTGAAAATTTCAAGGAGCTTGAACATATAGATATCATTATGGATTTAAAACTGGTAATTTGAAACTCGAAAAAATGTACAAATTCGAAGAGATTGTTTGCTGATGAGAAGGAATTGTTCTTCACCTTTTGATTCGTCGAAGTATATTTCAAATAAAAATCTACCATTACTATGGTGCCAGAGATGTTCTAGCAATTAGTTAATCACGCTTTTTACGGTACGGAAAGTAGTGAAATTTTACGAAAGCGGGTATTAATTTAAAATTTTTCACTTCGGCTGATATTGAACATGCCTCCTTTGGTGTCTGTTTTTATCTTACAGCAGTGTATAAAACGGACCGGCCACTCGTTTATGGCTTTCAAGGAACGGCAGTAGAAGCTACATACCGTTTTGTTTATTTATTATTCTTTGTTGAGATGCCGTGAGTGTCCGACAACTTCGTCGGAGACTCGGCTCCATTACCCTAAATTCTTTGCCGTATAAATACGTCTTTCTATGGATTCGCTACAACAATTTTGACCAAAGTAATATGAAGAATGAAAAAATTCTAATATATTTAATTGATATATTTTTATATATGCCTACATATGGTCAATCTATATTATTATTTCCTTTTTTATGTCTTTTTTTGAAATATCCGTTCCTAAGTTAAACAAGCTTTCAAAACTGGACTTTAAAGTGAAAATCATCAATATTTTCTCATCTTTGGGATAATGTAAAGGTTGTTAATAGAGATTCCCCATAAATCTAGATTCGGAATTTGAAGATTGTTCAAAGTGTTAAAAAAATTGAATTGTTAAAAATCGTTGCAGGATAATCTTAAAAAACTTAAACTTTCAAGAATGGTGTAACTATCAATTCTACTAATTTTATTTCCTTTCAAGTTTAATGCTTTCACTTATCAAACCAAATAGATTTTCTATTTTTTTAATTTGATTTTTGAATAGTTCTGGAAGTTTTAAGCTTGTCAAACCAAAGAAATTCCCAATTCTGGTAATTTTATTAAAAGATAGATTTAATTTTACCAAATTTGTTTGGTTTGATAAATTTTTAATTACCTGGATTTTGTTGTTGAGTAAATTCAAATGTTTTGAGTTGTTGAGAAATCTTGAATATAAAAAAGTGCCGTTATAGGTAAAACTTGAAGGCCAATTAAAAGAAGTTGGGGTTTCCAAATTCAAAAAAGTTTAACAACTCGTAAACAATATTAGCTAAAACTCGACTGTTTCAAATTTGAAATCAGACATAAAAAATAATCCCAACCAGATTGAGTAGTATAACTTAGGCTTTTATAATGAAATGATGTTAATTCACTAGAATTGTCTGGCATTAAATAATTAAGGATCCTAACAATTCCATTTAACAACCGTTCATAATTTGTGTGCAAAATTGTTAATAGTAACAATTTTAAACTTCTTTTTGGTGCTAATAACTAAATATAAATTTGATTAGTGGTATTGATTTCCTCATCAGTCAATAATAGCTGGACCGAAAAGTTTAAAAATTGGATCATAAATAAACTAATGTGATTAGTATTCAAATGTATTATTGTAAATTCATTTACTGTACCAAATTGTTCTGGTGAAGATAGTATCACTGTAGTTTCTGAAAGAGATTAAATCAAATAACTTTAAGGAGGTAATTGTTGTTTGTAAATTAATTATTCTATTTTTATTGTTTAAAGTATTATTTTTATGGTTAATGTGGAACAAAATATCGATTGATGACATTTGGGTTAGGTTGTGCTTTGGGGAAGAGATTGAAATTGATATTAGCTATTAACAATTTCTGAAGTATTTGTGTGATGATAACAATGCCCCACTGCTCTTAATTCATTTTGAAAGTAGATAGCAGAACGAATCAGATACACCTGTGGATTGTTTCAATGGTGCTGAGCAGATTACTGAAATATATTTGAAACTCCCTGAAGAGCGTGAGACCAGCTTTGCGGGAATGCCAGAGCGCGGAATTTGTCGGTGTGTTTCGGAGTTGTGCTGAGTTTGACGTGCTTCGATAAACCCTGAGGGGTGAATGTTTCAAAAGGCAGTCGGAGAACAGTCCGAACGACGGTCGAAGACATCGAAGAGCGCAAAATGGATGAGCACATAATTTAGGTTGAGTTGAAAAGCAACAAGGAAAATATGATCAAATAAAGAAGATGCACAAGAAAAAAAAGGTGCTTTGATGCAGGTAGCAAAAATCTCTTGAAGCGTTAATCACTCATTTAAAATGATCCTTTGATATAAATTCGAGCGATTTCTGATATTTATAAAATGTCCTTTCATTCAATTAGTTTTTGTTTTTCTTTTCTTATAATTAGTAAAAGCAATTGAATTATATCAAATTTTCTATAACAATATTTTTCTTAATTACAACACATAACAATGTCATCAGAAAACCCAAACTGTCCATGCTCATCATTGAAAGGAGGTAAGCCAATTGGAAAAACTGAATTTAATTCTGATATAAAATGTACCTGTGAAAAGCAATGCAAATGTTCTCATTGTTTAAAGAAAAAAGGTGATAATGGAAAAAAATATGTTGGTAAAACTGAATTAGGTCAATTATCATCATGTGGCTGTGATAATAACAAGAAAAAAGTTGATAAAAGTGTTGGCGCTAAAGATGGTAAATGTGATAAATGCAATACTTGTGAAGACGATTGTAAATGTCAACACTGTCAAGTAAAAGAAGCATTGAATCTTGACAAGAGTGGTAAGACAGAGGTTGGCAAGACAGAAATCGGTAAAACACAAATAGGTAAAACAGATCTCGGATCATGTACTTGTTCAACCAATAAAACTGTTGCTGATGATTGTCATTGTAAAGAAAATACTTGCAAATGCAACAAATAATTACAATGAACTATTTGGAAAATAGCATAGCATAACATAATATAATATAATATAATATACTATAACATAGGAGCAGTAATATATCTTTTAATTTTTTATATAATCTAATATAAGTTAGTTTATTAATGGCTACATAAATCATCAAAAAAAACATAAAATAACAAACAAGCAGTAAGGAAATAAAAAAATAAAAAAGAAAAACAAGTTATTAATCAATGTTATATAGAAATAGGCTTAATAAAAGTAAAAATAAAAATAAATTTTGAATTGAAAATTTTGTATCATAAGTTTCATAGTTTATAATCTTTATTAGTTTAATTTAGACAATTCGTCAAATTTTTTTGAATTTTGAATATGGTTAGAACCCCGTCTTGTTTTGAATGAATTAACCAAACCCTCATCTACCAATTCATTGAATTGATCTTCTGAAGTGCCCCAATTGTTTTTTCCTGCACCATTTTTCTTGATTTTGGTTGGATCTTGATTTGGATGATTGTGCGTGAAATACTTTGGTTCATTTTCTTTATTTATTTGCCATTTATTAGTTTTACCCATTATGAAGTGTTAAGTGTAATTGAGTAGTATAATAATTGAGTGAATTCGAAGCAATAGTAATAGTAATAACTGGAGTTGGAATTGGATTAGAAATAAACTTGAATTGAGTTGTTTGATAATAGACTAATAAATATAGAATGACATTTAGCAAGAGATTGGCTTTTTATATGGAACTTCGATCTGTTTTACCCCATAATTTTCACACTTTGCCCACAGCATCATCTTTTTGTCCTGACTTGATGACCTTATCCCCATCCGCACCACTGGTTTCCGTGCTCATCCAGCTCTTGCCTTTTCGTTTGTTTTTATGATATGATGTTCTTTTGAAGGCATGCCATCTTTCACTGGAGTAACCAATTGTATGCTATTCTCATTTGATGACTGCCCACTCTCTTTACTGCCACATACAAATCTCCTTATTGGATGATTGACCAGCGTACTAGCATAAAGTATAGGACTGTTCAATTAACAGATGCCCAAATGCCAGGACTGTTTCCTTGCTCACAGAAAGTTCTGAAAATCGGAAACCTCCAAAATCCCCAAGCCCAAAGAAAGGAGCTCAACCATAGCTTTCAGACAAAACCAATCATTGTATCAGCTCTCACTACAACAACTACAACATCGAACCAGTGGACCTTCCTCAAGCGTTCTAGAACAGCGTGTATGCTGACGCATTCAAATGTACAACAAACTCTCAACACACGTGCCATATGATTACCCTGACATAAATGCACCTGCATCATCCAGCAGCTTCTATGGTTCCTTTGCGGTGGATCTAAATGTCAGAGTCCAGAACCCAGATTCCAGATTCCAGATTATATCTCACGCGCTGGTTATGTGCCCGGCTGGGGCATTTTGACGAGCCAAAATCTGCTCTATTTTTCCTGCCCTGCTTCTTTTTTCCTTTCTTTTTTCTTCATCCTTAACAAGTGTCTGCTCACTAATAATTTGTATCCTTATATTGCTATCTGGTTTCTTATTACACTGGTTAATACTGGTGCTAAATTGTTTCTGTTTCGCTTTCAAATTTTTGTTAATTGATTTATTTGGTGAATATTCTGTCATTCTTGTGACTTGCTTTATTTCGCTCCTTCCTTACTTGCCAATCTTTCTTTTTTTTCAGCAGAAAATATCCAATTTCTTATCAGCTATAATTTAACTAATACCGATTAAAATAAATTATACTTATAAGACAACAATAACAAGCAACCTAAAAATAATCGTAAAAAATTTTGAAACAATTATTTTTATAAAAACAATCTTTTTTTTTAAAGTCAAGGCTTACCTAACCAATTACGTGTTTCTTCAACTCTAAAAACTTGCAAAACCCCATAAACTTCAAACTGTCCGCCAACTTCTTCTCAAAATGTCCTACCAACAACAAAGACCTCCTTTAAATCTTGATCAAAGATTAAACGAATTATTAGATGCTATTAAACAAGAATTTGATCAGGTTAAAAACGAAGCTTTTAGACTTCATAAAGATGAAAGTGAAGGCAAATATAATAAACAAGTGGCAGAGTTAAGAGATATTAGAAACACTGTTTATAACTTACAACAAACTCATGAAAGAATAAAACGTCAATATGAGGAAGATATCTCCAGATTAAAAGCTGAACTTGAACAAAGAGACCGTCAATCTTCTCAATTACAATATCATAACCAACAAAATGCTGCTGCCGTTGCTCAATCTCAAGCTCAACAACAACAAGCTCAACAACAAGCACAAGTACAACAACAGCAACAACAACAACAGGCACTTCAACAACAGGCTCAACAACAACAAGTCCTTCAACAACAGGCTCAACAGGCTCAACAACAGGCTCAACAACAACAACAACAAGATCGTGCTCCTTCTCGTCAATCTATTTTAAACACTCAACCTCCTCAATTACAACAACAACAACAACCCCCTCCTCAATTACATCCTATTTCTCAATCTGGTCCACAACAAAGTCCAAATTTCCCACCGAAGCCGACTTATGATTTATCTAAATATTTCAATTCTTCAACTCCTTCTCAATCTTTACCTCAACCTGGTGCTCCTCCTCAATCAAATATAATTAATAATCCATCTTCTTTACCTATCCCTGTTTCTTCTCAACAACAACAGCCACAACAACTGCAGCAACCTGGTGGTCCACCTCCTCAATCTATTCCTTCTGCTCCTCAACAATCTTCGCCTCAACAGTTGCCTTCAATTTCTCAAGTTCAATCTCAAAATACGCCAAAGCTGTCTTTGTTACAAACTATTAATCAATCAGCTAATGCTCAAAATCTTGGTCAGCCTCAACAACAACAGCAACAACAAACTAATCCTTCTTTATTAACTTTACATACAATTACTCCCAAACCTGAGCAGTTACCTTCCATTCCACCCCAACAACTTCAAACTTCTCAAAATTCTCAACAACTGTCCTTGCAGCAAACACAACAATCTCCCACTCAATTGCCCCCTCCACAAACTCCTCAATTACAACAACAACAGCCTCCAAATCAACTTCAAACAACACAAAATGGAGCCCAGGCTTCAAATAATCAACCAAATCAACTTCAGACAAACCAACAAATCACTCAAGCTCCAAATTCAGCTGATTCTCAACAATCTATATCTGATAAACCAATTCCAACCTTTTTGAAAGAATTAGATGCTCAATTAGTACCCGAACAATGGAAAAAACAAACACATGAATTTTATGTCTTATATAATCCAGCATTACCAAAAACTTTAGATGTCGATCTCGTTCACTCATTTGACCATAATTCGGTTGTTTGCTGTGTTAGATTTTCAAGAGATGGTAAATACTTGGCCACAGGTTGCAATAAATCGGCTCAAATTTATGGTGTTGAATCTGGTCAATTAGTTGCCAGATTAACTGATGATGGCAATTTCCTTAATGGCACCAATGGTGCTCCTTCTAATGCAGCTAATCCTGAGGCTAATAGTGGAGATTTGTACATTAGAGCTGTTACATTCTCTCCTGATGGCAAATATCTTGCTACGGGTGCTGAGGATAAATTAATTAGAATTTGGGATTTAAGTTCAAGAAGTGTTATCCAATACTTAAAAGGCCATGAACAAGATATTTATTCATTGGATTATTTCCCAGATGGTACAAAATTAGTTTCTGGTTCTGGTGATAAATCAGTGAGAATCTGGGATTTAAATACCAGCCAAACTTCATTAACTTTAGCTATTGAAGATGGTGTCACAACCGTCGCAGTATCCCCAGACTCTTCATTGATTGCAGCAGGTTCTTTAGACAGGATTGTTAGAGTATGGAACGCATCATCTGGTTTCTTAGTTGATAGGTTAGATGGGGCTGAACTAAACAATGGACACAAAGATAGTGTTTATTCAGTTCAATTTACTCACGATGGTAAAGAAATCACCTCTGGTTCCTTAGATACTACGGTTAAATTATGGGCATTAGATACGAATAAAAATGGTGCTACTAATAAGGCTAATGTCAAATGTGAGGTTACTTATCGTGGACATAAGGATTTTGTTTTAAGTGTCTGTTCTACGCCAGACAATGAATATATTTTAAGTGGAAGTAAAGACAGGGGAGTTATCTTCTGGGATAAGAACTCGGGAGATCCATTATTCATGTTGCAAGGGCATAGAAACTCTGTTATTAGTGTCTGTGTTAGCAACAATGGCATTGGTGGCAATGGATATTTTGCCACAGGTAGTGGTGATTGCAAAGCCAGAATCTGGAAATATAAAAGAGATTTCAACCAATAGAAGCCAAAAAAAAACAACCATGGATTGAACTTTGCTCATGACTTTATATATAATTTACCATTCATAATTTAGTGTTTTTATTAGTATTTTTAGTGTTTTTATTAGTATTTTTAGTGTTTTTATTAATGTTTTTTATTATTCTGACTATTTTTATTTCTATTATTTCTATTATTCCTATTATATATCATTATCTCAATTCAATCTGTTCTGCAATGAAAGAACAAAAGCGACGTAGAAAAGTCGAACAGGGGTGGAGAGCGCTCTGATTGGCCCAGAAAAGCGATGAGATACGAGTGAAAAAACAAAGCAAAAACTCGTTTAACTTTCACATCTCGAGAAAACAATATATAAAGGTGGAAAGATTGTCTGAGGTTTGATTTTTGATTTATCTCTCCTATTTTTTTTGCCATATCATATCTTTTGCCTTCTTCTCAGGTTTTTTATCATTCTCTGAATTGTTTGTTTACCATTTCTGATTTCTAATCCAAAATGACAGTTTATACAGCTACAGTTACTTCTCCAGTCAATATTGCAACTCTTAAATATTGGGGCAAAAGAGATACCAAGTTGAACTTACCAACCAATTCGTCGATTTCAGTTACTTTGAGTCAAAACGATCTCAGAACATTAACTTCAGCTGCTTGTTCAGAAGAATATGAATCCAACAGATTATTTTTGAACAGGAAATTAGAGTCCATGGAGACACCAAGATTAATTGAAGTTTTGAAAGATTTGAAAAAATTGCGTGAAAAAGTTGAGAATTCTGAAGGGAATGAACACTTACCCAAATTAAGTCAATTGAATTTATTGATTGTGTCTGAAAATAATTTTCCAACAGCCGCTGGGTTGGCATCATCTGCTGCTGGGTTGTCAGCGCTAGTCAAGGCTATTTCAAAATTATATGAATTACCAGATTCTTTATCTGAGATATCGAAAATTGCTAGAAAGGGATCAGGATCAGCATGCAGGTCATTGTTTGGTGGATATGTCGCATGGGAAATGGGAGAGTTAAGTAATGGAGAAGATTCAAAAGCAGTTGAAATTGCACCATTGGAACATTGGCCAAATATTAAAGCGTTGATTTTAGTTGTTAGCGCCCACAAAAAAGATGTTTCATCAACCTCAGGGATGCAATTGACTGTTAAAACATCTGATTTATTTAATTACAGAATCAATAATATTGTTCCTCAAAGATTTGAAGAAATGAAAAAAAGTATTTTAGAAAAGGATTTCAATAAATTTGCTGAATTGACTATGAAAGATTCAAATTCGTTTCATTCCACATGTTTAGATTCTTATCCACCAATTTTTTATCTTAATGACTATTCAAGAAGAATTATTAGATTGGTTCATTTAATCAACGAGAAAAGCGTTAAGGAAAATGGTAAGATTATAGTTGCATATACATTTGATGCTGGGCCGAATGCTGTGTTATATTATGAAGAAGAAAATGAAAAGACAATTTTAAATGTCTTTTACAAGATTTTAAGCGAGGTTACAGGATGGGATGCCCAAAAATTTGATTTCAAGAACCAAGAATACTCAAAAGGCCAACTTATCTTAAGCGACGAAGAAATCGATTATTCAATTAAAGATGGAATCTCCAGAGTGATCCTAACCCAAGTTGGACCAGGGCCCCAGGACAGTGAAGAATCGTTGATTGATGTTGCCAGTGGGAAACCGAAATTCTCTTCCTGAACACCCAGTGAGATAACTGGCCAACTCATCTCACCAACAATAATCGCATTTCCAGCTATATACAACCACACTCCACACTTTGCTAATGAACAGTTGCTCACATATCTCGTCTTTTGTTAACAACCAATTCACACCACAAAAACAAACAAAACAATGTTTGTGAAAATAAAAGCAAAAATCAAAGGTCGTACCCGGATTCGAACCGGGGTTGTTCGGAAACTTTGCTAGATCAAAACCGAAAGTGATAACCACTACACTATACAACCACGAAGTTAGTTTTGAAATTCTATTAAAACTTTTGACACGTATCCTTACGCTCACATGACTAGTATCATGTGATTATTTTTTGTTGTTAAATTTTTTGTTTCTGTTTAATTTCAACAATTAAAATTACCATTTCCCATTGATCAATTGATTTTTCATCTCTTCAACTTTATTTATCTCTTATCTGGTTCTTTTTATCGCTCTGATCGCTTCACCAACCCACCATGCCTCTAACTGAACAGGAAAGGAGAGTGCTCAACAGAAAGCTAACACCTTCCTTTGAAAGCATCTACGAACTAACTGCTCCCCAGGGTTATAAAATCTCCGAAGTCTTTCATAAATTACCTGAGAGAAAACTTGGTGATTATTATCGAATGATAAAGAAACCTTTATCTTTGCATTTGATTAAGACTTACCTCAACAAATTGAAATATCAATCTGCTAACGAGTATATCCAAGATCTAGCTCAAATTATTTGGAATGCTAAATTCTATAACATTAAAAACTCTGAGATATACAACTGTGCCATTATTTTAGAGAAATTCACCAAGAGTAAAATTATCCCCAGTTTGAAAAATATCAAGATCATAAAAGAAATCGACAAAAATATTTATTATCCTGATTTAGGCCCATTGCCTGATTCAGATGATTCAGATGATACCTCCTTAACAATTCATAAAACTAACAACATCAATAAAAAAACTAGCAGTAACAAAATCAATATCAAAATCAATTCAAGTGTAAATCTAAATAATAATAACAATAATAACATCAACAACACCAGTAATAGTAATGAAACTTCAAACGCCTTAAATGATGATGATCTATTCGCTACTAGCCCTCTCAATGATGAAGAAAATGATTATGACATCTCTCAAAATTTTAATAACAATTCAATCCCATTGTCTGATCAAGAATATATTCCAGCAAATCCTTCAATTCAACTTAATCCTCTTAATAAATCATTATCTGTCATACCAAACACTCAAAAGACCCGTAATCCAAACAATCAAATCAATATCCCTGTTAGTTATAACACTGTCACCAATAATCCAATTGTTAGCAAAACTAATTCCAATGCAATTACAAATAATACCATTAATAATATTCAGAATAGTATCGCCACTACTACCAGTGCTCCAATTGTCACCACTAACAATACAAAAAGAAGAAGACCTCCCATCATCAATAAACCTCATGAAAATAGGATCAAAAACATTTTCAGATTAATTAAAAAAGAAAAATATGAAATCGATACAAATAATCCATTTTACTATTACAGTTTATATGAAAAGATCCCTTTGCCTTATATAATTGGTCCACCTAAAAATGATCAAAATGATGATCCAAGATCAAAGTTTTTCTATCAAATCTATAACACCATAGTTGAGAATTCTATCTCGAAGAAATCCATCACTTTAGACACAATAAAGCTAAAAATTAGGAAAAGAGATTACAAATCCTTGGTAGAATTCCTTAATGATTTGAACATCTTGTTTAATAACTTCAAAAATTACTTCCAAGCTTCTTATCAATTCTATCTAAATCAAAATAAACTTCTCAATAACAATATCAACAATCAGCAACAGCCCTACAGCAATATTATCATTAATGAAATTGAAAAGGCAAATATGCAATTCAACTTACGTACTGTTTTATCCTTTGAAGCTAAAACAAATGAAATCATCAAGGAAGAGGAAAAGGCTACACTTTTAACTCAGCTCCATACAAACCTTCATCCTTCTAAACTGATCAAATTTCCTCTTGATAGTTTCACCAAAGATGGTAAAACTTACAAAGTAGGTGACTGGATATTAATCAAAAATAAAAATGATGATAACGACCCAATAGTTGGTCAATTATTTAAAATTTGGGAATTAAAAGATGGCACTAAATATATTAATGCTTGCTGGTATTATAAACCACAACAGACTGTGCATAGAGTCGATAGAATGTTTTACGAAAATGAAGTATTTAAATCAGGTCAATATAGAGATCATTTAGTAGATGATGTTATAGGGAAATGTTTTGTTGTTTTCTTTACAAGATATCAAAAATCAGAAATCAATTTTGATTATGAACCTCCTTTATTCATTTGTGAATATAGGTATTCTGATAATGATAAAATTTTTAATAAAATTAGAACTTGGAAAGCTTGTTTACCTGAAGAAGTAAGACATTTGGAGGATTCAATGACTTATATTCCTTTAAAACAAAACAGAACGTTTCAAAAATATGATAGTCCTCTAAAACATTTATTACCTCCAAATGCAACATATAATGATCCAATCCCTGAACCAACCATGGGCCATAATGACGCTCCACCTTTAATCGGTTCTGTTTATTTAAGAGATCCAATTTCAAATGAAAATTTGGATATCGATCATTATGGAGTTGAAAATAGGTCAAATAGAAGAGATAAAATGATGAAATCAAAAAATTCATCAAATATTAATTCGCCTCTGATTTCATCAAATGTTTCAAGATCTAGCTCGCCTTCGGTTGGAAATATTAATAATAATGGACCAACAAGATTATACGGTTTACAACAAGTTTCAAATTTGAATACTTTAAATGGAAATGCTAATTTTAATAATAATTATCATAGCAATTATAACCCAAACTATAATTATAATAATTTTAATAATAATTATAATAGTAATTATAACAATATGATAAATAATATGACCTACATTAATAACATGAATAATGTGAATAATGTGAATAATAACATTAACAATATTAATAATATTAATAATGCCAAAATAAATTATGGTTTAGGTCAGATGCCGATTGCAAATTCTTCTAATCAACCATACTCTTATTATAACACACAAAATCAGCCTTATGGATACAACCAAAACATAAATTCAATTGCACAACAACAAAAGAGAATTATGCAGCCAATGAATCAATACCAAAATGCTCAGCAGCTCCAGCAGCAGCAACTCCAACAACAACAACAACAACAAATAAATCAATCTTCTCAAAAAATTTATAATGCTAATAATAATAATTATGGGGATGGTAAAATAATAACTATTAACTCAACTGCGGGTTTAACATTTTTATTGAATCCGGTTTTTCAACAGGCGTTAAATGAGAAATATTCTGAAAATAGCAATATTTACAAGATGGATAAGTTTAATACATATAGAAAGTTTAATCATACTTCCAATCTTAGTAATGGGAATTTCAATAGGAGGATCGATTTAGAAAGTGGAACAGAAGGATCAATAATTTGGTATAAAAATCCTCCCTTATTTATTCCCAATAGGATTCAGAATAGTGATATTTTGAACCGAAATTTGAATAAAAAGGGGGCGCTTTATGATCAGCATGGGCATAAAAATGATCACAACCATAATGAAAATGGAAAAGAAAATGACAATGAAGACAAAAAGAACTTGGGTAATCATGCAGTAAATGAAAATGTTAGATGTTCACATAGTATTGAATATTTAGCATATGCTATCAAGAAACGAAAATTGAATAAGAAGATAGATTCTGTAACAAATAATGTTAAAGAGGTTGAGGTTTAAGGAATTTTAATACTCAAGTATATGGTAATGTATAATAATTTATATATGTATAGTTTAAAATATTTTCGTGTACTATTATTCTTATTTTTTTGGTTCTATTTAGTATGAATAAATCAATAATAAAATGTATATTTGATTAAATTACTAAATTGTTAAATTGTTAAATTATTATAAATCTATTTTTATTGAAGCAGCTTTATTTAATCTATTTAGTAAGGCCATTGCTTCCAAGTTATTTTTGATATTAGAGTCTAGTATTACGATGATTTGGTTTATGTTTGGAATATCGTCTAGTTCTCTGAATAGAGCAAATAAGTTATGTTGCATTTGATTGATATCTTTACCTAGGACTTTAGTTTGATTGAAGTAAGATGAGTAATTATTTGGGTTGAGAATATTATCTTGATAAATTAGAGCTAAATTAGAAGAGTTGGTAGAAAAATTATTTGCTAAATTATTTGATAAATAGTTTGATAAAGATTGGATTGGTTGAGAAAAGTTTATTGAATTTTTATTTAAATACAATAGGGATACTTTTGCTGAAGGAGAATAGTGTTTGTATTTCATCCCAGGTGTTTTTACAGGATCCTTCGAGTTAGCATTTGGTTTTGCTATGATTAAATTTTCAAAACCATTAATATTTTTGATTTGATTAACAGACAAACCACCAGGTCTTAATAGAACAGGGGGAGTTGATAGTCCATCGATAACAGTACTTTCTAGGCCGATATTTGATGGACCACCATCTATTATAAGAGGTATTTTATTGTTTAAATCGTGGTAAACATGAGAGGCCAACGTTGGAGAAGGTTTTGTACTGGAGTTGGCAGAAGGAGCAGCAATTGGAGTGTCAGAAAGAGCAATCAATGCTCTTGCAATTGGATTTGAGGGCATTCTAACAGCAAAAGTAGAGAGGCCATTTGTGGTCAATTTAGATATGGGGGAGTTTGGGCCCACAGGCAATAAGATGGTTAAAGGGCCAGGCCAATATTTCTGTATTAATGGAAGATATATGTCAGGTATTTCAAGGTTATCTTTTGATAAAATCAATCTTTTCAACTGATCGATGGAGGAGATATGAGTTATTAGTGGGTTATCGGCAGGTCTGTTTTTGGCTTTATAGATTGATGTTACAGCTGAATCAGATAAGGAAGAACCACCAAGGCCATAAACAGTTTCAGTTGGGAAACCGACGATTTTATTGTGTTTGATTAGATGTGCAGCTAATTGAAGGTTTTTCAAAGACTGAGGGTCTGATATTGTGGGAAATAGCTGATGAGAACTGAACGTTATTGAATTTGGATTGACTTTGAGTATTTGAGTCTCAAAGGACTTAGTATCAGGACTGAGCTCATTTGAAGAAGAACTTTTCTGTGGTGAGAAGTTTGAGCTTGACATTTTTGATAAGTGTCCTACGTTTCTTGTTAATTGAAGATATTTTAACGATTTTAACATCACAATCCGACAGAGATAAGAGATTGAAAAGATATATGGATCTCGAGATGGGAATCTATCACCAGAATTTTTCAGATTATGAATCATTTTCTTTCATTTTCAAGCTGAGAAAAAAAAGAATCAAAGACCAAAACTGCACAAGATGCGTCTAGATACATTATAATGCATGCACACACTACCCGGTTTCCTAGCCAGAGAAAGAAAACCCACCAAAAAGCCAATTTTAACCTGCGCAAATAATTGCTTGTTTTCTATTTGTTCCTTGGAAACTGAGCAGCGTTTTCAGGAAAATCAGCGCAGTGAAAGCAGAAACTGTTTTGTGTCACTCTCGGCGGATGCAGGCCACGGAGACTGTTCGAGCACGAAGAAAGTGCCTGGCACAGCCGTCGCACAAGTTGCACGGATTTCCCGAGCTCAAAAGTCCGTCCGTCTGGTGCTGTACTTGAGTGTTTCATAACGCATTGCTGCGGGATGAAACACGTTTGTGCATTTATCCTACCGGTGCTGCAGTTTATTCAGTTCCAATAGATCCAGGAAATGAGGGGTCACTCTTGGCACCCGCGTATGGAAGCGGATAACGTTTTCGGATGGCTCTAGAACCAGCGTTCGTGGTGAAAAAAGGCAGTCAACACAGTTTGCAAAAGCTCCGCCGGTGACTGCTGGATTCACGTCGATTGAGTATCGAGTGTCTTCGGCGAGTGAGTGAAACTGTTTTGCGTAGTATTCGGCCACTGTTCGACCCGTGTTCGGCTTGGGCTCGGAGTGCGGCAAGCGTCCGGAAAATAAGCTTTAATGGCTCGCTATAGTCTTTTTTCTTAATTTGTTCTTCTCTGTTGCTCTTTTTTAGTTCTCTCGTTCTCTTTTGCTGGATGCTGGAGACGTTTCTGCTTCTTGTTTGTCTTCTTTCCTCGCCTTCTCTGCTTCCTCTGCTTGCTCTGCTTCTTTTGCTTCCTCTTCCTGTTGCTGCTCTTATACTATATTTTCTGCTCTATATTATATCTACATCCAGTTTCCAACTCCATCTTTCATTTGCCCAAAAAGAAAAAGAAAAAAAAAGGGAAACTATAAAAAAGAAAACAGATAAACAAAAAAAAAATTGTTACTTTCTAAATTCAATTTAATATTTTTTTCTATTTACAATCTTCCCAAAAAGATCATCTGGATTTCTTTTACGAATATCAAATAATTATTTGCCTATTTAATATTCATTGGGTATTTATCTAATAATTATCAAATAATTATCAAATAATGGGAAACACAACCTCCAAGTCTTTATCCGTTGACGAAAATTCTGTGCCCCCAATATTTCAAAGATCTGAGACTTCTACCTCAATCAGATCTTCAAGATCTATCAAATCAAATAAATCAAACAAGTCTTCTAAATCAAACAAGTCTAGCAAATCTGCAAGATCCCTATCCAACAAATTAAAATCAAAATTAAAGTCCTCATCCAATAATAACAGTTCAACTAATCTCACTAACGATAATACTCCCAATACCAATATTAATTTAAACAACTTGAATGTCAATGATTTAAATCTGGATGATGAATCCTCTGTTTTCAAAACAGCTCAAAATTCTCCTTCAAACTCATTATCAATTCTAAATAACTATAATGATATCTCCAATCTCAACAATCAAAATAACTTATCCAGTCAATACATACCTGAGATTGATATCACTAACTCGAAAAATCAAACTTACAATATTTTAAAATCAATTTCTCCAAATGAAAATGACAGTAATACCGCAAATAATATAAACAGCATTATAACAAGTATTAATCAAAACAATGTAAGCAATGATAGTCTACTCAAAAAGATTAAAAATAAAACTAAAACCAAAAATAGACTTAATGACAACAATAACGAAAATACCACGTCAAACAATGAAAACAACTCAAAAAACTTGAAGAACTTCAAAAATTCAATAAATAATGATTCCATCACTGCAATTAACAACGATTTGCCCCCATCAATGGCTGTATTACAACCAAAGGAACCGATTTTAATAAGGCGTGATTCTCAAGTACAATCTCAATCAGATCTACCTGACTTGCTCAACAATACCTTTGAAAATAGTGACAATAACCAAAACAATGACAACAATGAAAATAATCTTTATGACATCTCCAATTTCTCCAACTTCTCTAATGATATTGATAATAATAATAATGCTAATAACTTATCAACGGCAAATATCAACCCAACCTCCATCGTAAATAGTAGATCGAATTCCTTTTCAACCGACAACAATAACAACTTGATATCAGATCTATCAACCTCTCTAAGAAATATAACAATTGACAACGATAACAACGACGCTAATTTTAATAATCACAAAAGGAATAAATCAACTTCCTCATTCACATCAATAGGCTCTTCTTTACCTGGAACTCCTCTAACCAGCGATATCAATATTACAAATCTATCTTCTGAACCAAACTCAAACGTCATCACTCATATCACCACAAGTAACTTAAAAATTTTAGATGTCGAAGTTTTAATTCAGAGACTATTAGACGCTGGTTATTCCGCTAAAAGAACTAAAAACTTGTGTCTAAAAAACTCAGAAATTCAAATCATTTGTTCAACTGCTCGTGAAATTTTTTTAAATCAACCAACATTACTAGAATTAACGCCTCCCGTTAAAATAGTAGGCGATGTTCATGGCCAATATCCTGATTTGATTCGAATCTTTTCAAAATGTGGGTTTCCCCCTAAATCAAACTATTTATTTTTAGGTGACTACGTTGATAGAGGCAAACAAAGCTTGGAAACCATTTTATTATTATTATGCTATAAAATTAAATACCCTGAAAACTTCTTTTTATTACGAGGTAATCATGAATGTGCAAATGTTACTAGAGTTTATGGGTTCTTTGATGAATGCAAAAGAAGATGCAATATTAAAACATGGAAGATATTCATTGATACATTTAATACTTTGCCTATAGCAGCCATAGTTGCTAACAAAATATTCTGTGTCCATGGCGGATTATCACCGGTTTTAAACTCATTGGATGAAATCCGAAACATATCAAGGCCAACGGATGTTCCAGATTTTGGATTATTAAGCGATCTATTATGGTCCGATCCTTCAGATACTATAAATGAATGGGAAGACAATGAAAGAGGTGTATCATATTGTTTCAATAGGATTGCTATAAATAAATTTCTAACTAAATTTAATTTTGATTTGGTTTGTAGGGCTCATATGGTTGTTGAAGATGGATATGAATTTTTCAATGATAGAACATTGGTTACAGTTTTTAGTGCACCAAATTATTGTGGAGAATTTGATAATTGGGGAGCAGTTATGAGTGTTAATGATGATTTATTATGTAGCTTTGAATTGCTAGACCCATTGGATTCAATTGCATTGAAACAAATTATGAAAAAGGGGAAATACGAAAGAAAACTTGCCAACACTGGCAATCCAAATATTAATCCAAATAAGACAAATGGAAAAGCTATTACAAATGGAAGAGAAGAAAGTACTGCTGCCAGCAATAGTAATAGTAATAATAACAGTAATATTAATAGTAATAGTAATAGTAATAGTAATAGTAATGACAATGATAATGCCATCAGTAATGGCATTAGTGATGGTAATGACTAACATACGGTATCATGAACACCACCACCATCAAGACCGATGCTAGATATCTATAAAGTAATTTGGAAAAATAATTGTTTTCAATTATTAGTTTCAAATCGAAAAATAGCTGAATTTTTATTTTAACGAAAGTATTAATGAAAGATTATTTTATGACCCAAATTTTAGAATAGAACCAGCTATATGGCAAAATCACTCCAAAGCGCATGCATGCGTGAATACGTAGCTGATAAGCAGTATCACGCAAGTATAATGTGCTGCCCACGTCCATAGTTATTTTTGCATTTATTTTTTTTTTTGATAATTTTCTGTGCTTCTGTATATAGAAAAGGAAATATTAATTCGTAATCATATAATTAAACAATTACTTGTATAAGATAATTACTTCGGTGAAAATTTTTCCAGGGATTCACGTTGATTTTCCTATATTTCGAATGATAGTAATGGCTCTACAAACATACCCTTAGGCAAATAATATACCCATACTATCAGTGCTGCCAGGCGAGAAAAGCACCAGGTTGGTAATATCTTCGCAACAATAGAGGGATATAATATGATGTGATTATTCTAGTATGATCTTAAGCAGAAAATGGCTGCAAGCCCACAGACTATCAGCACTGGTATGAAAATGACAGGGTGAGAACTCAACACAAAAGGCACAGAAAGGCCAGCACAAACAGCAAAAGTAGCAAAAGCAGCACAACCTCCTGCCCGGCGTCCTGTTCCGGCGCCCTCACGAGTCAGCCGGGGATGCGCAGGGGCTTCGGATCTGTGGTCTACACGTGTTAAACGCGTGCAGAGCGCGTGATGCACGCTTACTTTGTGTGTGTTGGGTTCGTGTTGCGCGCGTAAGACAAGCGTCTTTGACGTTGTATCCACAACTGTGGGCTCAGTGGCAATTCGCGTAGTTTCGCGCATGCGGGAGTATTTTTGTTGGAGGATATTCCTTAACAGAAAAAACTGGGAAGGTTTGCGATAGGAACTTTTTTAGATAACTGTCAATTAATGGTTTTTTGTTGATTTTATTCTCTTTTAGACTGAGATCGCACAATCTGCCTTCTATATAACTACCAGCAACTGGCCAGAAGATACTGCTTTGCCCGTTGACTTACTTCCAATCCATCCTCTATTTTCCTTTCTCCTGTTTACTGAAACCTATTAAGGGTTACAGATTATCTTCGCTTTGATTTGGGGTTGATCTTCAAACGCCATCATATTTTATCAATAAAAATACCTTTCTCTCCGATTTCTAATTCAAGAACCAACAAATAACGAACAAAAAATCTTCAATTCAAAATGTTTAAGCAACCACAGCAAAACCACTTGAATACCGCCAATAACAATATTAGCAATGATGGTGATACTGAGACTACTGCTCCTTCTCACTCTACTCAATTTATCAATAATGATAATAACAATTTAATAATCAACGAATTAAACGATGACAACGATATCTTAAACGACAAATATAATGATGACTTTAATGACATTCTATCACCACAAATTTTTCCATCTTCAATTGATAATCAATCCAATATCCAATCAAATTTTAATGATAACAATAGTAACTATCCTTTATCTGCTTCAATGGAATTAACAAACTCATTTTCGTTAATTTCCTGGAAATCCTTGGATTCATCGTTTAACAATATCAATATCAATCAAAATAATAACCAAAATAGTATTCAAAATAATCAAAATAATCAAAATACTTTTACTTTTAACAATAATATTATTAACAATCTAAATAATCTAAATATCTTTAATATTCATAATGATTCTACTAAATCAAATTCCATCCTATCTTCATCCGATAACGAATTGGATACACATAGTATTAATAATTCAATCAATCATAATCCAATCAATCAAAATCCAACCTATCACAACCCAATCCATCATAATTCAAATCCTAATAACGCAAACAACACAAACACCAATATAAATAAATATATCAATAAAAATACAATAAATCACAAAAATTCAATCGACAGCATTCAAAACAACTCAAACGATTCTGATGACTCTGAGACTTTTGATATCAACTTGAACCCCCCTTTATTATCCACAAAACAACTACTATCCAAGTTTAATATTGCTTCTGAAAATAACACCAACGACAACAGTATCTCAACAGTCAAACAGTTGCCTACACTAACCAAAAACTCTCCGGCTAACACTCCAAACGATTCCCCAAAGAATTCACTAACCTTAAACCAAAATGCTAATAACAATAACCTAAATCCCTCTCAACAAGCCTCTTCCTATTTAAAGGATTCCTTATCAAAATCAAGGAGGAAATCATCGTTCGTTATGCCAAAATTATCTCTACAAAACTCTTCTCTTATCAGAAACCACAAGAAGAAAAAACTAATTAAAATTTGTTTAGTTGGTGAAAAACCAATTTTAATTAATATTCAAAATAATTTATTAAATTTAATCAATGACAGCACTAATAACAAATCCACAAATAATGACAATATTAATATCAATATCAGCAATGATGACTATACTTTAAATTTTACAAATTTAAACCATTCAATAGATCTAATCTTATTAGTCTTTGATAAATTCAATGGCTTATATTCAAAGGATTTATTTAACGTTATAGCTAAATATAATAAACCAATTATACCCATCATCTATCTTATTAATTCAATCAACACTGGTTATATTAATGATAGTTATAATAACGTTTCAAATGATTTTCAATACAATGATACAACTTTACTAAATATATTACAAAATTTCAATCTAAAAATCAACACCTTGCCAATAATTTTAAAAACTAATCAAGATTACTCAAATTTATTGAATGATATCTTAATAACTTTTAATAACCAACTAGATATCAATAATAATAATAAATTTTATGTTAATAAAAATCACAATTCAAATTTAAATTTAAATTTCCAGTCTGATAATGATGAAGATGACAGTGATGCTAATAATAACAAAAATTTTAATGTTGACATCAATGGTAATGGCGATGATTATGACTTGGTTGAAAACGAAAGAGAACTCATCCAACAAATGGCATCAGATTGGACACAGTCTTTGATATTTTCTGATTCCAAATCTTCAAATGCTGATCCAAATGTTTCTAGAAGTAAAAATAAATCAAAAAATACAAGAAATAATCTCAAAAATAAGAACAAGTTCAAACCATATAGTTCTTTTACAGCTAATAAGAATTCAAATCATGATCTTAATCAGCACCATGTTTTCAAATCTAATTTCACTTTAAATCCAAATATTATTATTTCTAATAATAATGTCAATAGTAAGAAAAAATCTGCTAGTAAAAAAAGTTTAAAAAATTCCCTGATTGATAATTTAGACCCTCTATCTTTAGATCAAAATTTGGTTGATCTAGCTTTGAAAATCGGAACTGGTTTCGGTGTTATTGGATTTCTACTATTAATTTACTATATTAAAGACGTCAATCAATCTCTAAAAGATAATTTGAAATCATCCCCATCTTTAAATAATAAAGAAATAATTCTTCCAAGTAAAAAAAATTCAATATTGGAACATATAATCACATTTGCTTCATCGTTAGCAACAACTTCATCGTCATCTTCATCTTCTGTATCTCCGGATTTAGTTTCTAATTCAAATAGTTATTTTAACACTCAATTCATTTCAAATTATTATGTTGATCTAAATAATTTAAAATCCTTGATTATCGTTAGCACGCAAAATATTATTTATAAAACAAAAGATTTGATTTTAACCTTTTTTTATAAATTTGCTTTTTACTGTTAATTTAATTGAACTTGATCAGTTTTGTTTTCCTTTTTGTTGGTTTTCAACTTTTTTCATTTGGCAAAATGCTTTATGATCAGTATCTATCATACTAGAAGGTTCAAAATTCAAATCGATTATTTTTAATTTACCAATTATTCTTACCAATTCGTTAAGTTTCTTTCTTTTTTGCATTTTAATTTTTTAGGAATTTTTTTTTAAAAAAATTCAACTATTTTTTAAACCATTTTGGCTAATTGTATTTGATCTCCGACTTTAATTCAAATTTACTATTATTATTGTTATTTCCTTACTTTTTTTTCTCCATTAGACATACATTTATAACCAACTAAGCCCTTAATAAGATATATATTCAATTTTTTTTATGATTTTATAGTTTATCGTTATTTTATTTTTGAATTTATAAATATGACTTTTAATTAATATAATATATTTTTAGTAAAGTTAAAAAAAACAAAAAAACGGAGATATAAAGTAATATAATTCGAAGGAAAAATGATATATTATTCATTATACACATAAAAAAACTTTTGATATATTAATAGAAGATTAACCCTTTTTTTTGATTGTGAAAAGATCGATGTGATTTTCTTCAATATTTGAAATAGTTGAGATGAGTTATAATTGAATCTTTCCATTTTAATTAAATACAACAAAAGTGAATAAAATAAAAAAAAGAATAAAAAAGGGAAACAAAAGATAGAATTTAAAATCAGAGAAAAAACAAAATGAAAAACAGTAAAAGTAATAATATAACAACAATATTATCAAAAGTATATTAACATTAATTATCTGCGATTTTCTAATGAAAGAAAAAACAAATAATTAATCAATTTCATTGATCAGTAAAGATTTTTATTTTGACTATTTAATCTTTTGTGGAGAAATAATCAGTCATTTCTTGATCTAAATCTTCAAGAGTTTTCTTTGGTTTTTTAGTTCTTGGTTTACCTTTTGATTTTAATTTATTGTTATTATTATTATTGTTGTTGTTCCCATTATAGTTTGAATTTGAATTTTTACTTTTTAATGGGAGATTTTTCTTGGTGATATTTGAGGCAGGTTTAGTAGGAGCATTTGGTTGAATTCTAGCAGATAAAGGTTTCTTTGAAGGATCTAAAATCAATTCTATTTTTAATTTGGAAGCACCATTATCTAAGGGAGCACCATTGTATTTTTCAACAGCTTTTTGAGCGGAGGAAGAGTTTTTGAAAATAATGGTTGCAATACCTTTTGATTGACCCTTTTCATTGTAGCTTAGAGCAACAGTTTGAACAGCACCGATTTGAGATTGAAAGAATTCCTATAATAAATTGAGATTAAAGGGAAAAAAAATTAAGAAAAAAGAAACGTATTAGCAAACATGTTCAAGGATATAAAACAAACAGAAATCAATATATGAAAAGAAATTATAAACAATACATTAAGATTTTGTTACTTAAAGTTGTTTAAAAGTGTTTGTAATTGTTTATAATTGTTTTTGCTTTTCTTTTCTCATCTATCAAAAATCATTGAACTTTTTTATAAAAATTTCAATGGCTAAATCAGTCAGTCTATAAAGAATTTTAAAAAAATAAAAATTCTGTTAAGATACTTTTTTTTTATTGGTTTTTTTTGAGAAATTCGCTGAGATTTACTTAAAACATTGGCAATTAAGTAAACCAAAGCAAAAAAGACACAAAAAAATAAACCGAAAAAAAAAAATAATAAAAAAAAAATAACCATAAATATAAGTTGTAAGAGAGAATTAATATTCAAGTGAAAGAACAAAATATGAACATTTAAAAGAACAAAAAAAAGCATGAAAGGATTTTTAAAAGAGGTAGCATTTTTTTTTCTTTAAATTTCGTTATTTTTTCTTTGAGTAACTTGAATCAAGATTACAGGTCTCTTTAAGCATATATAAGGAGAATCCTCAATATTCTAACAATTAACAGGCAAATTGATTAACTAATAATCAATTCCCTAGACTTTTAATTGATAACCAACAAAATTTCAAAATAAATCGTAGTTCTAAAAAAATAGATAATACAGAAAAAGACACTTTAGAAAACAAAGTGAAAAAAACATAATTTAACGTACCTTAATTGAGTCTTGTTTGATATCTTTGGGCTATTGATACAAGAAAAGATAAAAAATAGTTAGTAATCCGTTGATTGAAATGAAAAACAACAAGCACCTAGAGAATGAAAAGTGAAAATTGAACATACTAATCCATATACAACACATTTTGTAGCGTAGGAGGCGTCTAGAGTGGATAAACTGCTTTGAAGACTGACCGGGGCCACTTTCTTTGAAGTATTGAAGGAAGTCTTCAATTTGGAAGAGGAAGCATGGTTTGCTTTGGTGATTCTGCTTCCAGAGCTCTTTTTGGGAACAAACTTTCTGTTGAAAGACTTTCTTGGTTTAGAAGCGATGATATCGTCAAGAGATCTGTCCATTGCGCTAGCCATTATGTGTAGAGGATGGGATTATAAGCTGTGAGCCAAAGATAGATTGCAAAGTCGTTGTTCCTGGAATTGAAGAACAGTGGTTAGAATCAGAAAGAGTTGGAAGGAATGAAAGCAGAAAAAAAAAGAAAAAGAAAGGATATTTATCTCACCGCGCTCACGAAAGGTGATCTTCTTAAGCGCCGAGCAGGGTAACGTTTGCGCGAACCGCACAGGGAGCCGGAAAAGAGATTAAAAATAGCACCAACCTCGCGCACCGTGAGCGCACAGGTCACGCGCCACAGGGTTAACCCACCCAGTGCTAAGTTCCAGCGCTAAGCTCAGCGTTTAATCGCCACCAAATTTCACCGATGATTCACATTTTTCAGTATAAAAACTTTAATGTTTCCTCTTTTTCCAAACTTTCTCTTCTGCTTGCAACCATCTTCTGAGGACGCTTAAACGCCAGAACCACCATCCACTGCTTGCTATACTATGTCTTCTGATCCTGCCTTCAAGACGATATCCACAGCCTTTGAAACCCCCTTGAACGACGACAGATCCTACGATTTGATTGAGCTCTCCAACAAGCTCCAGGTTTTGTTTATTCACGATCCTCTGTCCTACAAAAGCGCTGCCTCGTTGGATGTCAATGTCGGTTCTTTCAACGATCCTCCGGATCTCAATGGCCTAGCCCATTTCTGTGAGCACTTGTTGTTTATGGGAACAGCAAACTATCCAGATGAAAACGACTACCAGAAGTTCCTTTCCAACCACTCCGGCTTTTCCAACGCCTTTACGGCAAACTACCACACCAACTACTATTTCGAGATTGACTCGAACCATCTCATCGAGGCCCTATTGAGATTCAGCAGGTTTTTCATAGATCCTCTTTTTCTCCAGAGCTGCCAAGACAGAGAAATCATCGCCATCAACAATGAAAACAACAAGAACTTAAACGACGATAACTGGAGATACTACCAGGTCTACAAGAAAATCATCAATCCATCTCATCCTTTTTGCCAGTTTTCCACCGGTAATCTAGACACCCTTAAACATCATCCAGAATCAAAAAATATTAACATCAGAAATGAACTAATCAAATGGTATGACTCCCACTATTCAAGTGACATAATGAAGTTGACCATCTTATCGAATCTAAACTTTAATAAGAGTTTAAATGACGCTGAACATGATGCAAATGATGATAAAATTTTGAAATATAAAATAGTCAACTTTTTTAACCAAATTCAAAATAAAAATTTAACCAAAGACCCAACAATTTTCTTTTACAACAGCATATCAATCAAATCGGATCTAAACCACTTGAAATTAATCAAATTTAAACCTGTCTTGAAAAATAAATCTTTGCAATTAAAATTTCATTTGCCTATATCTTATCATGATTTCTATAAATATAATCCAATTTTGCTCATCTCAAATTTAATTGGTCATGAAACGAAAGGCTCCTTATTCTATTACTTGAAATTTATTAAAAAATACATCCTAGCTCTAACTACCTCAACAGATTTCATTTCAAATAATAACTTACTCTTTTTAATCAACATTTCCTTAACTGATTCAGGTTTTGAAAATTATCAAAAACTTATTCTATATATCTTCCAATACTTGAAATATTTAAAATCTTTATCCAACGATCAAATTTTTGAAAAATTTGATGAATTGTCCCAAATTTCTCAATTCAATTTTAAATTTAAAGAAAAATTAAACTCAAATTTTAAAACCGTCTCAAGTCTAGCCACTTCTTTACAATCTTTAAAATATTTTGATTCAAAAAATTTATTAAACTACCACTTTCCATTTGTTAAAACCTATAATTTTGAATTGATTTCAAAAATTTTAAATGACTATTTAGTTCCAGATAATATATTGATTTTTCTATCAAATTATCAATTTGACAAAAAAATTGATGTTCCCTTAGTTGAACCCTATTACAAATCAAACTATTCCATTCATGATATTAACCCAACTCTCTTAAATGATTTACATAATTGTCAATTGAATGAAAATTTCCATTTACCTATTGAAAATCCCCTAATTCCTGCTCATTTTAATTTAATTTCTGACAACAATAATAATAATAATGATTCTTCTCTTCCTTCCTCATCCCCTCCTGCAAATACTGACAGCGATGAGAATTACGTTAATAATGACCTCTCATGTCACAATAATATTAACGACGCTAATAACATATCTATTACCAATGGTAACTTGGACACTTCTCCTCTTTTATCAGTTGAAACCACTTCGACTACTGATAAATTAAATAGCTCAAAATTAGAAGATCCGATTTTATATAAAAATAATGACTATATAAGAATTTGGTTTAAAGATGATAAGCTTTTTAATCAACCAAAGGGTTTTATTTCAATTAATTTTCAAATCCCTCATTTAAATGATTCTCCAGTAAATCAGATTTATTCCCAGTTTTTGAAAAAATTATTAAAGTTCGAATTAAATGATATCTCTTATTTTGGAGAATTAATCAGCATCAACATTGAATTGAATGTTCTATCAAACGGGTTGCTCTTGCAAATTTCTGGCTTTAATGACAGATTTGATAGATTATTAGAAATTTTATTTGAAAATCTAATTGGTTTTCAAAATGACTCCTCAGTCAATAACCAATCAAATTTTGAGTTTATTAAAGATGATATTATTAAGGAATTGAAAAATTCACAGTTGAATTCTCCATATTATCAAATTGGCAATTACTCATCAAATTTACTTTGTGAAAATGATTGGACCATCAATGAAAAATTAATTTTTTTTGAAAACAATGAAAATTCTAAAGAAAGTGCTATTACCAATGGAGATATTAAAGGCGGTAATAATGTCAACTTTGATAGTAATGACAAAATTAAACAAAAAAATTATTTGACCTTTGATAAATTCCAAAATTTTCTTTCAGGTTTATTCACTCAATGTTACTTGGAAGTTTACATTCATGGTAATTTCACCATTGATAACGTTAAGACCGTTGAAAATACAATTAATAAACAGTTTTTCAATAAAATCAATTGGAAAACTTTTATTCCTAATCAATTAAATTATCCAAGAAATTATTTATTGCCTGAGGGTTCCCACTATAGATACAATATTGACTTGATTGATAAATCTGATGTGAATTCATGCATTGAGTACAATTTTCAAATTGGCGATGCTTGTGATATGGTTCACGATCTTCAAAATCCTACTGATTATGATTATTCTCTTGATGATGATTTTTCACCAAGAAAGAAACTTGTTTTAATTGAATTATTACATGAAATTTTTCCAGAGCCTACGTTTGATCAATTGCGAACAAAAGAGCAATTGGGCTATGTTGTCTTTTCATTAATCCGCCGTATTAGAAATTATGTTGGGTATAGATTTATTATTCAATCAGATAAAGAATCAAGTTATCTTGAGACAAGAATCAATTCATTTTTAACTGAGAAATTAAAGGAAATTATCTTAAACTTGACTGATGAACAATTCAAATTAAAAGTTCAATCACTAAAGACTGAATATAGAAATATTCTTTTGTTTAAAAATATGCGGGATGAATTTTCATATTACTTGAATAAGATCTATACCAAATTCTACAATTTCAATCTTATTGAGAAAAAGTTCAAACTAGTTGACGAAATTAATAAAGAGGATTTGGTTAATTTTTTTAAAAAATATTTTCTTGATGAAAATACTTCAACTAGGTTGATTATTTATTTGAAAACCACTAATGAAGAGATCATCAGAACTCATAATCAAAATAAAGATCAAATTGATCAAAATCTAATTACCAAATGCAAAGAAATTAAATCCAAATTTGCAGCTCAATCAGAGTTTTTGATGAGTAAGACATCATCTCCAGTGAGTCCTTTAAAAAAAATCCCTTAGTTTTTTATTTTAATTATAATCTTAATTATATCTCTATTTATTTTAAAAAGGAAATTTACTTCTATTTTGAAAATGTTTTTGTCATTACCTTTATTTTTGGTTTTGTTTTTAATTTTTTGATTTTGTTTTTTTTAATTGTTAGGCTTTGTTGATGTTTATCATTTTCAATCGATATCCCTGACTAACTAATCATTAATTAATAGCTTTTTATATTATAAAACATTACTACTTTCCTTCCCCTCCTGTTTCCTTTATACTATATACTACTTTATATTTTATATTTTATATTTTATATTTTATATTTGACACATCATATATTACATATTATACACTCCTATTTTATACCATAATGTTTTTTGCATATTTAATGATAAGAGTTGGTTTTGAATCTTTTTTATGTTGTTTTTTCTTTTGATTCTTTACTTATAATTTTAACTTCTGATATAGATTGGACAGATTTCACTATTTCTACTCAATATGATTTTCTCTTTTAAGTTTAATAACTAACACTCATTTTATTTTATATATTTATTCACTTTTCAAGTGTTGCATTTGGTTATGTATTATCAATTTGTCATTAATATACCATATTTCAACTTCTGCTCGATTGTATATTTTTTATTGATTGTGTATTTTCGTCGATTGTAGTAGCTTGGTGGAATCTCTACAGAAACAGCAGTAAGATATATTCATTTATTAACTCTGGCTCTAATTAAATTGTTTTTCCAAAACTAAACAACATCACTGCCATACAACTCCATGGGCTTCTCAAACATGATGGCGTGTGTGAAGATTATGCTTCCACTAACACTAAAGAGCCAAAATATCACTGAGAATGCACTTGAATAGAGCAAAATTGGGATAGATATAATGAAAACAAACACATATAACTGGGTTTGACTCAATTTTATGGACGAACCAATTTTGATCTCTTTTGATCGAATTGAGTTGATCAAGTAGAGACTGACTATCATGAACACTAGTCCAAATAGTAGTAAAAGATTTTTGATCAAAGCATAGAAAGAAAAAATTGTAAATATTAGCAAGTAGTTTGAGAAAAAAAACATGAAGTTGTGATACAATCTTTGCTTAACATTGGCTAAAGACGTGGGTTTGGACAAGCTTTGAAGGTTAAAGAATTGTTGGAACGATCTCAAGTTGGAGAACTTGGATTGTATTTGGTTGGTGTCGCTCTGTTGGTTGATGGTGAGTTAGTTGAAGCACAGAAAAGACAAGAAGGGAATGGTGTACTTACTCTTATCCTCTCAAAGTCGAATCTCCCACTGAAGGAAGAGAACTGAGCTGGTGTGAACTGCGATTGCATAGGATTCATGGTCGTATTGTGATGTGCTGGTGCTTCTTCTGCTGTTGCTGATAGATCCAGCTTCTGGTGATTCAATCTGACTATCCTGAAAAGATAAACTTGTCAAATAGCTTGCCTTGTTTGCTGATCAATGCAGAGTTGTCGCTCAACAGACAATAGCCATACTCTTCAAAAACCTTAACCCCAATCATCCTTTGCAGCTCACCAGAGCCATGTCTGCACTAGTCTCTGGAGATGCTCAATCTGTCGATGCTGCTGGTCCTTTCCAGTGTCTTTTGTTGCCTTTCCAGCTAGAGGAACCACAGCTGCTTGGTGGAGCAGCCTCAAATTCTACTCGATGTCTTTTGCGTGTTGTGTGTTTTCTTTGAGGTCCTAATCTGACATCAGCTTTATGGTATTATTAGATGTGGTATTGCAATTAGGATTGTTGGCTTCTTACTTCTCATAATCACTAAAGAGATCAAGAGCTGTCTAGGCTGGGTTGAATAAAATGAGACAAAATAATCGTTTATCTTGTTTTTACTTTGTTTTTTATCGACAGCTATCAACAATCCACGCATACTAGGATGATATTCTACAGCTGTGTGTTTGTTTTATTTGCTATTATATTCAGCTTGGTCAATGGAAAAACTGGCACTGAAATAAATTACAGGATCCCAGCAAAAAACTATGACTCAAGAAATTATTTTGTATTGGAAATACAGGAATCTAACATAAAAGACCTCCTTTCAAAAATATCAGGAATAACTTACGAACATCCCGTCAGAGGTCTAGATGATCATTATGTGTTTTCTATTGGTAAAGAAAAAGATGGTTTTTTGCAAGAATGCAAAACAAAGAGAAAAAGAAGTATTGCCAACGATTCAATCACCAATGACTATAAAACAATAAAATCTTTTTATTCAATAAGAAAAAAAAAATTATTTAAAAGATTGCCCATTCCAAATGCTTTATCAGTATCGCTGCTGGCATTGAATAAAATTGATCATTTGAAAAAGGATTTCAGTATTAATGATCCCGAGTTCCCAAACCAATGGCATTTATTTAATAAATATTATCCCCAAAGAGATCTCAATGTCACAGGATTATGGTATGAAAATATAACAGGAAGTGGGATAGTTACTGCTATAATCGATGACGGAATCGACTATAATTCAATTGATTTGAAAAACAGCTATTGCAAAGAGGGATCCTGGGACTTTAATTCGAATTCTGATTCACCATTGCCAAAATTATACAATGATTATCATGGTACAAGATGTGCAGGAGAAATCGCTGCTAGCAAAAATGATGGCTTTTGTGGAGTTGGAATTGCTTATGATTCAAAAGTCTCTGGAATAAGAATTTTATCTGGAGAAATTACAAACGAAGATGAAGCCGTAGCGTTAATTTATCGGTTGGATATCAACGACATTTACTCATGTTCATGGGGACCAAATGATAATGGACAATTACTTGAAGGACCAGATAAATTGGTTAAAGAGGCATTGATTAAAGGTGTAACTGAAGGTAGAAATAATAAAGGTGCTATTTATGTATGGGCCAGTGGAAATGGTGGAAAAAATGGAGACAATTGTAACTATGATGGATATACAAATAGCATTTACTCAATAACAGTTGGCGCAATTGATTATACAGATTATCATTCCAGCTATTCTGAGGCATGTTCTGCGGTACTAATCTCAACGTATTCATCAGGATTTGGAAAAAATATATATACGACAGATATTAATGGAAAATGCACCAATAAACATAGTGGAACATCAGCAGCAGCACCATTGGCAGCGGGTGTTTATGCGTTGTTGCTAAGTTATAAACCACAGCTAACATGGAGAGATGTTCAGTATTTGACAATATTATCATCAGTCGAAGTTGATATCAAAGACAAGAGCTGGAAAAAAAGTTTTATTTACAATAAAAGATATTCTCATGTTTATGGATATGGTAAAATTGATTCATACAAATTAATTGAATTGAGTAAAAATTGGAAGAATGTCAAGCCTCAAAGCTGGTATTATTTGCAAGTATATGATATCAATGAAGGTATTAACGAAAATGATGATATTGATAATATTAAAAGTAGATTTCAAAGTCAAAAAGATACAATTGTCAAAAAAAACTTTAAACTATTTGTTGATGAAAAAGAATTGAGATTAAATAATTTTGAAAGGATAGAACATGTTAATTTAATTATTAATTTGGACGCATCTATTCGTGGTAAAGTTGAAATAAATTTAATATCGCCCAATGGCATCAAGTCAGAGTTAGGAGTTCAAAGACCACACGATAAATCTAATGAAGGATTTCGAAATTGGTCATTTATGTCAGTTGCACATTGGAATGAAAGTGGTCATGGAGAGTGGATAGTTGAAGTTGTTAATTATGACAATGAAAATAATAACGTATTTTTAAAAAATATTCAATTGAAATTATTTGGTGAATCAATTCACTCAAATAAAGCGCAAAGTCTTGAGAAATTTGGTTACGCAAATATCGCACCATTAATTGAAAACAAATTTGAGAACAATTCCCGAGTTGAAGATATCAAGAATTATACTATCACTAACCAAAATCTTGATATAAATAAAGATTTTGGAGAGTTTAGCATGAATGTGGTTTTAATCATGTCTTTGATTTCATTAGGTGGTTTTTCTGTTTTGGGGATGTTTTACTGTTTGTTTGGCTTTAAATATGAGATAGCCACTGAGTCTGAATTTGCGCTATTGGAAAACAAAGACAGTGAAAGCGAAGAAGAAGAAGAAGAAGAAGCAATCTCGAAAGATACAGTAGAAGCACCTCGGAATGGGATTGGAATGCTGCAAGAAGAGAGTCCAAAAAATGTCAGTTCTTCCGGCAATTGAGATCTATTTAAAAGCCGAATCGGACAATTTTTTTGTTTTGATTCTTATTCTCTAAAATACATACTATCAGTAGTACTTATTTTATTTTTCTTTTGTTAGTATCTCTATATGTTCTCTTTTTTTAGCTGATTATCTAATAACAGCCGGTTTCTCATAAGCGGAAATTTATCAGATATACTAACTCAAAGCAAAAATTCAATGGGAGAAGAGGGAAGAAACAAATAATGAAGAAATAAAAAAGCTGGAAATCGTTTGATTTGGACAATTCTTGGGTTCAAAATTGTCAATGTATTGTTTGTGGAACTTTATTGAGGTAACTGCTCAAAACTTTCTCAACAAGATAGAAATAAGTATAAAATTTGAAGTGGAAATGGAAATGAAAATAAAAAAAATGCAATACTTGGTTCACTAAGTGGATATCTCCAATTATATTTATAGAAAAAATAAGAATGATAATATATAAATTAACAATAAAAATCTTTTAATGATTAACAAGATTGAAAGTTTTTATGTGATGGTAAAGACAAAATTTCCACAATTTCAAATCCTCAAGAAAGTGGTTGGAAAATGAATGTTGGTAACGCCAGCAATATTAAGAAATTGAGTATAAAACTTTGATCAGCTGTTACAGATCGTGAAATATATATCTTTATGAATAATAACAGAATAGTAAGACGCATCCAAGAATTGGTAGGGTTCTATCTCAACCTGAAGCTACAATGTTGTGAGAAAGCAGCAGAAGCAGCATCTCAAAAAGGAGCGCCATTATTTTAGAAGCGTTGAAATTTATTCAAAGTTTGAATGTTCTTTGAAATAATCTTCTTCAAGCAAAGTAACTTTTAAGCCTGGAAAAATTTTCATTAATATACCAATTTCAACCTGGGATAAGTATGTATCTTTTAATATCGAAATTTCTTTAATATCAGGCAATTATGAAAGATCTTTTTTGTTAAAACTCAATACAGATTTAGGGAGAATCAAATGACTTATGTTATTCCAGTTTGCTAGTTCCTTCACTTGTTGTAATGGATTCGAAGTTATATCTACCTTTATTTTCTAATTTTTCGAAAGAAGAACTGGTGAAGCTGTTCTTCTTGTCAATAATCTTTTGAATATTGAAGTGAAGGCCTTTCAGTTTCTTTTGAGTCATCTCTAATTTGTTTAATCTTATTGCAACTTAGATTTATAAATGAGCAATTATTTAATTGTTCCATAGATGCTAGTCATCAAATGTAACAATTTGGTTGGAAACGATTCAATTGTGGTTAAAGAATTCTCTGCTAAAACTGATTCTCTTAAGCTAACAAAAACAATAAATGAGTTGCTAATATCCAGGGTATTTATATCGGCTAAATCTAATATTTTTAAATTCGATAGCCCTTCAAGTTTTTGAATGCTGTAAATTGGCTCACAACGAGGTATAATTCTTTTAAATTTGGCAATGCATTTAGGTTTTCAATATTTTTCAGAGAATTCAATAACAACTCAAGTCGCTCTGATTTTTTGGATTTGGAGACATCATTGATTTTCGAAATGGAATTGTTTCTTAAATTTAGTTCAACTAGTCTATCGCAGCCAATTAAATCTCTAAAAACTCTTAGTCTATTAAAAGCTAATTTTAAGGTAACCAAGTGTTTTGGAAATGAAACATTTTCACTACTTTTAATTACATTATCGGATAAATCCAAATATTCTATCGGATCAGAGAAATAAATATTGTTCAATCGGGGAAATTTATTATATGTTAATTTGAGATTTTTTAAACTTTTTAGCTTTAGCAAACCAGATTCTATTTTGGATAGGTTCATACCATCCAGCTGTAACGTACTTAAGTTAAATAAATTATAATCCACATATTCATCCGAGAAGAGTAATAGGCGATTAAATTTAAAATTTTTAGATCTACTATCACTTTGAGATTGAAGATTATTCACTTAATTTGTCACCAAAGTTGATCACTATTGTTTCTTGCTAGTTATAGACAATACAAAGAATATGCTTACTTTTATAAAAACAGAGCGAAATATCGATGTTTAAATAGTAAGGTTTTCCTTTATATATATTTTTATCGTTTGCCTAATTCTCCGAATTGCATGCATTGACATGCATAAGATCAACCCAATCAAATGATTTTATCTCTTTCAGCAGTTTTTGTTTTTTGTGTTTTTTTTTTGTTTTGAAGCCTCTTTCCATTTTTCTTCACCACAGTGGCTATTTAGTTTTAGTTCCAGTGCTCTATCAGTAAATTGAATGCGAAAATGCGTGCCCAGATCAACAGAACATTATTTATATTCTCTGTGTTACTACTCCTCTTGTCCACCGGAACAAATGGTAGCACTCATGAGATGGAGGACAATGAGGATGCTGAACTCAAGGACCTCAACCATAGGGAAGTCGGTTGGAAAGCACTTCACTGGATATCATCGTTGGCTTTATTACTACTATTACCGTCGATATCTACAGTGCTATCATTTGCAGATGAACACTATTTATCAGTTTTTGCTCAGTATATCTCTGCTTCTTACTCGATTCTTGAGGTATTGTTTTTAAGGTTTCCTGATGGTGATGGGGTTGAAAATAGAACTTCGAGAGGTACTGCATGGTTTTTAATGGTTTTGACATGTTTTACTGCCTTTGTAGGAAGTTTGATCTCAGGATCAAAATTCTTTTTTTTAAAGAATAAATGGAAGAGTGGTGAGAGATCACTAATAGTTTTGCATAGAATCCTATCAATGTTATGTTTATTAACTGGCTGGGTTAGAATTTGTTTGGCTGTTGTAGCATTGTTCGGATTTTGCAGAGATTCTCATACTGGTCAATGTATTGCTCATGGGATAATGGGAACTTCATTCATACTTTATGGATCGTTATTATCGATAGTATTGGTTTTACCATGGTTAAGAAATGGAACCAACCAAAAAAATTCCCAAGAATTCTATGACTCGATAGTTATAACGGTATGGGGTTTTGTCAATACATGGACAGAACATCGTTGGGGCAAAGAACCATGGAGTCATTCAGATTATCAACACACCTCAATGGGGATAATTTGGTGGTCTGGAGGATTTTTGGGTGTATTTTTAAGCAAGAATAATCAAAGATCTTTCATTCCATCGGTAATATTGATATTTACCGGCTGGGCCATGAGCGTTCACCACCAGCATTTGGAAATTAGCACAAAGGTTCATTTTTTCTTTGGATTGTCGCTAATGATTGCTGGACTATCGAGGCTCATTGAGATAAATTTTGTTTTAAATAACCAAAGATCAATATCGAATAAAATTCTCCCTTTCCAGTACTTGCCATGTTTTTTCTTGGTTGAATCTGGTTTGTTGTTCATGGGTGCAAATGAACAACAGTTGGAGCTTGTGAATTCCTTACACGCAGACCACTCGGCTTATATCATGGTGCTAAGTTCTGGTGCTTTTCTTATATATTTCTGGGTGCTCCTATTGCTCGAGATCTACTTGTACTTGGTTGGGATAGACAAGCTCTCTGGGCAAGACTGTTCCAATGGCAGCTACCAGAGATTGGACGAGAACAGCACTCACACCAGAAACGACATTGAGCTCGAGTCCTTCAGCGACAACGAAGCAGGCTCTGTGTAGGCTCTGTAGGCTCACAGCATTGCTCTGAATAAACAGCAAACATTTCTAGCAATAGAGATAAAGAGATAAAGCGATAAAAGAAACAATAAAAAGACAAAACCTTATCGCTCTATCGCGCACGTGCTCCGGCGTTTTGATAAAAGCTGAAAACTTTTGTTGGTTCTTCTACTTTTCTTACGATTCGTGCTGTTGAGCGAAAGATGTCAAGTAATAACGATGAGATAGATGCCACCATTTCTTCCTTGATCAGATATGTCTCCAGGAACTTCTACGGAAAGTCATACGTTCTCGTTCTCGATGCGATCCTCTTGCACAGTGTTTTGTCTGAAGAGGATTTGTTATATTTGCTCAGTTTCCAGAAGAAAGAGCTAAAGGCCCTATGTACAAAATTATGCGAGGACAGACTATTGACAATGGTCTCACAGAAGGAGGTCATACAGAACCAGAACAGCAACTACTACAACAGAAGTAGAGGTTCCACCCCAGGTTCTACTCCAAACACACCCTTGAACAACAGCTCTGCCAATGGGAACAATGCCACCTCTTCAAATGCAAATTCTTCATATGGTTCATACGATAGAGAAAGAAGTGGTCAGCCTTCCTACCAGAGATATGTGACAAAAATATACTATTTTATCCATCATTCTGAGGCAATCGATTCTATCAAGTACAAAGTAAATAGAATTGTCAATTCATTGAAGGATGAAATGAACACCGATTCAATATCCCAAGGCTATATCTGCCCCAGATGTAGACAAAAGGTATCTCAAGTTGACTCAGTTCCATTGTACGATGACAACAAAGGTGAATTTGTTTGCGATGTCTGTGGTGCCTATTTGATTGATGACGATTCTTCTAAGATTGCCACCTTAAAACAGCAAAAACTAGCTAAATTACAACACCAAATTGACCCAATAATTATTTTACTAAAAAAAATAGATGATCATTGGATTCCTGAAAATGATTTCAATTCAGCTCTAGCCAAAATGATCCCAGCTCAAAGTAACTCAACCGCTGCTTATACTGTATCAACTTTCAATAAATATAAAAACCCAAATACCACTTCAAATAACAATAGTTCTTCCTCGGTAAACTCGAATAGATCCACGATAACGACTTTACATGTCAATATCACCGGTGATAATGAAGAAGAAGAAAAGAAACAAAAAGAGGAAATCGAAATTAAAAGACAAAAGGCTATTCTTAACGCTCTACCTGCATGGCATCAATCTTCAACTGTTGGTAAAACTGATTTAAACATCACTTCCAACTCTACAAATAATAAGGCCAATAACAGTGCTCAAAATAACAATACCAATAATAATAATAATAAAAATGCCAATAATAATAACAATACCAATAATAATGGCAACAATTATTCAAGTTTTAATAATGATTCTAGTAGCACAATTTCAAATGTTCTATCCGCTAAAACTAATATCACAATGAACGATAACCATAATGATTCTACCCCCAATACAACTACAGTCTCTAATAATAATGCCAATGGCTCTAATGATGCTCAGGATTTATTAACAGATTTCTTTACAAAATTGAAACAGAAAGAAAGAAATGATGATGATGATGATGACAACGATGATGATAGCGATGAAGATGATTTAGCTGAATTTGAAGATCTTTTATGATTATCTATCTAGTCGGATTTTTCATATATATTGTATAATAATTATATAGAATAAAATCAACCAATAAATGAGTATATATTCTATATTCTAAAAATTATATCATTATTAATGGGCATTAGAACTTACTAAAAAACTTCTTAATTCTATAATACTCAAAAAGAAAACTTTCATGTATGGCAGATGTTTTGTTTCTAAAATTATAACAATCACTAAGTGTTTGGTTAATATCTTGTTCAAAATCATCAACTGAATAAGCAAATTCTGTTTGTTGGACATCATTATCATCTTTAAAAATAATAAATGGTAAATTTTCAATTGCAAACGTTCTTAATTGAGAAAATTTTCCAATTTCAGAAACAGTTTTAATCAATTCTTTATAATAATGCTTGATGACTATCGAAAAATCAACAGGTAAAAACTTTTTTAATAAATCATGGTTTGTATCAACTCCCAAATAATTATTCATCCCATCCTCACGATAATAAACAATTTTACTATCTATGTTGTGTTTATAAGATAAATTTATATGAAAATCACCATAGATTTCATTGAATTTTGTAGTGCTATTTAATCCTAAATAATCATTCAAACCTTTATCAGAGGCTGACACGCCAAAGCTATTAAAAAAGTTTTGAAATTCAGTTAGTCTATCGTAATTTTGTATAAGTGCATTGTTTAGATCAATTAGATCCATGCCCTTAGGATACTCTAATTTCGATTTTAAAAAGTTTAAAAACCGTTGACATGTAGAGCATAGACAAAAATTAATGGATTTTTGTTTTAAAAAACTAATTTTTTTTTGATGATTTGATTCTTCATTACCGAAATCCTGAAATGTTTTATCAACGTATTCAAATAGTAAATAGTGTAAAAAAAATTTTGAAAACTCTCCTTTTAAATATAAATGATTCAAACTCAGCAAATTTGTTAATTTTGAATTTAGAATAAACTTTTTCAAAGTTATTAAAATTTTGCCACAAAATGAATCTAAATGGTTTAAATAATCATAAACTTCAGTGTAAATAGAATCGGATGTATAGCTTGAATAGTCTTTAAAATCCAAAGAAATTATTTTGATATTTGGTAATTTAGTGAAAACTAGAGTAAAACAATCGTCCAAAGCCTGTTGGTCATTAATTGGGACTGCAGAAAAAGCAATTTCTTCCAAATTTATTATATTATTATTATTTTGTAGAATTGTATGTATAATAGTTTTCATACAAGTGCAGTTATTAGGAGTATGAGTAAGTTGACATAAAGTATCTAAAGTGAGTTTTTTCAAAAAGGGATATTGAAAGATTTTAGTGAAAAACAAGGTTGATTTTTTATTTACTATTGACAAGGAAAACTCATAGTTTAGAATAAGATTCAAGTTTAAATTGGGATTTTGAACTTCGTTTAATTTGTTTTCAATTGCAAAGGATTTATAATCTAAAATAGTTAAAATGTTTTCATAAATGTAGTTATTATCCCAAAGATGTAAGATGAGCAGTTTCATATTTCTATATGTTTGTAATGAGCTTTTTAATAGAAGAATTTGATATTCATGTAATTGAGACAGCACGTAGTCATTAATATCATCGTTGTTATTTGTAGTAGTAGTAGTAGTAGTAGTAGTAGTAGTAGTAGTAGTAGTATTGTTATTACTATGATTAAGTATGATATTTTGATGTTGAAGCAAATTTAAGGGCTTATTATAAAGATATTCAGCTCGATTATGGACATCAAAATAAGAATAATTTAGTAGATTGTAAGAATTGGGTTTTAACCAAAAGAATCTGATATCAGTTGATAAAATTTGAAGAGAACGATGTAAAGACATGTCACTGAATTCAATCGAGAGTAGATTATGTGAGAGGTTTATTATATCTTCGATTAATATATTGAGAACCATACAGTCAAATAAATTTTGCTTGAATGAATTTGTGGTCAAATCAATAAAGATTTTTTTAACTTTTGATTGCAAAAGTGGTTTTAGACGAAAAGAAGTAGCTAGTCTTAGAATGCATTTGAAGAATTTTTCTAGTCTCAAAAAATTGTAGATTCTATAACAGGCATTATAACTAATGATCTTGCCATCAGAATCTCTCAAATAACTTTGGTTTAGATATTTTTTGAGCGAATCTGAATCTAAACAGTCATAGGCTATTGGTTTGACATTGGATAAAAGTTTGAAGGGAATTTGAAAATAAGTCCAATTGATGGGAAACATGTTTTGATAATTTTCGTTATCGGGAATTAAAAGTTTATAATCTTGGATGTAAATATTTCTGTATAGTTTATCAGTGGATAAATTATAAAATAAAGAATTGGTTAAGGCTAGATTGAGTAGTTCTTTTTGAGTTAGGCAATCAACAATGATTGTTAATATATGACGAGGCAAGATTTCAATTATACTTTCCTTGACTTTTGGGTTGTTATGGTTTAATATTTCGAAAAGCTTGGGTTCATTTTCAGTGAAACTGGTATCAGTGATAACAATTAAATCTTCATCTGAGTTCGTTAGCTGGTCTGGAGAACTGTTTGGTGACATTGTGGTTGGTGCAAATAAAAACAAGCAATGAGTAAGTAAATAGATAGAGGTTTGTCAGCAACTGCAAATCAATAAAGAAACATGGCAGAGGCAGAGATAGAAACCATTTCATAACTGTATTCCACTCTCAATCAAGTGAGAGGATATAATCAAAATGGACCTGACCTCGAAAACCCCGTTTCGAACACGTAAGATCGGGATAAAATCAAACCGGAAAATTGACAAACGTACCGGTGATTTTCGGGTTTCTGCACGTCAATCCGGTTCGCTATCGACCACTACCGGAAGCCGAACAGCGCTTCCCTCCTTGTGGTGGTTTTCTACAGGCCTTTTGAGGTTCGTGAAGTCTTATCTTCACACAGCACTTACTCCCGAGTCTTATCTTTAAGGCCTATCTTTAAGGCCCATCTTTAAGGCCCGAAGTGCTGTGGGCCATTTCATAAATATTTATTGAAAGAGACAAGTTTGCGCAACTATAACGATAACTAACTACAAAGCGAGACTAGAACAGGGTGCATCAGAACTTGCCTGTAAAATCAATCTCACCATCTCTGGTTCCATTGTCGAATGTTGAGGCAGAAGGCGTCGAGCAATCGCAAGCAGGTTTTTCACCACAGGCACAACTTTCTGGCATTTTGGGTCTGAAGGGGAGAGAAATGGGGAGAGTGGAGGACTGTAGGGTGTTTGTAGAGTATGATACGATACGACACAATATAATATGATAATATGATGTGATATAGCAGACTGCAGAGTATTGTCTAAGAATATTATCTAGAAATATTATCTAGAAATATTATCTGGAAAGACTGGCTAAATATGAATTGGATACTGTTGGAGAGGCTATCTAAGAAAGAGCACTCTGGTAAAAGAATAACGAAGACATGGACTGATATTTATAGGAATGGCCCTTTTCCAACAGCCAATTGTCTCTGGTCGATTGTTCTCTCCAGTTACTTCCCAAAGCTAACGAGGTCGACTTACTGGGCTTTTGTATACCAAACTTTAATGTTCCAGCTGAAATGTGTCTTTTCTCTTCTTTCTCCAATATATATTCACCCCAAATTCATGAAAGGTTCATGCAAAGCTCATGAATAGTCGATGGCCCATATCCTCCTTCTCTCGCTGTGCTTTTTATCGAACCTCCTGGCTCCTGTCCAAAATGAGCACTTCTTCGTCTACCCCCATCTATACTGAGCTGAAAGTCAACCTCAACAAACCTCTTCATGAACACAGAGAATACAGATTTTTCACTTTGCAAAACCAGCTCGAGGTCTTGCTAATTCACGACCCTGATCCTACCCACATCAAATCCACTGCTTCTTTAGATGTCAACGTTGGTTCCTTCAGTGATCCTCCACATTTAGAGGGCCTAGCTCATTTCTGCGAGCATTTGTTGTTCATGGGCACCAAAATGTTTCCCAATGAAAATGACTATCTGAAATTTCTATCAAACCACTCTGGCTCTTCAAATGCTTATACTGCGACTGAACACACAAACTACTATTTCTCCATCGACTCAAACTATCTTCTTGAAGCTCTAGTTAGGTTTAGCAGGTTTTTCATTGATCCTCTTTTCTTAAAGACCTGTCAAGATCGAGAAATTATCGCTATCAATAACGAAAATAACAAGAATTTGCAAAATGAACATCGAAGATTCAACCAAATCTTCAAATTCTTAATCGATCCTATTCATCCCTACAGCAAATTTACAACTGGTAACTTGGACACTCTTAAACATGATCCAGAATCAAAAAACATTGACATTAGAAATGAGTTGATAAATTGGTACAACAACCACTACTCAAGTAATATAATGAAATTGACCATTCTATCAAATTTAAAAATCAATGACATTAAATCAGAAATTTTCCACATTTTTAATCAAATTCAAAATAAGAATCTAAATTTATCTCAAATTCAATCTTACAATAACATCCTAATAAAACCAATAAACCCTCAATCAAACTGGATCACCTATAAATCAATAAAGGAAATTAAATCTCTAAAATTAGTATTCCCCATAAATTTATCAAAGGTTGATTATTACTCCTACAATCCTTTTAAAACCATCTCCCATTTAATTGGTGATGAAACTGATGGCACCCTATTGAAATACTTGAAATTTAATAAAAACTGGTCCACTAATCTAATGACAAGTTTCCAGCTAGTCTCTGAAAATAATTTTCTCTTCATAACAGAAATCCTTTTAACAAAGTCTTCTTTCAAGAATAACGAAATCATCTCAGAAATATTACTCAATTTCTTTCAATACATCAAAATGCTATCCTCCTTAAATGAACACCAATTACGAAGAATTAACAATGAAATTGACCAAATTTCAAAGATTAATTTCAGATTTAAAGAAAATTCCTCCAATGATAATAACACTGTTTCAAAATTATCAAATGACTTGCATCTCAATGAATTCTCTAGAGACCATCTTCTCGACCATGATTATAAATTCACCACAAAATTTAATTTCCACAAAATTAACCATTTCTTAAAGTTGCTCAATCCTGATAACCTATTAATATTTCAAGGAAATAATGAATTTGAAGGGTTACAATTACCTTTAAAGGAAAAAATATATGGCTCCCAATACGCAAAACAATCAATTAACCCAGCTTTACTAGAAAATTTGAAAAATTGTCTTCCAAACCCAAACTTCCACTTACCTGCTCCAAACCCTTTGATTCCTCAAAATTTCGATATATTAAACCAAAGACATGATATCTCACACATGATGAAAAGACAACCTCTACTATTAAGACAATCAGATTACTACAATATTTGGTTTAAACCAGATGATTTCTTTGGTCAACCAAAAGGAAATATATATCTAAATTTTAAAACCCCAATAGCAAACTCATCTCCAATCAACCAAACTTTGACAGCCATCTTTTTAGAATTGTTTCTTTTAAAATTCAATGATATGATTTATTTTGCAAAACTTGCCAGCATAGGTTTGGTAATGAGCAGAAATACTACCGGTTTTAATATAATAATTCAGGGCTTTAATGATAAAATTTTGTCCTTTTGTAAAAGTTTGTTATCGGATTTAGCAGATTTTCACAATGACACAGAAATCATTAATTCTCAAAAATTTCACATTGTCAAAGAACAAATAATTAAATCATACATGAACTCAGAATTTAAAGAACCCTATAGACAAACTCTTAAATATTTTAAAAATATCATTCACGACCAGTCATGGACTTCAGATCAAAAATTGTACTATTTGTTTAATGAAACAATTGACGAAAATAGCACATTGCAGCAGAAAGAATTTATAAACTTAGAATCGTTCAAGGTCTTTTCTAAGCAATTGTATGATCAGCTTTTTATTGATGTTCTTGTTCATGGAAATTTCAAAGATTCAATTGATTCGCCAATTGCTGATCAAATTGAAAAAATTATATACTCATCTTTCGTTAATAATTTGTCATCTCAAAACTTGGATATTGCAAAATTATATCTGAATCAAATCACAAATAGTTATCGTTCCTACTTGTTACCAAAAGGAAAATCTTATTCTCATAAAGTTGTTTTTAAGAAAAATGAAACCCCCAATTCAGCTATTGACTATTTCATCCAAATAGGTGATCTGTTTGATATGTATAAAGGTTTTGAAAGCATACACGAAACAATGACAAACATAGAGGATGATGCCACAAGAAAACATATTAACAATGCTAGAAAATTAATGATGTTGTATCTACTTGATGAATTTATCCACGAGCCTGCTTTCAATCAGCTAAGAACAAAAGAACAACTAGGTTACATTGTCTTTGCCAAACCTAGAATGGTTCATCTGACGGTTGGTTATAAAATCATTGTTCAGTCACATAGAAGTTCAAAGTACTTGCAATCAAGAATCAATAATTTTTTCAATAATTTTATGAAAGATTATATCCACAATCTCACAGACAAAGAATTCGAAGTGAAAAAGAACTCACTAAGGATTAAATTGAAATCATCAGTTTCACAGCCAGTGAACTTCCGAAATTTAAATTCTGAGTTTTACTTTTATGCTTCCAAAATCCTGTCTAATTTTTATAATTTTGATTTAGTTTTCAAACAACTTTTCCTTCTAGGCTTTGAGGACAATGGATATGAAATCACGAAACAGGATATTATCAATTTTTACGATGAATACTTTCTTAATTCTAAGAGCAGTGCTAAGCTTATCCTTCATTTGGTTTCATCGAACAAGAAAACTGAAGACCAGAAAATTAAAGATCTTCAAATAAATGATGGTGATTATGACGAAATAACAGATATAAATGATGCCAAAAGTCAAATGGTGTTAACGAAATCTCCAATACCATTAAAACCACTTCAAAATTATTATAAATTATAGAGTATTTTATAGATAGATGTTCCTAGATATTCTCACATTTTGTTTCTGCATTTTATTAAAAAATAAATTGACATACGCCTCAAACAAATATTCAGCCATTTGTTTTAATACATCAATGTAATTTTCAATTAAAACTAGTTCTAACTTTATTAAAAAAAGCATTTCAAAAACCTAAATTGTAGATATTAGTTTCTATCCTGTATCTGACAAATCAATTTATTATTAACGTTAGATATAAACTAGTGACTAATGGACTTTCTCCTTCTTGATTGATAAGAAAGATACTATTGAACTGCCCGTAAATTATATTTCATTCCATGTTCTCGATGGTTGTCTTTCAGTGTGGTGTGGAACAAAAAAGTTGTAACCATTTTTATTACTACTTATTTGTTGAGATTAATCATAAGGAATACAAGTTCTATTGTAAACAGGAACAGGGAAGATAGAGAAATAAATCAATAGTTATGTAAAAACACTAAATAAAAACGGAAAGTTTGAAAGTTTGAAAGAATAAAATAATATAATAATAAGATTTAATTTTCACCGAAAACAAAATCAGAAACATTTTTTCAATTTATTTAATATTAGAGATACAAAATAATTTTTTTTTCAAAAAAGTTGAAGAAAATCACCTAAAAAGATAAGTATAGATGAGAAAACAATTAAGTATTCATGTAGGTTGATGGGTCGACACCTTCCTCAGGGAAGTCTTCGATTTTGACATCAAATCTGTCTTGAATTTTAGATAAAATTTCTTCGTCGGCAGATGATGAAACAAAAGAGATTGCTAAACCTTTGGTACCAAATCTACCAGCTCTACCAACTCTATGTAAGTATTGATCAGCTTCATTTGGTAAATCATAGTTGATAGCTAGATTGATTCTTTCAATATCGATACCTCTACCGAAAACATCAGTTGAAACACATATTCTTTTGTTGAATTCTTTGAAAGATCTATATCTTGCAATTCTTTCTTCTTGAGCCATGTTTGAGTGAACAGCAATAGAAGGAAAGTTGCATTGACATAATAAATTGTTTAATTCATTAGCTCTTGCAGTTGATTTGACAAAAATAATAACTTGGTTGAATTCAAGGTTATCTAGTAATTCTGATAGTTTTCTGTTCTTTTCAGCCTCACTTAATTTGATGTAATATTGTTGTAGACCATGTAAAGTCAATTTAGCTTCGTCATCGACATAAATTTCTAGAGGATTTTGCATGAATTTTTTACAAATTGGTCTAATATCTTGAGACAAAGTGGCAGAAAACATCATGACTTGTTTTTGGTGAGGAGTTGATCTGAAGATGTCTTGAATATCTCTTCTCATATCAAAACTTTCCAAGACTTTATCACATTCATCAATAACAAAGTTTTCAATATTATTTAAACGTAAAAATTTTTCACGAACCAAGGCGTGTAATCTACCTGGGGTACCAACAACGATGTGAGGACAGGTTTCTTTATTTTTCAATTTTTCAGCGTCTTTTTTAATGTCAGTACCACCGTAAAAGACTTCAGTACGAACATCAGGCATATATTTACTAAAACGAGAGTACTCGTTTTTAATTTGGTAGGCCAACTCTCTGGTGTGACAAATGACAATTGTTGAGATTTTACCAGGAGATGGTTCAAGCTGTTGTAAAGTAGATAAAACAAAAACAGCGGTTTTACCTAGACCTGATTTAGCTTGACATAAGACATCAGTACCAAGAATTGATTGTGGAATACACACTTGTTGGACTATAATTAAAAAAAAAATGTTAGTTTAATTTCAACAGTAAAAGATTATTTTTATTTTTTTTTATTTTTTTATTCTTTCTTTTAAGAAAAAGAATACAAAAATAAAAAGAATTGAAGTGAAGTGAAAATTAAAACTAGTTGAACTAGGATTAAAAAACAATTCAAGAGTGAATAATTAATTTCCAAGTAAAAATAGATTAATAATGAATTTGGTTTGATTATCCCTGTTTGGTTATATTGGAATTTGATAATTTAAGATATACGTTTTATGTGATAAAAGTGAGTAAATCCAAGTCAATCACACTTTTGTTTTTCTTTGTTTCTGAGTAATTTGATTGTTCAAAAACAATTGACCATTTTTTGTTAATGAAATGTTGAATAAGTTGAGAAAACAGGAAAAAAAGATAGGCAATTGATAATTAATAAAGGTTTTTAAAGAAATCAAAGGATCCATGTAAAAAATAGTCTAGATAAATAAAACAAGAAAAGTAAAAGAGAGGTGATGTGGTATAATATAAGAGTAAAATACAATGTGATATAATATATGGGTTTTAAAGATGAAAAAAATGAATAAAATTGCTTAAAGGCCTGAGATGGTTGAAGATAAAACCGGTTGAAATTGGTTGAAGATAAAATAAATTGAAAAAATGAGTAAAAAGATATAAATGGAAAATGGATAGAGATAGAAGTAAAGGATATATGCTTTTGAAAACATGGATGAGATTAAAATAGAATATGGATATGGATATGTATATGGATATGGATATAGATAGAAATCGGTTAAAGGTGAGATAGGAATCGATTATAGTTGGTATAAAATCTTGAATTGTCAATTCCAATATAAGCAAACCAAAGATATAATCAAGTCAATTTCATTAAATTTCTTTCAATTGAATACAATAGGATGGAGGAGGTGATTATAATAGTTGGAATAATTTACTAACCTTCAGATGGATGTTCGAACCCACAATCTTTGATTGCTCTGATTAGTTCGGGCTTTAATAAGAAATCATAAAAGGTTGTGGCATGAATTCCAACATAAGAACCCTTTTTATCTTCAGCAGTTGATGAGCCATCAGTTTTCCTTTGATCATCACCAATTGAAGATTTATTATTATTTAAATTACTTTTACCATCTGTGGAAGTGGAAACCGGTAAAACGTTAATTTCTTCATCAGAGTAATCTAAAAGCTCTTCTTCACTTTCATGAGACATCTTGGACGATTTCAAAGTGTTCTGTGGGTCGACTGACTAATTTGTAATAGATATATGTGTGTTTGAATGATCCTGAGGAAAAAGAGAACCAATTGAAGAGAATAACAGAAAGGATTGCAGTTTCAGCGAAGTGATAAAGAACTGGGAAAAGTGGTCAAAAGTTGCTTCTTCCACGTTTTGCTTTTTGTTTTTTTTCAAGGAGGCAAAATTTCAATGCAAATTTTCACCCAAAAAACTGCAATCACGTGTTGTTAGTGTCAACGTGATCCGATACATTTCCGGTAAATCCCGAAGAAGCAGTCATCGGCAGGCATTGTAGAGGACCCGCGTATGAAAACAATCTAAGACAGCAAACTGCTGGAGAGTGCGTGTGCATTAAAACCATAGCCATGGTAGAGGTCTATGATATCAATGAATGCCATCTTACCAGTACTACGAGTGCCAGGGCAATAAAAAGACCATTTCTTCGCTTTTCAATGTTTTAAATGATATTGTTTGATAGATTTAAGTACCTCAAACAGCTCAATCTTTCTAGATTCTCAATTCTCGTAATCGGATTATAATTCAATGTCAACTTTTTCAATTTAGTTAGTTTATTCAAATTCTCAATTTTATCAATTGAACTGGAGGAAGATGATAACTCTTCTAGATTGATTGGTTTATTTAGATAGTTTATTTCTCTAAATAGACAGTTATGAAAAATTAATGTTCTTAAACCAATCAAGCCATTTAATTTACCTCTCTCTGCGAAATCGCCATGCCTTATATATAGATATTGTAAATCAGTTAACCCATCTAAATTGTTAATCCTAACTTCCTGTATTCCAATTATTGTGATGCTCTTCAACAGAGGGAATTTCCGTTTACTAAATATCTTTGGAACCTTGTCACAAGTAATAGTGAAATCCTTTAAATTTTTGAACTTTGCAAGACTTCTAGGAGACAAAATATCCCTACTAAAACCTAACCTCAAGCGATTCAAATTATTATAAACTTGACCATTGAGATTGTCAAGAAATCCAAAATCGCCAGCATCAAACTCTGCAAAACGAAATACTCGCAAATCTAGTGCATTTAAATTTAGACAATACTTTAATTCATTTAAAACCCCCAATGGTCTATTGAAATTTGGATGGACATACCCGATTTTAATTTCTCTTGAATTATTGGAGGTATTTAATATAACCTTTGTGATTCTATCAATTTCTTTAAAAAAAATTGCTGGGGTTGAATCCGAGCACAGAATATGTAATTCAAATGAATCCAATTTATCCAATTTTGCTCATTCTAATAATTTTATATCATCCAAATAAACACAATTACTGGTTTTCCCACAAGATGGTCTTATTTAACTTGTAATTCAGCTTTTACACTTCTCAATTTCGATTGGCTTCTCAATAAGCTTAATGAAGTAGTATATCTCTTTTATAATCCAATCTTATCAAAATTAGATGTTTATAGTCTCTGTCTTGTGTATTGCCACAATATCAAAATCCATTCTAATTGTATAAATGAAACCCACAATTTAACCTGTCTGTTCCAACTTTGCAACCTACATTAATCATATTAAACCGCTTGCAACAATCCCTCAATTTTCTTCAATAAGACTGCAATTAAAATACAAATCACTCCCATTGTTGAAAAAACTCACTATAGTAACTGTTTACAACCACCCTGTGTAAAACAACTACCAAATACTTGTGAACTTGCTGAGTTCCATAGCAGTTATAACACGCCACATATGAAATCCATCTCATAACCCAAGAGAATCCAGTAATGGTTGTTATTTATCTCCAATCCACTTTACTTAGTTTTGAAAACCCTATCAATAGCCTTGAATGTGTGCAAATATCTTAATATACTATTTCGTTTGTAATTTGATTCTAGTTTTGTCAGTCCCTCTAATTTCTACGATTTACCACTTTGAAATCTTTTAATTTTTTTAATTTTCTTGTCCCAATTGTCCCAAGATTATAATTATGATCCAATTTGAGATAGGTTAAATTTTTCAATCGAGAAAGATTCATGATTTTGCGAATATCGTTTGCCAGCAAATTCAAATGAGTTAAATCAACTAATGTAGACAAGTTTTCAATTTTATCAATACGATTGAAAGATAGGTTTAGATTTACCAAATTAACCAATGATGATAATCCCCTAATTTTTTTTATTCGATTTTGCGACAAATCCAAATTGGCTAAGCTGGTTAAATTATCTAAGTTTTCAATGTTTTCAATTTCATTTGCTGTTAGATCTAAATGCTTCAAATTGGTCAATCTTTCTAGATTTTCAATTTTTGCAATAGAATTATGATTCAATACTAGCTTTGTCAATTTAGTTAATTTATCCAATTTTTCAATTTTTCTGATGCAATTAAAAGAAAGCCATAACTCTTCTAAGTTGATTAAATTGTCTAGATTGTTGATTTCTATAATTCTGCTATTCGAAAGCGATAAAATTTTCAAAGTAATCAAGTGGTTTAGATTTTCTATCTTTGTGATATTTCTAGAGATTATAGATAGACATTGTAAATTAGACAAGCCATCCAAATTTTGAATCTGAATTATTTTATGACCATATATTGACAATTTTTTCAACATGCTCAAACTCCATACACCAAAAATTCCCGGCATTGTATCACAGATAATACATAAATCCTTTAAATTTTTAAAGTTTATAAGATATTCGAGAGACAAAAAATTTCTCTCAAAATTCAATTTCAAGCGATTCAAATTATTATGAACATGCTCATTGCAATTTCCAAGAAATTCAATATCATTAGCAACAAACATTGGAAGACGACATACCTCCAAATCTAGTGCTCTTAAATTCAGGCAATACTTTAGCTCATTCAAAAATTTCAATGTTCTATTAGAATATGGATAGTTATATCGGATTTTAATTTTTCTTAAATTATCAGAGCTTTTCAATATAAGCCCTGTCATTTTATCAATGTCTTCAAAAAGTGTTTCAGAGAATAAGTCCCCATAGTAAACATGTAATTCAAATGAATCTAATTTATCTAATTTTTCCCATTGAATTGATTGCAAAATATCAATGCTATCAATACTAAAAAACTCATTTGCACTTTTAAAAATGATTCTCAATTTTTTACAAAAGTATATTAGCTGATCTTTGAAAATTTTGAGATGGTCAAAATCTATTTGCAACATTGATAACTTATTAATTGATGCCATATCNCTTATGATAAAACTTTGATACAATAAACTCAGAGCAACAGTCCTGATGAACCCATTATCTGAGAGCGTAAACAACCACAATTTACCCATAGGCAACTGTTTCATTATTATTTGAATCAATTCAAAGGGCAACTCATTATGAGTAACTTCTCTAACAGATAAGTTTCTGAAATTGTGAGATAACTCTTTGACATCCATTGTGCAATTCAAATCAACCTGCTTTGCTCTCTAATAATAAATAATATGAAGCAGAAATATCTCATAAGCAAATCAAGATCTATAAAGGATCCAAGACACAATATCCAATATATTCAAATGACACTTTGATGGTAATAAGAATTAAAATCAATTGAGCAGCGCAAGAGAATCGGATTAACTTGCGCAATATAACACCGCAACATAACCTCGCAACATGTGTTAAAACACCCTGAGAGTTATCCAAATTAACTTGCGCGACTTATCGCACGACTTATCACGCAACTTATCGGCCACTGATAGGAAAGATAAGAAAACGCTCGTGAAGTGTATAAAAGAACTGGATCTGCTTCTTTTTCCTTTTTTATTTTTGTTATATCTTTGTTTGTTCTTGTGATACTGCTTGAGTAACATTCAAAACAACAGGAAAAGCTGTTTTGCAACTGACAGAGGATTGGTAAATCACTGGTAATTCAACTGCTTTTCTTTTCAGTCGCCTTTCTTTTCTTTGTTTGTTTACATGAACAATTTATGCTTTCTTGCCCCTTGAACTCCACTCGTCTTCATTCTAGGTCAAAAATCTATTATATGCGTCGTTATTTCTTCAATTCGTCTCTTTCTTCTTCAAACATCTCTGACTATACCGATAAAAGCACACAATTTTCTGAATTTGATTTCAACAATACAATGGCTGATCAATTTGGTGGCATTTCTATTTCTTCATTAAAATCTTGGGACAAAGATTTTAAAGCAGATTCAACAACCCAATTGGCATCAAGAATTCTAACCAATGCTGATCCTGATGAAATCTTAGTTGATAGAAATAGCTTGCTTAAAAACTATTCAAACGTGTTTTCAAATAAGATTAAAGTCGAAGGTTCCCCAATTACAAATCAGAAATCCTCTGGTAGATGTTGGTTATTTGCTGCTACTAATATCTTGCGAATTCCCTTGATAACTAAATATAATTTAAAGGAATTTCAATTATCACCAACATATATCTTTTTTTATGATAAGTTGGAAAAATCGAATTTTTTTTTGCAACAAATCATTTCGACTTATAAAGAACCTGTCGACTCAAGATTGGTTCAACATTTACTAAGCGACCCTGTTAGTGATGGTGGTCAATTTGATATGTTTATCAATGTTATCAAGAAATATGGTATTGTTCCAAATACAATTTTCCCTGATACGTTTTCATCAACAGCTTCTAGAAAATTGAACTCTTTAATTACAACCAAATTAAGAGAATTTGCTGAAATCCTAAGAGGTAATTTGGAAAAGGATCTTTCTGTTGAGGAATTGGTGATTGATATGCAAAAGGATATTTACAGACTATTAACTTTATTTCTTGGTACTCCTCCAAAACCAAATGATGAGTTTACTTGGGAATTTTACGATAAAGATTCAAATTACAGTGGGTTAACTTTTACTCCATTATCATTTTTCAATGATATAATCAATAAGGAGTTTAATATAACTGATAGCATCTCTTTACTAAATGACCCAAGAAACCCCTATGAAAATATGATCAAGATTGATAGACTAGGTAACGTTTTTGGTTCTAAAATTGTTTCTTATTTAAATTTAGACATCTCAATCTTAACAAAGGTTTTAGTTGACAGAATTAAAAACAATAAACCTGTTTTCTTTGGGTCTCATACACCAATGTACATGCATAAAAAACTTGGTGTTATGGATATTCAATTGTGGGATTATAAAGTTATTGGGTTCAAACCAAAACAACTAAAGGCTTCAAGATTAATTTACCACCAATCCTTGATGACACATGCAATGGTTATCACTGCTGTTCATATCGATCCAAATACCAACAAGCCGGTTAGATATAGAGTTGAAAACTCCTGGGGTGAAACAACTGGTATCAAAGGTTATTATATCATGACCCAGGAATATTTCGAGGAATATTGTTATCAAATTGTTTGCGATAGAGAAGATATCAAAGAATATCTTTATTTATTGGAAAAGGAACCAATTGTCTTGCCTCCTTATGATCCATGTGGATCGTTGGCTATTTGTGGCAAGACTGATATTAATCTTTAATTTTAAATATTTATAGATTTTTATATACTATTAGTATGCATTTATTAGCAATTACTAATTATTACTAATTATTGCAAATTATTGCAAATTATTACGAATTGTTACCAATTATTAATAATTATTACTACGTATTTATTAAAACCTGAATTGAAACAATTAAATATATGATGAGTGATTTTATTGCTAAAAGAAAAATAAATAAATTAAAAAAAACAACAGTAACAATAAAGACTATTCATTAAATATATAAAAAAAAAGAGGATTAAAAAAAAATAAAAATAATAATATCATTCATTACCAAAAGAAAATCAAAAATCAAAAATCAAAAAAAGATATAAACTACTTATATACTGCTTATAAATTTTCAGGTCTTATTACAGGCCATTGATAAGTTTCATTGTTTGTAAATTTGTAATTGTGCTCATTTAAGAACTTATCTAAACCTGGAGGGCTTCTAGCACCATATGGGTATTTGACTGGAGCTGGACCATCTGGACCCTCCAAGTAATTCAACAATGGAGTAAACAATTTCCAGCTAACTTCCAATTCGTCGTCTCTAACGAAGTTTGAATGGTCGTCGTGTAAACAATCTCTGATTAGGGATTCATAAGCTTCTGGAATCCAAAAGCTTTCGTATCTTGAATCGTAGGACAAATCTAAGTCAGTTAAAGTTGTTGAAGTAGCCAAACCCGGCAATTTGGCGTTGATCTTTAGGTAGATAACTTCCTTTGGTTGGATTTTGATGACCAATTCGTTTCTGTCAATGTTTTTAAAGACACCTCTTGCGACTTGTTTGAATTGGATTCTGATTTCAACTTTGCCGTCGTTAAGAGCCTTTCCTGCTCTCAAGATGATTGGAACACCATCCCATCTTTCGTTTTCAATGTTGATTGGAATGGCAGCGTAAGTGACACATTTTGAATTTGGATCAACGGTTTTGTCGTCCAAGTAGGAAGGTTTTGTGCCATCGAGGGATTTGTCGTACTGAGCGATAAGGATGTCATTCAAGTCAATGGGGGAGATTGATTTTAGTAGTTTGACTTTTTCGTCTCTAATGGCTTCCGGATCAAAGCTGATGGGTCTGTCGATAGTTAATAGAGTCAAGACTTGTAGTAGATGGTTTTGGATGACGTCTCTAATTATGCCGATTTTATCAAAGTAACCACCTCTACCTTCAGTGCCAAAGGGTTCTTTGAAACTGATTTGGATTGAGCTTATGTGTTTTCTACTCCAGGAGGCACCAAAGAATTCGTTACCAAATCTTAGGACTAGTAAATTTTTGACCATTTCTTTGCCCAAGTAATGATCGATTCTGTATAATTCATCTTCGGACCATAGGGGAGCCAATTTTGATTGCAATTCTCTGGCCGAGGGTAAGTCGTGGCCAAAGGGTTTTTCAACAATGATTTTTGCGAAACCAGTGCCCTTTTCTGGGTAATTGTTTTCCTTTAAATTTCTAGCGACATCAACAAAAGCAGAAGGAGGCAATGCCAAATAGTATAATCTTTGGGAGAAGAATTTGTTTGAGTCATTTGTGTTGTAGGTTCCAGAGGGAGAATTTTTGAGTAGGGATGAGTCAAATTCGAGGAGTTTTGATTCCAATTCTTTGAAACCAGTGTTTTTATCGTAAGGACCAGATAAGTAGTCAATTAGGGTTAAGAATTTTTCCTTTTTCTCTGAGAATACTTGTTCAGATATGGGAGATTTCTTGTATTTTATAAAGGAGGCAATTCTCGATTTGAAGTCGTCAAGTGGTATACTTGTCCTTGCGTAACCAAATATTTTAATGTTTTTTGGCAATTCGTCATGAAGGTATAAACCAAACAAGGCAGGGAAGGTTTTCTTTTTGGCCAAGTCGCCGGAGGCACCAAAGACGACAATTGCACAATGATCTTTAAAGACAGCTCTAACCATTATGAAGGATACAAAGGGGATACAAAGGGATATAGGAGATGAGATGCGATGAGATTGAAGATACAAGTATGTCGATGACTGTGGTTGGTGAAGAAGCAGTCAATTGAATTAGAAGAGGAAGAATGAAGATATAGAGAAAGAGGATAGAATGAAGAGAAGGGGATAAGAAGAAAAGCAGATAGTTGGAGGATATTTATATTAAAAAAAAAGGATAAGCAGAAAAAAAGTGGGAGGAAGATTAGTGAGTAACCAGATAAAACAGAGGACGCAAAGGGCTAAACGATGATGACGTATGGTAACGAGAGAAAACCCCAGCAAAAGAACAGTATCGGGAAGGCCGTGGGATTGGGAGATGGGAAGCAGAGGAGGTTCGAGATGTGGTCGCCCTGAAGTTGAGAAGTTGGGGATTTTTGCGCTAATGCCTTTAGTCAATAGGAGGCGACCAGGAGTGAGTGAGCTGCGATAGGTTGTTGGTATGTGATTAGTGGATGGTGAATAGGCAAGTGTCTGAAGTGTCTGGAGTGGCATTAAATGGTATTAAAGGATATAAAGCGATTAGTGGGTAGTTACCGAATGATAGCAACTGTTGGCCCTGTCCGGATAGCCAGAGGTTGCGCTGGCGAGGCTCAAAAAGCAGCACAAGCAGCAAAAACACCAAAAGCAGCAGAGCAGAGGCAGCAAAGGAGCACGAAAGCGACAGTTACAGGGCAATTGGTGCTAGTTTGGGGCCTCTGCTGATAGCACACTATATCCATAGAGCCTGGGCCATGATGATCTTGCAGCGTGAATTTCATTCGCCGATAAGATGTTGTGATTACATGTATTCTGAATGCTAATTTACAATTGAGCAGTGGGAAATAATTGAAGAAGAAATGCAAATTTGCTGCACAGTAGTTGGATTAGAGCAACGTATTATTTAATAATAGAATAAAGAGCTCCAGAGACTCAGTGAATCTTAGTTACAGAGGGGTTGATTTGGCTGGATGTGAAAAGATCACACTCCTATTCTCTTTAAAAGCGCTGCGTCCTTTGGAAAATGGCTGGACGTGGAGTTTGATTTGAAACTGGATAGAACTGATCCAGGGAAAACTGGTAACTGGTTTAATGCACAATCGATGGTAGAGTAATGGGTTTTCAATGCAAAACATTTATACAAATGAGTAAAACGGATAAAGATTTGATTAAGATTTAGAATAACCCTTTCCAACATTTTGAATATTTCCCAATTGAACAAACCTGGGTTGGAACCGGCAATTTGCACGATTTTTGGCCGGAAAGCGTATGAGCTTACAAATCAAGACTGTGATAAGCGTATTGTGTAAGCACACGTGAAAGTGTTACGTAAGCGTGCTACATAAGCGTGCGCGATTTTTATGTTTGGGATCTTTCTTTTGATTGTCTTCCGTTTGAGTTCCATCTTAACATTACGCATTAGTAATGGGATAACCGCCATATGATTTGAGTTATATTACTAACCTCCAAAGCTATTCGCTGCCCCATGTCATTCACATCAATGTCGTTGCCGTTGAGAAATTCAAAATTATTAATCAGAAAAACACCATTTTTCGCTCGTTATTTCACCTCGCCAAGATCTATATCCAGTAGTATAAAAGAGGACAAAATCTATCAGCCAGTCTTTCCATCAAAATCCAACCACTCCAACAAGTCTAATGGTAGTTCCAACAATAAGAGCAAGAGCGACACAACTATAGCTGATCTATGGGCAAAATATAACAATATTCCTAACAAACTAAGATTATCAATTGCTATCTCTGTGTTCATATTAGCTTTGGGTGGTAATTATATGTCATCTAAGATTTATGAAAGATTAGAAATTTCAGACTCAATTAATAAAAAAAGAGCTCAGTCCTCCGCTATAAATAACAATACCGACAGTTAAATTAATTTGAATTTTTCTAATAATAACAATCATGTTTATATATATACTAATATTGATATGTTTATACCCTGTATATTTTTCATTTCTAGCTGATATTATATATAATAATATAATATAATATAATACAATACAACTCAAGTTCCTGCTCTTTCTTCTTTCTAAAAGAAAATAAGCTTTTCTCTTTATATTTCTCTTTCAAGTCAATTTATTTCACCGTTGTATTATTGCTAAAATCTGATTTAATCGTGGTTCCACACAGCCATCATTTGATTGGCTGTAATTCATTGCAGATACCTCGTAAATGAATCTCTAAGATTAGTCCGATTCAACTGGATATGTTTATTCTACATATTCCTGTATCCTTCTATTTTTTCTACTTGTCTATTAGGCATATTACACTATCAAGGAAACGACAATACCAATCCCTTCTCGATCTCAACAGATCAGAAAGGGTTTGGCTCGATCAGGCAACAAGATTAATAATTGGTGTTTACATTGCTTGAAACAATATTTTAAACAAAAAAAAGAGGCTATTGCTGCCAATACTATTCCAATATATTCATATATATTCCAGTACTACTCCAGCACTATTCATATACCATTCATATACCATTCATATACCATTTATTTGTCATCTGTTTCTAGTCTCGCCCTAACGGTTATATGGTGCGGATGCGGATCAATTTCAGGATCAATTTTTGGCCCATTCCGCTGCTCGAATTAACACGACCCTATCCAGAAAACCACACCTTTCTCTCTTTCCTTCTTTTTGATTGTGCCCCTGCTTCTGCTTTTCCCTCTTTTTTCTCTTTTTCCTCTCCCCATCTCCTCTGCTGATGCTCTGCTTCTTCCAACACCCATTCTTCCCTTTGTGTCCTCATGCACCTCGCTATTGTTTCGGCCCTTTAATCTCTTAGCGTTTCTTAGCAGAGGCTTGGGCCCGTCCCTTTGGGTCCACCGTTGTATGTCTCCTGCACGGCAATGCTTCTAGAACGCATCTTTCCGGCTCGGGAACACGTTCCGGCTAGTCTTCGTGTGCCCTTTCTGAGCCTTTTCTAAGCCCTTTTCTGTTTTTATCTGCTTCTGCTGCTTCTGCCGTTTCTGCTGCTTCTGCTTCTTTTGCAGTCTGCTTTTTCCAGCCCATTTCCAGTCCAAAGCCTCTTGAAAACATCTCAATTCGCTCTTTCCAAGCACTGCTGCGTCATTTCCGCCTTTTTCTTCCCATCAAGTAACCTTCTTTTTTACTGCTCTTTTCTTTGCTATTTCCTTCTTTGATATTTGAGTTTCTCACACACTTTTGCTTCTTAAATCTGGTGTGCTATCACCAGAAAGCAGATCTGATAATGTCTCCATTGTATGAATACTCTTTTTTATTATTATTAATTTATCTTATTTCAATCATTTAATTTTAGTTAATTAATTTTAATTTTAATTTCAATTAATTTTAATTTTAATTTTAATTTCAATTAATTTTAATTTTAATTTTAATTTCAATTAATTTTAATTTTAATTTTAATTTCAATTAATTTTAATTTTAATTTTAATTTCAATTAATTTTAATTTTAATTTTAATTTTAATTAATTTTAATTTTAATTATAATTATAATTTTAATCTTATTGCCCGAAATTTCTCTTTTTCAAAATAGATACTCATATTATCTAATCTCTCCATTTCTATAAATTGCTCTTAGTTTCCTCATCTCTACATTTTTTTCATCACTTATTTCATTTAGAAATAATAAAATATAATAAAACAATAAAACAATAAAACAATAAAACAATAAAACAATAAAATAATAAAATAATAAAATAATAAAATAATAAAACCATAAAACCATAAAATAAACAGAAACACCATCTCATAATTACATGTTTCATATACTCAACATACCAACATAGTCGCCATACTGAACAGATTTATCACTCCAATACTCAAATCAACATCCATTAATTCTTTTATACACCCACTGAATTTATATACTTTTTCTTTCTTTTCTTTCTTTTTTCTTTTCAATCATTGAATAACACCAATCACCATGTCTGCCACAATACCTTCTTCAATTCCATACTCATCATCCTCAATTGATATCGCCTCTGCTTCTTTTCTAGCATACGAAGACATCAATATCTATGGCATGACTCCAAGTTTTGGTGGAAACCTAAGTTTGGCGATAGTTATGGGAATTCTCTTCTTGCTCCATTCAATCCTAGGTTTCTACTTTAAACAAGCTTATTTTGGCATCGCATTCTTCTGTGGTTGTGGTTTAGAATTTGCTGGTTATATTGGCAGAACATTATCCCATAGTGATCCTGGAAATGTGGACTATTTTTTATTACAAATAATCGCTCTAACAATGGCCCCTGCGTTCATAATGGCAGGAATCTACTATCTATTAGCAAAGTTGGTCGTTATTTATGGCGACTACTATTCCATCTTCAAACCAATCGTCTATTCCTACGTCTTTATCTTTTGTGATCTTATTAGCTTGGTTCTCCAAGGTGCAGGTGGTGGAATGGCTGCTGTAGCTTTAAAAGCTGATAATACCGACGAACATTCTGCTGATGCTGGAAATAATATCATGCTCGCAGGTCTTATCTTCCAAGTCGTTTCAATGTCCTTTTTCCTATTCTTCTGGCTAGAATTTGTTTACTCCCTTTATTTCAAAACAAATTCCTTATTACTAAAATACGATACCATCTCATCTTCAAACTCAAACTCATCCTCCAATTTCAATTCAAATTCGACTTCCAATTTCAATTCATCCCCAAACTTGCAATTCAATGAACCACTCAATAACTCTGCTATAATCCATCTTCAAAACCAGAAAAACTCCTCCTTTTTCAAAAAATTCTCCAAAATTATCGATCTCTCATCAAAGGACCATTTATTCAACCCAAACCCAAACTATGTAAAGATTCGCCAAAATAATAAATTCCTAAAATACTTCCCCATAGTACTAACCCTATCCGTCATTTTCATCTATATTCGTTGTTTCTACAGAGTCTTTGAATTGGCTGAAGGTTGGAGAGGTGAATTGATCCTCAACGAAACATACATCTTCATTCTAGATTCCCTAATGATGGGTCTAGGTATTGCAATCCTATTATTGCCTTTCTACCCAGGCTATCTTTTGAGAAGCAGAAACATTGATATTACTGTCGGTTTCAAAATCCACTGGACTGATCTCAAATTTATTAAAAAGGACGTAAACAAATTCCTTTCTGAAATCAAAGAAAATCAAATCAAACCAACAAACTTTGATCTGAATTCAAAAGCAGACGATGAAAAATATTTAAATTCAAAAAATGACAACTTCAATTCAATTACTTTAAACGATTCTGTCTCTGCAAATATAAATGCTTCGCCAAAGTCTCAAACTAATATTGTTTAGTTTCCATCCTTATTTGATATTCATAAATTATCTATAATATATTTTTCATTATTAACAAATAAAAAAAACCTCCTCCAATCAACATTAATGATAATTATTTCATTTCCAATTATATTTATTTGCACCGATATTTACTATTTTATCTCTCTCTTTTTGTTCCTGTTCTTGTCCTTCTGTTGCCTTTTTGTTGTGTTTGTTGTATTTTTTTGTGTTTCAATCTTGCCTATATCAGCTTCTGATCTCTCATACTTATATAGTCTTTAAATATTATCGCCTTCGATTATTCTTTTTATAGCCCAATCAATTCTAATCATTAATGTTATCCACCTCTTCACCCAACATTCTTTTAGAACCATTTTAACTGTTTAAAAACCCAAATTCCAAATTTCAAACTTAATTGCAACTTTTTTCAGTCAAAAACATTGCAATTAAATTTTCTTTAGCTCACAACTTATTCACAACTTATTCACCAGTGTTATCGCTCAATTGTATAACATCACTACTCCATGCTTACTCTTTTACATTATTTAAATTGCAAGCTCTTGAAAATAAACCTCACTCAAGACCCTGAGCATCTTCTAATTAATCCAACAGACCCTTCGACCTACCAAAGTTTACTATCAAACTTATATTTATCTGAATATTCAAGCAAAAAGGTTCCAACAGAATTATTGCTGACTGACTTAAACCACACTGATTTAATTGACAAAGTTATCCATTTCTTGCTAACTCAAAGCATCATCAACATAAGCCAAAAAAACAAAAGCCAAATTAACGATTTTTCAAATAACATTATTACCAATGGATTCAAATTAACTAAAAATTCAGACGATATTTCATCTGTTATCAATTGTTCAAGTTCAAGCTACCAAATAAACATATTGAAGTCCTTGGATTTTAAAATATTAAACTCAAGAATTGGCCCCAACTTATTTCTTTACATATTAATCAACTGCAATGGATACCTATACAATCCCTCCAATTGTTCATTCGTTCAATTGTTTGGCGAAAAGATTTTAAAAAAAGGTAGTTTTGATAACAAATCTACCAATCACAACAATATCGAAAACACAATATCGAAAATTGCCATCTTTCATAAATACTTCAATAATAACAATGATTATAACTATTTAATTGATCATTACCAATCCTTTTTACCAGATAGTTCAAATAAATTATTATCAGATATATTTCCTACTATTTTATCAACTCACAACTACAGGATTCCTAAAAAGCTAAGATTTGTCCATAAAATACTTTCCAAGTTATTAGTCAATCATAAATCATCAAAATTTACTTATAAACATATTTTTGACAAAAAATGTCCACAGCAAGAAATCTCAGCGAATGAAATCATTAAAAACTCCACTGATATTAAAGATGTCATTCGATTTACAATTACAGTTGTTGATAAAATATTTCCAATTGAATTAATTGGAACTAAAAAAAATAAAGCTGTATTATTTTCCAGTATGTTTATTTTTTTAATTTTTTTTGATTTTTTTTGATTTTTTAAGCTGATTTGATAATCGAATGGCTTACTGACAAAAATTTCTATTGTAGAGATATCTAAATATATTCTCATGTCAAAGAAACAATCATTCAAAATTGATCAATTGATTTTAAATATCAAATTAAAAGAAGTGCCTTGGTTAGGGAAAAAGACTACTGCAAAATTAAATAAACAAGATTTTGAAAAAAGATTATCCCTATTGAAATTCTATATTAATTGGTTTTTCCAAAAATTTTTAAATAACTTATTGTCAACTTTTTTTCATTTAACTGAAGGTCTAACATCAAATACTCTATATTTTCGTCATAATGTTTGGAATAAGTTATCAAAACCATTTTTGGATAGATATTTCAATACTCATTTATTGAAACATGACATTGTAGACTCAAAAGCAAACACATTTAAAGAAACAAGTCATTATTTTTCACAATTAAAACTTTTACCCAAAAAATCTGATTTCAGAATAATCAGTAAACCATACAAGGGAGAAAAAGGTGATGTAAGTATTTTTTTTATTTTAAACAAAAAAATTACTTACTAATATTTGTTTTATGTTCTTAAGTTTGGTCATTTTAATCATCTCAATTCTGAAATTGTTCCCATCAAAAATATTTTAAAGTTTATAAGATTTAACTCATCTTACAAGCTTCCAAGACTAAAAAATATACAAGATATCTTTTTAAATATTGAAAAATTCAAAAATGTTCTCAAAAAATCAAATAATGGGATTTTGTATGTATCATTAAAGTTTTCTGGAAAATATTTTGTCTAAAAAGCATTTAACTAACAATAGAATTTATCAAAAATAATAGGCCAACTTTATATGTTGTTAAATTCGATATTAAAGGTTGCTTTGATTCAATTCCAGCAAAAGAAGTCCTTAATATCTCTCAAAATTTAGTTGATGCATCTTTTTTCTATAGTCCAACAGAAACTCATAATTTCAGCAACAATAAACTTAAATCAGTTGCATCTGTTGGATATTTGGCAGAAATTAATGAAATCAATAAACCATTTAGCAATTGTTTGATAGAAAACAAAAATAAAATTTTGGTGTTTAATAGGGCAGAAATTTTAGAGATAATTAAGAATCAGGTTAAAAAAACTGCATTGAAAATTAAACTGGATGTATATATCAGAAAAAGAGGAATTTTTCAGGGATTTGGTTTGTCATCAAGTTTCTGTGATTTGGTTTATGATCATTTTTTAGAAAAAATCCTATTTAATATCGATCTCTCAAAGATTTTGATTTTGAGATTTGTTGATGATTTTTTAATAATTTCTTCCAGAAAATCCATGGCAATTGAGAATTATCAAAAAATTAAAAATGGTCTTCAAGAATATTCAATTTCATTAAACAACAACAAAATATCATCAAATTTCTTTGATCTGAGCATTGCTCAAGAAAACACCAGCAATATCTTGAATCAGTCACAATTTATATTGTTTTGTGGTTTGAATATTTGCACAAGATCATTAAACATTGTAAAAATTCCCAATAAGCTTCATCTCAATTGTAAGTATGATTTTGAAGCTATATTCAAATTGAATTTATTACTGAAAGTACTAACATTCATTTTTATTTCAAAAAGCCGTCACTTCTATTAAAAAATTGTATTATTTTTTAAGAAAATTACACATTTTAAGATTAAAATCTTCAATTAATGGTCATAATTTATCCAATCTTCATTTTGTGAAATTAAATATTTATATTTGTGTCCAAAATATTGCAAATTGTTTAGTTACTTATACACACAACTTTTCATTTGAACTAGATCTATTTAAATTGTTTTTCAAAGATATCATTAGTTCAACTTTCACCCAATTAAATTCTTATAAGAAAATCAATATTGGAGATACAAAATTTCTAAAAACAATAATAAATGTTTGCGCATCAGCATTCTTAATGGAATTCAATAATTCAAATACAAAGTTAAAAGAAATCAGCTATTTTTTGCAGTATATTCATTTAAAGTATTTTTTGTATTAAAGTTAGACTTAGAAGCCCAGCATACTTGTTTTCATAAGGTTTAAAGTAATAATTACTAAATCTATTGTTGATTTAAATATTGATATTGTAATAAAAAACCTAAGCCTTATCAAAGGATATATAATATAAAAACTTTCAAAAAAACCAATTTATATTGACAAAACCTAAATTAATGATTAATAGTTCATTTGAAATAGCTATTTTTAATATAAAATATAGTCAAATAATAATACTAACGAACGGATGCACCTTTCTCGAGTTTTAATTAAATTATTTTAAAAATAAATTCCTTGAACAATCGATTTCTTAATCTATAACTATAATCCAGACTGTTTTTCAAGATACTATTTTTAAATTTTTTTTTTCTTTCTTTCTTTCTTTCTTTAAAACTGCCTTTATTCTAAACTAGATTATGGAAAAGAAAAGATTTTACACAACTAGTTGCATATTTTAATGTAATCCTAATATGATATCTTTTTATATGGGTAAAAAATCTATTCCACTTTGCAACCAATCTTTACCACCAAGAATTTCCTCACATGTTTTACCAGTCGACCAAACTTCTTGAACAATACTTTTCAATGTGAATAAGTTGCCCAATTTCACAGTCTCATATAATGTATCAATAAATTTTAGTAAATTTTTTCTTTGATACTCTGTTGTTGACTCACAGCCGATCAAGAGAATTGGATAAACCATTTGTGTTATTATTGGAGAACTAGAATCCATTCCTTGATAAGCTTCAATAAATTCATCGATATAGCCATTGATTTTATCTTTATACTGAGCATCAGGTTTAACAATTTTAGTCAAGATAACTAAACAACACATAGACCAACATTTTGCGCCTTTTAGTCTTAGTATGTAACTTTCATGTTGACTTAAAACTTTTCTCGATGATATATTTTTTTGGGATTTTGTGCCAGTTAAAATTGAGTTAACATTTTCGATGTCAGCCTCTTGGTTATAGTTGACATATTCTCTATAATTTAAAAAATCAGCTTTTAGTTCGTTGTATCTATTCATTTTTGTCTGGTCGTTATTGATGTAGTTATATTTTAAATCTCTTTTTAGAAAGCATAATTTAAAGATACTTTTAAAGATTTCTCCTGGACAGCCTAAAACTCTTGCCATGCTGATTTTATCGTTTTTTGTTCCATACCATTCAGGATTACTATAGGGCAATCTACAATCAGGAGAAATTAGAGCAGTGACAGCATCATACCATGATAGTATACAGATAATAGCTTGGGATTGATTAATTTGTTTTAAAGCCGATTCAAAAATTGAGTCCTCGACGATGCTTGCAAACAATTTTAAAAAGACTCTTGTTAATGAAGACCTACCACTTTCGATTACGCCAAATAATAAATGAACTAAAATCAAGAGTAAAATAACAAAGAAACCAGACTGTTGTTTTCTAATAGTTTCATCTTTTAGGTTCCCAACAACTCTTGTAATATTTATATCATCGTCGTTATTAGTGATTTCAATGTTATCATTATTCTCATTAATAATACTATTGATGTTGTTGATATTATTATTAAGAGCGGTAAGAATTTCATTGTTGTTGTTGTTGTTGTTGTTGTTGAAAGTGTTTTTGTTTTTAAAATTGTTTTTATTCATTTCTCTGTGTCTGCTTCTTTTATTTATATAGGTGACTAGGTAATTTAAGGTGTTTTTAATATGACTTAGGCCTTTATTATAGAATTCTTTAACACCTTTTGTTTCGTAAAGATGCATGCAACTTAGAGAAATGAAGCAAGATTTTGCTATTTCAAAGTCGCAGTATTTTAGGGCTAATTCAGGCCAGGGAGAGTTTGGATGAGCATCCAATAGAGGTAGTAGTTTTTTGAAGAAATGTTTTAGCATCATGTTTTCTTCGGAGTAGGATAGAGTTGTATTTGAGTATAGGTTATTAATGTTGTTGTTGATGAAATTTTCAATGTCTTTATTTAGTTGAGTGGTGTTGGGAGAGTTGTGGGAAGATACGTAGTTTGTTGTAGTTGATTTTTCAACGTTGACAAAGATGTTATTGTTTATGATGTGGTTGAGATGTAGTTTATGGCTATTGTTTAAGATGTCTTCGTCATCATCATTGTTATCATCGTTGTTGTCATATTTGTCGTTATGCTGATTATTATTATTAAGATCCAGCTTAATATTAGTATTATTAAAATTTTTATGAATATTAGGGTGAATATTAGGATGGTTATTATGGATAGTGTTGTTATGATTTATATCATTTGATATAAATGAGTGATTGTTTGAGTAAATGTTATTATTGTTATTATTGTTATTATTGTTATAATTATTATTATTATTATTGTTGTTATTGTTGTTGTTAATGTTATTTTGATTAAAGTTTGAATAATTTGAATTGAATTTAGTTGTTGGTAAAGAGTTGTGTAATAGGTAATCTAGGCCATCATAAAGGATATTTTGGGTTTGGTTGTTGTTGAAGTTGATATTGTTGTTTAAGTTTGCGTAAAACTGTTGGAAGATGTTATTGAAAAGAGTGTCAGGATCTTGGATAAAGGAGATCAGAGGAGAGAGAGAGTTGTTTGAGTTGATGGAGGTGATTGAGTGAGGAGAGTTGTTTGAGTAGGAGGTTGATTTTTTCAAGGGAATTGAGTTGGATTGAAAATTGTTGTCGTGAGTATCATTATCATTATCATTATCATTATTATCATTATCATTATCATTATTATCATTATCATTATTATTATTATCATTATCATTATTATCATTATTATTATTATTATTATTGTTATTGTTATTGTTATTGTTATTATTATTCGTCATTATTGAATTTGAGAGAGACATTGGGGTTGACGCCGGAAGAGAAATAGTTTCATTATCATTGGTGATATTGTTATTGGTGATGTTGTGATTAGCGATGTTATCGTCAGTAATGCTATTGTCAGCAATGTTATCATCAGCAATGTTATGATTAGAAGCACTATCATAGTTGTTATGAGAGTTGCTTAGTATAATGTTGGGATCGTTTGTATTGAAGCCATTCAAGTTGTTATCTTCAGTGGTGAATTTTTGATTAAAATTGAACTGAATTTCAACTTGATTATTATCGGTATTGTTGTCAGGATTTTTGAGGACAGTGTCTATTTGGTTACTGTTGGCGATGTTGTTTTTGATGTTGTCGGCAATGATTTTGTCGTTGAGGATGGTGTCAGTGAGGATGGTGGGATTGTCATGCTTGATGTTGTTGATGAGGGTGTTTTTGCTTCTTGCTTTGAGGCTCTCGCTGAGCCGTGGTCTGCCTCTGAAACCATATTTGACTATTTCGCCCTTCGAGTTCTTGGTGATGCCATTAACAAGGTTGTTTCTGCTGTCGTCGACATCGAAACTGAGTCTTATTCCGTAGCCCTCGCAGGTTCTGTTGCTTTTGGTGCAATTCTGGCAGTGAGGTTTAGCCTCGTCGCACTTTCTTCGTCTGGCTTTGCAGGTCCAGCAGCCAGTTCGAACTCGAGTGATCTTGGCCATGTTGTAGAATAAGTGGAGGCGATGAGCAAAATAGAAGAATGTCGGAGGATATATAGGAAGCTAGCAGAATAATTGGCAGCAGCTGTGCGATAGCAGTGGATTGGAAATTGTTTCTTGAAAAAGATGCTTCGGCTTCTAAAAAATCTCCCAAACCAGTAAAAATAAAACCTCCAGATCAAAAGCCAGCACAGTGGATGCGCTCCCGTATGCGGTCACACGCAGAAATACATCATCCAGCGCACAAAATCACAGACACACATAATAAAGCATGAACGCACCACCGCGCATGACCACACAGACCCCGCGTTTGGGGTCTACTCCTGTCAGACCCCTGATAAATATAGCCTCACGCGCAGCACACGCAGCTCTCCGTGCTGCTTTTGCTGCTCTGTCCCACTTTGTCCTTCTGCTCTTCTGCGTCTGCTTCCTCTGCTTCAGCTTTCCTCGCCTTCTCTGCTTCTTGCTTCCTACGCCTGTGCTCGTTTGGATTTCTCGTTTCGTACTACTTCCCCTTATCACAAGGAGCCCACTTGTGCTCAAACACTGCGACTAACAACAACAACAACAGTTTCTCTACTCCATACGTTATCAACCTTCGCACCTTCACACCTTCAGGTATAAACAGAAAGATAAATATAGCCAAATCAACCTCAAATCGTCCTCTACAGCTTTCTCTTTTTGCTGCTTGTGCTCGTTAACCAACCTTTCCTCTGCTTTCTCACACTTCAGCACTCTTTCAGCACTTATCCAACACTGTTTCTCACATTTTTCACTATTTTTCATCGTTTTAGCTGGTTTTTCTTCTCTCACTTTCTTTTTTTTTCACTCCCACTAGCCTAATACTCTGATTCCTGGCTGTTTCTCACCCATTTTATCTCCTGCTCTTACTTCTTTTGTCTCTGATTTAAACAGCCTGATTTCTTCGCATTATATCCTCGTTACTTTTCTCCTCCCTCTGATTTCTCATCTCTCATCTCTCATCTCTCTCCAAATCTCACATCGATATACTATACTATAGACTGTAGTAACTAATTAATTTTTTCCTTGTATTAATTTCTTAGTTACTTCATCTCCCAACATATTAATCTAACACTCGTCCATTTCCTCCATCACCTGTTTTTGTTTTTTTTCCCTCATCCCTTATCCCTCTATCTATCCTGGTCTAACCCAATCGACTCAACTCCTATTTACCTTTATTATTTGCATGATATAATATCTATCACAATAACAATAATAACAACAGTAATAATAATAACAACAATATTAATAACAATTTTACCCACCTCATTTACTTGAAATCCACTTGCAAATGTCTCAAGTTCACTCTTCCAATGTTGTCGGCGTTCACTACAAAGTTGGCAAAAAAATAGGTGAGGGCTCCTTTGGCATCATCTTCGAGGGCATGAACCTCCTCGCCAACCAACAAGTTGCTATCAAATTCGAACCAAGAAAGTCTGAGGCTCCCCAACTAAGAGACGAATTCAGAGCCTACAGAATCCTTAATGGCTCAATTGGTGTTCCCAACGCATACTACTTTGGCCAGGAGGGCCTCCACAACATCCTCGTCATCGACCTCCTAGGCCCCTCTCTAGAAGACCTTTTTGAATGGTGTGGAAGAAAATTCTCCGTAAAGACAACCATCCAGGTCGCCAAACAAATGATTTCCAGAGTTCAAACCATCCACGAAAACAACCTCATCTACAGAGACATCAAACCAGACAACTTCTTAGTCGCCAACCCAAAATCAAAAAACCCAAACCTCATCTACATTGTCGACTTTGGCATGGCCAAATACTACAGGGACCCCAAATCAAAAGCTCACATCCCTTACAGAGAAAGAAAATCCCTTAGTGGTACCGCTAGATATATGAGTATAAACACTCACCTCGGAAGAGAACAAAGCAGAAGAGACGACTTGGAATCCCTAGGCCACGTCTTCATGTACTTTCTAAGGGGCTCCTTACCATGGCAGGGCTTAAAGGCTCCCACCAACAAGTTGAAGTATGAAAAAATTGGTGAAAAAAAGCAATCAACTGTTGTTTCCGAACTATGTTACGGCTTTCCCTCTGGCTTTACTGACTACTTGAACTATGTTCGCAATCTAAAATTCGACGAAACACCCAACTACGACTACCTTAGAAGCGTCATGGACAAATCCCTTCAAGATATTGGTGAAAAAGAAGATGGCCACTACGACTGGATGGATCTCAACGCCGGTAAAGGTTGGGACTACCTGATAAACAAAAAACCAAATCTACATGGCTACGGTTATCCAAATCCAAGAAGACATCACCACCAACAAAACAACAACAACAATGCAAACACAAACCAAAATATTAACAACAAGAACAACTCAAATAACCCTCAAAACATTCCTCCAAATAATATTCCTCCAAATAACAACCCCCAAAATAACATCATCAACAACGTCAACAACCAAATCACCTCAAACAACATTAACATCAATAACCCCAACTCAAGATCCAGACAAAATCTCCAAAACCAACAAAACTTACGCCAGAACAACAAAAACAACCTACTCAACCAGAATGGAAGCCCCTCTTCTCCTTACTTGAATAAAAACAATAGCGCCAATAACTACGCCATCAACAACACTTCAAACTACGCTATCGCTCCCAACAGCAAAACTAACCTAGCTCAACAAAACTTGCCAAACAACTTGAATTCAAATAGAAATACTTACAATTCAAAACTATCCAATAACCAATACACCTCAAACAATATGATCAACAATAACCAATTAAATAACCAACATGGTATGAATCCAATCAACGATCAAGGCGAACTAGATTCAATCAACTCAAACAAAAATAAATCCTTTTTCCAGAAAGTATGTTGTTGTCTATAAATTTTCATTTACAAAAAAAGAAAAATCTTAGAAAAATCTTAAAAGAAATGAAATGAAAAGAAGAGAAAATCTTTTCATTATCTTCTAATTATAATCTAATCTAATCTAATCTAATTTATTTTATTTTATTTTTTTTATTTATCCTACTCTTAACTCTTAACTCTTTTACTCACTTAATTTAACATTCCATCTCCATCAAAATTACAAAAAAATTACAAAAAAAAAAAAAAAAAATCAATCAAATAAAACCACAGTCTTTTTTATCAAACTTTTTATCTACTTTATATTTTTTATCTTTATTTTGTTAATTAATATTTAATATTTAATTTTTTGGAATATCTTTCTTCAATCGGGTTTTTTTATAATCAAAAGGTAAAAAAATCAGCACTCACAAAGAAAAAGAAATAAAAAAAGAAAGAAAGAAACAGAAAAAGAGAACACTTCTTCTCACCATCTTTCTGCCATTTTCATTTCAGATCATCCTCTTTCTTTTTTAATATTATCTATCTAATTACTTATACATTTTTTTTTCCAATCTTCTTTAAAGAATTGATTTTTCAAACAACAAAGTTCAACTACGACTGTCACCACAAAACTAGCAATCTTCATAATGAACTATCAAAGGTTTTAATTCAATATTGACTATTCAATTACCATTTCTTGGTTCTTTCCCCCCCCCCCCCCATCACATATGAGGCCTAGTTTTAATTTTCTTCATTTGCTTTTTCCATCCCTTTCCATTTTATTTAATTTGATATACTATTTTTTTATTAGAGGTTTCTTTCGTTCACCAATAAATGATCCATAACACTCATCTTCTGTAGAACTGTAGAGCTGCATCTTCTTCTCTTCTCTTCTCTTCTCTTCCCTCCTCTATCCGACCTTCTCATGTGATTGGCCAGCGGCAAACTTCCTCTTCTCTTCTTATCTCCTCTTCTCTTCACCTCTTCACAACTCATCAATCACTTTGCAATGGACGTAGGAACTCACTCAGAAAGACTCTTCAAGTTCAATTTGCCCTTCAAGTTGCCTTCATCCACTGTTCTCAGAGCTGCTGGTGTCTATCTTAGTGGCATTTTGGTATGTTTCCCATCCCGCCCCTATCTTTCTTCTTCCTGCTTTGTTACTAACTGTTGCTTCTCAGTACTCTGTGGGCTTTTGGTTCTTGGTCGATGCCTCGATATATAGCAAAACAGTCAATGCCTCTATAGTCCATGTCACTTTTGTTGACTGGATCCCAGGCATCTGCTCGTCGTTGGGAATGTTTGTAGTGAACTCCATCGACAAAAACAGGCTTTTTAATGATTCCCTCAATGGCAGTGGAGGTGGTGGTCTATCCTCATTTAATGGCGGTCTTTCTTCTACGTCGTGGTACGCAAGACTAATATTGTTCTTTGGTTTCAGTTTGTTGGCTGGTGGTTTAGCTGGTTCTGTGGTTGTGCTCGTTTTGAAGTTCTTGATGAAGGATTTCAATACCTATCCAACGTTGGGGATGGGTGTTGCTAATGTCGTTTGTAACAGCTGCATAATGCTAAGTTGCATTGTATTATGGATCAGTCAAAACATTGAAGATGAATATTCCTACTCATTGGTTTTATAATCGTGAGTATAATTGTGGTCATAATATGATACATATGTATCTTGTATCTTGATAATCAAAATCTGTGCTTTTATGCTTTTAATTTTATTCTTTGGTTCAAACTTATACTATATCCTATCAATGTCTTTTTTTTTTGTTACTGTTTTTTTTTTTTTGGTTTGGGAATTTATAATAATAGTACATGAAAAGCAAAATAAATCAACCTCATCTATTGAAATCAAAGAAAAAATAATAAATAATAAATGAGAATAAAACAGAACTGAATGAAATAAGAGATCAATTATATAATTTGAATTTGAATTTGAATTTGGATTTTAATTTTGAGTAAATGATAAATGATTAATAATAAATAAATATGAATTATACTTATATTTGAATGCTACCCAATTTCATCCATCTATTTGGTGAATTAAGTTATATATTTAAAAAGAAAAAAAAATAATAACATAAATTAAAAATGACTTGATAAAAAAGGTTATTTAATGAGTATTTATATGATTCTTCGAAAAAACAAACAAAGATAATTTAAAAAAAATCAAAAAGATCAAAAAGATCAAAAAAAAATATATATAATTAACAAGCATAAGACATGAAAACTAAGAAACAATAATAATAATTATTAAATAGATAAATTAAAAGAAAAAAAAAATAAATAAAAAAATAAATAAAAATGGAAGAATAATTGTTTTTTTTTTTGTTTTTGAGATTTAATTTATTCTAAATGATTTTTATACTTTTTTTTCATAACTATATTTAAATAAGTAAGTAAGTAAGTAAGTAAATAAATAAATAAATAAATAAATAAATAAATAAATAAATAAATAAATAAATAAATAAATAAATAAATAAATAAATAAATAAATAAATAAATAAANAAATAAATAAATAAATAAATAAATAAATAAATAAATAAATAAATAAATAAATAAATAAATAAATAAATAAATAAATAAATAAATAAATAAATAAAAATAAGTAGACAGATAAATAAATAAGGTATTTAACTTTAATTTTGGTTAATTTTGATTTGATGTTGTGGAAGGTTATTTTTTTCTGTTAGTGATAATTGTAGGGACAAACATATCTCATTTGCTCGCCAATTAAATCTTTTTCAAAGGAGCTGAAATTGAATAAATCAGGGGGATATTGTGGAGAGATGCTGCCTCTTGGTTTCCATTGAAAATCTGGGCCTCTTAATTCATCAAAGTATTTATGGGCTAATATTTGAACGGGAACAAATCTTTCGTTTGGATGGTAACGTAGGATATTGAGTAGTAGATCTATTAATTCGAGAGGAGCATTTCTGAAAATGGTTTTGAATCTTGTTGAGACTCTACCTGCGAATAAAGGAGTTGAGTATAAGGGCCCATCGTATCTTGGATTTGAATTAAAGATGAATAAACGATCAGGAGGGCCTAGGACTTTAGCGATTTCCTTTAGTTGTGAATGGCGGTCCTGACCTTGGAACACAGCTCTACCTAGAGACATTTCACCAACGACGCAACCTAGACCCCAGATGTCGATTTGAGTTGAGTAGTATTGGCAGCCGACTATTAGTTCTGGAGCTCTGTAGAATCTTGAGCAAATGTAGGAAACTGAGGGTTGATCAGATTCCAATCTTTTTGAGGAACCGAAATCGCAGATTTTTAGGATGCCAGTAGATGGGTCTACTAGGATATTTGAAGGTTTTATATCTCTGTGGCAGATGTCTAGGCCATGTAGGTAGAGCATTGCTCTGGCGATTTGGAAGGAGTAGATTTTCAAGTGAGATTGGGGCAAGTAGCGTCTATTTGAGGTGTAGCGATGGATTTCTAGTTGTAGGGATTCTGGGAGACATTCCATTACGAGGTGTTGGTAGATTTTGTTGTCTTGTGGAGCTTTGTAGTTGAAGAAGAATTTCAATTGAATTACGTTTGGATGGTTTGCAGTTCTGAGGATTTCTAGTTCTCTTGATTTGTATTCTGTTTGAGCCGGGACTCTTTTGATTGCAAAAGGGCCATACCAGTTTGGGTTGTTTAAGTTGTTTGAGCTGATTGATGTGATGTCGTCGTTGTTATTGTTATTATTGTTGTTAATTGAGTCAGAGGGAGTATAGGGTCTTAGTTTTGCTTGGACCACTATACCAAAGGCACCTTCACCGATTTTTTTGTATTCTTTTACAATCATAGGAATTGAGTCAGTGGAGTCTTTTGAGTAGACTTGGTTGACGAGGAATTTTGTTACTCTTGTTGAGGAGGAGAGGGAGCTATTCATTTTACTGAGTAGGTAGTTGTGGAAGGAATTTCTTTTTGATAATTGATTGTGGAAAGGATGTGATGAGGAGAGTAGAGATTTTAAAGGATTTGAGGTTGAATTTGAATTAGAGATGGGATGCGAATGTGAATGTGAATTTGAATGGGAGATTGAAATTGAATTTAATTTTAATTTCAATTCTTTTTTTAAATTGAAATTGAATTTAAATTTAGATTTGAATTGGTCTTTTTTATTCTTGTTTTTATTTTTATTTCTATTATTATTATTATTTCTATTATTATTATTATTTCTATTATTATTTACGTTATTATTTATATTTTTATTTTTATCTTTATCTTTATCTTTATCTTTATCTTTATTCTTATCTTTATCTTTATCTTTATCTTTTCCTTTTCCTTTATCTTTATCTTTATCTTTGATATCTTTTAAAGAGGAAAAAGAAGTAGATGAATTTATTTTTGGTTGAATTTCTGGGTAATTGTTAATATTATTGTTATGATTATTATTGTGATTATTGTTATGATTGTTGTTATAATTGTTGTTATGATTATGGTTGTGATGATGATGATGATGATGATGATTATGATTATGATTATGATTATGATTAGAAATAAATAAACGATTCAAGAAATGAGAGGATAAATTATAGAAAAAATGGAAAATTTTTAAAGAGAAAAAAACGAATTTAAAATTTTTGGTGATGAGAATATAGTTATAAACAACGATATAACTAGAAATATAGTAAACGAGTAGAGTACAAAATTTTGTAAAACAAGAGTTAAGAAAGAAAACAAAAAAACAAACCAAAAAAAAGAAGGAGGATTATTTGGTAAATGAATAGGAGGGTTTCAGAGGAACCAGGCAAAGATAAAGAGAGACAGAAAGACAGAGAGAAGGAAAGAGAGAATAAACAGAGAGATAAAAATAAATAAAACGAACCCAATGTAGAGTGAAAATATTCGTGGATTATTATATGGATAAACAGTGAAAAGTGATGAAAAAAAAGGACTAATGCAGGACAGTAATAGTTTAGGCAGGAGAGATGAATAAGCAGCTCAATAAGAATATGAATATGATTATGATTATGATTGAGATTGTAATTACAACTATGATTATGATTGTAATATGATTATGGTTATGCTTGTAGTGGTTGGAGTGAATATGATTGTATTACGATGGAGCTGGATTAAGTGATGGAGCATCCAGGGACTGTTCTGGGTGAATTCTGTGCAAATTCACTCTTATCGCAGTGTTTGAAAGACAGTGTTTGAAGGCGGTGAACAGACGCCAGGAGAAGAAGCAGAGGAAGAGGCAGAAGAGGAAGAAGAGGAAGAAGAGGAAGAAGAGGCAGAAGAGGAAGAAGAGGAAGAAGAGGCAAAACACGCATCACAAGAACACGGGAGAGAAGCAGCACGCGCCACGCACGCGCCACCGCCACTGCGCGTCCGGGCTGTGCTTCCTCTGTTTTTGGTGTTTCTGCTGCTGCTGCTTCCTCTTCTGCCTCTTCTTCCCCCTCTTCGTATTACGCTATCTACTGCATGTACAACTGAGTGAAGTTCTTGCGGAAGACCTTGCCGCAGCTCTGCGACACGCACTTTTTGGGTGCAGCAATGTCGGGGTTGTCCAAGTTCGAGAGTCGCTTGGGTCGCTTTGCTCGCTTTCCTCTGCTGCCAACGTCCTCCACCACAAGGGGGTTGAGAATCCGGTTCACACATCTCCCACAGTACACATGCCCACACTTCGAGAAGAACACCTTCTGGCTCAGCTCCACGTCGAACTGGCTGAGTCGCAAGCTCAACTGGTACGGTGCCTGGCAGTCGTAGATCTTGCTGAGCTTTTTGTACACCATGTTCAAGATCGTGCCCTCGCTCCTGCTGCCCTTACCGCCTTTCCGGCTCTTCTTCTTGCTGCCTTCTTCTCCGCCAACCACCTCGCTGTTGTTGTAGTTCACGACGTAATGGTACAACAACTTTTCCACGTTGTCCTCCTTCCCGATCACCTCTTCATTCACCACCTCTCTTGCAAATTCATCCTCAAAGTAGTTTTCCACAACCTCGATATTGTCCATCTCTTCATCCTTGAATTCCTTTTTGGTCACATTTTTCTCTTCTATTTTCACATCGCCTAAATCATTCTTGTTCTGTTCTTGATTCTCTTTATTCTTGCTTTCCCTGATCTTCTTGATCAAATCATACCTGTTTATCGCTTTATACTCATGTGGAATCCCTTCTCCTAGTATAACTCCACACAATGGACAGCATACTTTGACTTGCGGATCAATCTTGCTCGTATACCCGTTATTCTCTTCTTTCATTTTTTCCAATTGCTTGGTCAATTTCTCTTTATAAACCCTTGAATAGTTTTCCTGTTCTTTGAATCGAGAATTCATCATTCTTTCTTCCTCACTTCGTATCAATCCCATCTCTCGGTTCGTTAGCCCATTGATAATAACCGTGCTGCCACTTCTAGCTCTTGCATCGAAATACTGGTTTTCCAAAATATAATCGTTGAAAAAATCTTCGGCGTCAAACTCCACCTCCTCCTCATCATCAAAATCGGGTTCAAAGAGAATATTACTCCCAAAATCAGTACTACTCCCACGATTATGCAAGTGCGAATGCGAATGCGAATGCGAATGCAAATGGTTATGAAGACGTTCCCATCCCAATCCAAGATCTAGACCCAACCCTATATCTATTCCATGGTTATGTCCACCATTGTGACTATGACGGTGATTGTTTCTATTACTGTTAATTTGATGTCGATAGTTATTATGGTTATTAAATCTCATCATACTCAATCTTCGATGTGCTGGCGCGTAGTTGGAAATTCGGCTCAATGCATTGTTTATACTTGTAGAATTCGTCAACTCCACCAACGCTTGATTTATAGCTCTAATTCCACTTCTAATAAAATTAGTGTTGGTATTGATTTCGTTAGTATTCATTATATTCCGTGTAATAATCTCCTGTATTGGATCGTTAGTCAGGTTATTATTATTATTATTATTATTATTATTATTATTATTATTATTATTATTATTATTATTATTATTATTATTATTATTGCTACTGCTACCGCTGGTACTAGTAGTGTTTATAACTGCGCTAGAACCTCCATAATTTGTAATAGAAGTTGATGGTGCAGTTGCACGATTATTTATAGTGTTATTCTCACTACCAGTGGTTGCAGCACCACCTGTACCACCAGAGGCAATCTGGTTTCTTAAATTTCTTAAATTTCTTAGATTTCTTGAGCTTTGATTGTTCGCAAGATACATGTACCTATCAAACAAACTATCCAGAGCAGAATTTGCAGCAGTAGTAGCACTAGTAGCACTAGTGGCACTAGTACTAGCAACAGTATCATTGTTAGGATTAGTAGTGCCACTGGCTGAATTGAAAGTTCTTGAAGATAAAGGCAATGGTAAGGCACCACCATTTCTTTGCATTTCTTGAAATAATGTTCTATTTCTAGTTGAGCCTAATCTTGGTCGATTAACTCTATCAACTCTAATGATTTGGATATCGTCATCATTAATTGATTCATTAGTGATATTGATGGCTGTGTTATTATCGTTATTATCATTAGTAGTAGTATCATTGGTATCATTAGTATCATTAGTATCATTATTATTATTATTTGTAGTTACAACTGTAGTTATGTTATTATTTAAAGGGGTAGTTGCAGCTGCATTATGATTAGTGCTGGGATTAGTAAAATTGTTTGCTGAATAAGATTGGTTTTCTTCAGATAATGCGCGAGTTCTAGGTTGACGTCTTGAGTAAGAAGTAATGCTGTCATTTTCTTCATATTCACTTATGGATGTATCTTCATTTTCGTCGTCATCATCATGGTCATCCTCATTGATATTGAAAAAAGAGTTATTGCTGTTATTTCCATTATAGAAACGATGGTAAAAACTATCATCACTATTGCTGTCAGATTGATTACTATCTGCCAGATCCAGATTCATGTTCCAGAAAAGTGATCCCAATGCTTCAGAGGGATACATTCCTAGATTGTGCATGTTAGGACTAGCAAGGTGAATAGGAGTGTTGCTTACTCTTCGAATAATTTCATCCACTTCTCTTTGAGTAGCCCCTGAAGTGGCGGTTCTGTTTAAGAAAGAAAGTGGTCTTGCAGCTCTAGCATTCCTAGCAGTTCTTGCAGTCCTTGTGGTCCTAGTGTTTCTTGTGTTTCTGATGTTTCTCGTGGCTCTTGCAGCTCTTGCAGCCCTGGTAGCTGCAGAGTTTGGAGAAGATCTGTTTGGTCTCGATATTCTTCCTCTGCTTCTTGTTGCAACATTCGATCGAGATCTACCTGCTGCTCTAAAAACAGCTGCGTCACCGATTAATGTCGAAACATCGTATGAAAAATTGGTAGTGGGAAGCAGAATGGGTCGTTCTCCTGTTATTTGGATATCGTCGTCGTCGTCGTCGTCGTCATCGTTGCCATCATTATTAGCGTGAGCCGTGGAAGTGTTTGTGGTGTTTCTATGGTTAGTGGAGGTATTAAGTATGGTGTTGGAGCGACTACTGGAATTAGTGCTGAAGGTATTGTGAGCAGACACATTGGCAGCAGAAGCAGCATTGGTGCTGGGGCCATTGAGCAACGTCACATTGTCGCACTCAGAATCGGATCTGACCTCTATAATGTCGTCGCTGCTGCCAGAGGAGGCGTGGGAAGCAGCTCTTTCAAATACTGTGGTCATGGTTGGGGGTTGCTCGAAGAGCAAAACATGAAACTCTGAGCAGAGGGAAGAGAAGAAAGAGAGGGAAGAGGAGGACGAGCAGAAAACGCTCGGGACGGCGAGATACGGCGCCCACAGAGACGGCCTCGGGCCTGGTCGGCGCTTAAGCAGCAGAATCACCATCTTTACCATCTTCTTCTTTTTCTTCTTCTTCTTCTCCACCAACAACACCAACAACAACCACTGGATGCTTTTGCTCGGCCCATGGACTCCTCCAGCAACAGCTTCACCAACCCCCTCAAGATCGCTGTTCGAGACCCAGAACAGAGCCTGTCCAGCGACGCCTATGTCCGGAACAGCAGGCCTCTAGCAGCTCTTCGTTGCAAAGGCGATGGTGCTGCCAACGATGCTCCCAATGCCAGCAGCAAAGATGCCAACGACAGCGAAGACATCGATATTTCTGATTCTGCTCCCAAAATCTCCATTTCCAACAGCTCCTCCAAACTCCATTCCAAGTTCAGCTCATACACTGGTTTCAATCCCAACTACGATTTGCTAGACTCGTTCAATTCAAACAGTAACTACAACAATAGCTCTTCCTCAGAATCAAGTGACCAAGAGGAAAACTTTGATAACTTGGTCCGAAGAAGAAGGATAAGTTCTGATCTATCGAACTCAAATATAAATCCAGACTCAAGAAGAGGCTCTTTAGCCCTTTTAAATAATAATCATACTGCCAATACTCCTACTCCTACTCCTACTCCTGCTACTGCTACTGCTACTGCTACTGCTATTACTACTGTTAATAAACAGGCTATTCCAAACAAATACAACATGAATATATTAAATCAAAATAAAAGAAAATTTTATGCTTTAGAAAATTATAATAGCTCAAATATAAACATCAACAACCCTTTCTCTCTAAATAACTCAAATAATTCAAATAATAATGATTCATTTGAAGATGCATTGATGTCTCTGAGCGATAACGACTCCTCTTCAAACCAACAACAGCGCCCTAATATCGTTTTCAGAAACTTTGTATCAAAATCAAACTTAAAACCCCAATTGAAATCCTTTAGAAGAATAACAAGAGAATTGCAATCCGAATCTCATCCACTAGATAACGAAATCAAACATGAAGCCGCCGTAACTTTCACTCTAAGAGATGAAGATTACATCTTGAAAAATTACAACAATCTAAAAAACAACATCTCCCAGCAAAAGAAACAAAAAAACATCTTCTCAAATATAACCTCTTCAACTAGTATATCAAAATTAAGCCACGATAAAAATTATTTAATGAATTACAACGAAGAAAGTTTAAGAAAAAATCAGCTAATAACAAAAGTAAATGAAGCTTGGAACACTAAAAATAAAAAATTAATGCTATCTCTAAATAATCAACTAGCAAATAATTACATAAATCCAACCACTCCAACCACTCCAACCACCCCAAGTTCTTCTTCCTCAATTGAGCACTCAAAATTATCAAATTCTTTTGATAACCCTGTCACTCCCAAACATAACACAATTTCTAAATTTTTTATAAATGATACTAATCATAATCAATCTTCAAAAAAATTAAATCCAGAAAATCTATCAATTGATACTTCTTCTCCAACCTTAGCAAAAATTGAAACTCCGAGAAATCAAATCTTGAAAAGAAAATTAAATGACGACTATTATTCAAACAATAAAGGAATCTCATATAATAAAAGAAGAGCCGTCTCAACAAGCCCCATATTAACTACTGGTAGCAGTCCCTCATCTTTAATTTCCAAAAGAGGCTTTAAATTAGTTCAGTCCACAAGTGATGACCTAGAGAAAATGTCTCTAAAGGATTAATTTAAACAATTATAAATTTGGTTTCAAATATTTTTATTTTTTTTTATTTTTTTTTTTTTTGGTTTCTGTTTAAACAGAAATAATGATTACTACGTTCTTTTTTTCACATTTATTTTAACTTCTTTTAAAGACTTCACAACAACAAACTCAAAATCATTTTTTTTTTCTCATTTCTTTATTTAAATCATTTTTTGTCACATTTTACCTTTTAAGAATATTTTGTTTTTTTTTGTTCTTTCTTGTTTTTTTTTATTCATTTACATTTTGGTTGCTTTTAATTTTGGTTCGAGTTATATGAAAATTTCATTTTTATCCAATAGTTTTTGAAAATTTTGGATAGGTTTTTTTCTTTCTTTTCTTTTATCTTTTCTTTGTGTTTTGGGAGGTTATCTATAAATTATATCTGTTTTCTATAAATTGGATTTGCTTTGATGCAATTCACCAATACATTTTATTCACTACTATATTATATATTACTTATATCATATCATCAGCAATTGTAGATATTTTTCTATAAAGATCAATTGTATTAAAATTAAATAAAACGTATAAACAAGATTATAAAAAATACATATAAACAACAGCAGCAAATTAAAAGTTTGTTTGGTATTATTTAAGGTGTCCACATAACAGGATTGTTGTTATCTTCTTCAAGACTTTTAGCTCTGCCTCTTTGATCGTATGCTCTTATAGCATAAACAAATTGTTTGGTTGAAGCTAGTTCTTCCAAATTTGTTTCCTTTATTGATTTCTTACCAAGATTGACAATAGAATTTATACACGATGTGTACTGTTGTTCAGCACGATCTTTCTTCATATCCGTAACTGTGTATGCTAATCTCCAATCTGTGTCCACCAGATCTGGGAATGGATATGTTTGTGAACATGTCTCTCCATTCATTAAATGATACACTTTAACCTCAAATCCACGAATTTTACTTTTAATTTCCTGATTTACGACCTCAACTTCTTCCTTTGGTGTGGCAATTCTAAAATTCTTATAGTTGGATCCAAACATTTTCTCTTCAGAATCCGAACCAGTCTTAACAACATCAGTCTTAACATCATCAGTTTTAACATCATTTTCTTTTGTTGATTCTTCTTCTGTTGCAAGTTGAGTGCCATTTTCTTCCTTTCCACTATACAGGTTGATTTCTCCTTCAGTTTCTTTGTCAGCTCGTTCTGCAATTTCAATTTTAGAATCTACGTTATCATCTTGTGTTTCAGTTTCTTGGGTTTCATTTGTTTTTGTATAATCATCAATATTTAATCCGATACCTTGTAATTTAGTATGTTGTAAATCTGTTATTGGAGCAAATAAAACTTTCATTGTAGTGCCACTATTAAATCGATGAGATTCTTTCAAGGCACCATCTGCATGAGTAGTGGTTGTATCAAAAATCATTCTGAAAGAATTTTGAGATTCTTTTGGCTCAAGAGCCATATATTTCTCAATAATTTTATTCATTATATCTTCCCAGATTTTTATTGAAGTTTTTAGTTCAAAGTTAGCAATATGAGAACTAATTTTCTGTTTGTTTTCGTCTTTAGTAAGTTGACCGGTATTTAAGATTGACTGAATTTCAAATGATTCCTTGTCAAAAAAATGACTAAATTCGTTTCGAGCTGCATTAAAATCCTTTTCATTTTCGGTTTCTGTTAATTTGGTGTTATTAGAAGCAAGTGGTTTAACAATTCTGTTTTTGGCTACCCAATAAATATCGTTGTACACATCATTGTCAGTAATCGAGTGAGTAATTTCATCTATTTCTGATAGTGGAAGATACTCAAATCCAAAGATTTTCTTGATATTATGATAGCAAATGAATATTCCATTCATGAATCCCAATCTTGCTTGTAAACCAAATTTACCTAAAGTACTTCTAATTAAATCATGTTTTTCTCTTTCATGGCTTTCAAAGAGACCTGTTTGTTGATTAATTTGATAGCCAGTTTCATTTTTCAATGTTTCCTGAGTATATTTGATATCGTGTCTAATTGAGACAACTGCTCTAGCTTTTAAATCAAAAGTTCCCTTACCAGGTAACCTCTCATCAAAACAATCCAATTGAGACCTCACTAAAAAATTTGAGCATTGAGCATAATGGTATATATTTGGTTCTGGGTCTTCTGCTTCTGTGGTTGAAATATCAGATGGATTTTTAGTTTTGTCAAGTTTATAAGTTTCAAGGAATTGTTTTTCTTCATTTGTTAATAATCTTTCAAAAGAATGTCCTAAGATTGATAAAACCACTTCTTCGTCAGAAAACCTATCGCTGTCTACACAGTAAATGTATTTCTTGTTTTCGTCATTAGTTGGATCTAAGGCTCCTTTTCTTGTTACAATCACTGATACAGGAGACAAGATTGCACCATTAGGAGAAAGAAAAGATCCAGGAAAAGTCTTTGATAATTTCAGAAGATTGCATGGTCTGTTATTTGATAATAATCTGTGAAAAGAACTCAATACTTTTGTTATTGAAGATGTTGAACTATAAAACTGGATATCGTTAAACGTTGATGATTTTGATTTTTTGTCTGTTTTTTTTGGATCCGTTTTACCTATTGCTTTTCGAGCCAATCCGTTAAGTTGATTTAATTTTTGAGAGACTGTTAAACTACCTTTATCACTTGATGAAGGAATGAATGAACCAACTTTGGAGTAATCAAATTGATCTATTGGCAAGACATTTCTTAAAAAGGGCGTAAAGTTAAAAACATTTGAGAACGAATCCTTCAAAGGATAGAAACAATTGGGATGAAATAAAACTCTTGATAAATTGTGTGCTAATTTCGGTATCAACTTCAACTGACTGAGAGTATTAATTTTTCTATACTCGTTATCAATAGTAATTGATGAATCCTTCAATACGTCGTCATACTTGTTGAAATTAATAGGTTCAAAATCCAATGAAGCAGGATTAATAACATTTAATGCAGTATCAGATGAAGATTTTTTGTCGAGATCGAGACGGATATATCTCGCGACAAAATTTTTAATATCTTTATTGGTTTTTAGATTTTTCTTTTTAAAGAAAGGTTGTTTCAGTGTTTTTTCAGTGTTGTTTATATTTCTTTCTTTAACAAGATGTTTTTGAAGTGTGTTTTTAAGGGGTTTTGGTTTTGATTTTGTTCTTGTTTTCGAAATATTACTTTTTAAATCTTTAATTTTAATATCCTTTTGATTTAATTCGTTGAAAAGAGTTTCATTGAGATGTATCCGTTGAATTTCAACACCATGACTGCTTGGAAGTTTATGGTCTTTTAATTGTTTCTTGACTGAGTAGAAACGCCTGAAGACTAGAGTTCCAGGAACAAACCCTTGGGACTTGTGATAGAAGGACATTGCAAGATAACAGTGGTAAATGGTCTGGCAAGCGAAAAAATTCCAACCACTGATATATATCAGCAGATCAAGATGCTTTTAACAAGTTCAGTTCTTTCAAGCCATTTTGGGTCTGAAAAATTTTTGCATTTCTTTTCGGCAAAATCATGTGTCGGTGTCCCAATGCGGAATATAACAAAAGCCGACCGTTGTCAAACAGCACCACTGCAACGGGTCCTTAAGTGAGATGCGTTAGGTGGAGTGGACACGCGTTGTTTGGCAGCGTCTTCGAAAAGGGCCATGGAGCTGAGAAAGAGAGGAAGATAGTTGTCGAGAAGAGATTAAAAGTGGTTCCAAGACAATAAAACAAAACAATAAGAAGGTAAGCGGTGGTGGAATGGTTGTGAGTGTATAAAAAAAATAATTAATCTGAATTAAATTATACAGTAATCACTGAATAAATCATTAGCAACCGTAAACAAGTCTAAAAATGTCGTTTAAAACGTAATAGCTTCCGCCCTCAGGAACCAAGTGAAAGACTTGAGAATAGTTTTGAGGATTTTGTTCTTCGTCCAACAACAATGAACCAGTGACCATGATCAAAATAGTACCATTTTCTCCAGAGGGTTGAGCATCTAAAGTACTAACTTTGTGAATAACTTTGGTAAAAGGCAATGAAGTTAATTTTTCGATAATTGAGGCAACACCTTGATTTTGAGAAGTCTCGAAAGTCAACATCGAGTTTTCCCTATAGAGATTACCTAATAACGATCTGTCTGAATCGAATTGATTATAATAGAAACCAGTGAATTGGGCTATCGAAATCATAAAATTATTCGTGATGTTAGTTAGCTAACTGGATCCAATCGATTAATAAATAAAATTTCAAACAAAAAGAAAAAAAAGATGAAAAACAAAATCAAATTGCAATCATCAATCAATGACATACTAGCTAAAGCATTATAATCCATATTGACTAAATATAATAGGAAGGAAGCTGTTTATGTTAATATAAAGATTTCATGAAAAACATGCCAAAATAGCAGGTATGAAAAGCCCGATTCAATAACTCCAAAAACATACGTATAGTTAGGGTCTTTGTCTGGCAATACTAAGGCAATTGTTTATCTTGATGATACAAATCAGAGACTGTTATCTAAATCTTAAATTCCTTAAAAGAAACAAAAAAATTCTTCTCACCAACTTTTAAATCTCCTTTTCCAAAATGGTCAGCCGATTTGCACGTGCCAGGGCTTACATCTTACCGCTAACATCCGATTGTTGGATGCTTCCACAGAGCTGGAATGGTTGTGCTTGCAAAGAACTGTCTTGAAAGTCTTTGTGCAAACAGAGTTCTGCTGGTGCTAGTCACTATTTTGAGGCCATAGCAAAACAACAAGAATGAAGAAGCTGATTCACTGACTGCTGATGCGAGGATGCTTAAAATTGGCGGTAGAATGTCAAAGGTAATTCTGTCACTTTAAATGAGCCGCTATCGTGGAGAAAATCATGGCCTTTTATTTTGTACCATTGGAGTACTGATATAAATCAGCTTTGTTTGATGATTATCTACAAAATAACAACCAAAGCATCGCTTCGAACATTGCTCATTTATCTGAAGCAAATGAAACCAATTAAAAACAAAGCTGTTTCCATCATGTCCTAGCACCCAGTTTTAGTTTATAATATAAAAATGAACAAATTCTCCCTTGGTGATATTCTTTCTACCAAGTTAAAGAACTCATCGATCCAGCACACAGAATGAATGTCTCAAACGAAACGGATCGCTCAACACACAGAACTATTAGCGATATTTCGCCTCCAGGATTAATCGGAAAGATAGCCTCTTACTTGCCATTTAATAAACTCGTTTTATTTACTTCATCTAGTGAGAACGTAATTAGAACAAGTTCTCTATCAAATTTTTTCAGAGAAGTATCAATAATTGATCTGGATTCTCTTCGTAGTAACCAAAATTTTAATGTTCATCTAGATGATTTGCATATATTCCAATCTCACCTATCAGACTTCTGTAGAAGATTAAAAGTTAGGATTAGTAGCTCAGCCAAAATGGATAGTATGATAGATTAACCGAATTTTTATCAGAAGCTCCAAATAAAATTATTTCATATGATTTTGTTGTCGAAGATTTTTATTCTTTTGATAAAAGTCTTTTAAATATTGTTGATAGGTTTGAAAAGGCAATACTCGAAAGGTCATTGCGAGAAAAATACAATCGTGCAAAGATATTGTTTGAAGTGGAGAAAGTGAACGAAAATTTACTAAGACGAGCAACACAGCTTTTGGAGACATTCGAACAGGTATTACCGGAACAGGTATTATCAGAACAGGAATTACTCGATGTGGTGAAGCTCAAAAACGCAAGATGGGAGAGTGAAATCCTCAAAAAGATGGTGCTGGATCATCAGTTATTCGAAAATCAGTTAAACAAACAGTTCTAATTGTTAAACCTGAAACATATTCAAGTTAGCTTTCGGTGTCCAAAACAGAATAATTCCCTTGATTTGTTGAAAAGTTTAAAAATTGATTTAAATTTAACAAATATAAAAAGTTAATAATACTAATTTTATCAATCAAGGTCATGGCAATTATTTAAATAGTCCAAATGATCGGTTTTATGCAACTTTCACTGAATTAAACATTAATTGTTTTCATTATTATATATTCAATCAAACCTTTGAGAATTATTATAATCTGGAAAGTATCAACAGTATGTTGTTTGATGTGGTTGACAATGATGGTTGTCAAATAACAGCAATTAAAGATTTAAATAAATTGATCAATCTAAAAGGAATATTTCTACTAAATAGCGAAATAAAAAAAAATTGAAAATACAGATAATTGATCAGTCTAAAAAACCTAGATTTGCATTCAAATGCTGTCAAAGAAGTAGATAGATTATCCGAATTAGTTGCTTTAAATTATTTAACTCTCTCTTTCAATGAAATATCTAGCATCCAGAATTTGTCAAATTTAATTCAATTAAATCACTTAGACTTGAAAGGAAATTTGATTCAACCAGATAACTTAGACTTGGAGGCAAATCAAATCTCTTGGATCCAAAATATTTTGAAGCTATAAAATCTAAATAAACTTGATTTGAGTTATAACTTCATTGATAAAACAAAATTAGCCAAAAAACTAAAAAACATTAAAAAAATTAAATCATCTTAATTTGGATAAAAATGAACCAGAAGTAACCATAGTCAAAAAAATCAAGCAGAAGTTATGTCAGCTAAAAAAGTCTCTGCAATCAGATTGATATAAATTCGTCATTTTACTACTTTTTCTAATACAAACTCTATATAAACATGCCATTATTTTTATTTTTATTTTTATTTATATAAAACTACAAACTATATTTAGCATATTTTTTTTTTTAAATTTTATATTATTTCTAGTTTTTTCCTACAATCTTTTATGTTTTCTACAATGAATCAAAATTTTCGATTTTTAACGACTTCAAATTGATAAAATAGATACTGAAAATCTTCAATAAGATCAAAAATTTAATGATTTTCAATCAGAAGTGTTTTGATAATTGTATTTTTTGGAGTATTTTATAAAATTTTCAAAACTTCCAACTTTATTGTATAATAGCTGAGCTCTATGGTTATCCATTTCAGTGAACCAGTAGATTTTTGAACACTTCTGACAATCCGATTCGTGATAAACATATTCTATTAATTTTCTGCCAACCCCAGAAAGTCTTTGATTTGAGGAAACAAACAAGTCTTCTAAATACATATACTTATCATGGCTCCAAGTAGATAAATGAGTTAAATAAGTGACAAATCCAATCAACTTGCCATCCTCAGCAGCAACAGCAACAGCACACCACAACTGAACTGAGTCATCTAAAAACCTTTCAAAGGTGATGTTATTTTGTTTATCGCTTAATTTTCTTTTGAAAAAAGTCAAGTAACTGTCGTCTTCATTTCCCCATAATTCTAGCCATGCATCCTTATCATCTTTTGTGATACTTCTGATAGAAAACCCTGCTGATTTTGCCATTATGTCAGGTAGTATTAATAAGAAGCAATTTCAACTGTTGGATCTAGTGCGATAGAAAAATCAAAAACTTGTGGCAACTCAAAGCTAGTTTGTTTGCACTAGATAAGAATACTAATCAAGAAATTGCAATTGAAAGAGAATTCGATGGTAAAAACAATGTGGTTACCCGTAATAATGCATGTCAACGCATATACAAATCATCACCTGTTTTAGTGTATGATATGCACATATATATATGGATACATAAGAAAACTATTAGTTTCAATTGTGTTTTTTGATTTTAACATTGATGTGGTGGGTATTATTGGAGTGAATATTTATATCAGAATGGCTTTTGTGTTGACAAACTTAGTGAGGTTTGTTTAGTTATTAGTTTCCACCACTAAATTTTTACATATTTCCGTAGTTTGGGTTTACAAAAGTAGATCAAATCATTCTCTAACATACTAGCCTTATCTACTACCATCTATCAGTTACCACTTTGAAATCTTTTAATTTTTTTAATTTTCTTGTCCCAATTGTCCCAAGATTATAATTATGATCCAATTTGAGATAGGTTAAATTTTTCAATCGAGAAAGATTCATGATTTTGCGAATATCGTTTGCCAGCAAATTCAAATGAGTTAAATCAACTAATGTAGACAAGTTTTCAATTTTATCAATACGATTGAAAGATAGGTTTAGATTTACCAAATTAACCAATGATGATAATCCCCTAATTTTTTTTATTCGATTTTGCGACAAATCCAAATTGGCTAAGCTGGTTAAATTATCTAAGTTTTCAATGTTTTCAATTTCATTTGCTGTTAGATCTAAATGCTTCAAATTGGTCAATCTTTCTAGATTTTCAATTTTTGCAATAGAATTATGATTCAATACTAGCTTTGTCAATTTAGTTAATTTATCCAATTTTTCAATTTTTCTGATGCAATTAAAAGAAAGCCATAACTCTTCTAAGTTGATTAAATTGTCTAGATTGTTGATTTCTATAATTCTGCTATTCGAAAGCGATAAAATTTTCAAAGTAATCAAGTGGTTTAGATTTTCTATCTTTGTGATATTTCTAGAGATTATAGATAGACATTGTAAATTAGACAAGCCATCCAAATTTTGAATCTGAATTATTTTATGACCATATATTGACAATTTTTTCAACATGCTCAAACTCCATACACCAAAAATTCCCGGCATTGTATCACAGATAATACATAAATCCTTTAAATTTTTAAAGTTTATAAGATATTCGAGAGACAAAAAATTTCTCTCAAAATTCAATTTCAAGCGATTCAAATTATTATGAACATGCTCATTGCAATTTCCAAGAAATTCAATATCATTAGCAACAAACATTGGAAGACGACATACCTCCAAATCTAGTGCTCTTAAATTCAGGCAATACTTTAGCTCATTCAAAAATTTCAATGTTCTATTAGAATATGGATAGTTATATCGGATTTTAATTTTTCTTAAATTATCAGAGCTTTTCAATATAAGCCCTGTCATTTTATCAATGTCTTCAAAAAGTGTTTCAGAGAATAAGTCCCCATAGTAAACATGTAATTCAAATGAATCTAATTTATCTAATTTTTCCCATTGAATTGATTGCAAAATATCAATGCTATCAATACTAAAAAACTCATTTGCACTTTTAAAAATGATTCTCAATTTTTTACAAAAGTATATTAGCTGATCTTTGAAAATTTTGAGATGGTCAAAATCTATTTGCAACATTGATAACTTATTAATTGATGCCATATCNCTTATGATAAAACTTTGATACAATAAACTCAGAGCAACAGTCCTGATGAACCCATTATCTGAGAGCGTAAACAACCACAATTTACCCATAGGCAACTGTTTCATTATTATTTGAATCAATTCAAAGGGCAACTCATTATGAGTAACTTCTCTAACAGATAAGTTTCTGAAATTGTGAGATAACTCTTTGACATCCATTGTGCAATTCAAATCAACCTGCTTCAGTTTCCAATAATAAATACTAAGTAAGATTAAAAGCTAATGAACAAATGAACAAATAGAAAGGATTAAAAAATCTAAAAACAATATTTTATCTAATATATTTGGGTAACATTTTTATGGTAATGAAAACTAAAATCAATCAGTTTATACAGTAAAGATTGACTAGCTATGCAAGTCTTTGGTCAGTTTAACTTCTTACCTACAACCAAGATCTAGTTATGGCTTATCCCACATCATATTATTTTGTGAATATCTGGTTAGGTGCAAGTGACTCTTTTCAAGCATTAGAATGTATTTTTTGTTGAATATTCAAATTTTTGTTCACTTCAAACAAAGTTACAGTTTTCTTAGTGAATTCAACCAACCCTATCAATTTCATCAAATTGTTGGAAGAATTCAACGTCATGCTTTTTTGTAACTATCTTGCCTCTCGAGGAAAAATAATTTTCAAAGATTGATAGCTTTGGATATATCTGGTGCCCAGCCAGTGTCTTATTTAATTACCATGATGCTTCTATTTTGATAATAGCTTTTGATGATTTTGCTACTAGAATACAATACTATTAGTTTTTTTTATAATGAAAAAAAAAATAGATTCGCAAGTCTTGCAAAGACCAGTGGCAATTTGTGATGAGTTTATTATAATTATCAATGTTTTAGATCAGATTTGAAAACTCGAGAAATCTCAGAAACTAGGACTGTAAGAATGTTGATCCAGCTACAAAAAAATAACAAATCTATACAATTGAGTTAGATAAGTAGCGGGATTCAAAAAAGCAGATAAAGAATAGATGAGCAAATGTGATTTTGGTCAAATTTTTTTAATAAATAATTCATCTAATTGTTTATTGTTTATTGTTTATTGTTTATAGTTTATTGATTAATTGTTTAGTAGAGATACATGTAGGTTAATGGTATAATATGAATATGCGTAGAAATATGTTAGTTTTTATTACTTTTTACAATTATTTTAGTTGGCAAGCTGTTACATAATTTTGTATCTGGGTTTTAAAATTTTTTTGATTGGGTTTTGTAATTAGAAGTTGAAGCACACTCAATTTTACACAAGGAAATAAAACGATGTGATTATATCTGGAGGACGGTTTTGGCCATCCGGTTTATAGCTCGGCTTTCGTTATGTGTGTTTATGCACTTCGTGTTATTTGCAGTTTTCCACACAATAGTCAAAAGCCGAACAAACAAGCTCAGTCACCGAATGTGGTTTGGTGCAGGCGTTGCAAACTTAAATACATTCTATTCAAACGGAATTATGAGGTTTGCCTTTTGCTAGCCACCTTGGGCATTTGGTTTTGAAAACATAAAAAATTTTTGAATTCTATCTTTTCGGTCTGTATAGAGACTGAATTTACCTTAAAGAAGCCTTATTTCAAACCAAAGATTCCCACAAACAATGCACAATAACTCCTACGGAAATCGAACCGACGACTCTGTTTTTTCATTGGGAAAAAGAAAACCCCTCCCATTGGCGACAGCGTTTTTGAGCTTTGGAATTTGGCCACTGAAGAGATGAAATCATTTCTAATCAACAGTCTTTGAGGTCTTGTTTCTGTAATAATTCAAAGCTAATAACAACCATTACTGTTTTGTTGACCATGTCTGCAGTTTTATTTATTTCACACTATTCATCAACAATTAAGTTGACTGTGCAAGATTCGTCTGTTATAAAGGAATGCGTTGAAACGTCGTGCGAAAGATTGCAGCTTGATTTTAATAATAATTATTCCTTATACTATAACAATAACGAATTGCCATTGGACTCGTCAATTAAATCGCTAGATATAATATCAGGTTCAAAGCTCACTCTTAAAAAATCGTATTTATCCATTTCCAATTCATCTAAAAATGATTCAATTGTTAATATTAAAATCCAGATTTTAAATTCAAATCCAAATGACCAGGCTTATTTGAGGAAATTGAGCAATGGTTTGTTTATTCACAAATTTAATTCACAACTAGCTACACTAAACGATCTTCTAAATGAGTTTCAAGAAATTTTAAATTTCAATTTAATTGATAAAGAACCTTCTTTTCAAATCGCAAATAAAAACATCACAAATACTGCTAACCAATTTAATAAATCTTTAAAATCTTATGGGTTGATTAAGGGCAATCAGGTTCTAAGAATAAAATTAAATTATAAAGTTTCACAAAATTCTAATAACAATCAATCTAATTTGCCTAGTTTGATTAAAAGCAAAAAATTCACCCAAAGTTCTAACATCGAAAGTAAAAACGAAGATAAAAATGAAAAAACTGTACAAACTAAAAAAAGCAACAATAATTTCAATGCCGACACAAGTGATGCTCTCAATGTTGATGACAAAATCACTTTTCAAGTCTTCAAGCAATCAAAAGGAAGTTTTGTTCAGGAAACCAATGATATTGATGATAAAGTCTATGACATGACAGTTTCACAAGCGAAAAAATATCAAAAAATATTATTTGACAAAGCAAATAGAAAATCTGATTACGTTGAAGCTAAGCTTAAGAAGGAAAGAGAGGAAAGGGAAAAAAAGCAATCTCAGACAATTGCACAAACACCTAAAAAAGTATCAATTAGAATCAGATTTCCTGATAGCAATTTCGTCCAATTATCTTTTAATTCAAATAACATTTTAAAAGACATTTTCCAATTTTTAAATGAAAATATCTTAATTCAAAATTTAAATTTTAAATACAATTTAATTTTACCCAATGTTTTCATAAAACAACCAAGAAATCCTCGTACAAAAAAATTGATTTACGATGAAAACAATTTACCTAAAATCTTGGAATATAAAGAGTATTTAAATCAGGACTCACTGATTATGAAAATCAAAATATCTAGTTTAAGTAATACATCCGTTGGATTTGAATTATTGGATAATACCGATAAAAGCTTGGTTTCTCGAAATCATAATTACAAAGGTCCCTTTATTAAACAAGAATACTTAAAAGAAGCTAAGGATTTAGGTTTTCCAACAGGTGGTAATGCTAATTCATCAAACACTACTGGCAAAGATAGTAAAAGTGAATCCAAAAATGATATTAAACATGAGATAAAAGATAAGTTGAACAGTTACAAAGAGAAAAAAATTCCAAAATGGCTTAAGCTTGCTAAAAAGTAATAGATTTTTAACTTTTATAGCACAATTACTATCTAATAAATATCAATCAATATAGCTTTTTTAAAAGTGACTTGATGAGCTGTATCAATATTGCATTTCATATGATTATAAAATACTGTTGTCTAAACTGAAGAAAGATTCAATCACAGAATAAATACTAGTTTTTTTTACCAATCTATTTATATTTAGACTAATAAAATGATATCAAATTAGAAAAGTTTGTTAAAATAGTTTTACATTTGAAATATAACATAGAATTTTATTTTATTTTATTTTGAGGTTCAATTTTTTCGTATGATTTTCTAATTTCCTAAAAGCCAAATATATATAAACAAAAAATTTTAAAAAAAATGTTTGTTTTGAAGTTTTCATAGTTAATGTTTTGTTGAAAAAAAATAAAAATAAAGGTAAACACGAATACTTTCTTATCAATGAATGAACGTATCCTGTGGAATTCCACTGTATTCTCCATATTTTAATGCCAAATTTATATTTTGCAAAGCTTGACTAGCAGCTCCTTTCAAAAGATTGTCAATAGTAGCAACAATTACGACTCTGTCTTGCTTTGCGTTGACACCAAAACCACCAATCACAACCCCATGTTTTCCACTAATATCTTTAACAAATGGAATTTCTCCATTGACTGTAATCAACTGTTCATTATCATATGTGTCTTGATACAAGTTTCTGATATCTCTGGAGGTTAGTTTTTCACATAGTGGGATGGAGATGGTTAAAGTTATACCTTGATACCATTGAGCAACATGAGGCATAAAACCAACCTCAATTCCTAGTTGAGATGAGATCTCTTTTTCATGAACATGATCTGTTAATGAGTAAGGTATTAGGTTGTCACTCAAAAGGTTGACATCGTTTTTTATAGATGGTTTTGTCCCAGCTCCCGAATAACCAGAGACAGCAAAAATTGATGGCACTTGATCTTTGCCAATGTAATTTAATAATGGTTTAATTACTATTTCTGCACAATTAGCATAACAACCTGGATTGCTGATTTTTTTAGCATTTGCAATTTTGGAACGATCATTTACTTCTGGTAATCCATAAACCCATTCGCCACTGGTATCAAATCGATAATCAGCAGATAAGTCAATGATTTTGGATTTCCCATTGTTGATGTTTTCAATTGCTTCAACAAATGGCTTGCAAACACCATTGGGCAATGCCATGACCCACATATCAATTTCCTTATTTTTTTCAATTGTTTTAATATCATCGACTTTAAAATTGGAATATGTAATTTTTTGTTTTTCATACCCTTCTACAGGTTGGCCATTTAATTCTCTGGATGAAACATATAATATTTCTAAAAGTGGATGATCATTCACCATCGAAATCAAATTCTGAGCAGTGTATCCACGAGCTCCAATGATACCAATCTTGGAAGGTTTATTATTTTCATTTTTAACTACTGGAGTGCCTTTTTCAAAACTGGATTTTAATGGGCTCAATGATGTTGATGACAAATTGTATTTAGTAAAGTTTGTTGAGAATTTTCTTCTAAATGATAAAGTTGAAATTTGTTTATTTTGAGTGAGATTTTTGAAAACAGTGGAGCCACCAGAATATTTATTATCTAATTTGGACTTGGTATTGTTATTTAAATCGTTGAAATTTTTGACTTTACGAATTGGAGTTGAAGGTTTATCTAAAAAGTTTTGAATCAAACTTGCAATTTGATTTGGATTTTCAATACCATACCAATATAAAATATAGCCATTTTTATGATACGAACCTTGAGATTTCGAAAAATAGAAACTATTATTAGGATCGTCCTCTCTAATAGTCCATTGTAGAGATGGATAGTCTAATTTAATTTGGTTAAAGATATTGTCAGGAACATTGTTCAACCAACTATTTTTAAGAGCTAAGAACTTGTCTAAAATTGGGATTTCAGTGTTATTTCTTTTAATAATTGCCAACACATCTAGAGGCTCGTCACCATAAGCAACAAAATTTGAATTTTCCAATTCCGTTAAGTAATAAGATATTGGGATTTTACCAGATTTAATATCCTCATCTCTTAATAAAGCATCTTTTAACAAGTCTATATTCTCAAACTGAGTTAAATTGTTTTTAAGCACTAATTTATAACCTCTTCTAATTAAAGTTCCAGCACCACTATCAGTGAATAACTCTTTTTGCAAATTAGCAACATTAATAATTGCTACAGAAGAAGATCTTGGTAAATGGTTTAATAGTTCTCTAATTTCTTTAATTTTTAGCTTTGTACCATATTTAACCCAAGATTGTTTCAATAAAGATTCATATTCTTGATCTAAATTAATTATTGAAATTTTTTCACCAGTGTTTCCATTAATAATTCCACCTTTTTCATTTAAATAAACAATTTTAAGAGGCTGGAACACTTTTGCTAATTCACCAGCTGCAATATCAGCGTTGACATTTAAAATCTGGCCTGAAGGAGTTTCGGCCAAGGAGGTTAATATTGGTAAACAACTAGCATCAATGGACGATTGAATAGCAGTAGTGTTTACTGATTTTATTTTGCCAACTAAATTGTATTTGTTCTGATCTAAATAATCAGCAGTGAATACGCCAGAAGTTATCGGTCTAGCTCTTACCCCCATAGTTTCTAAAGCTGAGACCAACGTCAAATTTTGCTTATTGAAACAGTCTCTAACGATTTTCATTGTTTTGGGATCAGTTATTCTAATTCCATCAATATAATTCGGTTCAATTTTCTCATTTTTTAAAAACAGATTAACCTGTGGACCAGTTCCATGCAAAATTATGGGATACAAACCAACATGGTATAAAAAAGCTAAACAAGAAGCTAGTTCATTCAATTGGTCACTAATAATTGCACCGCCAACTTTTATAATAGCAAACTGTTGGGATGAAACAGAAGTGAAATATTTCAAATATTGTTCAACCTCACGCTTTGAGCCAATGTTATTTAGTAGTTGAATAACTGTAGATCTGGTGGAGCTATTAATATTTGTAGAAGCAAATGAGCGATAGTATGTGTTATAGTTGTAATGCTGATTGAAAACAGAGACAAGTTGTGAAGAAGGTAGTTTTGAGGATAAATTTAGTAGGACAAGTTTTGAACAGGAACTCTTCAACACTGAAGATTTGATAGCAGTTCTAAACATTCCCAAAAACTAAACAGTATTACTTTTTTTATTTTTATCTGGCTAAGTAGAATTGGATAAATAATTATCTACATCAAAATTCCATGATTAATAGGCCAGATAATATTTTATATATAATTTAGTTTGATAGTCACGATAATTGAGAGAAGTTGAAGCAAGCAAAACAGGTTGAAACATTTAAATATTAAGAGCACATTTTTGAGGTGTTAATCAGTATTACGAGCGTGGACGAGTAATCCTCCTTCAAGGACAATTGATGGTGAGTCAGCTAAAGATAAAGAAACTACACCAAATCACAGAGAATTACCTGATTTGGACCGAGTTCTTTATGTCCTGCAGGAGTGTGCAGTGTTGTGATTGGCCCACGTCAAAGGATTCAAAGAGATGAGAAGACATAAAGAAAGCACATAAAGAAAGCACTGCAAAAACCACTGGAAACAGAACAGCAGAAGCACCAGCTCTGTGTGGGACACTTGGAAGATGGCACAGCTGTTTTGGTGAAACAAAAGAAGTTGAAACAGGTAGGTTGCTGAGAGCAATTGTCTCCTTTCTGCTTATCTTTCTTTTCTAGGGCTTATTCAATTGGCATTTGATCACAGACTCGGGGAAAACCATGTGGATAATGAGTAGATGATTGAGATAAATGCTTAAAGCGATTGGAGCAACTGAATTTGTTTTGTTTTTTTGTCTTACTTATTGAAAGAATTGTTTGAGCTAAAAAAATTCGTAAAATCTCCACTATTGATCAAACAAATTCATATTCTTGTGAGTGCCAATAGAAATTTCGATTATTTTTGTTGTTGTCAAGGACGGTGGAATTCAATTAAACCATGATCAAACTTTTCTTTATTGGTTGATTTTTGAAAAAAAAAACGGATACGATTCTGAATTTTAGGGACTTGATTCCTTTGTTCAACTTTCAGAAAGCCAAAGTTGCAATAAATTATGGCTTACGGTTAGCAACTCAATATTATTATACAAAAAAGCAACCAACAAGGTCCAATTCTAATTGCCTTTATAATTATTTCAATTTTTGTCACCAAAAGATCGATTTATTAGAATTATATTATCAAACTATCCACTTTATAATTTTTCACATTAAGTGTCAAATAGGATTTATAATAACGAAACCTGCAATTGGGAGGAAAAGTTTATTTAATATTGTTTTTAAGTTTAAGAAGCTAATCCGGGGACTAATTGTGAAAAAAAACAATTAACCTTACTGATAATTTTGAAAAAATTATACAATTTAAGCTGATTATTGAATTATTCTAATTCTTGACACTTTTTGCAGTTGTAAAAGGGAATTTGAAGATTTCTCAAATTAGTAGATGGAGACAGAAGATTAGAATCCTTCTTCTTTTCAGGAAACAAGCAGTCAGTTTAGTAATTGCTACCATTATAAATCATAATTATTATTGTCTACAAAATTAGTGACAAAATTGATTATATATAATTAATAAAAATTTAAACTTTAAGAAGCGTAAGTGGTTTAATGGTAAAATTCAACGTTGCCATCGTTGGGCTCCCGGTTCGATTCCGGGCTTACGCATATTAGCCTGTTTATTTTTATAATTTTTAATTTCTTAATTGAATGCAATCAGTAAAAAGAAATGAGTTTTAAAATCTTTTCTACAATCTAGTTTGTAATATTTATCCAAAGTTATCTATTTCAGATCAAAATATTTGCTTTAAGTTCATTCTTTGATAAGTCTGCGGAAAATTAACATCTGTAAATCAAAACTTGTGACTTAAGACTCATGTGGCAAAATAGACAATCAACGTTGATAGATTAAATTTCGTATATTAAAAGAAACCTTTTTGGACGTTATGTTAAGAGCTACTAATAAATGATTATTATATTTCAAAGTACTCATATGATCTCATAGAGAGCAGATTGAAAAGTAATAAAAATAATCAACAGATACTTAAAATTACAATTACAATATAATTCTAATTCTAGCTGTAGTTCTAATTGAAGATTATTAGAAGATAATGCAGTTCCAAAAATTCCCTTAGTTTCCTCTTTAAAAAAGATAAAACTAAGGAGTGGTCATGGTATAATTTTCAACCAGCAAAAACACAATCTCGGACGAATCCTCATTGAATGCGTAATGCCCTTGCACAAGGATAAAGAAGAAAAGAAGAAAAAAGGGCTTCGGAAAGTGAGAGGGCATTTCTGTAGTATTTATACTGCTGGAAAAGTGCCGCGAGGGTAACTGCGCGAGAAAGTGAGTGTGGATTAGGGCTTTGGCATCAGGGCTCGATGATGGAGAGAACAATAGGGTTGGATGCTGATAAGGTTAATAAAATTAATAGGTGTATTACTATTGAGCATATATATTATAGAAAAATAAAGAATAGGGAGTCGATCAGGCAAATGCAGTCTGAGATCTTGGGGACCCATTGTTCAGGTTGGAGGAAACTCGGTTATCATCAGCAAAAGTGGTTAAATTAAAATTTTCAGACTTTGACTGATCATCGCTCTCATCAAAACGATTTTTGTCTTGATTTAATTTGATCTGATAGAGATGTTGGTCGAGATCTTTTTTAGTCAATTTTAGATCTGAGAGCTTTAGTCTTGCACCGATTTCTATACTATAACGTCTGCTTCTTAAGACATGGCCAGGGTAAAAGGGATAAGCTAGGACAACAATACCTAAAGACATCATAAGCGCATCTAAAATAAAGATGTAAATTTCATTGAGAATTAATTCACCTCTCCAACCTTCAGCTAGCTCAAAGACTCTATAAAAACAACGAACATAGATAAATAAAACGGATAAAGTCACAATAATGGGGAAAAATTGTAATAATTTATTATTTTGGCGAAGTTGCTTATAATCAGGGTTAAATAAATGGTCCTTTGATAAAAGATCAAAAGGATGAGATGGTTTTATTGAAGAAAGTTTGGAGTAATTGTTTTTGTTGTTATGTTGATTATTGTTTTGATTCGTGTTAAGGTGAATGTTACTATCATCATCGATAGTATCAATATTATCATTATTGTACATTTCATTGAATTTTCTGGAAATCTTATTAGTTTTGAAATAAATTGAATAAACAAAGTCCAACCAAAAGACTAAGAAAACAGACATGGATATCACCTGGAAGATAAGACCAGCAAGCATGATATCGTTACCCAAGTCAGCACTTTCATTGTCTTCCGAGGATAAAGAGGAAGCAGATATTCCACCACCTAGACCTTGCAATACTAAACTGATCAAGTCACAGAAGACAAAGATATATGAATAAGCAATTGGTTTTAAAAAAGAATAAAAATTACCATATACCGCTACTAATTTTGCTAATAAATAATAGTTACCAGCCATAATAAAAGCTGGAGCAATTGTTAGAGTAACAATCTGAATTAGAAATAGGTCATCGTTTGTTGGATCATTATTAGAAAGAGTTCTTGCAATATAACCGATGACTTCCAAAAGACAGCCTATAAAGAAAGCAATACCAAAATAAAACTGTTTATAAAATACACCAAAGACTGCATGGGTTATGAAAAGAATACCCATTACAATTGCAAAACTCAAGTTACCACCAAAACTCGGGATCATACCATGGGAATATTCTATAGTCTCACTGGGGAGAGCAGTTCCAGATACCATTGAGGGTAATAGAGAAATGGTTGCCGACATGTTAAGTGAATTATGTAATTATTGCTTTTGTATGGCTTCAATTCTATTGTTATTGTTGCGACTATTGTTGTGACTGTTATTGTTGTTATTATGGGAATAAAAAATACAATGACAAAATACTTAGAAACTCAGGAAAAGTACTTATGTTATATATCTCACTTATCCAATCAATTTGCCAAAAGCGTCGATAATAGATGAAAAAAAACAAAAAAAAACATGAGCAAACAGTGTTTCACCCAGTAAATCGACCCAGAACAAAAGGACCAAATCCCAGCCAAAACACCACAGCCCTTTGAAATATCTTTCGAAAAAACAGCCCAAGAACAGCTCAAGAAACACTACATCAAAATAAACCCTTCCACCTTTTTCTTCCTTCTCTAACAAAAAATTCATCCTAATCCGAAAACGCATGTGTCTGCACGGATGCGCACATCACCTGCGTCTAGCCGAAAGCCGTTGCGCTGGATGAACCAGTGAAGGTGAAAGTGACTGCTCCACTATGGTTGAGTAGTGCTGCAACAGAAAACAAGGGCAGTGCTGGTAGAACAGTGTTATCGTGGATCGCAGCAAAAAAATGGATTTCTTTGGCTTTTTATTTTTAGTTCTGTCTTAGTAATGTTAGCCCAGTAACTTTAGATCAGTAACGGATAAACAGAAATAGCAAAAGGGTAACGGCTGTTTTTGTTGAGCTGTTTTAGGCGAATTGTTTACCTTGATTGTATCACAGATTGAGTTGGAGTTTTGAACATGGGAGTATGGTTGATAGTAATACACTTTTCATCAAGGAGTTAACGAAGAACATCCCCAGCCCCCAGCAGATTCTTAAATCGTACTTGCTAGAGAGCTCGTCTATTGAGAACTCAGTGTCATTCAACCAATTCAAAAAAATATTCAAATCTGTTAGCAAATCAGTCAATGATGATGATTACATCCATGAACTATATTTGAAACTAATCAAATACGAGAATGATTCAGTTTTACGCCAGATTCAAAATAACATTGATGAAGAGTTTGATTTAGATTCATATGCCAACAATCACAGTAAACAGGATACAGATAAGGATAATGATAAGAATAAGGATAAGGATAAGGGTAAAAAAACGGATTTAGATCTTGGTCTCGATCTAGAACTTGATTTAGATTTGTTGAACTCGAAATTACTTCAAGTGGATAAATATTTAGATATCGAAATAGAAAATTTAAGTAAAAAAATTGATTTACAATTTGATGATAATTTATCAAGTTTGGTTGATAATTTGAATGATTTAAAATTCGGCAATTCATCTTCAATTGATGATTCAATTCAAAACTGTTTATCATCTTTAACATCGTTAAACGATATTTTAATTAATAATTAATATATTTAAATACTTGTATAAATACTTATATAAATAGTTTTTTTTTATTTTTATTAGGTCATTGTTTGATTAATTCTAATGGTATAGTCATCTCCACTTTGAGTAATATAACGAACCCATGGATAACTTTGATATTGCATTTTGGGTTCATTGATCCTCAAATAACGAACTTGTAATCCTGTAGTGATAAAATATGGTATTTGGAATTTAATTTGAATGGGTCTTTTGTTTTTGAATAACGGCTCTTCATTATCGACTGATGGTAGCCCTAATTCTGATATCATTGCAGCTTCTTTCCCACCGTTAAATTGTTTGATTTTCCAAACGATGCATGAATTCTCTGGGGTATATTTTATTGATCCACTTGATGTCTTGAATTTTGGTGAATCAGCATCTTCAGGCACTGGAATGATTATCTCAACATTGTTTGCAATACTTCTTTTCTTAATTTGTGCTTTGGCCTTGGCTTTTATTTCAATTCTCGAGTTTGAATGAATAAATATCTTACAATCAACCCAAATTAATGGTTTAATCGGTGTCGACAACCTATAAGTCATCAAATCGAATTCTCCATCTGGTGGTATAAATGTGATAATTCTTTCATTTTCAAATTTTGATAATCGGACACATTGATGGAATTTTATATCTTCCATCTCTAATCCCTTTTGTCTATTAGTAGTAGCAGTGGTAGTATTGGTAATTCCATTAGATGATGGTAACGCATTACTAGTTAAAGTATTGGAATTAGGCACTGATGTGGATGGATTTCCTCCAAACATTCCTTTATCATTTAATCCCAATCTCAAATCTGGCATGCCACTTAAATTGGATTTGATCTTGACTTTACCTAGAATTTCACTTCTTAACACTTGACCATTAGAATTAATGAGCATATTGATTGATTCAATAACATCCAAAAACACCTCGTTTTTCTTGTACATTATTCCCTCTTGTCTCCAGCTAACTGAATTAGTTACAGCATTTGGTGGTCGAACATTGATATTATTAATGCTATTTTTGAAACTTTTAACTAGTGCATGAGATTCCTGTGTGATATACTCTTTCAAGATTTTAGTATCTGTAGTTTGTGGCCTACCAAAGTCCATCATCTCATCTAGTAATTCGTAAATCACCACAAAATTATCTCTAATGGACTCTTCTTCTAGATGTTTAAAATACTGGGTCAAGACCTCAATTATTCGATTTAGGAATAGCATTATTTGCAAGACGTCCTCATTTTTCTTTGTCAACGCTAAAAGATACAAATCATTGTGAACCAAATATAGATAATTTATTCCCTGGTAATTGAAAACTGGGGGAGCAGCTGAGTTTTCTTCCTCACTTTCTAACAACAAGAGTGGGAATTTTTCAATTGAGGAAGAGGGAATGTCTCCCTTGTAATCTCTGGAAAGTAAGGGTTTGCCCTTTGAATCTAAAAAGTATATCACCGACGCCATCAGAGGTATTGGTTTCAAGAAGAAGAAGATAATAAGTATTTTAAGCTCTCACCAGCTTATCACCAGCTTATCACTGTGTTCTTCTTCTAAAGCTTTCGTCTTTGGAGTTGATTCGTGGTCAATTTTTCCGCTCTTCGGAGCCGCTGCGTTCGGCCACGCGCGGGCACAAAAAGGAAAGAGAAGCAGAAGAAGCAAAAGAAGCAGGAGAAGCAGAAGAAGCGAAGAAAGAAGACAAACAGGAAGTAGAAAAAAACATAGCTTTCTCTGGACTACGCAAATTGGTAACAAAGCATAATTGGTGTATTTTATTCAGGAATATTGACGATGTACTATAAAAGTTGTAAAAATCTAAAGATAAACAGAACAAAGTCTGCTGAAAACAAAATCAGAAAATAAATTAAAAAAACAAACAAAACCCAGATGCAAAATAAAGATAATAAATTAAAAATTATTTTAAAAAAAAAACCAAAACAGTAAGGAAAAAAGCATTAATTTTCAAAAAAAGAAATAAACGGAAGAGAAAGGGGAAAAAAGAAAACAGGATAATTAACATTTAAAATTGTTTAAAAAAATCTTTTTTTTTCCATAAAGAATATGAAAGAAATAAGAAAACGTTTAAGAATAAGAAATCAAGAACCCAATTAATTGTATAGTCTTCGATCCAACTCTCTTAAAACGTTGACAACACTTTGAACTTCAACTTGCATTCCCCTAGTGGTTAATTTACCAACCAAGGTGCTGAAATCCATAGTATTGAATTGTTTATGTCTGGACAATGTTCTGTAGGCATCAGCACAGGGAATAAACAATTCGTCTTTATTATTGATATTGTTTATATTTTTATTAAGAACATTATTATTGCTATCAATATTGACTTGATCTTTTATTGAAGCCAATGATGGAAGTTGAGTCATTGATTTACTTGAAAGGTGATTTGATTTTTTATTACTATTATTATTATTAGTAGCAGTAGTAGAAGTAGCAGCAGAGACATTATCTTGTATATTTGAAGTTGATCTGATATTAGACTCCTTTGAAGCTAAAGTTGTGCAAAAAAGAGTAGACATTGGATCTTTTTGACACTGTGAACAGGTTCCTGGATCACCAGTGCATAATGATTTATCCTTTTTGTTGTTGTTATTGTCTTTGGTTCTTGCTTCTCTATTGATTTGAGAGATCAAACTTAGAGTTGGAGAAGATAAAAGGTTATTGTTATCGTTATCATTATCGTCATTATTTTTATTGATTAACAGTTTTTGAGCATTTTTTGGGTTTTGCAATCTTTTATCTTCAGCATTTGTGAAATGTTTCAATTCCATAGTTGGACCAGGATGAAGTGTCAATAATTTGTTATTATCGTTGTTATTACTTTCATTAGTGGTGATATTTTCATTGTCATTTGAATTATCATTATCATTATCATTATCATTATCATTATCATTCATATGTATGTCACTTTCGTTGTCATTGTTTTTGTTACTTCCATTTTCGATGTTTAGTATGGATAGGATACTATTTGAGTTTTTAGTATGGTTTATTTTTAAAGGAGGTAATTTTATCTTAGTATTATTATTATTATTATTAGTGGAAGAGTTGGAGTCGTTGGGTAATGAGTTGGAAGGAGAAGATAAGTTGGAAGTCTTTTTTAGGTTGCTGACGATTTCAGCGGCTTCCTTTGCAGCTTCACGACAAACACATAAAGAGTTTTCTGAGCAAAAGCCACATGGTTCTAGAGAAGTTAGTTCCTTGTCAATGTATGTTTTGAATAGATCTGTGGATGAGTCATTTATTAGGGAGTCGTTGTTGTTGTTTATAATGGGGTTGTTGGATGAGGTTAATGGGTTTGGATTTGGGGTTGAGATGGATGAATTGAGCAAAGAGTTTTCGTTATTAGAAGAGGAAGTTGTGACTGAGTTGAGTTTGGATAGGGAGAATAGTTTAGATAGTTTTTTCTGTTTTTTGTTGAGGGATTCGAGAGATGAGGATTTTGAGTAGATAGAAGTAAAATCTATTTCTAGTTGGTCAGAGTCGTCGTCGTCGTCGTTGGATGATATTAGGTGTATAGATCTCTTTTTTGAATTTTGGGATGAATTTTTGTTCAATGGAACAGGGTCCATGGGGACAAATGAGTTGACGATTAAGTCTAGATTTTTTTCATTGTTGATCACTTTCATGCCCATTTCAGCACAGATGCAGTGATCCTTAGAGCAAATATAGCAATCTTCATTGTCATCGTTATCGTTAGAAATGATGGTTGATTTTTTGGAGATGTTGATGTTGTTGATTGACAAAGAGTCGTTTGGAGAGTTTGCGGGAGAAGGAGCAGGAGAAGCCATTTGGGGAGAGTATTTGAAGAATGAGTTTGAATTTGAGTTTGAGTTTGAGTTTGAGTGGTTTGAAATGTTTGAAATGTTTGAAATGTTTGAAATGTTTGAGATGTTTGAGATGTTTGAGATGTCTGTGTTATCGATGTCATTATTCAAAGTGTTATTGAGAGTGTTGGATGTGTTGATATTTAAAGTGTTATTGTTATTATTATTATTATTATTATTATTATTATTATTATTATTATTATTATTATTATTATTATTATTATTATTATTATTATTGTTATTATTGTTATTGTTATTGGAGATGGTATTGCTTGTGATGTTGTTTGTGAGGTTAGCTATTATAGAATCCTTTTGTAGTAATAGGTTTTTTAGATTTTTGACTTGGTTGATTAAGATTTGGTTTGAATTGATTAGATTTTGGTTTTTGTATTTTAGATTTAGGTAATTTGTATTTAGCAAATTTTTTGATACTGAGAGTTCGTTGATGTTTTTGTTTAGGTAAATTTTTTCACTCATGAGGTTTGTTAGTTTGATTTCAATCAAGTTTTTTTCGTTTTTTAGTAAGGAAAGAGAGGTTTCTAGTTCCTGGATCTTTGAGGCCTTTCTTTCTCTAAAGGCTCTTTGAGCAGCTCTATTCTGAGCCTTTCTCTTTGTAGCAGGAGTATCCAAGCTTGGTTTGCGACCAGGTTTGGGTCTTGGAGGCAAGACCCAGCTTTTGGAGGTTACGATTTTTTTAAAGTTGTTGATGCTGTTGGTGTCATTAGAGACGTCCATGAGAAGAGAAGAAGAGGAAGGAGAGGAAGATAGGGGAGATAGCGAGCTGTTGGTATCGTTGTTGGTATCGTTATTAAGACTGTTTTTGGGAGTGTTTAAGACATTCATTTTGAAATTTGAGTGGAACTGTAGATTAGTAATGGAAGATTTGGGGTTTGAACTGATAGGGACTTTGTTGTGAGGTATGGTGTTTAGGTTATTAAGGTTGATATTGTTGTTGGAAGGTAATGGAGATTTTGTACTCATTTCAGAAAGGATACGGTTTGGGTTATGGAAGTGATGGAGAGAGAAAAGTGGTGATGTAGGGTGCAAATATGGGAATAAATGTTTTGGATGTGAATAGAGAAGGTTTGGAAGAACGTCGAAACGGGATTTTTAGTGTGGATTAGTAAAAAGGTAGGGGAATGGGAAGAGAAGAGAAGCAGAGAACTGAAATAAGGCAGAAGACAAAAAGGGAAAAAAGAGAAAATCAGGAGAAAATCAGAGGAAAACCAAGAGAAAACCAAGAGAAGAAAATGGAGGAAATGAAGCAGATGAAGTGAAAGAGAAGGCTGGCGAGACAGAGAGAATTGGAGAGAGGAAAAGGGAAAAGAGAGAAAGGGAGAAACAGTGAGGAAGAGAGATGGGGAAAGCATAAGGTATTTATACAGTTGGAGATGGAAATCCCTGAACGTGCAAGCGAATATACAGGAAATGTTTGAGATTAGCACACTGAAAGATCAAAAAGATAAAAAATGGGCAAATAATCGCAGTGAAATAGCCAATTCCATTCAAGCCTGCCATGATTTGACAGAACTCGCACACGTCCCAAAAACCTGCGCACTGATCGAATTGATAAAATGCACCCAACCGGCATCCAGCGGCGCGCTTCCGGCCCTGTCCCGACACGGCTAGCGGGACCCCCTCGAAGCACGTGCAATTGCGCCGGTGCGTTTCTATTGGTTCGGTAAACACGCTTTCGAAAGCAGTGCACTGCCTGGTAGCCTGTGCAAGGCGCATCTTGACCGCATGACGGGAGATGGATACTTTCCTAATCGGGACGGCGATATAATTGGCGTCATCACAAACACAACAGTAGTTGTTCTGTTCCTTCTGCTGTCTTTCTGGAGCACCTTCTCTGCTCCTGAGCTCATTCCCTATCTTAGCTTTTTTTTGCTGTGCTAATCAATGCAAACTCTCTTGAAACGCAGTCTCGATCATAAGAAACGTTCTTCAATGGCACAGATTACCAGTTTCCTACCCCCCAACACATCATTCAATGCACCAGTTAATCTGCTTTCTGGTATATAAACTTCCTTGAATTTTGTAATCTCAAAGTCATAGTATTTGAATTTCACCTTCAATCTGTTAACAAACTTGACACTGAGCTTTTTTGTGGGCTCCGATGATTTCTCCAGCTTCATATCGCTAGCAATCCATTACTGACTACTGCAATAATTGGTCTTATTACGATTAGGAAGATCGGGATAGGATACCATCATCAATTGCTACAACCCTAGTTGAATACCAATGTCTTTAATTCTACCATCTATGTACCTGTTTATATATACATTCAAATCCGAAGGCACCTTCTTGGTGGTAATACTAAATGATTCAGTCTAGCTCCAAACACTAACTAAACTCCTTACCAGAACTCGTCTTCCAGCTATTTCAGCTTTCTCAACTGCCTTTTTCATGTCTCTCTTTGCTCCAACTCCTCTTTTCCATCAGCCAATCATTTTCTGCCTGTTTCATCTTATTCTTTTCTGCTTTTCATCAGATCGCACATGCATACGCACGCGCACTCCTGCAACGCTCTGTTTCCTAATCCGGCATATTCTTTTGTGATTCTTTTTATGGCTGTTCTAACAGAATATTGCACAAACACTGTTCTTTATCTTTGAATTATTAAAAAACCTTTCATATTCGTCAAATTTAAAATTTTCTTTTCACCCCATTCTACATCCAATATATATGTGTATATAAGTAAACAAATAAACAAATAAACAAATATCCCATATTCCGTATCCCATATTCCGTACCACGAATCTCGTATCTCGTATCTCATCTTACATTACTTACTTAATGCACCATGCAATAATGTAATTAATTGTCTTTTAAAGTTAATTATCTATATATACTTGCAATCTCTTTTCCACTACTGATTTTGTTTCTTCAATAAAATATAAAAATCATTCATTAAAAACTCAACATCCAATCCAACTTTCTTCAATTCAGATATTTGTAACTTTGTCTCATAGATATACAACCTATCATTCTCTTTATCATTCAAAATTTTAATATCAAATAACTGTCTTTGTAATAGATCAAAATGCAATTTGATTTCCTTTATTGACCAATTCACAATCAAACTTTGATATTCCAACTCCGGAAAACAATCCTTAAACAACAAAATCGATAGCTTAATATTTTGAAATCGAATGATAGTCATTTGATTGATATAATCAATTAGATCTCCATTGATCTCAATTTTCTTAATCAATTTTGCTATTAAACTAGATTTCGCATTTAATAATGATATTTGTGCTTTATTAATCAATTTTAAATTTTTAAGTTGTATGATTAAATTTTTAATTGAATTTGAATTTAAATTACTCGAAAATGAATTTGAAAAATTAATTTGATTGTTGATTTCATACAAGATATCGTTAATTAATTGATCCAACCTTTCATTAATTTTTAATTTCAAAACTTGAATCAAAATCAAGTATTCCTCAATAGAATTAATATTAGATTGACTAAGATTGTTATTGTTATTCGTGGTACCACCATTACTACCAGTGTTGTTATTGGCTTCATTTTTTATATTATTATTAATCAATTTGTTCAAATTTTTCTCACAATTATTATTCAAACTGCTTTTCAAATCATTAATTAAATTGACTGAATCATTAAATTTATGATGAGCAATATTCACATCCAACTCATCAATCAAATTATCAATTCGTTTTATTTCATTTATTATTCCTTCTAATTCATTATTAATTTCATAATTGCTCATAGCAGTATTAGCCTTTGTGGGGTTGTTTGCTTGAGACAAGTCTTCTTCACTGTTTTCAAAATTGACATTTGAGTTTGAAAAAGATCTTGAGTGTATTCTAATCGATAAATCTTGTAAATATGCCGATTTTCTTCTAGAGTTTTTATTATTTTGGTTCAAAATTAGTGAGGATCCATTAAATTTTGTATTAAAAGTACTACTACCATTATTATTATTAATAATATTACCATTATTGCTATTGCTTAAAGTTAGGTTTGTACTTGAACTTGAACTTGAACTTGAAATTGGATTTGAGCTTGAAGATAATATTGCAATTGAATCATTAATTTTTTTTTGTTTAATCGATTCCTGTTCGGTTATACTGTTTAGTTTAATCTTGGCATTTTTAAATAATGAAGTAAATCTATAATACTGGTTTAAATCATTAGTTTGATATATATAACTTAAAGAGCGATATTTGAAATTTATTGTTTTGGTTTTGTTATTAGAGTTAATATTATCATCATTTGGATTTAATTCGATTAATTGAATTTCTCTCAAAGGCCAACACTGGTCAGCGATTAATGACTGAGAATTATAAAAATTGAATTTGCCGTTATTATTCATGTCAAAATCTGAGTTGAATTGGTCTTCATTAATTGTGTTTCCAATGTTGTTGTTATTATTATCATTATTTTTATTATTGTTTTGATCAGTATTATTTTGCGCAGTGTTATCATTTATGGATAAATTTGATAGTTTTTTCTTGTTTGAAGCTATTAGTAAAGAGTCATTTAGTAAATAGAAATATGAAGATTTAACTGGTTTATAAGTGGCGTTGTTTAATTCTAGCCAATTTTTGGAAAAGGTTAGTAAATGTTTATTGTTATAAATATTATTAACGTTATTATAGTTTGACGGGTTTAGTATATTGTTATTGTTAATTGAGTTTAATATTAGTCTTTGAGAGCCTTCTACGTTTTTAAATAGCGAAGTTAATTCATTTGACCATTTTTTCTCTAAAAACATAACAGATGATCGATCTCTTTTATTTCTTCTAGTTGAGAGGGAAGCACTTTTTTGAAGGGATAAGTTTGAGTTGACAGAATTATTAGGATGGAAATTATCTGTATTAGCGTTGTTGAGATTATTTTGTTTACTAATTTCATCTTCAATTTGGATTCTGGCTAAAGAAGAATCATTCATTTGAGATAAGATTGCATTGAGAGCATTGAAATTTGATTTAAGGAATTTTAAATTGAATTGAATGGTATTGAAATTTTTATTAACTATTAGTATTTTTTCAAAAGAGTTTATAAGGTTTGATTTAATGTCATTATCTAATTTTGTATTTAAATTGATTAGGTTATTATTAAAATTTTCAATTTGAACTGCATTTGAGTTTTTCAAGTTTTTTATTATGAATAAATCTGGATCAAAGTTTTTTGAGGAGAGATTTACTAGTAAATTATGTGAGGGAGAATCCTTTTTATGTAGTCTGGGAGAAGATAGTTGTCTTTGATGAGCAAATTCTCTGGATGATTTTCTTGAATGAGAGGGTGTTTTGTTGGCAGAATTTGCAAGCTGGGAAACTGACGTTGAATTGTAGCCAAAGGGGTTGTAGTCAATTGTTAAAGAGGACGATTGTTTGTGGTGGGTTGTGTTTGACTGCAGGGCATTTTGGCGGGTCTTGTTGATGGAGATCAATTGGTTTGAATTTGAGGGCAAAGCAGGGATACCACTGTCAATGAGAATGTTGGGGTCATTGCTGAGATTGTTGTTCTTGATGATGTTGTTTTGCTGTTTGACGATGTCGTTGAAGTTGTAGTCGTTCACTTGGTACTTCATGGACAATCGTCGTTGGACCAACTTTGTTATCTTCTCATCCTTAACCGCTGTCTGTGCTCTGTTGTTGTCGCTGGCAGAGTTGTTGCTGTTATGGTTGACACTGGAGGACTTGGTGTGAAGATGCTGCTGGATGGAGGTGCTGGAGGGCAATCTGTTAGAGGTGCTGATGTTTTCGAGGTTGGAGCTGGCGAATTGCTTCCAGTCACCAACAGGAGCTCGACTCTTTCTGAGCGAGTACTTTTCTGGCTTGGGCTCCAAGGACATGATGGTAGAGACAAAACAGCAGAAGAAGCAAAAGCAGTAGAATCACCAAAAACACCAAAAGCAGCAACACCTGGCGGCTAATTTCAGACCATCCAAGCAGAGTCTAGACCGAACAAGCCGCCTTACCCTGCTCCTGCACAGACACCCTGTGGAAGCAGGAGTTATTTGCGGGTGCTTGTATGAAACGTGCTCTACACGCGCTGACACAGGGATACACCCCGCTTAAGCGGGAGGGCTAAGTGAAATTTCAGGTAGTGCCAATTTTAGAAGGTGAAAGTAAACAAAGTGAAAATTCCTTTGAGAGGAATTGAAATCGTACACATAAAAAGATATAAAGAGAGAAATAGAAACAGCAAAAGAATTTTCTTTCAGAGAAACACTGTTGCTGCTACTTGGTCCACTCCCATTCGCTTTTTTTTCTTACAAGCCAATTACATCTGAGATACTGCTCATCTTCGTTACTGTGCCTCTAGGATATTGGTCTCTCAAACGTCCTTCGTTTCAATTCTCAGCTATGAAGCTTCTATCTACACTTTTATCTTTTACTTCACTTGCTCTCTCTGCAGCAGCTGCATCCACTCCTATCACTATCAGGGGTAATGCCTTCTGGAAAGGCAACGAGAGATTCTATGTTAGAGGTGTTGACTATCAGCCTGGTGGAACCTCCAACCTAACTGACCCATTGTTCGATGTAACCACTTGTCAAAGAGACATCGAGGTCTTTGAAGACTTGGGTATCAACACCATTAGAGTCTACACCATCGACAACTCTCAGAACCACGATGAGTGTATGCAATTGCTAGAAGATGCAGGTATCTATCTTATCTTAGATGTCAACACTCCTGATGCTTCCATCTCAAGAAACTCCCCCAGATGTTCCTACAATTCTGACTATTTACAAACTATTTTCGCTACTTTGGACGAATTTGCCGGCTACAATAATCTCTTGGGTGTCTTTGCTGGTAACGAAGTCATCGACTCCGAAAATACCACTGCTAGTGCCAAATACGTTAAAGCTGTTGTCAGAGATTTGCATAGATACATCCAAGCCAGAGACTATAGAGCTATTCCTGTCGGCTACTCTGCTGCTGATATCGAAGAAAACAGATTGCTAGCTGCTCAATACTTTGACTGTGGTGACGATGAAGATGCAAGAATCGATATGTTGGGTGTTAACGATTATTCATGGTGTGGTGATTCATCCTTCAGGGTCTCCGGTTACAGCGAAAAAGTCGACTTGTACTCAAATTTCTCAATCCCAATTTTCTTATCCGAATTTGGTTGCAACACTGTCGATGAAAGACCATTTAGCGAAATCGAATCTATTTACTCGACTGACATGTCCTCAGTTTTCTCTGGTGGTTTAGTCTACGAATATTCCATGGAACCAAACAACTATGGTATTGTTGAAATCGTTAGTGACACTGAAGTTAGAAAATTATCTGATTACGACAACTTAAAGGCCATGTTAGCCAAAACCTCTGATCCATCGGGCAATGGTGGCTACAAAAATACTACAATTGTCCAAACCTGTCCAGATGTCGTTGATGGCGTTTGGGAATCTGATAATGATATACCTGACACCCCAGCCAACGCTGAGAAATATATCGAAGATGGTGCTGGTTCAGGTTTTGGTATTGAAATCAACACTCTTAATGCTTGTGACGAGGACTCCTTAGAAGACTCCTCATCTGCTTCCTCTTCAAGCAGATCTGCATCTTCATCTAGTGCCACTGATGATGACGAAGAAGAATCTGGCTCTTCTTCATCCTCTTCTTCCACCGCCTCTTCATCCGACTCGGCTGCTATCATCCTTGCTCCAATTTCTTTCTACTCACTCATCCCTTTTGCTTATATCATACTTAGTGCCTTATTTGGATTCCACTTAGTCTTATAATCATCTAATTGAATTGACCAATTCAATCAATGCATTAAATCAATTACATAAATTAATAGACCAGTTTATTATCTTTTCTTGTGCAGGTTATTTTATTATTTTTTTAATTCTTAAATCTATTCTCTTTTTTAATTCATACTCCTACCATATATCGAATCACTATATAATATATTTAATTTATCTATTATACTTTTAATTACAATCTCACTCTTATACGCCTCCATAATAAGTAATTTCTTATCTCGGAAATTTCTTCACACAGGTCACCTGACCTCGGGTCTAAAAAGGAAAAATTTATTCTTATTTCATCTTTCTTGGTATTTATTGAGATAAAAAAAATCTAATAAATCTCTTTGAAAAAATTCAGACACAGAATTGTCAATTTATACCCCAATTTTTTCTCTCGATTTGTTCCTGGCTCATAAGAATAATTTAAAATGATAGTGTTGAAAGGTCTTGCAAGAACCCCAGCAAATCTCAGTTCCATCTACAGATATTCAAGATGTTATGCTACTGCTGCTTCTGATAGTTCATCCTCTTCATCATCTTCAATTCCTCAGAATGATGACAGTTCGAAATATAAAACTGCCACGAAAGCTAAAACTACTACAAGAACTTATAAAAGAAAGATAACAATGCCAACTGTTCCATCAGGTTTAAGCTCTCTTGATGATTTGCCTCTGAATTCGGCTTCAACATTGACTAAAAAAACTTATTTGCTGAAAAGCAATAGTTTAAAGGATTCTGCAAATTCAAGTATCCCCGATTTTCCTCCAGATTCTCCTACAAATAATAACATACCTGAGTTTCCCGATTCTTCAGTAGCTGATGAATCAAATATAAATAGTATTCCTTTTTCTTCCAACAGTGCTAATTCTAACACTACTTCAGCTTCAACGTACACCAATAATTCCTTTTTATCTTCTCCGTCCTCTTCCTCTTCTACTTCCAATAACTTTGACACTACCTTTGAAGGAATTGGTCAAAAAAAATTTGACGACAAAACCTGTGAAGCTTTATTAAAAGAGCTTGATCCTATTGATATTGAAATCAAGCCAGACGGAATTCTTTATTTGCCCGAAATCAAATACCGTAGAATATTAAATAGAGCTTTTGGTCCAGGAAACTGGGGTTTGGTTCCAAGAGACTCATTGACAATTACTGATAAATACGTTTCAAGAGAATTTGGTTTGATTTGTGAAAATAGATTAGTGAGTATAGCAAGAGGCGAACAAATATTTTTCAATCAGGATGGTATACCAACCGCCATTGAGGGATGCAAGAGTAATGCATTGATGAGATGCTGTAAAGATTTGGGTATTGCAAGTGAATTATGGGATCCAAGGTTTATTAGAAATTTCAAGAAACAATACTGTGAAGAGAAATTTGCTGAACATGTAGTTACTAAGAAAAAGAAGAAGTTATGGAGACGTAAAGATACTGATTTCACATATCCATATAAACAAACTTAGTTTTTTCAATAAGTTTGTATTTTGTAAATAATTTAATAGATAATTAATTAAGTGGTTAAATGTATAATAATTCATCATAGTAGAGTAGAATTGAGCAGAGCAGAGCAGAGTAAAGTGTATTGAATTGGATCAATTTCTATTTTAAAATACAATAAATATATATAGTTATTCATTCCATTGAATGGTCAAAAAAATCCTGATCATCTAGAGTGCTTTGAATATTAAACAATTCAAAATTATCAGTATTCATGTTATCATCAAAATTTAGATTCATGTTCATATTAAGATTATTAATATTCATATCCATGGTTAGATTATTCATATTAATGTCATCATTAATTACAGCGAGATTTAGAGGATCGTCGTCTACAGGTAAAATGACAGAATCATGGTCATTATCTGGATTACCCATTAGTTTAGTAGCTGTTGAGAGATCAGAGATTTGGATTGAGCCATTGGAGGGCAAATTTTGGTCAAATTGTTTTGGTTTTAATAGTAGATTTGCATTTAAAGCGTTTGGATTGTCATCAAAAATTTGAGATTTGTCGTTTTCAATTTCGTGGTTATTGATATTGATATTGATATTGCTGTTGTTATTGTTATTATTATTGATGGTGGCAGCATTTGCAGCAAGAGATTGCTGGTTCTGTAATTGTAAATGTTGGAATTGTTGGAATTGTAGAGTGTCTTGCTGTTTCTTTTCGTAAAATTCTTTTTCTTTTTTGAGTTGAAGTTGTCTTTCAAGTTCTTTTTTCTTTTGTAATTCTTGTTCTATTAATTTTTTCCTCTTGATTTCCAACAAGTTCCAGTAGTTATCAGGAGCTTGGGTATAGTTTATTGGTTTTAGGATTGAGAGTAGATCCTTTTTGACAAGATTACCATTAAAGTTATCCAATTTGTTTACGTATTTTTGGTTTTTCTTTTTTTTGATTTTTTGATTTTTAGATAAGATTGAGTTGAATTTTGAGTCATCAAATTTGACGAATAAAGTTCTTAATGTGTTTAAATCTTTTAAATTTTCATTATCATTATCGTTATCATTTTTAGTATGATTATCATTCTTGGTAAAATTATCATTAAAAATGTTTTTAATTATATTAATGTTATTTTTATTAAATTTTTGATTAATCTTTTGAATGTCATTTTTCAAGGTATTAATTTCCAACAAGTCTGAATCTAATGTAGACTTAATCAATTGGATATCGCCAAACCAAATATCAGTTAATTTCAAGTCATTGATTGACTTGATCTTTTGATTGTTTTGGTTTATGGATGAATTTTTTTTAGTGAATTTTTTATTAATCGAGTTGTTTAGGTGATTATCAGTGATTGCATAGTTGAATTCGGGAAAGGAGCTTGGGGGTGTAATGTTGTTAAAGATGTGGAGTTTTCTGTTGATGATAGAGTCCATTAGTTCTTGATTTAAGGTAAATCTTTGTAGAGCTATTGTTCTAAAAGACATTATGTCAGCTTCATCGAAGATGTTTTCATTTTTTTGAACTTGCTGGACCTGTTGCTGTTGTTGCTGTTGTTGAAGTTGAAGCTGGAGTTGGAGCGACTGTTGGAGTTGTTGTTGGTGTTGCTGCTGGAGCTGAAGTTGCTGTTGTTGTTGGAGGAAGGACTGTTGACCTTGAAGGGACAAAGTTTGAAGAAAGTTGTTGTTGGTGTTTTGGGCCGAGTTGGGAATGAACTGGTTTTGAAGTTGCTGAAGGGAGTGTTGTGAGATATTGTTTGCAGTTCTGTATTTTCTTCTTTTTGACTGGGATGGAGGCATTTTAACGAGATTAAAGAGAGTGAAGTGAGTAAAGTGAAGTGAAGTGAGTAAGTTGAGAGCGAGTTGAGAGCGAGTTATGAATTGATCTTTATGGTAATAATTGAAGGATTGACAGTTTTTTTTGTTTGAGGATGATTTGGATAAAAAAAAGCGGATATATCCTAAAGGGGCAATTTTGGTCTGTCCTATGAAAAGCGACGAAAAATGGAATAAAAGCGACGAGGGCAATTTGAAGAGTTTGTTAGAATTTGCTAGTGTTTGTTACAAGTGTGTTTGAATACATAGACTATATACTTCTGGAGTGGTTGTGATGATGATTGGAAGATTGAGCAAAGTAAGTCAATTGAATCGAAATGGATTGAATCAAATGGCGTCCATGACAAGTATTGGCTTGAGCAGGTATTTGAGTTATGATGCAAAGGCTATTATATACAAAGAGTATGGAGAACCTAGCGAGAAGATTATCGTTCACGATTACAAAGTGGAATCAATTAAGAACGACAATGAGGTGTTGCTTGAATTGATTGCGCATCCTATTAATCCATCAGATATTAATCAAATCCAGGGAGTTTATCCCTCGAAACCAGAGTTGTCGGTAAATTTGTTCAACGACGAAAGCGAGGTGTTAAAGGAGGCCAGTGCGATTTGTGGGAACGAGGGAGTGTTCAAGGTGGTTGAAATTGGGAAGAATGTCAAGGGATTTGCGCAAAACGACTGGGTTATCCCATTGTTTCCCAACTTTGGGACGTGGAGAACTCATGTGAAATTGGATATGAAAGGAGAAGCCAAATTGTTCAACTTGAATAAGGAGAACGAAAAGACAAAGAGGTTTGCTGAAGGCAATGGAGGGTTGAGTGTGAACCAGGCGGCTACTATTAGTGTGAACCCATGCACAGCGTTGCAAATGATAACCAAGTTTTTGAAGTTGGAAGAGGGAGACTGGGTTATCCAAAACGGGGCCAACTCTTCGGTTGGAAAGTTTGTTATTCAGGTGTGCAAGAACCTCAAGATCAATTCAATCAACTTGGTGAGAGACAAGAGCAGTGAGGAGAATCCACAGTACTTGGACGAGTTGAAAAGCGAGTTGAAGGATTTGGGTGCCGATGTGGTGGTGTCGCTCAGCGAGGCAAAAGAAGACCGAAAGTTGATTAAGAAGTTGGTGAAGGACGTAAAGGAGAACAACACTGGAAAAGTGAAATTGGGGTTGAACTGCGTTGGAGGTGAGAGCTGTATTCCGTTAATCAAGACCTTGGACGAGAATGGATACTTGGTCACCTACGGGGGCATGAGCAAGAAGCCAGTGATTCTCTCGACGTCTTCGTTGATCTTCAAGAACCTCACGTCAAAGGGCTTTTGGATCACCCGCAACAACTTCCAGGACCCAGAGGAGAAGCAGCAGACGTTGGACCAGATCGTGCACTTCTACCAGAACAAGCAGCTTGTTGACGCAAAGTCGACTCACAACATCTGGAAGAAGGGCATTGCTCCCAGCGAGGTATTGGCGCTCTACCAAAAGGCCCTCAGCAACTCCAGCAAAAACATTGTTGTCTACGAGTAGACGCAGCACGATATAGCCATAAAACAGCAGCAGACGCAGCACAGAATAGCGCTGCTCCCACAGCACTGGCTCTTCCACAGCACTGGCTCTTCCACAGCACTGGCTCGTGACCGCGCCGCGAACCGCAGCGGCCTCTCCCGGCGTGGTTCTTCTGCTTCTTCTGCTGCCTCTGCTGCTTCTATTGCCTCTTCCTCTGTTTCCTCTGTCCTTTCTCTCTGCCTTGCTTCTTGTTTTGCGGCTGTATCTGCTGCCGTATTTACTGCCCTGCTTTTCTTTCTCTTGCTGCGACTCTAATTATTTCGCCTATTTCACTATTCCACTATTTCACTATTTCACTATTTCACATTTCACTCTGCTCGATACTTGCTCTCCAACACCCTTCAGGAGATCACTACGTTGGTCAACCCAAATCTTTATCAAACAGCACCAAACAACCCCCAACAACCACAGACCAGCTAGAAAGAGCATAGCACACTCCTGCTCACCTCTCAGGGCTCTTCCTTTTCATCCACAATGGCCCCCTCAATCTTGAACCTACGAAGATCTGTCTCTACGCTCAACAACGAATCAAACAACAAAAAGACTGAGCAGCTCTTGTCCTTATTGTCCTCCAGATCCAGATCCAACAACAACAATATAAACATCAGCATCATCAACACCCCAAACAATCACGCCAACGCTAATCACAATACCGTTCCTGCTAACAATAACAATGCCAATATCGTCCACAAAAAATCAACCTCAATTAACTCAGACGATAGTGTCATAATACACCCAAGACAACCTATCAATAACGAAAACGATTTCAATAGCCAACCCAATAACAATAACAATAACAACCCTTACAATAACAGCCACTACAACAACAACAGCCCCTACAATAATCAGTATACTAATAGTAGCAACAACAATAATAACAATAGTAATAGTAATAGTAATAGTAATAGTAATAATAATAATAATAATAATAATAATAATAATAATAATAATAATAATAATAATAATAATATTGAGTCTGATAATGAAGATTACGGTTATGACGAAAATGACCCATTTGAAGAAGACCTCTTAATTGACGACTTGCCCCCTGACCCTCCTAAATCTCCTCCAAGAGAACTACATCCTGAAAGACTATACGCCCTATACGACTTTTCTGGCCCTGACGAAGCCCAGTGCGACCTAAAGTACGATGATCCAGTCATACTACTAAACGACGACGACTCCTACTGGTGGCTAGTCGAACGAGTGGAAGACAGCAAAATAGGTTTTGCTCCTGCTGAATGTTTGGAGACTCCCACTGAAAGATTAGCACGTTTGAACTGCTGGAAAAATGAAGAAATTGAACGAAAAGCAAAAGAAGAAAAAAAGAAATCAAGATCTCTACTCTCCCTATCCAGAAAATCATCCTCAAAAAAATCCTTAAAATTGTCCTCAAAACTATCCTCAAAGAAAAACTCAAATGCTTTGAATCCAAATAACAATAACAATAACTCAAAATCAGTAGTCTTTTCCGATCACGTAACCTATTCCACAAGCGATATCGATTGGTCTTCATATTCCTCATCTGAACAAGAATATGATGATTATGACGATGACTACGAAGATGAAGGTGAAGGTGATCAACAAGAAAAAAAACAAGAAAATAACTTTCTCAATCAGCATGACAATCATAAAAACAACAACAGCAACAACAACAATGACAATGACAATGACAATGAAATAAATTCAAATTTCCTTCTGACTGATGACATATCTCTAAAACCAACTGAAAATCAGCCTAAAAAATTAAACCTAACTGACTCCCCAGTATCTCATTTAAATCTATCAAACAATTCAATTCAAAATAATACTTCAAACAACAACAAATCTGAAACTGAAACTGAAACTGAAATTGAAACCGAAATCGAAACCGAAACCGAAATCGAAACCGAAATTGATAACGAATCTGAAACCGAAAAAGCTATACTGGATCTATTAAACCAGAGTAATAACAGAAATTCAGACTTGTACAATTATAACGAAAACAATGAAATAACTCCATTAAACGTTCCTAAAACATCAAAAAATAGAAAAAAACCCTCCAATAATGATAATCAAAATCTTAAAGATACTTCACCAGACAACACTCCGCCACCAGTTCCTCCAAAGGATACAAATAACGAATCTCAAACTGAAAATAACTCTCTTCATGATAACCAAAAGAATAAAACAATATTAAACAGCACAAACTCAACCATAATTGATTACGACAACAACAACAATAGATCAAGTCTAATTTCAATCTCAGACGACGAACTTTCCCTATATAATAGATCCTCATCAATTTATTACGACCTAAACCTTGATAAAGTCAATTCACCAAATCACAACAATAACCCAAACAACATTTCAAATAATTCAAATAACATAAACACTAGCCCAAATAAAAATTTAAGTAGCTTTATCAACTCTTCAAACTCAAATAATAACCTTAATAACATACTAAATTCCTCCTCCAATTCAACTAAAATAACTCATTCACTGTCAAATCCAATTAGTACTCCCATAATGAATAACAACAATTCAAACAACAACAGTAACAATAACAACAGCACTCCAAATGTCAATGGTGCCAGTAATAACAACGTCAATAAGAACTTCAGAAGTAGCTCTTCCTTATTAACCGCTCCTACACCCTTTGGCAAAAGAACAAATTCGATAACTGCTAGTATTAAAACTTTAGAATCTGCCAGTTCCTATTCTATCGGTGAATATTCTCCTTCTTCGTCGGAATATTCAAACGATGTCTTAAGTTCAACTCCACCTTTAAACTCTTTTAATAGATATTCTTTAAGCAGAGATGTAAATGTCAATTACAATAACTACAATAGTAATAGCAATAACAATAATAATAATAACAATAATAATATCAATCACACCAATACTAATTCCACCACTAGCACTACCACTAGTACTACCACTAATAAAGGTAACCTACCTTTGTCAGTAGCCCAAATGAATATCCATGATGCCATGATGCAAGGAAATTATGAAGAAAGTGTATACAGTCACAACAGTAACAGTAACGGTCTAAATATCAATTTCAATAACCAAAATAATCACAACAATACTATCAATAGTAATAAAAGAATCAAAATTGGGAACGATAGCAATGAAGATTTTGAGAACATTACAGCCAAGGACATTCAAAGAAATAAACTATCATCTCCTATCACAATACATCATGAAGATTCAAACGAGGATTTAACTACAGTTTCAATTAGTACAATGGAGAATAATACAATTATTTACGATAACGATCTTAATGCAAATTCAATTAATGGCACAATCATTAATGATAATAATAACAGCACCAACAATAACAGCATCAATAGTATTAACAATACTAATAATATTAACAATCTCAATGTTATTAATAATAATAGCTATATCAATACAAGAAAGGCATCAGATGACTCGAATCATCAATTTCTGTCGTTCAAATTTCCTTACAACACAGAGGAGAGAGATAGAACATATAATATTGCTGGTGTCGCTAATGGCAATAGTAACAATAAAAATATTAATATCAATAACAACCACAGTTTTGATGACGAATTTGATAAAACTGGTATCATGCATCACCCATTTCAAAACAAAGGGAAGGATGATTTGCCATCAGTCAATTCATTCAATGTCGAAACAGAGCATGAGTTGTTTCATAATAAAGATAAAAATAACCCCAATAACTCAGTATCAGTTAGCTCACATCTTAATGATACAGCCCGAAATTTATCAACACGCAAATCTGTTTCGTCAGATAACTCTATTGTGGATGATGAAGATAATGATGAGGTTGAAAGTCAAATCACACCTGGAACAAGTACCTCATTTGATGGGGATAATGACTTGAATAATAAAGAAATGGATAACTATTTGGAAAATTCAACATATTTGAAAAAACTAGGAAATCTGAAAATTAAGGATGATTCGTTTGATGATTTGGATTTAAGTAAAGATGACGACGTTAAAGACGATAATGTTATAAATGGTGATAACAACGATAAATATATCAAGAAACTTTATTCAACATCAACAGTTACGAATACGTCGTCGACCAACACATCGTTTAACGACAATGATATCTCTCATGGAAATATTTATCAAAGCAACGTAGCTGGATCAAATAGCCTAACAAGCGAAAATGATAGTTTTAACGAATTCAATTGTCTTTCATCTCACCAAGTCAGAGATTATCATCCGGAAATAAACGAATTATACACACCGTTATTCAATAAAGCTGATTCGATAGCTGCTAAAATTGAGATTTTGAAAAGAATGATTATTGAAAATTATTAACTTAAAAGTTATCAAGCGACTGTAACTTAAAGGCAGCAATATTTTCCCATTCAATTTAATTTACTTTGTCTTATTTTACTCAATCTATTTACTTTAGGTTATTCCTCAAGCCCAATGTGGTTCCAAACCTATTCTTCTCCATGCATCGAATACATTATTATATTTCACTGTACTAATCAATCTATCTTTTTTTATTGTTGTTTATTGTTTTTTATTGTTGTTTTTATGTTTTTGTTCCATAAAAAAATTATAAAAAGTATATACAATTAATTTTTCTCAACTACGTTATTGCTTTTGATTTTTGATATTGTTTTTCTAGTTTATATAAGTGTTTTTGTTTGTTTTTTACTTAATTTATCTGTGTTGTTGGACGCTACGAAGAATAGGATTTCAGTGATAGTTTTTTCTTATTCTGCTGATTTGCTTCTTCTAGTTCTTTTTCTTCAGTTCCTTCATTTATTTAACTTTATAGCTAAACTTGGCTGGTTTTTGTCTCCAATTCTCGTCGAACTCTGGCCAGTTCAAAAATGCATTGTTTTTTGTTTTCTCTTTCAAACACACCTTTTGTTTCTTCTTCCTCAGCAAAAACAGCAAAAACAGTAAAAACAGCATTTTTTCACGTGCCCCAAACCTTGAATTTTTTTTTTGACCTGATTCAATTTTTTTTCAGTGTTTTTATTTCATTTTGCTCGTTTTACACTCAATTTGTTTTGACCTAATTTGTGTCTGATATCTGTCTGTTTGGGCTTGATTCTCTACCAGATAGCTTTGCAATTTGCAGCAGATCTATTTAACTCTCTCTGCTCAGCTACTTTTTCTCAGAAATCCTTCTGTCGACATAACATCTCACTGCAAGATGGCAAATTGGCTAATTAACCCATCTTCTCTAGACCAACTAAGGAAAATCCTTGCAGGTTCACTATCAAAAAACAGCAGCGAAAGATCTCTTGCTAATGAAGCACTCAAACAAGCCCAGCTTGACCGGGACTTTGACAACTACTTGGTTCACATCTTAGTGGAAGACGAAGTGTCTTCGATTGAGGTCAGGGCTGGCGCCGGTTTGTTACTAAAGAACAATTTCCTAAAGAGAAATTACTTGGACTCAAAATCGCTGGATTTTTTTGACTATATCAAGAAAACAATATTGAAAGGTTTGTTTGTGAACATCACTCTTATCAAAAACATCACTGGTAATGTCATAACTGCATTGTTCTCCATATTGACCATCAACAATTGGCCACAGGTGCTCATAGACTTGTTAAATTTGGCTGATCCTTCCAACAACCAACCTATTTACGTTCAAGAAAATTCAATCTCTGCTTTTTTAAAAATTTGTGAAGATTCTGCAACTATTTTAGAGAAACCTATGAAAAACACAAACGAGATTCCCTTGGATTTTATCATCCCAAGAGTGCTTTCTCTATTAAGTTCTTCTTCAAATAAAGTCAGGGCTGACTCCATTTCATGTATCAATCAATTTGTATTATTAGGAAACTCTTCAGTCTCCAATCATTTGGAATTATATTTATCCAAATTGTTCAATTTGGCATCACAGAGTGATTCAAATATTCGAAAAAATGTTTGTTCTGCTTTCTCTTTGATTTTAGACTCAAGACCTGATATTTTATCTCCACATTTAGAAGGTGTGACCAACTACTGTCTTCATACTATAAACGATTCTAACTACGATGTTTCATTGGAAGCCTGTGAATTTTTATTATGTCTAGCAACTTCTTCTTTACCCCCTGCAGTCATTGAACCATTTTTGCCCAATATGTTGCCAATTTTACTAGCAAAAATGGTTTACTCTCCAGACGAAATTTTGGACTTACAAGCTCTAGATTCTAATAATGACTCAAATGTTCAAGATAAAGACGAAGATATTAAACCATTAAATGCCAGGAATAAAACTCATAAACAGGCCAACGGCAATAGATCTCAAGCGACTTTTGACGGCGATGATACTGAGGACGAAGGATACTATGATGATTATGATGACGATGACGATGATGATGAAGGAATTGATGATGAAGATGATCAGCTCAGCTCAAACTGGACTCTAAGGAAATGTGCTGCTGCAACTTTAGATCTCTTAGCTAATTGTATGGCTGAATCTGTATTAAAAATAACTTTACCAATTTTGAAAGAAAGACTTACCTCAAATGAATGGCCAATTCGTGAAGCTGCCATTTTGGCCTTTGGTGCAATCAAGGAAGCTGCGATCGAACACTCCAACCATGAGCTACCTGCTTTGATACCCTATTTAGTTGACACTTTGCAAGATTTGAACTCTTCTGTAAGACAGATCAGTTGCTGGACTTTATCTCGTTATTCAACCTGGATTTGCTCAGAAGTTCATAAAAACGGCCAATTTGCTAGCTACTTCTTACCAACTTTTCAAGCTATTATGGCTTGTGGTTTAGATAAGAAAAAAATCGTTCAAGAGAGTGCTTGCACTGCAATTGCTAATTTTATTACAAACGCAGATTTGTCTTTTGTATTTCAATTAGCTGAACCTTTATTAAAGTTTTTCACTCAATGTTTTGAACAATACCAACGCAAAAATTTAGTTATTCTATATGATGCTGTTCAAACTTTTGTTGATAAAATAGGATACCATTTGACTGAAAAACCCGAATATTATAATACTTTATTACCACCCTTATTGAAAAAATGGGAAGAATTGGATGATGAAGATAAAGGATTATGGCCCTTATTAGAATGTCTTTCGTCTGTTGCAGCAACTTTAGGTGAAGCTTTTGCTCCTTTTGCTCTTCCTGTTTATCAACGATCAATTAAAATCTTGTTAAATTGCATAAAAATCGATCGGTTATCTCAAAACGACCCAAGAATTGAATTGCCAGAATCTGACTTTATGGTTACGGCAATGGATTTAATTGATGGCTTAATTCAAGGACTAGGATCTCATTCAGCTGATTTAATTCAACAACAGAAATTGGATAATCCCGAAACTAACTTGATGGAATTGCTTTTAATTTGTTTTGAAAACCCCATCAATGAAGTTAGACAATCCGCTTATGCTCTTTTGGGTGATTTAGCTATATTTGTGTTTAGACCAATTGTCTTTCCATATTTAAATTCATTAATAAGTTTAATTGGGAAAGAAATTGTTCAAAGAAATGCATTATCAAATGCTGTATGTAATAATGCAACATGGTCTTTAGGTGAAATGGCATTGAAATTAAATGAAGAAGAATTGAAACCTTATTTGGATCAATTGGTTCCATTATTATTGTCTCTATTAAAATCAAATCAAGTTCAAACAACTGTTTTAGAAAATGCTGCTATTACCATTGGTAGAATTGGTATTTGTTGTCCATCAGCATTTGCCCCATTTTTATCAAGCTTTATTTTAGAATGGACCACTCATATGAAATATTTGGAAGAAAACAGTGAGAAAGAGTCGTCATTTAAAGGAATCTGCAACATAATATCATTGAATCCAACAGGATTTGGAAACTCTCCTCAAGGGAATTCCAATTTAGCTATATTTATAGATTGTATTACAACTTACTCTCAACCTGGAGAAGAATTGGGGAATATATTCCATAAATTATTAGCTGGTTATCGCGATATGCTAGGAAACGAATGGAACACATTATTAAGCCGATTAGATTTTGAATCTCAACAAGTTTTACACAACACTTACAATGTCTAACTGGCTGAATTTACACAGTTTGATTTTTTAATACATAAAATTTTATGAAGTTATCAACAAAAGTTGTTCATAATGATTGTTAAATGCGTTAAATAACTTTTTTTTTTTTGGTTTTTTATATTTATTTATTACAATTTTGTTTTTATTTTTGTCATTGCATGGTTGTTTTTTGTTTTTTTTAATTTAATTGATAGTTTTTTTTAGTATTGAGAAAATAATACAGGTAAGTTTTATTTGTTGTCTTTATTTCTTTTTTTATTTTTTTGATATCATGGCCATTTATTTTTAGTTTTCCTGAATAGATAGTTAATAGTTAATTAAGATTTATTATAAGAGTCACATAGTTTAAGTTAATAATACTTGATAGCGCTAATATAAAGAGTTAAATGAATGCCAAATATGTAAATATATATCAAAAAAAGAATAAGAAGAGAATAGAAATGTAAAATGTAAATGAAGATGAACAGAAATGTCAAAAAGATAAAACAATGAAAATAAAAACACAGCTGGTAGTTTTTAAACAATTAATATGTTCTTGGTTCAAGGAGAAGTTTGCCCATTGGTTTTTTGCTGTGACCTTTACCAAGAGCAAAGACACTATTACCTCTAACTATAGTTTCAACCACTACACCAAACAATTCAAAGCCATCATAAGCAGTTAGTTTGTTTTTGAAGTACATGTTTTTATTTTTCAATTTGTATTTAACAGATGGATCAAAGATAGCAAAGTCAGCATCATAGCCTATTTTAATAGAGCCCTTTTGGTGACTCAAACCAACTTGTTTTGCAGTATTTTGACAAGTCCATTTAACGATTTCAGTGAATTTCAAGGGGGGGGTTAGCTTCAAACCTTCAGTGTATAGGATTGGTAACCCAAGACCAACAGAAGCAATACCACCCCAAGCAGCAAAGAAATCACCCTTTGAAAGACCCTTTAATTCAGGGACGCAAGGAGAGTGATCTGAAACAATTGACGTTATGATATCATCTCTTAGAGCATTCCACAACAATTTTCTGTTGGATTCAGATCTAATTGGAGGACAACATTTGAAATGAGTGCCACAATTTGGAATCTTTTCAGAACTTAGGGACAAATAGTGGAAACAGGTCTCGGTTGTTAATTTGAGACCTGAATTTTTGGCGATTTTGATGAGAGGAATAGCTTGATGAGTAGCTAAATGAACAATATGAACAGGTACAGAAGGATTTTTAGTTGAGCAATTGATGATTTCAGCGATTGCAGTTGTTTCAAAAGAGTCTGGTCTTGATGCCAAAAAGGATTCATAAGCTGTTGGATCGATATCCTTTAAAATTGAGTTTTTTTCAGTTGCCTTTAATAATGGGGAATCAGATGGATCGATTAATCTTGGTTCAGCAGCGGCTAAGATTGGAGAAGAAGACAATGCTTTTATTTGTTTTTCAGACAAATGTTTGGTAGAATTGACTTGGTTTAAGGAGATTTGTGTTTTTGAAGTATTGGTGTAAGTTTTTAATTCATCAGTATTATCTTTGAACAAGTTTAGTACATTTGATGGGGCATGGTTGATAAATGAGGAGGATACACCAATGTTCAAGTCATTGAGTTCTTGAGCTAGATTTTCCATTTTGTTTTTGTTACTTGTGGCAATTATTTGATTTAGATCATTTAAGCTACTTGAACTAGTTGAACTAGTTGAGCTGGTTGAGTTATTTGAGTTGGTTGAGCTAGTTGAATCAGTTGAATCTTTATCCAAACTGAAAATTGGAATATTTTCATGATTATTTATTGGAATATTGTTATTATGATCTACTAGTGGAAGATTATCTTTTGGTTGCATTTCAGCATGAAACATCAAGATTGTTTTATGCTCTTTAACTAAATCTAAGGCCTTGTCGATGTAATTTGGGTCTATGGCAGGAAATTCATCGACACCTGAATCTATTAGAAATCCTTTGAATCCTCTTACACCCATGTTGATTAAAGGAACTAGATGGTCTAAATTATCTGGGATTAAACCACCATAAAAACCCACATCAACCCAAGTTTTATTCTTTGATGCATTGATCTTGATTAAGAAATTTTCGATTGTGGTGGTTGGTGGGATAGCATTTAAGGGCATATCAATAACGGTTGTAACACCACCAGAGGCAGCAGCTTGAGTGCCAGTTTCAAAGCCTTCCCAATGAGTTCTGCCTGGTTCGTTGAGATGAACATGAGAGTCAACTAGGCCTGGTAGAATAACCAAAGGAGATAAAATTCTGTAATTACTGGGGGAAATGTTGTATAATTTCAAAATTTTATCGTCCTTTGAGAGGATTTTGTTTTTAATAATGCTGATGATCTTGCCAGATTCAATAGAATAAATTATCGTCGCATTGATAAGTTCATCATCAACAACGACGTTAGTTGAGGCAATAGCTCTGGACATTTTGAGAAGAAAAAAAAGAAAGAGAAAAATAAAGGGCAAATAAGTGAGAAAGATTGGAAGAGAATAAGACGATTAAATTGAAATAACAAACAATTAGAATATAATATATAAATAAGAGAAAACAGAACCAGAAGAAAGTGTCATTTGAGCGATTTGAGATTTATATTGTGGAAAAGAGATGAGAAAGAGATGAGAAAGATTTGGGTAAATTTCAACCTCATGGAATCATTATTTTCGAGTTCTAACCCAAAAACAAAACAAGTCCAAACAGATCAAGATAAAGAAAAAGAATTAAGGTTCAAGTGAAAAATCTCTGGCCCTGTGATATCGCAATATATAACAGGACGAAAAGCGCAGTTTGGCAGTAAGAACATAATGTAATCACGTGGTATTTACCTACACTGTCTGCACAATATGACTACGCTCGAACAAGCACTGATAAGCTCTGCGTTTACCTACAGCCGAACCGCAGAAAACACGCCCGAAGCGGAAAAAACGCGCGAGGTTAATCATTATTGCCCAATGAGGTATTTCTCAAAGCAGCAGTTTCTGTGTGGTAGCAAAAAACAGCAAAAATCGCCGGCCGAAAACAGCACGTGGGTAAATGGAAAAGGAGAAAGCCGAAAAGGAAAAAAAGCCGGTTTTTAAGTTGGAAAGTGGTTACAAAGCAGACGATTCAGTTTTGGCTCGAGACTATATGTAACTATCAGAGAAAGAACTCGAGAGAAAATGTTAGACAGACCGATTTTGTCGAGAGGTTAAATGTGGTTGTATTAGTTGGTTTTTATATACGTGCAGAGAAACATTAGAATAAAAAAGTACGACTACTAATAAAAAGAAGAATAAAACAGAAACTAAAACTAAAACTTAAAGAACAATCAGAAAGGGAATCAAATATGATTTAAAGAGGAAATCAAACAGTATTGAAATCGGATTCATGAAAAAAATATGAGATGAGATAAATTTTATAATGATTATGATTAATAACAGTTGAGAAAACAGTTATGATTATAATATTAAATGTGGGAAAAACAGCCAATGGAATTATTTAAAAGATGAATTCAAGATTAGTGTCAATTGGGTGACTAGCACTTAACTGAGGCTTTTGACTGTATTTTGCTTCTAAAACCTTTCTTGTGTTTTGCAATAAAGTTAAATAGGATTGTTTTTTACCAGTATTCATGACCTGAATAAACGCATAAGACATGGCACCTGTTGCTTCACCTCCAATGTGGGCATCAGCACTAGTTTGATCGTCTTTACAACCACTTAACATAATAACATCTGCAGGAGAAGTTTTTGTTTTCTTTGTTTTTTCAATTGCACCAGCGTTATTAGTTATAGTAACAGCATTTTTCACCAATTTAAAAACCGATTTTAAAGCTTTTTCTTTATCACCTTTGGCATAGCTGCCGAAGATTGGTAGTAAACCTTGACCTAACTCGTTCATTAAATTTGGTTCTTTTAATACACCCTTTGTGTTGTAAGTGTAAGGTAGATCTAACATAGAACCGGAGTGACAGCAATCAAAGAGGGCAGTCAATCTACAACCTTCTGGTAATGGTCTGACCATGATCTCATGCAATTCGTCATCAGAGATTTGACCATTTGATTCGAAATCGTATGGGCAGATGGTTTCATCAAAACCATCCAATTCATCACCATCTTGATCTTCGATCTGAGAACCGTGACCAGAGAAATGGAAAAATAGAGAGTCGTTTTCTTTACTGTCGCTGACTAACCATTTCATTGCATCGATGATGTTTCTTCTTGATGGGAAAGATCTTGAGCTTGGATCATTATCATCAGTAAGGATAACCATGTCATCTTTTTTATAGCCGTGTTTCAATAAAAAGTTTTGCAAGTTTTTAACATCGTTGATACATCCGTTGAGTTTAAATTTGGTGTTGTAGTAATTTATACCAATTAGTAATGCCTTTCTTTTACCCTCGCAATTTGAGTATTTGTATTTGTAGTCACGGCTGAGCCTGCTACTAAATGCGATTTCTCTTGTGGGAATTCTTGGAGGATTCTTGGCTTCTATGAAATCGAAAACGGGATCATTCACAGGAGGGTATTGAGGGTAAGGCTGAGAATGTGAAGTGGGTTGTTGATATCTTTGTTGATGTTGTGGGGGTAAAGAATAGGCGTTATGAGATGGATATTGGCCTGAGTAAGAAGGATAGGCTTGTGGAGGAGGAGGATAAGAGCGAGCTTGAGGTGAAGGAGGATAGCCACGGGATTGAGGTGAAGGAGGATAGCCACGGGATTGAGGTGAAGGAGGATAGCCACGAGATTGAGGTGGAGGAGGAGGATACAGCTGGCCAGTTGGAGAACCAACTGGAGCACCATAGGAGCCGTATCCAGCGCCCTGAGGAGGATAAGGAGGAGCATTGGAAGGAGGATAAGGTGGTGGATTATAGCCGTTGCCGTAATTGGGATAGCCAGACATTGGGAATAGGGAGTAGGAAGTAGTTGTCAGAAACAAGCAGTAGAGAGTTGTTGAAAGAATATATGCACAAAGCAACAACAGAGGATTTATGTCTGGAGAATGATTAGGGGAAAAAGAAGAAAGCACAGCTATATATACGTCTCTCCAGAACTGGAGAAGAAGATGGTGGCTCTGAGCTAAACTTGGCACGTCCCCAGCTGTTGGTTTTTCCCGCAGCACTGGACACCCGCAGCTGCACGCATGAGGCCCTGCGGTGCTGACACTCCCATGGCTCTAGCAAATGACCGCCACGAAGGCAGTGCGGTCCGCGGGGGGGGGGGGCGTCGGCCCGGATAGGCTGTAGCCGTCACGCAGTGTGCTTGTGTGCATGTCTATGCATGACACTGCGGAGCCAGATTGCTGGTTCCGACCTGGACCCAAAGATGCTTCCTCAAAGCAGAGCGAGCAGCAGAATCTGTGGAATTTAGTGGAGTCTGTTCGTCGACCAGCCCGATTTGGCAGCATCGGTGCTGTTTTTGCTTCAGCTATTGTTGGCGATTGTTGGGTCTATGTTTTGGTATGCTGCGATGAGTTCTGTTTACAATTACTGCTCTGTATTACTCGATTGATAGCTATTTATATACTGATTTGAAAACATATTTACCTAACTGGACTGGTCTATTATAACAAGTGTGTTTCAAGAACAAATTAAATAAGAAAAAACAAGCTAATGCATCCTATTCGATTTAAAAAAAATATTTCCAAACATTCAAAATCATTTGAAAACACCTAAAGTTTTATTCTGAAATTAACCCCCTATTATAATAAATTGAAAATACATAAAAACTAATTCTCCATAATTTTTCATTGCTTTCAAGCTAAATCTGATACTAGGTGTGGTCAAGAGGTAGAGGATATAAGTATTGAAGTATCTTGAAGGTTTGAAGGTTTGAAAATTGGAAGATTTAAAATCTAATGTTTTGATCTCACATCAAGTAGAATAATAAAAGCAAATACCGCTAATCTCATTAATAAAATAACAAACAAAAAATAGATTATAACAAATTATAATAATGTAATAGAACATATCGTAACAAGAACATTTTATCATAACAAATTTAAAAAAAAAAAAAAAAATCAAAAGGAAAAAAAAAAAGGGGGGAGTGGATAAGAGAAAAGAAATAAATTGGTAAAAAAAAAAAGAGGAAGAGTAGGAGGTGAATTGGTTGTTTTTTTTTTGTTTTTTTATTGTGTGATTATTTTTTTTTTTTGATTAATAATGATAATTTAAAGAAAAACAAAATGAAATTCAATATAAAATCAATTTACTTAGATATCTAATATAACCTCATAATGTATTATACCATATCATATAACTCAATACTTGATTATACTAAATCAACATAAGTCAAACTTAATTGAATTAATTTTGATGAGTAACCTCTTCATTTCCTGATCCAGAATTGTCATTAGCTTCAGAATCATCATTGTGTTCTAGTCCTCTGTTTTGTCTGTAGCCACCTCTACCACGACCTCTTCCTCTGTAAGTACTTCTACCACGATATCCTCCTCTGAGAATCCCTCTTCCACGGTAATTACCACGGTAGTTACCTCTTCTGTATCCCCCATTATTGTTTGGATTAGAATTACTTGCATTATTATACCCACCTCTTCTTCTTGCATATCCGGGAACATTGGTTCTCTTTTCACTAACAATTAATTTTCTGCCTCTAAACTCTTGATCAGCCAAGTCAAGAGCTTTGGGGACGCTTTCTTTCTTAGCAAATTCAATGTAAGCATAACCTCTTGGATATCCTGTGTATTTGTTATACAAAATGGTGATACGGTTAATAACACCACAGTTATGGAAAAATTCTTCCAATTGTTCTGGAGTAGATGAATAGTCAACGTTTCCAACATAAACACTACGAGAATCAATTTCTTGTTGTTCTTCTGGTGTTAATTGGACTCTTTTATCTCCACTACCTTCATTGCTTTCATTGGTACTATTGGAACTTTCACCACTTGGAGAGCTTTTAACTTCAACTTTTTTCTCTTCTTCAGTAACTTGAACTGGTTTGGATTGGGTTTTAGTACCTTCAACAGCGGCAGAACTTGACATTTTTATTTATTTATTAATCGAAGTGAATTTATATTAAGGGTTAATTAAGACGGGATATTTTTTTTTTTTTTGGTTTGGTTTCAATTTTTTCAGATATTAATTTTTTTTTTACCAATTTATTTAGTAATTCTTATCTTATTATCTTTTTGATGTTTTGATTTTATTTAGATATTTATCTTGAAATTTGTTTTTTTTATTGTTTTTTTTCTTCAAAACAATTAATTTTTTCCTTTTTTTTTCTTTTATAGCAAGACCTAATTTTTTTTTTTCATCGAATGGTGGAAAAAAAAAAAAATTTTTGTAGTTGAATTACAAAAAATTTTTAATTTTCCATTAAAATTCCGTTACCCGGTGGAAATTTCAATTTTTGGAGAGCAAAACAAAACAATTTTCAAAACTTTCGTATTAATTTCCTTTTGAAATCCGTTTTCAGAAACAAAAAAATGTTTGGATGAATCTGAGTCAACAGTTAGTCAGCCGTGTGTTACATAATCCGTTAAGTGAGTAATCAGGATTAATCCGTTATCTACGGATACTCAGCTTGGAGGCTGGTTTTTATTTTTTATTTTTCTTTCCGGATATTTCACTAAAAAAAAAATCCAAACAAAAAAAAAATTTCAAAATAACATTTCATCAAAGACCATTATCGGCAAATTGATAAAGAAATAGAATACAATACAATAATACAATAATATAATTTTCAGAATGGTATCAGTCAGAAAAAGAAGAAGCAAACATTCATCCGTTTCAAGAACAACAAGAAAGACTAAAGATAAACACCGTAGAATTCCTGCTAGTTCGAATATATTAATAAGTAAAAACTGGGATCCCAAATTAACGTTGATTCAAAATTATAGAAAGCTAGGATTGACGTCGAAATTAAAGAAAGCTACAGGAGGAAAAGAGAAAATAATCAAACCGTTTTATGAGGATGATGATTTTTTGCAGAAACAGAAAAATTTGAATAGTTTGGATTTGAATACCGATGATTTAGAAAATGAGATTGAGATTGAAATGAACAAGGAATTGGAAGATTTAATAAATAACGGGATGAATGATGTGAATATGAGTGGCAATAATGAGGAAGAAATTGATGAAAATGAGATACCAGAAGGCGAAGCGAGAATTATAAGGGATAAGAAAACAAACCAAGTGATTAGAGTTGTACATGGGAAGAAGAAGGTGAATGATGATAGTGATGATGGTGATAATAAAATGAATCAAATCAAGATTGTACATTCAAGTAATAACGCCTCTTTTATAAAAGAATTGGAGGAGTATGCTTCCAGACCCGTGATTAAAGTTGAAAGACGTGAGTCTGAACGAGAATCTAGCTGGTTGAAGTCTTTATATGAAAAGTATGGAGACGATTACAAGAAAATGCAGTGGGATAAAAAGATGAATATATACCAATTGACGAGTAACCAGATCCGAGGTAAAATGGAAAAATGGAAAAAAAGGAACAGTGTGCAATGAGGAAGATTGGATTTAAATTATATTAAAAATTATATTCTATTGATCTATATATAACATTCTAATACAAGTAAGAATAACAAGGCAAATTGAAGGTGTGAGAAGAAAGCAATTAAAAAGGAAAGGAAAGGAAAGGAAAGGAAAGGAAAGGAAAGGAGATAAATGTGAGGTATAAAACATTAGAAATAAAAGAGTAAAATAATTAGCAATAAAATAGGAAGAAAATTACCAGTAATTGTTCATTAATTAAAACATGGATGAAAATATATCGAATTAATTATTCGCAAAAGGCACGATAACTTGTAAAATTGGAAGAATTTGAAATTAATTGAATTTCTAAATTAGCTGAAATGAAATAAATATAGCCAGCATTACAAGTGAATTGTTGATTGGATTCGAGATTTTTAATAAAACCTGAGCCTTCAGTTGTGATTAAGATACTTGGGCCGTTAAATTTTTTAAAGTTTAGGGAATGGTTTGGATGAGATAAATTGATTTCTAGGACTTCGAATTCCTCGATTGGAGGATTATATAGTTTGAGAGAGTTATTTTCATTTTCATTTTCATTTTCATTTGAATTTAATATTAATCTGTTATTATTGTTTAAGATTGGTTTTAATTTTTGATTTTCAACGGAATCATAGTTATAGGTCAAGTTATTAACCAAGACGTTGACGTCTTTAAATTTGGGAGTGAAGCCTGCTCTGATAACGTTGTCACTGCTAGCCATGCATTCAAGAATGTTACCCGAGATGTAGGCATGGGGGTCTTTTGCTTTTAGGAAGATGGCTTCGCCTGGGTTTAATTTGCAGTAGTTTAGTAGTAGACAGCCACAGAATAGGCCAATGTCGTTTGGGAATTGTTTGTTGAGAGTTTTGATTAGGATTGGTAGATCTGGATCGAATTTCTGGAAGATTTCTGGGTTTGATTGGACTCTTTTGATTAGGTTTGTTGAATTGAGAGAGATGTCGTTTTGGTTTGAGTTCATCAAGTTACTGAATAAGAGTTTCAAGATTTTTTTGTTAATTGGAGAGTTGCTGTTGAATTGGATGTTTTGGTTAAAGTAGTTTAAAGATTCCGAGCCGCCTATTAAATTCAACAATTCGGGGATGTTTGAGATGTAGTAATGGATTTCGGTCAATGGTTTGAACCCACAAAAGCCTTCGAATTTAGTCAAAGCGATGGCCATCTCAGGTTTATGGTTGTTGTCGGGATAGTTCTTGGGGTCATTTTGGTTGAGTAATTTAGCTAGGTTTTTGTCGGGATGGGCTTGGATTGAGAGGACCTTTTCGATTGAAAGAACTTTGAACAAAAAAGGTAGGTCGTTATTAAAGCTTTTGGCTATATGAGAGCCTAGATATCTTTCAGGGTCTGAGCTTATGATGTCGATTAGCTTGTTTGAGGTGTTGTAGTTGAAGGATGGTTTTGTTGGATGAGTGCCCATCCATAGCTCGGCGTAGGGAGTGGTTGAAGAGATTTCAATTTCCGGATTTGAGTTTGAGATGAACTGAGCAACAGCAGATTCTTGACCTAGTTTTCCCCAGTCATAGTTTTGGAAGCCTTGGAAAGAAAAAGAACGTTGGTAAATGTTAGTAATTGGCGACGAGAAGATAGTCTCACTGAAATGTTTGGGACTTACCGCATTCAAGCCTGAAGAGTTTATCAGTCATGTCTGAGAGGGAGGAAAGAGAGCAGCGAGGTACAACGTATTGGAACTGACAATTGAAGCCAAGAAGAGAGAACAACAGCAGCAGCAGAGTAACAGGACAAAAGCAAGACAATGGCAGAACAGATGTCGACGATGGAAGTAACAGTCAAAAAGCAGAAACACCAACCAATGGACTTGGAGCAGATATTTATACAGGAACGAGAAGCAGAAGCAGCACTTGAAAACAAGAGCTGGAACTTCTAACAGCGAAGAAAAACAGAACAAATACGGCCAGCAAGCCCAAAGTTGACAGCTATTCGAAGGATGTCCAGCTAACGTCCCGTTGATGAAGGTTTTTCACACGTGTTATAACTTCCAAACAGTGCTCCCGCGAGTCCGCGAGGATCCGGTATGTGTCTGTCCCACTATTGCGGGGATTCTGTGCGTCAGCAGAGGGTGATGCGACCTAAAAATATCCAAGCAGCTGAATCAACTGAACCACCACTACCAGAGCATGGAATGGATAGAAACAACCTCAGGTAATCGAATCTCCAGAAAAGCAGTCATTCTAGGAGCCACCAACATCTTGCTTGCTGGCAACACCACCATTGCTGCCTCTGTTTCCCTCAATGGCGACGTGCGATTGAATTCTGCCTCCAACAAGATCTCCATCCAGATAGGAAAACACTCTCTCATAGGCCCCAGCTCCGAGATATGGCCTCCCATCATAGGCTTCAAAAGAACCAAGACCAAAGCCAAACGAGTCGATGCTGCTGCTCCTCCTGATGCTGCTCTGCTGCTGCTGCCAAAGATAGTCAAGGTCCATGGAACCTCCAAGATCGGTTCCTTCACCATCATCTCCAAAAACTGTGTTGTGAAGAGCATCAATATCGGCAATCGTGTCTTGATTGAGAAGAACTGCTACATTGGCAACCTATCAATAGTCTACGACAACGTTGTAATAAAGAAAAACTCCTGTATACCTGACAAGTTCATTATTCCCCCATTTTCCTATGTTTACGGGAAACCTCCTAACCTAGTTGTTGAATCTTTGCCTGTCTCCTTCAAAAACATCATCGAAAGAAAAGCCAGAGAATTGTCCTTGGGTGTTGTTATTGATCCTAACGATTCAGATCAAAACGATGGCTCTATAAGTTCTGATGATTCTGCCTCCTCTGAGGATTCTGATAGCTCTGATCAGTCAGATATCGAAAACCGATATGATATTAATAACAGGCTCAATGATAATGATGATGAAAATCTATTTCTAGTCTATTAATCTCTCATATAAATAATTTATAACTTTTTTTCGATCTTCAAGTAAGTTTTTATAAAACAATTGTCTCTTTAAACAAAACAACGGTATCCTCTTCACGTTCAACTCCAAATGAATCTCCTTCACTAACTCTTGATTACTTTCATACGTCTCCCGAACTAGCTTATTATAAATATTACTATTAATATCCTCAATAAACCGCAACTTGATCTCTTCATTGAGATAATTCAAATCCTTAAACTTGACTATTTTCTTGCTAATCAACTTGTTCATTTCATTATAATACTTCTTCTCCAAAAACTCTTGTTTTTCATACAACTTTCGAATAAATTTAATAAATTCCCTATTATTAATCAATTTCTCATTGATGTATCTAATTGATTCCTCGTAATTATCAATCTCATCCACTTTTTTCTCTACCATTATTTTTCTATTAACACCATTAACGCCATTAGCGTCATTACCATTACCATTATTATTATTATTATTATTATTACTGAAATGACTAGTCAAATGACTCAACAAACTGGTCAATATCTCTTGTTCGCTGGAAACATTCTGATTTTGAACCCTTTCTGCTATTCTATGAATATACACATTCAAGTTTCTTATACTCTCATCTCTTTTATCAATCAACTCTTGGAACTTGTTCAATTCATTCAAATCTCCCAATATCTGGTTCTTAATCTTGCTACTACTCTCGGGATTGAACGTGAAAACTCCCAATTCTTTATCAATAATATTATTTACACGATTAATGTTCTCTATATTCTTAAGATCGTTTTCATCCATATTGTTCTACTAATTCACAATTTGAATAAAGCAAGAAAATAAAATAAAATTAAATGCAAAAAAAATTAATAACACAAAAAAAATATAGCAACCAAAAAAAACTGTATTTCGAATATCTATCACTATTATCACGCCCACAATCGTATTTAATCGTATTCGGGTTTATTAAATCTGATTTGAGTTTATTCGATTTCAATTTTCAATTTTCATTTTCAATTTCATTTCTATTTTCAATTTTCATTTTCAGATCCACCTCACTGGTTTGACTGAAACAGGAACTAACCGTCAACCCATAATCCTGGATCTTCAACTCAATTTTCACATCAGATCCGTATCCCATTTCATAACACCCATTGTTCTTACGAATCACCTCCATGTTGAAAACTGTGAAAAGAAGAAGCTTTAATGAATAAAACTTATCAATGCAAACCTCAAATGTCTTTTTACCATCCCCATCCTCTACCAATCGTTTGTGTCTTTTCCCATCGTTGTAGATGAACTTGAGATTCAATTCTTCAATAGTCTCTATAATATCATATCCTAAAAAAAACGCCTTCTTAACAATGTCAATCATCGTTTGATTATTTTCAACAAAAAATTGAATTTGTCCAAGTTTTTGGTTCACAAATACCTTATCGATTTTAATATCGTCCCTTTTAACGTTGTCTATAGTAAATAATTGTAAATAATTTAATGAAACAATTGACTCATTAAAATTAATATTATATGGATTGAAACACTCTAATGACAATTCAATTCCATTCTCATGAAGTCTATATAAGAGCAATTTTTGAATTATTGAAACCAATTCTTCTGAATAATCTCCCTGAAAAGGTAAAACTCTAAAATTTCTTGAATAGTATAAAAAATTTTCAATGTTATTATAATTAAATTTTATGTTCAATGAATCAGACAATTGAACAAAAAACAATCTTCCATCAACTATAATTTGATCCAAGATTTCTAAATTAAATTGACCTTCTGTATTGTTCTTCTTAAATTCGCATAAATAGTGAAATGAATCAAAACATATCCCTAGATTTTTCCTATCAACTTTATTAACAATCTTTAATAAATGATCAAGAGTTTGAACATATGAACTCCAACTTAATATTTCAATTGCAATTTTAAAGTCTTTATCAAAATCAGAGACAGTCTCACTTAGCAATTTCAAGTCTTTTATAACATTTTCATCGTTTTTAATACAATTGTCATTGTCTAAACAGTTTAAACACACAATAATCAATTTCGTGCCCAAAAATCTCATGCATTGTAATCTTTCTTTCAATTCAGCAATCTTTGAATTGAGTTGTTCATTTGATTTTAATGAATCAAAATCTCTAAATGGTTGTAAGCATGATATACTTAAATTCAAGTGATTGTCTGGATCTTCAATGTAGATTCCCAAAAATTCAGATGCATTAGTCATTGGTTTGTTATTAATTTCAGAAAATCTTTTCAAATCAATGTCCACCATTTCAAATGAATCAAAATTTCTTGTTGAAATTAAATCAAGCTTGAACAATAAGTTGTCATATCTATCGTTATACTCTCTTGTAAATGAATTTGAAATTGCAATTGAATTTTTAAAAGGCATTACAGATTTTTTTTCGGTTGTATTTTCATCGTTAAACTCTTCTATAACAGTTTTGTTCAACCGATTGACATTTCCCAATTCGTTAAAGGATTTTATAAAGTAATACAATTGATCTATATCATAATAATAAATCGAATCTTCGGAAGAATTATCTTCGGTTTTTTCTAGTTCCTTTTTTATTTGGATATCAATCTCCTTTTGGTTCAATCTCTCAGTCTGAATTCTATCCATCTTTGATCTTTATTCGTCTATTGTTCTGTGCAAGATTCGTTTAGCCACCTTGAATCTGCAATTGTTCAAACAAATAACAGTGCCAATACTGGTTCCAATACCAATCTTAAGAAATTACTATTTCAAAGCTTGCTGAAAAATTTCCAATACCGCAGATGGCCCGTGGCTACCCATGTACGGACATCGCTATGTAAATGTCACCAAACGGCTTACGGCGGCGATAGTTACGCCGTGGAAACAGACAAAGAGGAAATGATTTTCCGTTGAACCGCCGACGGAGGCGTAACAACGCGACTGACGCCCTCAGTGGCAACGGAAAACAGTTGCAGTCAACAGGAAGGGAAATTTTTGCAATTTTTTCCTTCTGCTTGTACGATGAATCACCAGTAATATTTTTACCCACTTTGCCAGTTCACAATCAAAGAATGCTAGAAGTTGCAATTATATATCTTGTTTTGTATTCCTGTTAACAGACAATTTAAGTGCGCATTAGGATAAGGTTTGCCGATTCATTTCCATTTTTATTTTCATATTCAAATTCTAAATTCCAATATAACGAAATTTTTCTCAAATAAAGAAAATTATTACAACAATTGGCAAAAAAATTTCTGGAGGGCTTTAGAGAGGTGTTTAGCGTCGAGAGAGCAATACTACAATATTCTGTGAATATTCGAGTTTGAGCCTTTTTCATGGTTTTAAAATTTCTTGATTCCCGATTAGAGAATTCGCCATTTATTGAAGATCTTTCCTGTTTCCAGTCCTTGTGGAATTCTTGATTTTTGGAAAACTCGAATTAAGTTTTGCAGGGAAATTACAATGTTTGAAGTCTGCTTCTTCAAGGAAAACGGGAACAATAGAGTCAGCTGATCTGTGTACAAATGAAAATGCTCCAGCATATTAATGCATATAAAAATCTTCAAAGTCCACTCCGCTGCGTGTTGCATGCACACAGCTTCCATTCGGCAATCAAATTTAAAGTTGGCTACCTTTCGTTGCTGCCTTTTCTCGAGCAAAATCAGCTGACATTATCGCCAGAACAATTTACCAAAAATACTGTCTGTCTGAAAATTTTATTCGGCGAGCAAAGCATTTTGATAGTGAAATTGTTGATGTTACTCGGTTTCACATGTTTTAGCTTGAGTGTATTCCAGGTCGTCGACAAGAGGTTTTTGTTCAATTCAAGAGCAATACGAATGAATGAAAACGAAATGGAAAGCGGAAATTCGAAACTCAAACTTGGCCATTTTAGAATTTCTAAAATTTTAAATATTTTCAATTTTCAACTTTCTATAATCACAATTTTCAAAAATCAGAAATTTTGAACAAATTTCCTCAATTGGGACTTTGCTTTCCTAGAGGCTGGCTTAAATAGCGAATGGTTTCATCAAAGTATCATACATTTTCCGTTTTACCCCAACAGTAGCAAATTCATTATTAGCTGCACTGAAAACCAACGGCAATACAAATGTATATTAATAGCAGCCTTTGGATATTCACAAAGGGATGCGTGCTTTAATTTATAAGTAATGTTAGCTATCTAAAAAGTTTGGAGAATTTGAAGAGATAGGCAACATATAGAAATTGTAGAGAACTTTAGACAATTGGTTTGCTTTAAAATAAATGAGATAACACAGATTATTTTTGTCTTGTCTTTTCCCAATTGTTTTTTTTTCTTTCTTTTGATTTTTTTTTCTTGAAAATCCATGGCACTGAAAACGAGTTGTTTTAGATGCAAATTTTGCCATTGATATTAATAATTAGTCTGATGGGTCCCTGTTTTGTTGAAATAAGAATGTTTCAGGTCTTTCAAATTAGCATTGCCAAAAGAGAAACAATTTACTAATCAATGGGCAAATCAGCTGTTATGGTAACAAAAACAAATGAATTAAAAACAATAGATGGTTAGATAGAAAACAATACAGGGCAATACAAAGCAATATAAAACAATGTAAAACAATGTAAAACAATGTAAAACAATAAAATACAATAAAATACAATAAAATACAAAAGGGTATAATATAGCTCAATGAATCAACATAAAGATAATAACAGAAAGTTAAACTGAATTTAATCAGACTAATTTATGAGTTAGAATATATTTTTTTCACATTGTTATCAAAGGTAAATAAGAGTAAACCGCTTCATTTCAATGAAGCTTTAATTTGGACGCTGAACAAATTATTGATACAAATTGAAAAAAAATACTTGACATTAATTGGATTAATTAGATTGAATAGCAAGCAATAATTTTAAATGGATTTCCGGTAATGTTATTACCGTTTTTTGGGGCTTAAAGATCCCTATCGAGATTTGTATCAAGATTCATATCGAGAATATATCCATTGGTTAAAAAAATAAAAGAAAATCCTGAAATGGTATAATATTAAATAAAAAAAGCTGCAAAGGAAAATTTTTATTAAGGCTTAATGTGTTTTGTTTTTTTTTATTTTTTTCATTCCTTTTTTCCTCTTTATTGGGACTAAAACATTTACGTTATTTAAGTTTAGCGATTTTGTTTTGTTTTATTTTGTTGATTCACTGTAAGTTTATTCACAAATGATATTAATACAAACTGTTTTTAAACAAAAGATTTTAAAATATGAATATCTAGTATTAATTTTATTTTTTATTTATTTTTTACTTATTTATTATTTACTATTCAGTTTATTTTATTTATTTATGTCTTTTTTTTTTTGTTTGTTTGCTTTTCAATAATGATTTCTTCTAATGATTCTCTCTGATTTCTTGTTTTCATTTACTTAGCTTTGTACAACATTTAACAAATTTCAATTGATTTTCAACAACTTTTAATGGAATCTTAATTTCTCTTTTATTTGCAATTTTTTTTCTTTTATTCAGCTTTTTAGTGATAGTGAGCAAAGAATCATTTGCAGGCTAAGTCAAACTCACTCACTTTAATCATGTAACCATAAATTATTCTGCTTGTGATTATCATGTATTTGCCGTAGATTGAGAGGTTTATATCTATGAATCCATAGGTTTATAGTCATTCATCCACAAAAAATTGTGCACTTGTTGAAATAACAAATCATTAGCACTGACTGTTTCTTGGTCTCTTGGGTTTTCTTCAATTGATTATCTTGTTGCTGGAAGATGGATACAAAAGAAATTGAAGTTTGGCTTAAACATGCTCAAAACTTATTGAGTTACTCATTTCTACTGTTTTTATTTTACTTTTACTTCGCTTTCACTTTGCTTTTACTTCGCTTTTACTTCACTTTCATTTTGGTTTCCTTTTGGTTTTCTTTTGGTTTTTTCTCATTTTATTTCTTCTTTGTGTTTACAGCCTCAGGTTTAGATGCTGCTGACAACTGCAAACTGCTGCATATTTGCGGCAAGTCACGGTTCTCCACAGAAATCCACCACAGCTCCCGCCACAGAGCCTCGTAGACGTGGCGTTCACAGCCAATAGCAGGTGGGTGTCTCGCAGCGCTTCCCACCCCGTGGCCCGCACCCAGCACTGGAGCCAAAGCAGTGGCCAACCAGTTCCGCGCACCTCACAGCGCGTCAGCAGCACAGATGACTTGCATACTTGCACTACCGGGATATTCCAGATAGCAGGTGCTTTGTGTCCTGCAGCCCAACGTGGCCCGCTAGCACAGAGCAGGCAGCTTTGTTTTCTAAATCCACAAAAAAAGGGAAACCCACCTTAAAAACTCAAACTAAGAAAATTTTAATATTTTTATATGTAAATATACTTTAATTGTACCAGCTCTCAATTTATTCATTCAGGATTATCCACTATAAATTTACTATATATTACTCCATCAAATGTTCGTCTCTTTTCTTCATTTACAATTTTTTTTACTTCTTAACTCCATCACTCTTTTACTACTATTTTCGCTTCAACCGTAATATTTCCCTCACATTTTCCTTTACTATTACCACCATTATTCTTACTATTACTCACTGCACTTTGATACTCCTACTTTTTTTTTTCAATCAAAATCTATTTTTTGCTTTCAATTTCCACCAGATTATGTCCACTTCTTTAAGTAATAATACTCAATCTCTCACATCCATGCACTTGAGGCTTCCTCCTATCTCCAATCTATCTCAATCCAATAGTTCTAGCTTCTTGCTGACGCCATCCTCTTTCCCTTCTTCCAGCTCTGCAATTCCAAACTACTCCATTATTTCTCACCAAAACACCCAATCACGACGATTCGACGACGTCCACAACTCTGACCAAATTGTCAAGCTTGCGAGAAGAAGAAGACCCAACTGTAGAAGAGCTGCTGCTATCATTTCAAACAGAACTGGGGCTTCAAGGCCTCAGGGGAGACCTCTTGCAGCAGAAACTAGAATCAGATTGGCCTTGGTTTCATCTCTCACCTCTTTGTATGCTACCTTAGTTGCTGATCCTGCAAGAAGAAAAATCCATATTTTTAAAAATGGAAACAACCAAATTGCCACTGATCTTGAACTAGCCAATATACTGACTATCAATTCTTCTCTAAATTCTAATCCGATCACAAACTCTGATTCTGATTCTAATTCGAACTCTAATTCTAGCATTGACACTAAAGACGCTAATTCTGATTCTAATTCTAATTCCAATCCCAGTTCCAATTCAAATTCAAATGGTGTCAATTCAAGTTTGTGTGTCAAATCTGTTCGATATGTTGACACCTCCAAAGACATAAGCTCTAGTTCCCAGTTGTCTAAAAATACAAAAAATGAAAAAATTCCTATATTTACCTCTATAGACAAATCTATAAACAAACTATTTGACTTGAAGGAATACTCTTTGATTAGAGTAACAAGAGCTGCTGCAACTGAGTCTGGAGGTGCTGTCTTATTAAAATTTGAGACTGCTATGCCTGGAAATTTATATTTAACTGACGACGACGATAATGAGCTTTATACCCCAGATGAAAAACAAAAAGTTTTAAATTCTCAAATTACAAATAAATTCAACACAATTGGAAAACTAGGCGATAGACCAACGACAACCTTTTTGAAAAAAAATGTCGCAAGACCAAGATACAAATCTGACATGAGAATCTATTTATTACCAAGAGCTACAACCTCTGCTCTATACGTTGAAGAAAGAATGATGAAAAGAGATTTATTAAAAGGTGTTATAGATTTAAATGATAATTCCAGAATTATTTTATGTGCCTTTGACTATAAACCTCTTTTACAAGAATATACCAATTCACGATTCTCTAAAACATTAATAAACCCAAATAATCCCACCTTAATGTTTCCCTCTAGTTTGCTTAATCAAAATCAAAATCAAAATCCTTATTCAATGAATGGCATTCCTCCACCTGCTCCCACCCTTCCAAATCTAACTGATTATCCAGTGTTTGATACCAATACAAACATTAACAGTAATAACAGTCTTAGTAATATTGAGAGTCTTAATGATAATCATACTAACCCTTCTAACAACAATAGTCCAATAAATTCCACAAACAATTATCCCTCAAATTGTACTTCAATCAGTAATTTTTCTAATGAACAAACTATTCAACCTTATAACCAAAATATTCCATACTTTAACAATTTGAGTATTTTAAATGGTCCTGCAAATAGTTACTATAACCAACAGCAGCCAAGATATCCCAATTATTCATCAAACTATTCATCAAACTACACACAAAATTATTCCCAAAGTTTCCCATCGAATTTTTCATCAAGTTATACGCCAAACTATCAAGGCTATCCAAATTATCCAGCAAATCAAACATACCAGACTCAAACTTTTGGTCAACTTCCATCTCCAATTCCAGTCCCAACTGCATCCCAACAACCAACAAATTACCAATACTTGACGAATTATTCGTTAACTCCAAATCTTTATTCACAAAATTACAATAGTTTTCCAACGAATATCAATGAGTATAACAATACCAGTGCTAGCACTAGTAGTAGCACTGCAAGTGGTGATGCTGCTGCTGCCGCCGCCGCTGCCGCCGCCGCTGCTGCCACAATTGCTGCTGCTAGCACAAATCAAAATAATAGTATCAGTTCAGGCACCACCAATGGATTTACAAATTCTAATAATAATTTAGTTCAATATAATGGCACTGTTGCCCCCGATAATAATGATTTAAATTATAACAATAGCATTAACAACGGTTTGCTGAATTTTCGCTAAACTTATTTTAAACAATAAGCATATGACTAACTAGTGATTTTACAATAACACAAACATTAAAATAAAAAAAATACAAAAAAACTTATAAAAAAAATACAAAAAAACAACCTACAAAAATACAAAAAAACAACAAAGAAATTAGTAAAACAGATACAAACAAGATACAAACATGTTGTCGTCATTTTTTATTTAATTCTGCTTGTATCTTTCTATAGTTCATCTACCATTTATCCATTTATTATGGTTTTTGTTTACTGCTTGGTATCAAAAGGATATCAATTTTTTTTCACTTTTACAAACAAAGTTCTCCCGTGTTTAGTTCACTCGCTGTGTATTTTATTTTAGTATTGCCAAAATTTACCTTTTTTTTTTAAATTCATTCTGAATGACAATAGTGCATTTTTGATCCGTTTGATGGTTTGATCAAATTACATTTTCAAAATAAGCTATATTATATGACCTTTGATTCTTTTTTTTTCTTTTTTTTCCATTTTGATTCCTATTTTTTTATTCTTTTATTCTTTTCTTGATTTTGGTTATCCTTTTAACCCCGATATTTTATTCTTTTACTCATTTAATCTTTAACATGCTTGACTGTCCCTTGTTTTATTCGATATTATTTTACTTTTTTTGACTTTATTTTGCTTTCTTTAAATAGCAAACAGATTATGTATGTAATTTTATCAATAACAACCAAATGGGAAACGTAGAAAATATAAATCAGACAACAACAACAAGATGGTGAAAACAGTAAGTTCAACTTAGACAAGACAAATGTGCCGGAGCTGGTCCACCAACTCACCCTAGGGGGTAGATTTTAAGCTACAAATAGAATTAAACTAATTGCTAATCGAGCTCTAAAGCCAATTTGAGCCAAATAAACTAAAACTGAGAAACATAGCTGAAGGAATATTCTATAAGGACATTAACAGTCTCGCCAGATGATTGGCAAAGTCCAATCATGAACTACGAACTAGGCCAAAGTTAAAAACAAAAAGAATCTCAACAATAGACAATAGCACGCTTGTCAACAAGAATCTGCGATCTTCTTGCAACATAATATCTTATCGTTTCACTGTGTTTCGACCTCTGTCTCATCAACCGGCGTGCTGTTGTTGGATTTTGTTCTTCTCTTCTTTCTCTTTCATTGGGTCCTCCTCCACCCTTTGCTATCTTCTTTGCGTCCTATTCCAACCTGCAGTAACAGGACGTCCAACACCTTTGCTACCTCGCAGACTCTAACAATCAGGCCTTGGAATTCTTAACTCCTAACGCTTCCACTACACACAGCTTTTGCTCAACAACCTTCCAGGGCACTGTTTCTGAGATGCTATCCCAGTGTGTGCTTTTGTGGCTTCTATTGGCTTTTGCAAAACCGATGTGGTGTTTTCTCAGGTGTTGGAGTATCCAGGCAATTGTTTTCAAACAAGTTTTAAGCTCAAAAATGACTATAACAAATAAAACCATATCTTTCAAGTCTCTTGAATCTGGCGAATCCAGAAAGTTTGTCAGAGTTTTAAATTTAGAAATCTGCAGGTTTATGGCCCACTGAGATAAAGCGTTCCGATTACACATACGCCCCTGCCTGGTCCGGGAACACATCACTCCAGTGTTTTCTCAAAATTCAGTCGCCATTTGGATTTAACATTGTGTATACACGCGCGAGCAAAAGCGGGAGTGCATATTGCTATACACACGCATTTTTTTCTCACACCTCTGCTAACGCTGTTGCTTTACTTCTATATAAAACATGTATCACTTTCTAAACGTAAAACCTCTTTTTTGTGATGACATTTTGATGGTTAGACCTAGATAAAAATATCTATCATGTAGCTATATATAATTATATTTGTATATATATACTAATAATATACAGTTATCTCTAATTTACACTATTTTAAAATACATTTTTACTTTTTTTAACTTCTTTCTTAGAGAAATAAGATGTACACACTTTATTGTAAATTTTCAAAATGTTAATTGTTTTTTAGTTACCTTCAATGCAGTGGACTCAATGATGGTTTTACAAGTTTTATCCAAATTCTTTTAAAAACAAGATTGCAATTTTTTATGCGTTTTCTCAAACAAGATATTGTTGTTTTTAATATCAGGAAATCAGCTCTTAGTTTCCTGGATTTACTTTTTTTTTTCTTTTTTTTTTACGGTTTAATTGCTTTTTTTATTTATTTACTTACTTATTTGTATTGCAAATATTGTTAATATTATTGCTGTAATCATTCCAAGTGAAACAAGCTAATTTAAATTATTCCAATAGCTCGTTTTCTAGCATTGTTTGACTGTTTCTTTAATACCAAATGATTTTTCATCTGGAAATAAAAAGAAATTGTTTTAGTCAATAGGTTAATAATGAGAATAATGTATATGTTGTCATATGATTATACCTTATTCTCAATTAATCTCAGATTAAATTAGATTTAATTGAACAAAAAAAAAATAATCACCAAACACCAAGAATTAAAATTGTTTACATAATTACATCTTATTTTGTTAATCTTGTGTAATCTTGTTTAATCTTGTTTAATTTTTTCTTTCTTTTATTCTTATTTTATTTCTATTTTTTTTATGACTCAATTTCAGCAACAATAAAATCATTACAATTTTTAACTAATTACCAAACTAGTTTTCATATAACTTTCAATTACATTAATCAATTATCAATGAAACTGACAATTTATTAATAGCTGGGTTGTTTTTAATAAAGGGTTTATTTATAACAGACTCAATTAAATTAAATAATAAACATTAAATAATAAACAATCAACCATAGACAATCAACAATAGACTAGGTATTATTCTAACAATTGTCAATGTTTTATTGACATGCAACTCATGTTTTAACATGCTTTTAATAAACTTTTGCTGGGTATTAATTATAGATCACAGCTGCTTCTAATAAAAGATTGGGAAAAGGGCCAAAGTCAGTTCAATTTAAATATATCAAAACACACTTTGTTTTAGCAAATTTATTGCAATATATCAAATCCTAATACATCACAAAACTTAATATCAAATAAAATAACTAACGAATATCTTTTTTCTTTAGAAATCACAAATTGTTTAAATCTGCTGCTCTTTATTGCCTCCCCGTCTAGCCCTCTTCTAATAACAACTCTTTAAAGCAAAACAAACAATCAATTGAGCAAACAAACTACTAATGTGTTCAAAAGCATAAACTTGAAATTAGATGGGGGCTTTTAATTGTGTTTGAATGTTATTCTTTGCTTTTTTTTTTAAATTGGGTCAAATAGGTTTATCTCACACGTATATGTATATGTATATATATGAAAGATCATATTTCATTTGGAAGATATAATTTTCAGCCAGCAACTGTGATTAAGGGATACCATTTAGAAATCAAAAACAATATCAGAGAATTGATTTCAATTTTTTAATTTGTTTTAATTTTTTGTTTAATTTTTTGTTTAATTTTTTTATTTTCTTCAATTTTTTCTCTTTTTTTTCTCTTTTTTTTTTTATTTCAATAACTATCGGTATTTATTTTGACTATATGACTTAGAGAGTCATTGATTCATTTAATTATGTATTTGATGAAAAAAAATACATGTTTTTTCAGATTAACAATATTGTTTTTATCATCCAAGCCTAACAATATGATCCTTTTTGGTTGATAATATGTGATATTAGACAGGATCGGTATCACTAGCTCCATCTCATGCAACATATCTGGGTAAAGCAGTAGAAAAGGTGTAAGTTAGTCTAAGAGTTAGTAACTTCGGATATTAAAGTCTTTTCGAAAAAACGTTTTGTCAAGAAAAGGATTTAAAATAGTTTTAATTTTATTTTGGAATTTTTTTTAAAATGGACTTAAAGTAACTTCGAAATCGATATAAAATGGATTACCAATAAATTTGAGCGTTATTTTCTTTCATTCAATTACTAACTCCCATATTGCTCTATTGTTTTGAGTCTCTATTTCGGCGTTAATAACTTCTCTACAAGATCTACGATAAGCCTTCAGGGTAAGTTAATACTAGCAAAGATAAGGGGAAGAAAGATAGTTAAAGTGCTATTGAAAAATGAAAACCAAAATGTCAATCATTGCAATAATTATTTTAATGTTCCTTATGATTAAAAAAACTATAACGTCTCATCAACTACCAAAGTGAAAATTAAAACAAAACTGTATTCCATTAATTACAATTTAGTCATTCTTGGTTATGTTTTCAGGATTATGAGGTTAGAAGGGTTGATGAGAGGATTAAATAAAATTTTTGAAAACTATAAAAAAATTTCTAAAGACAATAGATCTTAGGTTTTCATAAAATTAATTAAGTGCTTAACTAATTATTCAATCCAAGCGAATTGAGGAATACAATCACAACACTATAGTAACATAGTTATGCTTCGATTTCCTTTGGTTTCTTTTTACAAAAGGTGCTATTAAAAAACTCAATTACGACTGACAGCAAACTATATTCTAACGACTGCAAAACCACAAAAAGTTCGAAAAATCCATTTGATTCTTGATGATTAGTTATAATACCAATGGACAATGCTAAAGAATATGCTGGAAAATCATAAAGAATATTTATAATAAAGAGCCATCAAATGTTGTATAATAGAAAATAGCCAGTGGGACGGAAGAAGGCACTCGTTGCGTGTAGAAGCGCTGACACTGCATACAAATCTGCACAAGTACCGATTGGGACTGTGAGATGCATACAGCCCGCAGAGTTGGTGTTTTCCTGTTTTGTTCTGGATGTAAAGGACATGAAGAAGCTGAATATATAACTTTAGGCAGCATTTTTTTGTGGGATTGCATTTGTTCTTTGTTGGTTGCCAAATTTTTTGAATAATAAAAGATAAACAGGAATCAATGGATTGAAAGTACTCAAAATTTTCATTTTATGAAATTAGATGTTGCTTTTATAATTAATTTCTGCATCACATTTTGCATAGCATTTCTCTAGTGTAATTTTTGGTGTTTATTGACATGTACTTGAGTAGGCATGAAATACTTTGAATGATTTTATTTCTTTTTTTTCTATTGTATTGTATTGTATTGTATTGTATTGTATTGTATTGTATTGTATTGTATTGTATTGTATTGTAGGCATTGAAATCAAAATTTATAAAATGCAAAAATATTATTTATTTTTGCAGAAAGAAAAAATAAAAAACCCTTCTAACCTGTCTTAGTCCCTTGAGCTAATATTAAATCAAACATAAAAAACCTACCTTTGAAACAAATTGTTCAAATTGAATTGTTTGGATTATATTTTTCTTTTTTTGATATTACCAAATTAAATACTTAACAGTATTATTACGATTTTGTCCAACGGCTAGATAGTCAGACATGGATAATCCCTGAATTTTTCTCTTTTTTTTTGTTTGGATTAGTACTAAATAATGTAAAAACAAACCATTTAATTATGTGAAGATGTTTTTGTTGTTACATTAATATTTTTGATTAATAATGTTGATTATTGGAATATTTTTTGAATTCCTTTGTAAAATTTGAAAACAGGTTGGTTATTGTTGGATGTTTTAGGTTCAATCGATATTGGATTTTCTTTTCAGGAAACCAGAATCTATAACCATTTGAATAATAGTATTGCATATAAAATGAATTTGTAATGTTATTTTGTAAATTAATTATCAAAAAAGCTGTTTAAGCATTGAAAGTAGTGAATTTCTTTTTTTTTCCTTTTTTGATTGTTTTTTTTTTGATTTCTTTTTAGTTAGATGAGTATATTGAGAAATGTTTTAGCTGATAATGTGCTATAAAATCAGCATTGTTATCACATATAAATTTAAACAATAAATAAAACTACTCAAAATGACTTTGGAGATAAAACAATCTTGAGCTTATATCGTGGTTGTTATGGAAGTTGATGGAGCTCATTTGACTTTCTGTGGTGCTTGGGAATATGAATAAGAATATAAAGTAATCATCTTATTCAAGTAATATAGCTTGATTCCATGTATAAAAAGAATAAAATGGTTATAAAATATGTGCAATGTCTTGGCTTGACTTGGTTTTGAAATACCAATAGTAAGTATCAGCTTTGTATGGTTAATCGTTTTCCAATCTGGTTTCGTGACATATAGACTATTATTGATTAGAATATAAAAGTAATTGAAAGATAAAATCCAAAATAGAGGATAGCCAGGTTTATTTGTTCCATGAAATTGTTTAGATGACTGCTTTACCATCTTCATCCTGGCTATTGTCACTGAACTTGGCAAAACTGGAAAGGTATTTAATAATGTCTGCTATCCCATGGTTGTTGCAAAAAACTATTGCATTTATTGAAAGATCGTATGTTCTATGACTTCTCTGTCAGCTCTGACACTGCACTGGAGTTGAAGGAAAATTTTGTTGCTGCTTTGGTCTGAAAACAGCATCTGTGCTCAATGAACAAATATTTCCATATATTTACACATTAGAATGGTGGAACCCAGACAGATGTAAAATCCAGGCCTGTGGAAAAGGCACTCAAATGTATCTCTGATACATCTTGCAGTAATGCACAGAAACCACAGTGAACCACATACAATCGCGCTAGATCGCGTTTACCATCTCTGCGGCGCGGCTCAGGGCTCGCAACCGGGGGTGGGGCCTGTTTTTAACTGGCGTTGGAGATACTGGTACAAAAGAAGGATAGGCTATAAATACTCGAAAAGCTGCCTTCTGTGCCTCTTTTTCTCTTCTCTGCAATTGCGTGTAGTGGGGCTACGGTCTGAGTGGTTGGTTGATAACGAGAGAATCATGAGATAATAAGGCCATCTGTGAAAAATTAGATCATGCTGGGAGAGTTGCTGATATCCGGTTACTGTGTAAGTGTTCCTGCATAGGCTCTTCTGGAGGTTTTGCTGCTGATTTCCAGACCCAAGTCGTGCTTCTGGGGCTGTTGGTACTGCTTCACCAATATGCTGTGGTTTTGCTTCCAAAACTAGGCCAGTTTTTTGGTGGCTCCTAGCGAGTTCTGTCCGGTGGCTCTCAGTGCTGCTCTGTTAAAGTTTAGCAAGCAAGTGTTTTGAAGCAACTCATCACATTTCATATCATCTTTTTCGAATTAATGCTAATTTTCCTCTGGTTTGATTTACTTTGTCCTCTAAAAATTTCACCTTTTGAAATTCTGTCTTTTGCTTGAAAACCTGAGAACCTGAAAGCATAAGTGTTCTCGTTCTTTCTCTTTTCTTTTCTTTTTGTTTCTTTTCTCACTAGCACATCAGAAATCAAGTGGTGATAACTGGATTTATCATTATAGGTGCAGGCACAAGTACAACTATATCCACTCACACCCATCCATATCCATCCTATAAATATATAAAAACATATATATACTCTGATATACCAGCTGTAAATTTGTTTTATGTTCATAAACACTGCAAAGTCTCTCACTCGAGAAAAGGCACATTCCACTATTCTAAATCACATTACTCTCAATATTCATTCACAATACTCTCAAGCTAATCCTCTTCCAATTTCTTATTTCAAAATGATTGCCACCAATACCCATATAAATAGAAGCTCAGTATCAAGAAAATTCTGCTCAAATTGTACCTGTTCTCCTGGTCTTTTATCAAGACAGCACCGCAAAAACTTTCTAACTAAGCAAATTAGTCTATCAAGGTCAGCTTCAAGTTATTCAATCAAAACTCCCTTACTATCAAGAAATAACTCAACTATATCCTTGTGCCAACAACAACAACAAAGTTCCAGCATGGACCATCATTTACTATCCAATCAAAAAGAAATCAACACCTCAAAGAGACTATTAAGTCTTCGAAATGAAATGAAAAGCCATGATCTAGCAATCTACATTGTGCCATCTGAAGATGAACATCAGTCTGAATATGTCTCCTCTGCTGATCAAAGAAGAAGCTTTATCTCAGGTTTTACTGGCTCTGCTGGTATCGCAATAATAACCAGGGATTTGCTATCAATGAACGAAACTCCAAGTGGGTTAGCTGCTCTTTGCACTGATGGTAGATACTATATACAAGCTAACAACGAATTAGATTTTAATTGGAAACTATTGAAAACTGACAACCAAAATAACCAATCCTGGGAATTATGGACAATTAAAAATGCTATCCAATCAAGTTTAGACACTTACAAAGAGGTTAATATTGGTATTGACCCAAAATTATTCACTTTTGATAGATACGATTCTTTTAAAAAATTGATTCAAAATGAAGTCTCAAAAAAATTACCTGAAACTCCCAAAATCAATTTGGTTCCAATTACTGAAAACTTGATTGACAAAATTTGGCCCGAATTTGAAAAGAAACCAATAAGATTAACCTCAAACTTCATTAAATTAAATGAAAATATATCTGGTAAATCAACACTTGATAAAATTGACCAATTAAAAAAAACTCTAAAAAATGATTTCAATTCATCTTATTTTGTCATTACTGCTCTAGATGAAATAGCCTGGCTATTGAATCTAAGAGCTTCTGATATCCCTTATAACCCAGTTTTTTTTTCTTATATGATTATAACTGAAAATTCACACTATCTCTACTGCGATATCGATCAAAGAATTCCAAAGAACGATAAAAGCAACGAAAACATTCTAAATTATTTAAACAACGACTGCCAAATTATCACTAAACCCTACAATCAGTTTTGGTCTGATTTATCTACGATTTCAGAAGAAATTTCCAAAAATAATTCAAACAATAAATTTTTAATTCCAAATTCCTCCTCTTGGGAACTCGTTAGAAACTTAAAAAGTGACTACTTGAAAATTCAATCTCCAATCGAATTACTCAAATCAGTTAAAAACAAAACAGAAATTCTTGGACTAAAAACGGCTCATAAAAAGGATGCAATTGCGTTAATTAAATTCTTTTCTTGGTTAGAAGACCAATTAATCAACAAAGAAAAACTTTTAACTGAATATGATGCTGCAGTCAAACAAAAAAAATTCAGAAAAGAAATGAAAAATTTTATTGATTTATCTTTTGAAACAATATCATCGACGGGTAAAAATGCTTCCATCATTCACTATGCTCCATCAGAATTCGATTCTTTAACAATAGATCCCTCAAAGATTTACTTGAATGATTCCGGTGCACAATTCTTAGAAGGCACAACAGACATCACTAGAACTATTCATTTTTCAAATCCCTCGCAAGAAGAAATTGATAACTATACATTGGTCTTGAAGGGAAATATTTCGTTAGAAAATATAATATTCCCTGAAGGTACAAATGGAGTACAATTAGATGTTTTGGCTAGACAGTTTTTATGGGCCCAAGGGCTAGATTATCAACATGGAACTGGGCATGGCATTGGGTCGTTTCTAAATGTTCATGAAGGACCAGTGGGGGTTGGATATCGTCCATACTATGCAAGATTTCCATTGGAGGTTGGCAATTACATTTCAAATGAGCCAGGGTATTATAAGGATAATGAATACGGTATTCGAATTGAAAATGACATGATTGTTATCAAAGCTGATGATATCAATAAAGGATTGGAAAATAATAAGAAGTTTTTAAAATTTGAAAATGTTTGCTTGGTTCCATATTGCAAGAAACTAATCAACGTTAAATTATTAACCGAAAAAGAAATTGAAGTTATAAACAAGAGACACAACCTTATCTTCAAAGAGGTTAGCCACTATTTGGAATCAAATTCTATTGCTCTTAATTGGTTGAAGATACAGTGTGCCCCATTAAAGAAAAAATAGTTTTTCAAATATTAAAATAAAGCAAAAAAAACATAAAAAAAGCACAGCATTAAAACTTGGTTTATCTTAGTTTATCTTATTTGTACTTAATCTTACTCTATTTTATGTTTTACTAATAATTTCCCTACTATGAATTAGTTGACATCGTATTAGGTTATTTTTTTCATTGTCTTCTCAAACTAAAATTAAGTCAATATAAGAAAATATCTTCTAAAGAAATATCGAATTAATTGGTAAATTCTACAATTATTTTACTTCGTTTAAAAAATTGATATTTTTTCATAATTTTTACCAATTTTGTTTGATTACGTTTGATTTTATTTAATTTTTTTTGATTTTAAAAGAATAAGTTATTTTTTTTGCGCTAATATTTTGAAATTTAAAATTATTCTCAACTGATGTTTTTGATAAAGAAATAATTTTTATTTTTAGTTTAATATTTATTATTTTTAAATATTTTGTAATTACTTTGTAATTATTTTTTTAATAGTGCCTGCATAAAAGTTGCCAGTCTAAAAAACGAGAATTAAGAATTTCTCGGTTTTTTTATTATATATTTGTAATAAGGTAACTTTAAATGATAATTCTTTGTAATATCACGCTTAGTATTACTCTTTTCTATCAAAATTATATGACAGTGAAAATACCTGAGAAAATAGTTGGAGATAATTGAAAATAAAAAAATGGAAATTTCAGGTAATCAGAGCGATTTAATTTGAAAATGCTGTTAGCTTCCTTAGGATCATTCTTGAGATAATTTTGTGGCTTATTAAGTTGTTGCTATTTACTTTGAAAATAAAAAACTCCATTTCAGAAGTGGAGGAGTCGAAAAGACCAGCAAAAAGACTCTTAAGATCGACCTAAAAATACACCTCTATTAACAGAGGCCCAATCTTAAAAAAACACAGATATAATCCATAAAAACGGTCTGTAAATTACACGGATCGAAATAGAGCTGTATAACACAGACCAGATCTGTTGAGAAGAAAAAACCAAGCAAAAGGAAGAGGGAGAGAAGGGAGAAAAGGGAAAAAAGCAGTGGCTTTTACAATTTATGTTGAAGTGTTTCATGTTGATTTCAGCTAGAATTCGAACCAAACCATAGAAGTATCGGAGAAAGAAGAAGACAAAAAAGATGTATAAATGCATTAGTAGTATCTAAGATAAAGATATATATGTGTTGTAAGTGTAATTAAAAAAGCTATTGATATTTCGACAACAAATCGAACCATAGAAAAACCAGAAAAAAAAATCAAAAAGTAAAAGTAGAAAAGAAAAAAAAAAGCTAATTGTTCTAAGAGATCATCTATTAATTGTTAACATTATTCAATAATCGAATTAATGAATAATCACCAACTAATAGATTCTTCTGACAAGATTAGCATTGTTGATAATAACGTCAAAATTATGGATACTGGTGAACATATCAGTGGCATCTCTTCCACCATAGTTTAACAAGATCTCTTCACCACCCGGATGATAGTTTAAAAAGTTGGTAACATCGTAAACAGCACCGTTAATTATAACCCAGCAGTCATCTGGTTGATCATGTAAAGCAACTTCTTCGTAAGATAAGCCCATTTTAAGTATTAGTCAAGTGTTATTTAATATTTATTATTTAAAAACTATGCCTCTATTATTTTGGCTATCAAGATATTTGGGAGATAGCTGAAGGAGATTTGATGGTTTAGGAAACAGGTATTAATGTGTTTTCTAAAGGATACAATAAAAGCTTTCAAAAACTGTTGGGGGATTATTGAAGTGTGAGGAGCTCATCTCTTATTTATATTAAAAAAAAACAAAAACTCTAGAGCTAAAAGAGTGTAGAATTTCATTGGAAGATATTAATTAGCCATTCAAGCAGAAAAAAAAAAATTAATAATTAATAATTAGCTGAATATTATTTGATTATTTGACTCCGAGTGCAAAGAGGTTTAAATGAATAACAGTACTAACAAAGAGAAGGTCTCACAGCCATGTTAGACAGATTTTACAACGATGTTAGCAAAAGCTAAATATCTATTGGGAATATCTATTGAGGTTAATTACTGGGAATATTTATTGAGAGCCTGGGATTGAAAATATGTAGCGATTACTGAATATATAATTATGCTATGTGTATTACTATATCCAAGGGTATATCACACAGTTAAAGTATTTATAAAACCCTATAAAGGAATAACATTAAGGTACAATTCATATTTTTCTTTAACAGATTGTGAAAATCCGACAAAGTCGCTAAATTGTAGACGTAATAAGCTTAAGAATGAAAAGGTTGAAAACCCATAAATCAACCCATTGACAAGAGTCGGATTCCATTTCAATTTGAACCATTTGACTGATCCTTTGATAATATGGTATATGCTCAATATGGATAGAAGATTTAATCCTGAGATGGTTCTGAACTTATGTTCCTTTAGTTGGAAGATGATATAGTTAATGTCAACGAAAGAGGAGTCTCCATCAACTAAAATTGGAGAGATTCGTTCTTTAAGAATATGAAATAAAACAATTGGAATTAAAATGTATCCTGTTAATTGCAAGTTGTTAAAGGATTTGAAGAAACCCTTATTTTTTTTTTGTTTTTTGAATGTTCCATATTTAAATCTGGATCTAATTCTTCTGAAGAGTCTAACGAGGATTCCACTAAGGATATGGGTGGTCAATGAACCATAAATCAAGAGGAATTCATTGTTTTGATAAACCTCTCTGTTTATCATTAGTACATCATCAAACTTATCTATTGAGATTAATGGAATAATTGAAACATTGGTGAGATGAAGCAAAAAAAAAATTTGAAATGATATTGAGGAATATTTCTGTAAGAATTTTAACACTGGAAGAATATAGTTTGGTATTTCATTAACTATATAATTTTTTATTCCAATAAATTTATCCATTTTAGATAATGCTTTACTCTTACTTGGATTGTTAATGAAAAAACTAATGGCAAATTAGAGATTGTATCAGCTGCCCAATGAAATTGAGGTCATATACAATCAAAATAGCCAATATGATTTTTGTTGTCAATACCAATTATTAATATTGGTAATTATTTATTATTTAATATTATTTATTGTGGTAAAACAACACAGGTGGGTTTGCCTTTTGGTTTATCACTATAAAATTAAAGTAGCAAAGCTGATACTTGATTTTATTTCTTTTATTTTTTTTTTAAAAGAATATTTTTTTCATCTTAATAGTAAATATTAAACGAAAAAAAAAGCAAGTTACAATATTATTGGTTTTTCGTGGATCATAAATTTGAATAACAAATTCAATTAAAAGAAATGAACTGTTTTTTTTTCGTTTCAGTTTTAATTCTCTTCTGGTGGGTTTTTTTAATGTTGTTTTGGAATTCCAAAAACTTTTAGTAACTACTCAGTGTCAAAGGAAAAAGAATTTACAATATTGTTAATGGGAATTGAAGAAATATTTAATAGAAACATGCCAATTTAGGTTCCCGATTGTTTGCTGCCTCTCATTCAATAGCTCCAAACGAATTATTATGATCAGATCAATATTGGTTTGTGTAAAATTAGCAACTTCTGCTGTCACCATTCTCAAACTAAGTGAATAGTCAAAACCATCATAAAATCATAATCAAAAAAATCCAACTGAAAAAATCTGATCAAAATGATAAAACAGAGAAAGTTTTTAAAAAAATTACAGCACCAAACCACGTCTATGGATAATCTAATTAGAGCCACAAAGAAGGATTTGATGTAAGACATACATTCATATGCATATGCAAACAGCAACAACATAATGCGATTATCTGCGTATATATATGCAAACATTTTTTTGCAAAATATTGTATAAATCACGTTTATTGGATCCAAAACAGGGTTTTTTTTCTGGGGATGATATAATAAAAAGTCAATTGTATAATTTGAAACGCAGTGTGTTGATTTATTGGTTTAGGGATCAGTGATAGCTCTCATTTTGCATATGTCCAAGTTTAAAACAATATTCAAAAGGTTTTCGGGTTTTAGCAGGTCTTTTTCTGCTGATGCTTTGTCCGCCAAAACTGCTCTTGTTTTTCCTGGTCAAGGCTCAGTTGATTTTAAGCTTATCAATGAGCTTCTTGAATTTGATTCCAAAAGAGAGAACTTGATTCGACCATTGTTAAATCAAGCTGATGAGATTTTGAATGACAAAAATTTCTCTTTGAATATTTTAAATAATGATGAAAATTCTCAGCAATTTTTTCGGAGAACTTCGAATGCTCAACCTGCTATTTTTCTATCATCAATTATTATTGATTTATTTTTAAAAAATTATTACCATTTTAATATAGCTGATGCTGTTGATTATTTTGTTGGACACTCTGTTGGTGAATATATTTCACTATATTTCAATCAAATTTTAGATATGGAAAACTCTTTGAAATTAGTTCAAAAACGAGGCAAATTGATGGAAGACATTATAAAAAATCAATATGATGAGAATATAGAATTTAAAATGTATTCATTGATAATTAATCCCAAAATTTTTATAACTGTTTATAAGTTTTTGGATCATTATCAATCAAATGAACAGGTTCCGATTAACGAGAGAATATATATTTCCAATATCAATTCATTTGCTCAAATTGTGATAGTTGGACCATCAAAGTTGCTTCCATCATTTTTGAATGAGCTACGTTCAAATTTAAAATTGAGTAAAAGTGGGTTTAGACCATTTGAAGTGCCTGTAACTATTCCATTTCACTCCCCTTATTTGAAAAATGTTGACGTTGAGTTGGAAGAGTATTTCAAAAGAAATATTAAATTGAATCTGTTCAATATATCTGAGTTAAAACCAGTTATAACCAATTATCGTAATGAAATTGTTGAAGATGATTATAGAAGGGCTATTTATAATTTCATTTCAAATTCAAATCAAACAGTGGATTTTATTGCCAATGTAACCAGACTAAGTTCTGAATTGAACGTAAAGAAATTTATTCACTTGGGTCCCACATTTACACATACTTTTGTTTCTAAGATTCTTATTGAAGATTCCAAAAATAAAATCGATTTGAACATTCCAATTAATACCATAAGTGATATTGACCTTTTGTTGAAAAAAATACATGAGAAACAAATGAAAGAGCTTGATTCGTAAAATTATTTGATTATAATATAGTTTGTATATAAAATTATAATAAAATTATTATAAAGTTTTCAATATCTGATACTTGAACTATTTAACAATGCTTCATATTTATGGCATTCATCGAAAAATGGCAATTTTAGAGCATTTGCTGCGGTGATTCTACCATTAGAATATAAATTTAAGCATTCTAATAATAATTGAAAGACATTTTCAAATTCTTTTCCAGTTTTGTTATTTTTTGGTTTTCCAGATTCGTCCAAACCTTGGAAAGTTTCCTTGATTACGATTGAGTCAGATGGCAAGGTTTTACTTAACCTTTCTGTGTTAATTGCCCAATAGATAATTTCACCTAGAGAGTAACCTGAGCCTTTTACTGTAGCCAAATTGCTTTCTAGACCCAAGCCATGTAGAGCGGCTACTTGTCTAATTCTATCAATACCAAATAAACAGGTTAGTTCAACTAAAGCATCAATATCATCAGGAGAAGAGAAAAAAGGGTATCTTCTTGATAGTAAGATCAATAAGATAACGCCGCAAGACCAAATATCGATTTTAGTTGTTTGATTGGGGCATTTGAATAGCACTTCAGGAGCTCTGAAACCCCTTGTGCCCGCTCTATTAGCTCTTCTGCTTGGTCTTGAGTCTTCCTTTAAATAGCCCTTTGAGTTGATCTGACTATTGGGGTCTAGTGGTAAACCGCCTTTGATGCAGGGACAGATGTAGTTTTTTTTGTTGATTGATTCTTTGATTGATATTTCCTTTTCAGCTAGACCAAAGTCTACTAGTATTCCCTTTTTTTTGAATGGGTCGTATAAGAAGTTTGTTGGTTTGATATCTCTGTGAATGATTCTTTTGTTATGAACGAAATTCAAAGCGGATAGTAATTCGAACATGTAAATTTTGATGCCATTGAGAGGCAAGTCTCTGAAGTAGTCTCTGAAATCAGCATGGTTGTAGTAAGGTAGAATGGCGATGATTTGGTCTTGGTGTCTAATCGCATCTAATAATGGAGCGACTCGTTTGCAACCGTTTAAATTGTATAATAGTTGTAGTTCATTAAAGATTCTTTGGGGAGAAGCGGTAACGTAAATTTTTTTCAATGCTACAAGTTTATATTTTTTTCTGTTATTTTTTTTGATTAAGGATAACTTTTGTTTTTTTCTTGATGGAGTGAAATCATAGTTATTTTCTCTTGATTTTTTCTTCAATTTAATTTTATTATTATTATTATTATTATTATCATTATCATTATCATTATCATTATCATTATCATTATCATTATCATTATCATTATCATTATCATTATCATTATCATTATCGTTATTATTATCGTTATTATTATCGTTATTATTAGTAGTAATAGTAGTGCCGGCGGTAGTGGGATCGTTTATTTCTTTATTGATTGATTTTTTAAATGATTTTTGATTGAGAATGTTATTATAAAATGAATTGGAGATTCCATTTAAATCTTGGGCTTTGTAGACCGAAGAAAACGTTCCTTCGCCAATTTTGTCTAGCAAATGGTATCTTGACGATAAGCCAGGTATTGAGTTTTGTAGTTCTTTCATCTCTTCAAGTATATCGATTGGTATATCGCTCATTTGGCTGTTTGTATCGTCATCGTCATCGTCATCATTATTGTTAGAAGTGGAATCGGTTGTGTTGTTGGTAGTGTGTGTGTTCTCATCGTTTTGATTGTCCAGGACTTGGTGATGGCTTTTTTGTGTGCTTTTGTTACTGCTATTGAAACTGTCATTCTGATTATTGTTGACATTGACATTTAAGGTTTGCTGGGATTGGGAATCTAGCCTGTCTTGAGATAGCTGGTGTGTGTGGTTGTCGCCAGAGCTATCAGCACCGGTGTTGTCAGCACAGTCGCGACCAGAGACGTTGTCAGAAGCACCACCATCAGTATTGCCATCAGTAGCCTCAACGAGACTCTCAGTAAGATTGTGTGAGGCAGCGTAAGCAGCATCCACCAAAACGTTCTCCTGGGTAGCGCCCATGGTCTGAAGCACAGAGGAGGTATGGGTTCTGGACACTGAGTTGGCAGCACCAAAACAAGTTTCTACCACCATGGCGAGCAGAGCTGTGGAGGCATCGAGTGGCAAGCAGGAAGAAGAAGCAGTTCTTGGGCTGTTGTGGTTGGGGGCAGTTCTGGGCCCAGCTCCAGCGCACCCACAGCCCGTCGACCAACGGCTGGGGTCTGATCCAACACAGTGGTGCTCCAGCTGCGTGTGCGTCAGGAGGATGCTGTGTGTGGTGTCTGCTGCAGCGGCTGCAGCGGCCGCAGAAACTGCAGAAACTGTGCATTGATGGTGCATTGGCGGTGCAGGTGCTACGTGGGCTACGTACAACTAGTCGAGCTCGATGAGCTCTGTGCTTCTGCAGGTGTGGTTATTTGATTCCTTTGCCTCTTTGGCGTCGTCCATCTCGTTGTCGCTGAGGATAATCGTCTCTTTCACCTTGACCACCTCCTCGTCGTTCCAGTCTGCTGGAGGAATCCAGGGACTGTCCTCGTTCTCAAACTTGATGGGAAGGACCTCAACCGACAACAAACTGGCATTTGAATCTGATCTTGCTCTTTCTTTATTTCCGTGCTTTCTTACCTCTTCTTCTCCTTTCCTCTCGTCGACATCAATTGCCTTGATTCCTCTGTCAACAGCTTTCTCTTCTTTGTCATCATTAAACACCTCGTTCCCATTTCCGGGCACCATAGTTCTGCTCTCAGTCTCAGTTTCAACATCAAACCCATCTATATTTTCTTTATTGAGATCTAGTTTATTTTTAATTACATCCTTAACTTCTCTATTTTCATTATTTTTGTTTTTTTCTGTTTTAATTTCCTCAACATTTGTATATTCTTCTTCTTTAGCCCCAATATTTTTAAATTGTTCTTGATCAACTGTTTTAGTCTGATCTATAACTTTTTCATCTTTTCCATCTTTTTCAATTTCTTCAATTTCTTTTACACCTTTTGTGCTCTTTTTTTCTGTGATACTCTCAACATTACTGGGTTTTTTATCACCACTATCTATTTCATCATTCCCAAATGAAATCTCCCACATATTGCTAAAAAAAATGTTATACCTGCTTTTCTCTTTAACTTCAATAGTTTTCTTAGCTTCAGCAGGTAACCTTCTTCCTCTAGGTCCTCTAGCTCTTCCCTTTCTGACATCCTTTAGCGGTTTTTCGACTTTATTTTCACCTTTTTCTTTCTTGTTATTTTTATTGCGATTATTTAAACTATTCTCCTCTTCTTTTGTCTTATTATTCTTATCCAAAGCAGAAGGAACCATCCCAGGAACCGCCATTCCAGGTAACGCCATTCCTGGCAATCCCATTCCTGGCAACGCCATACCAATCATATTATTAAGGTTCTTTGTAAATTCATTATCCTTTTTAATCACATTTTTTCCATGTGTCTTACCATCGCCAATATTATCTTCTTTACCTTCTTTACTTTCTATATTCTCAATATTACCATTACTATTTTCATTACTTAATCTATCTTCACTCTTATTCGACCTTCTTTTAATTAATGGCCTTGGTGGGGGGTTAGGTTTATTTAACCCTTTGAATTTTTCCTGTTGCTCATTAATCATCTGTTGAAATTTCGCTATCTTTGACGAGGGCTTTTTCACTGTTACTAATGGAGATCTTAGTGCTTCCTCCTGAATTTTATTGTCATCGTTATTATTATTATCCTTAGTATCAATATTAATTAACTTATTTGGTCTTGTTGGTCTTGCTGGTCTAATGGGAACACTTTGTGTATCTAGTTTCCTTAATTTGTCTTTTGTTTCTACTTGGCTAAATTTGGTAGGTCTACTTTGTGGCCTAATTGGTCTAATTAGAGTATTTAAAATATTTGCATTGGATACACTAGACTTGGATATATCTTTTATATCATTTTTATTGTCATTTTGATAGATCTCTTTATTATCATTGTTAATATGATTATTATTATGATTATGATTATCAAAACTATCTGCTGATTTAATTGAAGCTAAATCGTTTGAATTTGCACTCGATAATATATTCCCTGTATTATCACCTATACTCATGCCTGTTCTCGTGTCTGTATCAGTGGATTTACTAAAGCTATCGTTGCTACTAGATAAGATATCACTGGTTAAAGATTCTTCCAAGTTTTCTACTGAACCAGTATTTTCAAGACTACTACTACTATTATTATTATTATTATTATTATTATTATTATTATTATTATTTACTGCTTTTCTAGGTCTTTTGGGAATTAATAATACAGGTTCTTTCTTCTCACCGCTGTATACTTTATGAATTTCTTTATCGTTGTTATTATCAGTATTAATATCGTACTTAACAATAGCATTATGTTCATCTTTATCTTTATCTTTATGTTCATCTTCATCTTCATCTTCATCTTCGTCTTGGTCAGTTAAAATGTCTCTTTGTTTGTCTAGATTATAATTCAACTGATCAATAAAATTTGACGAGTTCAAATTTTTTGGATTTAGTAAATTTTTAGGAGAACTGATAATTGGTGTTTCAACTTTGAATTTATCAGTTAAAAATGGAGTAACACTTGTATAGTCCTTAATTGGAGAATCAATTGACCGATTTTTTCGAATATCGAGTCGTGGAGGTTCCGGATACAATGACAATGAAGAAGATTTTGAAGGGGATTTGCTATTATCATCATATCTTTTTTGATTTAAAATATCATCATTATCATTATCTTTATCATCGTTATCTTTATCATTATCATTATCATCATCATCGTTATCTTTATCACTATCAATATCATGAAGCTTGATTTCTTTAATTCTTGATGTTATTGGAGTAATTAAATCATTTGAATTATACGAGTTGTGGTTTATTTGCAAATTTTGAACATTTTTAGTTTTATTATGGGAAATCTCTGGGGTTTTAAATTTAGAAGTGAATGAATTTGCGGATAGGTTGTTGTGAAGAGTGAATGGTGTAGCGACTCTTTTGATTTTATGCATATTCTGCAACTCTTTTTCTTTATTATCGGTATCAATTTCTTCATTATCGCTTTTATTCATCCCATTTAAGATGTTGGTGCTATTAGTAACTTTATTCTCATTTTGGACGACTTTTTTGTAAACAATTTCATCTTCTTCAACCAACTCAGAATCAGCTGGATGGATATTAATCGACAAATTTGAAGAATTTTTATTATTGTAGTAATTAATACTTGAATCGGTATGAATCTTTCTGGGTAGATTAAAAGCAAAACTATCGTTATCAGTATCGTTATCGTTATCATTATCGTTTTCAACAACGTTTCTAAATTTTTTTCTATTTTGAGCCTCGTTGTAAACACTACTAAAAGTTCTAATACCAGACTTTCTCATGCTACTTTGTTGATCTAATTCGTTGACTGGAATAGCAGTCTGAGGAGAACCCAATCTTGGAATTTCATCTTGTCTAATCAAGGTGCTGTTCAACGTTGGGGGCAATTGGAGGTCAGTTGGGTCCACAAGCTCTGAAATGCTGGAGGCGTTGGAAAAGTTGGACGAGTTCGAGGAGGTGGAAGCTGGCAGTCTGCCTTGTCTCTCTGGTCTCTCTGGTATATCAGGTCTCTCTGGTCTGCTCGGTATGATGGGTATAGACGAGCCCAACGAAAAGTCAACTTTCCTCGAGGTAATTGGCTCACTGGAGCTGCTGGTTGGAAACGAAGCATTCCTCGATGGTCGCCTAGAGGGAATTGAGGGTTTCTGGGGGCACCGTAGTTAGTAGACAGCGTGGGAAAAGAGAAGCCGAAACAAACATACCTTGGACTTTGTGGGTCTTTGAGGGATCTTAGGATGGTCTCTGTCCATATCTGCTGTCTGTGTCTGGTGTCAGTGTTCGAAGTGCTGGATATCAGTGGTATCTTGTGTCTTGTATTGTTTATCTGTGCTGTTTATCTGTGCTGATTATATCTGCTCATTCCGCCCGTGCAGCTGGTTCGCTCGCCTTTTTCAGCTTTTAGAAGCAAGTCCCAACTTTTGCTCCACCAGACGTTGTTTGCAATGGTCGTCGACTTGGATCAGCACTTGAAGCCAGGGAAATCTTCCTACGTTGCCATTGGACTTGAGGGCTCTGCCAACAAGTTGGGTGTGGGCCTCATACGACACCATCCAGGCCAGCTATCGCTCTCCAACAGAGCAGAGGTGCTTGCCAACATCAGAGACACCTACATTACTCCTCCAGGTGAAGGGTTTCTTCCAAGAGACACTGCTAGACACCACAGAAACTGGGTTGTTCGGTTGATCAAGCAGGCTCTTGATGAGGCAAGGTTGGGTAAAGACGACATCGATGTGATATGCTTTACAAAGGGTCCTGGAATGGGTGCTCCTCTACAGAGCGTTGTTATTGCTGCTAGAACGCTTTCATTACTATGGGATATTCCATTGGTGGGTGTGAACCACTGCATTGGCCATATTGAGATGGGAAGAGAGATAACTGGTGCCCACAACCCTGTGGTATTGTATGTTTCGGGTGGAAACACTCAAGTTATTGCTTATTCGAAACAAAAATACAGAATTTTCGGTGAAACATTAGATATAGCCATTGGTAACTGTCTCGACAGATTTGCAAGAACTTTGGAGATCTCCAATGATCCCTCCCCAGGTTATAACATTGAGCAGTTGGCTAAAAAGGGCAAACACTTTGTTGAATTGCCTTATACTGTCAAGGGAATGGACTTGAGCATGAGTGGTATATTGGCTTACATTGATGAAATTGCAAACACTCTATTTAATAAAAAAAACGCCAAACCACTTCAAAATGAAGAAGGTAAAAACAAAAACAAAAAAAATAGTAAAAACAAAAACAATAAAAATAATAATAATAAAAAAAATAATAACAATATAAGCAACTCCATTAAAAGTCTAATTGGAAAAAACATCACTCAGGAAGATCTCTGTTTTTCTTTGCAAGAATGTTTATTTTCAATGTTGGTTGAAATAACAGAGAGAGCAATGGCTCACGTTAACTCAAATGAGGTCTTAATTGTTGGCGGTGTTGGTTGTAACGAAAGATTGCAAGAAATGATGAAAATTATGGTTAGTGATAGAAATGGTTCCATCTTTGCCACTGATGAAAGATTTTGTATTGACAATGGTATAATGATAGCTCACGCTGGCTTGTTATCTTACAGAATGGGTGATACAACTTCTTTGGAAGATACTGTATGTACTCAACAATATAGAACAGATCAAGTATTGGTCAAATGGAGAGATGATTAACCAATTTCTTACCTTTATCATTAATCATTAAATACTGCTACATATCATTATATATTATATATTATGTATTATTTATTATCAATTATTATCAACTACTATAAATGATTATAAATGATCGAATGTTACATTTGAAATGGCTCAATGGAATATAATGTAATATAATATAATACTTATTATAAGATATATTTGTAAAAGAAAATGTATGGTAATGAATTATAGGATTAAAAAATAAATTAAAGTGGTGAAAATGTCCATTTTTTAGTAATTTCTAAGAAAAAAAAAAGGAAAACAAGGGAGACTAATGATAAAAATAATAAAAATGAATTGACAATTTTTATGAGGAATTCGACTGTATTAAACCAATTAATAATGAATGCATAAGATAAGATAAAATAAAAGTAATTATAAAAAACCAGATTAAAAACAATTATTAAAAACAAAAAAAAAAATATAAAATAAACAATAAAAAAGAATAAAAAAAAGTAAAAAATTAAGAGGAAACCATTTTAAAGATGCAGATGAATAAATTTATTTCAATACTTTAATATGCTTAATGACAGGTGGAATAAAATGTTAACTTTTATTTATAGAATATACTATAATATTGAAATGCATAAAAAAGTTTTTATAATTACAAAAAAATAAATTTTTTTATTGACTTGACAGTTTGAGTTTTTTGTTTTGTCATTAAAAGACGTTTTTTTAGGACTGAGGTTGAATATTTTGTTGTTCAAACAAATAATTTTGATTCATTTGATTATTAGTTTGAAATTCAAGATTTTGAAAAAATTGGTTATTAGATGTGTATTGAATAGCATATTGTGGTGGACTTTGAAAATTTTGATATTGATATTGATATTGATTTTGATTTTGATTTTGATTTTGATTTTGATTTTGATTTTGATTTTGATTTTGATTTTGATTTTGATTTTGATTTTGATTTTGATTTTGGTATTGATTTTTATCATAATTCTGAATTTGTTCTGGTTTCTGTTGTTGAAGTTGAGTTGAAGGCATTAGTGGTATTTGTTGTGCTTGAGTCAAATCAGAAGTTTGATTTGGACATTGATATTGGTATCGAGGTTTGTATTTGCAAAAAGACAAAATTTGATTTTGATTTTGATTTTGGTTTTGGGAGATAATTTGGAGATTTGAAATATTGACTTGAGAGTTTAAAGCGGTCTTTGTTGTTGTAAATGTTGTTGGTGTTGTTGTTGCAGGGGTTATGACAGGGGTTACCTCTGAAGTTGGGTTTGTAATAGGTTGATTATTTAGTAAAGTAGAAGGAGAAAATGGTTGCTGATTTTGAGAATCGACTTGAGCATTAGATTGAAACTGAGCTTGAACATCAGGTTGAACATCAGGTTGAATTTGGGATTGGAGTTGAGACTGGATTTGGGACTGGATTTGAGATTGGAGTTGAGCTTGGATTTGAGATTGGAGCTGGGCTTGGGCTTGAATTTGAGCTTGAATATCAGGTTGAGGTTGCAGTTGCTGATATTGGTATTGGTATTGGTATTGGTATTGGTATGGTTGTTGGTATTGGAGCTGGGAAGCATATCTATAAATTTCTTGATTAGCTTCTTGGTTACTTTGGTATAATTGTTGGTAAGACTGTTGGTTTGATTGTTGATAAGCCTGTTGGTAGGCTTGTTGATAAGACTGTTGGATATTTTTTTGATCTGGGTATTGCTGTATCTGATACTGGTTAGCCTGTTGGTATAGTTGGGCATTAGAGTATTGATTTTGATTTTGATTTTGGTTTTGGTTTTGGTTTTGGTTTTGTTGGTCATATTGTTGTTGATATTGGTATAGAGGCTGAGGTTGGAAGTCAAACTGATTTTGGTGTTGTGTTTGGTATTGATATTGAAGTTGGGGTTGTTGGTATGGGTATTGTGGATTAAGGTTGAGATTATTTCGGTTATTAGTGAATAAGGATTGAGACAGTTGGAAGGATTTGTTTTTATTAATTGGGAAAGAGGCGATAATTTTTTGAGTGATGATTTCATTCTCAATTGGATTTTGGTTAGGTAAAATGAGATTTGAAATTGGTGGGATTTCATTTTGAGAAAGTTTAGCAAAATCAATGGGATCATTAGAATTTTCAACCAAATGTGGCAAACTAGATTCTCGATTATTGTTATCAGCAGTATTAGTTGTAGTATTGGTTGTATTATTATTAGTGATATTGGCAGTATTGGCAGTATTGGCAATATTGGTAGTAATATTATTAGTAGGAGCAGTAATAATGATATTGTTGTTAATTTTATTTAATTCTTCTAATTCAACTTGTTGTAAGACTTTTTTCTCTTTTTGTAAAAACTGTTTGATTCTTTCCTGTTTAACTTTAAATTCAGCTTGTTTTTGCCTAGATAAGTATTTGAAGTAGAAATCTAGGTCCTTTGAAGGATCAGGTTTTGAAGAGGAGGAAGGGATGTTTGTGATTTGGTTTTCATAAAAGGGCACATTGAGGTTCAAATTCAAGTTCAAGTTGAGGTTTGCAATGTTTATAATGTCATTCAAGTAGAGGTTGTAGGCGTTTAAAGGATTTGTAGGTTGAAAAGGTTTATTTTGGGGATAATCGTAGGAAGTAGTGGGAAGAGGATTTAGGTTGATATTTTGGATTTTTGGTAATTGGATTTGGTTCTTCAGTAGTAGCTGGAATAAAGATGACTGAGCATTGTTGTTGAGAAAAACGTTATCTCTTTGAGTGAACTCTCTGATTCTCTTGTGGATTTCCTTTGAGTGGTCATTTTGGTGGTTGAAAGCGATATGTTCTGGATCATTGTAATTTTGGGTATTGAGGTTGATATGGTTTATATTGTTTGGAGTGTTGTTGATGGAGGTGAAACTATTGCCCATTTTGTTCTCCTTTAAGGTGTCAGCGTTTACCTGTGATGTTTGAGGATTTATGTTGTTGGTGTTGCTGATATTGCTGATATTGCTGATATTGATGTTGGTGTTGTTGGTATGGTTAATGTTGGCGAGAACACTGTTGTACCTGGCGATATTTGCGTTGGTGTTGTTCCTGCTCTTTCTGACTCTTTGATCAAGCGAAGTGGGTTTGCTGATGTTTGTCAAAGAGTTTTTTCTTGATTTGTTCTTGGAGAAAGCAGACTTGCGATGTTTTTCTAAGGGCATCTTAGGAGGAAGTGGGTAGATAAAGGCTTTGAGCAGCTGGAGAATAAGAGGAGAGGAGCAGAAAAGGAATAGGACAAGAGAGATAAAAAGGGCTGAAGAACACAGAAAAGGATGCTAAGGATGCTACAGGAGATAAAAAAAGAGAGAGTTCAAAAAAGAAAGAACGAGATATAAGAAACAGCACCAGTATTTGTTTGAAATTTAAATTTAGAATTAGGATTAGGATTAGGATTAGAACTAGATCCCAATCCAACCAAGATGGTGTAGCACTGGATTCTCAGCACTTGGAAGGTTTCTCTGGCCTGTAGGGACAGCGATCAGCAGAAGCAGAAGCAGAAGCAGAAGCAGAAGAAGTTGAAGCAGAAGAAGTAGCAAAAGCAGCAGAAGCAGAAGCAACAGAGCTGAACGAGCTGAAGAAAAATTTCTCTCCAGAAGAAACAACAGTGGTGGAAAACTGTTCTCAAACAGAAACAGAACAAATAGCCCAGAAAAAGCGAAATAGGCACGAGCAGGCCAAAGCCAGAGCTGTCGTTTTGTGGGCAAAGCCAGAGCTGGCAGCAGAAGCAGCAGAGGCAGCAGAGGCAGCAGCACCAACAGCCCCCAGCCCAAAACTGTCTGTGTCTCCTTGCACTTTTTGGCTCTACAACCGGATGCAGTCTACTTTTATTTCTATTTACTGGTTAGAGCTTGAACTGGTTCAAGTGCACCTGAAACTGCAAGCCCTCGAGGTCGCTGTCGCTGGTGCTGCTGAAACTGGAGAGTCTCGAGCGAGCTCTGTCCAGCCCTACAACACTGTTGGTCCTCGACTTGTTGTTGAAATTGCTGGTGCTGCTAGTACTGCTAGCATTACGGGGAAGAGCACTGCTGTTGTTGTTCTGGGACCTTTGGGGTCTTTGGGGTCTCTGTGGTCTCTGTGGTCTCTCGCTGCCCTGGCGATTATAGTGGCTTTCCTGGTTCTCAGGACTAGCATCACTGTGATTATAACCAACACACCCATCCCCATTCAAATACTGGCTGATTGTGTTGTAATTGCTGTTTAGCACCATCCTTCTCTTCATCTGGTTATCAATTATCATGTTTCTCCTGATTGAATTTTCCTGGAATTTTAACATTATTATTAATTTCTCATTATTAACTTTCAAAACATTATTCTCGCGCAAACAGCTCTTATTCAATTCGTTCAATTTCAAGTAATCCTCAATTAAATTCTTGATAATGTTTTTCAAAATATTTGGCGAATAAAACTCATTGGAAATTTCTTTGAATGAATCTTCAATTCTCTTTCTTACGCTGTCCTTCTCAACCTCATTTCCATTCAGATCCTCGTTCCCATCTCCATTCATCTCCTGCATATCAATTATATAGTTCTGTTTACTCATTAGATACTCCCTGATAAACATCCCTATACCTTCTGGCGAATTCATATCAACATCCATTCCCCCACTCATATCACCACTCATATATTCATCTTTATAATCTTTAAAAAAAAATGATTTCATTAATTCATAACTGAAATCTTGAATTTGATCTTGTAAACTAACTTCACTATCATTATTCTCATTATTCTCATTATTCTCATTATTCTCATTATTCTCATTATTCTCATCACCATTACCATTACTATTACTATTACTATTACTATTACTATTACTATTACTATTACTATTATTTCTCTTGGAACCAAATTCATCTAATAATATATCATTGATATAATCTTGATCCAAATTCAAATTGGGCAATATCTTAATCAATGACTTGAATCGTTTCTCCAATATCTCAATTTTCTCATTTTTACATCTTATTATCTCCTTATTATCAATCAACCTCAAATTAATCTTCTCAAACTCACAGTACTTTAAATGGTTTTTTAATATTTTATACTTTTGAACTGAACTGATCTCTTTATCAATACTATCACTTGTAAACTGTTTATAATAATAATCATCATAGATCTTAAACACCCAATCACACCCTAGATACTCATTCGAACATCTCAATGTATCACACTCATTCAATATTGTATTCTCTTTCAACTTTTCTTCATACCCACTTCTATTCCGATCTTCACTACTATCTTCAATACCATAGTTATAATCCAAATCCAGTTTACTAATAGCTTTATCATCAAGAATATGTGTCATGTCAGTTTGATCTTTATCACTAATTTTATCGCTAATTTCAGTAATATTTATTTTTTCTTCATCTCCTTTATTTTCAGTTATTAAATGAATTTGGTTGATAAAATCGTCAAAATCTATATTAAAATAATCATTAAACAACTCATGATAGCATTTCTTTTCTAATTCAACTAATTTTTTATCAATCTTAAAATCATCATGATTTAAATTATCAATCAAATGATTACTTTGATTACCTTTGTCTTGTTTATTATATTTTTTGAATAAATTAATCTTTGAAATAAACCGTTTTTCTATCAATTTATTGCAACTACAATAAACCCTTGTATATGAGCAATTATCAACTAAATGCGATCTCAAATTAAATCTCGACCCAGACCATTTACATCCTCTTTTGAAATTCGAACAATTTACAATTAAATCATCCACCAAATTTTTTAAGATTAAAGGACCTGCAAATATTTCATTCTTTGCTAAATCCAAATGAATTCGATCCATTGGACAAGTGTTATTTGTAGACTTTAACGACTTGCTTAAACACTCATAACAAAAAGTATGCCCACATTTCGTAATATAAGGCTTTAAAAAAATAGAATTGCAAATCGGACAAATTAAATGATCAACATTAATCCCATTAAAATATGACCTATTTATATCAGTCTCATCATCACTTTCAACCTCATCATCATTATCATCATTTTCTTGCCCATGACTGTTGTTTATACTGTAAATAGTACTATTTCTATTATTCCTAATCTTAGTTTTTCTCGTTTTTCTTTTCCTCTGAAGACAAGTGTAGGATAAGTTTTTATAATCTAATGTTTTCAAAGGATCGGAACTGTCTAGTAAGTCATAGCCATATTTATATTCTAAAGAGCTCTCCATAGTGACTATGTTATAATTGCTATGATTGTTATTAAATAATCTTAAAATCCAGATTCTAAATAAAAACCATTATAATTCTGATCTAGCAAAATGTCAAACCTTACAACCTTTTGCCTAAACACTGTTGAGAAGTCCCTTTGGTCTAACTTATATTACATTAGATTAAATATTTGCATATTTGGAGTTGCTGTTTTTAGAGCCCTAAAACCCAGGGGTCGGGTAGAAATGAATCACGGAAACCGTTCTGACATGAGCGCATCGCATGCGGATGTCGTTAGGCACGTATACGTAGTTTCGGAGTAATACGAACCAAAAACTTTTCCGTCATTGATACAGTGTGTTCATGTGTGTTTACGCAGGCCCTGTTGAGTGTGCATAGAGTTGTGTTTTGAAAACCAGCTCTTTGAATGTCTCTCTTCGAAATCTTGTGATAGCAAGGGGTTTCAGTTGCTTGCTTGAAACAATAAAAGTATAATTGATCAGTTATTACAGCAACTTTATTTTGATCTATTTCTTGTATCTTGACCTTATTGTAAATTTAACATAAACTGGTATGTTTATATTTGGCAAAAACAAGACTTTAAATTTTCATATTTTGATTGTATCTTCTAACCAAGACATTAAGCCTTGATAAATATGTGAAAATAAGAGCTAGCTAAATAAGTTCGTTGGCTGGACGTGTATTCTATTTTTAAATACCCAAAACGGTTCTGATAATCTAGACTTGTTGCTACAATACTACTCTTTGCTAAGATAGTTCAAAAGCAAAAGAAGTTTTCAAACCATTCTCTTTTTTCTCCAACTCCTCCTCAGTGCTTTTCGCATTATGATTGGTTACAAGTGAAAAATGTGTGGTTTTTTATCAATAGAAAACTAAAACATTCCGAATTTCAGGATATTTTAGATCTGGAAAATTCCAGAAAACACCTGTTTCACTAGGAACAGAAATTTGGATTTTTATCTGGCCAAACCAAATAAAACTATTCAAGTTACTGCAAATATGATTAGGAAACAAAATCAATTTTCAGCGACAAATCAGCTGGGTCACTGTAAGACCATTGCATCCTCCCAAAATTGCATTTTCATTGTATTTATTTGAAAATCTTGTAGATAAAAACAAAATTTGAGAATCTGCAGTGCGAAATTTAGTATATTTTTAGTGGAAAATTATCCCCTGACTTTAAAATAAGATCCTCTTCTTAGAGATAAAAAAGAATCTCAGCTAGCAAACACAATTTTTCATTTGTTTGAAAATAATTTTTAGTATCGACTATGTGTTTTTAGCATTGGATGTTGTGTTACCTTTGTAGGCTATCAATTTGTTAAAAAATCTTTTTTTTCGAGAGTGATGTTGGATTTCTTCACAGTAAAAATAGAGTTTTGTGTTTCAAACTTACTTTTGTTTTGAACAGGTTTTTATTAATAATTCAACTTTCTTTTGCATCTAAACCCAATTAATCACGAAACACTTCATTGTATTTTTTTGGTTTTGATTTATATAGAGTACATTTTTGATGATTAGTTGACGATACAAATATTGTTATTGTCATTAATTTTGTTTTTCTGATGGTTTTCTCAACAGATCCATACCAAAGTTTAAAATTGATAAACGAAGCTTGTTCTTAATTAGTATTTTTTAGTACAATTTCTACTATTTTCATCATCTTTATCATTATTACTAACTTTCTTTAATTCATATTTTGTATTTTTTTTAACAAAAACCAAAGATAAATGTTATTTGCTGTGCTTTTAAATTAAAAATATTCAAAAATACACAGGTGTGAATGTGTTTAGAACACTAAATTCATCTTTTTACTACTTTGTCTTGCTGATTATAATATAACAGGCACAAATAAGAATTTTGACTTTAGAATGTCTTTCCATTTGAAATCCTTATTAAAATAACCTTTTTCTAAAATAATATAAATGTTATCATATTTCTCAAAATCGAATGAGAGAAAAAGCACTGAAAGTTTTCAATATCAATAATCTATTCATCATTCAGTTACTATCACTAGTTTGTTATTTGTAACTTGTTTTCAATTTCTTATCAATTATAGCTATATTCAAGATTTTATATTCATTTAAATATTAAAATAATTACTTAATTCCATAATCATATAAAAAATGGCTGACAATATCAACGGTGAACAAAACCAAGCTCAACCTCAACAAAACCATAATGAAGAAATGTTTTCAATCTTAAAAACAGGTTTTCAAGCCATTAAAACTGAAGTTTTGCCAAAAATGGGAATAATGACTAATGGAGGAACAGATACCAACGAGGCAGCTTATGATGAAACTTATGCTGTTGGTGAAGGAACTGTTGCAGGAGGACTTGCTGTTGAAGACGATGAAGCTTGCTGTGGAGGTTGTTGCAGCTTAGTATGCGATATGTGCTGCATCACTTGATTTTATTGCAAATATCAGACTGTTTATTACTTTATTTTTCTTTTATTTATTTTTTAGGTATTTTTTTTTCCTTACTGATAGTCTCTATATTCAGAAAGTTTAATTTTTGCTGATGTATTCTACTCTTGGTTTTATTTTGTGTGCATTTAGAATAAACAACTATTTGTTTAATAAAAAACCACTTGGGAGAATTTGAACCAGACTTAAATCGATTTGAAATTTTAGAAAGAATCATAATTGATTATAATAATATCCATTAAATTGATATGATAATAGTTTTTTAAAAGGATAATAATTGTAAATAAAAACCTTCCAAACCGATATCTTTTTTTTTTTGAATTATTATAAAATTGAGATAGTGGGTTTTTGATTCTTTTCAAAAAAACAACCTTGAAGTTAGATTTGGTCAATCATAAATATAAATCTATGTAAAAGATTAAAATAAAAAAATTAAAATACATTTGTTTTTTTGTGATTAAAACACTACTTCTTAATAATATTGTTTGCAAAACTTTATTTGTTTTTCTTTGCATATTTATATAATTAAAAGATACTATCAACATTGTTGATTTAAATCCAATGGATTTTAAACTCATAAACGTTGTTTCTCAACAAAAAAAATTGTATTCAGTTGCTTCATTAAGCCACTAATGACTAATCAAATTTTGAAAAAGTCAACAGTTCAATGGCTTCCTTAAATGAAAAATAATCAATAATGTGAAATCGAAAAAAAGCATTTCCTTATTTGGATGAGACTTTAACTTTTAATATGCAATAATAATTTTAAATAATCTATAATTGAATACGTTATTTGACAATCAAAAGCTTTGTTCTCAGTTCGGATCAATAATTCATTATAAAATTAAAAAAGAAAATGAGAATTAAAACAAAAACAAGATACTCAAGCTATTTTTAGGTGAAGTTTAAATTTGTTTAGTCCAGAACAATAATAAAAATAAACTAAAAATAAAATAATTTCCATTGCATATAGTTGTTTGAAACCGTTGAAATAGGATAAAAACCTATTAGCTCAATAAATCCGTTTCTTTACTTGAAGAATTAGCTAGCAAGTCATTGATAGATTCAGAAACTAAATTCAGTGAACTTTGGGTCTGTCAAGCAACCGGTTTTACCGAAATCCAAAAGATTTGATTTATGAATTGCTTATTCCCACAAGACTCCAATAAGCCACTCTGATGTTGTGGAACAGACAAAAACAATTCCTAGAAACTTTAGCTGCAGAAGTATGCAGATGAGCTTTTTTTCCGAAAACGTTCTGTTGGCTGTTTGAAACCCGACTGGAAATATTCCGGTTAGTAGTGCAATTCTGATGCGTATTTTTACAATAGAGCTGATTCAAGCAAGATAAAAATCAATGAAATTAATGTTTCTTTGGGTTCTCAAGATCTTGCTTATGATATTTATCTTGGACTGATATAAAATCTATTCAAAATTTGTCACTGTAAACTCATAAAAACCACATCTAATTTCCAGTTATAAATCAATTCTTTTTGTTGTATACTTGTCAAACATCGTTCATTTTTATCAAATTGGGTACCTGTGTATATCATTCATTTATAAAGAATGTTTTTGGCTAAACAGTCAATAAATATAAAATAAATATAAGTCAATGAATCTAAGTGTTAAAGGATGCTGTCAAGGCTCACAACAAATTGGACAAAACAGATCAACTAATATGAGAATCAAATTCAACTCATTTTATAAGAAATCCTTAATAAAAAATTCATTTTTTTGCTGCTTAGAAGATTATAGCATCCAGTCTTGATTATTCAAAAATATTCTTAAAAATAAGTGATGTACGCAGGTACCCAATTTGATAAAAATCACTGATGTTTAGCAAGAAATTTACAGAAAAAGTGCTAACATTTAATATGTTGATATTTGAAGTTATACTTTTCAATTGTGTAACATAGATATGTTATACAATACTTTCCTCACGGCATTTTTAGTTTGACTTTAAAAGCCAAACACCTTAAAAATACAATTACAATAGATTGCAACCAATGTACTGATTCACGTAAATAGATAAACTTCTATCTAGTTTCTATTAGACCCTTAATGAAATCAATAATTTCTTTAATTTCTAAATGACTTGTAATTTCAGAATGTGGTTGTTTTTATCCTTTTTCCATTATCCTAACATTATTATTAAGTAATATCTGGGTGGCTTATGTTAATTGAAAAATAAATAAAATTGATTCGATTAATACAAAATAAGCATCAAAAAAGTTTTTAAAAAAGAGACATTTTGATTTAGATCAAGCCCATAGATATATCTGTGGACTGAAATTTTTTTTTTCAAAAGACCCAGATACATTGGTTGGACTCAAGGGTTTTTTGATTCACACCTTGAGTTTAGCAGTAATATAAATACAGGGATTTTTGATATAAAATACTCAAAAGAATATCTACTACCAATTGTCAGTTATAGCTGATTTTATAAAAAAAATTATTGGGTTAATTTTCATATTCTTGCAGTAAATACAAAATCAATTTTCAATAGATGACAATATGACTGATACACATTACCTATGACCCAATTTGATTACAACAATAATAAACAAACCACAGCTGATACTAAATCTCAAAAAACTAATGCTAAAAGTTCTTCACAAGTTTAAAATCAATATCTACAAGCTGAACTGATCATAAACGAGTCCATAGATATTGCATTTGGGGACAACAATAATAGCCTAATAAATCAGACTCTACCTGAAGCCAACCGAGCTCAATTTGAAACTAGAGGAAATAGAGATTGTGATTGTTGGTGTCTTGAATATTGTTTTATTTTTTGACTTATTTAGTTTAAAATATATAATCTAATTTACATTCAATTTAAAAATTAGTGTATTGGTTCAAAACTATGGACATGTTTAGAAGAGACTCAATTCTAACATTTAAAAACCCATCACAAACAACTACAAATTGCCATGACTAATGTAAAAATGTTAAAATTAATCAAACTTCCTACATATTTGCCTTTCTTTTTTTCTTTCTCAGATCTTAACAAAACATCATATCCACAAATAAGTCTTACAACTGTCTTAAGGTATAACTTCTGATCTTAATTCTTAAATAAAACAGGATCAGAAAGTGAAATTTGGGACGGAAATTAGTTTAAGAAATAGAAAACATTTCAACCAAGAAGGCCAGTATGTATTCCCTATATTGTCCTACTGTTTTATCAAGTGTAATCAATAGTCGTTTCAGCTGACCAGAGGAACTTACTGTATGGTTTAATTTCAATACTAAAGACAGAATATTGGGTATTCCTATAACAAATTCAGGGTTTTCTTGATTAGGAGCTGATTCAAATAATGAAAACAAAAGCTTGGTATAGCCTCTACCAAATCAATAAATATTTATTACTCAATGTGAATAGTATATAAAGTAGCATTCTTGTCACTTATGTTTATTTGGTTGTTTTTTTTAATAGTAGTTTATTAATTAAATTCAACACCATAAAACCACTGAATTATTATACGGGCTATCCAGACACTATAATGGCTTTAATAGAATCAGTTCGCGGCACTGTAGTTGAATAAATCTACCAAATTACAATTGATGAAAAGTGTGGAGATTGTCGTCGTCGTATTACTAGCTTCTGGTTTTTTTGATTGGTTTTTATTATATTTGATTGACTATTTTTTTCAAAATCTATAATTTAAATCTATAAATAAAAAAAATAAATAAATTGGATTTATTGTCTTCAAATAAAATAATCAATTCAAGACTGAAGAAAATAAAGAAAATAAACCTATCAAAAAAACTAGATATATTAATTACATAAAATATAATTATCAACATAATCAATACACCTTATTTGTTTTTGTTTTTTTATAAATTATGACTAGTATAGAACACATAATTATAAGACCATTAGGAACGTAACTATTATCTAAATACACATTAATGTTTTGTAAAATATATAAATAACAACTACTTTGATAAAAAAAAAGTGATCAAATACTATTTTTCAGTGGATCAGCTTTTTATGTAATTAATATATCTACAATCAGTACAATATTTACAATAGAACACTGTATTATATTCATATTCAATTATAAAATGATGCTGTGAATTAAAACGATTAAATACTTGTTTTTTCTATTACTTTCCATGATTTGTGATTTTTTTAAATTAAGTTTCCTTGGATAGTCAAAATATTTAAACATTGGTTTCAAACATGCTGTTAAATGAAAGCAAGTTAATTGTCAGCCAGAACAAATTTGAAATTTGTTTGGAATCAGTTAGGTGTTTGAGTCCATAGCCAAGCTTGCACGGTAATTGAAAAAGGTATTGTCAGGTATTATCAGGTAAAGCTGTGTATATCGGTCACCGAACAATCATTTATTGCCGATTTTGTAGAAACTGGAAAATATAAAATCCCGAATCAAAAATGCTGCTCTGTATAGGTACGTGCTCAGTACTTGATTTGCAAATACAAAAACTGTCCAGTTTTAAGTTCCATAAAGGGAAATATGATTTTTGGATTCTGAAAACGTTGAAGCTGTTTCTAGCTTTACCAACGTCATAACTATTTCTAAATACTACTATTGACATAGATTTGAGTACAATGTATTTGAAGAATGTAATAACTCACAACAAAAAGAAAAACCATTGGCTCGAAACATTCACGACAATTCAATTCATCACGAAAGGAAACGGCCGGGCCTGCGGATACCAATTCCGTCTCTGCAGGTACTCTGCAACACAAGCTTCAAGATTATTTCACGTGGCGTGCAGGACGGATTTCTTAAACCTATTATTAAAAAGCTTCTAATTCTATTAATAATTCCTTCCAAGATTTAACTCATTCTCAGCATTTTTTAAACACATCCGATATCTCATACTCCGTATTTTCAATCAAATATTTCTTTATAATACTTCAATAAAAGAATTATTTTCTATCTTTTTTTGATATCATATTATTTCAAATTGAAAATGAAAACGAATTTTTTGAAAATACTATTCTATCTTCTTGTTGCGGTGACTTTTTCATATGGCCTTGATTTGAATCCTGATGATTTAGACAGCTTAAAGCAGGCAACAGCTCTTGTAGCTGATGGGTTGATGGATTACTATAACGGCTTGGATTACGGTGAAACTATTGGTATGTTCTCTGATCCATACTATTGGTGGGAAGCTGGTGGAGCATGGGGCTCCATGGTTGATTACTGGTACTTTATGGAAAATGATACCTATGCGAATATCACAAAACAAGCTTTACTATTTCAAGTGGGCGATAATTGGGACTATGTTCCATCAAATCAGTCGACCACTGAAGGTAATGATGATCAAGGCTTTTGGGGTTTAGCTGTCATGAGTGCTGCTGAAAAAAACTTTACAAATCCTTCAGACGACGAACCTGGCTGGTTGTATTTAGCACAGGCTGTTTTCAACACCATAGCTTATAGATGGGACACTGACAATTGTGGTGGGGGTCTAAGATGGCAGATTTTCCAGTGGAATTCAGGTTATGACTATAAAAATTCGGTTTCAAATGGTTGCTTGTTCCAAATCGGTGCCAGATTGGCTAGATACACCGGCAACAGCACATATATCGAATGGTGTGAGATGGTGTGGGACTGGATGGTCTCTGTGGATTTCATAACAACTGACGACTGGTGGTTTGTTTATGATGGGGCTACCATCGATAACAATTGTCAGAATATTTCCAAATTACAGTGGACTTACAATCAAGGCTTGTTTCTTGGTGGAGCAGCATTCTTGTATAATGTCACTGGAGAAGAAAAGTGGTTGAACAGAACCCAGAACTTATTGGATGGTTCAGCTGTTTTCTTCAACAATTCTGTGATGTACGAAGCCGCTTGTCAGGGAATTGGTACTTGTAATAACGATCAAAGATCTTTTAAGGCTTATTTCTCGAGATTTTTGGGTTACACAGCGTTGATGGTTCCTTCGACATACAATCAGGTTTACGAGTTGTTAAGAGTCTCAGCTCTAGGTGCTGCCTCTTCTTGTTCAGGGGGCACTGATGGTCATACCTGTGGTATCAACTGGTTTTATGGTGGATGGGATGGATTTTGGGGCTTGGGTGAGCAAATGTCTGCCTTGGAGGTGATGCAGAACTTAAGAATAAATGACCTTCCTGCTCCATACACTGCTTCTTCTGGTGGTTCATCTGAGGGTGATCCTGCTGCTGGAACCGAAGACCTTGGATCTGAAGCTAATAAAGCTTTATCCATAGATACTGCTGATATTGTTGGAGCCTCAATAATAACTGCTGTTGTTGGCTTGTCACTAATAGCAGGTTCAATTTGGCTCATAATTTAGTGTGCATAAAGAAAAAGTGTTGCTACCATTTTATTGTATAATAGATCATTTCTCTAATTCTGTTTCTGTTGTTTTTTTTATTCTACTTTATTGGCATGAGATGATATTTTTTTCTTTTAACTTTGATTATCATTATTATTATTATTCAGTTCCTCTCCCCTTTTTTTCGCTCTTTTTTTTATCTCTAAAGATTTTAAAATAACATATTTCAGGATAATATTTATTGAAACTTAATACATTTTCGAATGAAAATTTTATAATAGATAAAAAAAATCACAGATCTTTAGATACAGTATAACTAATAGAAAAGCAAAAAAAAAAAAAAAAAAATTAAAATAAGAAAAATAAGAAAAATAAGAAAAATTGGTAAAAAAAATCAAAAATCAATATATTTCAACTCATATTGAAAAACCTAATAAAAATATCATTAAGCAAATTCAAATAAAGATAATGACCAAACAAATAACAATACTAGAAAACCTAGGTTAAAAAAATTGAGAAGAATAAAGAAAAGAAAAAGAATAAAAGAAAAAAAAAATATTTATAAAATTAATAAAAATTGATTTATTTAAAAAAAATTAAGCAGCATTGTTAAAAATAATAAAAAAAATCAACTTATTTAATAAATAAAAGGATAGTAATAGTAATCAAATTAAAAATAAAAATAAAAATGATAAAAATAGTAAAAACAATAGAAATAATAAAAAAAGATAATAACGATAGAAAATATAATAAAATATTCATCTAGATAAATTTTTTTTGAATTTTTTTTTTTGTGTTTTTGAGTTTTTTTGAGTTTTTTTGAATTTTTTTTGAATTTTTTATAAGAATTTTTTGGATAATTTTGTATTTTTTTGATTTTTTGGGATTACTTTCAATTTTATTAATTTTATATTAATTTTTTTTTTGAAAAAACCTTTTTCATCAATATAAACAACTTAACGTTGTTGAGCACCATACATAACACGGCCAAAGTTATTATATTGAGGTGGTCTATCTTTTCCCCAACCACATTTCAAAGGTCTGCCATTAACACTAAGGCCAGCTAATTGAACAATTGCTAAAGCGGCTCTTTCATGAGAATCATATTTAACAAAAGCACAACCTCTGTCAGGATGGAATTTGAAGTCAACAATGTAACCGAAGTTTTGTAGAAGAGGAATCAATTCATTTTGAGTTGTGTAGTGGGCTAAATTACCCAAATAGACAGTGGCTTGCCATGAAGGAGTTTGTCTTAAAACCATTTCATAGGATTGAATGGGTGGTAAGCCAGTCATTTGAATGCCGTTGATATTGCTTGAATTGTTTGAATTATTTGGCAAGTTATTTGGAGCCGCACCAGGTTGCTGTTGTTGTTGTTGTTGTTGTTGATTTAAATTTAGATTATTTAAATTATTGTTTTGAGGTAGAGAATTTTGATTCATTTGGAAATTGTTTTGAGCATGAATATTTTGGTTTTGTTTATGAGAAGCCCAATTACAACGAATGGTTCTACCACCAATCCATTCGCCATTCATTGTTTTAATTGCGTTTTCAGCGTCGCCATGATCAGAGAATGAGACAAAACCATAACCTCTTGATCTACCTGTTTGCATGTCCCACATTACATGAGCTTGAATCATTGATTGGAATCTTGAAAAGGATTTGGCTAGTAATTCATCATTAACTTCAGAGGATAAATCACCGATGAAAATATTGAAAGAGGATTCTGAATTTTTAGCTTGTTGGGATTGATAAGCCCAATTAATAGAAATTTCAAAGTTATTAATAACTTTTCCATTAAGATTATGTTTAGCTATTTCAGCAGACTGTGGGTTATCATATTCAATAAAGGCATAATTAAAGCCAGGTTTATTTTTATCAAATAGAATTTTAATAGATTCAACTTGACCATTGACAGCAAATACGTCTCTTAAAATATCTTCAGTGACGGTTTTAGACAAACCACCTACATAAAGGATTTTATTTGAAACCTCACGACCACCTTCGGTGGCATTAGCAGGAATGACCTCAGGTTGTTGTTGAGCTTGTTGAGCTTGAGAGTTTTCATCTTGTTGTTGTTGATTTTGAGGTTGATTTTGGATTTGATTTTGAGCTTGTTGTTGAGCTTGTTGTTGATCTTGATCTGAAACAGAGATAGAAACAGGAGGTTGAATTTGTTGGGCTTGTTGTTGATCAGTACTCATTTTGGAAGGATATAGTAGGTATTTAAGATATTATTGATAAGAATAAGAATAATAGAAAAAGATAAATATGGTTATAAATTAAACAGATAAAGAGATAAGTAAGTAAGTAAATAAATAATAATTAAGATGATTTGATATAGATATAATATGATTTGAAAAAATGATTTAATTAAAAAATGTCCCTTAATAATTTTTTTAATTAAAATAAATAATTATTATACAAAATAATTTGAGTTGAAGATTGATTACTTGATTGAAAACTGAAAGAAAGAAATTATTGAGGTTATTAATAGAAATATCTTTATGAAAATATAACGTTGATATTATTGCGTTTAGTTATTGAGATCGAAAAAAAATATAGTAGGTGGTTTCTCCTATTTTTTTTTGAGTTAATTTGATTTGATCTGATCTGATTTGATCTAGCTTTTTCCTTTGAAAAATCTTCTAATTGAAATTGACCAATGTAGATAATAAATTAATGAATTACAATTGAAGCAAAACTTAGAAATAAGATAGAAATGGAAACTGGTATGGAATTAATTAATGATATAGTCAATTAAAAAAATTTCAAAACTTGAATGAAAAGTTGATAAAAAAACCAATTAATAAAAACTTAACAAAACTAAACCAAAGTGATAAAAAAGCAAAAACAAAAGGAGTAAGAAAGAAAAGAAATTAAACAAATAAATAAAGAAAATTAAAGAAAATAAAATAAAATAAAGAAAATAAAATAAAATAAAATAAATAAAGAAACTTTTTAATCTGGAGTTAAATTAAAATAGCTGATTATATTTTAATTTGAATTACGATTCTGTTCGTTTTGCCAAAATAAAAAAGAAGAAAAGGAAAAGAAGAAAAAAAACATCTCTTCACTTAAAATCCTGGATTCCCAAAGCGGCAATCGCGGTGTTTCTGCGTAGACGGGCTGTAGGAATGGGATATTCAAGGCTGTTTGGGAGACACGCGCAGATCTGCCGCACCAAACCCCTCTACTTTTGCAACGGTACCGTCACTCGGGAAAATTTTTCACGCATCTGCCCGCAAATCATAACACTTTGTCTCTCAGTTGTGATCCAGCGGGGCAGTCATGCGTGCCGGAGTTGGCATATCTAGTTTCGACATACTTTTAATCCCAGAAATGCGGGGCGCCACACGACAAACGCTCATTGGCCAATTACTTGGATTACGTCATGCATTTAAACCGCGCTGGTGGCCTTTACGTATAATTCAGTGGTTGTATGTTATAATGCGTGGTTTTGCTGGATACTGCATTACCGTACTTTGACCATACTCATGGTAATTAGTTTTTATTGTGATACGTTCAATTTATCAAAAGATTCAATTTATCGAAAGATTCAACTTGATTCAATTTGATTCAACTGGTTTTTGATAGCTGAAATCATGAAACTGATTGATCCTTCAGAAAATAATGAACCGGCTTCTTTTGTAGTCCAATTACTCTTATCAAATGGCAATTATTTGTGCAAAATAGTATAGAAACTTGTTTAATCTACTTATATTACGAATTACTTATTATTGATTACATGAATCTAACTAGGCAAATCTAACCATCTAGCCATCCAATATTATTCAATTGACACCATTTAATTAGCCATAATTCACTATAAATTAGCTGATGCAAGTGTTATAGCATTTTGTTCAGAATCAATTGAATCACCACTTAATGATTTATTGCTCTGGTTTTTATCATTCAACTTTTTTAATTCATGGTCAAGGCTAACATCATTTCCAGATCTATCGCTTTGATCATGCTGTTGTTCATGGTGATTTTCTTGATAATCACTATCATTATCTTCAGTATTTTCACTATTAATCTCATAGTCGCTAAGTTCATTATTACTTATACCACTGCTATTAGTATTATCCTTATTATTACGATAGTTACCAGAAACATTTCTATCATTACGGAAATGATTAGTCTCACTGCCAAGGCTATCATCACTATCATCATTTGGATTATAATTAGGGTTATCAATAATAACCTCCTTCTCCTTAATATCTTCTTCATCTTCCTCAATTATCAAGTTATCTTTATCAAACTCATCATCTTCATGATTATCAACCTCATAAAATAACATGAATACACCATGAGCTCTTAATACTTCTTCTTCAGTTGCAACAGACACGTCTTCATCTGATATATCCCACCAAATTCCCCTGTGTTTTCTATACGCCGTATAATGCCCATAGTTATGAGTACCATAATGTAAAATCACTGACTTTAAGTTATAAACTAGATTGGGATGGTAATTATCTTTTAATTTCAATTCAATTTTCTCAATTTTGGATTTAGTTTCTAGTGATAAGTTGTTAATATTATTCACTTGAATACCATCAGTATTATCATTCTCCTTTTCGTTTTCTTCATTTTCTTTATTTTCTTTATTTCGTTCACTATTTTCACTTATTTCATTGTTTACATTAATAGATTCAATTTCATTATCAATCAATTGTTGCCTCAAAATTTTTAATTCATCTTGTATTCTCATTGATTTTCTTGCATCAGTATTAATATCTTTATCAACAGCTACAAAATCATTCAAATCCAATTTTAGCGGGAAATCAATATTTATATTGTTTTTAGCCACTGTCCCGGTTTGATAGTTGAATACTGATCTATTAATATGGATTGGTAATAAAGCCGGTGGTCTTTCAATAAAACTTTGCTTGGATTTTGATGTCTTTTTAATTCTATTTTTATTTTTCAATTTTTTATAAATGTCATCATTAATAATAGGTTTAGCCAATTCCGTTTTAATTGCTTCCGTTCTTAGTCTTAATAAATTGATATATTTATCTAGATTAGCCAAAGTTTTTTTAAGCTGTTCTTCATTATTATTATTACCATTATCATCATTATCGTTTTTTTTGTTATTGCCGTTATTATTTTTGGAATTAACCTTATTTTTTTCCATCTTTTTATCAGATAATAAAGATCTTTTTTGATCTAAAATATTAGATAACTCAGTTTCCAAAGTGCTTTCAATCGAGGTTAAGCCACATCTATTGCATTCAACATTTTCAATGATTTCCTCGTTTATATAATCATTCAATAAATCAATTAAAGATATTGAGTTGTTCTGATTTCTTCTATTGTAGTTGTAAGAATAGTTAAAATTATCAATTGAATTGGGTAAATTTAGTGAAAATCCACTTATAACTGAGTATCTTATTCCACCGGTTTCGCCACAATTTAAACAGCCAATTCTTTCAGCATTAACACCATCAACAGGAGTGAGTAAATTTAATTTGTAGACTTTGTTTTCGCCATTAGTTATTGAGGGATCAATTTGTAGAGCAGGAACATAAACTGGACCTAGGAAACCGATATTTTTTAGGCCCATGATCATTGAATCATTTTTTTCAATGAATTTTTCATTATTGTCTTCAGGTAAACTTTCTGAACTTTTGCTGTTATTTGAGGTTAAAATTTTTTTTTCTTTTTCCAACTGATTTAAAATAAACTGGAAAAATTCCTGGGCGTCTTCTTGATTATAAATTCCCAAAAAACGATGTTTTTCAAAACCATTTGACATCTTTTTGACTAAAGACTGGACGTTGTATTCTTTTAAAGTTTTGCCATGCTTTGAGTTTAGTTTATTGATTAAATTTAATAAAGATTTAGTGAATGATAATTCATTAATTTGAGATTGAGAGTTTTTAATTAAAATCTGGTCATTCAAGTAATTGTTTAGTTGGTTTGAAGAGGATAAAGATTGCAAAACCGAGTTCATAAAGCAGGTGTTGCCATCGTTAGTTAGACCACCAACTAGCCCACCTCTTTTAACAGCTTTTCTCTTTAAATGAATAGTTTCTTTGTCAGCCTGTCTTTTGTTGCTAGAAGTGTTTGTATTATTATTATCAATGTTGCTGCTATAGTTTGAATATGTGTTGCCACTACTGAATCTGTTATTCAAGTTGTTAAGATTAAAGGGGGTCAATGAGGTAGAGTTAAAGTAATTTGACATTTTATAGTTAATAAAATAAGCTATTTTTTCCAAAAACGAATTGATACGTTTTTTTGATACTAGTAAAAAATTAGAAGTTAGAGAGTTGTAAAATAATAGATTTAGCGAGATTACTAGTAGACAAAAATAAAGAAATAGCGAAAAATAGAAGGAAAAATAGGAGTTATTTCTGTTATTTTCTAATTGAGCGTTATAATTATTTTGATTATTGTTAATGTATTGGTTTTTTTGGTTTTTTTGGTTTCTTTGGGTTCTCAGATGATAACGATAGCTTTGTTGATTGTGGTAATTATGGTACTGGTATTGGTTGTTGTTCGGAAACATAAAACTAGAGATATTTATATAAATTCACACAAAAAGAGATATATCAATGAATAAATATAAATTGATGAAGTAGGGATTTAAATGCTTATATGTTCCTAGGCTAATAAATTCATCAAGTATACTGATTGCATTTGAAGGTTGAGAGAGAGAAAGAGGTAAAAAAAAATTTGCATTTTAGAAAGTGTGAGATTTTGCTCGTTGGCCAATCAGTGCGCATTTTCCGGAGTGGAAATATTGAAGCGTTGATTAGAGAGAAGAGAACTATTTACACTGCAGTAACTCAGAAGAGGCAGAAGAAGCACCAGCACTAGCACTAGCACTAGCCTTAGTCGTCAATTCCCTCCAATGTGTGCTTGCTATGGAGGGCGTTGCTAATTTCTGTTCGGAGGATGTTGCCCAAGATGGAACCATCTCTGAGCGAGAGCCATTTGCCAGAGGGAGCATCGTAGTCGAATCGCTTGGGACCCGAGATGGGGCTGCTGAGCCAGATCTGCTTGTTGGGAGGTTGTTTATTGATAACGTAGGTCCCTACGTTGCTGAGCTCCAACGTCATGACCCCATCACTGTATTCCACGTCAATGTTCTCGTCTAGCTCGCTGATCAACTCCAAGTTGTCGAAAAGGGTCTCGAGATAGAGGTCCGATATCTTGTGGTACTCGTTGGAGGATAACTTTTCAATTTCGTTGGGGATTTCTTCACCACCAGTGCTTTTGGAGTAGCATTTTCTAAAATCCAGCCTGAAGCTGAGATGGGTACTGTTGGGCATATTGGAGTGTGAGAGGTTGTAGCAGTTGCTGAGGAGCCTGCTGTGCAGAAGGGAAGCCGCTAGAGCTGCAGGCGCTCTGGTGGAGCATCCTCTTGCTATGTTTCTAATCATAATCATTTTTTTGGTTGTAATTACAGGCAACCAGTTTCTTAATTTATTTCCTCTTAGTTTCCTTGATTTGTACTTATTTCCTTCAGCTGCCTGTTTTAAGGTTGCAGTTTTTTGTCGCCAAAACACGGGATTCCACAGAATTTGGAGCCGTCTTGATGGTTGCTATCAGAAATAAGGTAGTAATGCACTATCAACAGTAGTATACATAGTAATACGCAGAATCTGTAGCTACCACTTGCATGGAAACAATGTGTTGTACGTGTTTACATGTATGTATGCGTTGTATCCACAAATATGGCACAAACAGCAATTGTCGTTTTTTCCCTTTTCAGAAATTTTGTTGATTGGAATAAGAAGAACCTGTTTTGAAGATGATGAACAATGTTTTCAATAAACAACCAACAATAAAGAGAACTGAGAGAACTTAGTATCAGTATTCGGCACTGTTTTTCTTTTGCCCGGTTACCAACAATAAACAATAGCTTACAGGTCCCCCTTCCAGTGTTCTGGGTCAGATCTGAAGACCTGAAATTCATTAGATTATATGATGCTCGTTTTTTAATCAAAGAATTTACGTAGAAACCTAAGACCAGCAGATTGAATCTTATACTGATGTTATTTTTATTTTTTTGATTTTCAGATTTCGATTTGGCAAATTTGGGTATTTCGATATTTGGTTACTTGGTCACTTGGTAATTTTGGCTCTTGAAGATTTGAGTTAGTTGGTTAGTTTTGTCCTTGTTGTATTGTTTTTCAACCATTAATGCTCCTCTTTTCAAATTTTTTGTGTTTTTGCTTTGCTCTCTTGCAGTTTTTTGCAAATTATTTGAGTTAATTAATTCAGCAATAAAGATATTGTCAGATCAAAAACATGCCATTATATATACTTTACAATTTTTACACGTAAATCAAATTACTAACAAAATAGTAATGAAAATACAATAGGAAAATAATAGGAAGATAACAAAATTTAAATTCATTTGAATATTTATTGAATACAAAAAAGAATTTAATTGAAATCTAAAACTTTCAATTATATAAAAAAATAATAAATTATAAACAAAAATCTATAAATTAATTTAACCTGAAAATGATGAGAAATCATCAAAAATGGTAATAATTTTTATGTCTAGCAAGAAAAACAAAGAAAAAAAATAGTAAGAAAAGAGTCATAATAAGCATAAAATTAATTGTTGAAATTCTATAATTTATAATTCAATAGAAAGAAGAAACGTAAACAAGTTATTAATACAAATTTGTTGATAAAAAAAAGAGAAATCAGAAAATGAAAACCAGAAAAATGCAAAGAGAGAATTTAACAAAAGCAACAATATTTTTAATTTATAATCATTATTATATCTAAGCAAGAACCAGTCTTTTTCTTAAAAGAGAACGTTTATGGAAACTATTAAACATTGATCTTGGAATATTCTTTATATTATTATTTGGTTGCAAATACTCTTCTTTGATCTGTTGTTCGTTCAAATTACCATTTTCATTATTTTCATTATTAATAGGATTGTTGCTATTTTTCTTTGATTTAAAAGTGTGAACAAAATTTGTTGCAAACTTATTGAGGTTGTTTTCTTTTGCGTTAATGTTAATGTTAATGTTATTATTATTCTCTCTTAAGATATTAATTTCCTGGTGGTCGTTTGTTGGGATATATAAATCCTGAGTAGGTCTTCTAAGGCCAAATTCAATGTTATTAGCAAAAGTTGGGGTTATTGGTTCATTAAAATTGATTATATGACTTGAACTTGGCTCAATGAAATCATTGGTATTAATTGTGTAAATGAAAGGGGAATTGATTGAAGTTGGACTTGAGATTGAATGAGGAATCGAATTTCCATTCAAAAGAGGTTGAGACTGAGAACTTAAAGCAGTGGTGTAAGGTTTCAAAGAAAATAAATCAATTTGGTTATTATTATCGTCGAATTTAATCACTGGATCATCACCACCTTGAAGCATTGTATTCGCTAAATATGAGTATAATCTTGCCCAAACGTCTTCTAATTCGACTGAGAATGCGACGCCAAATCTGTCTTGTAAAGTCTTTAAGAATGCTTCACCCATGAGTTCAAAATGAGAGGGTTCAATACACAAGATTCTAGCATGTCTTCTTCCCAATTGAATTAAATAGTCGTCCAATACAGACAAGTTTTCCAAGGTTGTAATTGCTGTACCTAATACACCAGAGAAAGCAACAGCTTGATGTTTTATAGAGGGATATATTCTTTCCAATTCAGGGTCCATTGATAATAAATTCTGATAAAATTGAAGGCAGAACAAGGAAGAAGCCATTGCTTTAATCTTAGGACCAAAGGAACGATTACTATTATTATCATTATTAGTGGGATTTACAGATGATTTGCTTTTTTGGTTTCTATGAATCTTTTGGTATAATCTATCTTCATTATCATCTTCATCATCGGATATGTCTGAATCATTGTCGCTTAATACTAAAGCCCAGGAATTTCTTATCATATTGATTTCATGAGGAGTCAATCTTAGAACTAGTTTTTCTTGGGAAATGAAGGTGTTGAAACTGTTATCATTGACAGTATTTGTCTCTGAAGAAGAGATAAATGTTTCAGTACTGGATGAGTATTGTTTCTCTAACATGTTAGCTATAGATGTGAAATGTTTGCTATTAGTGCTATAGTTATTATTGTTATTATTATTGTAGGAGTTGTAAGATGAGCTTATCGACATAACAGCAGTTAAATCGGAAACTTGATCGAATAAATTGGTATCGACACTTGAAAGCATTTTATTTTTAATCTTTTTTTTTTGGATCTTAAAGATATGCTATTATAAAGATAGTTTGACAATATAGTAGCAGAATGAGGAAGAGGAATTAAAAAAAAAAAGAAAAGCAGAAGAAATATTATTTAATGTAAAGAGATTTTACAAAACAACGAGATGAGATAAAATAAGGAAAAAACAGTTGCTATATATATCTGTTTTGAAGTAATTGAAAGAGTGTTTAATAATTAAAAAATTATATAAAATTTAATAAAATAATAGACAAAAAAAACCAGTAAAACTATAAACACAAGAGAGCGAATTTTTGTAAAAATGAGCAAAAGCAAAAATGTGAAAATGAGAATTGAAAATTAGAAACTAGAAACTAGAAATTAGAAATTAGAAATTAGAAATTAGAAATTAGAAATTGTAAATTCAAAATTTAAAATTCAAAATTCAAAAATATAAAATATAAAATATAAAATCTAAAATGGTAAATTGTAAATGGTAAATCGCAAATTACAATTTATATTTTACAGAATGCTTAATAAGTAAAACGAATCGCAGCAAAAAACGATAAGAGAAACTGAGGAAGATAAAGGCAGGAAAAACAATTGAAACTGATGTAAAAATGAATGTTTTGTGAAAGTTGTTGCTGTATCTGGGGAATGAATTGAGAAAAAAAGGTTTTGCTATCTAAATTCTGAAAGTAGCTGAACTGAAAGGAAGTGTTTGCACTGTTCAGTGATAAATGTTAGTTTTTAGGTTGAAATTGAAGGTCGACCAATAAATGACCCACATTAGGTTTGAATCCATTTGGAAAGCGAAGTTTAAGAGCAGAATGGCTCAAAAGTCAGAGACCTACAGCAGAAGCTTTGGAGAAAGTTGCTGTAAAACTTATGATGTTTCCATTTAGCTTTTGACTGTGCTGCTTTGCGAAGATTTTGGCCATTTAAACACACTGAAAATACATTAGCACTTGTTTACATTATAACCGTTGTAGATAAAAGTAGAAGGAAGAGGTGTGATTGGCTGCTGGAGAAGGGTGGTTTGAGATATATGTAATATATCCAGAGGTTTTGGAAGTTGTGAAGAATTTTAAAAGTGAAAATCATTGAGTTTGTATTGAATCATTAGCAAAGATTAAGATTAGACTTGGAAGCCAAAACGAAAAACAAAACAAAGATATTGAATCTTCTGATTCATATAAAAAAGGAGCTTAAAATGAAAGTTAAAATCGAGTAAATGAGGAAAATAAATAATAGAATTGAGACGAATAAGGTAATTAAAGTAATTGATTTAATTAATAATTAATTTAAAAAAGATAATAAGATTGCAAAAAAATATTAATTGAATGATTATTACTTTTTTAATTAAATGCTAAATTCAAAATAAACCTACTCACCTACCTACTCAAATAAAGTAAAAAGTTATTCAGTTATTTTTTTTCTTTATCTTTCTTTTTCCAAAATCTTTTTTTTGAGAAAAAAAAAGAAAAGATAAAAAACAAATTGAAAATGAATTGAAAATGAATTGAAAATTAGTTCGAAAATTGGAAATCAAAGATTGACCATATTTTTGCAAATTTAATTCAAAATCAGTAACAAATCATAAATTGGACCAATAATACCATTTAAAATGAATTAATACAAAATCAATACACATGAATTGAAATTATGTTAAACTAGCTCACGGGTTTTTAAAAAAATATGATTAAAACTGAGGAATTCCTGGTAAATACGCTAGATCCCTTTTCAATGATCAATCAATTAGCAAATGGTTGTTGATTATTTGACTACACTTTTGATACTAATTGGGCTGGATATATAATACAGATTATATCATACCAATTTTTCATTCTCATGCTCAATTTCTGCACTTTTTGTGCACCTGATACCGCACCAAAACACCCTTCAGCAGTGGGAGACAAACCTGTGGACCCCAACTCGCAGCACCGGAAAGTGACATTGTTAGTATGACAACCCAGCAAAGCGCGTGCTGTGATTCGCCAGATGACTACGGGTAATCACATGTCAGTTTTCCACACTGGAATTGGAATTTTGAAAACAGGTGCACAACTCTGAGCTCCGAGCGTTGAAATCGCAGTTACAACTTTTTGTAATACTCTCAAAGAATCCTTGATAACGTGGGAGCAAAATAAATCAAGATTAATCAGGCATTTGACCTTTATTTTATTGAGAGCTTGTGTTGTATTTGTTTTATTTTATTATTGTATCACTGAATCAGCTAAAGTTGACTGAAAATCTTTGGTTTGTTCGCATGCTGGTCTCACATTTTGCGCACTATAATTTTTCGAATTTCAAAATTTTGAGATTTTTTCAAACAAAAAGTATGGGGAAACCTTTTGAGCCCGTTGAGCCTGGAATATTGATTTTCCTTTTATCAGCTGGATAACCGCAACCTAAAGAGCCCAACAGACTATGCAAAAGCTAATGCTTCAATCCTCAAACAAGGCCGACACTAGTCTGCCATTGATATTACCATTAACACCAGAGGACTATCACGCTCTCGAGCTATAGCACCATTAGCACTGATAGTTTGATTATATACCCTTTGCCTTCTGCATCTACTATGGTTGTTGGATTTTATCACATTGAATTTTGTTGCAGTGTGGTGGTGTTCAACAACTGCTCTTGTGGCCTTTTGATGAATCCAACATTAGCTTTCCGGAGACAAATCCAAAACGCAAATCTCCAACACTAAAACGCATCTTCAAGGTGAGTTTAGAGAGTTCATCCCTGATTTCAGCGTGCAGCTCAGCTCCAGCCAATGGCCTTGTGCGGTTTGAGATCATTTTTTGGCTAGTTTAGTCGCAGATCAAACACAATCCTGATTCAAGAGAGGCAGAATGGCTCATCTGCACCCAGCACGCGGCTCCATGCGGTTTTTGGTTTGCTGCGTCTGTGGTGTGCTGCATTGATTGAGACGCACCAACTGCATATCGCCACTTGCCCGCTTTGATCAAAGTTTTTGCAGCTACTAATGGCCTGCAGCAGCTGAAGGCGAGAGTTGTCTTACCTCCCACCGGCAAGACCAGGAATGTGCAAAATGACCAATATCTGATGATCATTCCACTGAAATTTTAATTTTAAACCACCTTCTAAGCGTACATTCTGTGATAGCGGATGTTTTCCTCGTTTTCTTCGGGCTGTTCGCTAGCTCTCCCAGCAAACACTCGCCCGATTGGGCCAAATATATTCTTGTCTTTTTGGCTCTTGATTTGTGTGCCTTTATATCAACTATACTGTTCTATTTTTTTTGTTCATTCAACCCTTCACCAGCAAAAATCTGACACAACTTCAGATCTCTTCAGATCTGATCAGTCTGATTCTTGCTTTTCCACTTTTAAATTTCACTTTATTTGGGTAATTGTTTCCCATTCCCTTTAATGGTTTTCAATCTTTTCCAATTTTTTCCAATTTTTTCCAATTTACTTTCAAGAATATTATATCAAGATTCCTCATTTCCCAATAGTTGCTGCAGAAAAGTCCCATTTTATTCTCTTTCATTCGCTTTTATCAGAATTATTTGACACAAAACAGCCTCAATATTATCTATTTCTTTCTTTTAATTTTCTACAATTCTCAAATCCAAAGTCAAAAAAAACAAAAACATTCTCATTCATTACTAAAATTGAAGTCATATTAAAACAAAAAAAACGGTTTTAAAGATCTTTACTGAGTTACAATCAACCGTTTTATTCTCATTCAATTCATACACTTTCCTCAATTTATTTAAATTCACACAACCATTTTTAATAATTATTATTGATCTTCACGCTATTAATTCTTCTATTAAAAAATCTAATTACTAACCTCGTTTGCCTATCTACATAATAATCTAAACTGTTTTTTTTTTTTGTAATTTCCTTACATCCAATTTTTCTCTATTTTACTTCCTTTTATACATTTTAAAAATTCCAAATTATATACAACCATATGAAATTATATAAACTCTGTAATTCATTGTAATCAAAATTGTCTACAATAAAACTAAATCTCTACATCTCTGTAAAATATAAAATGGGTTTGTTTTTTTATTCAATACCATCAGAGCAAATAATTTATTCATTTTTAACCAATCATTCCGTTTGATTTGTAACAAATTATAATAACTTTCCAGATGCTGCCTTTTTATAAATTTAATGAGAGATAAAAATCAAAAGTTAATAATATTCAAAATTTAAACGTCAGTTTGAACGCCTTTGATAATATTTTTATCAAAATATTAATTAAATTCAACTCACACCACAAATTCTTACAATTTACATCCATACGACTTACGAAATTAAGTTGTATTATTAAAATTATTATTAAAAAAAAATGTTAAAATTATTATTAAATCTCTATATATCATAGACTATCTATTATACATTTTAAATTAACCAAAATGAAAATTAAATGAACTGAATTAAACGTATCCAAAATAAGTAAAGAAAAAAAAAACATAACAAAGACAATGTAACATGAAAATTTCAATAAAAATAATAAAAATAAAAATAAAGCAAAATATCGAAAACCAATAAAAGAGAAAAACAATAATAATTAAATAAAGAATATAAATAAATCGTTCAAAAAAATTAATTCAAAAGAAAAAAAACAACCCCCCCCCCCAAAACATCATTAGAAAAAATTGAAAATTATTAAAATTAGTCATTCATTTACTACAGATATAATTGTCTGTTTGATGTAGTGAGAAATCCATTAATTCTCTTTTTAAATGAAAGTAATCTGGATTTCTTTGGATTGAAAAATTTATCTTCTTGGTTATCCAAATTTAATGTTTCAAGACTATCTGTGGATTTCAGCATTTTCAATTCACGAGGAGGATTAATATCCTTAGGGATGTCTTCCACATGAGATTGTGAAACTAATGTTGAAACTGTTGATGATAATGAAACCAGAGGAACAGTATAGTTGGAAAATGGTGATGATGATAAAGAGGTATCGAATAATGTCATATTTGCATCGCTCAAGTTAGTTATTGTAGGCTCAATGATGGAACTCACAGCAAAATGATCATCAAAATCCGGTTGGTAATAGTAGTCATCAGGAAATTTCATTAATGGATCAACACCACCTTGCAATATTGTATTGGCTAAATATGAATATAATCTTGACCACAAATCTTCTAGTTCAACGGTAAAACAGACACCAAATCTATCTTGAAATGTCTTTAAAAAGGCTTCACCCATTAATTCAAAATGAGGGGGCTCAATACCCAAGAGTCTTGAATGTCTTCTACCTAATTGAATCAAGTAATCGTCTAATAGTGATAGGTTTTCTAGATGAGTTATAGCAGTGCTTAATACACCAGAGTAGGCTACAGCCTGGTGTTTTATTGAGGGATACATCTCTTCTAATTCTGGGGCCATTGATAGCAAATTATGATAAAATTGACGACAAAATAGTGAAGAAGCTAAAGCAGTTACAGGTGGAGCAGAGAAATCATGATTATAGTCTTCATCGCTCGATTCATCTAATAACATTTGATTCCAAGACGATCTTATTAATTTGATTTCGTGGGGAGTTAATGTTAAAAGAGTTATTACCTTTGTAGGTTCTTCGACAGTTATTATATTTTTATCGGAAAACATGAGGTTATTATTATTATTAGTATTGATAGAAGCGATGGTATTGATGCTTGATGAACGACTAGTGTATGTTTTATTGGATTTAGACAGTATTGATATTGTTGAAGCGTTCAAATTATGACTATTGTTATTAGGATTGTTATGAAAATTATAAGCTGGTGAGTTATCAGGGGATAAGTTGAAATGTTTTAAAGAATTTTCAGTATTAGAAGAGTTTGGGAATAATTTTTTTAAGGAAAAATTTAAAGAGGAGGAATTTGTGATATTTTTATTTGAGTGGGATCGTGAGTTTTGGCTATTGAAGCTTTTAATAGTTGACGAAGACGAGAGTATAGATTGGTTATCATAGTCATTATTATTAGAATTATTAAAGTTATTATCCGGGATGATATTGAAATTAGCATTTAAATTAGTATTAAAATTAATGTTATTAAAATTAATATTATTATTATTAAAATTATTATTTGTAATATTAATTTCATTATTCGTACTATGGTTGGAATCACTTGAAATTAAGTTTGAAAAGGAAGTTGAATTAGCATGTATTCTGCTATTGATACTTTTTATTGAATTTTTAGCAGAATAATGGATATGATTATTAATTTGGTTATTAGTATGATTAGTATTGAAATTATTATCAAATTCGTTTAATTTCCCGGTATTTTGGCTAATGTTGTAATTGTACATTTTATTGTTGTTCATGTTAAAGATTGCTATTTTTCCCATATTAAAAGTTTGAGGCGTGAAGATTTGAGTGATAGATAAAAGAGGTATTATTGATTAAGTTGGGAAAAGGGTATTAAAGATGGGTATTAAAGATGGGATAAAATGGATGTAATTTTTAAGGAAGATTAGAGATAAGTATGTTATCAAGTGAAATGAGTAGAGTCTTAATGTATTTGTGTATTTGTGTAACGGTTTAATGTAAATTTCTTTCTTTCTTTCTTTAGTATATTATTTTTATTTTTTATTTTTTTTTTATTTTTGATAGAGAGAAAGCGAAATTGAATCGAAAATAAAGGAATAATCAAGAATATATATGAATATGTATGAATATATATGAGCAAAGCGAGTATTTAAAATGTGAAATGGATATTTGAAGTAACCAAATCAAGAAAGAAAAGCACTCCTGTTAAAAAAAGAAGATTTCCTTTTTAAAACTGTGTTCATGAGTTTTGCATGAAAAATAGCAAAAATAATAAAAAAATCATCTAAGGAAATCTTAAAAAAACCAAGAAACTCACTAAAAGAACTGAAAAAAATGGCAAAAAAATGTAGAGAAACTGGAAAAGAATTTAAAAATTGGAATAAGATAATAAATATTTTAACAAATTTCTAATATTATTAATATTTTTAATAATGTTTTAATAATTTTTAAATAATTTTGGAATTATCAAATCATATTCGTTTTAAGAGTAAAAAAGTGAAAAGAAAATTGTGTTTATGATCAGTTATAATCGAATTTTTTAGTAAGATTTCAGGAAATAATTGGGAGACGAAATAAACTTTGTACATTTCTGTACACAATATTCATTTGAAGAATTCAATCGAGAGCCAATGAAGACGGTCTTTTACAGGAAGGTAATTTTAGATCTGCACAAGGAAGAAAACATTGTCAGAGCTGGAAACCTAAAGAAGATGGAGAGGTTGTATAAAGAGGTTAGAAGACAAGCCTGGAGCTTAGAGCATTAAATGTGGTTAGGAAAGTTGGGAAAGTTGGGGGGTTGCAAGAGAGTTGAAGCCGATAATAATGTAGTAATCTAATGATAGTGGTGATCTAATAGCAGTGGTGATTCTATGTGAAATAGATATGAAATTAAGAACATAAAGCTCATGGATGAGTAAAAGAATAAGGAGAATGGGATAAACAAGTTTATAACCAGAGCAATTGATGATAGATTTTCAGAACTATCGATAAAGGCCTTAATGGTATGGATGAGCTTTCCCAGCATCCAGCATCAGGCCCACGCACGTATTGGGCTGCTCCCGGTGGGCACTATCAGGAAAAACACCACTGCTATGGAAGCAGGAGACCAAACAGAGGAGAAACACAACAGCACGCAGCTACTCGCCGTAACACGCAGCACAACCACCACCAATGGCGGGCAAGCGCAGACAAATTGAATCTGTGTTATAAGGACGATGCAAACTTAATATTTCGCGTCTCAACGCAACAGTATGCATTACGCAAGCGAGCGCCATAGCAAACAAGCGAACCTAGGCCAGTGGTGATGTTGGGAATAGTTCTCGTTGCGTCTTGGATGGAGAACCATTTTTGCTACTGAAATGTAAGAACCAAATAGCCCATGTTCAAATACACGGGTCACTTGATTGTTGGCACGGTTTGGATTGCTGGGAACAAATCAAAGAAGAATCAGCTATGTTGAAATAATATCCAACACAAATTTGTTGAAACTCTCCGATTTTCACTGCTTGGAAATACACTTTACAATTGATTCAGAGCAAGCAGCACAGCTCATATGATTTTGATAGACGAAGTGGATTGCAAGCTAGAATACTGGATACAAAAGATAAAAACGGATTTCAAAAAGATAGTAGCCTGATTACAAACAGGTTAAAGAACCATCCTTAGTTTTAGGGCTCTAACAAAAAAACACCATTTTCCGGATGGCAAGCGTTTATATTTCACCTACCGTTGACTATACGGCCTTTCATTGGCTGGACCAGTTCTGTGATCTGCAAGCGCAAGCGTAAATGCAAGCAACGGAGTAAGCTACCAAAGACTGAGGGCCGAGCTGATAACGTGAACATCCTCCAATGTCCGAAACCCAGCAAGCCTGATAAAAAATATTCAAGACAGGGTTAAGGATAACAATACCAAAAGTACTCCAAGATCAGGTGCATTCATTGACGGCTTCGTATTCCACTGACGGATTTTGCAGTGTGGGTGTTTGTACCGCAATTCGATACGCGTACAGAACACATCCCATTGACAGAGGGTAATAGGTCCAGATTTGCTGCATCCACTGCAAGATTTCTGCTTCTATCGGTGTGCACATGTGGGATACGGTGGGACGGGCGGCTAGCGGTTGCTGGACGGGTAGATGACTTTGAGTCATCCCCCATTTTTCAAGCGGTTTGGTGTTTGTGGGCAGTTTCCCAAAAGAGGTGGAGCTACCCCAGGTTTTTGATTGTTTTCTACTGCTCGGCCTTAAAGAGAGAGAAAAGTGCCTGGAGCTCGACTCTAGAAAAGAAACCCATATCATTCAACTATGCAGTGCTTGTTCACTCTCGCAAAACGCAAATGTCTGACTTGATATCATTAAATCAACTTTAGGTGGGCTTTTGCCAATAGCGAGTTGGTATTTGCAGTCTTTTGTATAGCTGCATTACTTTATCTCAGGAGCTGGGTTGGGCTAGTGATTGATAGTGAATTTTTTGGCAATTTTCTTTTTGCTGCCAATTGACTTTTCCAGGCATTTTCTCATGTTATATTTTATTAATATAAAAGAAGAGTGATTCTCTATCTCTCTGTCTTTTGCTTTTATTTATTTATTTGCCTGTTTATCCATCTATACCACACAAACAATTCAATTCAATTCAATCCATTTAATCCACTCAATCTCAGTTCTCTTAACTAATCTCATCTGTTTGATTTATTTCACTCAACCTCAACCTCAATCTCAATCTCACTATCTCATACAATTCTCCAATAATGTGTCGCAGAGCTATTTGTCCATTTTGTCGTCAAAGATCTTGGTCTCCCTGCGACGTTCCTGAAGCTTCTCATGTTCACCAAGTCATGGATTCCTCTCCCAAAGACACCTGGTGCTGTTGCAAAAACGTCAGCGATGATTTGATCGAATCTAACGACGATTTAAGAATCGCTTATCCTCCAAGATCTGGTACTGGTCATGCAAGAAGACTATCTTTTTCTTCTTCGTCCTCTTTCTCAGGCGAAAGACCCTTTCACTTCAGAACAACGTCGACTAGCTCAGCTACTCATGAAGATGCTATCTTAGACGAAGAAGAACCAGCTATTCCAACTCTGCGTTTTGGCATTCAAAGAGTCAGAGCCTTATAAAGCCCATGTTCAAATCAGACATTTACTACCAATATTAATAAAACAAAGATATTTTATTGCTTCAACTACTAACTAAAATATCCTTTTTAATAATACCAATTTCCCATTCTCAATTCTTTTATTTCGATTCTTTTTATCTTCTTTCTTTCTACTTATTTGTTTATCTATCTATCTATCTATCTATCTATCTATCTATCTATTTATTTTACTTTTACAATGTTGCTTTACTCTCACATTATGTTCATATATACCTGGTTCTTACTCTATGATGGCTATCTTATAATACGCATTGCTTGTTTTTAATTATCATTAATATATTTCACTATCTATATAGATAAATTTAACGATTTTTACAATTTTATGTCTCTAAAACCAATTCAAATTCAAATAAAACAAAAAAAGACGAAAAAAAGAAGGAGCCCTTCACTTATCTTCAATAATACCCTATTCAACTACAATATAATTACAAACCACACACAAATTATCCAGAGATTGTGCTCGTTTTCTCGTCTTGTAAATCTAATATCAAAAGTGGATAATTTTCTTTGGTATATATGACCAACTCAAATCTTATCTCTTCAGCTCTTTGTTTTATCCCCTACTCACTTAATTAACTTCACCAATTAGTTCCAATGCGATTTTCAATCTGATATCATAGCAATTATCCTCAGACTCTTTTACTCCTTCACAATCTCTTCTGATTCGCTGCTTTCTTGTTTATTATTTGAGAATCCTCATTGAGGAGACCAAAGATTCTCTTTCAATCATCGAATCATTTCTAATCGTCTTATTTTATTATTTCCTCATCCTTATGTTCTTATTTGCTTATTTTCTTACACTCCCGATTTAAGTTCACTCCCTAATTTATACCCGAATACTTTTCAATTCGACTTTTAATGATAAGAAAAACCCAATATTAAATCTCAAAACACAACTCAATTGAAACTCCAATTATCGACAAATTCATATCCACATCGATTTGCCAAAAATTTAATCATTACAATCATTATAATTCATTATAAATCATTTTGTATATAAAAAAAAAACTAAACAAAATCAACAAAAAAATTATAGAATGAAAAGTTAAAACAGAATGCCTAATAAACCCAAAAATTTTTATGTAAAAGTTAATAACTGCTCTCTTTTATTTGTATTTGTATTATTTTCTTTTTAATTGTTCAACTCCCTCCAATTCAACAACAACAACAAAACTAGAAATCAATTTTTTCACTTTAATGCATCCATAATATAATATTAAATACCAATTCTTTGGCCATATTTTGACATAAAATGATAAATTAAACAAACAAATAAAAAAAAATGCCTTGAAAGAAATACAATAAAACAATACAAGGAATTATAAATCAAAAACAAACAAATTTAAGAATTTAAAAAGAATTTAAAAATTAAAAGAACTTAAAAAGAACTTAGACTTAAAAAATTAAAAAGAACTTAAAGACTTAAAAAATTATGAGGTTTCAAAAAACTTGAAAATACTTGGGAATCTTTCCCTTTTCAACAATGAAAACCACTGACAACAGTAAATGATACAAAAAAAATTATAAAAAAGATTATATCAATTAGATTTTAGTTCGGAAATATCACCATTTTCGTTAGCGTTTAATCCCATGACATTTAAAAACAAATTTAAGTGCTTTAATTTCTTAATTGACTCTTCTTTGAAATACACATTATCTTCATGTTCTTGTAGTTTTTTAGCAAATGTCACAACCCCAAAAATCTTATCACGTATTTCATCAATAATAATTCTTTGATGTTGTAATTTACCTGATAATGCTAATGAAGCTAAAAATTGCCAAATGTATGAATCATCAAAGGTTAAAACTTTACTAGCAGAGTCTAGATTATCCCCTGGTGATAAAGGTGTCAAAGAACGAGATATTGGCGATGATACCAGATCTTTTGAAACATTAAGATTATCGTTACTAGCTCCCTTTGGTTCAGATAATTTTGCTGAACCAGATTCGGTATTCTTCACAAATGATATCGAGTCATCTGTATAAAGATTTTTAGGGAATACTTCTAATAAATTATTTTGTAATAGTCTGAAAAATGTATCATAGATTTGATTCCAAATAACAATATCATTAACAGTCAATCCAGCCATGGACTTTGATGTATTTAATATCGAGGCATCAACTTGTTGTTTCAAAAGTTCAACTTTAGAAATCAAAATGGTCAACAAACTTAATCCAATTTTATTATTCAAGAAATGAATAATAGATGGCTTATCATCGCTATAATTTGAATTTCTAACATGAAAATTGTTTAATAAAATCATCAATGTTTTAATAATTTCATTAAAGGATAATTCATTTGAAATAAAATTCAAAATGTTCTTAGATCCAAGGTTTAAGAACAAATCAACTTTTTTATCAATACTGTTTTGTTTCTCAGTGCTTGATTTATAGTAATTTTTGTAACTACTTTCTTTGACAACATTTAAAAGATGGAATTTTTCATACAATTTTTGGACAATGCCGAATTTCTCATCATGTGAAAGATAGTGAAATAATCTTGGAATAAATTTAACACCTTTATTGTAATTTAACATTAAAACAAAGAGATTGTTTTCAATTTCATAAGATTCATCTAATAAAGAATTTGAATTTGAATTTGAATTTGAATGACTCATTTGAGTTGAATCATTAATATGTAAGGATTTCCATAAATTAGCTGTATTGATTTCCTTTTGAGCTCTCTCCAAGGATTCTAAGATTAAAACTTCAGAATAAACAACTTCAATACAACCAAGAACAACTTTAGGAGTTAATTTTTTAATGTTGAGATTTGATGAGATATTAGGAGATAATAAGTTTTGATTATTAATTGAAACCGAAGTAATAATTGGGGTTGAAAGATTGCTTTTAGAATCGTGAGAATTAATGGAGTCATTTTCGGTTTTTAAAGAATCTTCAATTCGAGAATGAGATTCCTTTGGAGAATCGACTTTTTCCAAGATTTCTAATTTCTTTCTAGGCATTTTTCCACTAGCAAAGGCGATTTTACCCAATGAACCATCCCTGGATAATTGACCTGATTTTGGTCTTTCTTTTGCGACAGTGACAGCTTTTTGAACCTGTTGTTGCATTCTTTGTAAGGCTAAATCGACTCTTTTATGCCTACCACCTAATCTATGACCCGAGTTTTCCAAGTAATATTTAGCAATTTGATTTAATTCGGAATCAGAGTTCAAACCATTATTTGAATTAATAGCTTTATAAATCTGGAAATAAAAATCTTCGTTATAAGGATCTTCAGTAACAATTTGAGCCAATTGAAACCTTGTAACAAAATCTTTGTCACGAGCATTCATTATATTTGAATATTTAATTATTCTAGCAATTTTGTTTGATCTTTTGATTAATCTTTCTCTTTCTTCTGGAGAAAAGTCTTCAGAAACTGATTGTTGATGATACTGATTATGATGATATTCAGAGTGTCTTGGGGATTTGACATTACCTGAGCTATTGTTGTTACGATGATATAGTTGTTTATTGTTATGAGTAGTATTATTGGGATTATTATTGTTTGTGTTTAAGTTGTTATTATTTTTTGAGGGTTCAATATTTGAGCCAAGAACTGGGAATTGAGTTAAATCTAGTTTAGGCTGTTGTTGGGGTTGTGATGGTGGTGTTGGTGCTGATGGTTGTTGTTGTTGTCTGAATGGTTGTGATTTGTTGGTAGATGAAGGGAGTAGTTGGTTTGGTTGAGGAATTTGTTTTTCGACTTGAGGAATTTGGTTTGGTTGAGAGGGTTGAGTTGGTTGAGAAATTTGAGAAGTTTGTGGAACTTGAGGAACTTGTGGAACTTGGAGGGCTTGAGGGAAATTTTGAAAATTTAAAGGAGGTAACATTAAATTCATGTTTGGATTCATATTGGGAAGGGTTGGCAAATTTGGATAACTTAATATATTTTTATTAATGGTATTATTAGTAATTTCATTAATGTTATCAGTTAAAGCAGCATTTACTTTCATATTGAGATTATTAACAGTAGATAAATTCATATTCATGTTATTAATGTTTAAGTTGTTCAAGTTGTTCAAGCTGCTTAAATTGGACAAGTTGGAGAAGTTGGAGATGTTATTTGAGTTAAGATGGTTATTTATCATAAATTGAGAAATTGGAATATTTGAGTAATAGTTTGGGGGTAAATTGTTTGAGTTATTTGATTGGTAGTTGATGTAATTTGCAGGAGGAGGGATATGATATGGTTGTTCCCGAGATTGCTGGGATTGTTGTTGTTGTTTTGAAGTCATTTGGGCTTCAAGTTCTTCTAAGGAAATGATATTTTTTGTATTTTGGGGTTGTTGAGGTTGGGGTTGGGACCATAGAGAGGCTAGAGGTTTAAAGGCGTCGTCGTCGTCGTTAATATCTAAAGAGTTTAAAGAGGATTCGATACTGAAACCTTGGAGTGGTTGTTTTTGTTGTTTTTTTTGTTTTTGTTGCTGTTGTTTTTGTAAAGGTTTATTTGAAGCTTGAGCGTAAGTTAGATTTTGATGGGTTGAAACTGGTTGTTGTTGAGGTTGTTGTTGTTGTTGGTGAGCACCAAAATCAAAGTCCTTGCCGATCTTGATGTCATCAGCGAATGTTTCATCATTAAATAGGTCGTCATCTTGATCATTTAAACCATCATAAGTGTCTTCAAAGTCATAAATTTGGTTAGAGTTTCTATTCTTTGAGAATTTGTCATCTAACCCAAAAAAGGACATTTTGGAGGAAGGAAAGAGAGGCGAGCTGGATGAACCAGATGGTTTTGAATGAAGAAGTGGATTTACAATTGAGCGAGCAGGGGATACGAGGGATATGGGGATATTAAGAGGATTTGTAGGTGGGATTTGGTGAAACAGAAGAAGGAGAAGAGGAGAGGGAGAGGGAGAGGAAGAAGAGGAAGAAGCAAAAGAAGAGAAATTTTTCTTGTTAAAAATGGAACGGTGTTCGGATGAATTGCTCAATCGGGAAGACGATATAATAGAGATGGAGGAATTTTATTTATGGTTGATTTATTTTTTTTTTTTTTTATTTATTTGTTTTTTTGACTGGATATATAGTTGGGTTGTATATATATATAAGAGATCTATTTATGTTCTATTGTGTGGAGTGGAATGGTTTGAATCTTCCTGCTCTTTCTAGCAGATCGTTTTGAAGGAAAAACGCTGGGTAGTGATCTTGAAGAGGATCATTTATGGGGATGAAGTCGAGGTTGTTTTTATTGTTTTTGTTGTAGAGATGGGTAAAGTATTTTTGAATTGAGGAGTTGTTGGAGTGGTTTAGAAGAGCGAACTTGATTTTAAGTAGGTTTGGATTTTTTATTGTTGAGTTGGTACCACCAAGGGAGGTATAACCCAAGTTATAGAGACTACAGTAGTTGATTTTGAGAAAGAGAATAAAAAACCAGATATTTTTCAAGTTCCAGTTTAGAATCGGGTTTATTCTTATAAAGGAGGGCCAGTTATTATCAGTGTTTTGGACAAAGTTCAAGTGTTGGGAATAGGGATCGTTTTTCCTTACGCCAATGAGGATTGCTTTTTTTGATGGGAATTTGGAGAGGTAGTTTCTGAAGCCCTGGATTAAATCGCAGGAGTAGTTTGTTAGATGTAGATGGTAAGAGAGTGTGGAGGCGTCGATGAAGGAGTCTAGATCAGAGAAGTTGTGTTCGTAGTTTATATATATGGAGTCCAAAAGAGGTTTTTTTGAAAAGTTTTTGTTGCTGTTGTTGTTGTTGTCAGTGGTGGTGGTGGTTGCTAGCTGTGACAAGTAGAGGATTAGTAGCACCAAACAGTCTTTTCCACCATTGTAGCTTATTGATAGCTGGTTTAAGTGGTACACATTCAACTGGGAGGCGATCACCCGAAGGGACTCTCTGATCTTTGATTTTGTGTCGTTTCGTAAGCTGTTTATCTGGACCAAGTCGTCGTGGTTGAACAACGAGCTGTGTGTGTCGTCGTTGGAGGTTGGAAACTCATGGTTCAAGTCATGTAAGGTCAAATCGGTTGAATTCAAAAACAGATTGATGAGATCGAGGTAGAAGTGGCATATTGAGGGTAGATCGTGTTTGTTGGTGGTCATCGTTGCAGTTGCGATGGACAGTGGAATGCGGTCTTCAGAGCAGCTAAGAAACAAAAGCAAGAACAGCGATGGTGTTGGTGGTGGAGATGGAGATGGTGTTGGTGTTGGTGATAACCTCCTTCAAGCTGAATCGCTTTGATATTACTTCCTGATACCCACCGGGGTGGACCTGACCCGAGCCACGCACGCCGCACGTGCGCACGCGTCCGACAAACACCGGCGAGTGCGGAATAAGAGACACCGGCGACCGTCCGGTCCGCAACCGCGCCACGCCGGCCACCGCTGCAGACACGTGCGCACGTGCGCTGCGGTGCCAGTGCGTTGGGTCCTGCACGGACCACGCAGACCAAAAGTGCCAGCGCAGCGGGAGCAGCCCAAAAGCGATTGCAACAATAGCACTTTTCTACTTCTGCTCTGTGAAGAAACTCGCTACTAAAAACTACTAAAAACTACTAAAAACTACTAAAAACGCTATTAAAAACGCTATTAAAAACACCATTAAAAACACCAATATAATTAGCCCAACATTGCATCTCTTTTCACTGGACTTCTCTTCTTCTCTTTCTTTGAATAACCCGTTACGCTTTCTCTAACTACCTAGCTAAACATCTTTTTTTCTCTGGTTTTTCTCTTTTGCTTGTTTTCTTCCACATCGTTGTTTCATTCTCATTATCATTATCATTTTTCATTCTATCTCTCCATTTCCATTTTCACTCTATCTCTTCATTTCCTTTTTTATTTCTTTCCATTTTCATTTTATTTCTTCATTCTGCTTCTATCTCTTCTTCTTCCTTCTCTTCTTCTCTTCTTTACTCTCACGCACCTCTACTCCTTTTCTTTCTCCTTCCCTCCCTCTCTCTCCTCCACTTGATTTCCTCTAATGAGTAATAGAGCCATAATAAGTCAATCCAATCTAATCCAAAATTCCTCCTCTAATATCAATCTATCCAAACTCAACATGAACAACCCCAACATCAATACCTCCAACATAAACTCCACCTCCAAGTCTTCAAATTCAAAATCCTCAAATTCAAACTCAGTCGTTGGTTCCCACTACAAAATCGGCAAGAAAATTGGCGAGGGCTCCTTTGGTGTCATCTTTGAAGGCATCAACATCATCAACAACGCTCCCGTCGCCATCAAATTCGAACCCAGGAAGACTGAGGCTCCCCAACTACGAGACGAGTACAGAACCTACAAATACCTCTCCGGCCTAAATGGCATCCCCAAGGCCTACTACTTTGGCCAGGAGGGCCTCCACAACATCCTCGTCATCGACCTCCTAGGTCCCTCTCTAGAAGATCTTTTTGACTGGTGTGGCAGAAGATTCTCTGTAAAGACCACTGTTCAAGTCTCTGTTCAAATGCTCACCCTCATTGAAATCCTCCACAACAGAGACCTCATCTACAGAGACATCAAGCCTGACAACTTTCTCATTGGCAGAAGGGGAATGCCCGATGAAAATTCAATCCACCTAATCGACTTCGGTATGGCCAAACTCTACAGAGACCAACGAACAAAACAACACATCCCTTACAGAGAAAAAAAATCCCTTAGTGGCACTGCCAGATACATGTCTGTCAACACTCACTTGGGAAGAGAACAGAGCAGAAGAGACGACCTCGAAGCCCTAGGCCACGTCTTCTTCTACTTTCTCAGAGGCCAATTACCATGGCAAGGTCTAAAGGCCCCCACCAACAAATTGAAATATGAAAAGATTGGTGAAAAAAAGAGAACAACCCCAGTTCTAGAGCTATGTGCTGGGTTGCCTAGGCAGTTCTCCCAATATCTAGAAAGTGTTCGAAACCTCCCCTTTGACGCTGAGCCTGACTACAAAGCCTACAAAGAACTTCTCCTATCTGCCCTAGACGACATAGGCGAGAAGCCTGATGGCCAGTACGACTGGATGAAGCTCAACGCCGGTAGAGGTTGGGACTATTCCATCAACAAGAAGCCAAATCTACATGGCTATGGCCATCCTACTCCTCCTGGTGAAAGAGATCGTCACCATCGTCACAGCCAACAACGAAAGGCTCTCACAAATCTTGCTGCTGCTGCTCAACAAAATATCAAATCTCCAAACCTCACCAACCTCAATTCAAAATCGAACAACAATAACAATAACAACAATACTAATACTAATAATAACACCACAAATATCAACTCTCCTCCAAATAATAACACCCTCTTGCAACAACAGCAACAACAACAACAATATCTTCAACAAAACCAGATAAAACAATCTCAAATTAACCAAAACAACGTCCTCAATAGTAGATCCAACATTGGTTCTCCCCAACTCCAACAAAGAAACTCTCAGCAAATTCGCAACTCTTTCACCAATTCCCCTATCGACTCAAATCCACACATCAACGATCCCAATAACACTTTTATCAATTCCAACACTAATAACATCAGCAATACCGCTGTTCTTCATCTCAATAACAACAATAACTCAAACTTTTCAAATTCTGCCTTGAAAGCTCGTAATTCTCAAATTAAATCCTCAAATAAAAACCAAGAATCTAAAAACAAAAAATCGGGTTTAAAAGCAAAATTTTCAAAAATCTTTTGTTTCTAAAAGACTCTTAAAAATTACACTTAAAAATTATACTTAAAAATTATACTTAATAATCTATTTTATAAATTTCATTTAATTCTTATTGATTTTTATTTATTCTCTCTCTTTTTTTTTCCTCCAATATTTATTAATATTTCTCAGTATTTTCTAGTATTTCTTTCTACACTTTAATGCCTAATTCTTTATTGATTTGACTTTGAAACCGGTTTCTTATCATTTCTTTACATAATTACATTACATTATTAGTATTATTACTATTTCTATATCTATAACTTTATTGTCGATCATTTTTTATTTTTTTATTTTTTTATTTTTTTATTTTTTTATTTTTTTATTTTTTTATTTTTTTATTTTTTTATTTTTTTATTTTTTTATTTATTTTTATTTTTATTATTATTACTATTATTATTATTATTTCAAAATTTATAAAATCTGATTAGCTGTTTTTTTTTACTTTATTTTTACAATATTTTGTTTAAAATTTTTATTGTTTAATTAATAACATTTTTTCTTTTGTTTGTAGATAATTCTCGTTAATATCAATAATAATAATAATAATAATAATAATAATTATATTTAAAAAAAAATTGTATAAAAATTATATAAAAATTATATAAAAACCACTCGCTCTTGTCATTTCATTTCATTTAATCTAATCTAATTTTATCTTATCTTATCTAATCCGTCTAATCTCATCTTTATAATTAAATGGTCTTTTTCCTTTTCCTTTTCTTTTTTTTGTCTTTTTCTTTTTCTTTTTTTTGTCTTTTTCTTTTTCTTTTTCTTTTCTTGGTTCATATGTCTGCACCTCTAACAATATATAATATATCTAAATCCCTTATCTCTTTAATAACTCTTCCATTGGGCAAAATATAAACAATCTCATCGTCGTTTTTAGGCACCTCATCGTCTCTAATCTTTCGAAAGATTGATAACCTGAATTTTTTATCATTAATTTTATTATTCTCATTCTTTATTTTAAGTTCATCAGCTATGTAATCTAAAACCCTACCAACGGGCCAAGTTTTAGAGAAATACATTGGCTTTAATATTTCTTTATTCATGTTTTTATTAAAAAATTCCTCAATTGTTTTCTCGTTTTTAGTATCGTCATTATTATCATTAAAATCTGGAATCTTAACAACCCAAGCATAAATTCTAGAAGAAACTGGAATCTTAGGATCGCCCTTTGCATTGGTTTTCAATTTTGATAATTCAATTATTCTTTGAGTTGAAGTTAATCTCTTTGCAGCTATTGTATTCTTAGGAGCAGCGGCGGCAGCACTAGATTTGGTTGAATAAGTTGCGCTAGCTGTACTGGATGATTTGTTCTTATTAAACGATAAAGGATTTTTAATATTTTTAAATGAAAAAGAGTTGCCAAATGATTTTTTGTTGTTTTTCTTTAGTTTTTTTTCCACTTTAAGAAAGAATTTGATCTTATTAAAAGCATTGACTGAGAATAGCTTATCATTGCTTTTTATCTTATTCTGGTTATTATTCTGGTTATTGTTGTTAAGTAATTTAGTAGATGAGCTAACTTTGTCTGATTTTATTTGAGTTTGGTTGTTTTTTTCATAGAAAGATTCGTTGAATTTCTTTCTATCAGGAAATAAGGAGGCAACACTTTGTTGGTTATTCTTGTTTGCCATGAGCATTTTCTTGCTGGAACCATCATTCTTGGTTTCACTTGGTTTATCCCCAAACTTGCAATAATGATCTGAGATCGATCTATGATTAGAACATAAAACCAACTTGCATTTTGAACAGGTAAAGGGCAAGAAGTCCAACTGGCCACAGAACTCGCAATGCTTTCCAATATCCATTAAACCATCTGGACTAGGGCTTGTGGCAAACTTGGTTGGCGAGGTGAAGGAAGAACTTGAATGCAAATTATCTCTGGACATTGAGAACTGTGCTGTGCTTTAATCGCAGGCAGTGATAGTGAGCTGAGATCAAGAAGAAATGCAGTTTATCTCCGACTATCAGCTGGGTCGTGGGAAGAAACAGAAGCTGCTGTATATATACACTTGCAATTGCTAGCCATTCACAGCCTGTGTCTCATTACTAATGTCCTTTTTTTTTCTCTTCTCTTCTCTTCTTTTCTCTTCTATTCTCTTCTCTTCTCTAGAGCATTACTAAGCCTGTGCTGCTTCTGCTGCTTCTGCTGCTTCTGCTGGAGAATGGTGGCAACTTCTGCTTTTGGCAGGTGCTTATGTGTGGCTTGTAATCCATATCAGCACGTGTTGACTTCCGAGGGTACATATAATCAGTTTTTTGGGCAGATCGAAAAGGCGAAGGTTGAGCAAAGAGGTTGAGTGAAAAGTTGGCGCTGAGATGCTGAAGATGCTTTGCGACTTGAATATTCCCTGGCCCCAGACAGACTACTCCAGAAAGCCCTCGGCAACGGAAATCGATGAGCTAAAGCAGATTGTCTTGATCTTGGAAGAGTTCAGCTACACTCATATTGCGTTCAATTTCCAGCTAAATGCTGACACCAAATTACCTGATGATATAAACAATGTGAATCCGATAAACTTGAGTCTATTTACAGAGTTCCATGACAGAATCAAGATATATACTCGATTAACGTTTATCGTAGATGATCCCTCAAAATTTCAAAATTTCAAAAAAATATCCAATTATTTTGATATTGTCTCGGTTCAGCCAAAGAGTGAAAAAATATTTACAAACTCAGTATCTGGTTTTGAAATGGATATGATATCTTTTAATTTTTCAGAGAGACTTCCCTTTTTTTTGAAACACTCGCAGGTCTGTGGGGCTGTTAATAAAGGTATAAAATTTGAAATTAATTACTCAACTGTGATATCTGGTCCAAAGGGTTTCATTCAATCAACGATAGATAATAAAAATAATAACCAAAATTCTAAGGATAACATCAATAACAAAGAATTAATGCATTCAAGAAAGATCTTCTTCAATAACGTGAAATCATTAATAAGGACATCAAGAGGCCGAGGACTAGTCTTCTCCAGTGGTGCTGTAAATTCTTTACAAATTAGAAGTCTGTTTGATATCATAAATTTTGCTGTTTTGTTGGGTTTAAAACAATCAAGAGCTAAGACCTCGCTAGATCTTATACCTTCAAAGGTTTTAATAAATGGAAGACTAAGGATAAAGTCTTATAAACAAACTATCATGATTGGAAATGATGTGCTAGATAACCAAAATGAGTTTCAAGATAAAGACGATAACTCCAACGATAATTCAAAAAATAACAAAAATGACAGCAATAATATTAAAAACAGTAAAAATAATAAAAGCAGTAAAAATAATAGCAATAATAGCAACAGCAATAACAAAAGGAACAAAAAACTGAAGAAAACTGAAGAAAACAACTACCAAAATGACTTCACAATCACAAATGATTTAGTTCATACCCATAAAAGGAAGGCTGCTAATATATCTAGCAGTTACAAACAAATCATTAAAAAAGTAAGGACTCTAAATAGTAATATATAATCATTTTTTATTATAGTATTATTGTATACGCTTCTTTTTATATTTATACTTTTGTTTTTTCTTATCGCAGACATTTTGCAGCATTTTAAAACATTCACTGATTTTATTATTTAAGTTTAGTTTATCTCTAGTTCGACCTTTTATTTTGTTGTTTTTTTACTTTGATGACTGATATCCCACTATTCAAAGACTATATTATCATTTCTCTATTGTAAAACAAACAATAAAACAACGAGTAAATCCCAAAAAAAAGAACAGTAAAAAGATAAACAGAACAGGAAATTAAACTTTACTATTCCCTTGGAAGCTTTTATTCTTCAGATTTAATTGACAATGTTTTCCACTTTCAACTCAAAGAAGTCAGCAAAGCATTCGTTGCTTAAAAAAGTTGTTAACATCGAACCTAAAGAGGCTAAAAACAATAAAAGCAATAAAAAAATAAACACCAATATCAACAAAACCATTCAAAATGGTAATATCAATAGCATCAATAATACCACCCATAATGAAAATAATAACCCAGTAATAATTTCAAAATCTCCTTCAATCAGATTTAACAACACTTTAGTTTCTAACAATTTAACTAATAATTCTTTTGCAAATTTGATTCCAAACCCTGAATCAAAACAAATAAGATTTGTTGGGTTATCTCCAAGATCAAGAATGGGCTGTATTGAATGTAAAAGGAAAAAAAAAAGATGCGATGAATCCAAACCAGCTTGTGGATTGTGCAATAGAACAAGAGCAAAATGTGTTTATCCAACTTTTAATCATCACAATCCTACAACTTTTCGAAAAAAAGTAAATAATAAAATTATTAAACTTGAACAAAAACAGAAATTGGAAAAAGCAAAGATGAATAAGACTGTCATAACCTCTGAAAAAATTAATGGAGTTGAAGATGAAGAAGAGAAAATAAAAGAGAGTAAATTAAATGAAAAAAGTGACAAAATAAAAGAGATTGCAATGCCTGATTTTCAAAATGGTTATAATTCCAATGAAATAAAAGCAGCGAATATAAGTCCAAAATTGAATTCAATTTCTAAGGTAAGATCATCTAGTTTTTCAGAGATAAAGGAAAGATCTAATTCTAGTTCACCAGTGACTGATTTGGTTATACCTGAGTTAGTAAGAAGAACCAATTATAATAGTGCTTCAAGTGATGTATCATATAATAATAATAATAATAATAATAATAGCTATAGCAATAATTATAACGATAATTATAAAAATAATCATGACGATAGTCATAACGATAATCATAACGATAATTATAATAATAATTATAATAATAACTGTAATAATTGCAGCAGTAATTTAATGAAATTTAATGATTTATTCAATTTGAGTACCAATGATTTATTGGGATTTTTGGGTTATACTAATAATTTGAATTATGATAAATATTTTAATAATCATACTAATGGCATTGTTATCAATAATGAAAATAATGAACATAATGAAGATAACAGTAATAACGATAGTAAACCTTATAGTAAAGAAGAATTAATTAAAATATTAATTAAACAGAAGATTATGAAATATTCTACTAATATATTGAATAAGAAGATTCCATTATATTATTTACCTAAATTTGGAAATGAATACTCTAATGATAAGTCCATAATTTTTTTAGAATATTATTGTGAAAATGTGGCCAAATCATTTTCAACAGTTTCAGAGGATTATAATTATTTTTTAAAAGTTTATTTACCAATGGCATCAAATAATGAATCAGTTTTGTATTCATTAATTGCATGGGGAGGAAAATTTTTAGGGGATGAGGGCAGTAAAGAGTATTGGGATAAGTCTATTGAATTACTAAAAATACAGTACGATAAAGTATTTGAAGGGTTTAATGAGTATAAAAAACGGCAAAGATTACTTGAATATAATAATGGTAATGATATACAAATAAATCAGAATTATTTTAAATTGTTTTCAAAAGAAAGAGAAGAGTTATTACATACATTAGCATGTGGTACTATTTGTGTTGCTATACAAATATCTACTGGTGATATTGAAACATGGGATAAATTATTTGAGATTTGCAAAGAATTGATTGAAATTAGTGGAGGAATCAAGAGTTTGACGTATACAATGGAGGAGAAATGGCTAGTAAGTAATTTCTCATATCATGATATCTTATCATCGATTAGTAATGAAAATGGGACTATCTTCACGACAAAGGATTACAACGAGATTTATGAATTGAATGATGTAATCTATGGAATAGATCCATTACAAAGTTGTTTGAAACCATTGTTTTTAGTAATGGGTGAGATAATCAATTATTCAATTCAGTTCAAGAAGAAAATATATTCCAAAAATGGGAAAAATGAAGAAAGGTTTCAATTTAATAAAGAATTAAGCAAAAATGAAATTTTGGACAAATTAACTGAAAATGAGATTAAATTTAAAGAGTTTGAAAACAAGATCAAGGAGAGCAAACCAATACAAAGCGATTTACAATTTTTTAAAAGCAGTAAAGATATGGAGGAGCACTTGACTCTATTTGAGTTATTCCAAATGACATTGAGGCTATTTCTAAGACAGGTATTGAAAAACTATTCATCAAATAATATTGACATTCAGTATTTGTTGATTAGGATTAATTTTTTGCTAGATTTTTTGATTGGGTCGTCGGTGAAGTCTGCCTTGTTGTTTCCCATGATAATGGCAGGAATTAACTCTGTGGACGAAAACGATCGAATTGCAAATCTAGAAAGATTTGACCAGTATTGGAACAACAACTACCCAAGATCAGGGAACATCAAGCTAGGGAAGATTGTTGTGGAGGAGTCATGGAATATCAATCCTATTGGTAATTTGTGTGTGAATTGGTACGAAATAGCAAAGAGTCTCAACTGGAGCTTGAATTTGGCGTGAATTCTGCCAATGCTCCTAGATATATGCAAAGATACAACAAGGACCAATATACTATACCTCTATATACTACTATAACATACTTTAGAACGACGAGATGCTCCAACCCATCTCCCATCGCTATCTCCACCATCTTTCAGATATTATATCTGCAATCTAACTGAGTAAGGTTAGAAGCCCCGTTTTCATGTCTCGTTCCGTTCGTTCCACAAAACCTCAGTTTCGAAGCTCGACTTTTCTCTTCATCGAAAATTGCAGTTTCTCATCAGTGCTGTGTATTCATAAACCGGACCTCAATTGTATCGAAGCCTGTATTCCATCAAGTGGCCTAAGATTCTTTCTCTGTCTTCAAGATGTCTCAGTATGTTTTGTTCTTCAACATTCGTGTAATCAGCCCATTTATGCTACTTACTAACACCCTGATATTTGTGAAGAGTCTTTTCCAACTCTACGTTGTCAAATCTTGTTGCTGACTCCACTTTTAAGGCAACATACAACAACATTTCCAACTTGTCCAGCACAGGCTTGCACTTGAATGTCCTCGAAAAACTCTGGGCCTCATACTATTGTTACATTTCCAATGACATCTTTGCGACAGGTTTGCTATTCTTCTTGACCCACGAATTTATGTATTTCTTCAGATGTCTCCCATGGTTTGTTATCGACCGAATCAGCTATTTCAATAAGTACAAGATCCAGGCCAATAAGCTACCTTCGAACAAAGAACAGTGGGAATGTGCAAAGTCTGTGCTAATCTCCCATTTTCTTGTTGAGGTGTTTCCCATCTGGCTATTTCACCCCATTGGTGTCAAATTAGGTATTAAATTTGATGTTCCCTTTCCATCTCTAAAGGACGTTTTTATTCAAATCTCCATTTTTTTTGTTTTAGAAGATCTATGGCATTACTTGTTTCACCGTGGTTTGCATTACGGGATCTTCTACAAATACATTCACAAACAACATCATAGATACGCTGCTCCCTTTGGCCTTGCTGCTGAATATGCCCATCCCATCGAGGTTGCTTTGCTAGGTTTTGGAACTGTGGGTATCCCTATTGTCTGGTGTTATGCCACCCAAAACTTGCATCTTTTCACAATATCAATCTGGATCACTTTACGTTTGTTCCAGGCTGTTGATGCTCATTCTGGCTACGAGTTTCCCTGGTCTCTCCACCACTTCCTACCTTTCTGGGCTGGTGCTGATCATCACGATGAGCACCATCATTTCTTCATTGGCAACTATGCTTCCTCCTTCAGATTCTGGGACTATATTTTAGAAACCGAAGCAGGACTTACTGCTAAACAAACAAGAGAAAAGAAAATGAGAAAGAAAGCCGAAAAGTCATCTTGAAAACCAAACAGCTGTCCATGCTTTCTATACCTTCGTTGCTTATGATACACATATCACCCATACCTTGCTATTATTCCAAACACATTTCATTTCAGCTTAATCCTGCTTTCTTTATAGCTCTTTTACTCAATATTCTCAATCCCCAGATCTCAATGAGGCAACTAGTGGCTGGTGAGTGGGCACCCATATTCAATCTGGAAATTGCCCAATGAGTGCCCCAAAAAATGCCATTTTTGGGTTCTCTACGTGGCACAAATGCGCCTCAATTGCCTTTTCCAGCGTGTTTTCACCTGGTCACGTTTTCTGTCCTTCTTGTACTTCCACCAAAATCTCTCTACGCTTTAATCACAAACTCAGATCTTTATTTTTTTTATGCTCTGGTATTTTGTTTTTTCAATTATCCTCTAATTTTTTTTTATCTTCACTTCCTGTTCTTTTTCGTTTTTGTATATCTTTCTTCTATCATTTGGTATTCCCACTCATCTATTTGCCCATTTACCAGCTTACCTATTTATTGTCTTTGTTTTTTTGTCCTCTTTAATTTCTGTCAAATCAATCAAATCAGATCTCTTTACTCCTGACTCATACTTACAAAGAACAAAACCCATCCCTCAAATAGCTTAGTCTGATATCCCTTTATACCTGAACCAAAATGGCAACTCGTCAAGCTCAAAAAAGACTAACCAAAGAATATAAACTAATCGTTGATGACCCTCCTCCATATATCATTGCTCACCCAAATGAAAGAAACATCTTGGAGTGGCACTACTTAATAACTGGTCCTCCAAATACTCCCTACGAGGGTGGTCAGTACCATGGCACTCTTAATTTCCATTACGATTATCCCTTTAAACCCTTATCTATTAGAATGATTACCCCCAATGGTAGGTTTAAAACTAATACAAGGCTATGTTTATCAATGTCTGATTTCCATCCTGATACTTGGAATCCTGCTTGGAGTGTTCAAACTATTCTAAATGGGCTATTGAGCTTTATGACTGGTGATGAATCAACAGTTGGTTCAATCCAAACAACTGACGAAATTAAAAGAGAATTTGCCAAAAATTCAAAAAAGTGGAATATAACCAAAAATTCTAAATTTCTAGCTGAGTTTCCAGAATTAGAATCACAAAACAAAATTGACATTCAAAATTACGAAAATTTACAATTCTTGAAACAGCAAAAAATAATAGAAAATAAAATCAAAAACGACCTCAAGAACAAAAACAAAAATAACAAAAATAAAAACCCATTTAATTCCAATAGTAACTCAATAAATACGGTCTCCGACTCTATAATGGACCCTGAAGATAGAATAAGAGCAATGGCCTTAAAAAACCAAGCCAATGAACAAATCAATAAAGCTAATTCTAAATTGATATATATAGCTATTTTTTTTGCTCTTATTTTTGGTCTTGGCTCTCGTATTTTTATTTAATTTTCATCTTAATTTTAATTTTCAAAAAAGAATTCAAATAAGATTTTGAATTCTATAATTGAATTGAATAATTAAATCAAATAAATATTAAAATAATTAAACTAAAAATACCTTCGCATATATCTATATAAATCCTCTATATCTATATATACTTAAATTGGAACGTTAGTAAAAAGATATGAAACACTTTCCCCATTATGTAACCGACGAATAGCTTCTGCTAATGTTGGTGCAATCTCAATTGTATCTAACTTGGGACAAAAAATCTTCTTATCCTCAAATGGAACTGTGTCTGCACAGACAACTCTTTCCAACTTGCTATTGTTGATATTGTCGATTGCATTTCCTGATAAAATACCATGTGTGACTATTGCAACAACAGATTTCGATCCATTTTCTAACAACGTATCTGCTGCTTTCGCTAGCGTACCACAAGTGTCTGCCATATCGTCCACTATAATACACACTTTATCAGTAACGTCCCCAACTAAAACCATTCTCGAAACCTCGTTAGCCTTTTGCCTTTCCTTATGAATCAACGCAAAATTCAAATCCAAACTATCTGCTAATGCTGCAGCTCTTTTGGCTCCCCCAGCATCTGGCGATATTATAATACTTTCCTTCCATGGTAAATTTTCTTTAATATATTTTAAAACACTGGGTTCTGCATACAAATTATCAACAGGAATTCGAAAAAATCCTTGGATCTGCGATGCATGCAAATCGATTGTTATAACATGGTCAGCCCCAGCTTTTTGTAATAAATTTGCAACCAACTTGGCTGAAATACATGCTCTGCTCTTATCCTTTCTATCTTGTCTAGCATAGGGAAAATTAGGCATAACTGCCGTTATTCTTCTTGCTGATGCTGTTTTACAAGCCCTGATCATAATCAAAAGCTCCATTAAATAATCATTAATTTCGTTCTCTCCACATCCTGTTTGCACAATATAAACATCCTCATCTCTGAGCGATTCTCCAATGGTAACCGCTGTTTCTTGGTTCGAATATTGATTAACACCAATCCTACTGACTTCAATACCCAATCTTCAATAACAGTAACATCAAAACCATGTTAGTCATCAATTTACTTCCGATTAATTCGAAACACAAATCTGGTTAAATCACTCAGTAAAACTTACCTTTCTGCTATCTTTTTGGCTAATTTTGGATGAGAGTTTCCAGCTAAAATTTTAATGGAGTTTACTGCCATTCTACCAAAAAAATCTCAATAACTTAACAATCAGATTCTATCGAATTTCTAGCAAATCGTCGATGAATTATCTGGTTTTAACAAAAAAAAAAAAATATAACCATTAAAGTTCTGAGAGTGATTATTTCATGTTTAAAAAATGAGATAAAATATGATGGAATTTTCAGACAAGAAAAAAGCACGTGCTTACCGAGGCTTTTTTTTTGCTGTTTTTGCTGTTTTTTCTGCTTCAAAGTAACAAAACTATCTACGATTTTCTAGAAATAATACAAAGTTCATTCTAAGTATTAAAGAATTAAAAATAAAAAAAACAGGTACATTGACCGTTGAAAATCATTAAAACATTAACAGTTTTGTCTAAGAACTAAAAAAAACATAATGAAAATAACAAAAATATTTGAAATAATCTGTATAATAAGAAATCATGAACTAAAATAAAATAAAATAAAATAAAATAAAATAAAATAAAATCAAATCAAATTTTTAAAGAGTCCAAATCTGCTTTTTTTTCTTTCAAGTTTATTTGGTTTCGAGGGATCTTTCTTTTCCTTTTTTTCCTTTTTTTCCTTTTTATCTTTTTTATCTTTTTTCTCTTTCTTTCCCTTTTTCTTCAATCTTGGTGCTTCTGTTAAGAAATGGTAGTTTTCTCTACTATTCTTGGTACTTATATCAGTGCTATTAAGAAATATACTACTCTCTGTAGTTGAATGTATTGCTGTAGAGTCGTTATTGGTAGAATCATAATCAAAGTTATTGCTATTGGTTTTTGTATGATGATGTGACATTGAAAAATGATGACGATGATGATTAGCGTCCTTATCAGAAGAGTCATTTTGTGTCGAATTTTCTTTATATTTATTAGATTTTTTAGGCAGATTCTTATTATCAGCCTTCACTGTTTCAGTAGATTTTTCATCTTGAACGATTTCAGTTACAGTCTTGTTTTTACTCCACAACTTTAATTTTGAGCCATTTGGATGAATTGGTTTTGCAAGCGACCTTGGTCTTCCAAAAGAAAATTGTCTCTTTATGGGTTTTACGTATTTCAATCCAGAGTCTTTATCAATAGTCTTTTGTGTCTCTGGTTTGGTTTCATGTTCTGCAATAAATTCTTTTGTTTTGTTTTCATTATACTCTTTATGACTTTTGTTTTTAACATCATCACCACTTATTGCGTCAGCAACTTTATCTTTTACAATTTTATCATTTCCAATTTCTTTATTGATGACTTCTACACCGTTGGAATTCTCCTCGATAATTTCTTTCTGTATATTTGGCTTACCAACAACTTCTTGAACAGTCACTTTATCAATCACCTTGTCAACTTCTTTATCAGAATCTTTATCAAAAACTTCCTTATTAATTAGTTCTGTATCATTAATTTCTTTATTGATTTCTTTATTATTGACTTGTTTAATATCGTCTTTACCTATATCTTCTTTATTAGTAACTTCTTTATTAATATCATTCTTATTTATATCATCAGTATGTATATCATCTTTATTGATGACTTTGCTTTTAGTTTCTTTATTAGTATCAGGTTTGTTAATATCATTTTTTATAACATCTTTAGCTATATTATTCTTATTAATCCCATCTTTGTCACTGACTTCTTTATTCATAAAATCTTTATCAACAACAACATCTTTATTTGACCTGTCTTTGATAATATCATCTCTATTATTATCGACGTTATTTGAACTATCTTTGGTAATATCATCTTTGTTTGAATTACCTTTGATAATATCATTATTACTAATATTAACTTTATTTAAATTATCTTTATTTGAATTATCTTTATTAGTATCATCTTTATTAGTATCATCTTTGATAGTATCATCTTTATTAGTATCATCTTTATTTGTATTTTCTTTGATAATATCATCCTTGCTAGTATTGTCTTTATTAATAGCTTTGTTATCTATAAGTTGACTACTTATCAAGTTTTTATGAGTATCATCATTTGCTGGAATCTCTTTATTTTTGCTTTGATTTTGATTTTGAGTTTGATTTGTTATTTTATTATTTAGTTCAGAATCAACTTTACCATTGGAATTATTCTTTAAAAGAGTTTTGTTGTGATTTGAAGATCTTGATCTTTTTAAAATATTAATAGTTGAAAATGAATTATGTGTAGTGATAGATTGTTTAGAACTTTTTGGAACCTTTTCATTTTTAGAAGACAGAAAGCGACGTGATAAACTCATTCTCTTACTAAGATTTGGTAAACTACCTTGTTCTTTATTATCATTATCATCAACTTTTGTATCGATTGAAGGATGTGATGCTTGAGGCGAGACACTTTTAGATTTCTTACTATGATTAGATAATACTCCACTGAAAAGTGGTTCGTCTTTACCAAAAAGCTTTTTGATTTCCCTTTTATCAGAAGATATCGATTTTGATTTTATAAGTTGTTTTGGTTCTGTTTTTTCAGTGGTAAAAGACTTTTGGGTATTATTGTCATGATTAATATTAACATTGTTATTCTTGTTGTTATTGTCATGATCGGAATCATCGTCCAAATCAAATGCTTTATATAAAGTCTGTTTATAATAATCTTCTTCGGAGATTTCATGATAAAACAAAACATAAGCAGCAGCCAAACCAGGCCCATCTCCAAAAAATCTTAGAACAAAGTTTTCATCTATTTGTTCAACAGTTTCATCGTCAAATAAAAGCCAACCAAAATGCTCTGTTTTGATTAATGAAATATAATGGCCGTGGTATGGACCACCTCCAATATGAACCACCACTCCGTATAATTCATATAAACGATCTTGGTTGTAAGTATCCTTTGAAGTATTGAATAATCTTAAATGTAGAGGAAAACTGACTCTATGAAACAATTTAACATTTCTTTGTAGCTGCTCATTATATTTAAATCTTTTTAAGTGCAATGATAGAATTTTGGGTAGTTTTTTCAATATTATTCTTTTCGTAGCTTCTTGTAATGAACAGCAGTTGTCACAGTAAAATTTGTTATCTTCGGTTAGAATTTCGCTTGCGGAGAATTGTTTCAAACAAGAGGTTATTGAAGTATCTTTTTCTAAATCAATTGATAAATCGATGAATTTTTCGTCTCTTGAGGATACTTTTTCGCAAGTTAAACATTTTGTTTCACTTGTTAGTAGACCCTCAAACAATTCATGGATCCAGGAATTCATGGATAAGTTTTGAGGATTATCAGAGGAATTGGATGGTATATTTTTGATGAATTTTGAGTCAGATCGGTTTTTCTTTGCAAACATATCCACGACTTCAAACACCTCGTTTAATAAGAAATTTAGAAATTCATGAGCATCTTGATGCATTGAGCTTCTGAATAGTTCGTTTTCTTTTTTTAGGACCTCGATTATAAATGAGGGACTAACAACCCCTTTTTTGCTTTCGTTTTCAACCATGCATTCAAATATATCTTTTAAGGCGGAAAACATTGAATTAGACATTTGATAAGAAGAACTGTAGGAGCGATCAATATTCAATATAGGGCCAGTGAGCATTGCTTTTCTTTTTCTCTGTTCAGTAGTAGATGAGGGATCTCCTGTGTTTCCAATTATGGTGAGGTTAAATGGGGATGATTGTTTTAACATGTTGAAGTTTGCATAGAAATCATCACTGTTATTACTATTTGAGTTGGTGTTATTGTTGTTGGTTGTGTTGTTATTGTTGTTAACATTTCCATTAATTTGGTGTTCATTATTAGTTGACTGAGGAGATGGGTCATTTTGTTTGTCTTTATCTTTATCTTCGTTTTTATCCTTTTCTTTGTCATTTTCTTTAATTTTGTCTTTATCAGATTTGGATCTAAAGAAAGATCTCCTTTTGAATTGTTTTTCAGAGGATTTAGGGTTGTTATTAGCATTGTTATGGGAGGGATGGATGCTTCCATTTACATATTCAGATGTATCAGCATATGCACTGGCATTATTTGAGTTAGATTTTAAATTTCCATTTATTATTGGGTTGTTGTCCAGAGATGATTCGTTTGCATTCAGTTGTTTTTGGGCAGCTAGTACAAAGGGATGGGGTTTTGAGCCTATGGTAGTTATTTTCCTTCTTCTGTCAGTTTTTTCTTGATAATAAGACTGGGGGAAAGATAGAATATTTTCTCTAAATTCCTTTGAGTAATATAAGCATTGTAAAACGGAATTACAGTAGCATGTGTTACCAAAATTTTCCATACCAAATATTTTTTTGGATCCATCTCCAAAGGGCAATAATTTTGAGGGTTCATTATTGATGTTAATGTTATTAGTATGATTATTGATATCTAGGTTAGAATTTGAATTTGAATTTGAATTTGAATTTGAATTTGAACTTGGTATTTCATGATTTGAGTGAGATTCAGTTTTAATAGGGATGGGGTTATGAGTATGATTAGTAATGTTGATTTTAATTTTTTTTCCATTCTGGTGAGTTTTAGGATTAGTATTGAAAGTTGTATGAATTTTATTATTTTTATGATAGTGATTAGCGTTATTATTGTGAGTATTGTTTGTTATGAGGTTTTTATTGTTGTTTTCATTTTCCTGGGTGTTGTTATTATGTATCGGGACTAAATCATGTTGAGTGTTGGATTTGTTGTCAATATTGTTGTTTGAAGTGATATTATTGCTTGATTTGATGTCACCATTGGAAGAATCAAGGGTGGTTTGAAAGTTAGTGTCATCATTGTTCAAAATATCAGAGGTGTCAATCTCGTCGTTTTCATCAAAAACAGTCTCTGGCAAGTTTCCAGAAAAGGAAGCCAATGTTTTGTCTCTATCAATGTCAGCCAGAGGAGTGCTGTTATTGTGGCTAGCAGTGGCTTCAGGATCACAGACAGTAGTGATGAGAGAGTTGTTTTCGTGGTGAGGCTCGTCGTTGATAAGGTTTGATGGCTCTAGTCTATCGTTAGGCTCATCATTTGGAGGATCGTTGGATGGAAAAGCAACATCTTCATGGGTCTGGTGAAGAGAAGAGGACGTGGTTAGTATACAATTGGCAGGACAGGAGAGAGAAGGAAAGGCAGTTCGGACACTAATACACACATACTTTGTGCTGATGGGTCCCTGGGATCCACTTCTTGATCGACATTGTTGCTTCAAAACCAACGATGAGCTAGCAGTTGGTGAAGAGCCAGATGGATCAGTCAAAGGTCTGACATAAATTTGCACCTTCTCTTGTCTTTTCACCGTTCTGGAAGCAACCGAGCCCCGTCCACACGGGCGGTTTGCGACTGCTCGCAAACAAAACGCAGCAAGTTCCCCGCAGAAGTGCGTCAGACACACCATGTGATTGGGAAACGTCATTTGTGCAGCCAGCGACCTGGCCTCAGACCCTGGCTGGTGGTCTCTGGCAGGTTTGGGAGAGGACTGGAAGCAAAAAGCAGACAACAGGAGACAATAAGAGACAACAGGAGACAACATGAGATTGGCAGCATGAGCAGAAGCAGAAACGTCTCAAACGATAGCTTTTTGTTCTTCCCAAAGGAGACATTTTCTCTTTTCTATGCTGATTGGCGGATGATCGCGGATGATTGCGGATGGCCGCGGATGTGGACGTCAGCCATTTTGGTGTGATTGCTTTCCCCAGATTAGAGCAAAGTCTTTTCAGCAACCGTTGAATAGACCATTGGCTATTTGTTGAACAAACTCACTGATCTCCCCTGAAAACAATGTCCAAACAGCTAAACTCTGGTTATTCTATCCCTGAAATTGGGCTAGGCGTATATCTCACTGCTCCTAACCAGGCCTTTGATATCGTCTATCAAGCTCTAAAACTCGGTTATCGCCACATTGATTCTGCTGAAGCGTATGGCAACGAAAAGGAGGTTTGTCAAGGTATTAGAAAATGGTTGGACGAAGACCCTGCTAACAATTTACGTAAAGATGTTTTTTACACTACAAAAATCAGAAACTATCACCATGGCTATGAAAAGGCAAAGAAATGCATCTCCACAAGAGTTCAAATCGCTGAGGAATTTATTGATTACATTGATTTGATCTTGATCCATGATCCAATGTCCAACCAAAAATTGAGACTAGAGACTTGGAATGCTCTCCAAGAATCTGTAGCATCCGGTAAAGTCAAATCAATCGGCGTATCCAACTACAACGTCAATCATATTAAAGAAATTTACAACTCTCCTGATTTCGAGATTCCGCCAGCTGTTAACCAAATTGAATTGAACCCTTGGTTGATGAGAACTGAAATCGTTGATTACTGTAAATCAAAACAAATTGTTGTTGAAGCCTATTCCCCATTGACCAGAGGTTTAAGAGTCAACGATCCTGAATTGATTCAATTGGCTAAGAAATACAATGTTTCCACTGCTCAGATCTTACTACGTTGGTCCTTAGACCAAGGTTTTGTCATTCTACCAAAAACAATCAAAGTCTCAAGAGCTCAAGAAAACTTAAGTGTTCTTGATTTCAAAATGACAAAGGAAGACTCTGATTCCTTAAGTCATCCCCACGATTATTATGTCTCAATTCCTGCCTGGGATCCATGCAAATTTGAAACTTAAAATAAAAAAATAAAAAAGAGGAAAATAAAATAATACATATATATATATATATATATATATATTATTGTTATATAATTTATTACATACTAAATCAATTGGTCAAACCTCTTTACCATGAAAAATCAACATTGTCCTGATAATGATAACCTGGAATTTGTTTAGGCGAATCAATTCTAACCATTTTTCCATCTGATAAATAAAGTGTTGTATCTCCAAATTTTACCTGTCCTGTAAAATGATCATATCTCCTATCGTAAATTGCAATGTACGAAAACTCCTCCTCTGTTTGAACTCGAACTATATTATCAAATTTAACAAAGATAACATGGTTGCCAAATCTATAAGCGCCATCCATCCAAACGTATCCATCAATCATTTTTTATATATATTCCAAATTATACCAAATTATACCAAATTAAATTAGAACAAATTAAATTAAAATAAAATAAATTAAATTAAATTAAATTAAACTAAATTAAATTAAATTAAATTAAACTATTATATCAAGCTACTTTGGGATTTCTAATTATCAATTTTCTTTTTTTGAATTGAATTTCTCTCATTCATTCATCTGTTTTCTTTATTAGTATTATGTTTTGTGAAGAAAAGTATTACTTTATATGATTTTTTTCTCCCCATTCTAAAACATTGAGGAAAATAACAAAAATTCTGGTAATCAATCTTAAACACTTACAAGTCCGTTTATTTATTAATAAATTTAATAATTACGAACCTACCAAAAAAAGAGCAAAACACAAAGAGTAAATAAAATGATTATGATTAACTTTGAAAATGATCTAGATGGTCATTCACAAATAGATTATATCAATATGCTAAAAATAAAATAAAGATAAAAAAAACCAAAAAAAAAACAGATAGAGAAAGAAATAAGCAAATAAAAACTAGTTTAATTTTTATCGTTTTCATTTGCTATTTATCAGGTCAATGTAAGCTAATGCTTAAAAATCATTTACAAAATTTTGTTGTGCTTTATTGATTTTTGGATATCAAAAATGAGATTTCATAGCTAAATAATAGGCTGGTAGTAGAGACTGATTAAAGCAAAACCATTTGAAACAATAAAAATCCAAATATTTAAAACTAAAGTAGATAAAGGCAGAGACAAAAGCTAAAATAAACAAGAATTGTGTAAATGGTTGAGCTTTGCTCGTGAAATACAAAATTACGAGTCGGACTTACTACTTCCGTAGCCAAATTAAGCAATTGTCTCCCCAAGGCTTGAAACTGATAGAAAAGGAAGAAGCATGGGTTTGCAGCTGCAGAAATAACAATATAATAAAGTTTATTCTACCAAATATACGTGGCACTGTATTTGGTGAGAGATCTAGATTGCTGATAAAAAGCACATTTTGGAATTCATTTTTAATTATCGAACTGAAATTCAAGTACATCTAGGAAGATAAATGAATACAAAAAAGAATGGAAGAATATGTAAAAGATATGACATAAACAGTATTATTTATTGTAATTAGTACTGAGCGTGTTTAAATATAGAAAAAGAATAATAAAAAAATAAAAATTATTTAATTATAAAATGAAATATAGCTAGAGACAGCGAATAACATTATATGAAAAAAAGCCCAAGTTGGTGACAAAAAAGGTGGAACCATAATAGAAAAGATATCAAATACTAAATACCAAGTATCAAATATCAAATATCAAATACCAGTTCTGCTTCTCATTGCTTCAAAGTAAAAAAAAAAATTTGGTACACTGTTTGTTTAATACATTTCCATGTTTCCAGGAAACAATAAACAATAAACAATTAAAAGAAAGACAAAAAACTATTGTTGAATGTGTTAATAGATTATTCATTTCTGTAAAATACGAGGAATATGATATTTCCAAAAATATACTGCATCAATATTTTAAAATGCTAAAGACATAAATCAGATATAGTTAAAGTCCACATTAAATTTCGGAACAGGTCTGTGAAATAAGTTTTTTTCATCATATGAACAAATTTAGCATAATCAAATGAGAAACTAGAGAAAAGTAAACAAAAAATAAACATACAAATTTACGACCAAGTCAAAGATGGTTTAAGGATCATATTCTTAGTCCTAAGGTGTTAAAAAGGAGAAAAAATCAAAGGAGAAAAATGCAATTGCAAAAAAACACAAATACTACCCGGCCGTTTCACTTTTTCAAAAAAAAATCAGGCCTGTAACCAGGAAAACGTGACACAGTAATGCCGATAATAGCCGAGCATAGACCGAGCGCGGAGTGAGGCTTTTGCGCGCGTCGTATTCGGTTACACGTACACGGCAAAAGAGCTTTTTTCGTTCAAGAGGCTACTCTTTGGAGAAATAAAAGTGGTGTTAGTGAGCACGGGAACTTGTTACCTAAATAGAATGTTTTGTGATTTTAGCAACAATGTGTACTAGGAATACCTGTGAGCAAGAAACCACCCGCCAGCCCTACTTTGTTTGAGGGCTTTCACTGAGCAACTCAAAGAGATAGCCTTCCTTCAGATATCTCTGAAGATTCTTTTAGGGATCTTTTTAGAATTAAACTTTTGTTTTGACATTTGATTTTACACTTCTAAATTTGTTGCTAATTGTTGGTTTTCGCCTTTTCAATCTCTGTTTTGATTAATGAAATAAGAACCAAAAAAAAGCGGTTTAGATAGAAACTGAAAAAGCATTAAAAAGAAATTTTATCAAAAAAAATATAAACGAGATCAGATCTTTACTAAATAATACTAAACGCTACCTATTTGAATCACTGTTATCGAATGGATTTTTTTTTGAATCAATTGATTATTCAAGGGCCTTTTCAGTAAAAAGATTCCTCTTTGCTTTGTCAATTGCAGAGATTCCGATTTCCGACCCTATGGAATTGAATTCCGTTTTCTAGAGTGTCTAATAGGTGTTCCACCTGCCATTACCACTAATTATTACCCCAGGTTTTTCAGCTTAGACTCGCCATAATTGAATAAAAAACTAAAAACAGATCAAATGTTCAAGGTGCTATCTCCAATATCAAATTTCCAGCAGTCGAAAACTTGTCAAAACACTAACTTTGAATTCAATGCAAACAAAGAACTAGAGCTGAGCTGGAAGAGATACGGACGGAACAGGCTTTAAGATTACGGTAGAGCAGTAAACATCAGGAAATATACCCTAAAGCACGTAAGAAGAAAGCTAACTAAGTTCATTATCTATATAATAACCGATTCCAGGCCCATTCTCTTGCGATCCTCTCACGCAAGGTCTTGCTATCCTCTTGCTGAGCTCTGCTATATTTGCTTTCCGTTCCTCGCCCGGTCGCAACCCTCTCGCAAAACGGCCGACGCGCAAAGAGCCGACCCAGCACGACCGATATCTAGGGCTCCGCTCGCCGTAGTCCTGGTTTTTTGATATGTGTATTTCTGTGACCTATTGCATAATCGGTGTTTGCTGGCATTTAAGATCTTATCTTCTGCCAATGAACGTGCGTAAACCACTTTAGACGAATATTTCTGACCCTATGATAACGCACCTGTGCTGCGGGTCGAATTGGAGCTGCAATTTGCCGATTTTACGTAATCGCTTCCTTTGATAATTTCTCTCGACTTTTCTCCCAAGTCGCTGTGTTTATGCTGAACAATTGTTGATTTGAGAAAAGCTGCTAGTGTGCCTGAAGTTACAACAGTGTTTTCTTCTATTTGTAGAATATTTCTGAACTCAGGAGTGAATTTATTTGATCCAAGTTTGCATAAATGAAATCATTTCCAAGTTTAACTTCATTATCTGCGGTTTAAGATTCAGTCCTTTAATCTTAATTGCAAAGCTAATTTCGATTGGTTAGAGCTCCACTTTAGATAAAGATGTTTTAAAACTTGAAATTTCCATGAGTATTGTTTCTTTTCAATCTAATTCCTTATGCTTCCTAAATCTTAATTTATCTTTACAGGGCAAAACATCTACTAATTAAAAGAAATTAAAAGAAATTAAAAGAAATTAAATTAATTCATTAGTATATGTAGGTCTACTTCTCATTTCTTTGCTTCTGAGCAGCTATATAAATATCCGTCTTCCTTTCTTAATTTTTATTCTAGCTTTCATCTTATCTCTTTTTTTTCCCTCTCTTTAGAGTTTTTCACCAGTTATTATTATTCATTATTTTCAATCTTCTTTATTATCTTGATTTTTTTTGAGTATCATAAAACAAAAAAAAAGAATTCAATAATAATCGAAATTTATATCCTCATCAATTACCTTTGTTTTTTTGCATTCTATCTTGCTATCTATCTTGCTATCTTATTCGATACCAATTTTAAATTTTAAATTTAATATTTTAATTTCTAATCACTAATCAAATAACCAATAATCAACCATTAAAAATGCCATCTGAACCAGAATTTGAACAAGCTTACAATGAAATTGCTACCACTTTAAAAGACTCCACATTGTTCGAGAAACACCCTGAATATAAGAAGGCCTTGAAAGTTGTTTCCATCCCAGAGAGAATTATTCAGTTCCGTGTCACCTGGGAAGATGACGAGGGCAACTTGCAAGTGAACAACGGTTACAGAGTTCAATTCAACTCTGCTTTGGGTCCATACAAAGGTGGATTACGATTCCATCCAACTGTGAATTTATCGATATTGAAATTTCTAGGTTTTGAACAAATTTTCAAGAATGCCCTAACTGGTACCAACATTGGCGGTGGTAAAGGTGGAGCTGATTTCAATCCAAAGGGTAGATCAGTTGCCGAAATCCGTCGTTTTTGCTGTGCCTTTATGGGAGAATTACAAAGACACATTGGAGCTGATACCGATGTTCCAGCCGGTGATATTGCTGTTGGTGGAAGGGAAATTGGATTCTTATTTGGAGCCTACAAAAAAGCCAAGAACGTTTGGGAAGGTACTCTTACTGGTAAGGGATTAGCCTGGGGTGGTTCTTTGATCAGACCTGAAGCCACTGGATTTGGATTGTTGTACTATGTTGAGAATATGGTCAAGTATGCCACCAAGGGTGAAGAATCAATTGCAGGCAAATTGTGTGCCATTTCTGGATCCGGTAATGTTGCTCAATACGCCGCTTTTAAAGTGTTGGAATTGGGAGGTAAAGTATTATCATTGTCAGACTCCAAGGGTGCTCTTGTGACTGAAAATGGATTGAATTATGAACAAGTCAAAGCCATTCAAGATGTTAAAGCCGACAGAGGCACCATTGAGCAATTGATCAGTGAAAACAAGTTGTTTTCTGACCCAGATATCAAATATTACCCAGGTGAACGTCCATGGACATATGTGAAGAAAGTTGACATTGTTTTGCCATGTGCCACTCAAAACGAGATTTCAGCTGATGAAGCCAAAGCAGTGATTGCAGCCGGAGCCAAATATGTCGCTGAGGGATCTAATATGGGATCTACCCAAGAAGCCATTGATGTGTTTGAAGCTGAACGTTTATCAGCTAAAGATCTTAAATTGTGGTATGCCCCAGGTAAAGCCGCCAATGCTGGTGGTGTTGCTATTAGTGCCATTGAAATGTCGCAAAACTCTCAACGTCTTTCATACACTGCTGAAAAGGTTGACAGTATTTTGAAAGATATAATGACAGACTGTTTCAACAACTGTGTTACTACAGCCATTGAATATTCATCTGAAAAGAATGCTGATGCATTGCCATCTCTTGTTAAAGGAGCTAATATTGCAGGATTTGTTAAAGTTATCCAAGCTATGTACGAGCAAGGTGATTTATATTAAGGTGGTTTGAAATTTTAATGGCGATTTTAATTTAGTTTATAATTTATTTACATTCATGATTGTTGTTTTTTTATTGTTTTATTTTATTTTTTATTTTTTATTTTTTATTTTTTATTTATATATTTATATACATACTAGTTAATTTACAATTTTTGATTCATTTGTTTTAGTGAGGTTTTAGTGAGATTACAAATTGAGTAGCTGAATATTTCAGTTAGTCGATTATGGACAAGTGCAAAGTCAATGAATGCCAATAAAAATTTATCAATATTAATAAATATTGGAGGGGAGTTTAAAGTTGAAGTGAATACAGCAATGGGTAAGAGCAAATGGAAAAAAGCGGGCACGTGAGGATAAAATGGAAATGAAAAAAATAAAAAAAATGCCTAAAAAAGCAAGTTTGAAAGAAAAGATAAAAGCAAGAGAAAGAGAAGGAGAAAGATTGGTTCGTGACAAGAGTGTGGTGAAGATAATGAATATAATAATGAGTGGTACATCGGATCGAATAACGATTAATTTGACGCAGATTTTGACGGCATTTGGACTCTCATTGTTTACTGGGTGCTGTATTGGAGCGTTGCTAGTAAAGAACTATGGGTGTTCTCCTAAAAAGAGCTATAAAAGAAAGAGAAATGACAAGGATAAGGATAAGTTGAGCGTGAATAAAGTGGGTAGTGTGAATAAAGTGGGTAGCGTGAATAGCGCGGATGATGCAAAGAAAGGGAAAGAGATGAAGAAGGAAGAAACGTCGGACACTTCGTCTGGATACGAAAACGACGACGAATTCTCGGAGGAAGAGGAAGAAGAAGGGTCTGGGATGCAATCGCAGGGTGGCGAAGTGCGCGAGATGTTTGGAAACGTTGGGGGAGAGGTGCGAATGGCGTTGGTGGTGCGCAAGGACTTGAAGATGACCAAGGGCAAGGTGGCAGCACAATGCGGACACGCAGCAGTTGGGTGTTACAAAAGGGTGCTCAGCTGGGGAATGAACAACCCGTTGGTGAAGCGGTGGGAGCGAGGAGGCCAGGCGAAGATCGCGTTGCAGTGCCGCGACGAGGAGGAGATGAAGCAGTTGTACCACAAAGCGAGCGGGATGGGAATCACGAGCGTGATCATCCACGACGCTGGAAGAACCCAGATTGCAGCAGGGTCAGCGACTGTGCTCGGGTTGGGGCCTGCTCCTAAGAGCGTGTTGGACAAAGTTACTGGAGGATTGAAGCTTTTCTAGCCTACAAGCTGGGGTGTGTTATGTAAGCAGAAGGGTCGTGCTGATCATAATGCAAATGAGAGCAGGTGATCTTGAAGGAAGCCGGATATCGATCCATGTAAAGTGTGTTTGATATTATTGCCTTTTCAAATCACATTGATCATGCCATTTGATAGCGGACTAGGAAATTGATCTAAAAGTACCTAATTACTGTAAACGATTGTTTGATATTTTAATAGAACTTCTAAATGTTGCAATAGTACCAAATAGCGATAATATGACTTGATAAATCAAAAAAACAGACAATAAAACCGATCAAATGAGATTAAATGAGATTAGATTAAAATTTAAATAAAATTTAATTTAATCCGCTAATATCATCCTTGTAATTTGTTTAATTTGTTTCAATATTGAATAGTGATAATAATCTTATAACTACAGAAAATAGTTAACAAAGATCGACAATTATTGTCGAGTGTGGCGGAAATTTTGTATATATTTACAAATCGCTCATGAATTTCCAATTGAATCCCCGTTTTGGCTCAAAATTGAATCGTTGGGAAAATAAGACAATAAAGAGTTGTGTGATCTGAGATTCTTGGGGTTGCAAAATATTGGGGTTTTTGATTTTGCCAATGTCTTGAATCTCTGCAATTATCTAATTTTGCACTCAAACATGGATCAGCTTTTAATATTCTTTCAGTGATTGTTCAGTGACTGTTCAGTGATCTTTCAGCGACCATCCAGTAACCAGACCCAGTGGCCCTGAACAGCCTATCAAAGAGAACACGATTAAAAATTATTGAGCATTTCAAAGTGAGTGCCTTTGTTTCAAATCTATAATATGACTGCCTAATTCAAAGCGCTCTGATTGGAATTGTACTCTCTCATCAAAGTTGTTGGAATTCACGATAACGCTCCGCGATATGCCAGATAAATACATTTCAAAAGCACAAATAAAGTTGTATCAGCTGGGGATAAATAGATGAGACAATCGTTTTTTGCCGCTTTAGCTTCAAAAGCAACGCATGCAAGTTTATCCAGCCGCGTACACTTGCATTCTTGCATTAGCCGATCTGCCAGTAGCCTTTTAGCACGTTTTATAGCATTTGTTTCTTTTCATATCTTTGTTTTTGTGCAACTTCTGGTTTGGCAGTAAATAGAGTAAATAGCAGTGATTATATCACTGAGTTGCAAATGACAAATGCCTTTTCTTGCGCGACGTGGTCCCAAACAAGAGCCCACGGCTAGCCTCCAGGAGCGAGCGCCTGAGGCCTTTGGGAATTTCCCAGTGCAGTGCTTTGAACAAAGCTCGATTCATTTCAACAGCTCGAGGAACAATCGATCAGCAGCGAGATTGTTGCAGTCTACTTCTGCCTGCTGCACGCAGCCGCAGAGCACTGCCGACTGTCCACCAAGTGCTGACTTGGGAAAGCGGCCGATGCTACACATCCAGGTGAGTCGACCACTTTGGTCCAAAATGAACGAAAAGGAGTTCCCGATGCAGCGTATTCGAAGGCTTGTGTTGCTGCTTAGGAACTGACAAATGTCGAGGAAGTGTGAAACAAGCAAACCTCCCACCAGCGAAAGCCCCAGGCCTGGTGTGGCCAGCGAGAGCCAGAAATGTCCAGAGGAACCAAACAGGGGTGGGTCCCCGGACAGTGACAGCAACTTCCATGGTTATCCAACTACGACAATTCCAAACAGCCTGTGTAAAAGCTTTAAGCTTCTCATGGATAAAATCAGTGTTTTGGTGTTGTTTCCACCCTGATATTCAGATTTACCATTTAGCATCCACTGCTCTGCTTCCTCAAGCTTATTTTGCAACCTCCTTTCTCTTCGTTTCAATATTCAACAATGTTCCCCATGTTGCTTCTTCTTTTGACTTCCCATCTTCTTTGGTCTTGTCTCCAAGTCTCACTTTTAATATAAATATTCCTCTTACCGCTTCTTTTTTTTTCTTTTCCATTTTTTGTAAAACAATTCAAAACCGGCGTTTTATAATTTATAATTAATAAATAATATTCCTATATACTATTCTTATATAATATTAATTATTTACCTATCCACCTATCCACCTATCACCCCTCTTCCTCTCTCCCTTTCTCTTTTCTTTATTCAATCGATTGTCTTATTTTTTTACTCTGTCCATACCTTTTTCCGCTATCAAACTTTATTAAAATGACTTTGAGTATCGATATCAACAGAAGAAAATCCACTAATATCTCAAACATCAATACTTCCTCTTTATACACTTTGAACTCAAACTCAAGTGATAACTCCTCAAATCTATCCTTCTATGACACAACCGCAACAAATGCCACTCTCAATGCGAACAATATAAACAATAACTTGAACAGCTTGAACAATGAAAACATCCTTTTCCTAAACAACGTCTCCTCCAATGACTCATATTTCCTAGAAAAGATCCCAACCTCAAACTCAATCATCTCAAACAAAAACATCATCTACGACCAAATCAGACTCAAAATAACCCTCAACCTAACGTCCCATGAAATATCTCTAATCAGAAACTCCTGGTCAGAAATGACAACAAGACTCCACCAAGCTCCCACAAATAAATCAAACAACACCCACTTCAATTTCATATCAAACATAAACAGCATGGACTCTTCCATACTATGCCAGCAACTATACCACAACCTCCTAATAATGAGACCCGATCTCGAAAAGAGATTTCCCTCCATAAAACACCAGGCCGTCAGCTTTGCCGGCGTCATGAATACCGCCATCTTTCACCTATCAAACTTGAATCTTCTAGATGACTATCTCTATCAATTGGGCAAAAAACATTCTCGAATCCTAGGCATAGATTCGGTTGATTTTCAACTAATGGGCGATGCCCTCCTTCAGACTTTCGAAGATCGCTTTGGTTCCCATTTCACTATAGATCTAGAAAACTCATGGTCTAAACTATACTCCTACCTAGCCAACAGCATCCTCCAAGGCGGCATCGATCCAATCTTAAACCTATCCTCAGACTTTATAATCGACGATATAATTCTAGATAACAATAACACCAATACCAATACTCCCATTCCTACTACTCCCACTACTACTACTACTACCACCACCACCACCACCACCACCACCACCACCAACAACAACAACAACAACAACAACAACAACAACAACAATTATATAAGAAACTCACTAGCGTCTTCAAACACAAACTCAACTTCAACTTCTTCAACTCTTTCCAGCACTTTCGATACCATCAACTCAAACTTCATTCAAAAGGAGAACACTTACTCCTCAATCTATCCTCCAAACAACTCGTATATTAACAATAAAAATCTTAAATCTAAAAACGACCCCAATGTCATCATAAACATCAATGATACAGATTATAACAGCTTCAACGACTACAGTGCATCCGATACCGATACTTCGGATCACGAATCCTATCTAACACAACTCTTTCCAGCAAAAACATATAAAAAGACTACAACCACTTCGAAAAATATCAACAACAAACAATCAATCGATAAATCAACTCAAAACTCTTCTCAAAAACCAAAACACAACTCTCTTGTTAAAATGTTCAAAAAGCCATCTTTACCCAACATGAATCTGAATTTATCCTCAAATAATGACAACCTCAATCATAACAATCACAATAATAATAACAATAGTAACAACAATTACAATTATAATACCAACAACAATTACAACTACAACTACAATAACAATAACAATAACAATAGTAAAAATAACAGAAACAAAAATATTACCCACAAAAGTCACTCGATTCCTGTAAATCCTTTATCTTTGGAAAACTACACCTACACAAACAACATCACTAAAAAAGTTGGTTTCGGTGAGTCTTTATCTCCTAAAATCACAAACACTTCTACTCCTAAACTCTCAGACCCAGTCAAAATAGATAATAGCTTAAAGAGCAGATTGTTTCGCTCAAGACACAGAATAACAGAATCTATAAAACCCTCCTTGACCTCAAGACCTTTTGCTAATGACTCAATTATATAATCATTTATTAACCATATTCTCTATTTTCTACTCTATTCTATTCTATTCTATTCTCGTCTCTATCTTCCTACAGTTCACTTATTTGTTTTTTGTTCTTTATTTCTCGTTCTTTTCATTCTTCTCTTAATGTCACATTTCTCCCTTTGGATCCCTTCCAAAACCCCCAAATACCATCTTTTAGGATCAACGCACTGTGCTGCACTGATTGTTGTTAAAGCATAATCCACTATTATGGGTTGACTAACCTCTGCGGTCAGCTGGCGGGTCACAGGACTCAGCCTCTGCATGCATTTTAGTTGCCGTGCATTGCTGACTCTACACCTTTGTGCACAGAGATTCGCATTTTGATGCCTGTTTCAGCGCGTTCCACATCGCTGGAGTTCGCGATTTTTGTCCTGAATCGGCCAATCCAGACCTGCAGCGTGGTACCGCTCTCGGTGTCTGTTATCTTTCAATCACCAACTATTTAACCATCGCCTTTCTCTTTTTATCATTATATCTGCCATCTACAAGTTGGAATAATCACCATCCAAAAGAAAAGAGGTCCTTGTCATGATAGCTTCTTGATGGTGTTTTACTTTTAAAATGCATGAAAAATCTCCTAGCCCAACCCTTCCTCTAAATTTACAATCAAATCAAAAACTTCCCTTTTTTTTGATTCTTCAGTTAAGAAAATCAATCAAGCTATTAGCTGATAAAAACTTTTATGAAAAAATTGCTCTGTAAGTAAAAAATTTCACTAATCTACGAAACTAAAGAAAGAAAAAAATATATCCAATTTTCAACTTTCAATGATTTTTATACTAATATATTTCTTATAGTATTTTTGGTCCAGAAAAAATTAATACAACTTTAGCATTCATTGCATATTCTTCACTACTAATTTGCGAGACCATCAACAATGTTCCCTTCTTAGTAAATTCATCCAAATCTTTATTTTTTGGTATCATTTCAAATCCGAGATCTCCCATCAATCTTTCTTCTATTAAAAATGGAGGATTTTTAATTTCCAAGAATTTGAAATTTCTAAATTACTCAGACTATTCAAACTATTTACATCATAGTTCCACCTTATGGAAAAAATTAACCAAATTTGCTTTTTGTTTAGATTTATTTTATTCCTATGTTGCTGATGTTATTATTTTTAATAGATTGTTTATTTTGCCTTCAATGGTCCCTTCACTCATTGAAATCTTTGAAAAGAAACAGAATGAGCCAAGTGAAAAGAGTGAAAAGAGTGAAAAAAGTGAAAAAAGTGAAAATCAAAAATATGGAAACTTAAAAAGTGAAAATCTAAGTGAGAAAGATAAAAATACTAAAAATCTTAAAAAAAAACCAGTCTTTACTATTCAAAATCTAATAACAGTAAACGATTTCATCTTACAATTTTTTGAAAATATTGCGTTCTTGGGTGAGCATAAATTTGTGCCACGATTCACTAAAAAATCTCTCCTATACTATAATATATCTTCATTCATTTGGCTAATCAATTTAGTTTTAACAATATATCAAAATTTAAAATTAAACAACTTCAAATATAACCATGAAGAAATCTTTCCAGATTTATGTAATATTCCTTTAGCCATTCATTGGGCTCATCCAAAAGGTGTGTTGTCTAAATTTTATCTTGGCTTGTTTGGATTGTGTAATGTTTGGAATAGTAACTCAAGAAATTGGGTTGAAATTCATAATTTCTAATTGCCCCTTTTTGTTTTTATACACTAATATAGCATGGTATAATACTATAATAATTTATACTATTTTATACTATTTTATACTATAATAAAGTCGTTTTTCCATTAGACATCATCATTATTATTATTATTATTATTATTATTGTTGTTGTTATCATTATTATTATCATTATTATTATCATTATTATTATTGTTAATATCATAATTGTTGTTATTATTACGATTGTAGATAGATATTTGGTGTTTATTATTGTCACTTGATTGTTCGCTACTGTTTGCACAATATTCATCATAATCTCTAAATTCATAGCCATGTTTTTTTGTGCTAGCTGGATAAAGATCAAATATCAATATCATTAAAAAGACACCATACCAAAACGATAATGTCCATTCAAGTGCTGCACTTTGAGAACGCAAACGTTTACGCATACAAACACCAAATCCAATTGCAAGACCCATGGCAAAGATACACCAAATTAGTTTAGTTATTGCTGACAACATTAAGTAGTTGTATTTTTTCACATTGAATTTTCTATAATAATTTCTGCCCAATGAAAAATATTCAAATATCAATGAAAAACAGCTGAAAAACATGAAACTGATAAATATTCCAACCATTGTTATGTGAACTGTATGGAACAAATGGGTATCAAAAATTGAAACAAATAGTATGCCCAATTCTCCAATCGCACAAAAGAATATAGACAAATAGCTAGAAACAACTTCCTTTTTATTGAAGTTTGGAATTAGTTTTTGTTTGGCTCTTAAGTATCTCTCGCAGCATAATGTTAAAAAGAAAGCCAATCCCTGGAACCCAGCACAAGATATGAACAATGGTTTGAGATTTGTAGCTCCAATATCTGAGATGTAGACAGGAAATTGCCTAACGTCCATAAACCAATATATGGGATGGCCCTGAAACGACCAACAAGCCAACATCGCAATGAGCATCCCATACCAGGCTATTAACGAAGCCAAGGGCAACATCCACCAGTGGAAAATCTTCATATTCAGCAGCGTTGTTCTCAAGATAATAATAACAAAAAACAGTTGAGATGAGAATCTATGGTTGCTTACAAAACATTGATAAACCTGAACAGCAGCCTGGATCTCTCATTTGCTCTGGCATTTTGCCATCTCACGACACAAGATCTTGAATAACCATCAATGTTGGCACACGATATTAACTTCCCATCCAAACCGATGATTTCCCAATCCATAAAAGGTTTGACGATATGACGATATGACAGTCTGTATTATCGGTTTGATAGCTATAGGATTGGTGCTTCCGACATCCGAACCCAATTCGAGAGGACAAAAATATTATCTCAAAAGCCTTTGAAAATGTTTCAACGCTTGCTTATGTAGATAAAACATAAGCTTGCGCTTTAAATATTTCTTTTGACATAATTATGGCTAGCACGTGATTATATTTACAATTTGCTTTCAGTAAAATGTTCTTTGCTGAATACAGTAGAAGTTTCTATAAAATCCAAAAAAGAAAAACTGACTATTCAAAAAAATGCATTACCAGAATATATTAAACAAAATTACTATTTATAACATTTGGAGATTGTTTTGTAGTCTATTGTTTTTTGGATGGCAGAGGTTCCAAAATACTGTGATTACATACCTAACTTATGTTTTTTTTTGGTTTTTTTTCGTCTATTTGCCCGCATTTATTTCAACGTACGATCGGAAATATGCGGTCTCATGTTTTTAAATGAACACAATCGTGCTCAATGCCGTTCTCAATCAGGGTAACCGGTGTTTGGTGCACTGTTTATTTATTTATTACCCTGAGAACACTTGTACGGCGATTCGTGTGTTTAGAAACGCTTTTCCTGTTATGTTTTTTTTATTTCGTTCTCAGACTCTGCAACCTTATTTTTGTATCGAAAACGGAATTTGTTTCGAAAAACACAGCTTCGGATCGAACCCAACACTGGTCGCAATCGTACTTCTCTGAGCTGAACATGCTCACCTCTGGTGAAACAACATTGGTAGTCTAAGAGGCGATTTGCAGTATCGCCCACTGCTCTCCAGAGCCTTGAAGGGATGGGCAGCAATCGCTTCTTGAATCTTGACACAGGCCTCAGCAACTGGATGATGAGAATTTGCGAGAGTGGCTTTATTGTGGGCATGTTGTAGGCACCTATGCAGAACATGTCGAAATAAGGTCCTCCTCTATTTTAGATTTGTCTTCAAGCAGTGATATTTGCATTGCATATCCTCTAAATGTCGAGAGTCGATGTTGATTTATGCTGAGGTGAACTTGACAGATCAAGGAGATGGGCTTGAGGTTTACAAAAATTATGGCGTCGATAAAGAGTGAGAATATGATATTTATTAGAAGTTTTTTTGTTGAAAAGGTGCTTTCTTTGAGTGTTTTTGGATAATGAATATATATGCTAATTGGAAGTGATATTTAAAGTAGTTTTTTTGTTCTTTTTTTTGGACTTTTCAATGCTATATGTAAATATAAACAGATTTTTAGTTGTATGTCTGGACAAAAATAAAATCACAATGGCTCAAAATATAAATAAGTCTAATTAATGTACAAAAAAAAAATATAGAAAAAAAAAATAATTTTATCGACTAGTAATATATTTGTGATGATAAATTGAGTGAATGTAACAAAAACAATAACAATAAGTTATAAAAATAAAAGTTGTAAAAATAAAAGTTATAAAAATAAAAGTAAAAGTAAAAGTAAAAGTAAAAGTAAAAGTAAAAGTAAATTCAGAAACAAAAACAAGTATATAAAAATAAAATAATTATAAATTAATAGAGAAAAAGAAAAAAAAAGAAAAAGAAAAAGAAAAAAAAAAAATCTATTTATTTTCAATTTTTTTGACAGTATCATAGCTTTCATAGATAGCTGAAGATGATGTGTTGGATGGATCATTGGGATTTGAAGAATTAGCAGACATGTTTGCTAAGCTAGGGTTAATGTTTGGATTAAGATTTTGATTATTTTGGTTATTTTGATTGGTTTGATTATTGTTTGAGTTACTGTTGCTATTGTTGCTTGATGTAGTGTTACTTAAAGTGCTATTGTTGAGATTATTTGCAGCATTGTTGATGTTATTGTTATTGTTTGGATTATTAGGAACAGCAGACTGGTTTAGAGGCTGATTATTTTGACCATTTTGAATATTCGTCAACTGATTCAATTGATTGTACTGGTTCATTTGATTGATTTGGTTGAATTGGCTAAATTGATTTAATTGACTGTTTTGAGTATTTTGGTTGTTTATATTGACAGGGGAGTAATAATTATGAGGTTGATAATAACCGTATTGGTAGCCACCATAATAATTTGTGTACTGTTGATTATAGAAAAAGGGAACATTATTATTTTGAACAGGAGGAGTTAGAGACGATTTATTTGAAGCAATGTTGTGATTCGGGGAGGGATTTGAAGGAGAAGCGAGATTCAGACTTTGAATTGAGTTGTTGGTGTTATTGTTGTTAAGATGATTAATTTCATTACTACTTGATGGAGCTGGATTTAGTTTTTTGTTATTATTGTTATTATTGTTACTATTGTTATTATTATTATTACTATTACTATTGTTACTGTTATTATTATTTTTATTATTGTTGTTGTTGCTGTTGTTGTTAGCATTTGAAATTGATGAGATATTAGAAGAATTGTTAAAGGGAGTATAAGTTAAAGTTGGTTGAGAATAGTAATTTGAAGAAGGATTATCAATTGGAGTTTCATGAATGACTTTTTTGATATCTCTAACAAATAAAGGATATAGTAGATCTACTATACCCTCTCTTTGAGCCATAGCTAAAGCTCTTTCAAAGGGGATCCAAACACCTTTTAAATGCATTGAACCAATTTTAACTACATGTCTGATTTTTTCAGACTTTAAAATACCATCTCTTCTACCTCTCGTCATTTGAGCTACGTTTAATAGTTTTGTTCCATTGATCATGTTGTTATCTGCTCTTCTAACTACAGAGACACCATTTGCATCTACTTGATAACAAAGAGTCTTTTCGTCTTCCCACATTGTTGTTGTGACCCTAGGACGGAAACCAGTTGGTTGAAATTGGCCTAGGGAGGTTGATTGGCTGGGGGATTGAGATGGGTTTGATGGGAAAGGAGACTGTTGGTAAGGGGGATAATAAAAGCCAGGAGCTGGAGCTGGAGCTGGGGCAGGGGCAGGAGCAGGAGTAGTGGTGGAGGTTGCGACAGCAGCAGATGGAGTTGATTGGTAGTAGTTACCATAATGAGGATAGTTGTTGTAAAAAGTGGATGGTTTGGGAATTGTTACTAGTTTATTTGAAGGAGATGATTCATTTGGGGGACTATTGGAAGCAGGATTTTGGGTTGGGTTGACAATGGGATTAATAGCAGAAGCTGAAGTGGAAGAAGTTGGAGTTGGAATTGAGTTGGGGTTGGTGTTTGAGGTTGGTGAAGCTTGGGGATAAGATTGAGGATAGCTATAAGGGTTGTAGTAAGGTTGTTGGTATTGGAGATTGGATTGCATGTTAGATTGAGGCATCAATTGGGGATTTATTTGAGAGTTCAACTGGGGATTTATTTGAGAGTGGGTGGTTTGCTGAGAATGAGATTGAGATTTGGAGTCTTGGTCTTGGTTGGATAGAGTATTGGTGTTGGTGTTAGTAGCAGAAGTGTTTGGATTAGAATTAGAATTAGAATTAGCAGTGCTGGGTGTGCTACTGTTATCAGGTTTACTAGTGTTAGTATTAGTATTAGTATTGCTATTAGATTTACTTTGATACAGATTTCTTGTTTTTGAGCTATCGTTTGACCCATTAGTTAAAGGGTTAGAATCTTGAAGAGGCATTTCAAGTAAATGAAAAGAAATAAGTCTAAATGAAAAAAAAAAGAAAAAGGAAAAAAGTTAGAATAAATTGAAAGCGAGTTAAAGGGAGGTTGAATGAGAATGAAAAGTTTTAAGTTAATTTAGAAAATAAAGAATAAAAGCGAGATGGAAAAAATTGGAAAAAGAAAAAGTAAATTGAAAAAAATTGGGCTGGAAAAATAAAACAAAATAAAAAAAAATAAGGTAAAATGAAAATGAAATTTGTGAGAAGTTGGAACAGAGGAATGGGATAAAAAGAGAGAGATTGGGAAAAAGTGAGAGAAATGAGAGAAAAAGACGTGAAAATTTTTCAAGATTAGCAGATGGAAAAAAGAAGGAAAACGACAAGAAATCGAGAGTCAATTGAGCTGGACAATAAGAACAGCAAAAGCAACAAAAACAATAGAAACAATAGAAACAGCTCAACAATAGAAACAATACACTGAAGCCTTCGGTAAAAAACCCAGCGTCTTGGAAATCAGTGCCAAACCTTAACAAGCACTGAAAAAGCAGTGGAGAAGCACCGAAAAAGCACCACAGGCACCGTCGGCAGCACCAGCAGCTCAGGCCAGAGCCACGCAGGCGGCTTTTGCAGCTTACAGCGCCAGCTCTGCGGTGTAGCGCCACGCACACGAACCCCAGCATAAACGCGCACTGCGATTGGCCCAACAATGTGCACGTGAAATGCACATGCACCAATTTTGTAATAAGTCTTACAATCGCAGCTTTAATACAATCAGTTATTTGGTTATTTACAGATTATATTAACTATTATTTATGGTAGAATAATATGTATCTAGCTAACTTAAGTAAAACTCATTCCTTATTGTTCTTCTTCTTTTTTAATTCCTGTTGAAATTCCTACTCTTTATATATTGGTATTTCTAAACTTGGGCCGGTCTGTTTCAAGAACTGAAACACTATTTGTGGCAAGTCCCTTTTGAATTGAGTCTTGCTTTGATTACCTAATAAAATCATGTGCCATAAGAATTGCACTATTTGTGCAGCCACAACGGAAGTGCCTAATCGGGCCCAAAACCGCGCAGGAGACTACGCGGATCCTTGAACGGATGTTGTGAAATCCATTGTGTTGAATCTCACAGCTTCTGACGTGCACACTGCTGAAGCTGCGCTGACCAGCAGCGGCAATCCGGAGTTGGACTTTACCCGGTTATTCGATCCGGCTTCCAACTTCCGTTTTCTTCTCTTTCTTTCACTCATTTTGCGATCATTACACTCTTTTTACATATTCTGATGATTTAGTTTGCACAATTTATAATCACCTCCATCTCCAGTCTTACTTGGTTATTTGTCATCGTTTTTCTTACAAAATTCCAGTCAATCAATTGATTTCAGCATTAGTTGAATATTTGAACTCTTGAATTCCTCCAAATTCCACAGCTGAATCTCTTATCGGTATATTTGTTCCATCTAAAAAAGGATTATAAAGATAACCTGTTTTATTCTTAGTTTGATCGAATAATTGCATCATCCTAAAATCTGAAAAAAATGAACACTATTAAAAATCTTTGGGGCTCCAAATCAAATTCTAAATCGAATTCCAAATCTGATGCCAAATCTGATGTTAAACCTGATTTAAACAGATCCCTCACCCAAGCTCCTACTATTAATAGTAAAGCTGATAGTAGTAGCAATAATTCTACTGATAATAGTCAGTACCGCACTGTTGAGATACCAATTGAATATCCCTTAGCAACTCAAGTTGTCCCCCCTGAATCTCCATTAACCAAAGTCCAACAATTGAAATATTTAAAAGTTCTTAATCACTTGTTGACGTTAAATGATACAAACCAGTTTCAAATCGATGACAAATCTTGGTTAACCAGAGAATGTATTTTAAGATACCTCAGAGCCACCAAATGGCTACCCAATGACGCAATTAAAAGAATTAAATCAACAATCTCATGGAGAAAAGAATTTGGTATCAGTAACCAATTTGATAATCAAAATGTTGTTAATTTTGATTTATGCTCAATTGAGAATCAGACTGGTAAAGAAGTTATTCTTGGTTTTGATAATAATTTAAGACCCTGCTTATACTTAAAACCTGGTAGACAAAATACAAAGGCAAGTTTAAGACAGGTTCAACACTTGGTCTTGATGTTGGAAAAAGTAATTGATTTCATGCCTCCAGGACAAGACTCGTTAGCTTTGTTGATTGATTTCAAACCTTATAATGTTTTATCAAAAGAGGAACAGTCCAAATTGCCAAAGGTTCCCTCAATTTCTATTGGCAAACAAGTACTACATATTTTGCAGAACCATTACCCAGAAAGATTAGGCAAGGCTTTGTTGACCAATATGCCATGGTATGCCAAAACATTTTTGAATTTGATCCATCCATTTATAGATCCATTGACAAAGACCAAATTGGTTTACAACGAGCCATTTGTCAATTATGTCCCCACGGAATTGTTGGATAAGGATTTTGGAGGAGAGATTAATTTCATTTATAAACACGAGGTTTATTGGAAAAACCTAGTTGAAATTTCCAATAAGAAACGATTGAATTACATTAACCGATTCAATAGATTTGGGAGATTCATTGGGTTGAGTGAATTTGATTTAAGAGGTGAGCATAATATATTAAAGTACCCTTCGATCACGCTCAATGACTTGAAAGAATTGAAGGAATCAAGCAATATAAATTTGGATTTAGGTTTTGAGTCGGAATCTGATTTACAATCTAATTCTAAAAAAATCAGTGATACCATATCCCAAAGAATCTATAACAATAATCAATTAGTCAATGGTGAATTGGTCATTAAAAATGGGTTTATTAGTAATAGTAACCATAATAATATCAGTGTTCATATGAAAAATAATGAATTTATTGAAAATCAAAATGAAATTAAAAACTCAGTTGGTGTATCTGCATGATATATAAGTGATATAATACTTAAGTAATATCTAAATAATACTTAAATAATACCTAAATAATGTCTAAATAATATAAATAATACATGATTAATAATGATAATGATAATGATAATGATAAGGAATGATTTGAATGGGATTACTCTATTGAGACAGACCACCGTAACGGTGGTTTCGACTAATGAGACATGTGACGTATGACAATTTTGATATTAGATTGTGTAGATAAATAGAATTATTTAAAGCTATGGATGTAGATATATATAAATAACTCAAATTAATGATATAACAAGTTGGCAATAGTAGATCAGGCTTTTAATGGTAAACTAGTTAAAATGAATTTGGTATCAATAGATGATAAAAAAAATCGAAAATTAGAAAAATTAAGCGAGATTTGCGTACGAAAGTTGATTCAGTCGATTAAATTAATCAATGATTTTGGGGATTTTAACAATTACAATACGTTAAAGCCGATATTGATTAAGATGGATTATTTGCAATTGAAGCAGGTTGAAGCCAGTAATCCTGAGTTGAAGGGCGAGAATAATATAAATTGGTATAATTTGATAATAAGAGATTTTCCCAAGCATACATTAACGATCAAAATTCAAAAGGAATTTAATAATAGTAATGATAATACTAAGGATAATAAGAAGGATAAGAGTAAAAATAGAATTAAAAGAAACTACTTTAGGATGTACGAAAAAATATATAATGAAGTCAAAGAGAAAAGAGAAAACGCATTAATCAAATTGAAAGAAAGTTATAAATCGTACAAGGACAATAAGGAATTCAAGATAATAGAGCTCAAGCAGCCAGATGTGATCATAAGAAAACGGAAATCAGATTACAGCTATTATAATAACAATGGGAACAATGATAACAAGAGACATATTGGGTACAGTAATTATGATAGATTCAAGTCGCCGATGATGAGAAAAATCAGCAAAGATGTGTCGAATAAGGGGACTATTAATAAATACAGCAATTTGTTTATCAATACTAATTACAATAGCAGTGGTGTTTCCAGTGGGGCAAATGTTGCGGCTGTTAAAAGAAGCGCAATTACTACTAACACCACTAATCATACTCCTACTACTCCTATTACTGCTACTCCTATTACTGCTACTACTCCTACTGGTAATGCCTCCAAGAATAACCAAATAGCGAGAAATCGAAAAGAGCCCTTGGCCAACAATAAGGCTGCTAGGATACCTGGTAACAAACACAGCGAGACAGCACTCGGAGGGAGCGCGCCAAAAAGCACAAAAGCTGTGTCCAGAGAAGGCGCAAATACAAGCAGCAAAAGAAACAGAAGCAGCAAAAGCAGCAGGGAGAAGAAACCAGATAGCAAGAAAAGACGACCCAGGCCGACGGTAAGTGCCATCTTTATGGATAGGTGATGACGCGCAGGACGGCGAATGGACACACACACACACACACATGCAAGACCGCACCGATGGCTCTGACGCGCGGCAGTCCGTGACGAGCGTGACGGGCGTGACAAACGAGGAGCGTGGAACACGGCGCCCAGCGCTGCACGGCCGACAGAAACTGCAGGAGCCGCAGCGGCGGAGAGATCCAGGAGACCGGGCCCAGGCAGCGGCAGGAAAACGGCTCCCCTTTCGCAGCGCTTCCACGACCTTTTTCGCTGCGACAGTCTTGTTCTTTATTTTTATTTTTAGTCAATTTCAGCTCACTGTTTTGCTTCCTTTATTCTCTTTTCCCAGTTTTCTTTGCTGACCTGCTCTATTTCCAATTCAAAAGAAAGCCCAACGCTGCCAACGTCACCCACGTTATCAAGTATGGTTTCCTCTGCAGATATACCTCCTAGCAAAGCGAATTTAGGCAATGGGAACAATACTGGTGCTGCTATTTCCAATGGTGTTCCCAGCCCTAATGCCAATGTCAACAACACCAACAATGGCACTGGTAATGTCAACTCAAACTTCACCTCTTCTGACGACGAGTTTGAGGAATTCACTGAGGACTTCAACATGGTCACTCCTGTTAAAAAGACCTTTGATAATGACCACTCGCTGGCCCATGTCAACAACATCAACACCATCAATAAGAGAACCTCTTCAATGCCAACTCAATCCGTCAACAAAAAAAACTCCTCCCAGTCGTTATTTTCCTCTACAAAACTAAGATCTTCAACTGCTAATCAATTAAACTCAAATAAAAAATTGTCCAAAAGAAGTTCCCTAATGTCCTTCTTCAAGGGCAAAAAGTCAAGCTCCTCCTCCAATATCAACCAATTAAACCACTCCAACACGTCCACGTCCACCTCCATCAACACCAACACCAACACAGCTACTAGTACCAACACCGGTGCTAGTAACAACACCAATACTAACATCACTGGCAATAACCCCAACTATATACCTTTCAACCCAAATGCCTACAACAACAGTGTCTCGTCCTACGATTTTGATAATGCAGATAATCAATCCTTAAACTCAAACATGACAACTAAGACCTCCATTTCTTTCATCCTACATAAAAATAAAAACAAAAAAAACTTGCCCAATACCTCCGCCAATAACTCTGCAAAACATAATCATTCTTTTTTCAAATCCTTCAAAAAGAGATTAAGTTTCTCTAATTTACACGATATAGTGATTAACGAATCTGATAACAATTATGATTCAAATTCAAATTCACACTTAAATAATAATAACACTAATAGCTTAAATAATAATCTAAATAATAATAATGACATCAAATCAAGGGATATCAATATCGATTCCAATATCGATCCCCTGATTAATGACCCCATAACCAATCACCATTCCTCAGAAAACTCCTTCAGTTCTTATCATAACTCAAATTCCTCTATAGATATTCATCCTCATAAACCTTCTCATTTAAAAAATGAATTCCATTTCAACGACTACATAGACAATAAATCCCCTTCCAATAAAATCACCTCCAATAATAATATCGAAATTAAACAAAAAGATATCAACAATAATATCAACAATAATATCAAAAATAAATCATCTGATCATTCAAATAATATTAATAATATCAATAATATTAAAAACATCGACATAGACGATCAAAATTTACCAAAGATCTCATTTGATTCAAATGATTTAAACAATTCTAAAATTTCTAAAGAACTTGATTCAATCGATTTAAAAGACTCCAAAGACTCAAAAACCTCAAAAGACTCAAAAGACCTAAAAGACCCAGATCTTTCAAAAATTCCAGATCTTCTAAAAGACCCAGAAGATCTAAAAGATCTTTACTCAAAATCCAACACCTCTCCCAAATCTTCCAAATCTCCAAAAGCATCAAGATTCAACAAGGATCCCACAAACAAATCTCTAATCAAAAAAGACAAAAAGGATAAAAAGGACAAAAAGGATAAAAAGGATAAAATTAAAATCCACTCAAAAAAATCTTCAAGCCACTCAATCACAAATTCCATCTCAAAAAACCCATTTTCAAATAACAATACCAAAAATCTTACGAATAAAGATCTCCCAATAAATCATGACAACACAATCCAAAATCAACCTCTAAATTCTAATGCATTTGCAAAGAACGACCCGAATTCAAAGATAAATACCTCTCCCAATACACCCAATAACCCTAATAATTCATCTAAAATTAAAAATAAATCAAAATCAAAGGGTAAAAACAAACCAAAAAATAAAATCAAAACTAAAAATCAAGATTCAACCTCAAATATCAATAGCAATACCAATACTAATACCAATTCCAATACCAATACCAACTCAAAAAATAACATAAATTCAAATTCAATTCTAAATTCAAATAGACATCTAAACTCAAACTTAGGCTCAAATTCAAATCCTAAAAACAAAAAATTCGTACAAATTATCATCCCAGAAATTATAACAAACAGACCTCAATCTCCTCTGACTCCCACTGACGAAAACTCAAATTCCGCTTTAAATAAAAGCTCCAACGAATATCTGCCTCAAAGCTCTGATGACTATGACAATGGTGAAATTCTATTCCCAAAATCTTTAGATGTTCATGAAGTTGAATCCATTGTTTCAATTGAACGTAAAAGATCCGTCAGATCAGTCAAAAATCATCATAGAAATGAATCCATGATTAGTAGAAAGAGTAAAAGAGAATCAATTGAAGTCAAAGCTAAAGAAGTCGGTATGACTGTTGAACTCGGTAAAGAGGTTAATGAGCCCCCACTTTTACCAAGAAGAACTAACAGTATCTTGAAAAATAAAAATTCAATCTCATCTTTTAACCATTCCATCAACGAGGAAGTTGAAGAAGAAGAGGAATTAAGAAACGAATTTTTATCTGATAGAAAAAGAAGATTGGACAGAAAGGGAATTATAAATGATGAACAGCCAATTAGAAGAAATAGTAGCAATATAAGAGTCAAACCCATAAATAACTTAAATGATAGTTCAAAGACTACTTCAAACAGAAATGGAGTCGATATTCCAGACTTTGAATTTGATGATTCAAGTTTGAATTTAGAATTCTCTCCAATTCCTTCTCCCGAATTATCTACTACTTCGGCTCCAAGTCAACATTCTACTGAAAGATCATACACTGATAAGGATCAATTTGATAAATCTATTAATGCTAACAACAACAACAACAATTCAGCGGAAGAGAATTTGAAAGCTAATAATATTGGTGAAAATTTAGAACATAAGAGCTCGATAGATAATCTGTCAGATGGCACATTGACAACAGTATCCCCATCAATTAACCAATCGCCGTTGCTAGAGTCTGAGAATTCGCCATCAATAGCATTTTTGCCATCACCAGATCCTAAACAAAATGTAAGACCAGTTTCAATGTCGTTCAAAGGATTAAAAGCCCCAACATTTAATAACAATGAAAACCCAGATAGAAAAGATAGCTTGGATAGTGGAACATTTAATAGAGGATACGTTTACCCAAATGATAGCTCTGATAGTGACGAGTTTGCTCGTGGTTCATTTTCTCCTCCTTCCCTACCTTATGCTAAAGACGGATCTGTTCAGTTACTTTCTCATTCAAACTCATCCACATCATTGAACTCTCGAAGGAGATTCCCTGTGGGCACAGTAAAATTCTCGTCCAGAATTATACTATATGAGACATACAATGGCGATGAGTATGATAGACATCCAGAGATTGCTACATGTAACCAATTGACGCCCTCACTTGCTTATCAGATTAAAGATGAATTGAACACATTCAAAGCTGAGATGCCTATTCATGAAAGTTCTCGTTGTTTTACCCACTTTTATTAGAAAAATTGATTTTTTAACATATTTTTAATTCTTTTTTTCGTTTCTATTTTTTTACTGTTGTTTTTTCTTTTTCCATTTTTTTTTGTTTTTTTATAAAAAGCTAGTTTTTTGGTTTTGTTTACTAATATTTTTGATTTTTTTAAAATAAAATTTAGATTAATACTAAATTTATTTTCAATTTTCCATTTTCTCTTGAAAAATGAAAACATTAAAGCCAGAAATTGTTTTACTTTTTAAAAAATTCATTTGTTTTAATTGATATTAATTGATATTTATTACTATTATTACCGTTTAGTGATAATTGCTGTTAATTAACTTTTTTAATTTTTTAATTTAATTATTACTTTGAATATCATTGAAAAATTGATTGTTTAGTCATATTAGTTTTTAATCTTTTACATTTTTCCTTTCAGTTTTGTTTGTTTCTTTTTTCTTTAAATCCACATCCAATTTTTTAAGCATTTCTTTTTCTAAAAATCAAAGTGATATTTTAAAGGTCTCCATAGTTTTCATTTATTTTTATAATAGTTTTATTACACATCTTCCTTTACTTTGTTTATAAATCGAATTCACTTCTTTTGTTTTAGTGCTTTTTTCGCAATTTTCGTCAAACAGCACAATTTTCGCGCTTAAATTTACAATTATGAAATTAATAACTGTTTTACTGAATTGCGGAGATAATTCCAACTTAGTCTCAATCTGGAACAAGACCCTTTATACTGGCGATGAAAAGCTTTCAAATTTATTTTTTTTGGATTTAAAAAGATTTTGGTTTGAAATATTTTACTAATTTTGCTTCTGAAGTGGAACAAAAAATGGCTAGAAAAGCTGGAAGCTTCTTCAAAAATGAGAAGAGTAAAAAATTCAACAAGTCAAAACATGGTGGTAAAATAGAAAAGCAGACAAGCAATAAAATAGTTTCCAATGGTATTTGGAAGTCTAAAGGTGGCAGATCATCCTTGAGAACAATTTCTAAAGTTTCAACATTTGCACAAAATGAAAATGAGGAATTACACAAGAATAGCGAGAAAATTGAAGCCAACACAGAAGTTGAAAGTGATGCAGAGAAGTACCATAGTAATGAAAAAAGGAACAATCGAAATAACAACAATGCTCAAAACTCATTTGAGGCGCTTGTTGCTATATTAGAAAATGAAAATGATCATAACTCGATTCAATATAATGATAAGATAGCTTTGAATGACAGAAATATTAGTAACAACTCTGATGAGCTTCTTATTGCCATGAAAAGTGAAGACGATACTGGAAATCATAGTGAAAATGATAGTGAAAATGATGAAAGTGACCAAGATAATCAAGAAGTTGAAGATTCTGATGAAGGTGAACCAAACTTAGAAATAAAATTGGGAGCTGATCCATTTGACTATCACTTTTCTAGTCCCGATAGCGATGTTCTCGATAGATATGAATCTTTCTTTGAAAAGAACGAAAATTCTAAATGGTTAACAAACAAATATCTTGTTGATGAAATGAATTATATGGTTACTGTTAATCTTCCTCCAATCCAAAATGAATTATCCCTCAACCGAATTCAGGAGGACTGCACCCTGAGAAATTACCAAAATTATTTGAAGAACGCTCTTACAAATTATCATATCAAATCAAGATTGAAAAGCTCACTAGAACTGAATAATTTTAAATTATCAAATATTCAAAAACTACTAATCGATCCGATGTTCACGTACAAGGATATTGTATTTCCATACTATGATTATTTGAACGAATCAGAAGTGAGAGATTTATATTCAGTACATGTAATAAATCATGTATATAAAACGAGGGATCGAATTCTTAAAAATAATACCAAAATGTCTGCATATAAAGAGAAGCTACGAGAAAATAAGAATCAAAGAAATAATCTAAATGATAGCCATCACCTTGAGGAACCTGATGTTCAGGACCAAGGATTCCATAGACCCAAAGCATTAATCTTGTTGCCATCAAGAAATTGCTGTTTTGATCTAATCAAAAAAATGGTAAAAATTACAAACTTAAAACAAGAGAATAGAAAAAAGTTTGAAACACAATTTGCCGATGACTCTCTTGCGAATGAGTTTAAGCCAAAGGATTTTCAATATTTGTTTAAAGGTAATAACCACGATTTCTTTTACATTGGTATCAAGTTCACAAGAAAATCTATAAAATTTTATTCGTCATTTAATCAGTCAGATGTTATATTAGCTTCACCATTAGGGTTGAAGGGGTTTTTAGAGAGTAATTTAAAAAAAAAGGAACAGGAAGAGTTTTTGAGTTCAATAGAAATTTTAGTCATCGATCAGGCAAATACAATACAATTTCAAAATTGGTCAAATATTTCTTTCATCTTACCATTTATTAATAAAAAATTGACTACTCAGCCAAAGGATTTGGATTTCAGTAGAGTCAGAATGTGGGCAATTAACGATAATTATAAACTATTGAGGCAAAATTTAATTTTTTGTAAATTTTTAACTCCAGAAATAAATAATTTGTTGTCATATAAAAATACGTTAAATCTATCGGGAAAAGTCAAATTTAAAAAAATTTTTAAATCGGAGTTGGCATCAATTAATAAGATTGGATTTAAAGTTAAACAATATTTCACCAGATTCAATTCAAGCAGTCCCCTAAACGATGCAGATGAAAGATTTAAATATTTTAAGATGAATGTTGTATCGAGTATATTGAAGCAACAACATGATGATCAAGACGAGGGAGGGACATTGATTTATATATCGTCATATTATGAGTATTTGAGGATAAAAGATTATTTATCGAACAAGACCTCATTAGACTTTACATCAATTGACGAGTATTCGACCCAATCTAAATTGAGTAGAAATCGAGATTTATTTTTTAAAAACAGATATAAAATCATACTATACACTGAGAGATTGCATTTTTATAATAGATTTGATATTAAGGGAGTTAAGAATATTATTTTTTATAACCTACCAAGTGACGAAGTTTTTTATTCAGAGATTATATTACGATATTTGAGTAATTCAATGCTTAATAATATCATTAAGGATATCAATTTATGTTTTGTAAGGGTTTTATATTCTAAATGGGACCAACTTTTATTAGAGAAAATTGTGGGAGAAGACAAGACACCAATAATGTGTTATTCAAACAATGAGACATATGAGTTTAGATGATTGAAAGAGGATAGAGATGAATAAAATTAAAGAGTTTATATATATATATATATATATATATATATATATGTATAGTGATAATGATAGTAATAGTGCATTTCTATTCGGGATAAGTGAATTAATCATATTAAGTGGCTAACAGCCATTATAACGCAACAGATTGATACGTAGGGGCTTAATCTTTCACCAATTCTTGCAAACTTCCAAAATACACCAGCAACACCAGTTCTGTTTTTATCTAATAACGCTGGCCAGAGAGAGTGGATGTAGGCTGAGGTGCAAATCAAAAGAAGCAAAACCTGCAATAGAGACTGAAAATTAAATAGAGCAGACTATAGAAAACCAGAGGTTAGTTAGACTTGATCAAACAGAACCATTAGAAAAAGAAAGGAAATCAAAGTATCATACCATTGTTCTTTGGAAATGAGTTTGATCTGTTCGAAGAAACAAGTTTAGATTGCCAGCTCTTTTAAGCTGGGGGCGAGAAGGCGTGCTCTAACGGTAGTCCATTTTAGGAAATGAAAAGCGCCGATAGTGAACATAACTTGATGTGCATTCGAGGCACTGTTGCATCTGGATGCATGTTCATGCATTGACTGTTTAGGGATGGAAAAAAGTGTCAAGAGCTCCATAAACAATTTCAAAAATGTTTTTACTCAGTCTTTCTGTCAAGCATTATTCACACGCTCAGGAGCTGACATTATTTTAGATTATGACCATGTATTTATATATGAAATTGTTTTTAATGATAAATTTGACAATGATGTTTATGGGATAGATGATAGAAACATGTCCAAACGAGTATCTGTCAAATATAAGTTGCTTCACATAGATAAAACAAATGCCAAAAACGCAACGACGATTGCTTTACTTACAGCATTTTATAAAAGCTTGTTATCAAATTCAAAGCTGTTATGTTAGAATATTCCATAAATCAGAGACAAATTTCAAAACGCTTAATATGAGTTTTGCTGAAATTAGAAAATTTAAGCAAATTTGTGGTGCGTTCATCCAGATGAGTGATAATATCCTTCCAAATGCTATCAAGAAAATAATACAGGGAAGTTCACCACATCAGAAATATGCAACCGTTATGGACGTTGATAAAGTTATATTGAAGATTTATGATGTGGCGAGGTGCACTAACCAGCAGTGGAACTCCAGCCGAACCAAACCAATATATTTGGGGTTTCAAGAAAGATTGGTAGAAACCAGATTAAGATATTTAAAAGAGACAGCTGTTTACAATCAACTATCAGATCCCAACATATAGGTTAATTGCACCACTGTCACTTAGTTATGGGTTTATTGAACATCCCAATTTAAATGTGCAAGCTGCTCTTCAAAATTTAGACGACTATAAAAACCGTAATCCATTGGAAATTGCTGATCTTTATATCAAAGCAAAATATGTTAGCGAAAATAAATTATTAAATGTTAAAGAAACGAATTTCAAAGAGATGAGTATAAAGGGTTTTGGGAATTTGCAGAAAATTCACCTAGCCGGCATCCCCCACGGTGATATCCACCTGGACAATGTTATCTACAATGATAAAGTCAATACATTTTATTATTTAGATTTTGGTTCATCATCTACTAGAAAAGGCAGATCCAATTGCACGAAACCAATACCAATTATCACTAAAGGTTTACATCATTTTATCAAAAAATGCTCGTATGATTATGAATGCCTTATCGATTTATTGCTGGATTATAGAAATTATCGCAAAATTGATTTTAGATTCTTGGAAGCTCAGAGAGGCAGTTTGACTACTATGGCACAAAAAAACATAGAAATAGAAAGAGAAAAATTTGCAGAAAAAATTATCCAGTTAATAGTTCTAAAAGAAAGGCTTGAAATTTTAATCAAATCAAACGGAAAAAAGGCAATTAAAAACATTTTATTTTAAATCTATTTTTTGAGTCAGCTTATATTGTTTTTAATACCAAATCTGTTTTTGCCAAAAGAATTATTGATGGTTTAAACATTAGTTGGTGTAGTGGTTTAAAGCTAATAAAAACACAGTTGATAATGTAATTTTGCTATTTTGTTTTTGCTATTAAAGTATATTAAGATGATTAATAAAATACCCTCCACCAAGCCAATTTGATTAATACGATATTGTGCTTAAAATAATTCATGTTTGTAAAAGATTATTGATGATTGTACTTGGCTTGTGATCCATTTTAACTAAACAAGCTTTAAAAAATCAAAAATTCGAAAATAATTAATTGAATTATTTGAAAATCACTAATCTGGAATCCTATTGTGAAATATATCTCTGAAATATTCTTGTTCAAAAGCTTCTTCAATTGTAGTCTTACCAGCATTGTCAAGGCCTCTACAACACAACACCAGTTTGTTAGTCTCTTAGTTCTCTCTACCCACATCGCGCCATGTAACCGAAACAAAACAATAAACATACACCATCAAATCTAAAACACTTCCAAATCATGGTCTTAATTATCAAATAGACCTTGTTGTACCGCCAGAAAAAATTCAAAAATTAACATCAATATTCATCGAGATTGATTCTGGTTCAGAACTAGAGGTTATTGAGCTTTTGACTCATAAAGTTCTATCATTTTTGTTAGAAGTGAAGAGTAAGAATCATCCAATTCATTGTTTAGATGGTTGTCAGTGTTGTTTTTGAAAGGATAAGACATTTCTCTAATTTTTGTTCGTCTTGCAGTATCTTATTCTTTTGTTCGTCCAAAAGAAAATCAAAATTTTGAGGCTTCATTTGCTTTATAATGTGAGATTTCCGAACAGTCATCTTAAAAAATATCCAAAAATGGATTGTATTTTTCAGGCATTGCCGAAATAACTGATTCTTCTAAAATATTTTTGGTTTCAAGCTTAGGTGAAAATTCACCTAAAGTTTTAAGCCAAGATCATTTATCATCTATTAAAAGACCAAATAGATCAAAACTACCAATCCCTTTGTTCAAAATATTAACCTTCAATAAACAAAAGTTGAACAACATTAAAAATCCACAACACTTTGAGAACAATTTTAATGAAAATGCTCTTGATAATACTGAAGATATCAAGACCTCTGAGAAATACATGATTGCTTTGGACTTGTTTTGTTATGCTGAACATAAAGCTATTTTAAAATATTTTTTTATCTCATCTTCATGCAGATTATTATATGGGTTTGATAAAAAATTTATCCAAACCTCACTTTTTCATTTTGGAGCTAATAAAAAGTTACTTCAATATTTAATGAAAAAATTCAATAGTTTTCAAACAGTTTATCTAAGCACTACTTACTCAAATCTAAACTTTATTTTCCTTAACCAGGAATTGGTTGTTAGAGAATATGGCGATTTCATTCACAGAGTAGTCAATCGCAATTTATTTTTAAACAAAATCCAGCAAAATGAGATAATAGTCTTTAATGCCGTATTACATCCACTGGTGAGCTCAGAAACACAGCTCAAAAAAAAAATATCTAATTGTTCTTGGTCCATATACAATATGAAAAGAAAAGTCGGCTTTTGAAATATGTAAACAAATTGGATCTAGATTATATGTAAATCTATTTCAAAGAAAGATTTTAGAAACTTTCATAAATGATTGTGAGTAAAGGTAATTGAGATCACTTCAAGATTGAGTGAAACAACAACCCTTTCAATTTCCATGTTCATTTAATTTCAATCCAAAATCTCAAATATCATGAGTTAATGAAATACTACAGGGCCTATTAGTGTGTTTTTGAAAATTTAATAGCATTTCACTTTACCGACTGGAATCATGGAAATAAATTTAAATCTATGGATTTAAAGTGTTCTTTGAAAGAAATGTTAAATAAAACCATTACACAAAAGATTTTCATCGTAATTTATCACTTTTGAAAATAATTTGATTCTGAAAAAGTGATTCAGTTGTACAAAATCCTTTACTCAGAACATTCAAGTCTTCGAGAATTGACATATTTTTCTTTTTTGTTGAATATCAAGAAATTAATACCAACTGTCAATATTCACAATTACCGAACCAGTCATAAAATGTATCAGTGGATTAAAGAATGAGAAACCATAAATAAATCATTTATATACTCAATTGGTAGGTTTTAACTCAATTCTGGTTTGAAATTTGAACCATAGTAGAAAATGCCACTGAATTTGTATTGTGATTTTATGAAAGTATATTCTTGTTGAGATACACTGAAGGAGATACTTACACCTATACTCTTTTCTTTTTCTTTTTGACTTATAGGAAATTCAACAATAAAATTTGTAAAACTGTTTTTAATGAGAATATAATTTGGTTAAATTACTTGAAAATAATTTGTTAATTTTTCAAAACAATAAATTCATTAAATAAATATTTTGGGCTTTTTGAGAAAAAAAGTGGAAACTAAAATGTGATGTTTATATCATTAAATTTTGTAGCTCGAAAGACTGTAATTATTATTCCTTGATAAAAATTCAGTTCTAACAGTCATTTAGATCCTAGATTTGGTTCAATGAACTGAATCAAAAGAGCGATTTTTTGATTGAAGTTGAGTTTTTCTCATGTTGCTTTGTATCTACAAGCTTTGAAGTCTTAAAGGTTCCCCTTTCTTAACCATATCTCACCTTTTTATCTGAAATTTCTTTTACAAAAGGAATATGTTTCTAAATTGTTTGGTTTCGGTGTTTCTGATGGAGCTGTTTCGAAACAACCAAAGAGGGATGCCGAGCAAAGCACAATGATGTACTTTCTTTTGAACTACAAATAAGCCTTTTGTGTCTCGTATTGTGAGAAATTAGAGTATAAAACATTTTGCAAAATCATTAATTGAGGTACAAAAATATACTTTGGAAACTATTTCAAAATAGCAACAAACAGAAAAATCATCGGTTTTCAAATAAAATACAACTTGAAAGGATAAAATAGACGTTAAAATATTGAGAACTTCATTACTTTTTTAAAAAAGGTACTTTGAGTACCTCAAAAACTGGAGATACAGCAGTTTAACTACCAGTTACCATTACCATTGCCATTTCCATTTCCGTTACCATTTCCATTACCATTATTGCCTCCAGCACCATTGGCATTACCATTGTAGTTACCATTATTGTTACCGTTATTACCACCAGCTCCATTGTAGTTACCATTGTAGTTACCGTTGTTGTTACCATTGTATCCAGAATAGCCCCAGTAGCCACCATTAGCATTACCATTGTTGTTACCGTTGTCATTTCCGTTATTACCACCTGGTCCATTGGCATTACCATTAGAGTTACCATTATTGTTACCATTGTAACCACTAGAACCACCATAGTGACCGTTGTAATTACCATTGTTTCCACCAGCACCATTTTCGTTACCATTTTGATTACCGTTATTGTTTCCGTTATCTGTCTCTGGTGTAGGTTCGAGGCACTGAGTAGTTTGTGAAGGTTGTTCATCTTCAACACAGTAAATCATAATCATCATATCACCACAATGTAGAGCTGTATTAAATTCTTGAGAATATTCAAGCCAAACATCGCAAAAGCCACAATCTCTACATTTGGAGATATCATCGGATAAGTTTGGATATGCATTTTCACTTGAACAGCTAGTATCGCAGAATTGATCTTTGGGCACTGTCTGATATCTTTCATAAAGCTTGTCACATACTGACCAGTCACAGATGGAAGCAGCACTTAAATCAGCCTCATCATCTGGCGAGGCAATTGGAACAGATTTTGCGAGAAGCAAAATTTGCAGAAAAATAAATAATGAAGATTTGATAAACATTTTCAAAATAAAACTCGAGTGTCGGCAAAAGTTCTATCGCAGATATTAATTTTAAGCAAACGTTTGCCAGATATTTATATGCTGCGACAGAGTAATCTCCTTCAACAACTGCTTCTATTTTTGAACATTTGCTGAGCATCTAAGTTTAACAGATATTGTCCCCTGAAGATGTCGATGTTCCCATGCTATTGTCGTGAACAAATTGGGAAAACAGTAGCATTTTGCTTTGATCAACAAATCACTAATAATATTAGCGACCATAAACAGTAACAGGAACTCGTTTATTTCCAAGTTAAACTAGGGAAAAAGCACTATTTACGAGCCAGAACTAAGAAAAAAGCCTTCATGATTACCCGTATCTCTTACTTTTACTTTAGATGTGATCGCGCTTTTCTCAATGGAGAGGAGTATTAAACATCAAAAAGTTTATTTGCATTTCCATTTTTGCAAACGGTATATTACATAAATACATGATATTGCATGATATTGCAGAGACATACAGCTACTTATTTGTTGCACGAGGTGTGACCGGAAAACACAATCCGAACTCGGAAGCTCGTGAAGTCATTATGGTCCGTTGCCCCAAACGAAATACACAAGACTTAACCAATATGAAACGAAAATTGTGTTTCAACAAACAACACTTAATTCACAAATACGTTGATAAAGACTGCAATCCAAATAATATAAATATGATCACTAAATAGCTAAGTAGGAATAAAATAAAACAAGAGAGGAAAAGGAGAGAGAAGTCTACTAAGTCATGAGTACTAGAAGAAATCTCTACCCTTCCTTCGACGACTGTCAAGCTGACAGCATTCATGTCAAGAACACTGATAGTGATAACGAAAGGGAACTTGATAGTTCACCAATGGCTTCCAAAATCAATGAATTAAATCAAAGAGTTGAGTTAATTGAATTGAATATTGCATCCGGATTTAAACGACTAGAACGAATGCTTGAAAGTGTATTAACTCGTAACGAACGGCCGGAAATCGGTTATCCACGGTCACAACACAATCAATGATTTAACTTAAATAAATTGGGCTTGAAATAACTAGTTGTGAGTATCTATTACATTTTGGGTTAAGGATATGGCAATAAGTTGATACTCATGGAACCCAATATACGGATTTCCACTGTAAATCTAGGCGTTAGAGCTTCTCTTATTACGGATTCATTTAATCAACTCAGAGCTTACCAGTTTGATTGTGTTGGAGAGAGCCATTTTTCGGAAAGGAATCCTTCAGCACATTGGACCACAGCCCTTTGAACCAACCAATCCAGCTCACTATGTATCTGCTGGTGATTATAATTCAGTTGTATTGACCTTTTAATGGCACATTGACAATGCTGGCTATTTGATAGTTGAAATGAGTTTGCTTATATGAGTGAAAATTGTGCACTCTGTGGTTAGCTAAGCTTGACAAAACTATAATTATAATTATCAAATTAAGCTCAAATTTCTTGTATCTATTAAAGGGCGTGTTGAAGAGAAAACAGTCTCTTGAGTTCTAGAGCAGAATGAAATGGAATTACAGAGCGTTGTTGAAATCTAAGTGGGTTGCTTTTATGGTGTTACTTTTGACCAAATGGTGATACAAGCCAGAGGAGATGTCTTATTTTTGATGCATTGGTGTTTGGCAGTATGTTTATTGGGCAAATCAACTGAAATGGTATTTTTATTTGGAATGAGGAATTCCTGATGAGAAAGACAAAAAAAACAACATAGGATGTTAAAGGCAACAGAGTGATGAGTATTGAAATACTATAAGCTCATAAATTTAGCAAGCTTGAACGAGTGGGTTGTAATTTCATTGTTAAGAAGGCCACAACTGATGAAAAGATATGGTAATGGAAGAGTGGGATAAAGATTCAATGTGTTAATGGCTAGTAAATCAATGTGAAACCGGAGAAAAGGGGAAGTATTCTAAAGGTAAAAACCACAGCAGTTTATCCAGATTTTAACTAGTGGATTGTGAGATTATTATTTATAGAAATGAGTATAATTTTGATAGCAATTGTAGTAGAAGAATGCGAGAAAATCATATAAAAGTGAATTGAGAATATTTAATCTTCATAGGTTTAATAGAACGAGAATTTGAAATGGGTTGATTTCGTGAAAAAGAAAATGCTAGTTTAAAGACGTAGCAGGTCAAAAGAGATAGAGCAAGTAATGCTAATGCTTTGAATTGATTACACAGCAATACGATGTGAAGTGGTGAAACTAATGGATAGACAAAAATTATTAAAACTCTTCACCATTAGAAGATCCAATTTAGTGAAATCAAAGAAAACCATACTACGGTAGCCAGTGTTAGCGTTAAAATTAAATTCAAAAATCCATGCTTGGATATTTGAATAACATTAACAATTAATTATTATTTAAATAACGATTCAAAAAATCTAAATCCTCTAAACTAAGTTAAATAACAAAAAAAGTGAAAAGCAATAAAAAACATCTAAACTGTAAACAAAAAAATAAAAAATGAGGGAGAATGAAAGATACAGAAACGAGAGAATAAAAACAGCGAAAGAAAACAGTAACTCAAAGAAATAGCGCTACTTTAATATTGCAAAAAAACACATTGATTGTTGAGATCAAGAGGCTTCTTAGATCAATAAAGCAACACCGGCGGCAGCAGCAGCACCTAATAAACCAACTTGGATGCTAGAGGCACCAGAATCAGTAGAAGTGGTGTTGGAAGCATTTGAGGAGTTCAAAGCTTGAACAGAAGCAACAGCAGCTAATGAGACAACGATAACAGATTTGAATTGCATTTTTAGGTTATTGATGGTTGATGAGAGAGATTTCGGTATATTGCAGACAACTGATTGCTTTGTTGGAAAAGAAAGATAACAGAGAACTTGAGCTAGAAAAATAAGAAGGAAGGAAAAGAAAAAACAAGAGATTGGAATCAATTTATTTGGTAAAAAACAAGAAAAAAATTTGACAGGCTAAAACCAAACCGCAGTTTGTTTGTTTACTAATCAGAATCTCCCTTCCAAAAGAGGCCATTCCAGCCCTATTGATCCGGTTCAGACGTGGTCCAGACGTTCTTAATTCTCCAAAAAAAGAAAGAAAGCAGAATGCGACCGCGTTCCGCAGCGCAAAACGCGCTTTGTTCGCGACGGCACGAGCACGAGCGCGAGCGCACACCGCTTCTATCTCCGGCCACTGCTGTTTTGAGCAACCGGTGCCGTTTTCCCCGGTTGGGCGGTTGGCCAAAAAAGCAATGCCTATTGTGGGCTATCAGAATGAGATACCAATGGATATGAGAGCAGTGCTGTTGTTTTTCACCCTGATATTGCCAATTCAACCACAGTGTACTTCCTTCTCGGTCCATTGGGAAATTTCAATCCAAACAAAACCCTCAAATGACACAATAGGCACTGAAATATTGTTGAAAGCTGTCTACCTGGGTTTGACACTCTTTGTCAATTTTCATGCCAAAATCAAAAACCAATTTTGCCGAATTTCATTTGGTCTGTATAACTTTGCCTTAAAAAAAACCTAAGGATCCTAATTTTCAAGATTCGAATTATATCAATCCGGCTTTCAATTATAGTGTGCAGCGGCTTCATGTTTGCAAGTGAATAAAAAAAGCAATATTTGATTAGAGTTGGTCAGACGTTGGAGCCATCAAAAACTTTATTGCTCTCAGCATGCACTGATGCAACAAAAGTTTTAATTGTTTGGTACCGCCTTTAGGCTATTTATAACTTGCCAATTCCCGGCGCATGAATATGTGTGTACTTAAGCCTTTGGTTTGATCCCGACTCAGCTCTCAAACTCTAATACTCTTTCTTTCCGTTTTGGGTGTCCATTGCCCTTCCAGCTCTTTTCCGGCTTCCTTTCTTTTTCTTTTGTTTTTGCTGAGATGGTAGAGTTATCTGATTAATTGTTCAGAAGCATCTCAGCAGAACTGTTAGGAGATTCCACAGATGCTTCAGTAGCTACGTAGAATGTAGCTATGGCTTTGTGTCTGCATAACTCGTCGTAGCATTGCTTTCCTTTTCCCTACAATTTTGCTATTGCTTGCCTTGACAAATAAGGTTACTGGGTTAGATGATTTATTGGCTGTTAATTGAGTTGTTTGCCCATGTCTAACACTGAAATATTTTTTTCAATATACCAATGTATCAAAATATGAGTGTGGTTTTGAATATTGTCAATAAACACTGTTTCTCGGGAATTTTACTGTTATTATTCCTTTTCACAGACTAGTTGAGGATCTCAAACTAATCACCACACTCATGTTGTACGATCCTCAACCACCAAATCGTCAAGTTCGGTTGATCCAAAACATTTTCTTTCTCACTTGGTCAAGCTAGAAACTTCGATTTCCATTGGTTTTTGATAAATCTCAATGATTATCCATTTTTAGAAGCGTTTTCTGATTATACACTTGCTTATTAATGCAAAAATTTAAAAGTTAGTTGCAAAACAGATTTCTTTCAAATTATTTAAATAGCCATTTACCCAACTAAATTCACTAAAAATATAGTCTAATGCTCTTTGTAGTAACCAATTCAATTCAATTCAATTCAATTCAATTCAATTCAATTCAATTCTCAAATTTCTTGTTGTAACAAGCATCTATTTTTAATATTTATTACATCTAATATCCAATTCCTGGGTACGAAAAGCTTATTATCATTTTCTATAGGATAAATAAACAAACTATAAATAAACAAAAGCAAAAGCCTTCCTAAATAAAAATTGTAATTCACCGACTGTAAAGCATTTCAAAAAGGTTGATAAAAATCTCTTATTATTTTTTGCTTTCTTCAACGCAAGCACTCACCCAATTTATTGCATTATTATTCCAAAAGCATTGCTAATCAGTTCCTAAAAGATGAACTTTTCCAAATTTTAATCGCTGCTTTAGTTAACGCTACCTGGCTTATGTCTTTCAAGTTCCTTTTTTGCCATACTTTGCAACCAGCAATTCCCAACTGATAAATTAATTCCGAAATTGCTTGTTGCCTTCAGTTTATACTAACAAAATTGCTCAATTGGTGGTTATATCACTAGGCATCACTGACGAAGTGCAATTTATTTACATCCTATTTGCATCCTATTTGCATCCTATTTGCATCCGGATCCTGCGTCTTTTCTTCATTCTTCCTTCTTCTTTTCTTTATCCTGTCTTTATCCTTCTTTATCCCTCTTTATCTTTCTCTTTCTCTGGCCTGAAACCAATTCGTCCTCCAAGGCCAATATTTTTTCCTCTTTTCGTCCCTCACATTTCATGTCCGTGTTTTTTAAGCTCCTCAAACTAAAAACCCAATCTGCTACACCTATCCTTTTCTGTTCTTATACCTACACTCATAATTGCAATTACAATTACAATTACAATTACCACTATAATTACAATCACATTTATAATTACAGCTGCACTTGACATGCTTTAATCAATCCACTTTATCAACTGCTTAGCAATCACTTGTTCTGCCTCTCACACTTCTGCTGTCAATTGACAGTAAACGTCCATTTTCAAGACTCCAATTTATCTCGAAAATGTTAAAAATAGATAATAATAACAATTTTCTTTTATTACAATAAAAATAAACTTGAAATTCTAACAATCTTTATTTTCCAAAATAATGCAACTCAATACTGCAGAAATTATCACTGATTTTTCAAAAAAACCAATTGAATCTAAAAATACTAATCCCGAACCTTACTTTAGCTATTAAACAAAATATAAATTGCAATCAAAAGTATATAAAAATGATTGTAATTATTCGCTTTTTTTGTTTTTTCCATTCATTCATTAACTCAAAAAAACCTTTGCTTATTTCCCAATTTTTCAAATACACCCAGTCACTCTTTAATCCTCAATTCATTCGTTTTTATCAATTACATTATTATTTATACCATTATTACTATCATAATAACTTGAAAATACAAGAATAATTGAAGAGAACTTAAAGTTGGAAAATCAAAAAAAAATCTTGATAATTGAAAAAATCAAAATTATCAAGATCAATTAATTATTCAAAATGATTTTTTCTTCGGTATCACTAAAAAGCTTGCTTGCAATTGCGAGTTTTTCTTTACTTTTAGACAATGTTGGTGCTACTGGTTCATTGTGTACAAAATCAGCACAAACTTACTCCTCTTCTAATAACAACGCAGCCGACAAATCGTCTTTATCCTATTATATCTCCAAAGAGAACAACAAATATAAACTAAAATGGGTTTATTCCGTCGACGATTCATCCAATGTCAAAAAAGTCAAATTTAGAAATGAAAAAAAATATTCTTCGACCTCTGGTGGTAACAATAAATGGTGCAAAGGTTTCGTTTATGAATATTCGGCCGATCAATGGGATGGCCTTTTAGACTCAGATTTAAATTTCGAATATTACTTTGATGACACCCCTGTATACTTCAGAAAAAGTTGCGAGGGCTATTCTAATTGTAATGTCATTGAGTCTCCACCAACAACAGCTTGTAGTTGTTCACAAGAAACAACATCTATAGAAATCACTGTCCCAACAGTCACTTCATCTTGCCAAAATTACAACACTCAAACCTCTGCCTCTTCTGATGAAATAACAACATCTACAACAGTCCTATCAACTCTTTCCATAGTATCTGCAACAACCATTTCTACAGCGTCTGCAACCACTTCTGGCTGTTACAAACATGCTGAACAAACATTCACATCAGGTTATCATCATGGTCCATCATGCACCGTTTCTTATTATGTTTCAAAGAACTCGAATCAAGGATATTCGTTAGAATGGGTATTCTCTCACAACGAAAGCACAGATTCAGTTCGAAAAGTTGATTTGGTGTGGCCAATATCTGAAAACAAGTATGGTGGAAAAGGCAACAACAAAGGCTATTGTTCAGGATTCAGTCAGAAATGGAAAGGCAAATCGTGGAGCTATTTGACTGACTCAGATTTGGAATTCAAGTACAAGTTCGATACTTGGGGAGAGATCATATACAGCACCAAATGTGGTAACAGAGATAATTGTAATTCGATTGACTTACCAGCCAATTCTCCAGATGATTCCTGTGAATCTGTCACAATCACTACTCCATCAGCTCAATGTACTACAAGTTTACCAACATGTAATCCATTACCTTCAACAATTATGTCTTCTGACTCTAGTTTATCTTCAATCACTTCTTCTACAATTTCATCTGGTATTTCATTTAGTGTTTCTAGTGATGTTTTCTCTACTATTTCTTTTATTGTTTCTAGTGATGTCTCATCTAGTGTTGTTTCATCTAGTACTTTTTCTGAATTTTCTAGTGGTTTCACTAGTGATACTTTATCCACTTTTTCTTCAGGTGCTTCATCTTCTGATTCAACTTCATTTGACACATCAAGTGACATTTTTTCAACTATTTCGTCTGGTGTTTCGAATGGTTTGACCAGTGGTGTTTCCTCTACTATCTTTGGTGATGTTTCTTCTAGTATTTCAAGTGATATTCCCTCTGCACTTTCTTCAGATGTTTCTTCATTTGATTCAATGTCATCTGGAGTCTCAAATGATATCTCTTCCACTATTTCCTCCGATTTTTTCTCTTCCGATTCAACTATTATTGCCTCTGGTAATTCAAATGATGTTTCCTCTACTGTTTCTTCTGATGTTTCCAGTAGTGTTTCTTCTATGATTTCCTCTGGTGTCTCCTCTTCTGACTCAACTACAATATCATCTGGTGGATCAAGTGATATCTCTTCCACTCTTTCCTCTGATATTTCCTGCGACGTTTCCTCTTCTGATTCAACTATTATTTCTCCCAGTGTTTCAAGTGATGTTTTATCTACTGTTTCTTCTGGTATTTCCTTTTCCGATTCAACTTCATCTAGCTCATCAAGTCATATCTCTTCTACTGTTTCTTTTGATGTTTCCTCATTTGATTCAACTTCATCCAGTGCTTCGAGTGATATTTATTTTACTGCTTCTTCTAGAGTATCTAGTGGTTTCGCCAGCGATATTTCCTCTAGTGTTTTTTCAGGTGCTTCATCTTCTGATTCAACTTCACTTGGCGCATCAAGTGATTTTTCCTTTGACATTATTTCTAGTGCTTCTTCTTTTGATTCAGCTTCCTCTGAAACCTGGAGTATTATTTCTTCCACTGTTTCAAGTGGTGTTTCAAGTGATGTTTCATCTGGTTTTTCCAGTGGTGTTTCTTCTACTGTTTCTTCTGAATTATCTAATGTTGTTTTTTCCACTGTTTCTTCGGATGTGCCAAGTGATGCTTTCTCTGATATTTCTAGTACTTCTATTATTTTGTCCAGCTTTTCCTACATCACATCTGTTATATCTTTTACTTCTGGAAGTTCCGGAGATATTATTTCAAGTTTTACTAGTGCTGACAGCTCAAGTTTGTCATCTACCATATATTCTGTTGGAACTGATAGCATCTCAACACCTATGACAATCACAACAGCCATCAGCTCAGGTCAAATTATTACTGTTACTATTCCATG